ATTATTTATTGGCTATCTATGCCTGAGCCATCTCATATTAATATCTTATATAATTTATACTTTGACAATTCGTGTGCTCATAACTAATTATGTTATAGGTGGCTCCCAAAATGCCAAGAAATATGGAGATATAACCTAATCTATACAGGTGACATACAGTAAATCTATACAGCCTGTGATGTATTATGTTTATCCCGCATGCTGGACGCGCCTATTAATACAAAGAAAAGACTTTAATTAAATTATTAAGTCTATATTTATTACCTAGGATATTTTACTGTCTGTATATTATTGCCTGTAATAGATTAATTTTATTTTATAAAACAGATAAAACTATATTAAATATATGGTATTATTTTCATAAAACTAAATTTTAATCTTATAAAAATATCAGATCCTCTCTGTAAACCACTTAAAAGCCTAATTTTCCAAATACAGGAAATTTCTTTACATATTATAAAGTAAGAATTTGTAGTCCTTTTAAAAGCTTTCGCGGAGCTTCTATACCAGAGCAGCTTTCCTTGTATTTCTTAGGAGAGTTATATCTATCTTCTACTATCTTTCAAGTAATTCTAACATGTCAGGCGATTATATAGCCTCTAAGCGCGAGATTCTATAAACTAGTGCTGTGTGCTGTCGAGAAATATAATAATATACTTTAAAATTAGATAGAGTTAGTAGTATTTTCTTTAAGATATATATGTCCGTGTATTATAACAGGAATTCCTAGTTTCCGGTTAAAGAAGGCAGCACATCCAGTTAAAGTACTTACTTTTAACTCTCTTATAGAGATAAATAATATATATACTAATTTATACTCCCCCAGTCCTGAATCGGACAGACCAAAACAGATATAAACTATATTTAGAATACTCTGAAGGATACGCATAGCTTCTCTGATCTGTGGGAATTTAATAGAACTGGGGGACAAGTGGAAGAGACAGAGACCCTATTAACCTAGTGATATTATAATATTTAGAGTCTAAATATACTAGTAAATCTCCTTCCCAGCACACAAGCAATCAAGGATCTCGACCACTCCACAAAAGATCCCCATAGGCAACAACGGGCATCTTAGAAGGCTTTCCAGGTAAAAAAACCTTTAGCTTTTTTAATTAGTGCGCAGGCTATCTACATGCTAGATAGAAGTATTTCCGAAGAGCTTCTTTATATAATAGTAAGAAGACTAATTTTAACTAGAATAACGTGATATAAGCAACTTAAATAATGGCTGACTAGGTGACCTCATGACTTCTCTTAAGCATCCCAGACCATATATCAAGTCCCTGGCTACCTTAACAGTTATAAAGGGTCCTATAACATAAAAATAAGCTATTAGTGCTCGTGAGATCCTGCGGATTACTATAAATTTATTATCTAATATAGAAAGTTTCTTTAAAGATAACTAAATAGCTTTAATTACTAGAATCTATTTAACCAAAGATAAATAAGACCCGCGAACAGTTTGCCTGTGGATTAGTCCAGCTTAATAATAATATCTAACTCTTAATATAATCTTTACTTATCTGCTCGCCATCCGGTTCCTTATATTAAAATACGAGGATTAGCTAAAATAACAGGACAAGTTAGAATACAAATTTAATAATAGATGTCCGGATAACCACGGCCAGTACAAAATCTTTATAAAAGAGAACTATTTATTAGATATATTATAGACTCAAAATTAGCTTGAGTATAGGTAGAAGCTACTCAGGTTAAAGCAGAGGACAGAAAATATAAGGATTTCCCTAGTAATAATATTTACCTTCCTAAGATTCCCCTATTTCTACGACAGTAAAATTAAGTATACTATCCACCTGCTTAACCAAGTCTAGTACCAGATTATTATGAAATTCGCAAAAAAAATCTCAGAAGAATTTATAAAATACACTATTTTTTACCGTAAATGTATAGGTTTGTCCGATTAAGTCCTATTAAAGGGCCTGATAACTGACTTTATTTAGATATTTTATTTAAAAGCCTAAAGCTTCACAGCTCAGAGTTAGATATGGTATAGCTATATCTTTATAAACAGCAGAGCGACTGGCAAATAAATATTATTATATATTAGATATTTAGAAAATCCTTACTAAACAATCCAGGATCCTAAGTTTGGCAATAGTTTAATATAAAGACTGCCCGCGAGGACGAGAAGCTTGTCAGTTTTAAATATAATTTTATAGATATTTTTCTCAGTACTTCTTTCAAACTCATGTTCTGTAAGGCTATTGTTAAATAAATAGACTTTAAAGAGTCTGGTCTTTTAATCTGCCTTCTGTCTAAGTACGCAAAAAATAAAAAATAATCATACATCACATATCAGGTGTACTCTTATCACCCGCGACTTTGGCTCCTTATTATTTATGTTATTATTAAATTTAACTATAACAGGCCCCAGTTTCTTAATTTTATTAAATAATTTTTAGAAGAAACTTTTTATAATTATTTAGATCTATTCACATGTTAACAAGGACACCTCGCCCGGTTTAATAAGATCTACCTGTTTTCCCGAATCTAAGAAGCGTTTATACTCATCTCCTCCTTTATAATAAGAAAATAGCGGAGCATAGAAAATTAGTCCTTAAAATAGAATACTTTCTACTTCCCTTATATTTTCTTTATCTGGTGTTTTGTCTCAGAAACATATCCAACCCACATGTTCTATTATAAAGAGCTTAAACCAGGTTAAAGAATCTGTCCCCCACATTCCCATTAATAACTCTATAATGACTAATGCTGCCGAGGATATACAAATAATTACTGACCTTACCGAATAATAGAAGAAAAACTAACATAGAAGAAAAAATAGTTAAAGCTATTTAACAGTAACATAGAGATATTTATTCTCTCAGCTCATGTAATCTCTTTTTAATCTCTATATTATATATGGATACCGCCCTTCTATAGTTATAACCACTCAATCTCGTATATAAACCTCGTAATTGATAAAATATATCGGAAGAAACCAAGGGATGCGATATCTGGGTAAGATTAAAAGCATCTCCTGGTACTAATAAGCCGACTAAATATATAGAAAATATTATGATAAGGAAACCTATGACCAAGGCATTAGCTACAGTAATATATCCCTTGTCTACTCCCGCACCAGGAATAGCCCTAGGCCCTTGTCCATACACATAGCCGAGTCCAATATCTTCGCCCTGTGGGGATAAATTTATTTCCATAGACATCCTATAAGGAAACAGAAGAAGTAAGGAGATTCTAGATATCTTTTAATAAAGGATTATTGCTATTCTAGAATATTATTATCTATAACTATGACCAGTGGATTATTTTAATACAGTAATATAAATACACTCTCTCTAATCTATTATATACAATCCCATATTATATATTACGGTAATAGCCCACGCCTACTCTCTTCTTATCTCACGTATCTTCTTATTAAAACCTGATAGAGTCCCTCCCTAATTTATTAATCCTGTGTTTCTCTGAAGGATGTTTTATCTGGTTATAGGCGGTAATAATAGTACTCCCGGTTTTTTGACTCCCGTAGTATTATATGTATCTCATCCCATATTTAACACAGATAAAATATCAATCAGTGCTCTGAAGGGGTCAATATTCAATAATCAAGTATTTAATACTAGATGCTATACTTACTTAATCTTTAAGTAAAGAGATATATAAGAGGAAAAACTTATAGGTGTAGATATCTCGTCTTTTGTATATACCTTCGCCCAGTATATACTGAAAATACATAGTGAAACCTGGAGTTAAATATAGAGATCCAAAGTACTAGTATAATAGAATCTTTCTTAACTATGCATTAATAGTAGGAGGGGCGGGACATCCTCAGCAACAAAATAAGGGCAATTCCTAATTAGGTGGTCAGGGTAGAATTCCTGGAGAGGCTATGCCATATTATATGATAAAAGAAGTCACTAGACCGGTTTGAATTATTTAATAAATATACTCTGTAATATTCTCAGGGATAGAGTATACTACTATAGATTTCCGAATTTTCTTTAAGAATTACTAACTTCTACAGGATTAAATAAACAGTTCTATTATTAATACAGTGGTAATATTAGAGATTTAGCCGCTATAGGTATATAAGCTGAAATTATGTAAATATATATTTGACTTGATTCATCACTAGTTCCAAAGCAGGTTAGGGTAGATCTGCTGCCGTCTATTACTAACCACAGGATTACTTAAATACAACTTGTAGAAAACATACTAAGTTATATATTTTATTATTATTTTACTAGCAGGTTACAGAAATGGCAATCCGGCTGTTTGTAAGTATATCCCACTTTATATATATTAATTAGAATCATTGAGTAGCAACTTTAGTAATATAGAATAAGATAAGGTTCGTGTTCCTGGAAGCCGCAACTATATTTATAATAACCGTGGTAATATATTCTGTAACACAGTAGTATTAGCAAAAGCAGTAAATATTTCCTAGACTTCTTACTTCTTTCAGCGGTATAAAGCAAAAACTCCACACAGTAATTAGAGCGAGCGACAAAACAATCCTAATAATTCAAGCTTTGGAAAAAGGTGATTTAGAATAGATAATAACGAGTCCCAGGAGGAAAAGTCCTCCGACTATATATTGGTAGGCTGCCAATGGATTGTTTGTACTTGCGATCCAATATCGTATATTATTATAGGTCCCCGTAATTGCCTACTATTCCCGAGTCGAATTACCTAAAGTACAAGAAAGAGAAAATCTATACAGTTAATCTTTTCAAGTTATTAAGGCGTTGAAAGTCCGGGCAAGATTTTACAGCCTAATAAGCCCAGAATACAACTTCATCCTTATCTCTGTCACGAATATAAACCCTATACTCTTCACTATTACCCGGAATTGGTCTAGATCCATAGATATAAATAATTTTATTATCGGAAAATAGGCTCGTCCTTGGGTCAGGAAGGAGGATAAGTTTACGCGAAGTTTTAAATAACTAGGGGAAATACTTACTGCTCACAACTCGAGTTATCTCGGCTATTATTTTCAAAGGCTTTTTTTAGCTAGGATTCTTGTTCGTGATGGCCTCCCGCATATTTAAATGCTCATAGTCGGGCGTTTGCGAAGCTCGGAGTTGGTTGATTGGGTTCGGGGGCTGAGAGACATATGCTGTTGATTCTGAATGCGTTGGCGTACCTTCTGCAGGTTCTTTGAACATCTGGCTATATAGGCAAGAGATCCCCAAATGGAATCGATATAGCAAGATTTGAAGGACCATAATTAGCTGGTATTTGGTGTACATGCGGTGAGCACCTAGGGAAAGTCTAGGTATCTTGAGACCTGGGAAGAAGAGTAATATATGGCAAGATTCAATCTATAACCATGCGCGTTATGCATTTTCCGCGTAGAGTTGCTGATCGTTACCACTAAATGAACGTAGATCATTTAAGATTGTTCAGCTTCGTTATCCTGATTCCGAGTATTCAACATGGACCGGTTTGCACCCGAAATAAGCCTAAATTTCTTCCATGTACACATATACTGGCCACCCCCAATTCAGCTAGGACCCTCACCGTAAAAGGCCGTGTTGAGGAGACCTACTAACATGTTAGCACAGATACAGTCTGTTGTGTTAATCAGCTACGTACGCCAATTCTCATGTCGATCGTTGCTTTCCAACGCTAGATCTGTTGTTGAACGGGTTGTATGTTTAACGCTGTAGGTACAGACACCTGCTTGTTCCGAAGATACTGTAGGAGGTTAATAAAATGGAATATGGCTATCAGAAATAAATTTACCTAGCATATCATTGACTCGCGTTTCTCGTGAGAAAGTTTGTGTAGTTGAAAGAGTGATTTCGATAGTAATGACAACCTTCAAGCCATCCATGGTGATTTCATGCAGGAAACTGACAAAGATGACGAGTTGTCCAATACCAACTGGCAGTGAGAGCTTGACAAGGCCATCGCTCTATAGACCGCGTGAGATTACTTCACTTATTTAGAGGTAGAAGGGTCTTTAGAGTCAGCCATTTCCAGCCCCGAATCTTATGATAGGAAGTTTTGTGTATTGGGATTCGTCATCGGGTTCAATCTTACTTTGGTGATCCAGAGGAGTAGGTACGAGAGATTTGAAGCACCCTTTACTTGATACAGATGATGGCAATTGGGGGAAAGGGGGGAAGGGGGGAAGTTTGTGCCGATCGAGTTGTTGTGAAGCCTGTAAATGAGTCTAACCTTGGAGAGTATCTTCCTTACAAATACGCACGATGAGTTGAGTTAGACAAGCCCGCCACCTTTACAATGTCGGCTACGTATCTGGCCCGCTGCAGGTTGCTCTCATACTGGCTAATCTAAAACTATCCAGAAATCGGATGGCGCTTTTCCTAAAGTGGCCAGAAGTTGTACCCGGGTACAACTTCTGGCCACTTTAGGAAAAGCGCTGCCCACTCAATATTTGTGGCAGTTCGGAGGGCTTGGCAGGAAATGACTAAAGCGCTGAATTACGTGATCACTGACAATCTCTAACTAGAGCTTCCAAGATGATGACCAAAATGCAATGAAAATGATTATTCATTTCTTCATAAGACGCAATTATTTCGGCTTGAGCGAGGCGATGAAATGCCGGATTAGTCAACTTCCACGGCCACAATATCGTAAGTCCCGTGCGTAACAAGACGTCAATTAGCTCTAAGATCGACATTACTACAACATCAATTAGTACAGTTTCAAATAATCGTTTGAAGAATTGAACAAAAAAATTGTACCCAATGCCTTTTGTCCTTGTGGCTAAATGTTCAAGGCCGCGGATAGCGAATATGGCTGTCATTTCTCGGAGACAAGTATTGCTTGTAAAGGGGAAATGATCAACACCGCAAATGTAACATCACATCTCCCAGTCATCCCTAGCTACCAACATCCCGAGATACTCAGAGACCCAAAGACACTGTCAATATATGTTCGGCATAAAAAGACCAGGTTACCGCTTCTGAGAAAGCTAAAGCTTCGTTTCCCGGCAACCTCTTCACGACTACCAACTCGTTGTCTGTAACAAGGTAGCCATGTTTGGCTTTATGCTGTCTCGTGTAAAAATTAAGTTGAGACCAGGCTTGTTTATATTTCTCAATATCATCTAGGTCAGTAGAATGGCTGCTGAGCCACGATCGAACATGATTTCCACTTGGTGCTGGGCATGAGCCCGGTCTGGTGAGTTTGCAAAAGTAGCTCGCAATGCTCGACGTATACGTGGACATATGTATTCAATAAACCGTGCGTAGAACATTGGCTCGTCTCGAATAGCGCGTGGCAGTGAGTTACGCGTCAGATTGGCGACAATAGTTGAGTTATCCAAAATAAGTCCGTACCCCTGGAGAACCTGTTCGAAATTGAAGTCGGACCAGGAAGAAACATTGCGGATATCTCTCCAATTGTACTTGGTATTTGTTGTGTTTGATCTGGTTGAAATATTCTGTAGATAGCCTGGGAAGAGCTTCCCTGGCCAAAAAGCCGCGGAGAGACTTGGTTGCTATCGTAGGTAGAAAGTGCTGGATTTGGGAGACTGGCCGAACTCAGTGTACTGATGAAGGAGCAAATTTATTCATTATATAGCCCGGGAACAATATAATACTGGGCTCAGTAAAACTCGTCCCGAATTTCGTTAGACTAGTTTTGGTTTCATACTCCCGATCAAATGGTTATGCCCTTCAGATATTCTTCTCTAATTTCATCTTGGTGATACTTGCCACAATCCAAAGAAGTAAGAAGTAGATCTCATTCACAATAGCTAACGAAAATACTAAGCTGGAGAGGAGAAAAGAAGAGAGAGAGATCGCTGCAGTAGTGGCGATCATATTATACAGGCGGGGAATAATAAGACAAACAGAACAAACGCAGCGAACAATGCAAACATGAACCGAACCTCAGCCAGGATGTCACAATACTTATTCCCTCTCTCCTTGCTTGCTTTCCCTCCCTTAAAAAAAAGAACAGTATAACATGTGATAAATTACTGCCCTGGACTTCCACTTCAAAAATTACCATAATTACAGACCACTTCAAATCTGCCAATTGCTGTTGGCTCCAGGCTTGCTTCGTAATATCGCGTTCGGGTATAAGAGCTATTATTTCCTATCAAACCACTGATTTCCTTTAAACCACGCGCACAAACCATGCGTCCTAATCGATAGTATCACCTACCCTAAAAATGATCGAAGAGAATAAAATATCTTTCTTTCTTCCACAATTCATACCTTTCGGATATGCAAGTTCTGAAGAAATACATTTCTGAAATATTTCAGCTTTTTATCAAAGATGTCAACTGTTATTTGAAAGTGGTAGGCATCTATTAATCATCTCAAAATTTTAGACAACTAAAAAGCTAGCAGTTCAACATGGATAAGGACCCGGGCCTCTCATGATAGCAGATATCTTTATTGATACCATTACAAGTCCAAGATGTATCAATCTATGCATAATTACACAAATACCCTTGGAATCAAAAAATTAGATCCAAACAATGCACTAGCGCGGTCGTCTAAAAGTCACTCTTTCAAAAATATACGAGAGATAGTTTGGAGGAGGGATTATAGATATAGAACATGAGGGAAAGGAAACATTACAACGCCAAAGCGAAAATTAAGGTGCAGACTCAATAATAAGTAGCACGTTTTCACATGACTTCATTGCCCAACGGGCAAAGCTAGAGGATTGTTCAGTTTTGCCGGTTTCCATGCCCCTCCTTGCCCCTCACCCTTCACATGTTCCCCCATAATAGACTCGTGCACTAGACCAACTTAATAAAATATCTAGAAAGGTTTGTTCAGTTAAAAAGTCACTTTCTCAATACTAACATCTTTATAGGCAGTTGACATTTGTGCGATAATCGCGAGATTACTATAACTCAAGATGAGCCGTTCTCTCGATGCTGAAGCCGAAAAGATCCGAAAAAAAATCAAACAAATGATACCAGAAACAGCCTCCAAAAAGAATAAAAATACTCAACAGACGGACAGCCTTCGAAGTAAAGATAGTAGGATAATATACACTGGAACGGAACTTGGCAACAAAGTTGTTAAGCTACGAGATTATTTAAATATTAGCACGGTAGGCTATACTGCGCGCAATACTAGCTACAATACTCATCCTTGAATAGGAACTAGGGTGGACTCTCTGGCATTTCCCCACAGCAAAAGAGCTGGTCAACGACAACAACTCGATGTACCTGGTACCCCTTTCTAGCGGCTCAAGTTTAACGCCAGGCGGGTCACTAGCCGAGGGCCATCTTATATATGTCACCGATAAACCAAGTCTTAGTCCAGGGGCAACAGTTATAATCTATATGAAGTAACTCCTCAGTTAGTCATTTTTCCAGATTCAGGTTACAAATAGGAAATCACGGGTTATACTAAAATAATCATATTCAAGTTTTCTTATCCTCGAGCTCCCTAGTTACATTGATCCGAGACAAAAATAACATTTTAGCTGTCATTCCAAGTGTTCATACACACACCCCTATCGGGCCTGAGCAGGATAAATGATTGCGCAGGCCAACCGACCGATTACCGCATTCTTCGATTGAAGATGGGGATTGATGATGTTACTATGCACGAAAGCCGTCTACATATGCATCCGTTAACATCTGTGGAGAGCATCCTTGAAGATCTATTACGTGTCCCTGAGCCGTATCAGCCTGCGTAGGATAGGGGTTTTCGTGGGGAGTGCGATACATCAGACTTGTTTGTTGGCTCAACATATCTCGGTGTGAGTAATAATATTCTTAACTGGCTTGGCTAAACTCAGCTGTTAGTGTGTACTATAAATAAGATCGCGGGTTAAATTCGTAAGGGTTTGTATTCGTCAGAATCTGTTCGCCATTGTCTGGCTGAGGTAGTACCATAGGAACTTGCTGCTGAAATTAGATTGGGGGCATAATAGAATCGGACTCTGAAATAAGGGGCTGAATTGGTTCCATAGGCGTTAACATAAACCGTAGATAAAGTCGGGGATTGAAATCATCAGGGGCTCCATCAACTGGAATATGCCCAGTATGATTGTACATCTGATATAATAACATCCGCGGTTGCTGCAGAAATTAAGTGTGAGAAGGGACAGGATTTGGCTGCAGAGTGTTCTGTTGGACGGGTGCCATAGGTGTTGGCATAAAAAATAAATATGGGCGCGGATTAAAATCATCAGTGTCAACATCCATTTGAACATACTCGGCTTGAGTGTTCGAGAGAGAAAACGGAATACTTGCTTATCCGGAAGAGGTGCTCTGCGTTATTTCCAGCCTTTAAGGTGGTAGATCTGGTAGGTTGTGTTGACTTGGTTCAGAGCCAGAATAATTTGGATCATCTGCTTCTCCAAAGGAATGAGTCATGCTCTCAGCGACCAATAGGGGATTGCTATAAAACATTTCGGTATCCTCATTCTCTAGCTCGTGTCTGTGGTTTGAAGGAGTTCCTGTAAGAGATCTCAGCCTGCTGTAATTCATACTCCTTTGGCTTCTCTGCGATTCAATGTTACCGAGACTAGCCGTTCCGTTTGGGGTCTGAGATGCTTGGTGATTGCGTTACATTAGGTCTCCTTGTAAGATAAAATCCTCCTGTGCCAGCAATGTTTTGATCAATCCCCACAAAAAGTTGAATATCCGGGAAGCCACGTTTGTAAGCGCATTATATTCGACATCTGCGTGCAGACTACTCTCCTTCAAGCGCTTTATTTCCGGTCCCCGCTTTGGTCCATTCAGCGGAAGCTTTCTTAAGCTAATATCACTCAATATATAGACACACACCAAAGAACAAACATCATTTAGGGTACTTACTAGTCATCTGTCACGGATTCAGGCAAGCGAAAAAAAAACCCTAAATACTCTGTGTTGTTTTCACAATGTTCCAGGGTTTGGTCGTCTCTGACATGTATATTATAGCCTGGACCCGCAATATCTCGGAAATCTCCACAAAGCAACTCTAATCTCCTTCCGGCGTTACCCCAGGCTGTAAGATGGTTGTCAATTTGTTCCGAACTGTCATTGACAATCCCTGATTTTTCGATGATTGTTTTGGCCCTCTTCATACCGGCCGACTGCTTGCGTTTACCACACGTTGCTTCCAAGAGCCAACTGAAAACAACCTTGAGAAACCTTGCGCGCCAGATATCTATTTATCCCCGTCTCTCCAAATGTAATAGGTATTTATAGGAACCAGCTATAGGATGATTCCAATCTAGCGCAAGAGTTTTTTCATCTGTAAAGAATATTTGTATATTGTTTCGCCATCGCGGGAGACATTCGAGTAAGGTCTTTGAGGCATCAGCCTTTGGAAGAATTGCTGGCTTTCTCGGCCTAGCACGAGTGCTTTTGTAGATTTTTGTCCTTGAAGTAGGGGAAAGTTAGCTCTAAAGAGAATTGAGAAGGCTCAGGAACTTGAATATGTTAGCGCAAAGATTGACAGTAGTAGTAGTCACATACTTCATCATCAGAAATAAGATCCTGAATGTTGTCGCATCCCCTATAATCTACTTCAATACACGCGGACTTGAGTCTTTCAAGGACAATTTTACTCTCTGAAAGACCCATTATGCTTATTATGGCGCTTTTTTATCGACAATTTATTGAAAAAGGCGTGCAAAGTATCAGCTCTCTTGGACAAATCTGTTGGGTCGGAAGCTGGCTGTTATGCAAGGTAAATGGCTTTCATGTACGGGAATGTATCTTAGCGACGAGACGATGGGATTGTTTGCACGAGGGGCTGACCTTTGCCGATAAAAACCTCGCCTATGGAATATAATGCTCTGAAAATATCTCATGCCAAACATGGGTAACTCGACAGCACAAGTTATCCAGTATTGAGATTGACACTTGTTGAGAGTTGAAAGATGTTCCCAATTGCTCATGGTCTGGGCGCTTTCCAAAAGCGGGGTCGGTATCGGTATCGGTATCGGTATTATTCATTCGCCGTCCCAGCCTATTATAGTCGATTGCTATGCGGGAACTGCCCCACCGCTTGTGAGCAATACCTATTTACATCTCTGATGTTTGCATAAATCGAGGGCTTGGCTCCAGTTGGGCATTTGCCCAGGCCCTTTGATGCCCCAGGCAGTAAAGATCACGTGCTTTCTTGACTAGTGCGCAAAGCCCCTTCCTTGTAATTACAGAGTCAAATCATCATCTCCCTTCTGCCCTATCTCCTACTCAACGGAATTTAAATATTATCCCACTCTTTGGAAACAAAATAAACGCATCCCGGAATCATGACAGCTCATTAATCTATCAATCAAACTCTACATGTAAGCGCTTTCCAATTTCCCCGCACGCCACGGTTGATGTGTATGCCTTACATTCTAAAAGGGTGACAATCCAGTTTTCTTACCCTCCCTCAGACTCTTTTCCTGTCAGTGTAAAACTACGGAAAGCACTTCTCATCTCATCATAGAGCAAACAGTAGCTCAGCGGCCATGTCCTTACTGCGATATAACAGTTACAACTCGGAAAGATATTCAGCTTCACTTACATGCATGTTAGACAAGAGGTGGTCAGGCATAGCTCCGTTCTGGAAGAATCCGAAAAGTTAAGATATAACACAACCCTGTTAACAGGCTCGATATTAGTCCAAGAATATGGTGATGTTATGCCGATGGTTATCCACAGGAATAGTGAATAGATGAAGCCAACCAAAAGGCTAAAATACCAAGTCAACAGACTTGATATGCGCATCACTTTATATAGTGGTCCTTGGTCAGTTCATCACATTCTCTATAACTCTTACAATGTTTAGGACTCCTATTCTTATCATATCTGGGTATCGTACCAGCTTATTTTGGAATTCGGAATTTCCTTCTTTATCATTGGTCGCGTAAAATAAGGCGTACACCGCTCTTCGTGTTAACCCCTCCCAAGGCTCCTATATCCTAAGGCGTCAACCATAGTTCCCCACTCTTTGCAACTCAAAATCCAGAACGTAGCATAACTGTTTTAAGCCACTCCTGATTCTTTTCTTGCCATAACAACTTTCTGATATCGAACAAGCAACCATGGAACCAATAGGTCTTGCTATCAGGATTATAAGGCTGGCTGGTCTCTTCAATACTTGCTTGGACATCCTCAGCAAGTTTGACTCTTAGAGAGACTATAAAAGTGATTCTCAAGCACTAATGGCACAGTTCAAAGCCTATAAGCTTCAGCTAGAAAAATAGGGACACGCTGTCGGAATTAAAAATAGGAATATGTCAGCCCAGCACAATAAGCTTCTCAACGATCCGCGCACGCTGAGTATAGTCAAAGACCTCCTTTCAGCCATCAGCTACATTTGCGGCCCTGATGACCACTTTCCTCCATTCGAATCAAAACGTCAAAGGCTCAGTTGGGCTTTGGGGGTCAAAGTGAAGCAGATTATACAAGTTAAGCAATTTTCATCGATAGTGCAGATTCTGCATAGTTTAATTCCTATCAATACAGAGGCAATCTCGGGGCACAACAGACATACACATAGAGCCAGTTCTTTAAGGGACACAGGTGGTATGTATTGGGCGACCATCCTACTCAAATCGATTTGACTGATTCATTAGATGCAACTGGAGTTCAAGGTGATTGGCTTGCCGATTTTAGATCCATGCTGATAAGAATCGAAAGCGAGATTGAAGGTTTGTTTTCAACCCCCAATAACTGCTCGCAACTCCACTGACTTAAAGGATAAAGCCGAGGCAAGACGAGATTTACAAATATGGCTGCTGGGCAATCATACTCCAAACAACCGCTACGAGGCATACAAGGGAAAACGGATGGAAGGCACCTGTAAATGGGTACTACCCCGGCAATGGTTTCAGGATTAGTCCTCACCTGACTTCCCAAACGGGTCTGCCAAGATTCTTTGGATCAACGGCCCTGCGGGATTCGGAAAAACAGTTCTAAGCACGAAAATAATTGACCATCTGTCTTCGATTCAAGAGAAAAATATCACATATTTCTTTTTCTCAACAGATTTAGAGCAAGAGGACCCTTTCATAGCGATGAGGTCGTGGATATCTCAAATAACGTCTCATCCAACGGCATTCAAATTAGCTCGCGAAATGTAGACCGCTCAGCAAGGACCAAAGGCAACCCGCAAGGACCTCGTGGACCTTCTACGACAGATTGTGACGGAAATTCCTGGGAGCACGCTCATCATAGATGGGCTTAATGAATGCACTTGGCTGAATAAACATCAGAAGGCTGGGGTCAGCGATTCAATTTCCGCTTTTTTAGAGACACTAAGGCGAGTTATTGAAGGTTCAACTACACGGCTTCTGATTCTAAGCCGCGACGAACCAGAGATACGAAATTGGCTGCATAACCATGCGTGCAATTGCTCTGTGATAGAGCATAAAATTACTCCCAAAGATATTCGGACTGACCTCACGTCATATTGCCGAAAGATCGTCTATAAAGAGCTGAAGAAAAGCAAGGAGGCCGCCAAGAATATTATTACCCAGAAATTAGCTGATCGATGCAAAAAACAGTTCCTTTGGATCACATTACAATAAGAATCCCTGCGTCGGAACAGCTGGAGAAGCCAGAAGGAGATAGAACAAGCAATTAATTCCACACCAACTGGGCTTCAAAGTCTCTACGAGCAGAACTGGACTAAAATTACGAGCCTCCCCGAGGAAGATCGCGAGCGAGCACTATCTTTACTACGCTGGACGGCATTTTCCCTGCGACCGCTGACAGTTAACGAGATAACTGAAGCCCTGCTTATCGATGAAAATTGCGATGAAGTGCGAGTAGACGAACTGCCAGAAATAATTGACGAAGACTACATTAAGAACGGGTTATCGTACTACTACGGATCACTCCTCGAGGTTCGGAGCCCTCAATCTAAAAGCAAGGCTGGACTAAAGACTGTGTATTTAGCACACTTCTCTATTAAACAATTCTTACTTTACAATATTCCAACCCAGAGTGGATTTATCTAGTCTCAGAATACCTTGGGCTGTTTTTCAGAAGCAGTTAAGAATACCTCGCTTGCCAAGATATACCTGCGTTATATAAACAGTCTGACAGCCCGGCAAGAAGATTATCAAGAGGAACAGAATCCAACCCTCGGCTTTCTCTTGAACTACTCAGCGGGGTCTTGGCAACAGCACGCTGCTCTTGGCGACCCGAAGAACGCCAAGATAGTAGAACTAATAAATCAGCTTTTTGACATAAAGAAGCCGTCTTGGGCAATATAGAGAGAATAATTTGATATGAACCATAATGAAGGCGGAAATGCCGAATCCAGGATTAAGGATAGCCAAGCTAGCCCGGTGTATTACGCAGCATTGCTTGGCTTGACTCACACAGTTCAGTTTTTAACGGCTGGGAACAAGTTTTCCGCTGAGGAGAAAGTCATCCTGGGACGGACAGCTTTAGTAGCAGCCAGTGAAAAAGGTCATTACCAGATAGTTGAGGATCTACTTGCAAGTGGTGCGTCTGTCACAATTACGGGCAAAATCGGCCGGTCGCCTGTCTATTCAGCATCATTATACGGCCACCTGGAGGTAGTCCAACTACTTCTTGAGAAGGGGGCCGACATCATAATCATAAATAACCATGGCTCGACGCCAGTCAATACTGCCTTATTTAACAGCTATCTTGAGGTGGTCAGACTTCTTCTTAAGAAAGGGGCTAATATTATAACCTTAAATAATAATAGTTGGACACTAGTTATTACTGCCTTATTAAACAGCTATCTGGAGGTGGTCAAGCTTCTTCTTGAAAATAGGACTGACATTATTATCCTAGACAAAGATAGCTGCATGCTATTATATTTAATATTATATAAAAGCCATCTTGAGATGGTCAGACTGCTTCTTAAAAAGGGGGCTAATATTATAATCTTAAATAATAATAGTTAGACGCCAGTTAATAATATATTATTAAATAGCTATCTTAAGGTGGTTAAGCTCCTTCTTAAGTAAAGGACTAATATTATAACCTTAAATAATAATAGTTGGACGCCAGTTAATACTATCTTATTAAACAGCTATCTTAAGATGGTCAGACTGCTTTTTAAGCAAGGGGCTAATATTATAACCTTAAATAATAATAGTTAGACACCAGTTAATGCTGCCTTATTAAACAGCCATCTTAAGATAATTAAGCTTTTTCTTGAAAATAGGGCTGATATTATTATCTAAAACAAAGTTGGCTGCATACTATTATATTTAGTATCATGTAAAAGCTATCTTAAGGTAGTTAAACTGCTTCTTAAGCAGGGGGCTAATATTATAATCTTAAATAATAATAGTTAGACGCCAGTTAATAATATATTATTAAATAGCTATCTTAAGGTGGTTAAGCTCCTTCTTAAGTAAAGGACTAATATTATAACCTTAAATAATAATAGTTGGACGCCAGTTAATACTATCTTATTAAACAGCTATCTTAAGATGGTCAGACTGCTTTTTAAGCAAGGGGCTAATATTATAACCTCAAATAATAATAGTTAGACACCAGTTAATGCTGCCTTATTAAACAGCCATCTTAAGATAATTAAGCTTTTTCTTGAAAATAGGGCTGATATTATTATCTAAAACAAAGTTGGCTGTATACTATTATATTTAGTATCATGTAAAAGCTATCTTAAGGTAGTTAAACTGCTTCTTAAGCAGGGGGCTAATATTATAACCTTAAATAATAATAGTTGGACGCCAGTCAATACTGTTTTATTTAACAGCCATCTTGAGGTGGTCAGACTTCTTCTTAAGAAGGGGGCTAATATTACAACCTTAAATAATAATAGTTAGATACCAGTTATTACTGCCTCATTAAATGGCCATCTTAAGGTAGTCAAACTGCTTCTTAAGTAAAGGGCTAATATTATAACCTTAAATAATAATGGTTGGACGCCAGTCAATACTGCTTTATTAAATGGCCATCTTGAGATGGTTAAGCTTCTTCTTAAAAATAGGGCTGACATCACTATCTGAAATAAAGTTAGCTGCATGCCATTGAATTCAGTATTATATAAAGGCTATCTTGAGGTAGTCAAACTGCTTCTTAAGCAGGGGGCCGATATTACAACCTTAAGTAATGATGGTTGGATGCCAGTAAATAATATATCATTAAATGGCTATCTTGAGGTGGTTAAGCTCCTTCTTAAGCAGGGGACTAATATTATAATCTTAAATAATAATGGTTAGACGCTAGTTATTGCTGCCTTATTAAATAGCTATCTTGAGGTAGTTAAACTACTTCTTGAGAAAAGGGCCGACATCATGATTATAAACAACCATAGCTTGACACTATTAAATTTAGCATCACATAAAGGCTATCTTGAGGTGGTCAGACTACTTCTTAAGTAAGGGGCTAATATTACAACCTTAAACAATAATAATTGGACGCCAGTCAATACTATCTTATTAAATAGCTATCTTGAGGTAGTCAGACTGCTTCTTAAGCAGGGGACTAATATTACAACCTTAAATAATAATAGTTGGACGCCAGTTAATACTGCCTTATTAAACAGCTATCTTGAGGTGGTCAGACTGCTTCTTAAGTAAGGGACTAATATTACAACCTTAAATAATAATGGTTGGACGCCAGTTAATACTGCCTTATTAAACAGCCATCTTAAGGTAGTCAAGCTTCTTCTTAAAAACAGGGCTGATATTATTATCCTAGATAAAGATGGCTGTATACTATTATATTTAGCATTATTAAATAGCTATCTTGAGGTGGTTAAGCTTCTTCTTGAGTAGGGGGCTAACATTATAACCTCAAACAATAATGGTTGGACGCCAGTTAATACTGCCTCATTGAACAGCCATCTTGAGGTGGTCAAGCTCCTTCTTGAAAACAGGGCCGACATCACCATCCCAAACAAAGATGGCCGCACGCCATTAAATTCAGCTTCACAAAACAGTCATCTCAGGACGGTTCAGCTACTCCTCCAATCCTCAAGTAAGGTAATTGAAATTTGTGACGCCAAAGGTCGGACTTCTCTCTTTCTTGCTGCCGCGAGAGGCCATAGCGAAGTTATACGCTTGCTCCTCTCATATTCTGCCTGTTTAAACATGAAAGACAGCTATTATGCCACTCCCATCTGCGCCGCGATACGGAACGGGCATGAAGAAGTCGTCCAGCTCTTGTTTCCATTGACACAAACTATAGCCGGATTTAAGGATGGATTAGGCCAGAACTTGCTTTGGTGGGCGAGCAAAACCGGAAATCCGAATATCATTAATCTTGCGGTCCAATGGGCCCAGAAAATAGGTATTGAGTTAGAGGATGATCACTTCGGTATGATCAGCGCTACTGTTCTACTTAACCCATCTTCTCGATATTGCGATGTATGCACGTGTTTCATTTCATTAGGTGACGCCTACTACTGTTGCAAATCTTGCCATAATTTCGATATATGCTTGGAGTGTCACGGATTCGATGTTCAATACTCCGATGCCTCTCACCAATGGATCCTCCATCATTCCGACTCCTTATAAACCTTTCGAGGTACGACAGTGATGAACTGTTATATTGGAATGTGATGGGTATAAATAATTTGGAATACTTTGCCAGAATATTGTAGGTTAACAGCTGCATAATGCGCGTAAATTTCAGGCTTGTGAATCTTGATTGAAAATTCGCGGCTCGCTTGTGGTTTACGTTAGATGATAGGAGGGAGTCACAAAGGTAAGTGTTGCAGCTTGGTGCTGCGGCCAAGGTCTCTACAGCTTGCTATAGAGGCCGCCCCCAACACTGCGGCTTTATCGCAGTATTTTCAAACAACATCTTATCATCAATTTAACTATCACTTTCAAGTGCTTTTGAGCAGGTGCTGCAGTAAGGGTGTCAAGGCAGAAACACCTCCATAAGCCACAATTAAATATTGCGCTAGGCTTTAAGGATGCTTTCCTGACTTTTAAAGTCGCACGCCACAGGGCTCGCAGAAGGATAACTCTGCATAGTCACCTATCCGTAGCATCCCGCCTACCTACCGGCGAATATTATTTCCTAAACAAACACAGAAGCGCAGCAACTCTAGTTCAGGCACCGGCTGTTTCAGGAAGTGGGATACTAAACCAATGGCTCTGATAATTTCCTTTTAGCTGCAGGAATAAGGAGCACCAAGTGGGGCAATCAGATAGGTCGCGCCCGTCGCCGGTGTCGCCGGGCGACTCCGGTGCCATCTAAAGCGCACCCAAGGAGGTCGCGCGACGGCGCCGGCGATCGCCAGGGTCGCCGGTTTAGAGGCACCCACCCGACTATTAACCACACACAAGCCTCCCGCCGGCCGGTTAGTAGTTGGGTGGGTGACCACCAGCGAATCCCGGCTGTTGTATGTTTTTTTATTTGGTATCTTTTTTAACATCGACTAGAAAACGGTATCTCATTATTTTTACTATGATCGAAGTTGTCCTGGAGCGCCAATTACATCCTCCCGCTTTCCATCTTTCTGATATACAGCTCGGACAGAAAGATGACTTATTTGACCAACCAAACGGGCTGTGTTCATGTCTCTCAATTCGTGTTAAAATATCTAGCTATTTTTTGTCGAACCATAAATGGTTCTTGCCGCAATCATCTTATATAGAAATATGCTGGACAGTATATTTTGATATCGGTAATGTGGACTCTCCTTTAACATACTAACTTCGTTGTATTCATGTTCATAGGTATTATGAAAAACCTTCCGAAAAGAGTTTAGTCTTCGTGCCTTGAAAATGAGTATTGAAACCTAAGCAAATAGTTGTTCTACGTAGGAAATTATTCCGGTCTTTCATCTAAGAGTAAGGTTAAATTTCAGAACTATTGACTTGGTTCTCTTATAAAGTCTATACCAATATGAAAGCTTCGGCCTACCAAGCATTCGAAGTGGTGCAGCATCTTGAGGTCGCGTCGTGAGAGAGTAACATCCATTGATGGGTTTTGGGTGAAGAATCTCACGGACTTGAGCGAAACGTTGAGGATCTCGACCGGCCTTGATCCTTTCAGTGACTATAAATGACCACATACCCCGCTGAACTTATATCCCTTCCGACCCTCAGAACATGATTTGTTTCAAATTGAACTTGGATAGCGATAGTTAAAGCAGATTCGATTGTCTTCAGGACCTTCTCCGAGTCAATATATTAAGAAGCTCTAGCCACAAACTTCTCTTCAAGTTATCGTACATACAAAAGAGACGAGATCCAGGCAAACCCCGTGGGAAACACTGTGAGAAGTCTCAAATATTCCGTTGAGAAATGGCTTCGGAAATTACGGACAAAATATATCAACTTGGTTAAGATGCCATTTTTCCCGGCCTCGAGAGACAAGATTAGGTCAACCCGTGACCTAGCTGTACTTCCACTGGTGGGATTTTCCTACCTCAACCGAGGAAATCATGGCCTCGCTGCACGAGCTCGTTACGGCAGCTAAGGCGACAAGCCAAGCCCCGGACGTTGATGTCCAGGTTTCGAAGGTACTAGAGGGGGTTGCAGCGTGGCACAATACATCTGTGACTAGTGTAGCGCTAGTGTATGTGATGCACAAGGTGCCCCGTGTTCCTCCTGTCATTGGTGGACGGAAGATTGAGCACCTTCTCGGCAATATGGAGACATTGGGGTTGGTGCTTTCGCGTGACGATCTCTTGGAGATTGAGCGCGCGTATGATGCTAACCTGGGGTTTCCGATGACATATCTGTTTCAGAGTCAGGATCGAGCCGCGCATCTGGGTAACTCAACGGTTTCCAATGTTGCAGCGCGATTTAATTATCCTGGCCAGCCACAGCCTATCATACCCAAGGACTTGGAGGCTTGAGCACGGCCGGAAATGGTTTCCTCAAGAACTGATATGCTACAGTGGATGCATCTAGCTACTTAAAACTTGTCGGTGGAGACTGAATCTATATTTCTCTTGAAACCCCCACTACCTTAACTCTATCATCCGCAGGCAGTGTGAAACTCCTACGGCCGCGAGGCCAGAATCGATATTATTCTATACATTAATGCTACCGGATCCAGTCCCAGCTGGGTCGAGTGCCTTTGTCATCCTCATCCCAGACCATCTGGAGAATATGCCACGAATCTCTTAGGGCGTTATGTTGAATAGATCCCTCCAGCTGCTCATACATCTCGTTGACGACGTCTAGATCCTCCGGGTCTGTCGCAGTCAGTCCACCAAAGAAAAGCGGAATGACCAGCAGAGGCGCGATCTCCGGGGCCTCGATTTCCGACACGTTCGCCAATATATCTTTTAGCGAGTCCTGGGCCTTCCATCCCTCCATGTCGTCCGGGTGCATGAGAAAGTACGCCCAGAGGAAGATCGCAGAGCGGCAGGCTCCGAACAGCCTCACTTGTTCTTCTGTCGTGAACTGCTCCTTCAACGGCGTCCAGCTTGCAAGGTCGTTCCATATTTGCACGGCGTCGGTGATTCCATGGGCGCCTAGCTTTGATTGTTGCCTGGACCTGCAGTGGAGCGCATGGACTCTTTGCATCAGCCCAGATAGCTCATTTTCCCAGGTTTTCTGGGATTCTTGTCGCGTGCATTTGAAGGAGGGGGCAGGCGTCTGATCTGCAGCCGAGGTTTGTCTTCCATGCAGAACGTAAGTGGCGAAAAAGTCTAGGAGCGAAAGCATCCTTCTGCGGTTTATTTTATTTTTTTCACTGCGCATTTCAAATCATGTTAGTCCAAGTGCCTGCGATAATCGAACCGTCGAGCTTCCTAACCATACACTTCAGAGATTTTGTCTATTCCTTTGCGACGGGTATCAAGAGCGAGAAATGTTTTCTCGAGGAGCAAGTCCTTCGAGTTGCGCTCGCCCGTAATTTATCAGAATGAGCAAGTCCATTGTGACGCCTGTCGCGGCTAAGATCAATAATTGTTGTTTGGGTTGATTTAAAGGAAGCCTCTACGCTGGAATGTGACATCATGGCGAAAAGCTAGGAGGCGCTAGACTGCAGAATTCGAAATGGAAGGGCGAGGAATGCATTCCAAAGCGCAGTCCAGGCTCTCCCAGGTCGTTGGGTATCCACTTGATCACTCCAAGATCACAAACAGGGCGGCTAATTCCAACCCGAACAGGAATGCAGAGTGGAGATTCGACAATTTGCCATTGCCGCGATTCGCGGCCAATTTCTCATATCCGCAACACTAGTCGAAGTACATGGCCCGAGCCCGTAAATGCGCGTCTCCGATTGGCTGGCATGGCAAATTACCGTGATCACTATTGGCCCTAGTCCAAAAGCCATGTCACCCACCCTGACCGACAATATACGCTGTCCATCTCCCGCTCTTCAACACGTCTGATGTCGGCACCGCTTCTTTCCCTTCGCGATACTGGAGAGAGATACGTTCTTTCTGGTGGTCTCCATTGCGAATCCGGTGGGATTTCGCTGGCCGTTGACGCAAAAGACACGATGGCAGGTTCCTATGATCGCGTCGTGGTTTGTGCCAAAGAAGAACGGAATGCCCAGTCGTGCTTTCATTCGATATTATACGCCCGGTGGACTGTCGACTGGAAGATATTGTTGGTCCACATACTCAAGGTGTCACCGACGTTGACTACGAACGTCCTGGGAATGATTGCCATAATCCCGATCTGCGATCTACAACAGAGACCGCCGGTTTCATGAGGCCAGTTAGGGGCCAGCGTGGAACACGTACCAGGGATTGGGTTGGCAGATATCCAAATGCGATCGTTCGACAGTACTTTCAATGATCTGACATCGTCCTGGTACAGGATGGTGAAAACTATGGCAAACAGGTCAGTTCAGTCACACACTTCCCTCCATACGATGGAGGTACAAAAAGTACTTATCTTCAAATCACTATAAACAAAATTACAGACCCTTCAGGCTTCTGTGGCGCAGCTGCTTCGTAGCAATTCAGAGCCAGTCATACCGAGGGATGCTTCGGAAATTAATCGAAAGATGTATCTCCCAGATCGAGCGAAAGAGCGAAAAACCTCGGCAAATGGCGTGCTAGGAGGCATAATTCTAGATCAGTACTTTTGCATCTATGTCTTAAACACAGAAGAGGCCTCGTCAGACGACCAGAAGCTATGCGAAGAGTCAACAGTCTCAGTAGCACCGGGATCAAGCTCCTCTTGGTACCTCCAGTGGACCTTTTCTTACATGCGCATAGCCACATTCGTCCTTTACGTTCTTGGACATGCTACATTCCAGCTTTTCCTGTGAGACGGAACTGTTCACGCTAGCACTCTTCGATAGTGGTCTGGTCATGTCGTGGCCACTTATAGAGAAAGCCGATATTAGCGCATGCCATGTGGATTTCGCGGGCGACGGCTTTTCGATCTTCAAGATGATCACTGAAAGACCTGGCTAGATCAATGACAGGGGCTTTTATCATTGGGGGCGCCAGAGACAACGACTCTGGCCAATGCCCGTCTTGATCTAACTCGCCTCGCCTGACAAACCGCTGAAATGAGTAAACTTTAGGGACTAATTGAGGTAACCTTCATTTTATGCGCGTCATTTGGATATGCAATAAGAATAGATTTACTGGAGAGAAGGTCGACTTGAGATCTCTTCTTTCATACAAGAAGTTACAATCTACTCCGCTACGCCCTTAAACAGACCTTTCATATTGTGCTAAGACGGACAGGCTGAAATGTTTTAAGTCCTTAGACAAGCCCCTCAGATTGTGATATTAGCAAATGGGGCGACGTTCGGGCTAACAATGCTGGCTAAATTCTAGGCTCCTGCAATGCAATGGATTCAGTAACGAACCCACCAGATTAATATAGGATGTAACCTCACCCCGCGATTCTTTACCTGCCTGATAGGTCTCCACGCGGCTTGACCAGCCCCAGCATATCTATTTCCATTTCTAGAATAGTCTAGACGTAACAAGAGCACTTGATTCATTATCTCACCAAGTCCTCATTGGATTAAAGCAACTCGGGGTTTATTCTAGACTGGAAAATAAGGGAGTAACGTCTGGCATGATGTCGCCAATTGAAGTCTAGTGCCACCCTGTTAGGAGGGGATTGAATAGATTAGCCTGAAACCCGTGGGGATCCAAACAGCCTCGCTTTATTGGTGGCAATATGGAAGGATTCGAGCTGGAATGGAGCACCAAGTACTGGGCTAGTATGGCGCTTGGCTGGGACGTAATTGATATATAGATGGGAAGAATGATGTCTAAACTTACTGTCACCACTATCATTTCCTTCACTTGACACGTTTGATATAAACCCCAGGACAGTGCTTTTGGTCGACATGGCCGGGGAGGGTCCTACAATGCGCGGAAACGACCGCACTTGTAATATTGTCCTTGTTCCCACCCCGTTTGACTGTGCATATGATCCGCTGAACCTGGAATATTTGCCGCATAATGCTCGCCACTAGCCTTATCTGTGCGTAAGTGCATATTGGTCACAGAGCTTACGTACGTGTTTATTTGCATATGGGTAGAACATGACAAATGATATTTACCGAGCGGCTATATACTTTATTATTGAACCTATCTCGTGGGAAACCGTACTCTCTGTTGATACTTTGAACCAGGGTACCGGGTATATCGTATGTTTGGTGCTCAAATCAACCCACGGCTAACATGGTGGCAATTAATATTTTGCAGTTTCTATTCTTTGGATGGGGCTGTCTTACCTGGTAGCCCATTGAGCATGTTACTTTATCAACCTTCAGCCCGAATTCACCCGGCTGGCAAACATTCCACTGAAGCCAGGTTTCGGCAAGACATTGATTACCTTTAACCGTGATTATGTACAGTCATGCCTTCTTTGCCAATATTGGCGACCTACCCTCCTCCATCTGGGTCTTGGCTCTAATTATCCCTGCGGAATGCCTTTCCTACGCGTAGTATACTCATCACTGTATCTTTTTCGGGACCTTATCCCGCAGCAGTACTCAACAAGGCTAGACCAGTCCCCACATCCGGGACAGCGGATCGTCCCGCTAAGCCATTTCTGGCTCCAAATTGCCGCGCTGGAATTTAGCCATGAAAGCTTGCGATGCTATTTCGATGATATATATCATATCTCGACAGTGACAGTCCACCCATGACTATCCCCAGATCATGTCACACTGCAGGTACCTGCATATCCTCTGCTTTCACATCCGTGTCCAGCCCTCGTCTCGAATTTGACTAGCTTTTCTGCGGAATATGCGCGACAAGAGCCTCGCTGAGGTCGTCACACCAGGATCAGTATCCAACGTTACATGCGATCATGAATTCCGACCGATACGGCAAACGCTTGCAAATCGACTGCTTGACGTGTCGTCAACGCAAGAAGACATGCGACGAGTTGCGTCCCATCTGCAGGCAAGATATCGAGTGTTGGTGGGGGAAAAGTCGTCCTGAACGCAAATAGTTCATCGACCACCGAGCTATAACAAGGACTTTTCAGCTCCGTCAGAAATTGGCAGCTGCATGACGGTCTTCGCGGTGCCCAGCATGACCGTCTCATCTTGCACTTCATTGAATGTTGCCTGAGGTGGATCTCCTGGATCCGCATCTCGGATGGCGCGAGGTTTTTGGCATATCTTCTGTCGCTGGCATTGAAGAACTATATGGTTACGGAGTGCCTTTTGGCTGTTGCTGCGGGGGATCTTGAGAAGGTTGGTGTCGAGTCGGGAGCACACGCCTTCCCCGTAGGTATTATAGTCACCCGTTCCAGCAGGCTTATAAAAAGCGTGCCAAAGAAGAGCCATTTGACCACAAGTAGGTTTGGGACGGGCCCGAGCGATGATACTGAGTTATAATCTAGATAACGAGAGGTCTAGGTAGCCACACCCTTTAAATGTAACTAGTGCGTCCTCACATATCATTGAACGGACGAAGGTGAATATTAGACCCGAGAAAATCAGGAAACAAAACCCGTGAGATATTTACACACGTGTGGCAGATCATTTTTCTGCCTCGAGTGCCGCAACACCCAAAAAGACCAACATTAACCCCAGCGGTAGACATACTGTACAAGCCGTAAAAGGGGTGAACTGTAACCCAGACTTTTGAACTTATCCCTCCTGGATGAATGAATGCCGAATGCTTGTAGAGTCGAATCGCGCTGACATAAATCATTACTTCATTTGTGCGGCCTTGCTAGCGCTCGTCCTGCGATTGCCAACCAAGAAAAACACTGCAACCTCCCCAGTCTCTTTATCAGTATCCAAGATATTATAGAGCCAACAAACTTCGATGCTAAGTTGATTTTGGTGGTGAGCCGGAACGAGTAGATAGCTCAGGCATCGCACTTCCCCAAAGACCCAGTGCATGCCGTTTTTCTACCAGCTTCAGCACCTCATACATGAACTTGCGTTCAGGACCACCGTCAGGGAACGCTTCCCATCCTACACGGACAGGAAAAGCCAGGCGATTGATCATATTTCCCGGCGCGGTGAGGATGTACCATTCCAGACTCCGGCAAATGCCGCATCCCAGGCCGTATTGCTCTGCGGGGCTAACACGATCCGGTCGGGTGTCCACGGATGACAAGACAAGCCGCGTAGAGTAATACAAGCACATGGTCTGAGCCAGGCGGAGGTTTGGATAAGCGAATTTCGTAGGTTTTATTATGGCACCAGTCCGCAGATCCCGGCAGTAGAATGTGGGAAATTGATCATTGGGTTCTGTTTCAACTTCCTTCGGTGGACCATCAGGATAATTATCAACCCATGTGATTTTCCACTGCACAAATCGAGCCGTCAAATCCGCAATGCTGTTCCACAAGGTGGTTTGCTTGACCGCTGTTTCGTGCGCACCCATCATAATGCCCGACTGCAACTCAGCTTCGAGGGCATCATGTTGCGAAAGCAAGGCTGGGATCTCCACCGTCAAATCTAGGAGATGATGTAGGATATCCTTCTTGGTCGTACCAGCCGACCAGGGAATTGTTTTCCATTCTTCCTGGGCAAGGAATGATGGCTCTCGTGTGACGAGTGCAGCCCCAACCTGAAGACAAACGTGAGATTAAGAAACGGCCAAATAAGCACACCAGACATATGGGAACATACCCAATATGGACGAAGTTCCGTAAATAATAAGTGCTCTACACCGTAGATGTGGTTTTCAGGGCCTCTATGTTCGATCAGTCGTACTGCACCTTGTACATGTGCTGACAATGATCCCTGAGTAGTACGCTCAACACTCTACATGTACCGTCAGTATGAATTTGGGCAATATGAAAATATCAGGACAGCGAACCTCAAAGGCCATTAAAAGAATGACCGTCACCAAAGTAGATTCAGCCTTGCTGCGTTCCGGATCCTGCAAAGCCTCTTGGAGACTTCGTAGGACGCGGGGATAAGTGCGGAAACCCGAGGCCTCAATACCCTTGTCTTGGATAGATCGACCGAAAAATGCAACCGAAACGGTTTCGAAAGCGTCGGTAAGAATAGGCGAGAACATTCGGATTTCGGCCGCGCGCCGCAAGGCCCCTGCCTGGCCGGATTTGACGCCTACCTCCGGGCTGAAAGCGTCCACAAACCGCTCGATAAAGATATCGAGCATCGGCCGCGCCGCGCTCATGCACATCATCGAGCTAATAGACGAGCTATCGGAATCCTCTGAAGGGCTCCGATTGAAATCCACATGGCCAGGTCGATTACTGACATACCCTTCGTCATCCCCCTCGTCATCGACGTTCTCGCATGAGAGGCGCGGGACTAGTGCACCGTCGTTTCCTTCGCAGCAAGTCAGTGGGTTCCGTTTGCCCCCAAGTATACTCCACATTGGCCCAAGCGCTACGCACCTTGTGCTCCTTCCCACAGACCGGTCGAAACCGCGTCTAATTCCCTCCGAGAGGCCCGAATGTTCGCAATAAGGTGATCGACAACATTGAGCGGGGCGGAGCGAATGGAGTCGAAGAGCTCCTGGAGCTCAGCAAATCCCCGTTGGGCTTGGTTCCGTTGTTCTGGAAGAGGATGACGGCAAATTAGCTCAGGAACTATTATGACAGGCGTCTCGCTTACTCCATGTGGGAACAACACTCACCGCGATTATTCAGTCGCGCCGTTAACTCACGGATCTCCGTCCGCAAATGACGTATCTCCTCGGCCTGGGTGATAGGCTGGAGATCCTCGTCTGGCGCCGTTTCGTAGACACATTTCGACGGGTACCCATGGGCGCAGCATGCATGACAGGGCTTGACGCGGTCACACTATTATCAGTGGTCAATTGGGCTTCTCAGTTGGGCTCACGCGCAGGAAACCAATGAGATTTTGCAGCATCCAAAGTAATTAATTTATTTAACCTTCTACATTAATGCAACGTGGAAAGACCGACAAACACGAAGTAAAATAAAAAGCCAGAAAAAAAAAAACATCACCAGGAACGAAAACAGGATGAAGCCAAAATAATTTCTCGCCCCGGCGATGACATCGCCAAGCTAAGGCAAGAAGGAACAGGGGATCGAAACGCACCTTGACCTTGCGGGACCGGCAGACCTTGCAGGACCGCGTTTGGCGGGAGGCTCGACTGGCATTAACCGGCGACGGCTCCTCAGATTCCTCGGGGAGCTGAGCTCGCGAATCGTAATGAACCATGGGCGGACAAGCGATGATGGAGAGGGTCCGATGCCAGGAATCAGGGATGGTCAGGGAGAATGGGCTTCAGTGTGGATGGGCCAACGGTACGGCAGGAATGAGACAAGCGAGATCAGAACGAACATGTCCGAGATCCCCCCCCCCTTCGCTTACACCATCGAGGAGCCATCGCCGCCGGTCGGAGGGATGGCCAATGGCCAATGACGAGGCACGCCGGAAGGTAAGGAGGAGCCGGTGCCATCCGTGTGGGTTCTGGCGGTGTCTGAGCGAGGGTCCGGAATAGTGATGGCACTAGCAGGTATGCTGGCGCCTGTGCAGCACGAAACAGGGGAAATGGACGATGTAACTGTGCTCCGCAAAGTGTCTCTCCGCGAAACTCTGGCGATTGCAGGAAGGCGGAATGATGGAACTGAGGGAAATGCAGGAAGAAGGAGCGGCGCTGCGTGTCGCGATCACGGGATCCAGGGACGCACCTTCCTGATCGGGCATAAATCACTAGGCTGATTGTGGTTAGCGCATCTTGCTTCCGGAACATCTTTCTCTCCGGACTCCGTGGTTGCCTCGGGTTTTTGTGGATGACTAAGAACTGGCAGTGCTCCACCGAACTATGGGGCATCCCAGAATATATATTCACTCGGCGTTACATTCATAGTTGCATCCGCAAAAGACTAAAGTGAGGATGAACCAGTTATCTTCCTACTAAATACATTGCTCTGAATTTTATGGCATGATGGATGCTCCATAGTACGAAAGCCCTTACTGTCAAGAATTCGCTCGCTATTCTCTAGTTCAATCTGCTTCCTTTCCCACACTGCTCTTCGCAACAATCAAATCAGCAAAATGCGCCATAGAAACGCCACCCATAAAATCAAACACGGCCACAGAAGCCCCAAAATCTCTCCCTGCCCAGTTTCGCAGCTCCACTGCCATCAGTGAGTCAACACCATAGGCCGATAACGGCTTGCTCGGCTCGACATCATCTGGTGAAATGGACATGGCCCGGGCCAGTTTAACTGCCAGAGCGCGCAGCACAATTTGAATTCGCTCGGTTGAATCGTTTGACTGGTAGAACAGAGCTGCCGCGCTTGCTGCCTGGGACCTATCTGTGTTTGTACTCGCACCACGGTCGGTGATGTATGAGAATGTGGAAAACAGGGGTCGCTCGAGAATGGCTGGAGGCTTTCGTCCCTGCCTGAGGACGTCGGCTGGTGTGCGCAGCCCGAACAAAATCTGGCCTCGCGCTTGGGGTGTCACGGCAAATTGATGGCTTGGGTCGCAATATAGGTCTAACAAAGCGAGAAGCTCGGTATCATCGATCGGGTTCATGTCGTCGGCTCCCTCGCGCTGTCGCTGATATGTGCTTGTTTCGGCGATGATGCCGATATTCCGCATCCATCCGAGATCGAGCGAGAGAGCTTCTTGCCCCTGAGAAATGCGGTAATGCGCCAGGGCATCCTGGAATGAGCACCCGCTGGCATAGTTGGCACTCGCCATTTGGCCGACCACACCGGCAAGGGACGAACAAAGAATGAAAAAGTCCAGATCTCCGGGAAGGAATCGATGCAGGTTCCATGACGTCTGCACCTTGGAGCGCATCGTAAGTTCCCACTGCTCAAATGTCATACTATCCTGAAAGATCGCGTCCTGAAGAACCATACTGGCGTTGATACATCCCCTGATGGGTGGCATGGTGAGTTCGCAGTCCTCCAGGACCTGGCGAAAGCATGCTTCTGAGGAGACGTCGCACTTCGGGGCGAAGATTTTGACACCACGCGCAGTAAGCTCAGCTATTTTGTTCGCAGCAGCCGTTGAAGTAGGACCTGATCGAGACAGAACTATTAAATGTTTAGCCCCTCTATCAGCCATCCATTGCATAATTGCTCGGCCTAGACCACCCGTTCCGCCGGCGATCAGGTAGGATGCGTGCTCGTCGAAGGTCCAAATCAGTCTTTCATGTCCGAATTGCTGTGCGATACGTCAGTTAGTTCAGATGCACAAGTAAATGGATTCCGCATGGACAAACAACTTACCGGAACTACATCTTCGGGTCTTAGGCGCACCAGTACGCGACCGATAACTTCCCCAGCCTGAAATTGCCGGAATGCCTGTCCAACTTCTGATAAGTTGAAAACGCGCAATGGCTGGCAGTGTTGGATCTTTTCCTCAGCCAGCAACTGCATAGCTTTGTTTAGCATCTTAGCTGTTTTTCGACGAGGAAGCTCCAAAACATCGACCGTGGAAAATGTGACGTTTTGCGCAAATACTCCGGTAGGCAGCATTGTGTTGGAGTCACTCGTCGCGCGGCCGATGTCAACAAATCGCCCACCAGGAGCAAGGCATTTATATGAGGCATATTGCATGTCCTCGCCTGCAAGTGAGTTCAACAGAACATCGACTCCGTATCCACGCGTGACACGCATGAGCCCTTTGGAAAACGAGGTGTGTCGGCTTGAGAAAACGTGATTTTCAGGAATTCCCACGACATCCACCAAGATTTGCTTCTCCTCGCTTGAAGACGCAGTAACGAAAACATCAGCTCCTTGTGCTTTGGCAAGATGAACCGCAGCCTGACCAACGGCACTGGCAGCCGAGTGGATTAGAACACGGTCTCCCTTTTCAAGCCGGGCGACTTCTAACAGTGCATGACAAGCGGTCATAACCGGAAGGAGGTTTGCGATAGTAACCCCTGTCGACAGAAAGTTGGGTATCTTTATCACACAATCTTCGTGCGCACGAGGATACTTGCGCATGCAGCATGGGGCTACCATACAGACATGGTCACCTAACTGGATTGATGGGTCACAATCCCTTCCAACTCGAATCACTATACCTGCACAATCCCCAACCAAACGATCATTGTCATCGGCCCAGTGACCAAGGACAGAACGAATGTCTCTGTGGCTCAGCCCCCAAAAGTGGGCCTCGATCTCGATCTCATCAGGGCCAATTTCACTTCCAAGGTTGTCTTGAACGAAGCACAACGAGTCAATATCACCACGTATTCTGGCTGAAAGTTTCAAGTCTTCTCTTTCCCTCCAGGGCCTTTGTTTTAGTTGCTGTGATAGAAGAGGTCGGATCGCCTCATTTCCAGCAATATCTTCGACAGCTCGACCTGTCACAAGGAATCCATCACGGACGATGTATTCTACTTCCTTTGACGACGGGAACTCAAATGCTGCGTGAAATGCCTTTGCTATGAATCCTGCGCTTTCGTTGTCATTTGTTTCACCCTCGATTGCCATAGTCACAATCTGGCTATCAGGTTGCTCGGCCCGTATGGAGCGTAAGAAACCTTGAACCGCACCATAACTCGGGAAGTCAGGACTATTAATGCTGGACGATGTAGCCCACAGCATATTGGGTGCAAATTTAATCAACTGCTGCAGGGCATTGAAACTTTCGTCCGACAACAGTGTGAGGCATGGTCTGTTATTAACTTCAGCCACGCAACATATGGTGTCGTCTTTGCTCAAAGCTGGCAGGATATTTTTCATGTGTTCCGAAGAAAACGCGCAGATGCTTATCGCCATCAGGTTGCTAGGGTCGATGTGACATCGTATCAAGTCTGCCAAGTGCAGCTGCTGGGGTGATTGATCTTGGTCAACAAGAATTACCAGACGACGTGTTTCGAGCAATGGGCCGGTCACAGCTGTAGTTTCCAGTGCTGTACTGATGATAATGCTGGTGATATGGCATTCATCAGCTTGGTAATCGCGGAGCACTATATCGTTTCCCGAGAAGCCGTTCTCTCGTAAACACTGATCCCACAAGTCTTCTGACACCGCGGGGGAAAGAGACCGCCAGTCTTCACGAGCTAACCACCAACCGGGAACCAGTCCCGCCATGAAGCTCGTCAGAATATCGTCCGGCTTGACGACCTCAAGAAGCACAAGACGGCCTCCCGGCTTCAAAGCGCGTCGAACGTTTTGTATAGTAGCTTCCAGGTACGGCGTGGCGTGCAATACACTGGCTGCGATCACTAAATCATAAGATCCTGGCTTGAAACCCTGGCTGTCAATAGCCTGTTCCAAGTTCAGTGTCTTGAATTTCATTCGACCCTCGGCCTGCAAGTCGGCCCATCGCTCGCTTGCTCGAGTGAAGAAAGATGGCGAGATATCAGTATAATCATATTCAGCGAAGCTGAGCGTTCCGGTGCGCTTCTCACGCATTTGCAGCGCTGCCAGAACGTGCCCCGTCATACCGCCCGTCCCGGCACCGACTTCGAGAATGCGCATTCCTGGATTCTCATGAGAAGCTAAGTCAAGAATGGTCGAGAGCCGCCCATCAGTGCATAGATTTTGGAACAAATCAGCGTAAAATATATCAGCCAAGTCCGACCCGAAAACAATTTCGAGAGGGTCAATCTCGCCTGCAAAGACGTCTGGCAAGCTCCGCGCACAAGTCGTGTACAGTTTCCACGTCGGAAGCAGCATTTCAACCTCGTTCAACAAGCGCTCAACATCGACTATGTTAGCCATTTCTGCGTTTTCCCTCATCGATAAAGGCAGTTTCTTGACATGATGCTTCATCCAGGAAACATGCCGCTTTAGGCTCTCAGGCACCTTGGCATCGTTGATAGCTCTTAATGCATGGACAGCTGTGATGTTCAAAATAAAGCGCAGCTTTCTATAGTTGCTGACCAGGATCCTCTCCGTTTCGGCGACAGTACCACTGGCTAGCATCTTTGAAATCTGCTCAGGATCCATCAGACTAAGTTGCGGTTTCCACTCTATGCCGTATATCAATCTCCTCTCTTTCTGGTCTATGTCAGTGGAAACGGCTGATACTGCTGCCGTCACCGCTTTTCGAATTGTGCACAAAACGGCTCCATTGTCGGCCAAAGCCTGAAGGCTTCCTTGTTCACCGAAATTGAACCCTTGTTTTTCACCCGTTGTCGAAGTTGCCAGCCAGCTGATTGAGTTCGTCTGGGGATGTTGCCACCCTGAAGATGAAAACCAGGCATCCTCCAGGATAACGGGAACATTGGCCGCTGGCTGCTGCCCCGAGCACACCCGCAGAACATGGAAGGCTTGGTCCAATACGGCGGGATGCACGAAACTAGTGCTTCCATATCTTGCCCTGGATACATCAACATGCGCCACAGCATTTGATTTGCCATCCCAATTGACATCTTGCACCAGTTGAAACCAATCACCATATTGTAGGCCATGTTCGTTAGCATCGCGGTACAAAACACGGGGGTCGACCGGACGTTTGCATGATTGTGTTGCTCGTCTAAATTGCTTCCTAACTGCTTCGTTTGACAGGCACTTTTCGAGACCCTCGTCCACACATGACAGACTTTCGTAATCCACATCAATTTTAGCACGGAAGCACTCAGCCCATTCTCCGCGGGAGCATGCGAAGATAGCAACGTCAGATGAACTCACGACCTCATTCTGGTGCTGCCGTTGAACTGGTAACAGTCGCACTTGCGTTTCTGTTCGATCCTCCCATGCTTCCGAGACAATAATTGGGCTTGTAAACTCGGCCTTTTTGACCAAGTAACCGGCAGCAGTTCGGCCTTCTGGGACCATTTGCTGTACGGCCTCAATAGCCATAACAAGCATACCTGCAGCTGGATAAATTACCGTATCACTGATCTTCACCTCTCAATGTCAGCTTGCATCCCAACTTGCCTGTATATCACAGCTAAACATACCATATGGTGCCCAATCCACGGAGATGATTCAACGCTAAGGAAATTCCTCCAACGCGGCTCAAAGGGGTTCCAATCTGACACCCGGACCCCTAGTGTCTCTCCTTTAACTGTTCCGCGAAGTCTGAAGTTGCGGCTGAGTCGGGACTCGGCCCAATAATGCTGAGACCGATCAAAAGGGTACTCAGGGCAGTCAACTAGAAAGGGTTGTGGTTTCTCAGCATCTTGTTGGTTTACTGCTGTTATGGTGACCGGATATCCCAAGCAGAACAACCGCCCGGCGAGATCTAAGGTAGATTGAATCGCCGGTTGTGATCGGTGTAGCACGCTCGAGTATCGTATTTGCTTGTTGCGATTCTTCTCTTGTTCTATCGTGTCTTGCACTGGCCGGCGTAGGGCTGGATGGGGGCCGACTTCAACTAAATCAGTAATATTGCCCAGACCAACCTTGAGAGAAGATGATTTCTGTGTCAAAGTTTGCACGGCGTCGCTAAATCTAACCGGAAGAACCATGTTATCCACCCAATACTGTGCTTCAGTCAACACAGCGGACCGGACGGCCTTGCCTGTCACCGAAGAAACCATCGGAATCACCGCTACAGCTTTTGACTCTCGACGATCCACCCCTTCGAGCTTCCCGATAAGTGAGAAGTAATCGGCTGCAATGGTTTGCATTATAGGAGAGTGATAGGCAACACCTGTCTTGAGTTTCTGCGCAAATATGCCATCTTTATCCATTTGTCTCTTGATCACATCAATGGATTGTTCGAGGCCGGATAGAGTGCAGTTGTTGGGGCTGTTGACGCAAGCAGTGTTGATGGAACTAGTCATAGTTTGGTCTTCGAACTTTTCCAAATATTCTGGAATCTGCTCCTCGGCTAAATTGACAGACATCATGGCGCCTGTGGAAGACAGCCTGGTATTGATCAAGTTTCTTGCTAGTTTCCCTCGGAAGTATGCGACCTTGCAAGCTGAAAATAGTGATAAAGCACCGACAGAATATCTTCCAATTTCAGACCATAATTAGCATCATTTGCTACCCATCCGGTTTGGTCAAGGGCTTTAACTCACGCAGCAGCAATCTCGCCGGAAGAGTGGCCGACAACGGCCTTAGGCATGATACCGAAACTCCGCAATAGTTCCACTAGAGCAATTTGTACAGCCGTTGATAGAGGCTGGCTATATTCAGGACTGTCGATTGTCTCCTTGTGCCGCAGCGCATCTGTAACTCATCATAGTCAGTGGATACTGACTTCTTTAAGTATCTTTTACTCATTTGGACGTACCAAATACCGACCATGAGCATCCAAGTTCACCATATATATTATCAACTTGTTTCAACGTGTCAGCAAACACAGGAAATTGGATAAGACCACATCCCATATCCACGTATTGTGCCCCTTGGCCTGTGAACACAAAAGCGAGACCAATCTCAGTTGAACTTCTGATTGGTTTAGCCATTGCTAGGCTATTTTCCCCTTCCTTGTCTGATGGGCTCGTGACTATGGCGAAACCTCTCCAAAGCATATGGCTTCGCCGAGCGGCAAGTGTAAAGCTCAATCTCTCGAGTCTGACAGCATCATCGGCAATTGCCTTGCTGTAGAAATTGCTGTAGTTTTTCACCATCCGCTTAACGCTTTTCTCATCAGCAGCAGAAAAGACCAGTACCTTGGAATTAACCATTCGGCTTGTTCCTGTATGGTTACTATCCAACCCATTGAGAGCGCCGTTATTTCGAGAATTCCCATCGATAAGGGCTTTTTTGACCCCGTTGCTGCGTATCTTGTTGGTTGTGCTGGCAACTCCATTGACATGAGACTGACCGTTCAGGTGTTGATCTCCATTAGTATGTGATTCATCTTGATGCCCTATTTCATCTGGAAAATTGTTGCTCTTGGTATGGGTCTTTCCATTCACATCTGCCGTGCCGTTGAAAGCAGGCAAGGGAGATGATATAGTGACTCGATCGGAAATCGTGCAATGAAGTGCTGTCAAACCCCGATCTTGCAAGTAATGAAACGCATCGTCGAGTATTATATGTGTGTTGGAGCCTCCAAATCCAAATGAATTTACCGATATCCGACGTAGACCGGGACTTGGCCATGGTATGTTTTCAGTGGGGACCTAAATGGTATGTTAGTTGGAACGTGGGTATGACCATGAGATATTCGGAGTCCGGGGAACGAGCCTTGATATTGTAAAAGTCGAGATCCATAGAGGAATTGACTTTTTCAAAAAGCGCATTGGGTAGAATGACACCTCTTTCAAGCATCACTGTCATCCTCAAGATGGTTATGTCGGAATTATTTGGTAGAAAGGAATGTGTACCCAGGAGAGCTTACATATTGCCTTAACTACACTGGCCAATGCGCTTGCTGCTTCCAGATGGCCTATATTTGCTTTCACCGAGCCCCTATACAACCTGTTAGATTTCTCTTGGAATGGCCTAGTTGTTCTTCTATTCCATCTTCACTTACACATAGAGAGGACTTTGTAGTGACCGGCTTTTGCGGAACACTCGGCCAATTGCTCTCATCTCAATTGGGTCCCCGACCGGTGTCCCAGTTCCTTATCACATCTCATTAGACCATTTCCAGTAAATTAAGAATGATGCATCCACTTACCATGGGCTTCGAAATATCTTGTCTGCTCGAAAGAAAGACTGGCCTTCCTGTAGACATGCCGGATGAGGTCCTCTTGTGCCTGAGAGCTCGGCTGCGTGAGTACAGGAGTGCGTCCATCTTGGTTCGACCCCGTTGAACGGATAACTGCACGAATTGTATCACCAGCTTTTAGGGCTGCAGCGAGTGGCTTCAGAACGACAGCAAGAATGCCTTCTCCTCTAGCATACCCATTGGCACGATGGTCGAAGCTGTAGCACTTGCTGTCGGGAGACAAGAAGTTCTGAGCGGACAACATCTGGAAGACGGCGGGGTCGAGCAGCAAGTTGGATCCCGTGACAATGGCCTGTTGGGTCAGCACGTGGCCTTTGAAGACCTAAAAGCTTCGTCACTCACACAAGAAGCATCACCGCTTCGCAGGGTCTTACAGGCCATGTCAACCGCTGCCAAGCTACTCGAACAGGCTGTGTTCACATGGATACTTGGCCCCCGTAGGTCGAAGTACCAACTGATGCGATTCGGAATGATACATGGAACCACACTGCCAGTCACAGCTGTACGTTCTGCATTTTCTGGATCCATGGCCATCATATTGGAGTAATCCTGGATCATAGTGGCGGAAAAGACTGCGGTTCGCGAGGCTTTCAGGGTCTCTACGGGGATTCCAGCTGCATGAGTAATTAGTTTAGATTCCCTTACGTCGTCATTCGCGGAATTTCCTCACATTTCTCAAAAGCGCGATATGAAACCTCCAAGGTCCAACGCTGCATTGGATCCATGGCTGCTGCCTCTTTTGCCGTGACCGAGAAAAACGGAGCGTCAAAAGCGCGCACATCTTCATTGATGAAATGACCGCCTAAGCCATGCACCTATTATCTCGTCAGTCCAAGTGGTTATTCAAATGGCTGTGGCATCGTACGGCACTGTGACTGCTGTTGACAAAAGCCTCCCCATTCATTCGAGACTCCGGCCAATCAGTCATAAGATTTCTTCGATCCTGAAGAATCTTCCAAAAGCTCAAGTCGTCGTCCACATCCTGCGGAAGCTTGAAGGAATACCCGACGATAGCAATATCATCTAGCTCTACCATCTTTTCATTCATGATAGAGGACTCTGAGTCTGTGGGCTTCCTCATAGTTGCTTGTACATGAGACAGATCGTCATCATGTTTTAGTCAATCGACATCGTCCATTGTCTTGGGTTCGGATTGACTTTTGTACCAGCCAATCGTAATGAACGACGGCAAGCTTCAACTAGCATAGTTTACTCTGTAATTTCTGTCATGGGGTCAATGTCTAAATCTTGAGACAAGGGCTGGTTTATGGGGCCCACGGCCCCATTGAATATAGAGGTAAGCATGGCCAATTTTTGATGATTTCCGGTATTCGGAGAGAACGAAACCCACTAGGAAGTTTGAATTGACTTGGAAATCGCTTGACGAGTTGATGGATCGTTGGCTGTCAAGAGGTGTATCGTCAACCACCTTCCGTTAACAGCCGACGAGGAATAAATGACCTCTAGTCTTCATATTCAACAAACTTTCCGTTCTCATCCTTCGCAGTGTATGCAACTTGTCACTGCCCAGTGGGGTCAACGCTCCGAACTTTCTAGGCGACATCAATTGACCATAGCGTGCTACCGTGCTACCGTGCGATCTGGATTCATTTTGAAACGCTCCAAATGGCGTTGCTTCTCCCCTCCCTGTTCCAACCGATAGCCCAGGCGTGACCATTTGATTGGGACTCTGAAACCTGTTCTAATTGTGGCTGTGGTCTATCCTATCTAGGCATTCCGTATGTTTCTCAGTTCATCACCTTTGGTCTAGCCAGCTTGTCGGAAGATCGGACCAGAGTTCTGTGTTGTAATATTTTGGAAATTTCAGATCGGGCGGGTTTTGTAAATTCACTCAACAACATTGGCTTACTATGTCGAGTCAACCTGACATCTGAAGGCGTAAAGAAAGTATCTTACGAGGTGGAGGCTGAGTACACAAGGTCCACCTCGTTGAAATTTATTCCGTATAGTCAGATAATATCTCTGGCATTGACAGTCGTTTTGAAATAGTATTTCAAGTTTCTAGCTGTTGATTTCAATGTATACTACGCCGGACTACCTTAATCCGACATATAAGATTATGCAGATAATGAGTTTCCACTGCTAGAAATCTTCATGTCTAATTTTGGGTGGTGTTTTGCTAATATGTCTTCACAAGTATATTGTTGTGAAAACGCATGTCCTGAGAGAACATGACCAAGAGCAGAAGGAGAATAGTAATTTGGGGGGTTCCCAGCGATCAATGAAGAGTTCTATGCTACCCAGTTCCTAGGCCGTCATAACACTAAATCATTAGCATCTTTTTATTCCCAATAATACAGAGGAGAACAGCGTTTGTACACGGACTCAGATGCCACAAACAGGTTTCACCACGACCACTAGGTTCATGCAATAATCCTGTCCGATGAACCAGTAGTAATTCAATGATTCATACAATCACCCCGTCCCGATTCCGATGGCATTCACATACGAGATACACTGACCACCTCGTGGACCAAACCAAGAACCTAGACCCGACCATCACCCACTACCCACCCACAGGAATCCAAAGCGGGCTGATCCTCGCCCCATGATTCGAAATACAAAATTAAAAATTCCCCTAGCACAAGCCTGCCGTATATCCCCGACTCGCTGGAAGCGATCAACTACCGAATATCCCTCACTACTATGCCTAGCGTGCCTTCAGCCATTCCGTGGAATGTTCAAGCCCGTGGCATTCCTTCCAGTCCAACTGCAATCTTAGCGGGTATCAAGAAACTTGCCAACGGCCCAATAAAAGTGGATCTGTATCCAAATCCACCTTACTTACGGAGTACCGAATCGACCCACTCCGTGGCGTGTCCAATGCCGGGCTTCGCCTCAGCGATGCTCTACGCAGTACGCAGTACGTGCCTGTTCTACAAAGTCCGGGCTACACTGATCAGGAAAGAGATGGACATGTCATGTTGTGTCATGGAAATTGAATCGACTTAGGGCCCTTGGCTTGTGGAGACGTCCCACATGGCGTTGTTGGCGTTGTTTCCTCCGGAAAATAGCCGTGTTTTGCCGGTGAACTAGCTGCATGGGTTACGGAGTGATTAACTAACCTTTTTGAGGTATAAAGTGAGTATTATAGGCGCGGAGAAGGCATTCGTCAGTCTCGACGAGTCTTCCAGTGAGCTAGTGTCAGTTTGAGTCGATGGTGTCGAGTGGAGTGGTTTCCGGTCAGGGTGCGTACTCCGGAGTAGTACGGAATACGAGTAGAACTGAACGCCAGGAAAGATCCATATTCCCGACACGTTTTAGTTGTATCTCTGGGCATTCTTCGTAGTACGGAGTACGGAGTACATTCCTGAGATCGAATAACAGTTTCCTTTTTGTTTCTAGGCTAACGCTGTATCTACCTATGTGCAAGATTCCACCAATTACTCCAAAGCTCTCTCAACCGTTCTCTCAATAGCCCTAACCACGTCCGTCAACTCAACCTTCCCTTTCGCCCCCGGCACTGTATGTCCCAGGCTGTGCCTCACTACCTCAATGACACTCGCGTCACAGATCCCCACCAGCCCTTCCTGTGGATCCGTCGTCCCCTCTCGATCCCATAGAGGGGCCATCGGCGACGCCCCCCTGAGCCGATTCAGGTCTTCCTCCAGCACATGCACCGTCGGGACTCGGATAACCACCTTGTCGATGGCTGGGTCGAGAGCTCGTAGATTGTGACTGTCGGTGTGGAGCACATCTGGATCCAACGGTGTCGCGGCGCTGAAAAACACACCGCATTTGAAATCTGCAAAGGGACGGCGCGTGTCCTCGGCAAGGAGGGTTGCTGCTAGAATACCGCCTTCGGAAAAGCCGAGAAGCGCATCGAAGGGGCCGGCGGTTTGGATGTACTCGATTAGGTCGGTGAAGGCGGTTCTGACCGCGAGGGAGGTCAGTGGGTTGGGGAGGAAGCCGTAGGCTTGCTCTATCAAGTCGGAGCTCCCTGTTATCGCTTCTTGTTAGCCTTATTGGCGGAGTCAATTCATGAAGTGGTTTGGAGAGGTGAACAGACCTTCGCTAGGCTCTGTGTTTACGGTGCCATCAATGAATATGAATTCGTGGTCTTCAAGGTTGCCACGAAGTCGTGCTATTGCCAATATTAGTTTGTAGACTTTTGGGACTTAGGACTGGATATATTTACCTGTTTGCATCTCTAGAATCTGGCGACATGCTTCAGTCTCCTTTCGACAGGGATGGCAGGTAAACCTCTGAACATACCTTTGCACATGTCCCCCGGCCATGCAAGCATAGAAACCGCATATTTAAGAGGAAGACTGCTGCTTGTCAGATTTTCAGGATACACTGAAGAGCATGTATCAGAACTTGTCAAAAGTACAGTCATTCTTTAATTGAATTGTGCCACTTCATATGACGGGGCAGCCGAAATTGATCCCCACTTGTTCTTTTCACTCATGTTTAACTAACACCCCGTGTGCTGCTTAACGCAGTGAATACATATTGATATTACAAACGAAAATGACTTTTCGCAATGCTCCAATACCTTTCTACCCTGATCACAATGGACACCTAATCTATGGATAGAGAATACCGCGAGTCCCATCATCACTGATAGTCCGAGGGTCCTGCGTGACAGTGATCCTCGTCGTGCGAGTAATACCAGCATTTAAATGCTCTGTTGACTCGGATCCCTTCAGCGTCCCCAACGGAAGTCCGTCCTCGTCAATCTTGTGATAAGTGTCAGACTTCGAGGCCACCTTGGCATGTCCATTTGATCGGCCAGTGCCGTAGTGTTCTACCCCCTTAGAATTGCTTCCCGATGTCTTCATCCCAAAAGCCCGCTTGATGTTTCGGCTGACTCCGGTTTCTTTCAAAATCTTAGGTATACACGGAAGGCAGACGATGAAGAAGCCGCATGACATTTCGGCCGTAGCCCAAAATACCAAAGGGGCGAGGTGGTATATCGAGTCCTGGGCTTCGCTGTGTTGGACTGTCACGGCTAGTCGGAAGGCGGCTGAGACGCAGGCTCTTTAGACGGGATGTTAGCTTGGGAGGAAGCTGTAGTCTCAAGCACGGGGTGTACGTACAACAAACCCAGGCCAAAAATAACAGACACACCCATACGCTTGCGCCATGTCATTTTCAACGTCCAGATCACCTGCTGCGGCAACAACATGATAGCAATGTCGGATGCCAGCTGAATAGTAGCCGAGCTCACTTCCAGCTTATACAAATCGAAACATTTCCCCTCGATGGCGAGATTATAGATCGCCTGGTGAGGAATACATTGCGTGTTCAAGGCAATCACGATGGCGATTCCCGCTGTGACTTGAACAAAGATGACGATGACACAACCCCACCAGAAATATCCTTCAGATTGTCGGCCTCGAGGGGCGAACATGCGACACCATTCGACCAGGATGGCGACCTTGAGAAGGGGTAGGACGATGGAATAGCAGACGCCGAAGACTAGAACGTACTAGATGTGATTTCTATTAGTCACAAGGGAGAGGGGGATTATATGGTCCCACCACTCACGTAGTTGACGGCGTCGGTGTCTCGGAGGCGAATATTCCATTGATGAACGAAATATCCAGGGATTTTGACCATGGCGAAAGTGGCCCAAATTGCTCCCCAGAAACATCCCTAGAGTCAAGATTGTTAATTGGTGTATGTTTTATGGTCAAGTGTGACACGAACAAAGGCACAAACAGCCAGGACTAGATTTAATGAAGTGTTAGTAGCAGTCAACTTGTAAAGATCTCTTCCACCTTGCTCTTCATTTGAAGCCTGCGGTAGTCCGATAAAAGCACGGGAATTGATTTCAATGCACCTACTTTCTTCAACCTGAACCTTCCTCAACAAGTACACTCTTGCATATGCACGTAGGAAAAGGCATATTGAAGCCACGGCCGCACAAACAGTCAATATAGCCTGTGCCATTCCATTTTGATTCGGAGGGTTGTCGAAATTTGGCTTGATACCCTTGGGAGGCGCAAGAGCTGGCCCGTCGAGATCCATATCGAGACGAAATACGGGCAGTTCTTCGAACAGAACGTGAACTGCTACGTGCGTTCGAGCATGGTTTTATCTACGGCGTACATATCCAGATTCCTTCATTTTTCTTTCGGTCCATCTTTGGAATGCTAAAGACGATCGTCAGGAGAACTTGGTTTTGACCATTGACCATGGTTCAATGGAGCGTCGACCACATAGCCGAGGCGCTCGCCAGGAACAGACGAAGGCGGCTGTCAAGCCCGTAGTTTCTCGGCCATGACAGGGATTCCAGTCCTTTGGGCGTGAATATCCCGCGGGCTCTCTACCGGAAATGAAAAATACAGCGCCACTGACAGCATTCAGGGCAGGCACGATACCCTATAGGGTATAACCCGAGCATCAGCAAGCTAATCTACGCGGTCCCTACCTACTTTCTCCTCGGGAGTTGGATGGTGCGATGGCCTGTCTCTTGGTCGCCGTTCGATCTGGCGCAGAACGCAATCGGATACACTATAGCGTTTCCTGGGCGGAATGCCATCGAGACCATCCTAGTCTTTTAATCGATCTGTTGGGCTCGATAGACCATCTCCTAGTGCTGTTAATATTGACCGGTCTCCTGTCAAGATTATCGACTATATATAGCATCTCGAGTATGACGATCGGCCCCGTGGGAATAATAAATTAATAACCGCACCATCAGCTCTTCCCTCCCGTTCATTAAAAGAGCTTGGTATTAATAACGGCTCCTCAGGGAGTTACCTGCCATACGTCGTAAGATTGACGAATTTATTGCAGAAGAGTTATTTGACGCCACGTACAGGGATTCTTCAGCCTATCTGCACACTAGAGGGCTAGACGAAGGACTCTAACCTGCGTGGCCTCGCATTCTCCAGAACGCCGTGCCAGGTCAAACACCCATGTCTGGAAGGATTTAGGTGCAGTTAGTCTGTCTCCTGGCCGACTAGTCGCCAATTTCTCCTGTTTTGCCCGCGACGCCAGGTCTTGTTGTCTCTAGAGTGCTGAGTCAGACTGTCAACACGTTGCTAGTGAACCACACTGGAGCCCAGCAACCCTTTCACAGTTGATGTTCACCATCCGTTGATAAATTCAATTTGGGGGGCTCATCTGGGTGGAGAAAGGCGCAAAAGCCGAGCTACGAAGGATGCGCAGGATCTCAACTCTTAAGGCCGCAGAGTCAGACCGACGCCCGCTCTCGGCACGTGCCGTGGAGCCTGAGTGCCTCAGGCCCGCCAATCACGGCAGGTCTTGCGGGTCTGACATTCTCGTCCTTGGAAACTTCAAACAACGACTCCGACTAGCCGTGGTCATGGCTCGACCCGGTGTCTCTCGCCGGCCCACTACGGAGTACTATGGCTCCGACTGTCTGTTTCCTCATTTAGTTTCCTCGGGGAATGTTGTGGTCTCCCGCGAACTCAGACCAGATGATCTTGCCCCGTACGGTCGCGTCTCGCAGTGGCATCACCCTCTGTACCACTCCGATGTAACGGCGGAATCTAGGTTGATTCTAGCCATGTCGAGCAGTTTTTTGGCATATCCCTTTGGTCCACATGCATATGCCATGGCTCCTGCGAACAGGGATGGGCAGTGGTAGCGTACGTGAGAGTCACCTACTATTTGCCCTCCCGTTCCCTGACAGGTGTGTTCAGTCGTCTTACTGCAGGATACAACCCCTAGTACCTGTCAAAAGGTCCTTTGTTATTGTTAACGTTAACTAATTCTCGCCGTTGCCGTTTAACCCCGCATAAAGCCTCAGAGCCTCGTGTTTTGTCGCTTCATCTTGGGTGAGCACTCTCATCTCTTTCCACGGCCTATCCCCGACCATGCCTCAGCAAGAAGTCTACCATCTTCACCCCACCGGCTGGGAAAATGATCCTGAGGAAGAGAGATTCAAATCCTCGACTCTCGATTACCTGACCGCCTGCACCTACAACAATTACGCCCTCTTCTTCCGGCTAGATGACGCCGACAAGAGCAGAGCCGTCGAGGTGTTGAAGCAGGGTTTGGAGCGCATGCTCAGCCAGGTGCGACACTTGTGTGGGACGATCGAGAAAGATCCTGCCGGTGGACACTCCTTCGTGAAGAAGAAGGATAGCACTGTTCGTTTCTTCGTGCAGCACTTGGAGGCAGACGAAAAATACCCGTCTTTTGATGAGATCGAGAAAACCAACTTCACTGCCGTACCCTTGGGCGACCTGAATGACTGGAGTGTGTCGCCCATGACATATGGGGAGAAGGCAGAAGCTCACCCCGACTCTAGTCCAGTGGTGTCGGCTTTCAAGGCAAATTTTGTGCGCGGGGGGTTGGTCTTCAACATGCACCACCATCACTACTCGAACGATGTCATGGGTTGGGCTGCATACACCCATCAGCTAGCCGAGCATTGCAAGGCCATTATCAATAACACATCTCCCCCACCATGGGACGCGACCCTTCTCGATCGCTCGCGTCTCTTAAAACCCGAGCCACCAGAGGAGAAAAAGGTCGATGGACCTCCGCCACCAGAGATGCATCCAGCTCATACAGAGTCCGTGTCGCTGCTTTTCCATCTGCCCAAGAGCAAAGCAGCCGAGTTAAAGAAACTGGCCTCTCCCACCGACGGCTCCTGGATCTCCACCTACGATGCCTTCTCAGCCTACATCTGGCGCACCTTCTCCCGTCTCCGAGCCCCCGTCTTCAAAGCAGATCTCTCTGAGCCTATTTTCTGGTCCGAGGCTGTCGATATGCGTCGTCGTTTCCACAGTCCAAAGGTCCACCCACGCATCCAAGGCAACATCATGTTCGCCGCCTTTTCTCCTACGGCACCGGGGCCCCAGCCCACCCTCGCCGAAGTCATCTCCGAGTGGTCATTGCCGCAACTCGCCTCATACATCCGCAAAGTCACCAACAGCGTGACGCAGGAAGGTCTTGACGAGGCCCTCGGCTCGGTGGCGCTTGTGCGCGACAAGACGTCCATGAACATCCGGATCAATTCTTATCCGCCCCTCTCCATCCTACAGACAGATCACCGCGATGCGAACATCACTGCGGCTGACTTTGGTTTCGGAACTCCTATCACGTACCGCCACTTGATGGACTGCGTTTCCCAGGGTGTCCTGATTATCTACCCGCCGCGCAGGGGAGGCCCTGAGTCAGACGAGGGGCCCGAATTCTCTCTCGCTTATGAGAAGAGCTACGCACAGACGCTGATCGATGATCCTGAGTGGAATCGGTTTTTCGAGTACCGGGGTGTGGACGCTGTGGATGCGGGGTGGGCTTCTTCGGTGAAGAATTAGGTCTTGGTTTCAGGGTGTTTGTAGTTCAGTTAGCGAATGGACAATGTCATCTTTGTTTATATAATTACTTTCCTCCAGGAACATTCTTTCAATCATCTCTTGTTTTATTTATTGGTGCTGAGAAATAAACGAGCTCAAGGTCATTAAGCAGGGATCTGGCGCCACCCTCCCACCACTAACTGGCTTGGCTACATAACGTAGGGTAGTGGAAGGGCTGCTACTGTATTTCTGCGTCGGGATTAGTTCATGTTGTCATATGGAGGATCTCTTTTCGCGCGAATGGGCGGATTTGGCATAGTCATACCCCAAAACATCACCTTTCTGGTCTCTTTACCGTTTGAGATAACGGTTTCTGAAGTTTCCCATCTGCTATTCACTCGGATACTTCCATGTGATGGCGTGAATGGAATTATCGTTCGTTTGTGGAACCTCGGGAACATTTGCATACGGCAAAGCAGCGCTATATAGAGACACCTTACTCCTTCCATGCAACCCCTCTTCCCTAGTCACTTTACCGCCCCGCGCTCTCAAGCATCAACATCCAAACTACCTTTTCATAAATTCCATCTAACCAACCCTCACCCAACCCATCACATCACCCAAACCAAGCCAAACCAAAACAAATACAAAATGCCACCCCCAATCCCCTCCGAGATCGCCGAACAAATCCGACTCAAAAAATCCCAATACTGCCGCTTCGCCGACACCAACGCCTGGGACAAGATGGACAACATCCTCGCCCCCGACGCCACCTTCGCATTCTACGATTCCGAAGGATCCCTCGTCTGCGTCAACGGGGTGGAGTTCAAATTCAACTCGCGCGCCGAGTTCGTCAACTACTTCAGCGAGGCGTTTAAGGTGCTGCAGACGATTCATGTCGTTGGGCCCGGGGAGCTGGAGCAGGTTGGTCCGAATGAGGTGAAGGCTGTTTGGACGGTTATTTATCATTCCGGGACGAGGGGGACGGAGGGGGGTATGCATGGGACCGGGGGTGGGCATTATTATGAGACGTGGAGGAGAGAGGAGGACGGGGAGGAGTGGTTGATGAAGGAGATGAGGATGGAGAGGGTTTATTGGAAGGTTTTGGGGGTTTGAGGATTTCATGTGTGGACGTTTTGGAGGACATTGTAACAGTTTCTTTGTGGCTTTCGTCCAAGGGTCTTGTTTTCAGGCATTCTATTTAGCGGTCCAATTTATCGTCTTACCGCCGACACAGCGTTCACAGCTTCGGGTTGGCGCCTAGAAGACTTCCGTAACCAAGAATGCTGACCAGCTTCAGAATAAGGGCTAGTTTAATTTAGAATTGTATTAGGCCCATGAAAAGACTATTCAGGCCATCTGACACCCTGTCTATAGAAGAGATACCCAATACATCCTAGTCTTCATGTACAACAAAGCCCAACCGAAGACCACACCATCACCGTCTATACAGGTTTTAAATAGAACCAACATTTCCCTTCACATCTGGCCTACGTCTCCTCTTTCCCCAAAGTAACCTCCACGCAGTCCCATCCTTCTACAATCCGCAAACAAACAAGTCTGCCACGACAGCAAGACGACGCCATCATGCACAAAATCGAATCTCGGTGGCCGAGCAGGAGGCCGAAACCGCCCAACTCTGTCTACATAAAGGCCATGAAATCCACTGGTCTGCTCATTCTCCTTCCTCTGCACAATCCCACACCTCCACACAATCCCACCTTCTCACTCAAACCCCAAAAGCCCAAACCACCACAATGCTCATCTACGTCGGTAAACTCAGCTATCCCCCCTACGCCTCGAACGAGCTGGTCACCGTCATCTTCCGTGACAACATTCAGTCCGGAGACCTGGTGTCTGTGATCCACCAGTGGTCCAAGGACGCGAGCGGCAAGGAGAAAGCAAACTCCCATGCACACGGCACGGTCAATAAGGTTGCTTCGGGCAGTGAGGGCAAGAAAGAGGTTGAGATCTTGTATGAGAATCGAGACAAGACTTATTATTGGTACGTGTTATATGTAGCCTTGTTCAAATGAGATCTGGTGGTTAATGTGGTATGGGTCTAGGTACAAGGGAACTGTGTCGGGCGATACTCTGACCCTGTCGATGTGGAACAAGGGTGGCGAGAAGGTTGCGGATTCCATCCGGTTGCATCTTGCCTTCTTCTAAGGGTCAGGGTCTAGCTCTTTCCCACTGGCTGATAATATGGCTCTACTCGTGTGGGGCTCGTGGGTTGGGGTTGGGATGGTATCTTCAGGTGGACTTAGATCCTGATGGCATGAGATGGGTTGCTATTGATTCGTTGACTGGGTCATTCTGTGAACGATATTGAGGTATCGTGAAACAAGGATAATACGAAACCAGAATCATGAAGTAGCAAATTGCGCCAAACCATTTCATACCAAAAGAGTAGAATGATGCGTCATTCCCCAACCTCGCGGCTTACTCTGTCTGATCCTCATCAGGAAACGAAAACTCCTCCGCAAGATACTCATCCATCCAGTCGTAGCAGTTCGATCCAGCGGCTTCCGGAGGAGCAGTCTCCGGGATCACCTCCTCGATCGTTTCACCCATGGCCCCATCACTAGTCCCCAGCGTAGTTGCCGCATCGCTTGAATGCTGCAGAACCTGACCGGCCAACTGAAAGGTCGTGCTTGGTTTCAATTCATCTAGCGACGGCTTCGGAGGCGCCTCCGGCACGCTGACAACCTGCACTGCCACCGGCGGAGGGATCTCCGGCTCGTTGGCTGGTTTGGCTTGTTCCGGGGCCGCGATACGCATCGATACAGGCTTCATCAGGTTCCAGTATTTGAAGTTCCGGACTGGCTCGAGTTTCTTCACCATCGCATCCTTGGCGGCCTGGTCTTTCTTAGCTACCTCGGGCAAAGGTTTTGCTTGCCCACCCCCGGCTCCTGCTCCGGGTTGGGCTGTCGCCGATGGTATCCGGAAGGCATTGCCGGGGGCAGTCCAGCCTTTGGGCAGGTATTGCTCTTGCTCCTTGGCGCTTTTGTTGATTTCCTCGACAACCTTTGCAGCCAGGTCTGCGATGGGAATCAACTCTCGCATTGTTTTCTCGAACGCCTCGGGATCCGCAACGGCGGTCCATGCCAGCGGGAAGGCAACAGCCGCGATGGGCCCAACCACAGGGATGAAGCCGACGGCTATAGTCAGGCTGTTCCGGAGGAAGTCGGCCAGCCATGTAGTTGGCTCCGGGGGCTGCCATTGGATCGAGAGGCCGTAGTTCGCCTTGGCGACGGTCGTCCAGCAGAGGTCGGCCGAGTCGGAGAAGACCTGGGCGGACCCCTGGGTGGGCGTCAGCTTCCGATCCACCATGACGATGGTATGAGACGAGAAGCAGTTGTGGGCTCGCAGTGGTCGTGGCAGGGAGAGCAGGTTGACTAGCTTGCGGACGTTGATGGCTAGGGTCAATCCTGCGTCGGGCGGAAAACCGAGCGTGGCATCAAGTTTGTAGGCATTCTCGTTATGGATGGTTATATAGCTCCGGTTGTCTGCGTCATACATTTCGGAATAGGTCAGGAGTCCAATCTCCCGTTCCACCGCGAAGTTGACGTGGAGAAACGTGCATATGTCCGGGTAATCCTGCGATGCTTGCTGGGCGATGGGAATGTAGATGGCGCGGATGCATGCCGTCCGCTGGAGGCAAGTATATCAATATCAGGAATACCGTCTAGATTGCTCTTAGCTATGCTCGCGATGGGGCCTTACATCAATGAGAACCCATTCTTCCCCGTTGGCCAACAGCGGCATGGGCATCACCATAAACCACGACTCCAGAGCACCACCCTTTTCTTGATCCCGGAACCGGTTGCCGTTGACACAGAGGTTGTGCTCTGCTTGTCTGTACTTAGCATTGTGAGACAATTTACCGTACAGGAAAAAGATCTTTGACCAGTTTCCGTAGCTTGTAGACCAATTGTCTCCCCTTACGACTTTGTAGGAAGAGCGTGGGTGATGGTGCACATTTTGAGTGTAATAGCTCCCTGCCCCACTATATGCGGGCCGGTTCCAGATGTATTCGACGAGCATGTGGGCGTAGAAGTGTTCTGGTTTGTCGGGATCATAGGTGGAAGTCCTCAATGCCGAGCGCTTGAAGAAGCACTCGCCTTCGGGGTACGCCAGAGACATCTTGGTGACGCGTTATTATGGGAGCGGCTGCACAGACTGGTTGTGATCCAAGACGGAATCCGAGGCTGATTATGTCGCGATCTGCTATGCTTTTATATCCAAAAGATCGGATATCCATTCGGAACCTCCACTGGAATACACTTTCACCGACCCGCGCTGAAACTCTGGTGCATGTCAGCAGATACACCCAATGGAGGAAATGAATCGAAAATACATTACTCGAGATTCAGTGGCTTTCCAACGGACTAGCCTAGGCCTTTCTGCCAACGAAGCCGCGTATCTAAAGCACTACCTTCGTTGCCGACAAGGATTAACGACCTCGTAAGGACAAATCAGCAATCGTAGCCAAGCGAGCCCGGTCATCATGCACTGCGTGCGAACTTGTCTGAGTGCATGATTGCACCAGCAACCAACCGCAAGTCTCCCCTCCTTTCCGAATGCCAGAGAGCTCAGTCGCCGCTTGGGTTGTGCGCAAGGTCTGGAACCCTGGAACTTTTGTTTCGGCAACGCCATTTCCAGCCATTTGGATACGTCATATGTGGTACGGTGGGTTGTACCTCGCGGAGTATTGTAGTGGTCAAGTTGGTGATAAATATGCCCATTTAGTTTCTTCCGAGCGGAGGGAAAGCTTTGCCTTGGTCAATGAGAGACTGTCCAGTCCAGCTTCCATGTCGGTTTCGTTCGAATGCTTGTTCTTCTCCCGATCGACAGGTCCATATGCACCGGTCAAGAAGCTTGGTAATATTCTCGGCCTATAATGGTCTGCATTTTCTATTCGGTGGAGTCCATATCATCTCGCAGGCTCTATGAGTGATACAATACTATTAGTTCATTCAATTTGGCAGATTACATAGGTAGTAAGCGATGTGGCAGATAGGCCAACTTAGTCTTAATAGTTAATCCCAGTCATCCATTTTAGAATAGTAACGGGGTAAAAAAGTGTAAAACCCTAATGTTTCAATGTAATGACATGCGAAAGAAAAAAGAACGAATGCAGATCCCGAGGGCGTCGGACTCCGTATACAGAATGGAAGCCTAAGGCAGCGACCAGCTTGCCTACACCACTTTTCGCTCTTTAACAAACCCACGAGCAACTGAGACTTCTTTCTCTCCCCAGCAACCACCGTCCTCTCCTCGGTCGGAGCAACCACGAGAATCCCACCACCAACCAACCCTCCAGCCGGAGATGGTGCGAGCCAAGAATTCCAAACACTGAAGAAAAGCCTCGGCCAGCCTCCCGCCAGAATGCCAATCCTGACGAAAAAGGGTAATCGCCCTGCCAGCCGGCCATCAGACCACACACCCTTCAGTGCTTGCACACCGGCACACCAGACACCCTCTAGCGCCACTCGGAGGACCTGCTCGACTGCGTATCGCCCGACCGACCTGATTGGCGTCCGCTGCAGATCTGTCCACATTTTCCCCGCGGACATGCTCCGACCCCAGACGGGCTGTTCGGGACTTAGCTCGTTAGCTTGGTTGGTGGGTGGACGAGGGACGTGGGGGAGACTGATTTCTCCGCATTTTAGTGCTCCCCCACGCTGTGTGTGCTGGTCTTTCGTCTTTCGTCGTTGCAGAATGTGTGCCGTGTCGTGACCTGGGTTTTGGTATAAAGTGCCGGTCGCGCTGCGTTGCAAGGGTCGGGAATTAATCGACCTGTCCTGTTCTGGTCTAAATGGCTCCGACGATCATCATGGGCGAAAATGTCACCACCGACTCCGAGGCGTTCGGCGACAAAGCCAACATGACGCACGACGAGGTTGCGCAGATCGCGCAGTTGACGGAGGAAGAGAAGGTCATTGAGAGGCAGCTGCGTCGGCGCATCGATAGCTTGATCATGCCCCTGGTCATCCTGGTTTATCTGATGAATTATATTGATCGGTAGGTGGGCTGTATATTCCGTGACTGAGTAACGATCACCCGCTAACAATCCCAGTAACAACTACGCCGCCGCCAAGCTGCAGGGCCTCGAGGAGGACCTGAATCTCAATGACCAGCAGTACCAAACCGGCCTGTCCATCCTCTTCGTCGCCTACATCCTCATGCAGGTCCCCTCCAACCTCCTCCTGAATTACATGGGCCGCCCGTCGCTCTATCTCGGCTTCTTCACCACCGCCTGGGGCTTGGTGTCCACGCTGACCAGCCAGGTCAAGGGATACGGAGGCATTGTCGCCTGTCGATTTATTCTGGGTCTGGTCGAGGCGCCCTTCTTTTCCGGCGTGTTGTTTTACCTCTCCAAGTGGTATACGAAGAAGGAGCTGGCTCTGCGCATGAGTATCTTTTACTCGGGCTCGCTGCTCAGTGGCGCGTTCGGCAATCTGATCGCCGCCGGTATTCTGAACGGCTTGGACGGCCACCGGGGCATTTCGGCATGGCAGTGGCTGTACATCATTGAGGGCGTTATCACCATCGCCATCGGCCTGGTCGTGGCCGTCGTGCTTCCCGATTTCCCCGACACCTGGCGACTGCTGTCGCCCGAGATGAAGCACGTCGCGAACCGACGACTGGCCATCGAGGCGGCCGAGGCCGACGTCGACGAGGCCGGCAAGATGAGCCAGGTGAAAGGGCTGAAGCTGGCGTTCACCGACATCAAGACCTACGCGCTGGCGCTGGCCCACATGGCCATCAACGGCGCCGCCGGCTTCCAGAACTTCTTCCCGACCCTCACCGGGACGCTGGGCTACGGCCAGATCATCTCGCTGCTGCTCGTCGCGCCGCCTTACATCCTCATGGTCTTCTACAGTCTCACCCATTCGTACCTGTCCGACCGCTGGGGCTCCCGCTTCTGGTTCTTCGTGTACCCCATCCCCATCACCATCGTCGGCTTCGTCATCTTCATGTCCACCGATGCCTTCGGGCCTCGCTATTTCTCCATGTTCCTGATGATCTTCGTCTTCGCCCAGAACGGCACCATCTACTCGTGGGTCGCCAACGCTATCCCCCGCCCTCCTGCCAAGCGCGCTGCCGCCTATGCCTTCATCAACTCGGTCGGGAACTCCGCCAGCATCTGGACCCCCTTCACCTATCGCGAGAAGGACGAGCCGTACTACCGACCCGCCATGGGCGTTTGCATCGCACTGCAGGTTCTCGGCGCTCTCATGGCCGTCGTTATGTATTTCCATACGCGGTCGTTGAACAAGCAACTGGCCCGGTTGGAGGACGAGGACGTGGTGTTGACGGATCGCGAGCTGGCGCGGCTGCAGCGGACTGCGGAAGTCGAGGGCATCGATATTGCGGCGGCGAGACAATTGCAGAAGGGATTCCGGTATATGATTTGATTTGACGAATTCCCCTCGAACACCCTATCGGTCGGTAAACCAGAGTTAGATCCTGCCTAGAACCTTGATTCCAATTCAAACGATGTCAATGACCTCCCATGGTTCCTGTCGCCCCTTGATATTACCTAATAGACTGTTTCGCTCATTCGTGCGCGGTTTGCGCATGAAAGGGGGAGGGGCGAGTCATTTGTTAACTCCATGAAGTCGTGATGACATCAGGCTGCGTAGATGCGACCCACATCGTCACAGCCAACGGTCGCAATCGATGCTTTGGGATCGGAACCACACAAATTATTGCGTTTCGGCTCGCTCGGTTCTACAATCGCTTGTTCTGGCCGTTTCTCTTTTCCTGCTCTTTCGCCGGATATGATTGGATTAATTGGATTGGATTTGAATTGGAGCTGCGATTGGCCATCTATCTGCATAGTAGAGAAGTTAAATGCCGTTTCACGTCATTGACACCCAATCTTTTCCATTTCCCATCTGTTGCTGCCAACGTTAGTCTGTTCCTATTTCCTGGACGGCGACCGTTGAAGGGGGTAGGAACCAGCCAGGGACTGGAGTTGGGTATGACCTCAGAAGGGGTCAAAAGAACCTGAACAATTCCAACCATTCTCAAGGAGACGGCAAACAAGACCAAAAGGCTGCTAGACTGCTTACTAGACATGCACGATGCAACCCCAGCCCGCCAAGCTGTCGCGTCGCTGTCACCATCGGCGAGTCTTGCCAGGAATGAGCGCGTATCTGCAGGATTTACGTAGACCCTGTCGCCGGAGTGTCGACCACATGAGCGGAAATCAACTGCGCCGTGGACAAGGCAAACCGGTTTCCCCAGGAACCCACCCACCCCTTCTTTTCTCTTGAGCTTGTCGACAGATCACCATCTTGACAGGGTGGGTGACCGGATGGTGACTGGGCAGCTGCATTCCTCCCTTCATACTTTGTCGATCGGCGACAAATCAGAAATGCGGAGGGCGATCGACTTGTCTTCCCCTCCCCCGTATGACGATGCCGGGGTGCAGTGATTGCCAGCCGATGATGCGGGGAGCCGAGCAGCGCGAATCCACAGTGGAGTCGGCGACGAAGTTAGCGTGCATCCCGCTCTGTGATCATCCAATCTCCTGATCACGACGAGGCATCCAACACGGCATGGCCGAGATAGACGAGTCAGTTCTTCACCCGCGACCCGGTGTCGAGATTGAGTTCCGTTCGGTCGAGGGTTGAGGTGATCGTGGCGACCTGGGTGGCTCTGACGAGGGTGGCTCAAGAGTGGCTCAAGAACCGACGCAGAAAGAGGGACTTACCAAATGCGTTGTTCGGATGATGTTGAAAAATAGAGCTATCCAGAACCACTAACCAGAGTTAATAGGAACGGGCTACCCACGAAGGGTGGCATTCCGGCGTCCGACGCCTATGAGATCATCCCACATGGCTGGGCGAACAAGACCGGAGGGGACACCCTTGCATGATTCGCTCCCTTGGATGGGAGCTCCGTGGTCTACCAGTGTCGATGCGGAGAAGCTGAGAAAGAACCGGCATTGAGGCATGGTGATTCGACGAGACGAAGGCCACGGAGGACACTCGTCCGTTGGAGGTGACGGCGGCGATCGGCAGTCCGTGGGAAGTTGCGTCTCGCCGCCGCTTTGGGCGACCGGCGCGTCAGGTGACCGCGGTTGAGGCCGTCATTTGAAGAAGTATATATACCTCCATGGGCTGCTCCTGATGCTGCCCCTGTCTCGGTCGACGTTTCCACTGGATATCTGGATCTTCAATTCAACCCTGTCTTCTTCATAGATCTCTCTATCTATCTGTTCAACTAGACCTATCAATTGCGCCTTATCCCATCGATACCCTCAACATGTCGCCTCTCATCGAAGCCTCGCGCCCCTTGCTGCGTGCTAGCAACGCCTCCGCCACTCGTTCATTCTCCATTGCTATTCCTGCCCGTAAGGCCGGCGAATTCCTATGGTCTCCCAAGCCTAATGGTTTCCTTGCCGAGTACGTATCTCCTGTCTCTTTCCCTGCCATGCATTGCAGATGTCACTGTCAGTGACGTCACCCGGCAGGGATAGACATTCCATCGCGCATCCTCGTTAACCAATCGTCAGTGTTGAACCGACCCCCCAGCGCGAAACGGCGCGCCAAAACCGGTCAATGCGCACGCAGGAGGCCGACCAGCTGAAAGTCCTGAAACAAAAGATGGCGGAGCAGCGTGGGCATCTGGAGGAGATGGATCGCCACATGTGAGTGTCCTCTACCAACCCTCCACCGGATATATGGTATTTTATATTCTCCTATATATTATTTCTTTATATCTTCTGGGGTTGGCAAGAGGCGCTGACCACACCCACAGCCAAGACTTGGCCAGAGGACAAGCCACCCCGAGATATTAGACCGCATCAATTGTTCTGCGGAGTTGGAATGATTGACTGATTTCGGAGTCGTTCTTTTTTGGTTTCGGTTTCTGTGATGGCTATGTCGGCTTTGCTCCCATTTCCGGGCTTTCTTTGCTTTGTGTTTCGCACCAGGATTGGCCAGACCTCTACCATCATGAGGTGGCTGTCTTACCTATCTGCGCTCCGTCACCAGGGTTCAAGTCCATTGAACGAGCGTCGCAGCGCAACCCATCCTTACCCCCACCAGATTGTCAAGCGGGACCTGATAGTGGCTGGACAAGGGGTACTTTTCGTTCACACTAGAACGATTATACATTTACCCATTTGAGAGGGCGGTGTCATTGAATGATCCGCCATGTCTATCTAGATTTGAATTCTAGCATGTGCAATGATTGACCTTCCTTCAACTTTAACTGAAACTCCAGATTGCCCGTATATATATAATTTCGAGTAAGAATTGGCAGACCAGATCACTGGTGATTTATGCATGCAAATAAAACGTACAGTATATGTTATAAGACATCAAGCATTATTATATCTATATCACACCTAGTATGTACTTCAGCTGCCTTCAGCAGTGCAAACCAGTCTGCCACCATGCATGACTGCCATCCAGTCGATAAGGCAGCCCGACTCCAACCGAACAATCTCGCCAAGAACGCCAGAACAGGCTAGAGCCAAGAAGTCCAGCGCCGGGGAATTCTCGCACGCAGATGGTCTGCCTAAGGCCACAAATATTACGGCGGCTCGCAAGCCTAACCCGAAACGAGCAATGGCACTCGGACTCGGTCGGACTCGGCCTGATTACTATCAATCTCCGAAGGCGTTGTTGACGCAGAGGGCTTGGCGAGGCTAGATGATGATCTCCTTCGTATGTGGACGAACCTAACGACATGGTGACTCACGTTGCACAAATGACTTCTGACTTCGGATGGTTTGCGGGTCTATGTTTACATGGCAGCCTGGATTCCTGCGTTGCTGGTCCTCAAGTAAGCTTTGTTGATACGAGGGTCGATTCCACTGATGTCATGCTGAGAGGATATGACCCCTTCGCTGGAAGGTGTTTCGGTCTGGCCCCGGTTGGATTGATAATGGCCGATATGAACACGGAGTTTCACTAGGCAGTAAGGCAGTAACCTCGGATCGAGACCCGTTCGTCATGCATTGCACGTGGCATATCCCCAACGCTCTGGTGAATTTGTAAGGCGACGATGCCGTGCTTGTCAAGACCCGTCGGAAGAACGGGGAGGCAAGACCCTAAATCCGAGCGGGAGGAGATCTGTCAGATCGCGGTCAGGCCGGACAGACAAGGGTGAGAAGGGGAAGTAAGAAGCCGGATATTCTTAGATTTGGGCGACGGAGAGAAACCCAGCGGAACCGGCTATTGCCGCTGACTCATCGGAACCTTCGGACACTCCAACCCAAAAGTGCTCAGTCGCCGCCTCCCATTGGCCAGGCCATCCGCTGACCAAGCGGAAGTCACGCGGTCGGAGGTCGGAATTTCCAGCGCCGACCGCCCGACGGATCCACGTCTCGCTTCTTCCAGATCGTCGAAACCCACGAGGCCCTCCGCCACACCCAATCATCGTGTCCCCTGCAAGCAAAAAATCTGACACGGCGGTGCCAGGGGATCCTCATCGGCCTGTCTGCCTGGCCCCCGTCGTGTTTTGTTCGCAAACGAGCACATTTCCAGCGTCGTCGGAGATGATGATCCATTATCACCGGCCCCGGGACTCCACTGCCCCCATCGGCGGGAGCCCATCATGTTGATTCTTTGTCCGTTGCGGTGCTCCGCCGGCCAGACTCGTCATTGTTCGGGGCACTAGATACCGCTAGCAAAGAGGTTTGTCAATGGCCGGTGGATCTGCTTCTCTCGGGGCTCGGGCTGGCCCTGAAAACCGTGAAGTTTCAGACTTTCAGGGAGGTCCCCCGACCCACTTGCCATCACATTGTCGCCGGTGCTTATATACCCATCCACGCCCATCTCGCTAGCATGGATTTTCTTCGGCCCCTCCCTCAGATCACTCTTGTTGTCTCTGGCACGCTGGCTCGCAGACACCCGTTTTGCGACCCTTGTCGATCTCGCTAGCAGCCATGGAGGAGAAGGGTGAACACCTCCCCTACCCCCAGGCACCTGCCTCGGAGGGTCGAGATGATACCGATAGCACGGCCACGATCCAGGGAGATGATCCCTCCCCCACCGCTCCCGTTTCCAATGCCAGCAAGGCCAACGAATGGAAACTGATGCCGCGGGTCAAGGAACAGCACGACCGCGAAGTCGAGTCCGGCTTCAAAGGCCGCGAGCTCGGCGTTACCTGGAAGAACCTCAATGTCGAAGTCGTCAGCGCCGAAGCCGCCGTCAACGAAAACTTCTTCTCGCAATTCAACATCCCCCAGCACATCAAGGAAGGTCGCAACAAACCCCCTCTTCGGAAGATCCTCGACAACAGCCATGGCTGCGTCAAGCCCGGTGAGATGCTGTTGGTCCTCGGCCGACCCGGCTCGGGCTGCACCACCTTGCTCAAGATGCTCTCCAACCGAACCCGCGGGTATAATTCCGTGAACGGTGATGTCCGCTATGGCTCGTTGACTGCCAAGCAGGCTGGCGACTACCGCGGTCAGATTGTCATGAACACCGAGGAAGAATTGTTCTTCCCCACCCTGACCGTCGGCCAGACGATGGACTTCGCGACCCGCCTCAAGATCCCGTTCAAGCGGCCGGCCGGCGTCGAGTCCGCCGAAGCCTACCGCCAGGAAACGAAGGACTTCCTGCTCGAATCCATGGGAATCTCCCATACCAACGACACCAAGGTCGGCAACGAATATGTCCGCGGTGTGTCCGGTGGTGAGCGGAAGCGTGTGTCCATCATTGAGTGTCTTGCCACGCGCGGCTCGGTGTTCTGCTGGGATAACTCCACACGAGGCCTGGACGCCAGCACCGCTCTGGAGTGGACCAAGGCTATCCGTGCCATGACCGACGTCCTGGGTCTGTCGACTATCGTCACCCTGTACCAGGCTGGCAATGGTATCTACGACCTTTTCGATAAGGTGTTGGTCTTGGATGAGGGCAAGGAGGTCTACTACGGCCCTATGGCCCAGGCTCGGCCCTTTATGGAGCATCTCGGATTTGTCTGCCGCGAGGGCTCGAACGTCGCCGATTTCCTCAGTGGTGTCACCGTCCCGACGGAGCGGAAGATTCGCCCGGGATACGAGAACCGCTTTCCCCGGAACGCCGACGCCTTGAAGGCTGAGTATGAGAAATCGCCAATTCACAACCAGATGGCCCTCGAATACGATTACCCCGACACCGATCTTGCGCGCGAGCGGACCGAGGATTTCAAAACTTCGGTCTCGGACGAAAAGTCAAGTCGGCTCCCTAACAGCAGCGTGATGACGGTCGACTTCGTGGACCAGGTCAGGGCCTGTATTGCTCGTCAGTACCAGATCCTGTGGGGTGACAAGGCTACCTTCATCATTAAGCAGGTGTCCACCTTGGCGCAGGCTTTGATTTCCGGATCCCTCTTCTACAGTGCTCCTAACAACTCCGGCGGTCTGTTCGTCAAGTCCGGTGCTCTCTTCTTTTCGCTCCTCTACAACAGTCTGCTTTCCATGTCCGAAGTTACCGAGTCGTTCAGCGGCCGCCCCGTCCTGATCAAGCATAAAAGTTTCGCCTTCTTTCACCCTGCCGCCTTCTGTATTGCCCAAATCGCCGCCGATATCCCTGTCCTCCTGTTCCAAGTCAGTATCTTCTCGCTTGTTGTTTACTTCATGGTCGGGTTGGACATGTCGGCGGGCAGTTTCTTCACCTACTGGATTCTTGTGTTCACAACTACAATGGTAAGTTTTCTTCAATCGCTACTGGCGATCTGAGTTCCAGTGCTAATTCGTGAGGTTTTTAGGTTATGACTGCTCTGTTCCGTGCCGTGGGCGCTCTCTTCAGCACTTTTGACGGTGCCTCCAAGGTTTCCGGTTTCCTCATCTCCGCTTTAATCATGTATACTGGATATATGATTCAGAAGCCGCAGATGCACCCGTGGCTCGGCTGGATCTACTGGATTAACCCGCTTGCCTACGGTTTCGACGCTTTGCTGTCTACCGAGTTCCACGGCAAGGTCATTCCCTGCGTGGGTACCAACCTCATTCCCTTCGGGCCTGGGTATGAAGATGCCGCCGGTCACCAGTCTTGCGCCGGTGTCGGTGGCGCCATCCAAGGAAACACCGAAGTCACCGGCGAGCAGTACCTGGCCTCCCTGTCGTACAGCCACAGCCACGTGTGGCGCAACTTCGGTATTCTGTGGGCCTGGTGGTTCCTGTTCGCCGTCGTCACCATCATTGCGACCACCCGGTGGAGGGCCCCGTCCGAGAGCGGCAGCTCCCTCCTGATCCCCCGGGAGCGTTTGGACAAGCACCGTCAAGTTGCTCAGCCGGACGAGGAATCCCAGATCAACGAGAAGGCCAAGAAACCTGTCGACAGCGGCTCCGAGGATGACACCGATCTTGATCAGCAGCTGGTCCGCAACACCTCCGTTTTCACCTGGAAGGACTTGACCTACACAGTCAAGACTCCCTCCGGCGATCGTGTGCTCTTGGACAATGTTTATGGATGGGTCAAGCCCGGCATGCTGGGTGCTCTGATGGGATCCTCCGGTGCCGGAAAGACCACTCTTTTGGACGTGCTGGCTCAGCGTAAAACGGAAGGTACTATTAACGGTTCTGTTCTGGTCGACGGTCGTCCGCTCCCCGTCTCTTTCCAGCGATCCGCAGGTTACTGCGAGCAACTTGATGTGCATGAGCCTTTCGCGACCGTGCGTGAGGCACTGGAGTTCTCTGCCTTGCTCCGTCAACCACGCCATGTGCCCGAACAAGAAAAGCTGAAGTATGTGGATACAATTATTGAACTGCTTGAATTGCACGACATCGCCGATACCTTGATCGGCCGCGTTGGTGCTGGTCTGAGCGTGGAACAGCGCAAGCGTGTCACTATCGGTGTGGAGTTGGTCTCGAAGCCCAGTATTCTGATTTTCTTGGACGAGCCTACCTCTGGTCTTGACGGTCAATCCGCCTACAACACGGTTCGATTCCTGCGAAAGCTTGCCGACGTCGGTCAGGCCGTTTTGGTTACGATTCACCAGCCCTCCGCCCAACTGTTTGCCGAATTCGATACTTTGCTTCTGCTGGCCAAGGGTGGTAAGATGGTGTACTTCGGCGACATCGGTGACAATGGCCATACGGTTCGGAACTACTTCGGTCGCTATGGCGCCCCGTGTCCCGAGAATGTTAACCCTGCCGAACATATGATTGACGTCGTCTCCGGTGCTCTCTCGCAGGGCCGTGACTGGCATCAGGTCTGGAAGGACTCTCCGGAACATGGTAACGCGGTCCGGCAACTTGACCAGATTGTCGGCGATGCAGCGGCCAAACCTCCTGCCACGGCCGACGACGGTTTCGAATTCGCCATGCCTCTCTGGAAGCAGGTCAAGATCGTGACACTCCGCATGTGCGTCGCTTTATACCGCAACGTGGACTACGGCAACAACAAGATTGCTTTGCACATCGGTTCCGCTCTGTTCAACGGGTTCTCCTTCTGGATGATTGGCGACTCCGTCCAGTCGATGCAGTTGCGTCTTTTCACTATTTTCAACTTCATCTTCGTGGCCCCCGGTGTGATCAATCAGTTGCAGCCGCTCTTCCTGGAACGTCGTGACATTTACGAAGCCCGTGAGAAGAAGTCCAAGATGTACTCGTGGGTCGCATTCGTAACCGCCTTAATCGTTTCGGAAATCCCCTATCTCTGTCTCTGCGCCGTGTTTTACTTCGTCTGTTGGTACTACACCGTGGGTTTCCCAAGCGCCTCGGACAAGTCCGGCGCCGTCTTTTTCGTCATGTTGATGTACGAGTTCGTGTACACCGGTATCGGTCAGTTCATCGCCGCCTACGCTCCCAACGCCGTTTTCGCCTCCCTGATCAACCCCGTCTTCATCGGTACCCTGGCTTCCTTCTGCGGTGTGTTGGTGCCGTACCAGCAAATTCAGGAGTTCTGGCGCTACTGGATCTACTGGATGAACCCGTTCAACTACCTGATGGGCAGCATGTTGACCTTCACCATCTTCGACGTCGAGGTGAAGTGCAAGGACTCGGAGTTCGCTCTCTTCGATCCGCCCAACGGCACGACCTGTGGCGATTACCTGTCCACCTTCATGCAGGGCATCGGGTCGCGCATGAATCTCCTCGACCCCGAGGCTACCGAGGGCTGCCGCGTGTGCCAGTACACCATGGGCAGCGACTATCTGTCCACCATCAACTTGAAGGATTATTACTATGGATGGCGCGACGCTGCCATCGTTGCTTTGTTTGCCCTCAGCTCGTACGCTCTCGTGTACGTGCTGATGAAGTTGCGGACCAAGGCCTCCAAGCAGGCTGAGTGATTGGTCAGATTTCTTGCATCATAGCTTTGCTTTTTCTTTTTCTGGATTTTCATTTTCATTTTCATTTTTCTTTTTTTTCTTGTTATCTTTACCCTTCCAAGGACGTGTTTGCTCCTCGCATAGCCTATACTATATTACCCCATCCTCTCCCCCCTTTGTCAGATAGATGGCGATTTGGAGTTTGTGATTCCCCTAGACATGCGGAACGATAGAGATTACGGCACGGATGCGCCTAATGTTAATAGACTTACATAACAAAAATGAACCGGAACATTTTATTTGGGAATCCCATCCCTTGTCTTGTGTCTTTTGTGAACCCCCTCGTTACACAGTCCGACCGAGTGACCCGAGAGCAGAAGCAAGTGGCATGTTTATGAGGTAATTGTTCATCACCAGTCCTCCACTGGGGAGAGAGAAAGAGACGCCCAGCATCCGCCAGTTCCGTCGCCCAGACGCGGATGCCTCGATCGGGCAATACCGAAGGGTCTCGATCGGGTAAAATAGCCGGTTAATCGTGCGGATTATTGATTCAGGTTGGGGTTATTGGATTATTGGCTGATTGGGTGTTGGAGTCGACGTGCTGTTGCGTGACGTGATGGGATGGATCAACGGGACAGACTTTGTACGCTGTAGTGCACAGCACTGTACAACTACATTCCCCATCCACCACTGGGCGGAGAGCTGAGCGGATGGATTTTCGGGATAATCCCTGCCGATCGGTTTCGGGATGGCAGAGCGAGATACTATATATATAGACGGAGGTACGGGCCACGGCTGAGCTGAAGGCCTGACGAAACTCCCACCGTCCCGAATCGCCGGTCGAGCGTTCCGTTCAGCGTCGCAGGATTTGATTTAGTTTCTTCGAGGCGGTTCTGGTCTGTTGATCATGGGATTTGACGGGTGGAGTCCACAGAGCAGCCCTCCGTACTCGTATATTGGCTATGGGCATATTCCTGGACCAAGTCTAACCGCCCACTACTGCGCGACTACCGGGATTCCGTTGGATAGCGCGGCTTTATTTCCTGGCCTCACAGGCTGGGTTTCATGATTTACAGATGGCGAGCGAGAGAGGTCTCCACTCGGCGACTGCTCCAACGCCGATTATATATAGCACGGCGCCAATCAGACGGCAGGGTCGGTCCATGCTGTGCTACCTGGTAGCGCCAGAGTTAGCTAGCTTCCTTTTAGTGAATCATATCCATGTCTTTCCTGTCCGTAGTGCAGCAAGTATAACGCCTCGTTCCGGATTCCGACCGCATTTCCAGGGTTCTGCAAGGGAAGGGGAAAATTCAATTCCATTCTGCTCGAGACCAAAAAAATCCAAACAAGCCACATGGCGCCTGGGACACGGATCTACTGGTCAACAAACGCCCGGTGCCTGGCTGAGTGGCGTTTCAGCGCAAGGTTGGACGGTGGAAATCCCTGACCCGGAGTCTAGAAGCCGAGCCAAGCGATGCCGTGCAGTAAAGGTTTTTCTCGAGGATGGGCGCCACCGACTGGCGATCGACCGTGCGGTGCGCGTGCAGGACGTGATGAATATTGCTACGGCGTATTGTTGTCGATAATCGGGTAGGGAGTTGGATCGAGATCTGCTATGGATCAATAATAATGGAGAGGCGTACGAATGCATCGAGGAGAAGGAATTGTTATTGTCGAGGGTTTGTTTGCCACCGGATCCACTCGTTGCGTGGATGCTGACTGCGTGGCTGCCTGCGTTCTCAGGCTGCCTGTTTGATGGGATTGTCTCCCGCGGACTTCCAGGAGGGACGGTCGGTCTCTCCTTTTCCTTTCTCTAACCTCTTCGTCTCCATCATCAAATCAGTCCGAGATGTCAACCATCTCCATCTCCATCTCCCATGAATTCATCCCGGACCCCCCTGGATGACGTCTCGGCGTCTCGCTGTCTCGCATCCGCAGCCCATCTGCAAATCAAATGATCGTGATAACGATGACCATCCATCCCCGATGGACACATCATGCCCGCTCCACTTGGCTCAACTAGTCGTCTCTTCACAGGCGGGGATCATCGCCAATCGCCCTCTGTCCACTTCCCACCACAATGAGGTCATGGCCTCTCCTTTTGGGGACCCGGAGATTCCCACAATCCGCCGCGGACAAAAGATTAAAAACCCTATCGGCCTATCCTCAGTCCTGCCGTTCTGTCACTCCTTGGATCTTCTTCCTTGGTTACACTCGCGTCTAGACTTCGTTTATTTTCTTTTATCTTTTTTTATCTGCTCATCCTGCCGTTCTAGACCGACTTATTTTTGGTTCGTCCCGTGGTCGCGCCGTTTGGCACCTCGTCCCCCTCGGCCTCTCTCCCCACCCATGGTCCGTTCGCTCGCCGCTTTGTCTCAGCGCCATTGGCTTTCTTATTTTCCGGTTATTTCCAGTTCCTGACTGCGTTTGATTTTTTTTCCTCTTGGATATTATTCCCGCAACCCCCCTTTGGTCTCGTGAAGACCTTTCTTTAGACTACTCGATTTTGATATAATATATGTCCGATTTGTCTTGTATCCTCCCTATTCTTTTGCATTGAAGCGTTAGTGGGTCTGCTGTCGGCTTCACCTCATGTCGCATTCACGCCAGGACAGTGCGTCTTATGGGCTGCTCGGCCATCGCAACAGCGACGAGGAACATGGTTCTCCAGAAAATGGCCCAAGTCGCGAGGAGTCTCCTCCACCTAATTCCGAAAGACCCGCCAACGATGGCGCCGAAGAGCAGCAGGAATCGTCTCGCGCCGGCCGAGTGCGTTTTCAATCGTTCAGTCGCAACAACACCCATGACACTCTGAGTCCAATTGCTCGACCGCCCATGTCGCGATTCAATTCCGACCAGTCCGTTCAGTCTTTTCGATCTATTATCCCGACGGCCGCCCGGTCTACTGACATCTCGGATGCCTTCCGCTCGAATTCATTTGAGCCTGAACCGGCGGAGGAGGCGAGGCACACGCCCAATGCTGGCTCGTCCTTCCCGTCGGATACGTCGGATGACTCGGAATTGAAGAAAGAGAAAGAGGCCCATGAGCACATGACAGCCAAAGAACGATGGCACGCGGCCAGTGATCTGATCCGCCAGAAGACGACGAAACTCGGTGAACGGCTAGGTCGACCCCTCGACGAAGGCGATCCGCTCGGTGCTTCGTTGTTGCCGGATGACCTCGAAGGCGGCATGTCGCAGCGCGAGATGTCGGAGAAAACGCGACACATTATCGACATGCCCACGGGCGACGAAACGCCGACTGCTCCCAGCGCAGAAGCGCACCGTCTCGTTCGCCGCATGACGCAAGGTCAGATGCGCCGACGACGCCCCCGATCGGCCTACATGCGGTCGGGACAGAGCACCCCGGAGGGTCTCGGCCGTCCCGATTCTTGGTACAACTCCCGACCGCGATCGATCAGCGGCGGGGGTATTCTCTCGCAGCTGCTGAAGCTGCAGGCGGGCGCCGCGTCGAGCAAAGACAGCCTGTCTGTGACCGATTCGTCCGATAGTGAATCGCAGATGTCCTCGGGGGCTGCCACGCCGAAGAAGGACAAACTGAAGTGGTACAAGAAGCCAAACCACAAATCGACTGCGTCCCTGGTGGAGGCGTCGATGAATTTGAGTCGGGCCAGTTTGCCCGCCGGGGCCGACGCCATGTCGGTTGCGACGCCCAAGCGAGGCAAGAAGAAGGCACATCAGAAAACACGCCTGGAGGACGAGATCCGCGTCACGGTGCATATTGCGGAGATTCTGGCGCGGCAGCGATACATCATGCAGCTTTGCCGCGCGCTCATGCGATATGGCGCCCCCACTCACCGTCTCGAGGAGTACATGCAGATGACGGCGCGAGTGCTCGAGGTGGATGGCCAATTCTTGTACCTGCCTGGATGTATGATCATGTCTTTTGATGATCCCACGACGCGCACGGCCGAGGTCAAATTGGTGCGTATGGTGCAAGGTGTGGATCTCGGTCGCCTGGCTGAAACGCATAATGTGTATAAAAACGTGGTCCACGATTTGATCGGAGTCGAGGAGGCGATTCAGGAATTGGGTCATATCATGAAGCGGCCGCCGCGATTCAACAAGTGGCTGATGATCCCTGCGTACGGACTGGCTAGTACAGCGGTTGGCCCCTTCGCATTTGATGCGCGGCCGATCGACATGCCCATTTGCTTTCTGCTCGGATCCCTGGTTGGCCTCATGCAGCATGTCCTGGCCCCCAGGTCCGTGCTGTATTCCAACGTGTTTGAAGTTACGGCGGCCGTGCTGACCTCGTTTCTGGCTCGAGCTTTTGGTTCCATCAAGGCGCCCTGGGACGGAGAACAGCAACTGTTTTGCTTTTCCGCTTTGGCGCAGTCTTCCATCGCGCTGATTCTACCGGGATTCATGGTGTTGTGCAGTAGTCTGGAACTACAGTCGCATCAGATGATCGCGGGCTCGATCCGAATGGTCTACGCCATTATTTACTCCTTGTTCCTCGGGTACGGCATCACGGTGGGCACCACCATCTACGGGCTATTGGATGGCGCCGCCACGTCGGAAAAGACATGCAAGCGCCTCGACATATACGGAAGCACCTACGTGCAGCATTTTATCTTCATCCCCGTCTTCGTGGTTTTCATCGCCATCATCAACCAAGCCAAGTGGAAGCAAATGCCGGTGATGATCGTGATTGCCATCTGCGGCTACGTCACCAACTTCTTTAGCACGACGCGGCTCGGCTCTCGGTCCGAGGTGGCCAACACCGTCGGCGCTTTTACGATTGGATTGCTCGGAAATCTGTACAGTCGGCTGTGGCACGGACATGCCGCCACGGCCATTCTTCCCGGTATCTTCGTGCTGGTGCCGTCCGGCCTGGCGTCCAGTGGCTCGCTGATCGCGGGCATCAACTACGCCGATCAGGTGCGCGAAAATCTCAGCAAGGGCAACGGGTCGGCGGTGGACGAGACCAGCCAGGACACGTCGATCGCTAGTCTGGGCTTTGGTATGATCCAGGTAGCGATCGGCATTACGGTCGGACTGTTTATCTCTGCGCTGATCGTGTACCCGTTTGGGAAGCGGCGCAGTGGATTGTTTAGTTTCTAGTGTTTGATTTGTTGATTAGCAGGTACTGCATTTAGATTGTATATTGAATGTTTGGGCGGATAGCGATTTTCAGCGATTGATTTATCATCTGGATGATGTACTATGTATGATATGTGATCTGTATGGAATATGAAGCACAAGTTCAGAGCAGCCCGGTCAGTAAGATTTGTGTACAGAGCGAGGAGTGCACATACTAACTGATCATCGGGTTTGTAATCTACATTGAAAGGCTGACTGAAACAGATCTGTCATAAATCCGCGATGCAGTGATCAGATCGTGAGAAGATAACTGAACGGGGATAAGTCCAATCTCCGCATACATCGGAGTTAGCGCATCCTGAAGGGGCCAGTCATCATATAAATCAGAGAATGACTGTTGGCGTCTCTTGCCTGCATTGTTTTTCTCTCGCTGAACTCGAGCCCTCATCCCTCAACACATCCACACATACCTCCATCAACAATGCCCCAAGGTCGAATCTGGTTCATAACCGGCGCCTCCTCCGGCCTCGGCCTGCAACTTGCCCTCACAGCCTCCCAGCACGGCGACACCGTGATCGCGACCTCACGAGACCCAAGCAAACTCGCCCCTCTAGCAGAACAAAACCCTCTCATCATCCCCAAACCCCTCGACCCAGCAACCGCCTCCCCCGACACCCTCACCACCCTAATCGACGAAATCACCACCGCCCACGGCCCCATCGACATCCTCGTCAACAACGCCGGCTACATCCTCGAAGGCGCCATTGAAGAATGCACCGACGCCGAACTCGAGGCCCAGTTCGCTGTCAACGTCTTCAGCCCGGTCCGCGTCATCCGCGCCGTCGCGCCGTCCATGCGCGCTCGCTCCGCCGGCATAATCGCTAATATCGGCTCCATTGGCGGGTGGAACGGCTCTCCTTCTGCGGGCTTCTACTGCGCAAGCAAGGCCGCTGTCGGCGTGTATACGGAAGCCTTGAAAGCCGAGCTCGCGCCCTTCGGCGTCGACGTTACGTGCATCGAGCCGGGGTATTTTCGGACGGGGTTTCTGACGTCCGGGCATAAGGTTAGTGCTGGGAAGAGGATCCCGGAGTTGGATGTTGCGACGAGGGGGATGAGGGAGGCGCTGGAGGCGTATAGTCTCAAGCAGCCGGGGGATCCGGTGAAGGGGGCGCAGGTGATGTATGAGGCGTTGACGAAGACGGGGCGGTTTGAGGTGCTGAGGGAGGAGGGGAGACACTTGCCGGCGAGGTTGGCGCTGGGGAAGGATGCGCTGGATGCGATTGGGGGGAGCTTGCAGAGGGAGAGGGAGATGTTGGATACGTGGGGAGGTGTGGTTGGGGAGACGGATTGTGCGGATGTGCAGTAGACTATAGAGTCGTGTCTGGTATCATGTCGACTAATGAAACTACTACTGTTGATCAATGGAATTATTACTTCGCGAAATTCATCGAGTGATCACCTGACCAGACATCTCCGATGCATCATCCGGCGGCGGTAAACATCCCATCCGCATCATCTTCGCCATCAGTGCATCCGTCAATTGACTTTGGCTTCACCTCTAGTAATGATAGCCTCTTTCCTACAATCCCTCTCCCGACTCGGACGAACATGGAAACCGCTCAACTTCTCAAATCCTCACTTCGCCCGGATCCCACTAAGCCAAAAGATCGAGGAAGAAACCATCCCAGATTATGTCGCTTCTCGATACTATCCTACGCGAATCGGCGAGGTCTTCCGCGATCGATACCAAGTCGTCGGAAAATTAGGATTCGGCGCCAGCTCAACAGTGTGGTTGGCCAGGGATATGCAGTAAACAACCCCTTTCTGAACTTTTTAGTCCAACGAGGCCAACCCCCCAGACTATACTTGCTAAACCAAAGAATGCAGTTATCGACGCTACGTGACCCTCAAAATCTACACCACCTCCAAATCCATGGGCCCGCAACTAGACGACGAGCTCAACATGTACACTCGTATAGCGAGGGGCTCGAACCGCCATCCAGGTCGCGACGCCGTCAGATCCCTCCTGGACTCGTTTGATGCCGACGGCCCGGAAGATCAGCATCGGTGTCTCGTGCACCCGCCGCTGTGGGAGAGCGTGTGGGCTTTTTTGCACCGGAATCCGGTCCGCAGGCTCCCTAAGCCGGTTCTCGCGTTTGTGCTGCTAAGGCTGTTTTTGGGGTTGGATTATTTGCATTCTGAATGTCGGATTGTACATACGGGTGGGTGCTAAGTCTGTTTTTTTTTTTTTTGTTATGGAGAAGGAGGCCCGGAAGACGCTTGATCTGACCTCTGTCGTGGTCTTGTTTTCCAATCCCAATGTCCCTTAAATGGAATCGTCGGGCTAATCCCCTCCCCCTACAGACCTAAAAGCCGACAACATCATGATGGGAATCGCCGACGACACCGTCTTCCACGACTTCGAAGCGCGCGAACTCCAAGACCCGTGTCCCCGGAAAGAGATCGACGGCAGAACCATCTACGTGTCGCGGGACCTCCGAAAGCCCAAGAAATGGGGCGCCCCTGTTCTCTGCGACTTTGGGTCCGCGGTTGCTGGCGAAACCGAGCATGTCGAAGACGTCCAGCCGAATATTTATCGCGCGCCGGAGGTTATATTAGAAGCACCGTGGGGGTATAGCGTGGATATTTGGAATGCGGGGTGTATGGTGAGTGGGATTACTTTCTTATTCTTATAGTGGGTGGGTGTTTGGCTACGTCTTGAGTTTGGTTAACTTGGTGCGCGGTTAGATCTGGGATGTTTTCGAAGGCGAGTCGCTGTTCACCGGGCAGGATCCGGAACTCCATAAGTATAGAAGTCGCGCGCATATTGCAGAGATAATGCGTGTTCTTGGGCCTCCGCCGCGAAGTCTTCTAGAGCGGGGGAAGTCAAGTCATAGGTTCTTTTCTGAGGAGGGTAAGTTTTTTCTGTCCTGTTTCTGTTGTTTAGTTGCGTGTTGCGTTTCCTTCCAGAGACAGCGCGTTACAGACATCCGCTAACTGACTGACTAGGTGAATTCTGCGCTGGCATCCCATTGCAAGACCGGACACCTCTTGAGCAGAGGGAAACGACTCTGACAGGGGAGGATAAAGAGGCATTCCTACGCCTAGTGCGGAAAATGGTACAGTGGGAGCCTGGCAAGCGGAGTTCTGCGAGGGAGTTAGCTGAGGATGAGTGGATTCGTGCGAATTTGTAGATGGGCCTCATATCTAAGGCTTTTACGGCATCTTTTCGGCTTGGTTATCTGAGTACTGAGTTTATACTGAGGTATATAGTATTTACGGCAGCGGGATACAGAAGCTTGATGTGAATGTAGTAATATGGTAAATGAGATGAATAATTGACGGATTATAAACATATACCTGACTGGCTGACAATGCAACTATTTACCTATCTCCCACGTAGTCAATTAGTTGAACTGGCAAGTTCCCTGGGGCCGGGTCTCAGCCTGGGGAGCCTGGGGGTACCACTGAGGCTGGAAGCCGTGGTGACGATGGCGCCAGCCGCCGGTCGACTGGGCGGCCGCGGCAGTAGTCTCCTGCTGGGCGACAGCGGTGGCCTTGGTCTGCTGGGCCTCAACAGTGGGCTGAGCAGCTTCAACGGTGGTCTCCTGGGCAGCGGCGCTCTTCTCCTGGACAACGCCGACGGTAGCCTGAGCGGCCTCAACGGTAGTCTGCTGGGCAGCGACGTTCTCCTGGGCGGCGGAGGTGGCCTCGATAGGGGAGACCTGTCCAACGCTGGTGTTAACCTCCTCAGCGGCGGAGCTCTGCTGAGCAGCGGCGACGGCGGTGGTCTGGGCGACCTGGGCCTTGGTCACGAGGGTGGAAGCCTGGGACTTGACGGAGGTGGTGGCGGCAGCGGCGGCGGCCTTCTTGGTGGTGGAGGACGAAGAGGACGAGGACGAGGAAGAGGAGGATCCGGACAGAGACAGACAGGCGAAGCTGAGCGACTTGGTGCTGGACGAGGAGGATCCGCCGAAGGTGTTGACGGCCTGGGACAGGTCCCAGTCCATCTTGACGTAGGGCCAGCAGATGCGGCCATCACCCATGGTGACCATGTCACCGGCGACGTAGGTATCCTCGCTCTTCAAGGGGCTGCCGACCTTCTTGCCGTCGGAGTCGACCTGCTGGTAGAAAGTGCCGGCGAACTCGCCACGGCAGCCCATGGCGATGAAGTCGCAGGTGGGGTTGGAGATCTCCTCCCAGGTGACGAGGGCGGTGCCGTTGCCGAAGGTGGCGGCGTGGGCGTTGGAGCAGTCGTTGTCGCCCTCGGTCAACCAGGTAATTTGGCTGTCACCGTCCTCGGAGCCGACCTTGGAGGTGGCCTGCTGGCCGACCTGGGTGTACTTGTCGGAGAGCATGGAGATGGCAACGTTGCGGTTGTTGGTGCGGTTCTGGACGGTGGTGTATCCAGCTCCCATCCACTCGTTGTCGGCGACGTCGATGGCGCCACGCGACACCCACGCGAAGATGTAGCGGCTGGACTCGGCGAAGCGGGCCAGAGAGCTGTAGGAACCGGACATGCCTCCCATGGCCTCACCACCGGCACCGTTGGTGGTGTTCTCGTTGGAGATCTTGACGCCGTCGGTGGTCATACCCTGGGTCTTGGTGTTCAGCCAGATGGCGCCCTGGTCCTCAGCACAGATACTGGCGAAGGGAGCCTCGTCGGCCTCCTCGAAGGCAATACCGGTGTTGTGGCTGCATCCCCAGGCGCTGCTGGCGCCAGAGATGGTCTTGAGCGTGCCGTCCTTGGCGACGTACTGGATGCTGTCACCGAAGTGGCCAGCCGCATCACCTTCGTAGTCGGTCACCACGACGTAGGCGCCGTAGAGACCGGCCTTCTCGGAGTAGACCAGGTCACCGTTCATGTCGGGGGAGGCGGCCAGACCCTCGTCGGCGTGGACGTCGGGTCCACCCAGCCAGGTCTTCCAGCTCTGCTTGCCGTCGGTGTAGCGGTAGAGCACGGGCACGGGGGTGTCGCTGGGGGGAGCGTTGGTGGTACCGGAGGGCATAGCCTCGTTGGTGAGCAGGGCGAAACCGTCATCGTGGGCAACGAGACCACCGGCTGGAGATATGGTTAGTCTGTGAGAGCTTCCGCTATAGCAATCCGTTCACAACATACCCTCCTTTCCGCCCTCGACAGTCACCGCCGTTCCCGTGGCCTTGAAGGTGCTGGGATCGAGCTTCTGCACATGCACATCCGTCTCACTGTCGTCCAGGTAAGCCACGTAGGCGGACTTTCCGTTCGGCGAAACAGCGAATGGCGTGCGTCGGTGGTGAGGGTATCCGGTCCAGTAGGCCTCCTTGACGGGGTTGAAGGAGTTGCTGAGAGTCAGCACATCCGGGTGCTTGGAAAGGTTGGATTCGGTCAAAGCTGCGGTCGCGCCCAGCGCGATCGACAGGATGGTAGAAGTAATGAATGCCCCGCGCATGGTGGGTGGTTTCAAAAGGAATGAACGAACGAAAAAGAAAGGAAAAGAACGAAAGGTAGGGGTGCAACTGGCAGTGTATAGTCTGCTGGAGAGGAAAGTGTCTCTGGATCGACGGGATCGACGTTTATATAGAGTCGGCAGTTACGGTTGAGAGGGCATCGTGGTTCCTCCATAATTACGGAGTAGTCTGTCTAGACTCGCCCAGGCAGATGGAAATAAGCCGGGAATTTAGTAGGTGATGGGTCAACGAGACCCGTAATCCTAATCCATAGTCCATAGTCCGGACGAAGTGGACAGCAGACTCCGTAATTTTTACCCAAGAGGGTCAGGTAGAGTGGTTTGATCCATGCCAAGCAGCGGAGAATTTTGGCAGCGTGTTTCACGATGGCATTGTGAGACCCTTAATACATCGAGTTGATATGAGGGCAAGACAGCATGAGACAGAACCCCTGGCTAAGCTAGTGGGTTTGTCTCACATCTCCACTCTCGGCGGTTGATGCTCTGAGAATCGACATCTATTGGACTCATTTTAATTAAGAAGTCATTTAGCTCGAGTTGCGAGTCACGGCACCGGTAGCTGTCATACGCATGTAACCGGAGTTTGCTTCAGTGCTTCCACGATTCGGCTGTATGGCACGCCATGCTAAACTGTATCCCGTAAGGCTGGAGTCTGGGCTCGAGGGCGGAAATTCCCCTGCCTGATTCATGGATCCTACATCTGATACAGTCCGAGCCCCTTAACTAAAAGGCCGGTGCGGGCTGTCATCAGGAGTTCAGCCTGAGTGAACGGATGGGTTGACTTGGTAATGTGATGGTGAGCTTGAGAGATCACAGAAGTCACTTTGACATGCAGGAGTGCAGGAAGTGCAGGAAGTGCAGGTAGAGAGAGAAGAGAAGAAGAAAGAAGGAAAAGAGAAGAGATTCGACTCTCCGAAGGCGCAGGCGGTGAGGCTGATATCGCCCGCAGTCACTTGACTCTTTCTCTCTCTCTCTCTGTGCGACTCTCTCCATCTCTCTTCTCACCCCACTGTCTCATCTTCATCCTCTCCTCTGAGCCTCTACGCAAATAGCTCCACCAACATGACCGTACAACTCCTTGACGGTGGCCTGGGTACGTCCCTGCAAGACCACTATGGCGTCAAATTCGACTTCTCCTCCACCCCGCTCTGGTCATCGCATATGCTCGTCTCCGACCCCTCCACCCTCCTCTCCTGCCAGCGCGACTTCGTGGCCGCCAACGTCGACGTGCTCCTGACTGCAACCTACCAAGTCTCGATCGAAGGCTTTGCGCGCACCAAAACCGCACAATACCCCGACGGAATTCCCCGCCACGCCATCCCCGCATTCCTGCGCACAGCCGTCGAAGTCGCCGAGAAAGCCAAGACCGATCGCACCGCAATCGCCCTGAGTCTGGGTCCCTACGGCGCGTGCATGATCCCGGGCCAGGAGTACACTGGGGCGTACGATGCCGAGCGCAACAGCGAAGAGGGGCTTTTCCGGTGGCATTTGGAGCGGCTCCAGTTGTTCGTCGAGGCCGATGTGATCCATCGCGTGCAGTATGTGACATTCGAGACTTTGCCGAGACTAGATGAGGTTCGGGCTGTCAGGAGGGCAATTCGTGCGGCCGGCATCACGACTCCGTTCTGGATCGCCTGTGTTTTCCCCGGTGAGACGGACGCGCTGCCCGACGGAAGTAGCGTTCAGCAGGTTGTTCGCGCGGCTTTGGAAAATGAGGACGGCAAAGCGACGCCATGGGGTGTTGGCATCAATTGCACTAAGATCCATAAACTGTCCAGCCTTATCGAGAAGTTCGGAAACAGCGTCGCAGAGATGCAGTCTGCAGGTCAGATCCAGGATGCGCCCAGTTTGGTGCTCTACCCGGACGGCACGAACGGGGAGGTCTACAACACTGCGACGCAAGTTTGGGAAAAGAAAGAAAATGCCAGCCATGATTCGGTATGTTTGTTGACCGCCTTATTTCTATCCCTGCTAACGGTCGCAGCGTTCCTGGGAAGTACAGCTGGCGCAGGTCGTGCGGGATGCTCGCACCAAGGACCAGTTCAAATCTTACCTTGTGGGCGGATGCTGCAAGGCATCACACTACGACATCAAAAAGCTGGGAGAGCAGTTCGGGACCGACTAGAGTTACGTCTATGTACAGAATCGGCTAGCATAGGTTAATATACAGATTCTGATCACGGCGATTCGGCGATCAGAAGAGCCAGTTCACGAAGCGTCCCAACGCGCTGGTCGGCGGGCTGGTGTGCTCGATAATTTCGCCTTCCTGCAGACGACCAGACCATAAATCGATGTTGGAGGCGCGGACGAACTGTGATGGTCAGAGCGAGGAACCACTTTGCGCACGGAGAGCGACAAACCTTGGTTTTATGGACGAGTTTCCAGCCCAGAATGGGCACGATGAAGATGGGAATGCCGATGTAGGAAGCGACAAAGTCGGACGTGTTCCAGTTCCCTTTCAGGAACACCGGGAAGCCAGCGACGAGGGTGATAATCGTCGATCCAATGAATCCGACCCAGGCGGCATATGGCTGCAGCGGAGCCATCCAGGGTAGCGTGGTGCGGCTGATACCCTGCGCCTTGAGCCCGGCGTAAAACCGGATGTAACAGAAGCAGAGCGTCGCCCATGCGATCAAGCCGGCGACGGTGCTAAGATTGAGCAGCCAGGTGAAGGCTTGCGAGGCGCCACCCGAACCGAGACCTTATTTTGGTCAGCAACCAAACTTCCAAGTTGGGGAGTCCTGATATACTTACTCAGATAGGCCAGCGGCCCGAACAACCAGGATGCGATGACTGCCACATAGGGCACGCCGTTCTTGGTGACCTTGCCAAAGACCTGCGGGAGTTGACGATCCGTCGTCATGGCGAGAATCATGCGCGATCCGACCCAACAGTACGAATTTCCGGCGGACCAGGCGGAGACGAGAATGCAGGCATTCACAATGGAAGGCAGGGCGCTGATGCCCGCCTGTCGGATGGCAATAACCCACGGAGCACTGTTGGCATTGTCGGAGCCCGACACGAGGGCCGCGTTGCGAGGATCCACGATCATGCCGATGAGCAGCGCGCCCAGGACGTAGAAGAAGGCGATGCGGAAGGTGACGCGACGAGCGGCCTTGGGAATGGCATAGTGCGGATCGACAGATTCGGCGGCGGTGATGACGACCGTCTCGACGCCGACGAAACTGAACGAGGCGTTGACAAACGACGAGAGGAAGCCGAGGAAATGACCCTTGGGGCCCGTGATGCCGTTGTAATTCGTCCAGGGCCCCGGGTTGTGCCAGTACCGGAACCCGATCGTCTCGTGGTTGGGACCACCGCCAGACGTGATGACGATGGACACAATTACCAGACCGAGGAAACAAAGGATCTTGATGGCACCCGCAACGACCTCGGTCTCGCCGTAGAAGCGCACGCTCATCAGGTTAATCGCCAGAATCAAGACCAGGCCGACGGTGATCACCACGGCGGGCGTCAGGTCCGTCCAGAAGGACACGATGACGGCGGCGGCCGACACTTCGGAGGCGATCGCGATCGTATAACAGTAGCCATAGGAGATTGCCAGGGAGAAGCCGACAGCCGGGTCAATAAATCGAGTGGCCCAGTGAGGAAACGAGCCTGCGGTGGGCAGCAACGTCGCCAGCTCGGCGATGCTCTGCATGACGCACCACAACACCAAACCCACCACCAGATACGCCAGCAACAGACCGGCCGGTCCTGCGGTGGCGTAGGCAGCGCCCGTTCCCACGAACAAACCCGTGCCAATACCACCGCAGAACCCGATCATGTTGACCTGGTAGTTCTTCAGGCGGCGCTGCGTGGCACCGCGGCCGCCCACGTTCAGCTGCACATCCTCCTTCAACGCGGGGAGGTCGTCGTCCACGTAGGCCCCGCGATATCCGGCGCCATGCGAGGGCTGGATCTGATCGTCGGTCTTTTCGGAGATCATGATGTCCAAGCGATGCCCATGCAAGCAAGCCGGTAGCCGTTCCCGAGAGGAGAGGGGAGAGGGAGATTTGTCCGAGATGGCAACTGAGGGTTGTTGACAGCTTGGCCGAGATCCAGGACGGATTTTTTGGCTTTTCTTGCCGCCGCATTGCGACATCGGGATCCGCCTTCGCACAACCGATGGGTTTTTCTCCACGCGGCGTGCTTTTCGGACGGCCTCCGAGTCCATTCATGGAGGCGGATGAGGGCTCCACCCGATCCACACTTGCGCTCTGGAGTCAGGCACAGGGACCAGAGAATGATCTCAGAGGGGGTTCGCAGCACAATGGAAGAGCATGGAATTCGAGGGGTGTTCGTAGACCGTATGCATGACACTCATCATGGCTAGACAGGGCTGGACAGCGGCATGGTCTGCGTGGATGGCCTCAACATCGCGATGTCAACACTCCGGACTATATCCGGCTGACTCATCGCATCTCGCCCAGTTGAGTCGCTGGAACAGTGGAAAGCCTCGGCCAAGGGGAACTAGAAGCATGGCAGCCCAGACAGTCATGGCAGTCCAAGAATGCGGAGGTGGAGACAACCTTATGCGCATGCGACCTAGGCAGGAGGAAATCGTGAATCTGGTCAGATTCCTATTTCTGCACTCTCAGAGTACTCCCCTCATCTCGCTTCGAGGCCTCCTCAAGTGATAAGCCACGGCAATGGCACTCTGCAGTATCCTGGCGTTATCACCAACAATACTGTCTTGAAAGCAGTTCCATTGGCCCGTCCGCAGAATGGTTACATTGCCGACTGCATGCGCAGGACATTGCACCCGCCGAACATGACATGCATTCTCACCAGCTGCTCTCAATACCGATCGTAACACCCGGTGGTCGTACCCGGAGTGTATCATTGCGCCAATGGTGAGGCCTGGTCGGCGCCACCGCATACCGCTGCAGAATCCCCGGTTGTTGCACGTAACCCTAAACCGGAGTCCGTAGGCTCTTCAACACCACAACGCCGGCCTAATTTTCGAAATGTAACCGTTGGAAACACCTCGGCACGGCCTGCTTTGCCACGAGGATAGGGTAAAAAGCGCAGCATGCAAGCGCCGTGTAACCTTTCCCCCGCCAGTCCTTATCTTAACCGGGATCAGTGACCAGCCTGATGCGATCATCTGCGTGCCGATCCCGACCACGCGGATGCCCTTACTTCCGCTAGTTACTTGGTATTCCGTACCCTCTTCACGGGCTAAGCTTGCGTTCGTCGTTAGTCGGAGCTACGTTGCCTATCCGTCTGTTCGCGTCGTGCGTTCCCCTGACAGTTGGGTTCGCGACGGTGGGATTGTGATTCGACTCGGAAGGGTTTGGTTGGATCTGCATCCCGAGTGTTACATTCCTCGCTGGTGAGGATGGAATGTTGTCGCTGGCCTTTGCCTGAGGTGTGACTGGCACGGATGATGTGGCGGTTGCTCTTGCAACTTATTACTGGCGTGTTGTTTGGATGAGGTCTATATAAGGGGTTGGATGCCTCTGGTATGAGAGATCCGATCTGATCAGCCCGGACCCGAGCAAGTCTTTTGTCCATCCCTCGCTGTCATGTCGCCTATCAATGCCATTAAGCTGCTTTCCATCGTGTTCCCGCTGCTGCAAGGGGTGCAGGCGGGGATCGATCTGAACGCTGGGAACAATGTTGCTGTCTACTGGGGTGTGTTATTGCTCTGTACACTTGAAGTGACCATGATGCTAATATGTTTGTCAGGTCAGAACTCCTATGGACAGTCGACTGGCGAATATGTCCAGCAGCGTCTGTCATATTATTGCCAGAGTGAGTGAGGCCACCCTAAAGATCTTCCCACGGGGGTTAACATATCCATGCACAGACAGTAACATCGATGTATGCCATCCCTCCCTGGTTTCCGCATTGCACAACACTCACAGCACAGGTCTTCCAAATCTCCTTTCTGACCAGGATCAACGGCGCCGGCGGAGTCCCCGAAGTCAACTTTGCCAATGCTGGTGACAACTGCACGACCTTCCCGGGGACTTCTCTTCTGAACTGTCCTCAGATCGCGTGCGTCTCTTCCCTTTCCTTCCAAGCACCACAAACTAACTCTTGACATGAATACAACAGCGAGGACATCCAAACCTGCCAGAAAGCCGGCAAGACCATCCTCCTCTCCATCGGCGGCGCCACCTACACCGAAGGCGGCTTCACCAGCGAATCGGCTGCCATCGCAGGTGCGCAACTTCTTTGGGAAATGTTCGGTCCCGTCAGCAACAGCAGCAGATCCCGACCCTTCGGCAACGCCGTGATCGATGGCTTCGACCTCGACTTCGAAGCCACTGTCAACAACATGCCCGCATTCGCCAACCAACTCCGCACCCTCTACGCCGCCGACTCCAGCAAATCCTACTATCTCACCGCCGCCCCGCAATGCCCCTACCCCGACCTCGCGAACAACCCGATGCTCGACGGCGCCGTCTCGTTCGACGCCATCTGGATCCAATTCTACAACAACTACTGCGGTCTGCAGTCATACGTCCCCGGCTCTTCGACGCAGAACAACTTCAACTTCGCGACGTGGGATAACTGGGCCAAGACCTCCTCGCGGAACAAGAACGTGAAGGTCTTCCTGGGCATCCCTGGGAATACGCGCGCCGCGGGCTCAGGATATCAGCCACTGGACCGGGTCAAGGAGATCATTGGATATGTGAAAGGGTTTAGTAGCTTTGGGGGCGTGATGATCTGGGATGCGAGTCAGGTGTTTGCGAACGGGGGATTCTTGAGTGGTGTGAAAGGGGCGGTAGGGGCATCGGTGGTCGAGGGTACGGTTTCTCATGGGGCGAGTGAAAATGAGGGGTTTCTGACTTTGGCGAAGGCGGAGAAGCCGTTGGGGACGGGGATTTAGCTGATGTGAGACATCACAGTCCGTAGCTAGGGGAGACAGGGGACAGGAATGCAGGGATAGGATTGGGTTGGTATAGCTAAATGATGGTACAGGTGCCGCCTAGATCCCTTCCCCTTTATATAAGAGTCATGCGTATAGTATTCCTAACCAGTAGCTTTTATTAACTGCAGAGAATTTTTATTCTGTACGACTTTCTAGGATATGCTCAATTATGTGTGCAATTACTAGTGTGAACACGCCAGAGACTCAGATAAACACCGAAGTCCTTGGTCTAATGATTGCTCGGATAGGATATATATCATCAATATCAACGCACCAATAATTCCCTTCAGGTGTGTAACGTTACAAATACTCCATGAAGAGAAAATAAATTCCCTCCAATGGATTTTTCGAGTCCTCAGCGAGCAAAGTTAAGGCCATTTTGTCTCAATTCGATGTTTCTGCCTGAGGCATACAGAGTGTCTCGTGATCCTGTTTGCACTGTTTGCCATGGCGTTATCAATTACGTAATCGGGCTGATTGGCGATTCGTCGATCAAAACAATCGAGTCATCGCATCCCTTCTTCAACAACCATCCATTCTCGCAATATGGCTGGCTCTCTCATCACAGCGGCCCTCCTGGTCGGAGGTGCCTCTGCAGCTCAACTCCCGCTCATCCAACCATCGCAGATCCCCCAATCCCCTCCGGTCTCGATTCCCGCGGGCGAGAAACATCTAGTCAGCTCCGACGCCCTACAGGAGCAGATCGATCCGGACAGCCTGCTCCAGCGAGCCAAGGCCCTCTACCACATTGCGGAGCAGGGCATCGATGAATTCAACCATCCGACCCGAGTGATCGGCAGCAGAGGTATGCTCTAGACCTCTTCCCTATCTCTGTCATCCCTTGCATTCCGTGTTAAACATACCAGGTCACCTCGCGACTCTGGACTACATCTATTCGACCATCGCCGGACTGGGCGACTACTATACCATCTCGAACCAATCTTTCCCAGCTGTCACAGGCAATGTGTTTGAGTCCCGTCTCGTCCTGGGCCATGAGGTGCCCGAATCCGCTCATCCAATGGGATTGACGCCCGGGACGAAGAACAAGCAGCCCGTGTACGGGCCCCTGAAGCTTGTTGCGAACCAGGGCTGCGACAAGTCGGATTACCCGGACCTCACCGGCGCGATCGCCCTGGTTAGCCGTGGCGTTTGTCCGTTCGGCACCAAGTCCGAGCTATCCGGCCAGGCCGGCGCCGTCGCCGCCGTCGTGTATAACAACGAGAAGGGCGATCTGAGCGGAACCCTGGGGGCTCCGTCGCCCGACCACGTCGCTACGTTCGGCATCTCGGACTCCGATGCGGCCCCTTTCATCGCGCAGCTGAAGGAAGGCAAGAAGGTGGACTCGATCGCGTACATGGATGCTACCGTGGACACCATCTCCACCACCAACATCATCGCGCAGACCACGGGCGGAGACCCGGAGAACTGCGTCATGCTGGGCGGGCACAGCGATAGCGTACTCGAGGGCCCCGGGATCAACGACGACGGGTCCGGGTCGCTGACTCTGCTGGAAGTCGCGACGCGTCTGAGCCAGTATAGCGTGAACAACTGCGTGCGGTTCGCCTGGTGGGCCGCCGAGGAGGAGGGCCTGCTCGGCTCGGACTACTACGTGTCCGTTCTGAACGAGACCGAGAACTTGAAAATCCGTCTCTTCATGGACTACGACATGTTGGCCTCGCCTAACTTCGCCTACCAGGTGTACAACGCCACCAATGCCGTTAACCCCGTCGGCTCGGAGGAACTCCGTGACCTGTACACCGAGTTCTACGAGGACCACGGCGTGAACTTCACCTATATCCCGTTCGACGGACGCAGCGACTACGATGCGTTCATCCGCAACGGTATTCCCGGCGGTGGTATCGCGACAGGAGCCGAGGGCGTTAAGACTAAGGACGAGCAGGCGATGTTCGGTGGTGTGGCCGGCGACTGGTTCGATCCTTGCTACCACCAGATCTGCGATACGGTGGATAATCTGAACCTCACTGCGTGGGAGCTGAACACCAAGGTATGTCTTTTTATTATAAAACACATGTCTAGAAACGGCGCTAATGATATGTAGCTGGTTGCCCACACTGTGGCTACGTTCGCACGCTCTTTCGAAGGGTTCCCTGAGCGGACCGGCGTGAAGAGCGCGGCCGTTGAGCCCAAGGAGTTCAAGTACCACGGCCACAAATTGCAGATGTAAGGTCTAGCCGTTTGGTTTGAGATTCCTATTGGGATAATCTGTTCTGCACGTAGACTAGTGACAGTGAGCATTGTTACCGAGTAGATTGAGCTAGTAATTTATTTATATCAGAAGCTTTGGAATCCTCAATTCTCAACTGTAGTCAGTATTACTATTTCTTTAAACAAAAGGATATTTCACCATGTAATCTAATTCCCGAAGACCGTGGAATACCAAGGTAAACAACGGCAAGCAACAAATCGAATCGATCAACTCCCCGGCACAAACACCTGCTTCTCCTTCTTAATGTGCTTCACAACCTCCACATCCACCTTCAGCGTCTGAGCCACCACGTCCGCCGGCGTCAAAGCCAACCACTGGGCCAAAGAGATGTCCGCGACGCGATCACTCTTGTAGATCTCGATCCAGACGAGCTTTTCCGTGTCCGACGTGTTTTCAATGTAGTGGCCTAGCATCAAGTTTTAGTCATTCCCCTCGTCTGAAATCCACCACAAAGAAGAGGAACAAGGAAGACATACCACTATCTTCAGGAAACACCCCCGTATCCCCAGCTCGGAAATCAAACGTCCGCGCCTTCGAGTCCCCGATGAAGACCGTTGCGCGCGCCTGGCCCCGGTGGAAGTAGAGCCATTCTTCAGCCTGGATCCGTCAGTTAGCACATTCCCTATCCCTCTTCCATCCCCAACCCAACCCAACCCAAACAAAACATAACCACAAGAAAGCAAGGGAAAGGAAAACCAACATTCGGATGCCAATGCAACTCCCTCAACCCCCTCGGCTCGAGCTCCACCACCGACGCCGCAATCGTCTTCGACACCGGAAAGTTCCGCGAGTCGATCTTCCGCAATACGCCGCCGCTTCCCGGGACTGGCTCCGCGGGGTGCTGGTACGTGCGGTACACGTAGGAGCTGTTCCCTGTTAGTGTGCCCTGCGGCGTGTGCTTGGCTTCGGAGCTGACGCTGCCGTTCAGGATGTATGGGAATTTGGCCGGCACGGCGTCGAAGACGGAGGGGTCGACGACGAAGTTCTTGGCGAGGATATCGCGTGGTGTGTGTGTGATCCAGTCGGAGATCATGAATGTTGTGCTTGTTTCATGGAGGGGAGGTTAGTGGAAGTGGAAATGGTGGTTGAAGGGGATGGTAGGGTAGGGTAGATGGATGGAAGATAGACGAACCCGACTTTCTCGAAATCCCCATCGTCAAACACAAGGATATACTCATTTTCGTCATCCAGCCCCTGCACAGTATGCGCGACGCCCTTGGGAAAGTACCAGATATCGCCCTGCTCGAGCTTCTGGGTCGTGAAGCCGCCGTCTTCGTCGACGCCGGAGAGAAGGAGAGAGCCGGCGTATAGGAAGCCCCATTCTGCCTGTCGCAGGTTCGGTTTCAGTTTCAGCACTGGGCAGATGAACGGGTAGAATAAGCTTACAACACGATGCCAGTGTAGCTCTCTAATCGCCCCTTTACTGAGGTGCTGCTGCGCCGACGCAATGTCATGGCTTGCAGGTAGGTCCTGGATGACTTGTTCGCGCGTCCAGCCGCCGGGGAAGATCTTGGTTTTGGAGTCTGAGAAGCTCCATTTCAGGTTCGGGACGAAGCCGTTGTCGGTTGTTGGACGGCCGAGGTTATCTGGATTCTGGAGGTCGAGGGGAGGGTTGGTTCCTCCTGTGGTTTGGGCTGTGTTAGAGATGGAGCGTCGGTGTTGTGGGGATCCTACCGAGAATTGAAGCGCCTTTGCCAGTATCGTCGATAGGCTGACCGTCTTCGAATTCAGAGCGTTTGCCGGTGGTAGCGCCGAGGATGCAGGGGACAGCAGCAATGAGATGGAAGAGGATGGTTGGCTTCATGATGATTGAGGGATGAGGCAAGGTGAGCTCGGGAATGTGCAGAACACAGAGCGAAGGAAAGTAATATACGAATATCAATGCCCATTCACTGTTTAGAAACAAAAGAAACAACTGAACTAGCACAACATCACCGGCTTATCTGACGCCAGTGTTGCGATATGTTCTAGGGCCAGTTGTGCCCATAAAGTTCTAAACTCATACCAGATCAACACTGAGCACGACTCATCTAGCCCATGCATATAGAAAACCAATCATGGCTAGATTGGCGGCAGATCCACATTCCTGGCATAACGACATTCTGCGTCGTGTCACGAAATCAGGAGTGTAGCTTATCCCTAGCGGGAGTACAAGCCAGGTACGATCCTTGGCCTGGTTTATTAGAGTCTAGAGATGAGGAGGATCGTGATCATGGCACATCTTTGGCTACCTGGAATATCAATCGAATAATTCTCGATGGCGACATCTTCGTGGCATCTGCGTAGCCCTGATTGGAATGTGAAGCCTGATAGCTTGCTCCCCGAAGCTTGGCCAATCCCGACTGTGAATGCATGTCTCTGACCCTGGCAGGTTGTCTTGCTTCCCTGACTTGGTCTGTCTTATACATGATGCTGCCCATACTCCAGCTATAGTGTCCAACTTGAATCACCTCCGTTAATCTGGAACCTTGATGATTAGAATTGACTTCATCATTCCTGTCTTCGTGTTCGGAATCGCAAACAATAACTTCCTTTATTTGCGACAGTTTTAGTAAAGATTTGGTATCTTAATTCCTGTTATCCAGAATCACAACATATGGTGGCTTGGAGAGCGTGATCGTGGGCTAACACCCCTTGCGTGGCTATCCTCCTGGTAGACAGCTAAAGACGGCAACTAAGACATTGAGGTTTTGTTTTGATCGAGAATATGCGTGATTCTGAATGGAAATCAGAATAATAACAATTCGTGGCGTGATTATATACAAAGATTTCGTATAGCGTAGGGGTGTTCATAAGATGTGATGCGTATTCAACATGCAGAGCGTTTCGACACTTGGGAATTGAGTCCGAGAGACGAATATATAAACCAGCCACTTAACGGTCATTACTCAATCTCTCAGACTCGACAATTAAACAACAGCCGACAATCGCCAGAATGAAGTCCAGCATCATCCATTTTGCTTCCATGGCCTCTCTGGGACAATGTCTCTCCTTGCCACCGTTGATTCCCAGCATCCCAGGTGTAACCGAGCCACTGAATGACCTTTCGCCTCCTCTTCCTATCTTACAGATTCCGACGCCTGCGGTGGACAGTCCTCCTTTCACCGCGAGTGAGATCAAGCCCAAGAAGATCGGATACTTCTGGACTGGCTCGGGTGATAAAAAGCATAAGGGTGTGTTTTTGACCCTTTTATATGGGCAATTCTAACTGAAGTCCAGATTTCTTGGCTACGTACAGTCTGGATGATGTAAGTTTATACGGTCAACTCGAGAATAGAGTAGTATCCTAATAGTGCAGGACACATTCGGCACTCTCCTTTGGATCACCGACGTGCCGTCCAGTGGCAACGAACCTCACCATCTCGGACCCTCCATTGACGGTAAAACCTTAGTTGGAGGCGGACTTCTTTCCCTCCTAAAAACCCAGGACACCGCATTCTACTTCGACACATCCAACCCCTACCGTCCCAAGTTCAAGAAAAGCAACCGCGGCATTCTCGCCTCCATTGCCGATGAGATCCGCGCCAAACCGGAGGGCGGGTTCTACATCACTTACATGGGCTCTGCGGTCGGCACATCCCCCGGGCGTCTGGTTGAGACCGACGCAGAGTTCAACATCATCCACGAGTGGCCGGAGGATGTCGAGGGGACATTGAACATCCTCGGCGAGCAGTTCTCGCCGCATGGACTGAGCATTGACTGGGAGAGGAAGCTCATTCTGACTTCGGACTACGTCGAGCCGATCAGTATCCTCAAGCCGAGTTTGGGGATTAAGCGAGCGGATACGCTGCGTCTGTGGGATTTGGATTCAAAGAAGATTCTGAACACGATTACCATTCCTGAAGTGAGTTTCCCGAGTAGCTGGGGAAGTACGGCAGCTAATACGTCACAGGGTGGCGGTATTCAAGATATCAAATTCATTCCCGGCAACCCCGACGGTGCAGCCCTGGCCACGGCAGTTCATCTGGGTCAAGTATGGATCATCTACCCCGGACAGGCAGATGAGAACGGGAAGCCTGGCCGAGCAGAGCTGCTATATGACCTGGGACCGAAAGCACGCGACACAGTCGCTATTTAGTAAGTTTCCCTTGGTACTGTCCATCATGAATGATACTAACGGACTGCAGCACCGATATCACGCAAGACGGCCGCTTCTTCTACCTCACTCTCACAACATCAAACCACATCGCGGCGCTCGACATCAGTGATCTCAACAACATCAAGCGTCTTGACAATCCAGATGAGGAACAGCCCACCGTTGGTCCGCACTATATAAAGGTCACCCCGGACCAAAAACATCTCGTGGTCACGGATTACTTTGTCCAGACCGGCGAGATCGGGCTGATTAACACGCCGGCCGACTTCAAGGCGCTGTACATTGATCTGAACGAGGACGGAAGTCTTCAATTCAATCGCACTATTGACTTTAACAAGGAATTTCCGGAACGTGGAGGTGGGAAGCCGCATTCGAGTGTGGTGTTTGACTTGAGCGATCCGGAGAATCCGCTTTATTATTAGGGTTTATTCTTTCTCTTCTTTTTTCTTTTCATTGTCCTATCGTTTGCTCCTCATACTTTTATTCTTTATCCTATCTTTCTAATATTTTGTTTCTGTCTCTCTCGCTTAATCCCATCTCTAGGGAAGAGAGTCTTTTATTACGTTGAGTGTATATAGACCTCTACTTCATAACTCCGTTATAATTTATTTCTTCCTTGATAATTGCTCAACTATTGTCAATAAAGACATTTTACAAAAGGGCTAAAAGCCTAAAGATCTGATAAGTGTCCGTAGTCTCAAAAAGAAAGCCTGGTTCATATAATAATGGCCGACAGTCAGGCCGCCGTACATGTGTATCCGCTTCAAGGACATCACTTATATTCGGCAACTATTTCCGCGTGAAACAGCCCACATTATACATCCCTGTTCACTGCAGCTATAGTGGATATCCATAAATTAAATGCAGAGACAAAAGTACCGGAGTAGCACCGAATCACGTGTGGGGAGAGGCCAAAAGAGGGGTTTGTCCTTTTCCCTCCTTCTGCCTCTTCATTTCTTTTCACATTCCACTCCATTAACAGACAGATTCCCTTTATTCCCCATCCTGCACAAGGGAAAAGAGAGCAAAAATGACCATCCCCATCCTCCCCGATCTCCCCGCCCACCAACACGCCGCCATCCGCCATGGAGCCGGCGAATCAGCCACCACGAACATCGCAACCATCCCCATCGACCAGCCCGGCCCGGGCCAAATCCTCGTGAAAATCACCTGGACCGGGCTCTGCGGATCCGACAAGTCGCTGCTGCACGACGAGTGGTCAGACTTCGGCATCACCATGATGGAGCAAACGAAGGGGATCGCGGGCCACGAGGGCGCCGGGGTCGTCGTCGCCGTGGGCGAGGGGATGCAGCGACGGTGGAAAGTGGGTGACCGCGCCGGCGTCAAGTGGATTGCTGCGACGTGCGGGGAGTGCGAGTTCTGTCTGAATGGCGTCGATGAGGTGCATTGCGTCAATCAGGTGAATAGTGGGTTTTCGGCCCCCGGGACCTTTCAGGAATACTGTCTTGCCGATGGGAGGTATACGTCGAGGATTCCGGAGGGGGTGAAGGATGAAGAGGCGGGTCCGATTATGTGTGGCGGTGTGACGGCTTATACGGCTTGTAAGAGGTGAGGGTTTCTTTTTTGGTTCTGGGAGGGTGGTGATGCATGGGGCTGATTGAAGCAGGTCTGCGGTTCAACCTGGTCAGTGGATTGTTTTGCCCGGCGCCGGGGGTGGACTCGGTCATTTGGCGATTCAGTATGCACGCGCGATGGGCATGCGTGTCATTGCGATTGACGGAGGGGAGCAGAAGCGAGAGCTGTGCATGAAGCTCGGCGCGGAAGTGGTCATTGACTTCACGACGACGAGCGATATTGCGGCTGAGATCATGACGGTCACGAAGTATGGCGCGCAAGGCGTCATTGTCACGGCGGCTACGAAACAGGCGTATGCACTGGCGCCGACCTTCCTGCGACCGAATGGAACGGTGGTGGTGGTGGGACTGCCCAAGGATGCATCGATTCTGGCGGGCGCACCGCCGCTGTTGATGGCCCTGAAGAGGCTGAACATCGTGGGAAATATCACCGGGAGTTTGAAGGATGTGGAAGAAGCGCTGGACTTTACAGCGCGGGGAATTGTCCATGTAAGTTGCACCAGGACCTGTTGGGGTGTGCTATACTGACAGAAATAGCCGGTTCTCTCCAAAGGGAAGCTGGAAGATCTGAACTCGTGGATGGAGAAGTTGAAGAACGGTCAGCTGGCTGGTCGGGCGGTCTTGCAGGTTGCTGCATAATCTGGCTTGGGTCATGTTTAGCGAGGCGTTGTCGATGTCAACAGGGGAGATGGAGTTGCAAGTGAGGGATGATGTGATTTTGGTCGGGTGGGAGTTGCTATGAGTGACCTGTAGAATGGCCGATTATGTCTTTTGAAATGGCTATGAATGTTTATCCTAAAGACTCGATATCCTTCATTCTATCCTTTAAGCCTACCACACCCTAACCCTAACTGTAATCCTGATAGAATCCGCCCGTAAGCCACCCTTGCTTTACAATCTACATTCGGCCATCTCAAGTGCGACGAATCACGCACAGAAATAAAACCAGAAGAATATGTCAGCGTCATTGGTGGGATATCCTTACGTGGCTGGCGCTAGAATACGGATCAAGCTAGATCTTGCGAGCTCCGAGTTCAAGCTAGTAAACCGAGCGTATGGAAGCTGCTATTGGGGTCTTATCCCGCGCAAGAGCAGCATTCGTGAACAACGCAGAGGTGGGCTGAATGTCACAGTCATGGAAGCACTGTGGTCGCAACGAGTCTATCCGAGGCTATAGAACAGGTTGGATGAAGACTGCATCTACGAGCATCTCTTGGGGCCATAGCTTCCAACGTTACAATTTAGATTTAAGCTAATTTCTCACTTTCATCTATCACCCTCTGGGCCATTTTAGTCTCTCTCTGGTGCCTGAAGTGCTGCCTACAGTCTAGACTCTAGACATTTATAGCTCAATGCAACCACTTCCATTTCCATCCCCTGATATCAACATCTCAAGCACCGTTATCCACAATGTCACAACCCCTAGCCCCGATAACCTCCCTAGCAAATGAAGTCCTACTCATCATCGCAGACCTCCTCACACTAGCGGACACCAGCGCCTGGCTCCAAACATCCTCCTTTTTCGCCCACCAACTCGCCCCCTTCCTCTACTCCCGTATAGCAACCCACCCCCTCACCCCAAAGCAATCAGTCCTATCCTGGGCCGCAGAAACAAACCGAACCTCAATCCTCGAGAAAATCCACGCCCACGCGCCCTCCATCCCCCCAGCAACAAGCACCCAGGCACTATGCTACGCGGCAAAACACAACCACCTCGACGCCGCCGCCCTCTTACTTAAAATGGGGGCGCGTGTGAACGACCGCGCATGCATCAAATACCAATGGGAGTACACAGCGCTCCACGAAGCCGCGGCGGCCAGTAACATCGACATGGCGCGGTTGCTCCTCTCCCACGGCGCAAACATCCACGCCACGGGGTCCGCGTCAGGCGGGTGGTTCGCGGACGACACGGTGCTGGAATGGGCGGCGCAGCACGCGGATCTAGACATGATCAAGTTCCTGCTAGCTTCCGGCGCGGATATCACCACGGGCGGAATGATCAAGCGCGCGGTGCAATCCCAACGAGTGGATATCGTGGCATTCCTCCTCGACAAGGGGGCTCGACTCGCGGGGCCGTACGAGAACAACACACCGCATTTATACTGGGTCGTTGTCAGCAAGAGGTTACCCATGCTGAAGCTTCTGCTAGAGCGGGGGGCGGATCCGAATGAGAATACGGATACGGGCACGGCGCTGCACACGGCGGCGGAGTTGGGCGATGTGGAGGCCGTGAAGATGCTGTTGGAGCATGGGGCGGAGGTTAATGTGCTGGATGAGGGGGAGTCGGATTCGCCGCTGCATAAGGCGGCGGAGTATCCGGAGGGTGATATCGAGGAGCCGTATTCGCGAGAGAGGGTTGTTGCGCTGCTGTTGGAGCACGGGGCGGATCCGTTTCTGTTGAATGAATCTGGGGATCCGCCGATTCAGGAGGCGAGGATGTGGGGGAATCGAACGATTATTAGGATGCTGAAGGAGGAGATGAAGAGGCTGAGGCCGGATGATACGGAGTGGGTGGAGGATGAGAGTGGAGATGAGGAGGAAGATGACGACGAATGCGACGACGATGAAGCAGCCGATGCTCGTTAGGAGGGAATGGAGAATTCTGGGTCATCTTCTGCAGCCTGAATGTGGAGGAAGGAAAGAATAGATCTTTCTATTATTCATACTGAGAATAGCTCGCTGTATTGCATGTCAGGTTCACATCTCAGGTTTCGTTCGGGTTCATTCATGGCCAAATCACAGTCCCAGTCCCCTCCAGACAACCTCATTACATCGAGTCAAGAAATCCACCGCCTCGTTCCTCTCATGCCATGCGTCATTATACGCCGCACTCAACGCCAATTGCCCTCTGAACGTGCCCAGGAACACCCCCAGGCCAGTCCCCAGCTCTTCTCCCGTGACCCACGGATCACTCAGCTCGAACACCCCCTGAGTCGGGGTAATGATGCGATCAATGACCCCCATACTGGAGATCGAAACCGAAGGCGATGCATCCGGCTTTGGAACCGGAGGGACCGCACCGTCCTTCGGGTCCGGATACGGCGGAGTGCCCTTCGCCCAGTACAAAGGAGCCTTGGGAAGATGGCCTGCGTCGTCGCGGATTTCGAGGTAATGCTTTTTGATTTCCGACGCGACGTGCTTGAACTCCGTCGTCTCTTGCGATTGCAACTCTGCGTCGCTTGTGCCCGCCGCAGGGACCGCCATGTCCACGATCAAGCTGCGACCCGACACGGAGTGATAGACGGATGCCGCGTGCGTGGGCGTGTTGTAGGGCGGGTTGCAGTGGCTGCGTTCGTTAATGAGACAGTAATTGATATACCTGACCATTCTCTCGTCCTTTGCTCTGGGCTGCAAGTCGCGCACAATAATCGCAATCCCCGCGTGATACGCATGCGTCACACTAATTCCCATCTTCTTGCATGCTGCGAGCACCCTCTGCGTTTCGTCCTCCGGCAGCGTCAAGTCCACGCGCTGGTGTATTCCCGGACGCTCAGCCCCCTTCGCATACGGCAGCGAAGCGATCTCAACGCCCGATTGAAGCGACGCATTATACTCCTCGAGCTCATCACATTGCGCCTGCTGCTCCGGCGACAGAGACGTCGGAATCGAAGCCGCGACACGCAGCGGGGGACTCAGATTCTTCGCCTCGTCCCCAAACACCAGAGGACCCAGCGTCGAAAGCTGTCCCCACGCACCCGCCGCATTCTTGATCAAATTATCCAACAAATGCAGCGTGCCAATCCCATCGATAATATCATGATGACACCGCAGGACCAGATCGCACCGAAACACTCCCTCCTCCTGCCCCGCCTCCGCCGGAACGACCATAAACACCGTCGGCATCTTCGGCACCGGCGGATCCCCATTACACCACTCCTTGCCCGTGACGCCAGTCTCAACGACCCGCAGCGTCTCATCAAGCCAGACATCTTGCGCACTCCCCTCGCCAAACATCTGATACACTTTCTTCGACTTCCTCGTCAGCGCATCGAGCTCCGTCCAAGACGCAATAGTCGGATGGTCATATCGCAGCTGGAGCCAAGCCCGTCGCAGGGTGTTATAAACCCGATCTTTCGTTTCAGGCCTTGACGAGCCGTTCTCGACGGGAACAGACAGCGACAGGTGGCCTGTCATTCCGAAGAAGACGCGTCCGCTTCCCTCGTAGACGCGGGCCATGGTGGTGTAGAACTGCTCGGCCTCGTCGATGCCGCGCTCCCATCGGCCGGGGCTGGTTTCGCGCCAGTGCAGGGACTCATAGTTGGGGATTGTCATGTTGACGAGCTTGACTTGATACTGTGTCAATGGGGCAGCGGGTGAAATTTTTAGGTCGTATGTCTCAGTCCGGGGTGCAAGGTATGCAGAACGAGAAGCAGATGTCGTTGAACATGAAGATGGTAATCCATGCGGTTTATGAGTGCGAGTATGCGATGGCATAACCTGCCGGAAAGGGAAGTGCTGCCAGCCAGTGGAGCCCTCAGGCAGACGTTTCAGGTGTCGGCGTGGCTAAACTTCGGCAGTCGGCGTGTCGCCCCGACATTCCGGGTGTTGTTCACTGGTTATTTGTTAAAGTGTGATTTTCTCAGGTGGAAATACGTCCTGACTAAGCGGACATAACCACTGCTGTCCGATGAATAATTGTTGCCTGGGTTGAAATATATCATAAAGACGGTGAGCGGGAGGCGCGGATGACGAAATTCCTTCCTGTGGCAATTCATTAGTTGTAGTTCAAGGCAAGCCCCTAGCATACTCGGTTATGTCCAAGGAAAAGGGACGGAGATTAAGGAACCAGAGGGGTAAGAACAATGGGTGCAAGAAGACTGACATAAGGACTGAAGCTAATAAGTCCATAGTGTCATTCTTAGATCAATGACAGCAGTGCTCTGGCTCGTGTTGTCAAAATATGAAGCCTTTTCCAACAATTGGCCGGATGGTGTAGTTGGTTTATCACGTATCGTTAACACCGATAAGGTCCTGGGATCGAGCCCCAGTCTGGTCATTCTTTTTGTTTTCATCTTTTTCGTGTCTTAGTGTCGGTCTAGATATTTGGTTTCATTGTATATATTTTTTTCTTTTTTCTTTTTCCGTTGACCCCTTGCTTCCTTCCCCCGTGTATTACTCCGATTGGAAGCCGCACCATCAACTACAACTACCTACAGTCCATGCAATGGCATACAATACATGTCTCATTTCTATAGGTCTACCACTACCTATACAACTCACACGGAGTTCGAGTTATCAGCGCACGAAAACGCCGCCGACCCGCCCGACGCCTTGTACGACTGCATGATGGCGACGACGGAGCCGTAGGTGCCGGCCACCATGAGGAACGTGCCGAGAACAATGACAAACACGCTCCAGCCGACCATGAGCACCCACCGTTTGGACCCCTCGCTCTTGCGGTGCCAGTTATCGTACAGCCACATGCAGCCCATGGGCTGGAAGCACATCAGCGTGCCCAGCAGGGCGCCGATCAGCGACACCAGCGAGTCGAACACCGGGATGGCGCTGGCGATGATGTACGCGATCACCGTGACGCTGAGCGTGCAGCCGAACCACGTACTCCAGTGCACCCAGGTGTTGCTGGTCAGGTGCCGCGAGCCGCGGAGGAGAGTCAGGAAGACGTACTTTGCGGGGATCTATGTGTCGCAAACAGGGGATGGGTTAGTTGGAAGATGCTAGGACCAGTGGGGAGGATCATACGTGTGTGACTATGGTCGTGGTGACGATGAGGCCGGGCAGCGCGATGCCGTAGCAGATTTGCTTGACGAGGCCGCCGGCGGAGCCGAGGGCTGGCGATGAGACGTACGAGCCGCAGTAGTAGTACAGCACGACGCCGATGACGATGTATACGGTTGTTACGCCGGCCTGGCAGATCAGCAGCGCGGTGGTGTATTGGCGCGGGTTACGCATTTCGGACGCGATGGAGAAGAAGCCGGGGGTTCCGGAGAAGGCGAAGAGCAGGGACGAGACGGCCGAGATGGCCTCGGTGAAGGTGGGATTACCGACGACTTTGAAGTCGGAGACCCAGGGCCCGTCGGTCTGCGGTGCTGCGGCTGGGCGGTCTTGTACGCCGACGGCGATGGTGACGATGAGAACTGCAAGGGGTATGAGAGGGTGGTTTCTACAGGCCGCGCATCTACGGCAGTGGGGGGAATGCGATCGTACTTGCGGTTAGAATACTGGGGAGTCCGACCCATGCGAGCCAGGTTATACGACCGAGAGTGCGGATGCTACCGAGGGCAAATCCTAGAATGGCGGACACGGCGACGAAGATGGCCGTGCAGGCGCCGTGGGTGGAAATGGCGTTCAGGCTGATCGAGATGCCGAGGATCCCGGAGCCGTCGATGAAGATCCAGACTGCGCAGGTTGAGTGGAGGCTCTGGTGTGGAATTGAAGGGTACGTACAGAGAGTAAATACCACGCCGAGGAATCCGCGGCCCACAGGCCCGAATATTAGGCCGCCGGCGTCGTCGATGCTGTAGACTTCACGGTGGTTGACCTTGAAGGTACCGATCACGTAGTCAGACCAAGTGGTGATACAGGAAACGGCGATCAGGCAGATCACACCCGGAACCATGCCGAGAACATTGAAGGCCGTGGGAATGGACAGCACGCCCAGGCCTATTTGGGTCTTCATCATGAGAACGATGGTTCCCAGAAAGCCCACCTAGATGGAGTATCAGAACACCGGGGGCATTTGAGTATCAAGTAGAGCGTTCCCCGTGCACACATTACGATAGTTCGGTCCTTCTTCCGTGATTTCTCCAAACACGGCATCATGCGTGGCATCCTCGTACGGAGGGATCTCAGGGTCCTCTTTCTTCGATTTCGACGGGTCTGAGGGATTCATGGTGGCGGTTAGGGGATTGGGTCAATTGAGACTTTTCTCGAACAGGGCAGCCGGCGAGTGGAGCCTTATATAGGAGTCCCGGGGCCCTGGGGACCGGCAAATGGCCCATTGCGTCGACGGGCAACTCAGCTGAGGGTGAATTCTCTGCGACTGCGGACTACTACCGTGGTCCCTCAATCGGGCTTAAGGTGCGGGGGTTGCAGTGGAGCATCTCTACCCCATATCCGCGGGTGGAGCCCGGCGGTTTCATTTCGCTTCTGGTGAGTCTTCACCGGAACTCCCGTGGCATGCCAGTTTTCCGGCCGGTGCGGAGATGCCCATCTCGTCAATCGACAGAGACAGATGTCGGGAGGGACCGGATTCTAGAAGCGCCGCATCGAAGGCAATGACAGGCCGTTGGCAGGCTGCACGAAAATGCCGCAACGAGGATTGACGAGGCCATGTGTTCGCGGTGAAGATCCGCGACGTCATCGACGATACTACTAAAGTCACCTGGTCTCCCCGCGCCGCTAACGCCGAAGGGGCAACGGTGGTGAGATCACCGGGAATGCTCGCCGCTTCGGGCATGTGGAGTCCATGGCCCAGTTGCAGGTATTCACTCTCACTGGGCAATGGTTTAACTCGGCTGAGGCTGCGGTGGCCGCCGTCGATCGCAAAAGCAAGTTGGCAGACCGCGATCCTGGCTGCACATCTGCCGCTGGCAAATCAGCGTGGAGATTATGTATATTATGTCGACATGCTCGCACTAGCTGCATTGGCGCTACCTTAGTTGCTACGACCGCTTGACTGCCCTCCAAGACGACTCCGCAGTCATGACATCTTAAAGCAAGAATCGCCCATGATTTTCGATAGAAACAAACCAGTGCGTGCGTTGTCATAGAATGATATCACCCCAAGATAAGCCCGCGGGAAACGATAGGGAAACGGGAGATAGGCGATCTGCCTGCATTATCTTCATGGTGGATTGAATGCACTGATTCTGCCGTTATCTTTTCGGTGTGATATTGACCACGTTACAAATCGATTCGACCGGATTGACCACACCGACAGGGGCAAACCGCCACCCGGACACCCTCGAAATTCAGCATCAGGTAACACGAAGGGGAAAAGAATGCGACCGGTTCTTCGGCTAGACCGTTCTTGCATTCTTGTCGTTTCAAAAGATGAAGACTAAACTATAAATCCAGGACCGTTGGCCAACCAAAAGTCACATGGACGGGATTTCCAAGCGATCGCCTGCTTTTATTGAAGACCGGTGAATGAGATTGTTCGAATGGTTACGGTATAATTGCCAAGTTACGCATGGAGTCGCCCGCAAAACACACCGGCGCCTGTCTTTGCCGTGAAATCCGTTTTACTGTCGACGGCCAACCCGCTGCAGTATATTGCTGCTACTGCCGGGACTGTGTTCTTGGGGCGGGAGGCCCTTGTCAGATTGTGAGTCTAGACCGTGTATCCGGACGGCGTCAGGGGTTTCGAGCGCTTATTATTACTCAATAGACTGCAAGTTATGCGGCTTCTCAATTTACCCTACACGATCCTACCGGGTGTCTTGCCACCTTCACCATCCGGGATACCGCAAGTGGACACCCGAAAGATAAGTGTTTCTGCAAGCAATGTGGGTGCACAATCTACACCGTGCCTTGGAGCGACGGGCCTCGAAGTGTTGTGATACGACCGGCTTTGATCGAGAACGGGTACGTGAACGGCACCATTCGCTTCGTTGATCGCAATATAATCCTCCAAAATAGGCTAGAGATATTCAAACCGTCGATCGAGTGTTTCGCCGACCGGTGTCCGAGTTATTTCCCCCAATGCCAGATAGCTGAATGACGCTCGAGCGCTGGGATGCGAGGGCGACGGTCTTCGGATTCTGACTATGATGACAATGGGACTATAGACGACGGCGCGGGTCAATAGTGTTAAAGTCACAGTTCTGGTGACCAGTCTTGGGGATATCTTGTCCAGTATTAATTGCCTTGAAGGGGAAACCGGGTCCGGGCATATCTGCATGCAACCTGCACATTCCAGGAGACCATCTATTCGCCACCTACACCAGATCTCAGGAACAATTCGACATATCGAGTAAGACCACTCCGCGATCTTGCTGGATGACACTATCTGCTACCCCTGACATGGGAGATAGGCAAAGTCAGGTCAAAGCTGATGATCAAGATATTGGACTTGTCCTGATATCTTGATTTATTTTCGTTTTATGTAAGAGATTTTCTCCCTGGTATCTGATATGAGCCGGGACATTTATACTATTTTGGGTAAAAGAATGCATAGCGAATCATAGGAGACTCGTAACAATCCCGTTGATAGACCCTTCTCCAACAGGACATTGATCCTGTCATGCGGAGTAGTCGGGAAAGACGATACAAAAGGATCTGGCTGTAGTGACTGCCTTGCTTTCCGTCGGTAAATCAAGGGTTGAGTGTCGCAGTGTCCGGTGTCCGTCTTAACAGTTTATCATTCTCGCCGTATTGATTTGTTGACTCCAGTAAAAGTTTGACAGTACAAACCTGGACAAATGGAACTCGAGTGTAGATAGATCCTGGAAAAGGGGAAGGTGGATGGTAGAAGGTATACTTGTCAGAGTATAGAAGACAATGAGCCAGGCCCAGACTGATCCAGGCCAGACTAGTTTAGCCCCCGGATTGTCCCCAGGTTCTCATCTTCCTTGCCGAATCTGGACAAGTCTATGCCAATCAAACGAGGCGATTGCCAACCAGACCTGCATTAGCGTATTGCATCTGCAAATCATGAATTACATCGCCTGTTAGTGGTCAAGAGACCGGTCTAAAAACCAAGCCTAAGCCCCGATCGGGTAAGAATAGTGAGAGCAGCTCGGATCGAAGATAAACGCGGGGTTGGGCAGCTACAGATACGAGACTATGTGGAGAGAGCCCTGGCTTCATGGCTTGTTGGAACTCCGGTTCCGCCATTCATAGACAAGCTGTATCCCCAGCTGTCGCCATTTCGTGAGTGTGGTGGATCGAACAAAGGCTTCACTGCATTGTGGAGGTGCCCAAAAATGGCAAGAATCATGAGATATAGCATGCAAAAGCACGGTCGGATCAAGCGGTTGTGTAACAATCTTATCATCACGGTCCACATGAGCCCATCTCCATGTTATCTGGGGATGCTGCGGGGATGGGCATAAAAAAGCGTCGCTGTCACGGCTTGAGAAGGGTATCTTCAATTCCTCGAACATCTTCAAACACATCTTCTCCGGTGTTTCTCTCTCTCAAGACACAGCCATGTCTTCTATGCTGCACTACCTCCGCTTCGGCTCCTCCAAGGAGGAGCAAGCACCGGCAAAGGATACCCCAGTTCGGGCCTTGCCCGCATCGTGGTACACTACGCAGGAGATGTACGAGCTCGAGCGTCGCGCCATCTTCTCGAAGCGCTGGATCTTCCTCACCCACAGCTCGCGGCTCAAGGAGCCCGGGGACTTCCTGCGCTACGAGATGGCCGGCTTTGACTTCTTCGTTATCCGTGACCGTCAAGGCAACGTCAACGCGTTCCACAATGTCTGCAGACATCGCGCCTACCCCGTGATCGAGGACCAGAGTGAAGGAAACAAGAAGATCGTCGCCTGTCGCTACCACGGCTGGTCCTATGGGCTCAACGGCAAGCTGGCCAAAGCCCCGGGATACAAGGAGCTGGACGGATTTGACAAGGAGCAAAACAGCCTTTTCGGCATCCATGTCAAGGTGGACGTCAACGGATTCATCTGGGTGAATATGGATGCGAAGGAAACGCCCGAGGTCTCCTGGGAGGAGCACTTCAGGGACGTGGATAAGCAGGAGCGCTACAAGGCGTACAACTTTGACGACTATGACCTCGACCACAGCTACGAGCTCGAGGGCGCCTACAACTGGAAGATTCTGGCAGATAACTTCAACGAATGCTACCACTGCCCTACCACGCACGCCGATATCCCCGAGTTCCTCAACCTCGACTCCTTCGGCAGCGACACCAAAGACGGACATATCCAGCACCACTGCGTCTCCACGCCCGAGCAGATCGAAAAGGGCCTCTACACCGCAAGCACATACTACTTCCCGGTATCCGCGATGGTCGTGTCGTAAGTTCTCATCCCCCAGTTCCCAAAACCACGCTGGAATCCGCAAATACTAACCACCAACAGACCGCACTTCATCATGGTGCAAAAATTCCTCCCCAAAGGCCCCCGAACCTCCTCCATGGCCTACGAAATCTACCGAAACCGCAACTCCGCCGAGTCCGACTTCAAACTGATCAGCGACATGTACGCGCGCGTGATGGGTGAAGACAAAGTGCTCTGCAACAACGCGCAGAAGAATCTCGACCGAGGCATCTTCACCAACGGCCAGCTGCACCCGACCTATGAAAAGGCGCCGCTGTTCTTCCAAAGCACCGTCCGCGACGTCATCACGGAGCACTTCAACCGCGAGAAAGCCGAGGGCCAGCAGGTGTGGCCCGCGAGGCCGAAGTTGCCCGCCGACGCTAAAGTGAGTGAGCAGGACGAGGAGATTTGTTCCGGGCTGGCCTGTGGAGCGCAGAAGGAGGTTTTGGCTTGGTAGGGCTTTTTGGACTTTGCGAGTTGTGCATTTTGGTTTTGGTTCTGGGTCCTTCGTTTGTATGTAGTTAGCCATTGGCGTCTTTTTGTGTTAGCCTGTATTTCTTGATATTGAATTGGCATTTTCTCTCTTTTATTTCCGATGTGAATTCCTTTCGAAGATTTTCAATCCACATGTCAGAAAGCAGCAAGGTACAACATTCAATTCCGACAGTTTGCCACTAAAAAGCCTTGACCCCTCGGTGGCCATCCGCAAAGAATCGGCTTCTATTCCGAAATGCCGAGATCGCCTCAGGATGATCTTCGTGCATGCGTATTCCGACGGTTCCGAGTAGTTGGGATCAATCATGCACTGCAGATCGATCAACTCACATGTTCAAACCGAAGCTTAATTAAAGCATTCTGTATCAGCAGTACATGAGCACGCATTGCTTGCAAGCTAAACACAACTCTCAAGTACTTTTCAATAGCCGCAATATGTTAATAACAAGAACATCGACAACCATCCGTTCCGAGCCCGAGTAAAGTTTCACGCTCGCCGGCTCCACACTTGCGTCATCCGCGGATTCACTCACGACCCAGGCGGCCTCATAAAATATAAAACCCAAACCGCCTTGACTGCAAAATCACACGCCCCAATTAGTGCAATTCGTCTTCAATCGCCATGGCCCTCGAGCTCCTCCCCGTCACAGAAGCGGACATCCCGCGGATATCCGACCTCATCTTCCAATCCTTCGAATCGGACTACCTCCACGTGCTGATGTTTCCGCGCGAACACCTCCCCAGCTATAAAGAATATATGCATGACTTCCTCTGCGCAAAACTGCCCGATCCGAACGTGAAGTCACTCAAAGTCATCGACCCAAGCCTATCCGGCGACGCGGCCATCGTCGGCTACGCGCGGTGGAGGTTCCCGAGTGGCGAGACCTCAACGCCACGAGACACACCAAGCGGAGAAAATACCACGACAGGCAAGACCTCGACCTCGACCTCGGCCTCAACAACGGCCGTGCCCTTCCCACCCCACGCGAACCAGCCCCTGTGGGACTACTTCGGCGCCGAGATCGCGAAACTCCGTGGGGTATTCGTCGACCCGGCGCGCGACTTCGTGCTGGAGTTTCTAGCGACTGATCCGGTGCATCAAGGACGCGGGATTGGTAAGGTTATGTTGAAGTATGGGCTGGAGGAGCTAGATCGGAGGGGGAATGGGGCGAAGGCGTATTTGGAGGCCACGGAGGTTGCGATCCCTATGTATAGGAAGTTTGGGTTCGAGGCTTTGGGCTCGATTAATGTGCCGTTGGAGGGGTTTGGGGTGGGGGATAATGGGGTTTATACGTCTGTTGTTATGGGGAGGGGGGCACGATAGAATTGGGGTGGTAGAGAGTGTAAGATAGATTTGGGTTGATAGATGTTTAATAGAGATTACTGTCGTCAGGCTACTAAGAACAGTCAGAGCAAACCTGATGCAAAGGAGTAAGCATGAACAAAGTAAACTAACTGCATTTCTACCAAACCAACAATAGTAACTGACCCAATCAAATAAGAATCAATCAACAAAAACAGGATACTCATCGCCATGCTTCCACGGAAACAGCTGCAGATTCTGGGCATTCAACAAATTGACATACTGCGCCAAGGCACTCATCAAAGCCAAGAAATCCTCTCTCGCGGCCTCCTGATCATCCATTTTCTCAACCTTTTCTGTCAAAACCGCATCGATCTTTCGATTAGTCGAGCAGAGGAAATGCGCGCCCACGTAGCCCACAAACTCCGCAGGCGTGGGCACAAACACTCTATACATGCTGATCAAATGCTCCAGGTCGAAGTGCGGCTGGGTCGCTGCCGTCTTCAGTATGTTATTGAGGATGTAATACCCCAGCGTTCGAATCTCGCTGTTTATAAAAAGCATGGTCGCGAAGTAAGAGTCCTTAGAACCGGCGTGGGACGTGGCTCGTCCCTGATGGATGATTTCTAGGTCCGAGGAGATTCCGGACCAGGAGAATTCCGTCTTGCCGGTTGCATTAGCATTGCGGTCGCAATGTATGATGGACGGGAGGAGTCTTACCTCGTTGTGAATCTGAAGCACCAGCTCCTTGACTTCATCAGTCACGCCTGTCCGCTCTAGCGTAAGTGGAATGTGCCCCTTCGGTTCTGCCTCGGTAGCATCCCACACGATAACCTCGATAGGATCGGAGGCCTCATTGCATGCTTCCCAGAGAAGCGAGCCGGCCTTCTTCAGCTTCTCGATGTCCTCGGGTACCACGTATCCGCACGGCGCGGCGGGGAGGTCCTCGGTCAGAGTGCCGTATTTGATAGCCATATGCTGGAAGCCGGAGAGGAAGACGGTTCCGTCGGGCTCGAGCGCTCTGTTTGGGACTTTGTGATCTGGGTGAGTGTACTTTTGTACTGTTTAGCCTCAGCTCAGGGAATTGTGTGAGGGGAGGGGAGACTTACAATCAATGCCTCTGCGGGGACCAGATGGTACAAATGGTCGCCGGAAACGAGGGCATGGCTCTGGAGCGAGCGATAGGGAAGCTTGCTGAAAAGCAGATTGACTAAGGCAGGGTTTCTTTCGGTCATGATCGCCGTGATCATGATGTTGAGTTTGGGCCAATGGATTTTAATAGTCCGGGGCTGCTCGAGAGTTGTGCCGACTGCCATGTTTGCGTGTTTGCGTGTACTTGTTCAGGGAACGAGTTGTTTACTTGCGGATGAAGAATGAGTCTTGAAGATTCAATGGGGCTCTATATATACTATTTCCTGTCATATGCTCGCTTGTCAATTCTCTATTGAGTATCTTATTTTCAATCAGATCTGCCAGGTTATGTCGCCCTCGGAGATTCAGATCACAAGAGCTGAAGTCATGTCACCCGACTTGAGAAATCCTTGCTGGAATCATTAGGGCTATAACTATCCCATCATTTCACTGGCACCAGATTTCCTGATTTGTATTTCCGATTGTACATGTCCTTCCGCTTTCAAGACTGCCTATTAAACGCCGGGATAAAAATGACGAATTCGAAGCAGGACCTTGATTCCGCCATTCTACGACCGGTTCAACATCCCAGCATAGTTTATTCCCGAGTACGAACCAGAAAACCAACCCAGCCCGATAGGTATTTCAGACCAGCTGAGAACCCTCATACCATCCCAGCAAAATCTCAACATATTGAATAAACCAACTTCGCGGTCCAAATACCAAATACAGAACTATGTCCAGCGACCCCTTCCGACGAACCTGCCTCATTCCCTACGCAAACCCCGATTCCCTCCCTCCCCTTCTCCGCGAGAAACTCAACATCCTTCCCTTCCGCCGCAATATTCTCTACACGGTGGCTCAATCCCGCGGACTCGGGCCTCATTTCCTCGGCCTCATCGGAGCCTGCTTCGACGGCGGACAGCGGAGTCTCCCGGAACTAGATTGGCAATTAATCGTGCTCCGAGTTGCTAAGAATTTGGACTGCAAGTACGAGTGGGACGTGAATGTCCCCGTCGCGGAGGTTCATGGTATGCCGCGGGAGAAGATCAAGAGTATCGGCCGTACCCTTGAGGATGGGAAAGGGCCTTGGACAGAGCGGGACAGGATTCTAATACGACTGGTGGATGAGCAATTGGCGAGGTATACGAACAAGGAGGAGACGGTGAGGCAGGCGCTGGGGATTCTGAACGAGGGGGAGCTGGTGGAGGTGTTGATTGTTATTGGGGTTTATGCAGTGTTGGCAAGGCTGATTAAGGGGCTGAGGGTTGATGATGACCCGCCGATTCGGGGGTTGAAGGACTTGATTCGGCGGTCTATTACGGCTACGGAGTGAGGGATCCTACTGTGTTTTTGCTATATAGATAGGTTTAAATGGTTGGATTCATTTGCATCTAATGTGCTCCTCTTCTGACATTTTGCTGGGAATTATGATGTCACGAGGATAACGAGTATCCAGAACTCTGACCCATTATATGCTCACAAAACCTGCCCTGTTTTTGCCACACCTTCCATACTGCTTCGGTGCCTCACATGGTCAGCTTTCCATCGACTAAGATGATTGTGTGGACGAGGTATTTGATGCTGCTGGTCTGGTGGTTTCTGAGCAGATTCTGTAAACGCTGTTGTAGCTAGGGTTAGGGTTGTTCAGGTGGACATCGAGTCTTCAGGGTAAACATATCATTGCTATCTCAAAATACACAATCAGGGCCATTCTACAGGTTACTTAAAGTCGACTTATCACAATTCCCGCCCGGCGCAAATCACATCATCCCTCACCTTGCAACTTCCACCGGAAACAGCAAGGAATCACGCTTTGCAGCACCCACACACCAGGTATGGAGGATTCATTCAGACTAGAGCCCCAAGGGCATAAAAACTGAAATTTTTTATTAAACAGTACCGAATTGCTTTTGACGGAGATCCCTATTCTCTCGTCCCCTGAGAATTCATGATCAAGCTTTCACGAGGGCGACAACTCTGATCATTCTTTTGAGAGCTTGGTGACTGAACAAAAATGATTTCGTCGCTGATTCACTCTCATATATGAAGGAACAAATGAAAGCCTCCCATTGTTTCTATACAACCCACTAATATAGCATCCAGAACAAATGTTATGGCCTAGTGATCCTGCTGCATGGCATGCCTAGGGTGGGTAAGACGTCAGCTGCAAAAACCGCGGCCCGCAAGTGTAAGTCCATTACTGCGATTACCTGCGGAGATCTAGCGCTGGAGGCAGTGCATATCGACAGGTTGCTCAAAGAAATGTTCCGTTTAGCTTAGCTATGGAATTACCTTCTAGTTACTGAGGAATGCTTCTCTAGGAATTCCAGCTGGGCGAAAGACATGTATAGAATTCTAGAAATTGCTTCCTGGGCATTGTAGGAGAGAAGGCGGACAGAATATGATATCTAGGCCTTAATTGCACATGGAGACATCATGATCCAACGAGACGGATGATTCTATGGCATTCTTATCGAATGATATTAAAATTGAAGGACGGGAAGAAGTATCCAACAAACCCACCGCAGCCTTGTGCTACTTTTAAGAGCGCGAAACTAGCAGCCTACGCCAAGACAAGCTAATCTCGCCCCTCTTGCATCCTTCAAATGCCCTGACAGCCTCGAAGCGGTCATTTGACATCCCTAAACTATGAGCTCGTAGAGCTAAGCCTTGCGTACTAATGGGAACTTATTGCGAGAAGCATGTACCCGCTGACATTGCCACCAAGGCAACGGTATAATCCACCAGGAAAAGACACGGAGTGTGGCGGAAGCAGCTTCCGGGATCTAAAGAAGACGAAGGATCGGAATCCCCGAAAACGTGGGAACTAACGCAGGCTTGGTGGCCCGTGTTTCAATTGATTTTATGGAGCATTCTTGACTTAACAGTCCAATACATATATCTGACTCCCAAATTTATTTCTATTTTATTTCTTTTTCTTCCCTATCCTTGGCTATCTGCCTTAGTGGCAATGTGTAGAAAACCCAGCACAATCGGCTGATTTTAACGGGCAAATTGAGAGAGCGAATTTTTTGCCTTAGTTTGTTTCCGGTTAGTGCGCGATTCTGCGACGACGCTAAATGCGCAAAACCATCACTTAGTTTTGTTAGTACGCCGAGATAGTACGACGCAGTGGAGGAGCCAGCAAAAATTTCCTTTTTGGGATGACTCTAAATTACAACGCCATCGATATAAACGAGATTCCCAAATTCCACCCGCGCTCAGTGGCCACGTTTTGCCATTCTGAATCACTATCGGCTTTAACTTGCATGTCCAGATGTCCTCAACCAATTGCACCGGAGATTTCCGGTTATTCGCATGTCATGCTGCCACCTTGTCACATGATCATGTCTATATAGTCGCCCTTCATCTCCTTCATGTTCTGATTCCTCTTTTCTCAAGTCTATCTTCTCATTCCTCTACTTTAATTTCCTATACCTGTAATCTTTTGACTTGTGCCACTTCGATATCACAATGACTCAATCTGTCCTCATCACAGGCTGCAGCGAAGGCGGCATCGGGTCCGCTTTAGTGGAAGAATTCCACGCTAAAGGGCTGCATGTTTACGCGACCGCTCGTTCTAAAGCCAAAATGGCACATCTCAAAGAATTGCCAAACGTCAGCTTCCTTGAGCTAGACGTAACCTCTTCGTCGAGTATCGAGGAGGCAGCGAAGTTCGTCCAGGACCATGCCGGGAAGCTCGATATTCTAGTCAACAACGCCGGTCAATCCATGGTGTATCCGGCTTTAGACAGTGGCATTGAGAATTCAAAAAAGCTGTTCGATATCAACTTCTTCGGGCCGGTTGCTGTGACTCAGGCTTTCGCTCCCCTAATAATTGCTGCGAAGGGCACTGTCGTGAATGTCTGTTCGATGTCGGGCGTTGCGAATGCGCCGTGGTTGAGTAAGTTTGCTCTTATCCTCTGAGATCGCATTTTGGAACAGCATATTAACCACTACTCCAGGTGTATACAATGCCTCCAAAGCAGGTCTCCAATCATGGAGCGAGAGCCTCCGACTAGAACTCCAGCCATTCGACGTGAAAGTTATCTCACTAGTCACCGGCTCCGTTTCAACAAATCTGCTCACGCACTCTGATATTCGCTTGCCGGAAGATTCGCTGTACCTCAAGGCGGCCGATCGGATCCAAGCGCGCGGAGCGGGCCAGGACGTGAAGTCGAAGGACTCTCCCGCTGCGTTTGCGCAGAAGGTTGTGGAGGATGTCCTCGGCGGTGCTAGGGGGCTGGTTTGGCGCGGGAAAGCAGCATCGGTAATATGCTTCCTGTCGAAGATTGCACCTATGTGGTTTATGGTAAGTCACATTTTTACATCCCTGATGGATAGAGCTGACAATGTTTTCCCTACTAGGATCTTGCCTTGTCGTTTGGTACGGGCCTTGATCGATTGAAGTGATTTTTCTTTTTGCTTGTTCAAAATGTACATATACCCCAGACCATAAAATAGCATGGATTTGAAGACTTTATGACCAGTGTGAAGTAGAACTATAGAATGTTTGGTCCCGGTGATATCTCGGAGCTACACGACCCACTGTCGAGCGGGCATATCCACCGTTGTATAATTTTGGGTCTTATTCACTCCAGAATGTATCTTTTTGCCAACAATGAGTCGCTTAAACCCCTAATCTGACAGCTCACATGTATAATAGCAGCAGAAAAAGCTGTCGGTGAAATGTGTCTCCGATCCGGAAATTACTGCGCCAACCCAGTCTGACTCAGCAATCGCCCATCTTAGCCATTCCAGGGGCACAATTCATGTCCATGAGCATCTAATTCACGAAGCTAGATACAAGCGGGTTTCGCTCGTGATGTTCCAAACACGTCGTCTTCTCAGAGAGGAGATCACTCTTTCAGGTGCCAAGCAGCGAGAAGTCAACGTACTTCATCAGCTAGGCTATTACGACCAACAATGCTCCTTCTTCTCCGAACTGTATGCGAAACGAGAATGGATGAAAGCAGTAGTTGCCCATCACCTTGGGCTAGGTTCAACGCAAGGATTTCGCGTTGCAGAAGTACAAGACTGGTCTAGAGGCAGCTTCAATGTCTGCATTCCCATTACGGTCGAGAAATGGGAGGGCCTACAGCCCGGAGCCGAGTCATGCTCCGCATTCCTCTCCCTTATCGCGTGGGCGAAAAGTTCAGACCAGGAAATGCGGACGAGAAGATACGATGCGAGGCTGGTGCGTACGCATGGCTTCAGCATAACTGTCCGGACATTCCGATCCCCCGGCTTTATGGGTTTGCTTTATCAACAGGCGAATGTGTATGTGATTGAATTTTCTCCGTGGAGTTTGAAGAATCTAATGGAAAATCAGTATACACATTATAATAACTTGCCTTTTATAAGCCGTTGTTTACAATCTGTTCGCAATTATCTGCGCTCTTGGTTTGGTTTCCCGTTGCCCTCAAATTATTGTGTCCATCCATTCCGGTCCAGTCAGTCTATGCATCACACCAACAACCTCGGATACTTATTGATAGAATGCATCGAGCAAACGCAAGGAACGATGCTCTCAAACACTTGGCTTCAAAACCAAAGTAACGCCGAACTGCGTGGAAATTTCTTTCGAGACCTTTCCCGACTGCTGTTAAGCATCAGTCGAATCCCCTTGCCTCGCATTGGATCATTCACCATTGGTGGAAAGGGCTACTTGACTCTCGACAATCGCCCACTCACGATGGAGTTGCATGAATTGGAAAATGAAAGCATTCCTACTGATCTGTCTCGAGAGTACACCTACCACACCGTCGAATCCTACGTCGCGGATTTACTAGCCACCCATGATAACCGCCTTCGATACCAGCCTAATGCCGTAAACAACGTGCAGGATTGCGGTTACCAGATGTCGGCCTTGGCAGCAATGCGCACAACTGCCCCTTTGTTCTATAGTCGAGATCTCCGCCGCGGACCTTTTGTTTTCAGCCTCACAGACCTCCACCAAAGCAATATTTTCGTCGATGAGAAGTGGAATATCACCTGCCTTGTCGACCTTGAGTGGGCCTGTTCTCGACCTATTCAAATGGTTGAACCGCCGTACTGGTTGACTAATAAAGGTGTTGATGAGATCGATGCAGAGGAATACGATAAATACCGCAGGGAATTGATGGCTGCGATGGTCTCAGAAGAGGCGAAATTGGAGAATACGGAGCATAAATCTCCACTGTTGTCCGAGGTAATGGAACAGACATGGGCTACTGGGACATTTTGGTTTTCATTGGCTCTTTCCAGCCCATCCGGGCTTTTCAGGCTGTTCTACGAACACATCCAACCACTATTGTCCAAACACGAATCGCACGAAATTGGTGAAATCATGCCGTTTTATTGGGGCAGAAATGCGGGGAAATTTGTGGCAGAAAAGCTCCAAGACAAGAAAAGATATGACCATGAGCTTCAGGAAGCTTTCGAAACGAGTCCGTGTTGTAATGAATGTTGAAGAAGAGGGGGGAAATATAAAGGAAAGTTCAAAACGACCCCCGCTATCCGATCTCACTTTCTCTAGGCGCAAGGTTACAGAAGACTGAGACGTACAGCACCCGGAATTATCTCTTTTAGAGTATAGAACCTGTGACAAATTTCTCTGCCGCTAGCCAGGTCTCCATTAAGCCTCACAAATGAGTGGTACCACTGGTGGAATTTCTGTCCACAACTTGTTCTTGAGAATTTGAATTTACGCAACTGAAAACAGGTTCATGAAGGACGCCTCCCAGCACTGAAGAAACAAGCTAGCTCCCCTTCTCTAGAACCTCGATGACTTGCCACTGGTTTGCCTTTCGCGCGCAGTCCAAGGCGGTACGATCATTTGCGTCTCGGATACTCTGGTCAGTGCCTTCGCTGAGCAGGTAGCGGACTACATCCACCTTACCCAGTTCAGCTGCTTTGTGTAGAGCTGTGCCAAGGCCCATGAAGTGGAATAGTGCCCAGGAGGGATAATCTTCGTGCGCGCAAGAGTTAATGGGTGCGCCCTTTCTCATCAGAATCTTCAAGACTTCGATGGTATCCGGTTGCCGTTCGAGTGCGTGATGGAGGAGCTGGCCTTTTTGAGCGTCTCCGCCATGGCAAAACATTAGGTCAATTATGGGAACAGTGGCGCATTCGACAGCAAAGGAGAGCGGAGTAAGATCAATAAAACATCTTCGATTAGGATCAGCACCATGATCGAGGAGCCAAGCTGTCATCTCATCGTTAATGGCATTACTGAAAGGGATGCTATTAATATGGTTTATTTCTCTGGAGTTTTCCAAAGACCAAGAGGATCAAGCTCACCCTAGCACAGGAGGCTTAAGCTCGCTCATCGGTTGATTAATGTCCCATCCTCTCTGGATGAAAACAGTCAAGGCATCTTTTGCCTTGTCTCGTACTGCTTGCGAGGCATAGATCGGGTCCATGGGCAACCCGCGGTCAAGAAGCTCTTTGATAAACCGAGCATCGTCCCGTTTGCGGCTTCGACCATGACCGTATAAAAATCGCATATATCAAAATCCCCCGGCGAGGAGCTTATTGCGTCAAGATTCTCCCGAAATTGTTGGATATCACCACGAACGCATAACGTACGCATGGATTCCAGGGTTGCGAGCGGCGTTCGGGTTGGAACCACAGGGTACTCGCTCGGGTCGATCGGCGGGTCATCTGACGGAGGCAAGATTTCCATGGCGCGTTTGATAAAACGACAGTAGATATTGGATATTAAATTATTTTTACGGTCCTGGATGCCTGGATAGTTCCCACCAACGTCCAACTCTTGGATGTGGGAACTATTGGGTCGAGCGAAATTGCGCTAGTGATGCCTTAAGCGGCCTAGTGATCCCTGGTAGCGTCTTTTTAGTCCCGCGTGCTGCCGCTATCGATTCCCCCGAGTGAAAAGTCCCACCGTTAAGACTTGGACCTTTTACTGTGCTGATCTATCTGCGCAGAAACTGAGAAATGACCGATGCTTCAAACCTTCGAGCAAAGGGTAGTCGACGACCCAAGACGTCGAAGGAGGAGCGAGTCTGTCCAATATGCTTCAAAGCTTTCAGCAGAGCCGAACACTTGTCGCGACATTATAGGTCCCACACGAAGGAAAAGCCGTTTCGGTGCTCAGTCTGCGAACGAGTCTATGCGAGACAGTGAGTAGCAACAATGTATGGTGACCCTTTTGAAATGCTTCTCTAAGAGCATAATGGATGTCGGTTTGTAGGGATACATTGCTGCGGCATGTTAGAACCAATTGTTCTCGAAAGCAGGATGAAGGCAGCAATAATGATAGTGTAATGACGGCGGAGGATGTGACGCAAGACCTCACAACTGACTATTTGTCCTTATCGATGGTGCAGTCAGGGGATTCTCCTCGAGTCTCCACGGTCACTGTGTCTGGGGCGGGAAGTGATGATGTGGCTTTGGACCATCTAGTATCACGGTCGCTACAGCCTATTCACAACGATACAGCTGCAGAAAACCTATCAGATAGTTTTGGTCCTGCTGAGATCACTGATGGTGGGGGAAACCCCCTCGAAGCCATTGTCACTGCCCCTCATTTACTACCAGACAATGTGAATGAAGCATTTCAGGACTCAGTGAATACTCAGGACCTTCATGCATCAGACATCGAAATCGAAACGGGCTGGGCTTCTTGGCTCCTCTGCGATGACTTTAATCTTGACTCCATCAACTCATCCTTACTTCAAGCCACAGCAGGAGAAGCCTCACTTGACTACCACACGGATTTCACAGAGCAGTTTAATATCCAACCTCTAAACATGAATTCACTGCCAATGAAAAGGAAATTCCAACAAGACGGGGATTCCATCAGAAGGAAATGGCACACATACTGTCAGCCAACTCCTTTGGGTGGAATGGCCCCAGATCCTACGCCAGAGAATGGTCAGATTGACGAGGCTTACCGTCAAGAGCTGGCTGAGCGTCTCCAGCCGCGAGTCCAGACGGGAATTCTTCCTTCAACGACATTCATAGTACGCTATTCTGCTCCCTATTCCTGGTCGCACGGGGAAGGATACCGACTGACTCTGCGTGCTCTTTTGTCTAGCAACTCTGTCTGCGCGCATACTTCAAACACTTCCAACCTATTTTCCCCATCGTCCACGAACCGTCCTTCCGCCCATGCAAGAGCAATTCCATTCTTCTCCTCTCGATCTGCTCGGTCGGGAGTCTGTTTCTCGGCTCCCCTCGAGCGATGGAGCATGGAATCAGTATGTTCGAAAGGCTGCAGAAAGCGAACGTGTCATCGGTATAGTGAGACCAGCCCCATTCTAAGCTTCCAATGATTTAACTGTGGAATCTAGTGGGAGACACTCATTTCAAGTAGTCAGGATGCGTGCATAGCGGCTTTACAGGCAGCACTTATAGGCCAGGCTTTTGGATTTCTCGTTGGCGTACGTTCACTATTGTTTCACCTGATCTTTTACTTGGCTTACGTATTCTCCTCAGAGACCTAAAGATCTTGCCGGCATTGATTTCTTTCACGGGGGTATCAACGCGGTAAGTTCCCAGTGTTTAAAAAACAGTCGACAACCATTACTGACGTTGCTTAGTGGGCGCGCAAAGCAAATGTGTATCGCATTAATGAGTCCCCTTGCGATCCCCTGAGCCTACGTGGTGATGGCTGGGAAACCGCATGGAAGAAATGGGTGGCGACGGAAGAAAAGAAACGGTAAGTGAGCACATTAAGTACGTGATTTCCGCATGAACAGCGGGCTAAATCTCAACAGAATCGCTCTAGGAATTGCCATGCAGGATGCTGAGCTGATGAAACTCCATCTTCATGAGCCTATATTGCGTCATGACTGTGAACGTCTGCCAATTACAGACTCGGATAGACTCTTCGCTGCGCCGAACGCAATTCACTGGAAGCGCCTAATGATTGCCAATTATGGTTGCACTAATCGAACACAAAGGCCAAAAGATACCCCATGTCATTCTGAAACAATTCGAATTCCTAAAGGCGTGAGTAATTTTGGACAGTGTGCTCTCTTAGATTCGATAGGTGTTCTCGCCTATGAATCTCACCAGCCTACCGTGTTCGAGCTAAACAAGGCCAAACGGTGCCAGGAATTACTCGTGGAATGGTATAACTCTTACCAGTCGACACACGCTTCGAACGTGGTCTGGGATTCCCCCTTGACGATTCTTTGGCATGCCAGTTTTATCATGCTGTACGCAAACCTGGACCTTCTCGAGCGTGCCTGTGGTCGCGATGGGTGTGAAGCAGATCTTGATGCCCTTGGGTATGCTCGACAGTGGGCCAAGTCTGACGAGGCAAAGCGATGTCTCTTACACGCTGCCTATATTCAAAACAGCTTTCAGTCGATGCCGATCGGAAGTTTATCTCCCATTCACGTACCATTGTGTCTTTACCACTGTGGGATGGTCTGGTTCTGCTTCGGCAAGTTTGGTGGCGATTCTAAATTCTCAAAAAAGAAGGCTGAGGCTCAATTCAAATCTCCAGAGTTTCAATTGCTTCGTCCGAGTGTCAGCCAGAGTCTGAATGTGGTATTTGGCAACCTGCAGCAGTGGGACCCAACCGATCAAACATTCAAATTCATTGAATTGCTCCAGCGCGTCCCCCATTGGAAATTGCCGTCGAACCTCGCTGCAACTTTGCTGGCACTAGTTGAGGAGGATCAAAACATGTTTTGATCGAAGATGAAATTTGTACAACATTAGTCGATCTTTTGGACTGCATTGCTCATGAAATGGAATGTCTTTTTACCCCAGTTCACGCTTTTATCATACTCTATGTGGATCAAATCTCACCCCGATAGTTGCCGCTTCATAGTTCCCACATCCCCACCCAGACTTGAAGAATGTGGAACAAAATTTTGAAATATAAATCCTCCAATATACATAGCATGGGAAAGTAGTTTTTATTCAGTTGCTCAAGCTTTACGCTCTCGATCGCATCAGCTAACATGTCGACCGAAAAGTCATGGGAGACAACGGATGTTCTTATTTGTGGCTGCGGCCCAACAGGAGCAATGCTTTCTGGCTACTTAGACCGACTGGGCGTTTCTAACATTATATTAGACAGAGAAGCCCAGATCACGACTGATCCGAGGGGAATAGTTCTTGACGATGACGGGATACGGTATCTACAAGGTCTAGGTCTTTATCAACATGTGTTTACCGACATAGGATCTTGTCTGTGTTCCTATTCATTCGGTCAATTGAAGCTCTTATGTTAATTTCTATTCTAAACACAGGCGTGGGAAAGGTCCTCTTCATAGGGGGCGATCACTCGGATCTCAGCACGAAGCCTCTCTTCTCTTTTGATACTGCGTCGGTGAGTGGTCTCTATCTCGTCGGTCCTTCATATCGAGATTTCTTCCATCTGACATACATTGGATAGACGAAGGGGTATACCGGTCATGCTTGGATGATCACCCATAAGCAGCCTACTCTGGAGAAGCATCTTCGATCTGTCATTGATGGCTCTCGGTTTTCCTCGTTGAGAACTGGTTGCACGCTAAACTCGATTCGAGAAGATGGGGACTGGGTGTACGCATCTTATCTTGATCCAACTGGAATTGAAAGATATGTGCGCGCTCGTTTCCTGGCCGGAGCTGATGGTAAGACGGGTTTTGTCCGTAAGAACTACTTAGAGCCTCGTGGGGTTAGCATGGAGTGGGCTGAACAGTAAGTTGAGATAACAATTCTAAAACATGCCTTTCCGGATCTACGTGCATTGACTCGTCACAGCAGTCGTTACGAGGAAACCTGGGTCGCGATGAACTGGAAAATAAGTTTACCCACGAGAGAAACGCATCCTGATTTCCCATTATGGCAACTGGGCTACACATCCGAGGAGGTTTACGATCTATTCTTTCCCTCCGACTTTCGGTTCCTTTGCAACCCTTCACGCGCTGCCGTGTGTACACGATTTGGGTCAGTCAGGGATCGATTGTGGCGATTTGAATTTGTCGTTCAATCTGGAGAGGACCCTGAAGAGATGGCGACGGAGAACATGGTCAGAGAAGTGGTTCTGCCCTATCTACGACACCGTGGGAGTCGATATGGGTATGCCAGTCAGCCCTTGTTCCTTAGTTTTCGTCGTCTATACTCGCTAACCCTAAGCCTACAGACTCACCGAGGACGTCGAGTTCCCAGAGGACTGCATTCGTACCCTTCGCTCACGACCTTTCCGGTTCGCTGCGCGACTATGTAACAAATGGGCCCTCGGTCGGGTCATCTTGTGCGGCGATGCTGCGCATGTCTTCCCTCCATGTGAGCATACCCTCGTGAGATACCTACATCTTTGTTCCTTTCAGCTGACACCATCTTCAATGGTTCTGCAGTTGGCGGCCAAGGCATCGCATCCGGATTTCGCGACGCCATCGGCCTCGCCTGGCGTCTTGCCATGATCATGCAATCCCCGGCGACTCAGAAGCATCACGAAAAACATCTAGAAGGATGGTACATCGAGCGTCAACAGCAGTTCCAAACATCTTTAAACACCACTCTGCGAAACGGACAGCTCGTCAACAGTACAAACCCATTGCAGAACTTCATCCGCGACTGGGCTCTCTGGGGGATGCGCTTCATCCCAAGTCTCGATTACCGATTGCAACTCGGTCCGAGACTTGAAGGTCCTGTCCAGTATTCCCATGTGGATGGAATGCCGTTTTTGTCTGAATTTGGTGGTGGGGTGTATTTTCCGCAGGTATACTGTGTGAGGCTTGGAGATCGAATGAGGGATCTCTGTTTCACGGATGATGTGGTTTTTGCAAGAGGGAAAAACAAGCTATTTCAGGTTGTGGTGTTGCTGGATTCAGTGGAAACATGTTCATCGGCAATGAGAGACCTTGAAAAGATTGACCGCATTAGTGGTGGTCACTTGAGCACGGAAGAGTCGACGCTGCTCGCTCCGGTGTCTACAGCGGGCGTTTCAAACATTGACCATCCAGTGTTCCGAGCCGCCACAGCAGAAGAGTTCGCGGAATCTGAGCTGTGCGCTGGAAGACCTGCGCCACGCGATTACGATGAGTCTCAGATGTGGCGGATGTTCAAGTCGAAACGGTACGTGATCGTAAGACCCGATCGTTTTGTCTATGCAGCCTGTGCTACGAAGACCGAATTGGAGCAAGCTGCACGGAAACTCGCCAAGTTGTTCCCTCTGGAATGAACGAAGATGCTCTTTCTTGTCCCGGGTGTATATTGGTAGATATTACAAGTCAACAGCAGATCAGTCGGCGCCATATCCGAAATTTCCCTTCTTTTCCCTTCGTCTCTAATACTCCCTCTGATCTTGGGGTGTTTTTCTCTGCTTCTTTACCATTGCATATCTCGTAGACGCATTCCTTGGCCTCCACAATCTCGCATGGACACACAAACCCCGGTCGCCGTATCAGCGTGAATGGGGCGTTGATCAGAACGTCTGCTGCAGCGACAGTCGCAAGCCATGAAATCTCAACTTTAAAATTCCTCAGATCTCTGATCTTTGTCAGTGGCTCCAGGATCTGTCGCTCTTGGTCAGGTGTCAATTCTCTGCGTCGGTTATAGCTATATTCATTGTTGATCCACATATGCAGGTCCCGCAACCCGGTCATATGTTCAAGACAAGCGCAGAACTCGGCCCATCGCGTGTACCAAAGAGGGCTCTGAAAGTCGTCGAAATCTTTTTTGTTGTTGGCTATGTGGTAACTCAACTCTATGGATCTGATGGCGTGGTACTGAGACCAGGGCATCGTATCCTGCATGTCGTGTAAAATGAGCAGGTCATCTCTTTCTTGTGCGATGATACTGAATGTGACGTTGGACGTCAGGATGTCGACTGCCTCGCAGTATCTGGTCCCCGTTAGTTAGATTCTCCCGGGGAGATGTCTCAACGCCGCTACCACTCACACCTGTCGACACGCCACGAGCAGATCACATTTTCGTGGCGGTTTCCGTCGTCTGCCAATGTACGACTCGATCAATCTGCTAGTATGGCCCTGCGGGTTTTCCTCATCCATGGGAAGCCCCGGGGAGTTCCATGGCCGCGGCGGACAAGGGCACCGGATCCGACTGGACTCGTCATGTCGGATAAAGTGGGTTGTCCTGGGGTTCAGGTGCTTTTGGTACTTGCGGTCTATCACGGCTTGGTATATGATGCGGCGTATCTCCAGTGGCAATCTGCTCAGGAATGGGCTTTGCGACTGGTTTGCAGCCTCGCCACTGTCGATCTTAGTAGGCGGGGTTAATTGCGATCTGTGTGATGCGCATTTATTGCTGTCTGGGGATATGGGAGAAGATGTGGAATGAATAGAACAGCTCAGGGGCGGGTCTATATCAAAGGCAAAGGCAGGCCTCATTTTCAAGGTGAGGGGCGGTCGTGGTGTGAGTTGACATGGAAGCAGCCCTGTTTGAGACAAGGCCAGGGGATCGGCGCGGGCCAGGGTTGGGGGCGATGCGACATGCGACCTTACAGGGGGATGAATGCTCCTTATGCTTAATGTCCATCGCGTGAGCATCAACCAATACCTATCTATACATAACCCCGGAATTGAAAAAAAAATAACAAAAACAAAAAGAATGCATCATCCGTGAATCGAACACGGGCCTCGTCGATGGCAACGACGAATTCTACCACTAGACCAATGATGCGGTGGTAACGGACCAGATTGAATTCTGATTCGCTGATGAAGAATGGTCTTCCAAAATTGATTCATGAGGTAAGGTTTAAATAATCAAGGTCGGTAACGACGGTGGTTTACCTGGTAGGTGTATACGGTTGAGTTTTTCGCCTCCATTGTCGGTGGCCGATTTACAATATTCGGTGGTATGATTCAATCCAACGGTAGGTATGGGCTTCATCTATCTTTGTGTACTGAGTTTTTGCATGGTCGGCTGGTGTGCTCTGTCGTTCGGTGGTGGTTTATGAGATATATATAGCGCTCACGACTTTGAATTGCCAAAAGTTGCAGGCATTATTTACGCCAGCGTGCCTGTCAGATTTGCATTCGGTCTAAATATTTCTAGCAAGGACGACATCACAAGAACAAGACAGATTGTTTATGGCTGGAAAAGTCCGTTGGCCTTTTTTTTAAAAAAATTTATTATTATTTTTTTTTTTTTTTTTTTGGTTTGGCCCCTTCCTGCGTTTTCCTAAATAGGACACGCCTAAGGTGTCTAGGCAGCATGCGGGTGCCTGATCTGGCAGACTGTGTTATATCTACCAAACTTTCATCCACCACGCTATCATTATTCCTTTCATTTCTAAATCCTACCTAGCCTTATTGATAATATGATCACCCAGATGCCACCGACCGACATTCCGAACTGGCAATTGCCTCAACCCTTTCAGCTTTCCGGCTCGGAACCCCCATCGTGGGTGGTTGTGTTTCTTTGCAAAGTCGACGACGAACAATATGAAAGAATCCTCAGGAAGCTATGCACACTGGATAAATCTCGGGAGGATGCCCCGTCTGGCGAAATGAGACGCCTGCTGCCGATGCCATGGATTCGTGACTTCACTCCCCCGATTTCGGTCATTTTCGAGATTTTCGAAGAAACCAATTACACGGACGGGTTGATCTTCATCGACCAGCAATCTCTGAATGATGACACAGTAGTTATACTGAATGGGTACTATGGCCCAGAGCGCGTCGAAGCTGCCCGTGTCCCGATGGACCGAGCCAATTTGACTCTCAGCGCATCCCAAGGGCGGTCCCTTGCGGCGGTCATGCCGAATTTCGAGGAAGCCAAGTTCGTCCGCGATCAGAGATCTCAAGACTGCCTAGGGGGGCAGTATGAAATGGTTCATCATCCTCCTCCGCATATTCCAGCGGACTTCGAGCCTAAACAATCCACCTTGAGCTTGATTTCCCTGGTCCATCTGTCGGAAGAAGACATCAACGGAATTCTGTCCCAGCCGTGGACAAACGAGCAGATTGAGAATGTGCAGATTATGAACTGGCCTGCGGACGAAAAGCCGTGCTCTCGCGGGGACTTGTATCGTATCTTTCAAGCGGTCAAGACGCCGCGCTCTCACGACATTGACCAGGCCTTCGCGATGTTCATCGATGTCCTCGCCGAAGGAAGTGGACCCCGGATTTTTCTTGCCCAAGAATGGAAAAAGGAGAATGAACGAGGTGATAACAACATTCAGCTGTCTCGCATGGAAGATCTAAGGGATGCCATGGAAATCTGGCATATGGTCTGGAATCCGTTTCCCAACGATCGACAGGGTGGCGGTGTTTGGTACAACGATTTCAAAGTCAATGCCAACCTCTTTTACTCAAAGAGACTGGACGGCGAGTTTGAGAGAATCCAAAATCCGGACGAATTCACTTTATCCTATGACTGTTGTTTGGTGTTTGTGCTGGAGAAAATGCCCGAGAAAGAGGTGAGGTCGCTGTGGGAGAGTGTGCCTTTGGAAATCGAGCAGGGCGTGCAGTTTCTCGACGTGTCCCATCTCATCAAGACTCCCGATATGGAAGGACTGATGGAATTCTTTGAGTCGAAACAATTCCTTCTGACTGGGCAGAGGCCCCCTCGATACTTGCTCGCAGTGGATCGTCGGTCACTAGAGGCCGCCGATGGAGACGACGAGGATGCTGCTTGTATCTTCATTGCTGCACGAAAGGATGTGAACTTGATTTTAGAGAAGCCACACGAAGTGGTAATGCGGGAAGGACACGAATTATATGGTTGCCATTGTCTAGGCTACGATTACGACCGACTTGATGTCTGCAGCGCATCGGAGGCGGCGACCGACCTAGACTGTCAGAACATAGAATCATTTGAGATTTCCGAGAAGGTCAAAACGGTATATTTCAAGACAGTGAAGGAATGGACTGGCAAGCAGGACGGGCTTGAGCAAAACTCGCAATACTGCCGGGCATACTATCCAGAGGATCGCATCGAGGAGGCCGGCAATGCGCGTCGGGCGGCCTGAGGCATGTTTGCTTTTTTGGATTTTCTTTCCATTTCTTGAATTTCACCGCCATTTCCTTTCCTTTTCTCCCTTTCCTCTAACTCGCTCCCCGGGTCTCGATTATCCAAACACTGCATTGTACATTGAAGATGGTGTTATTCCATCGGGCGCTCCAGTCCGTTCTCTCAGGCTTATCCCTTCCTTGGCTTTATCCCCGACATCATCACCAGCCTGCCGTCACAATCTCAAACGGAACGCTGTTAGGCTCTCAGAACGCAAATTACAACCAGGACTTTTTCCTCGGGATTCCTTATGCCCAACCTCCCGTAGGGGATCTTCGGTACAACCACCCGAAGCCAATCAACGCATCGTGGGATAACCCCCGGGATGCCACTTCCTACGGGTTTTGGTGCCACTCGGCCCCCATGTCACTACCAGGCTTCTCGCGACACGGGTTCCTGCATGAGGAGGATGAAGATTGCTTGACCCTCAACGTTGTGCGCCCATCAAATATCGATTCATCTGTAAAACTCCCCGTTCTCGTGTATATCTACGGGGGTGGTCTTCAGGAAGGTGGCAGTGCAGACCAGCGATATAACATGTCATTCGTTGTTCAAGAATCCGTGAACACGGGACTCCCCACGATCGGAGTTAGCTTCAACTACCGCGTGTCTGGCTTCGGCTTTCTCTCCGGTCGCACGATCAACGAGTCGGGTCTTGCCAATCTCGGACTATACGACCAACGCCTGGCACTCCACTGGATCCAGGAAAACATTGCCGCGTTTGGTGGCGATCCGTCGCGAGTGACGATCCAGGGAGAATCATCGGGAGCGCTGTCGGTTGGATACCATCTCCTGGCATATGGCGGTCGCAACGACGGGCTGTTTCGTGCCGCTATCGCCCAAAGTGGCGCTCCTCTCATTTCGGCTGCGCTGGCATCGTTGGATGAGCAGGACGCCATGTACAATGCTGTCCTGAATGCTACTGGCTGTGTGGGTGTCAATGATGGTCTCGGGTGTTTGCGACGCACCCCGGCAAACTTGTTGAAAGCCGCGTTTCAACAAAAGTTCTTCTTTCCTGTCATGGACGGCAACATGATCGCCGGATTTTCTTCCCGGGCTCTTGAAAAAGGAGAGTTCGTGAAAGTTCCGTTGTTGATTGGGACGAACACCAATGAAGGAACGGGGTATATTGCTTCTGGGTCCTTCGGCGCCGTCAACAGCCGTGATGACTTCCTGGGCGTAATAACGGGCTTTGGGCCTGGAAAGTATCTTTCGAATGAGACACTGATTGGGATCATAAATGAGTATCTAGAAAACATGTCACTGGAAGAGGTCCAAAAGGATCTAGAAACCGTTCTCATCTCGCCAGAGGCGAAGTACGGAACACTCTATGGACAAAGCACCCTGTACCTCACAGACTATCTCTTCAATGCCCCGAAACGACATAGTGCGCGCATATGGGCCCGTCAAGGGCTCCCTATTTACAGCTACCGATTTGATATTGTTCCAAACGGCATCTCGCCTGAAGTACTTGGCGTTTGTCACTTCCAAGATGTTGCCTTTACTTCTCAGAATACGCTTGGCGTTGGCTACGAGACTCCTCCAGTAGCTTCGACAGATAAACAGACAGAGAAAGAATACCGGGATGCCAGTATTTTGATGAGTCGAATGTGGTTGAGCTTCGTGAATACATTATCTCCGAATTATTTTCACAGTAGGTTGATTGCTCCACAATCTTGAATCTGATTCTAACTAGATACAGAGAGCAAGTCAGACTTTGTCTGGCCCACTTACCAGGATGATTCCGCAGTAAATGTTGTATTCGGTCCGCACGGACCTGCCTTGGAGAATGATACCTGGCGGCTTGAAGCGATCGATCGGATTATTGATAGCTTTCCAGAGTATAGGTTCTAACGAGAGTACAACTACTACAGTTGAATACTCTGGAAAACCAGGTGGAAAACTGGGGCAACGCGGGCTCAACGCCATGGCTTGGGCTCACAGTGGCGCGCCCCCATTGTTACATCCTTTATCCAGATAATCTCTTGACAGGAGTCTAGAAGGTTCTATTTACACTTAGCGATCGGAAAAAGGTCCCATCAGATCAACGTCTCCACGCTAATTTGCCTGTCAATCTTCGCTTGGTGCCGGATTGGGTCTAATTTCTCCGCAATTTCCCCTGGCCTTGGACCGGATTCGTTACCCCGACATGTCAACTGCAATGGAAATTTTCCGTTACACAGGTATCCGTGCCAATCTCCCTGCAGAACTTTCATACATTGAAGGAGCTCTTGGCAGGGTCGGCAAGCTTTAACGGTCCCGATGTAACCGACCTCCTGAGCTTTGTTACATACGACGAACCATCTCTCCCGGACTTTTTGCATCAATTATGGACTGTCAGGTTTCCTACGGCCAATGAAGCGGTAGAAGCTCGGGCAAAAGGTATGAACAAATGAATGGACGGGCTGCGAGGGCTAGGCTCTGCGCCCAGACCAGAAGTGACACGCATAATGACATGATCTCTTTGTTCGCTTTAGGGATTTAAGATAGCTCCGTTAGAGATTGGCCCCTGTGCTACCTAACCTAGACGCCAAAATGAGATGTTGGGATCGGCGTCCTCCAAAAACACCAATGCTACGACAGATGATTTAGCATTGTTGTATCGTCCATCGATACTACTTTGAACGCTCCTTAATCATCTAAGGCATCCAACATCTGGACTTACCGGCCCACACGGGATTGCTATAAAGAGCTCACGGTTTCCAGCATTGTGATCCCAATTCCAGACGAGCATCGCCAGCTTCTTTACCCACTGTGACCGAAGACTTCACCATTCTCATCAAGATGCATCTCCCCACCTATTTCCTCGCCATACTCATGGCAATCAGTGCTGCAATGGCACACATGGAAATGAAGCGTCCACTTCCCATGAAAAGCCGATTTGATCCCGCGAACAGAGCGCCGACTACCGACTACAACAATAACAGCCCCCTCTGGCCAGATGGTCCGTGACCCTGAACCTCCCCCTTTCCCGATATTTCCATCACAATGTCCTATATTAACACTTTCCTCAATCAGGATCCAACTTCCCCTGCCGGGGCCACCACCGAACCACCCCCTGGCGCACCGCATCCACCTTCACTGCCGGCCAGAGAGACTACATCGAGCTTGCCCCCGGTGCCAGCCACAACGGCGGCTCCTGCCAGATCTCCCTCAGCTACGATAACGGCCAGACCTTCCACGTCATCCAGTCGTACATGGGCGGTTGTCCCCTTTCGTCGAAATGGGATTTCCAGATCCCCGACTCCGCGCCCAACGGCAGAGCTTTGTTCGCGTGGACTTGGTTCAATCTGAGCGGAAACCGTGAGATGTACATGAATTGCGCGCAGGTTGAGGTTCGGGGCGGGGCAGAATCCAGCATCGAGAGCTTTAACGAGCTGCCGGAGATCTTTGTGGCGAATGTCGGGAATGGCTGCGCGACTGTTGAGAAAAAGCACACGGTGTTTAAGGAGCCGGGTGAGAATGTCGGATACAATGGTGTGCAGAAGAGCGATCCGCCGTTTCCTCTATGTGGAGCGAACCTCTGAGTGATTTCATGTGTGAGTGGTATTTTGATAGCTAGTCTTAATTGAATGTTGTTTTGGTGATGTGCCTGAGACTGTGTTCATTGCATTGTATGTCCGTAGTTCCTTAACCCACACTCGACCTGACTGATTAAACACACCTGCACCGATCTACATGCACAGACAGCACACAGAATATAAATCCTACCGCCTGATCGACGTGCATCGCATAGAGTGCGCCCAGAATAGCAACAAACTAGGATTCTCCACGCGTGGGCCATGACGTCAGCGGTCCACCCCCACAGGGACGTCCGTCGGCCATCGCTTTGCCCCCGGCGCTAATCCACGACGGTTCATCTGTCAACAACCTCCTCTTTCCCCTCCTCCATCCTTCACTCTCGGGGAAATTCCTACGCCATGAGCGCCGAGCCAGGAATGCCGGGTGAATTGCCCGATCGCAACGCCAGCGACGAGAGCCTCGACGCGGTCCAAGTCGACCATGACGAGGCCACCGCCGAGAATGAGACCGGCGCGCTGCAGACTATCCCCAAGCGCAAGACGCCGTACATGGCGTATAAGCGATCGAGCAAGGTTGAGGAGGAAGAGCTTGCCGAGGGCCTGTCAAATGAGGATCTCTGGATGCTTATTCGGCGGTTTAATAAGGTATGTTCCTATGTTCCCTCCCTTGTGCCGGGTTGTCCCTGTCCGGCTTACAGATCACGTGCAGCAAATATACTATGTCAAAGCCACAGAGGATACGACGCAGAGTGTGCTGGATCTGAACCGCGCAGATGACGAGCAGTTTCCGCCTGAGAAATTGCGTATGACCATCGAGCGGTTTTACACCTCCGTCGTGGTGGGAGTTACGGATCTGTTTAACCATGTTGTGCGGTTGAGGTCGTGGAAGGAGCCGCGTCGGTCGGCGGCTTTTTGTGGGGTTTGTGGCTCCTTTCTGGCTGGCTTTGGTCTGGCTGTTATGCAGGATGCTGACATATTCCAGGTCTATTTTCTCGCCTGGATGGTGGACCTTCTTTCCCTGGTGTCTCTGGGTACTCTTATAGGCCTGATCTTGTTTCCAGGGCTCAGGCCGCTAATGTTCCCCCCTGCGCCGACGTCTCAGGTGGACCCTAGCACGGGGGATATGAAGCCCACTGAGGAGCCAGGCTCGCGAGATAGTATCACCGGGGCGCCTGAGAAGTACAAGGGCGAGGCAGCAGAGCAGGAAGCAAAGAACTTTGTCAACAGTATTGCGAACGTCGCGATGGAGAGTGCGGCCGGGAAGTACGGTCAGGCTGTCAAGGAAGATACGAGTGAACCGGCCCCAGAGCCTGAGATTATCGATACTGCAACGACAGCGCCCGATGCGCAGGGCGAGACTGGTCCGATAGAAGATAAAACCAAGCAGCCCATGAAGAAGAAGGTGGGCAAGGCGACCGACCAAATCATGCGGATTATCAGCGATGTGACGGATGTGTATGAACGATTTGCGAAGTAAGTTGTTTTTCTTGTGGTTTGAGTAATTATTCTAATGAGTTTTGACAGTGTTCTTTCTCCGACGCCGCCGTTTTATGCGATTTCAACGCGGCTGAAGATCGTGGGCATCCTTTTCGGTCTCGCTGTTGTTGCGTCCATCACGCCCAGCTATTTGATTGTCAAGGGTGCTGGTTTCACGGTCGGATTTGCCTTCTTCGGGGATCCAGTCTTTTCGCACACGATAGACTACCTCAACACTAATATCCCGGATTGGAAGAAATATCTCGACCTGCAGATGTATGTTCGGCCTCCCAAGCCCATCTACTCATATACTAATGACTATAATCCAGCACGCTCCTCAAAGGAATCCCCACCAACGCACAGCTAACCCTCACGCTCCTCCGCATCGGCGAACTCAACTGCAGCCCACTACCACCACCACCTAGCTCTCAAACCCCAGACGCCTCGATGCCCATCAGCCGTAAACTCTCCAAAGCCCTAACCCTCGGCGAAGAAACCGAGGGCGAAAAAGCCCTCGCCTCGCCATCCACAACGACCCTAGGCACTACCACCGGTACCGACCCCTCCCCCATCGACACAAAGCCCAAACGCCGCTGGGTCTACAAAGTGCTCCGCTTCGTCCGCCGCACCATCGCCACCGCCATCAAAAGCCACGTCGCGCTCGACCGCGCCATGGCCATCGCCAACTCCACGCACACCAAGCACCTGATCGGCATGCTGCATCAGAAAGGCTGGGTCAGTGCGCCACTGGGCCCGCTCAAGTTCGACGCCAAGTTCGAGCGCAAGCGCGGCACCGTGGTCATTGATTCCTCGAAGGAGCCGCCCGTGCTGTACTTCACGACGGCGAACTCCGCGAACCTGCATGACCTGCGCGTCGACGAGCAGAAGAAGAGCGCCGTGCTCTTCCAGATGCCTGTGACCGAGATCAGGGAGTTGAAGAAGACAGAGGGCCTCGGGTGGAAGGGGAAGTTGATCGTGGAATTGACGGCGGGGAGTAAGGAGGCGGCGGATGGGCTGGTCGTTTCGGGCGCCAACGAGGGCCAGATGTATCATGTTACGGGGATGAGAGCGCGGAATCAATTGTTTAATCGGTTGGTGGCGATTGATGCGCAGTTTTGGGAGAGTTGGTGATTTGTGTAGCTTTTTGCATAGGGCTTGGGCATGGTGATCAGCGCTTTGGTGTTGGTTGCTTGTTATATGCTTTTTTTATATGCAATAGAATTCATATGGATTGTAAAGTCGCTCCATCTCATAAAATTGGAAATTAGATCAAAAATGGGCCGAAAAAAAGCGTTGCCAATAGCATCCACCATCTCGTTTTGCGGTCGATTGAACCTCGGATTTGTCGGAACGCAGCGCCCATTTTGGGTTAGAACGTCAGCATGCGGACATATCAGACTCATAAACCCCATGATTTACAAACCAACCAGGTCTTTTCCATGGCTAGCAGCTACGCTAAAGATAATTAATTGAGTCTCGTACGAATGTTTTGGTGGAGTAATTGTACCTATAATTCTGTCGTCTGCGACCACGCTACGCGAGGCGCAGTCCATTGTCGGAAGTCGATATGGCAACCCAGCACCAAAATAGCCATAAATGGGTCTGAATAGCGTAGTTTGCATTGATATACTGAGCAACATATTACGCAATCAAAAGTTGATAAAACTGCGCATCATCGTGCATTTCGCGCGGATAGATTAATTGGTGAGCAGAGACTTCGGTCGGGGATAAGCAATATTAATACTCCGTAGTATGAAGAATTTACAGTTGAGGATGAGGAGAAGAGCAGGGAGGGGTCGGTAAAGTTATGAGAACAACGGAAATTGAGATATTGGCTTATGTGACATCTGAGTATTACAGCTTGGATAGGACTCCGTTGGGTTGTAGGACCGATAGATAGCTTTTCCGGATTTCGGAGATTGATCGACACCTGTGCACGTTGTCAGTATGAAAGAAGGATTGCTCTCCTGGGTAGAGTCTTACCCTGCCAGCGCCATGGTGATTTTCAATTCCTGGCGTAAAATCCGAATCGCGAGCTCAACGCCTTCTTGTCCGCCATACTAAGATCATTGTTAGCCAATCTCCGCATACCATGGCAATAAAGCGCTCACAGCAAGCCCCCAGATGGGTATCCGTCCGACAAAGCAAAAGTCCGCTCCAAGTGCCAGGGCCTTGAAGATGTCCGATCCCCGTCGGATACCGCCGTCAAGAGCAATAGGAATCCGGCCATTCGCCACTGGCGCACAATCCCTCAGCGCGTCGAGCGTTGCCGGAACCCCGTCCAATTGGCGACCACCGTGGTTGGAAATAACAATTCCATCGAGCTTGTGCTGGATTGCGAGTTCGACGTCCTCGGGAGAGTACACTGTGCTTGTGTAAGTAATGGTGCATGAAGGCTAGATGCGTATCTCACCTCCTTTCAACCAGATTGGAAGTTTCGTGTGTTCCCGAAGCCAAGGGATAGCAGTGGCCCAGTCAAGACTCGGATCTTGGAGAGTCAGCAAACACTAAAAATACATTTCTTTGCGTTATAGTGTTCAAGGGCTCACCATAGTCTGTATGGTCGGACGTATCACTGCCATGGCTGAGGATATTTGGCCAGGACATATCAGCTGGCAGCTGGTAATTGTTTTGATACTCGTTCAATCGTTTCCCGAGAACCGGAACGTCGACCGAGAGAAATAACGCCTTATACCCAGCCTCTATTCAAAATGTTAGTATCCAAGACACAGTAACGACGCGACCTGAGCACGTACTTTCAGCCCGTTCCAACAACTGCACCGTGATGGATCGATCCCGCAAGACACACATCTGCATAACATAGGGATTCCCGGACCCTTGGCTAGCAACATCCTCAAGACTATGATTCGAGTATGAGGACAGACCCATGCAGATGCCAAATTTCGCTGCAGCGCGTGACGTCGCAAGCTCGCCGTCGGAATGAGCGAGTTTCTGCGATGCAGTGGGACTGAATCCAAGTGGAAGAGAGACCTGTGAGATGGTGCAATGCCCTAGTCAGATTCTGCGATATGCGAACACAGTAATATCTTCTCTGACAGAAAATACCTTAGCCCCCAGTATCTCCGTGCTAGTGTCAATGTTGTCCACGTTGACTAGAATCCGAGGTCGAATCTTGTAGCGGTCGAATGCGTCTTCGTTCTCTCGTAATCTGGAAAATCAAGATCAACATCAATTTCGATGGAATTTCGATGGTATAATAAGAATACTTACGTGATAAGGTCCATGGCACCCTTGTTGTAGTAATCTTGATCATGCCCATCTCAGGTCAACTCTTAATATTCCTTTTTCTTATGGAGCATGATGACATACCTCTCACCATAACAGGGAGCTTCTCACTCCCACGAGCCTTGAGATCCGCAATGCAGCTGACATCTTTATGCAGCGTTTCTCCGCGATGCGCCATATTCCCTTGATTGAAACTGTCCCTGTCTGAATTTCGTCGACTCGGAAACCCCTGAGCTGGAATGTAAGTAAAGAAATGATTCCGGAGAAGAAACGAGTGACCTCATCCCTTCATTATATCACCAAGACACACCGCTGCCGGAGACACTTCATCTGCGCATTGAGAAACCACTTTCCTTCGGCGACATCTGCAGGCCCCGCTTTTCACAAGCAGATGCAGGAGGACATCGCAATGTCTAATCTTCAGCCAATTGCAGAGCTCTGATCGGAGTCTTTTACCCCGTATTGGAGGACTGACTGGGGAAAGGTGTTCATCGGGGCAGGTTTCCCCATTGCACGGCGTATAGTCGACTTCGGTCGGGATGAGGGCTTCCGCGGAATCACATTCCCGTTTCAGAAGGGAAGCACCCCACCTGCTCTGGAATCCGATTAAACGCGATCGTGAACTGGAAGATTGTCTGTTGCAACTACTCACGTCACTGTTCATCTCTCGAAGAAAACTATCGAGCACAATGGCACGAATCTTTCTGTAAGATTGCCGAGTACGGTGGTTGAGGCAGATATACTGACTACGGTCAAAGAACAGGAGCTTCCGGCTATATTGGCGGCGACATTCTCCATGCCCTCAAGTCAGCCTTTCCTCAATTCGAGTACGCTGCTTTGCTGCGGAATGCTGTAAAGGGTGGCCAAGTATCGAGCGCATACCCTGATGTCCGCGTGGTGCAGGGAGACTTGGACGCAACCTCGGTGATCGAGGAAGAAGCGCGCCGTGCAGACATTGTTGTTCGTGAGTCAATCCTGCACACCTCGCTGTCTTTGGATCTTCCATTAATTCTGCCATTAAGACGCTGCAAGCACCAGCCACGTGAAGAGCGTCGAGGCTATCTACCGCGGATTGACCGCGCCTGGTAGAGACAAGAACGGTACGTACTAGGACATGCTCGGTGTATATTTGCGCCTTTACTCATAAATTCCAGGCGTTTGGCTGCAGATTTCCGGGGCGACTGTGCTTTCTGTCACCGACATCGAAAAGAAGGCCTTCGGTGAGCCCTCAGACAAGGTCTACAGTGATCTTGATGGCGCCGAGGAGCTCCGCGCGCATATCCGACGGTACTCGGCAAAACGTATAGTCGACAATTTTGTCCTCGATCTGCCTGCTTCTCCCACGCGACCCAAAACTGCCTTGGTCTTCCCTCCAATTATCTATGGCCGCGGCAGGGGCCCGGTGAACCAGCGCAGCATTCAGATCCCCGAGCTCGCACGGGTTTCCATGCAGCGTCGCGCAGGATTCCAAGTTGGAAAGGGAGAAAGCATCTGGAGTAATGTCCACATCGGCGATGTCAGCAGCATCTTTGTCAAGCTAGTTGAGAAAGCTCTCCAGGGTGACAATGGTGATCTGTGGAACGAGAATGGACTTTATTTCCCGGGCACCGGAGATTTGGTAAGTCTTAGCCCCTTGGTTTATTGATGTATTTCTAATCCCATGTAGCCATTCAAAGGCATCTCGCAGCAGGTCACCCAAGAGTTGCATCGACTTGGTCTCGTGGAATCCCCCTCGGTTGACGCGATCAGCCATGACGAGGCTGATAAACTATCCCCCCACGGTGGCATTCTCTGGGGTACCAATGCACAGGAGCAGTCCCAGAGAGCTCGCAGTCTGTTAGGGTGGAACCCGACCGGAAAGAGCTTGGAGGAGGAGATTCCTGATACTATTCAGCTCGAGGCGAAGAGACTTGGATTGAAGTAGATGTATATATTACGGGACCAATGTCAATTTCATTTGAATTTATCCAATATATCCTGAATTGCGCACATAGAATGATAGTGAATGGAATGGTTGTAAACTGTTGGACGACAGGAGGGGCACCGATAAGATAAGGACGCGGGGTTGGCTGCCAGCCCGAAGGAGCAGGCACTTCCGGCGTTCGCGGCAAGTGTTTCCGGCGCTTTTCGTCTCCATCGAGCAACAATCTCCTCGCCCGGCGTTTTCTTTCCATTCTCCGTGTCAATGCTTCTATCTCGACTATACCGTTGACATACATACCATCTATCAGATTTCGATGTATTGCCGTGTCAAGCATGACAGCATCTCGCCAATCCGCCTCCAGGACGCGTCGTTCCCATACGCTGGGCGGCTGCAACACATGCCGACGACGCCATGTTAAGTGCGACCAGAAACGCCCCTCGTGCCAGATGTGTAAGGTCATGGGCATGGTCTGTGAAGGATTCTCGGATGAAATCCGCTGGATGCCCAGCAGGAAGCATCAGCAGTCGCATCGAAATCCCAAGCCCCGCGGCCTGAATAGCACTAAGCACGGAGCACGACGCCACCTCTACACAGGTATGTCCCTCTATCTCCGTCATATGTGAACCGTTCTTACTCATCATCTAGAGCAATCTAGACTGTCCATGAGTGATGCCTTGGGCGCCGAGCTTGTCTCAGGATCCATTGATGCCTCCCTGGCGGAGATTGATGTCAAGTCGCGGGACCCCGAAAGACCAATGAATGAAGACATCGTCATCGGCCCCTTCGCGGTCCTTGATTTTCCTCCGGCTCCCGAGGAAAGGTCACAGTCTCCCCAAGACCCTGCCACTGAGATGAACCATGATCTTCCAGTCGAAGATCTTCCACCTGACGATCTATACACATCGTCTCTGACTCGGATGGATGCTCTCCCGGATTTGAATGACTTTTTACAATGGTCCGACATTTTTATGCTGGGGTCTGAGCTACCTGGCTCCTTTTTCCAGGACCATTTTAGTGCCGAAGAAGGCCCTGGGCTTATTTGGGATACGCGAACTATTGCTGCAGAGCCAGAGAGCCAGACATACCAGACATTTCCCCACCGGGATGAGGACCAAACATCGACTGCTCATGAGACTGCATTGGCATCCTCAAGGAATGAAATCTGGTCTACTGTGCCTTCTCAAACGCCTGTAGACCTTAATGGCTTGTCCGTAGGGGTGCCATCGGACGCACCTTTCCTATTGAGACACTTTCAGGACCAGGTGATACCCAGAATCATGGCTGTCCCGCTGATTGAAAAGACCCCCTGGAAGCTTTTAAATGTCCCGTCTGCCCTGGTTACGTATACAGATTTGACCTTTATGGGCTCACAGAGCATTAGTCACGCGCGACAGGCAAATCTGTACTGTCTGCTTGCTTGTTCTGCCATGCACCTCTCATTAAACCCATCGTTCGGCATCGTCGGCTCCGCGGAGCATTGGAAACAGCTAACAGACCGCACGTATAACCTGGCGAAAGACCACATGCAGCGTTCATTGAAGGATGAAACATATGAGCCGAAAAAGGCAAAATATAAAGACCAGTTAATGGCGATCTGTGCCTTGACGGAATTTGCAGTGAGATTTCTTCCCTCTAGGCACATACATGGTATATTGAGATTTTACGCAGGTTCTCTCCGGTCAGCAACAGGATGCCCGGTGCTACATGGTTGACGCAGAACGCTTATTACGCCTCCGCGGGCTGCCTAAGCGCAACATCTCTCAAAAGGCTCGACTATTACACCACGTGTATACGTGGCTCAGAATTGTAGGAGAGAGCACATACGCCCTTCATGACTACACTCCACATGAATCATTCGTTAAGAACATCAATCGCCATTCCCGTTGTGAAAGGCTTGCAGCGAACGGCCACACAGACATGGGAGGGGAGAGTGATTTGCGCCTTGATGACTTTCTGCGTATTCAACCAAGGCCGTCAGACAGTGATTTGAACATTGATGAGCCGAAAGACGACGAGATTGGTCTTCACGATATTCATTTATTAGACTCTCGGCAGTTTTCCGGGACCCTCTATCGACAGATCTATGGGATCCCAGAAACTTGGTTAAGCCTAGTTTCACAAACGACTCGGCTTGCCAATGTTATGGAAACGCTGAAAGTTCTCCGTAGCACTTCGAAAAGTCGGGAGGGTGTGCTAGAGGCACTGGACGTACTTCAGCGGCGCAGCGCTCGTCTCGAGAATATGATATGCTCCTTCAAGCACAGCAAAGCCAGCAATCCTGCACCGGATCAAGCCGACATCTCAGTTGCACCACATCACCATTTTATCAGGGCTTTGGATTCAGCCTTGGTCATATTTTTCTACCGGCGCATACGCCAAGTGCACCCGTCCATCTTAGAAGGCCATATAGACGATGTAATATCTGCACTTCAAGACTTCAACGCTTCTTTAACCGAGGGGAGCCAAACTGGCCCTGGTACCGTGTGGCCTTTGTTTATTGCGGGCTGCGAAGCCATGACGTCTGTCCGAAGAGAGTCTATATTGAGTCTTCTCGAGGCTGGAGAAGCAAAGTGCCAGTTTGCGCCTTTCAGAACTGCGAGAAATGTGATGATGGAAGTGTGGAACTGCCAGGACGATAACTCAGCTAGTTCCCAGCGCGATTCTATACCGTCGTGGCTAGATGTGGTTCAGCGCCGACGAATATGGCCAATGCTATGCTAATGCAGTACACAACGGCTGATTTTGTATAAATTCAGAACAATATGATTGAACGTCGACATGTCTCATACAACATACATACAATTTCCGTCTCACGCCAACATGAAAGATCATGAACTCATCATCCTTGCTATTCTAAACAACCTTCACACCCGCGTCCTTCAACAATTGCGACAGCTCCGTCAAAGGCTCGCCCTTCAACAAGGCAAAAGGCTTCCGTAGGCCTCCCGTGGACTGACCTCTGAGTTCCACCCCCGTTTTCACAGCCGAAGCATAGTTGTGCGATTCGAGGAATTTGCAAATGGGCCATGCTTTGGCCCAAAGCTGACGTCCCTTTTCGATGTCCTTCTGAACCGAGATGGCGTTCCACAACTCGATGGCAAGCTCAGGGATGATATTGGCCGCACCCCAGATCGCACCCGGCGATCCGGCAGCCAGGCCGTAGAATGTAAGGGTATCCCAGCCATTAAATGCGGTGATCTTTTCCGAGAGACCGAACACCAACTCTGTGAAGGCCGGGGCATTGCCAGAGGTGTCCTTGAGATACTTTACGCCGACGCTGGACAGGTCTGCGATTTGCTGCGGCGTCAGGGTCAACCCGCTAGCAGAAGGAATGTTGTAGTAGACGATTGGCAGCTTGCTAACGGTGTGGATTTCATCCATCAGCTCGGTCAGTTGCTCGACGTTCAGGGGGTCGTAGAACGGCGGAACAACCATCAGAGCCGTGGCGCCAACTTGCGCAGCATGGCGAGCCAAGTCGACTGCCTCCTCGGTGGAAGTGCTTCCAATGCCTGCCACGACGGTAGCCCGTCCGGCAGCGTATTCCACACATAGTTCGGTGAGCTGCTTTCGCTCGTCTCGAGTCATAGTGGTGAATTCTCCGGTGCTGCCACCGGGCACTAGGCCGTGGATTCCAGAAGCAATCATGTGGTCGATGTGGTCTTTGAGGCGCTTCTTGTCGATCTGAGTCTTATCGTCGGTGAACGGGGTGATGAGAGCAACCATGACGCCATGGAGCTCCTGCGTGGTGTTGTTCTGGGCCATTTTTGGTTGATGGTGTGGACTTGGTTGTCGTGATTGTGGTTTGTCTGGTAATTGCCTTGGAGGATTGCATGTTGATATGACTGCATTTTTATTCCTCCCTGCCGGGATTGCTTGCCTTGCGACATGACCTCTTTGGGAAAGTTGTGAGGTTCATCGTCGTGCATCTTCCTATCGCCGTCGGAAACGCCTGCCAATCCAGACATCCCCACTTTCCCCACCCGGCGGCATTTGACTGGCCGAGCAGGCAGGTGGCTCCGAGACCCTAACAGGCAGGTCCTTGCAGAGACCGATTGCCTAAAAGATCCCCGCAGCCCTCAGATCGTGGAGGGACTATCAACGCTCTTCAGATCCCAAGTCTACCGGCATACGACATCTGAGTGGCAAGTTGGCATCATGGCAGGACTCGATCTCTTCCTCGACATCACCGCCCCGAACGGGCGCACCTTTAAGCAGCCGACGGGCCTCTTCATCAACAATGAATTCCGCCCGTCGTCTAATGGACAGACGATTGTCTCGCTTGACCCAGCGTATGTATCTACTTTCCCCTGAGGTTGTGCCTTTGGCGGACTTGCATGCTAATGTAACTAGAACGGATAAGCCGATCGCGTCGGTGCACGCCGCCAGCGCCGACGACATTGACCTCGCAGTCAAGTCGGCCAAGGCCGCATTGGCGCACCCTTCATGGAAACTACTGCCCCCAACTGAGCGAGGCCAGCTGATGGCCAAGTTGGCAGACCTCATCGAGCAAAACCGTGAATTATTTGCGACAATCGATGCTTGGGACAACGGTAGTTCTCCCTCAGTCCATGAACAAGCAGCTGAGTCCTTTGCATCATTCTAACCCTTATATAGGCAAATCATATCACGTCGCATTCGAGGAGGACCTAACAGAAGCCATCACCACCATTCGCTATTACAGCGGCTGGGCTGACAAGACCTTTGGTCAGACCATTAGCACGACCCCCGAGAAGCTGGCGTATACGCTCCGCCAGCCCATCGGCGTCGTGGGACAGATCATCCCATGGAACTACCCTCTCTCCATGGCCACCTGGAAGCTAGGACCCGCGCTCGCCTGCGGCAACACCGTAGTCCTTAAGGCCGCCGAGCAGACGCCACTGAGCATCCTCGTCCTCGGCACCTTGATCAAAGAAGCCGGATTTCCCCCGGGCGTGGTAAATCTCGTCAACGGGTACGGCCGCGAAGCCGGCGCCGCATTGGTTCAGCATCCGCTCGTCGACAAAGTCGCATTCACCGGATCCACCGTGACGGGCAAAGAAATCATGAAGATGGCCGCCGGCACGATGAAGAACATCACGCTCGAGACGGGCGGCAAATCCCCCCTGCTCGTCTTCCCCGAAGCCGATCTCGACCAGGCCGCCAAATGGTCCCATTTCGGCATCATGTCCAACCAGGGCCAGATCTGCTCCGCCACCTCCCGTATCCTCGTCCATCAGGACATCATGGGGCCCTTCCTTGAAAAGTTCAAACAAGCCCTCGAAACTACCTCTCAAATCGGCGACCAGTGGAGCGAATCCACCTACCAGGGTCCCCAGGTCACTCGGGCCCAGTACGACCGCATCCTCTCCTACATAGACTCCGCTCGCACCGAGGGCGCAACGGTCCTGACCGGCGGCCACGCCCACACCCCGTCCGACTCCAAGTTCCAGAACGGCTACTTCATCCAACCCACCGTCTTCACTGACGTCACGGACGACATGCGCGTCTACCGCGAGGAGATCTTCGGCCCCGTAGTCGTCATCGTTCCCTTCGCCTCCGAAGAGGAGGCGATCCGTCGCGCCAACGACACCTCCTACGGCCTGGGCGCCGCCGTCTTCACCAAGGACTTGGAACGTGCCCACCGTGTCGCCGCCGAGATCGAGGCCGGTATGGTCTGGATTAATAGCAGTCAGGACTGTGACCCGAGAGTTCCTTTCGGAGGTGTCAAGCAAAGTGGAATTGGGCGAGAGCTTGGAGAGGCAGGGTTGGAGGCTTATAGCCAGGTTAAGGCGGTGCATGTGAACATGGGGAATAAACTATAGATGTCGAGATGTATTTAGATGATTAGACGATGTGTGAATGATTTTTCTTTCCCCCTGTATTCGGCCTATCTGGCATCTACACTCTGCCGGGCCCTTGACCAGTCAATCCCAAATCAAACATACAATCAGGGTAAAAACCTGGGTAAAAACCTGAGGCGCCAAGCTGCCAAGCATTTCGCTTGCTGACCCCTCCACGGCCAAGCAATTCAATCATTCATTCCATCCATTTATTTAAATCCTTTTGATCGTTTTAGATGTTCCCTCCAATCACACCACGCCCTAATCTACACTCCCGCTCACCGTACAAGAGACAATCAGGATCCAGGGCCCTTCCACACCCGCGTCCGCACCCCAGTTCCACCGGCTCCACTGCGGATCCGCTATACGAGATCCGCTATACGCAAATACGCAACAAATACGAAGCAGACCTTACCCTCTAGGCATGCCATCCGCCATTCGGAGTAGGTCTGCCCGGCGCTTTTAATATGGGGGTAGTAGATTGGCTGTCTGTGGTCTGGGGCTGGTGGCCACGGAGGGGTATTTTCAGGGGTGAGTGATGCCGAATGCGAGCTAGAGAGGTAAGTAGGTTCTCCAGGTGGAAATATAAGTACCGGATGAACCCCTATTCATATGCCCCAAGCAGCGCAGCGCATCTCATCTCTCTGTCTTCTGCCGATCACCGAATAAAGTGGCCTATCATGGGTGATAATCTCCTCGAAAAAACCGTCCTCGTGACTGGTGGTGCTGGCGGTCTCGGCAAAGCTATCGCGACCAAGTTCCTCGAAGCCGGTGCCAACGTGGTCATCTGTGATATTCATGAGCAGAGGCTCCGTGAGGCAGCTGCGGAGCTTGGAGTCAAGGGTCGTGTGAAAGCTGTCCAGGCGGATATCACATCTGCGACTGACGTGCAGAGACTCGTGGACGAGGTGGTGGCAGAGTTTCGGCAGCTGGATGTCCTGATCAATAATGCGGGGATTATGGATCGGTTTGATCCCGTGGGGGATCTGGACGAGGGACTCTGGGATAGAGTGATGGCCGTGAACTTGACGGCGCCGTATCTGTTGAGTAAGCTGGCGGTTAGGAATATGCTGGCCCAGGGGGAGGGGAAAAGGGACGGATGCATTGTTAATATTGTATCCGTGGCGGCGAAAGCTGGGTGGGCTGCTGGTATGCCATTCCCTTTAATGATTAGGGGCAGAATGTCATGTCATGTCATGTCACGTCATTTCTCGCTATCTCGATGCCAAGCATCTGCTTGTCTTTTGGGTTGATTGCTAACCTGGATGGGCTCGATGAATAGGTGCGGCATACACGGCAAGTAAACACGGACTTGTCGGATTGACGAAAAACACGGCCTCGTTCTATGGGAATCAAGGGATTCGATGCAATGCGCTGATGCTGGGAGGTATGGACACGAATATTGTCGACGCGTTCCAGTCGGGCATCAACGCGGTCGGCTTGAATAAGGCAAGGGGAATCATGGCGGCTGTTCAAGCACCACTTTGTCAGGCCGATCAGGCGGCGGACGTGTGTCTGTCGTTGGCATGTGGGAAAGGCTCGAAGTTGATTAACGGCGCTTGCATTCCGGTGGATCAAGGATGGACCGGAGTGGTGGGTTGAGCGGGAGATAAATGATTTCAACTTCTGTATTTCCGTGGCAAGGGACCAACCAACCCCGCAATTTGATGACAGAGGATGTTTCACGTTCGTGGGCCGATGGATAGTTGAAACCATTGTGCTCGGGAAAAAGTGGTACACGATGATACTAAGGATTTTGCCAAGTCCGCCAATAATCAGCCCGATGCCGTAGATTCATGACGGCATCGTGCATTGATTACCTGTAGCCCAGGAAATAGCTTCAATTATGTCCGAAGGATCTCCACACGAGTGAAATCCTGCCCATCCAGGAAGCCGAGGTGAAGCAAAGTGGGACCGGGACGGATATAACGTCACCTAACTCCGAGTGTCAGTCATGGTATATAATCGTCATTGAACGACAGGACTTTAGACACCCTGTGAGACCTCAGTCTACTTTTAGCCATTGGACCTTCCTTGCACCACCGTTACCATGAAGTACGTACAACTCGGATCCAGCGGCCTTCGCGTCTCTCCCATTTGCGTCGGTTGTATGAGTTATGGCACGCCCGGCAAGCAATTCGACTGGTCGCTGCCGGAAGACGAGGCTCTGCCCGTTCTAGACCATTGCTACCGATCGGGCCTCAACTTCTTCGACACAGCGAATGTTTACTCCAACGGAGACTCGGAGGTCATCCTCGGCAAGGCGATCAAGAAGTACGACTGGCGGCGTGAGAGTTTGGTCATCGCCACCAAGCTCTGGGCCCCCGTCGGACGCGGCGACGAGAAACCACTCCGCATGTCCGTGGAAGACCGGGATAACGCCGGCTACATCAATCAATATGGCCTCAGTCGCAAGCACATCTTTGAAAGCGTCGATGCCAGTCTGAAGCGACTGGACCTGCCGTATGTCGATCTGCTGCAAATCCATCGCTTTGACCCCAACACGCCACCGAAGGAAACGATGGAGGCGCTCCATGACGTCGTCAAGTCCGGCAAGGTGCGCTACATCGGCGCATCGTCTATGTGGGCGCACCAGCTCCTGGAATATCAGTACACGGCACGGATCCATGGGTGGACGGAGTTTATCTCGATGCAGAACGTGTACAATGCCATCTATCGCGAGGAAGAGAGGGAGATGTTCCCGGCATGTACGAAATTTGGGATGGGCACCATTCCCTGGAGTCCGGTGGCTATGGGATTCTTGGCCAGGCCGTGGAACTCATTCTCCGAGACAACGAGGGGGAATTCCCTGAACAACAATTTTATGGGCCAGCCACTCACGGAAACGGATAAGAAGATCAGCGCGAAGATTGAGGAGATTGCCCAGAGCCGGGGGGTCGCAATGGCGGTGATTGCCCTGGCATGGTGCTTGTCCAAGCCCTTCGTCACATCGCCTATTGTCGGGATGAGCAAGAACGAGCGGGTGGACGAGGCGATCCAAGCCATTGACTTCCAGCTCAGCGAGGAGGAGATCAAGAGCATTGATGACCTGTACGAGCCCAAGCGAGTGGTTGGTCACAGCTAGGGTGGTTTCCGGAGAAGGTTGGATGGAACAAATGATGGCCTGTCCGCAACATCCCTGTCGAGGGGACCTCTAGAAAGTCAAATGCAATAGAAATCCCATCGCGTTTGGGTCTAGAATCCCACAACGAGCCATTTTTCAGCCAGGATCATTAAGCTCCCCCGGTCGAATCAGTAGATAAACGACGGAGCATGAGGCATTTATTCGACGAGGCTGATCCATCTGGCCCGGCCATGACTCAACGCCAGGGCCTCCATCCCGGGATGTCTAGGCTGCATCGCACAGACTTGCCCTGGCAGCTCGTTGCCTGCAAGGTGATGCGAGATCCAATCCCGGGCGAAGCTTGGGCCAACGCTGTAGGTCGCAGTGGCGACTATCTCCACCGGACGATCCCACCCTCGGCTTAGATTCCGGATGTGGTGGCAGTAAACAGGGGGTGCCGAATGTCTTACTTGGTCCCCCTTCGCGGTGCTGCGCCGCCGAGATTTGGAAATCGCCTGGAATGACTCTCGTCGAATCAGGGAGCGAAGGTAAATAATGGAAAATAGGCAAAAGTCAAAAGGAAAAAGCAAGCCCCCACCAGGGCGACGTCCCACTGCGGACTGGCCGAAAGGGGACAAGTGCTGCACACCCTCTTCATCCTTCGAAACTGTATTTGTAATTGATTTGGTACGGCGCAGGTATCTGGAGTCCTCGACCAAGGAACGGGCGCATGACTGGCAACCCTGTCAGTCTACCGGGGACGATGATCGACTGGACGTCAACGTCGCGTCTGACGAAAGCCTCCCTCGAACGGGCCAAATGCGAGATCTCCCTCGACCATTGCTATCTCGTTGGTGCCTGCGCCTTTCATCCGTGCCTTACCGGCCGTACGGGTCGAACCCTACGCCGCTGGAGAGTTCACTAGGTGTCAATCTGATTGTGTCTTTGTTCCGACTTTCGTTTGACAGCCTCACGCGAGCGGAAATAAGACATAGATAGAGGCTGTGTAAATGCCAGACATGCGGAAGTGAATCATGCCGCCTTCTGTCAAAAATAGCTGAATCAAGACCGGCTGCAGAATGACGGCATCATTTCTCCTGGATGCTGGCATGCCAGATCCATGCATGGCGATTGGTGCCGGGAGAAATTATTAAATTCACAATAAAATAAGAAAAAAGAAAAGAAAAGAAATAACAGGCAGTCCGACAATAACCACAGAGGATCAAGTGGGGGAGGTCTGAGAGCAGTGTGATAGGAGCGCCCCGTCGTCTGATCACCCGAGAGGGTGATGGCTGAGACCATCACATTGTCGGCACCGAGAGACTTCCTACGCCCGTCGTGACGGAGGCCGATTGCAAAGCCCTACCCTGGATGGTCTTGAAACTGCGGCCAGCGACTAGACCGCGTTGGGAGGCGAGGTTGTGCGACGCTGCTGAAGATCGACTGTGCGTATACTGCGATCTGGGGTTGCAACCACGATGATCGGCCTGGTTTTGCCTATCACCGGGCTGGGGAATGACTTGCAGACTTCGCCAACGTCGAACTAGTCGGCCCCCCGTCAGCCAGTCAGCGGCCGCCGTGACCCCGGTCGATCCCCTCCGGTTGACTTTTGGTGCGAAAGGTCTCAAATCTACCAGCGTCGTCGTCGCTTCCCCCCCGGCTGAAGCGACCGTCATTTCGTGCTGGACGCGCACCCTATCGGTCTGCAGTCGACTGGGGTTGGAATTTGATCCCTCGTAGTAGTCAAGAGCTCGGTCGGTCTGGGTCAGCCGATTCTGCCGCGTGTGTGGTTACAACCGGTTTTGCATCTCTTATCTGCTGAGCAAAGGCTCGACTAGCACCGCCTCGACATCCCTTCGCTCAGCACTTAAAAAGGCCCCAGAATTCCCCGTCCACCAAGCTCTGCTGCTTGGTCTTGGGTCGTACAAACCGCTTCCTCCTGCTTACTTACCAAGCTTACTTACTACTGCGTACTGTCCGCCATTCCCTAGTCACTGCCATCCTCCATGCCATGCGGGCGAGGGCTGAATCAGCGCCAAGCAGCTTTGGCATCAGTTTAACGGTCCATTCGTTCTACCATCCCTGCGTGACCTGCGCATGGTCTCCCATGCCGTCATCTCGCGAGTAGTCGTCAAATCCTCCTGTGCACGTCCAACTTCTTCCGCTGCTCACTTTTTCCTTTTTTTCCCTTCCTCCCGCGCTTTCCAAATCCGTGGACGTGCGTCACCGCACTTCCGCCTAGCCCGAATCCGACTAGCTCCCGTCGGGTCCCCAGGAACCAATCAGTCGAAAACCTTCCGTTTTTAGGTACCGTAAGGTACCTTCCAGGTTACCCAAGGTACCTAGGTATAAGGTATAGTAGGCGTGAGAGCAAAGACGGGATTCCCGGGGCAGCCAGTTGCAAACACGACGGTCGCCACGACTCAGCAAGAGCCAGGTCAGTTTTTGCGTCTTCTTTGTCCCCTCCGTGCCTCTTGATCGACCATTAGTCTGCATTTGGCCAGCAGGGGTGGAGTGGAGCCCGGCGTACGGTACGGTACGGTACTGGGCGGCGTACCATGGTTGCCCTCCGCTTTGCCCCTCTTATGGCTCTCCCGCGGCTCCCGCCATGACGCCATGCTTTTCCCCGCAAGCTAACTCGTCCGTAGGGAACTTGGTCAAGTTGGTTGGCTGATCGCGGGTTTTTTCATTGTTTGCGTGATCGATCTTTATTTTTTTTTTTTTTTTTTTACGCGGTCAAAACGCTATTCTTTTCGAAGAATAAGGATTGACGGAGAGCCAACAATAAGCTGTGTTGGACTGAAAAAGAAACAAAGAAATACCGTGGAGGCGGTGACAAACAATTCGTCGTCGCGTGTGGAGGGGACCAGGGAAATCATTCCCTCCAGTCAGATCCCCTTTATCCACAGGGCCACAAGGTACCGTTACCGCCGAGTCCCTCAACAAAAAAAAAGAAAGAAAAAAAAAAGATAAAACCCTCGATGGCCTCTCCACGCTCGCCGTTTTCGACTTCCATCTCCTCCCCCTCCTCCTCTCCCTCGCTCTATCCGTCTTCCTACAGTTCCGTCCACTCGCCGCCTGGATTCAGCAGTAAGTCGACGCAATTAACTTTCCCATTTCCTTTTGGCTTTCCCGCATTCCCTGGCTGCCCCCCAACCCAATCACTGCCTCCCCAGACCGTCCCTTCCCCACTCTTCCACGGTCGACCCCTCGGCCAGCAGCCCAGGGAGAAGCCAATATAATTGGCCTTGCGTGCCTGATCGGATTCAACCTCCTGCGCTGTTCTTTTCATGCTTTTCTCTGGCAATCCCCACCTGACACGTGTGACATGCCTGCCCGGCATTCCGAGGGATTTGTGCTGATCGCGTGCTCTCTCCAGCCAATCTCTCCTCTGCCTCCTGGTCGCCTTCCTATCGAGGCACCCAGGACCACTTAGACAGCTTGATTGCCCGACACGGTCACCCCACTCGCGTTTCGCTGTCCTCCCTCGAGGAATTAACGGCCACCTCGTCGACTTATAATCCCCCGTCGCCTCGTCCCTCCTCCCCGGTTTCTGACACCGCCGATTCTCTCGACGCTCTCACTCTCTCCGGGTCCGCCTCCCGCCCGATCCCCATTCCCAGGCCGTCCCCTCACCACGCGCATGACAACGACCTGCCCGTCACACCATTAACGGGGCGTTTCGACAAGGGTTACTACTTTGCCCAGCGAGACCAGCCACCGAGAGATCATCACCACCACCACCACCACCACAGCCACCGAAGAAGCTCTCATCCCCATCGTTCTTCATCCACCAGAATGCGTTCCGATAGTTCCACCTTCTATCCTCCAGCCGTGTCTCCTTCTATGTCTCCCACCGGTCGATCCTCCTCCCCGCAACCTTCTCGGGCTCGAGCCCAGAACAGCTCCAAGTCGGTCCCGGCCTTCCATCTCGGGAACCTGCCGCGCTTTCATCCGGCCGTCTACCAGCCGTCGACCGGCAGCCAGAATGCTCCGGCCCAGCAGCACATCTATCGCACCTCGACGAGCTCGCGAGATCCCGTCTGGCAGTATCGCGAGTTGATGGACGGGCCCACTCTGTCCAAGACCCCCTCCCGGCCTCTTTCCCCAAGTCCTTCGGCTCCCCGCCTGGACCCTCTCCGCAGTCCGGGGCCCGTTACCCCTTTGGCTTTGGAAGATGCCAATGGTTATTTACTGTCAGGTCCCTCTGCGGATCTCTCGTCGCGTGACCACCCACATTCCGGGCCGGCGCCTGACCTTGTCGAACGGCTCATTGCCCGCGAGAATGAGCGAACTCGCCAGAAGGTCAAGAAAAGTTCCAAGGGTCGATGATGATGTGCGGCCGAGGAATTCGACCTCCCTTGGTCAAGTGGTTGGGTCTTTTCTATTTCCTTGCACGATCTTTTCGTTTTCATCCCCTTTTTTCTCTTCTTCTTCTTTTTTTTTCTTGCCCTTTGATTCGGGTCATGATGACTCACGCACCTGCACATTCCTCGGATATGCAGAATGACCATCTACAGATCCAGGATTCCAGAGCGGTCATTACGAAAGATTTATGTATTATTGATATATTGCGCCTATACCCCCACTTTGTCTCCATCTTCCCAGATGTATTTCCTATCTCATTTGTGCTCTTCTCTTCTCTTCTCTTCTCGCCCCTTCTGCATGTGGCATTTGTTATTGTATTGCTTTCACCCTTTGGTTTTGAGACTTTGGCATCGAACAGAAACAGACTGTTCTTGATATTAGATTGCACATCATACTGGCGGACAGTGCGTGGAAATGTGACTTGTGAATTGTGAACTTTGGGGATAAATCGCAGCCTACGCAGGGAAAACACCGACACAAAAAACAGAAAAAGAAAAAAAAAAAGCCGGGGGAGACTCGTATCCTAGAAAGTTGAAAAACAGAGATAGATAGAAACTGGGTTATGATCTACACAACGCAGGATTGGCTGAGTAATGGAGACGCGCAGCTGGTTTCGTAGGAAGTAGTAGACCTGATGAACGGAAAGAGAGACAGGTAAATGCTGAAATGGCTTATCAGAGTGCACGTCTTCTGTCTACAGTACCTCCTGATGTCAGATTCGTCGTCGCAGATCTCCGCACTTTATTTTCCCTTCGTCTGGCCATGCTTGTTTCTTGGTGCTGCTTGTCGGCCTTAGAACTTTTGCAGTAGACCACAGAGTATGTCTCTCTGCGTCTATCACCGGGCATCACTCATGGTGATTGTAGTACCATTAAGGAAAGAAGTAGACTCCAGAGGTGGCAGCACTCCAGCTCGGAGGCGCTCGGGCCAGAGTTAAATCCCTTCGGCCTTCGGTCTCGGTCTAGAGCTTGTACTACTCTGATGACTGGACGAAAAGACTATCTGATCCAGTGTCCTTGGACTGCGAATCGGAGGGTTTGACTTTGCTGCTTTTGGTTCCGGTCGTGTGAAACATAACAATAGGGCGTACGTTTGCATCGGATGTCAGAGCTGATGGGCTTTCGGCTCTCGGTTTTCATTGCCCCAGGCAATGAGATAGCCTATTGAGACGGAATTGACGAGTACAATAACGACAATGATTCTTATCTAATACGCCCAGTCCAGTTAGAGATATTTTCAGCGCATGTTGAGTGATGATTATTCTCGAACCCGATAGATGAGGACCCTTACATCTGCTGGTCCCTGTGTCACCTCTGCACACGCGAAACCAACACCCGTACGATCTTATGCTCTAACCTGACTCGACCCCGAACCCAGTCTGGCCTATACGCATACAGCCACGAGACAGAGGGGTGGCCTGAGTCTCGGTCTCCGAATTTGCCGCATGTCTGTCCCACTCATGCCGGTGTTCCATTGGGGGTTATTCCTGCCCAGGCTTACCGAAGGATTCGCGTGTCGCACAAGAGGCTATTCGAAAGGCTTTGGGGATGGAGGCATGTGATGATGAGATGCTGACGCTGGATATCAAGTCAGGCAGGATGTCTTTCAGCTCCTTCTTCCGGGATGCTGGAGGGTCGGGTATATAAAGGCTCGCGGGGGTTGTGTTGGATGGCTAGATCATCGAGCATCTCTTCACAAGACAAAGCAGCTCTAGCAAAGACATCATTCTCCTAGGAATCTAGCAATATGAAGACCAGCCTCATTCTTCCCCTTCTCGCGCTCTTCTCTGCGAGCTTCGCCGTGGCACTTCCGGCCAGCGATAGCGAGGTGGCTCAGGATAATGCCGACCCGCAGTCTGAGCCTGGAGATGTTAGCACCCAGGCGATTATCAGCGGAGTAGGTGTCTTCTTTATCTATATTCCTTGCCCCTGTAATAAGTACGGACTGACATCGTCAAGACCTGCAGTAGCGTCACCCAGCAATGCACCGCCAGCAACAGACCGGGAGGCACCTACCACGCTCCTTGCCCGATCAACCATCGCGTACGTTGTCTATATTCTGCAATATACCAGTGATGAAATAGAGCTGACGGGGGATTCTAGTGCGGCGCACGACATCGGTGCAACATTGACACGGTCCGACTTACTGCCGTCTGCAGCTAAGGGACTTTGACCTTTGCATTTGTAGGAGGAGATGAGACCGCGCGGTGAGGATTGGTCGGGTCTTAAGCGAATGAAGAAGCGGTGAATATGCGATGAGACACAGTCAAGAAGGATGTTCAATGATGGTTGGAGGCGCGACGGTCAAAGCAACCCTGTTCAACCACGGATGCGGGATATGTCATGTCATTCTTTTGCTGTTAGTTAGTAAGGTACTCAATTGAGTCTGTTTGGACCCCTGCACGTTCATTGCTTTTTTTTTTTTTTTTTTTTTTTTTACAGCCAACCGTAAGCTATGCAGACGTAGGGCAGTAACGTACTGTAGGGCGGTTTCTGACAGGGTGCGACGGCCTGCAGGGTTGGCATCCTTGTGTTGCCACCGAGATCCTTCGGGCTTGCGTCCAGTCACGACGCGCACACCGCTGGACCCCTGGGCTGCAGATGTGACGGATCGCTTGGAATCCGGGGGCCAAATGGGGAAGGCAGCAGCGTAAGAGAGGCTTAGGGCTCAAGTCGCGTCGTACAAGCATCGCCGCCTGCAGCCAATGGGAATGCGGTGGATCGGATCGACAGAGGATCCTTCAGCTTCACTCACTCAAGGCTCATACTTCTTTTCAGCTATAAATAAGCGGAGGGGTTGGGGGTGTTGGGATTTAATTCTGTGACTATTTGTCTTTCTACTGTTGTCTGGTTTGTTCCTGTTCTTGTTGAATTCGAATCACAATGCTTTGCCAACACTGCCAGCGCATGTTTCGCGCCCCCGAGTGGGCCGCCCATCATACAGACACTGCATCTCTCCGCGATGCTTCTGCCAATGGGTGTGCCATCTGCCATCCGTTCATGCAGCATCTGGTCGAGAAATACAGCGACCCCGCCAACGTGTTCACCAGTCCCATGGGTTATCGCGTCTACCAAGACGAAAAGCACGCGCAGGTCCTAGTGGACCTGGACTTCACGGAGGACGGAAACGACGTCCTGGAGTGCCAGACTTGGATGGCCATCCCCAGCGCCGACGTCACCTTTAACCCGGCCATTCGGGAGAGACAGTCGCTCCCGCTGCAAGACGCCATCGCAGCAGCCAAACACTGGTTGACCGAGTGTCGGGAGGGCCATGACCGGTGTCCTAAAACTCCGCAGCCTGCTTTCTACCCGGACTATTTGCTGGAGATCGATGGGTCGACGGTGCGATTGGTCTCCTCGGCTGAAAAGCAGATTTCAGACGCCTACGTGGCAGTCAGCTGCTGTCGCGGAGCAAACCCGCCGACGATTGCCGACATAAAGCAACTCCAAAGCGGCCTCGCTCTCACTGAACTTCCGATCGCCTTCCGCGAAGCAGCCCATCTCGTTCAGGGCCTCTTCATCCGCTACCTATGGATCGAAACCTTCTGCACGCCGCCCGAAACCCAGACTCAAGCACAACAAGTCTACACCAACTGTCTCTTCAACCTTTCCCTCGCGAGATCCACAACCCCGAACGAGAGCTGCCTCGGCGCATGTCCTTCGCACGCAAAGCTCCCCTTCGAGATCGAGACCAAGGGCCTGATCGGAGAAGAAGGCACCAGTGCCGAAGTCACAGCCACCGTGGTCCCATGGGACTATTTCGAAAGGTCGCTCTATCACCAGCCGCTGGGCCGCCGCGCCGACAGCGTACAGGAGCAGTTCTGGTCTCCGCGCGTTCTCAGCCTCGGTCTGGGAGAGCTGTTCTGGAGCTGTGCGCAGCTGCCGAACGCCAGCGAGTCTCTTCCGCGGGGGCCGGCGCATCTCGCTGAGGAGTTTGGGCTACGGCAGAAGACGATCCCGGATGGTTCTGATCAGGAGAAGTTGGAAGAGTACTGGTGGCAGGCTCTGGAGGCGTATACTGACGGCGAGCTGGATCGGCCGGAAGCCGGTCGATTGGTCGGGGTTTCGAGCATCGCGGGTCAATTAGCACCCGTTCTAGACGATGTGTATATTCACGGGCATTTCGCGAAAACGCTACCGTGGAGTCTCAATTGGCAGGTGGAGTATCCGCCGCTGGAAGAGAAGCGAGGTGTCCGACGAGCGCGCAAAGGAGACGCGCAGACGCATGATACGCCGTCCTGGAGCTGGGGATCGATGGATGGCACGCTGTACTTCTTCCAGTTGAGGGAGTGCACGAGTTTAGCCGACGTCGTGGATCCGACTAGCCTGGCGGAGACTGAGTCCTTGAAACTTGCTATCAAGACCTTCTGTATGCAGGTGGGCTGGGCGGATGGAAAACCCGTCATCCAGCATGAGTTCTGGAAGGATGGCGAGCAGTTTCACTGGCTCAATGTCAATCTCGACGATGAGCGGTTCACGCCCAAGCCCGGCGCGCGGCATTTGCTGGTCGCGCTGATCGAGGACGACTGGCTAGGGAAATGGGAGGGATTGTTGGTGGAGGAAGTCAAGGCCGATGGAGAGGCTGGACCGGTTTATCAGAGGATTGGACATTTTATTATGGATCGAAAGCAAGGCGACGAGGAGCGAGAGTGGAAAGAGGACTATAGGTTGATGTCGGGAGAACGACGGGAGATTATACTGGTGTAGGACTGCCTCTTTATTTATTTTACGGAATTAACTGTTTTGTGCAAAGATATATTCCAGGAGTAAAAAAGAAAACAAAAAAAAAGTGAGGTCGTGATGCGTCGGCCGGGAGTCGAACCCGGGTCCCTTGCTTGGAAGGCAAGGATGATAACCGTTACACTACCAACGCGGTAGATACTCTTCTCATTCTCTTGATGATACATAACCACCACTCAAAAAACCCTCCGATGTCGACGCCGGAGTGCGACCGGAACTCCCCGGCGGGAATTAACTCAATTGATAATCGACCAGGCAGGACTGCTCCAGCTTCAATCCACTTCTTCTTCTCTCTTGAAAACATCCCCCGCTCACTCCCCCTTCTTTTCCCCAGATTCTTCCTCCTCCCTCACCAATGACCCTCTTCCGTTGCGATCCCAATCCATTCGTCCGATAGCGGACCTCAACGTCATTTGCCCGACCGCCGTCCGATTTTTGCGACTATACCCCATATATATACACACACCTCTCTTGATCCTCATTAACGCGATATGACTTCAACCCCCACCTCGATATCAAACTCCGGAGCTCCCGGCGTCCCGGATCCTCATGCAGCTCAGAAAATCGACAGCACTGCACCTCGCACCCCGGTGACGAGCTCCAAACACGACTACAAAGGCTTCGTAGCCGGCGTCTTCTCCGGAATTGCGAAGCTAAGTGGTATGTCCTTGCTATGCGATCCTGTGTGCTCTCGGAAGCTAACCTTCCTACGAATTTAGTTGGCCATCCGTATGTGATCCCCCTCGTCCAGTTTGAGCGTCGTCCTTCTAATCGCTGCCCCGTTCCACAGATTCGACACCGTTAAGGTCCGCCTACAAACGAGCAAAGATGGCCATTTCAGAGGTCCCTTGGATTGTGTACTACAGACCGTGCGCAAGGAAGGTGTAACTGGATTCTATAAAGGAGCGACGCCGCCGCTGGTCGGATGGATGGTGATGGACTCAGTGTGAGTTTCGGCCCTGGATGAAATTCCGAATAAAAGAAAGGGTAGGGCTGATTCGGTCACAGCATGCTTGGATCCTTGACGTTATATCGCCGACTTCTTCTCGAGCACATTTTTTCCAAGCCCGAGCTGCGGTCCCTGGTTCCATTCGCTAAAAAAGACCCGGACCTGCTCACTCTTCCCAGCTTCGGCCATGGAATTGCCGGTATCATGGCCGGTACGACGGTCAGCTTCATTGCCGCCCCCGTGGAACATGTCAAGGCGCGCCTGCAAATCCAATACGCTGCGGATAAGTCCAGTCGCATGTACAGTGGGCCGATTGACTGCACCCATAAAATTGTAAGTGCGCATGATCTCCGACGAAGAATGGGAAGTTAACGTGGTCTGCTCCGTAGCTCCGCACGCATGGCATTTCCGGTCTCTATCGGGGTCTCTGCGCTACGATCTTCTTCCGCGCGTTCTTTTTCTTCTGGTGGGGATCCTACGACGTCCTGACGCGATGGATGAAAAACTCCACCAACATGTCGGCGCCCGCCATCAACTTCTGGGCGGGCGGTATCTCGGCGCAAATTTTCTGGCTCACGTCGTACCCGTCGGACGTGGTGAAACAGCGCCTCATGACGGACCCCATGGGCGGTGCTCTTGGAGACGGACAGCGCAAATTCCAGTGGTGGAAGGACGCTGCTCGGGCGGTTTATCGCGAGCGTGGTTGGAAGGGGTACTGGCGGGGATTTGTACCCTGCTTCCTGCGAGCGTTCCCGGCGAATGCGATGGCCTTGGTGGCTTTTGAGGGAGTGATGCGGTCCCTGCCATGAGAGAAAAGGAATGTGATGAATCCCAATGCCCGATAGACTGTATATAATTAGCCTTCTGCGTCCGATAGAGAAATGCAGCATTTCCGCATTCGGCGGCGCCCAGCCCCGTGACCCGCGGCGTCCCCATCCGGAAAGCTTCGTCATCCCTCACGTCTTCCTTTTCTTTCTTTTTTTTACGTCCCTCTTCCTTTTCCATCCTCTATTCCTCCCCGCCGATATGCTTGTTGCGGTCGCTGGCTAACACCTCCTCCGTCCCTTTGCCGGGTCTGCCTGGATTACCGTAATTGATCGATCGGACCCTTGCCCGCTGTCGATCTGCAGGACTGACCACGTACCCGTCGCCGTCCGCCAACCAACACCTCTACCACCTCCTTCACTCAACGGTCCGCGATGGCCGTCGCTCGTCCAATGCGACGTACCAGTCCCATCACGCTGCTTCTGGCGGCACTCCTGGCCTTCGGATTCCTCTGTTTCCTGCTATCTCCAACGCCCCCGTCATCCGCCTCCGCCGCCTCCGTCCCCGTCGCCGACTCGTCGCAACAACTCCGCGAAGACGCCGCGCAGAATCCTCTTTCGCCCCCCACAAAACCCTTCCTCAAGGAACAACCCGTCCGCAACGATGGCGTCCAGGCTCCCCCTCCTGTCGTCCATTACAACCTCAACAGCCTCACCAGCACCGACAACGCCGCCGGCATGGGCGAACGAGTCCTCATCCTCACCCCCCTCGCGCGCTTCTACCCCGAATTCTGGGCCAACGTCGAGAAACTGAGCTACCCGCACGCCTTGATCTCCATCGGCTTCATTGTGCCTCGCACCAAGGAAGGGAACACCGCGGTCGCGGCCCTCGAGGAGGCCATCTCGAAGACGCAATCCGGCCCCGTGGACTCCCGCTTCGCCAGCATCTCCATCCTGCGCCAGGACTTCGACCCCCCGCTGCAGTCGCAGGACGAGAAGGAGCGGCATAAGATGGCGAATCAGAAAGCGCGTCGCGAGTCGATGAGTCGCGCCCGGAATAGTCTCGTCTTCACGACCCTCGGTCCGAGCACCTCGTGGGTCCTCTGGCTCGATGCGGACATCATCGAGACTCCGCGCTCGTTGATCCAGGATCTCACGCGCCACGACAAGCCGGTCATCGTGCCGAACTGCTTCCAGCGATATTACAACACCGACACCAAACGCAACGATGTGCGCCCTTACGACTTCAACTCCTGGATCGATAGCTCGACCGCCCAGTCTCTGGCTGACGCCATGGACCCCGATGAGATCCTGCTCGAGGGATACTACGAGATGCCGACGTATCGGTCCCTGATGGCCTACATGGCCGACCAGACCAACCCCGACCCGCGACGCGAGATCGAGCTGGACGGTGTCGGTGGCACGGCGCTCATGGTCAAGGCCGATGTGCATCGTGACGGCGCCATGTTCCCGGCCTTCCCGTTTTATCACCTGGTCGAAACGGAGGGTTTCGCCAAAATGGCCAAGCGTTTGGGATACTCAGTGTTTGGGTTACCTGATTACTTTGTAAGTTGCCATCTGCCGCTTGTCTTTGAGGCTGCAAGGCTAACTCCATAAAAACACAGGTATATCACTACAACGAGTGATAGCCATCAGGCCGTAATGATTTAAGTAAAGACAAAAATATTTTATAGAGGTTGTACTTTTTGTTTGTGATTTGCGCATTTCTTAGGACTTATTTGGTTTCCTTTGCGCTGTGCGCAAGGGTTCTCCTGCATTGATCATTGATGATAGCTGTTTCTGTTACCCATTTATGTTTTTATTTCGTTGATCTCTATCCTTCATTCCTGTTCATCATATCTCTATATTTTGGTCTCGCGGGTGGAGATATATTTCTGGATCGGCGTTGGGATGATTGAGGGTGGATTTATATACCGTCAGTAGTAGATGTATGCCATGCTGGCTTTTGTGAAGTTTTCATTGACTCTATTTTCCTAATCTATATTTTTTCTATGTAAGGCGTTATTCTAGGCGTTTAGTAGTCAAGGTGTTTAGTGTTTTAATGGATATACCCCAGGCCGGGTCATTCGTAGTGTAAGGAATCAAACCTCTTGACACCGGCTCAGCCGTCACTCTTATGCAGTGACTATATCAGTTGGGTTAACCAACCGGATGAAAAAGCTGCATAATAGCCAGTCATAGACCCTACTATCACAGCCCGATATGACAGAAAAATACCCTCAATCCTAGGTAGGAATTCTATTTCGGCGTCTCCCTCGTCCTCACAGGCTCAGTGTAGCTGGTCTCATCCCCCCTCGACGGCGGATGACTCCGACTATGGCTGGCGCTGTCGTCCATCTCCATGTCCGTGCTCAGGTTCGTGAAGCCGTGTTCTCGCCGCGCGTTCCGCAGATGATACGTGCTGGTTGTTCTCTGCGGGCGTCGGATCTTGCCGTTCGAGCCGACGTCGTGGAGGCGGAGGATTTGGCGGAAGGAGGGGAGCGCGGCGCAGATGATTACGAGGTTGCATTCGACGTTGCTAGGGGGTTGGGTTAGTTGGGTTAGATTAGAGGATAAGTTGGGGGGTGGGGACGGACATCCAGAGAGATACTTTGCCGAAGAGGTAGGTTTGGTCTTTCGAGTGGAAGAGAGGGATGATGGCGGCGATGCGGAGCGCGCTGGTTACGACTGATCTAGAAGGTTTACGATCAGTTAGTGAATGCTAATGTGGATATGCAAGGGGTATGATAGAGTGGTATGGGAAAGAAACGTACAAACTCCCTAGTAATAGGATCATGAAAATCCAAGCCTTTTTCCTTCTCGACATCTGAAGCCGAGCCACGACAGGGACTGGGATAATAAGCAGGATAATATCCGTGAAGACACTCGCCACGGCCCCTGTCATGAATATACTTGTGCGATCGACACACGACCCGGCAACTTCATCGTCCCATGCCTTGGCGACAGGGCGGCAGCCGAAGAGGAAAAGGAACTCGATGACTAGTAGGTATGAAGTTACGAAAATGGCCATCCCGATGATGGTGACTTTCCATGCTGTCCGCAGCTCCGAGAACCGGTAGTATAGGGCGATGATGGCGAGCTTGGAAAGGCCCATGGCTGGCGCGTAGAGGAGTGCTCCTGCTACCAGGACACGTAGTGACTTGATGTGTTCGTCTTCGCGGAGATCCCATTCGTGGATCCCTATGCCTGCGTGGCTATACCCGTCTGTTTGAACGTTAGTCTACCTAGTTTATGTGATAGGGCTTGGAAAGAAACGTACATAGTAGCAATGCTTGAGTAGCCACGGCAAACACCTTCTCGCGTCAGAATGGTCAGCTAGTTACCACAGGGCTAGTTTTCAACTTACATACCCACGAGATAACAAGAATTACTGTTGCATCCCACAATTAGCCAGTTTTTCTTTCCACAGGGGATGTTATACAGTACCATCGTCTAACAATAGCTTCCTCATCACCGTGACTCGCGTATAGCATCGCACCAACAAACATATCGTGCTCAACACCAATCCCACGATCACAACTACCTTGTTGGCGGTATGCAGGTAGCGATAGGGATGCGAGAAATCCGCCACTTCGCCTTCCGGCGCTGGCATGGCAGCCGCATCTGAATCGGTGCCATTATGCATGACGCTGAGTTCACATGAACTCGGAGTCAGGAGTGCCCTGCGAAGGAGCTCGGGCATATATAGGCGGCTCAGACATTTCGGCCTCAAGCTTGGGCCATAACCGCCGGGCTTGAATTTGACAATTGCTTCCGTGGTTCCGAGGATCCATTATGAGGATCCATTATGAGGATCCATTATTCCTTCTGATCATCGTAGAGGTCACCCGGGATGGGTAGGGTTATAGGGTTATTTGAAACATTTGCGGCACGGTAGAACCTCGGCGGTTTTGTGGGATTTGTCCGAGTCAGGTTTGTGTGTATAAAGATAAGAAAGGGTGACGGATTGATTGACAGGTATCGTGAAGGAGATCGGAGATCATTGCTGGCCCGTGCTGGATGTCTGTATGATCTCGATCTGTCATCGTCAATCATCCTCCCCTTTCTCTATACCTTTCAGGTTTTCTTCTTTGGTGTTTTGCTCATGCTTAGGCGATAAAATCACCCAATAATTCGCACAAATGATTTGATTTGTGAAGACCTTGATTCAGGGACAGAGTTTGGAAGGATTCTTAGTTTTTTCTTCACGGCCCACTTGGCTCTATTAAGCCCTCGGGCATTGCCTCAACGGCGATGATCTTCAACTAATTGAGCCAAATCTGGGTGACGTTCTTCGGAGTTCATGATTAATATTCGTTATCCTTGAAATTAATCTTGACTGATGCACCCCTTAGGAAGAGGTTTCATCGCCAATGCTTTTTGATTAGTATCGAGAACCCCAGAAGGGTATAATTCGGCGACTGCTGGGAATTCCCTCCAAATTGCTTTAGAAGGCATGCTTCCTGGATGCAGGGATGCTCACTGATAAGCCAAATGGCTGAGCTGATCCTTTTATTCATGGGTTGCGTAGGTTCGTCGGCGTTGCATGCATGAAATGCTTGGCGGATTGGATTGCCCGAGGCAGCCAAGGATTCAAGCCTTAACAGACCGAATCCCCCTTTTCAGTTGAGTCTATTTATATTTGTGCAGTTAGTATTAACTTGTAACCGGCTCAATATCGGTAAGTGGTACTATTAGATCACTGCACTATACATAGATGTCTACTAACGTATTCAACCACCGGGCCGCAGGTTGTGCCGTGCGGTAAATTGAGTGCCTTTTGTATGTTGCCATTTACATATCATGCATCTATTGATGTTTGATTTACTGTCAAGAGGTAAAGTTTTATGCCGGTGAGTGTCAGATTTAATCCCATGAGATCCTGTGACAGTCAGTACCCATCTGAAATTGTACGATTTGGAGTAGAGTGAAAATAAAACATACCCAAGCATGATGCCGGCGCCCAACGCGACCGCCAAAAACTGAATGATCGTCTGTTTGATCTCCCGCTTCTTGTCCTTCCCGGTCTCCAGCAGCTCCGGAATCACCGAGACGGTGCCCACGTACAGGAACGTCCCCGCGGTGAAAGGCAGAAGCATATCGCCCCATGTCAGACTGGTGCCGAGCAGACCGGCGGTCGCCGATTCCGCCACGCCAGCATCGCCATGACCACCAAGCTCCTGCACCGCAATCCCGATGAACGTACCCAGGAACGCGCCGACTGCCGTAACGAATTGAGCGCCCATGGCCTTGCGTTTCGAGAACCCGGACTGGATGAGCAGCGCGAAGTCACCGACCTCGTGGGGGATTTCGTGGAAGAAGACGGCGACGGTGGTAGTGGCGCCGATGGTGGGAGAGGCGTAGAAGGACGAGGACATGGCGAGACCGTCGGTGATGTTGTGCGTGAAGTCGGCGATCAGGTTCAGGTAGCCACCGAGTTTGACGCTGGGGTTGATTTCCTTGCCCTCGGCCGACGCGGGCGCAGAGGCAGAACTCTCTTGCTGCGGCTTCTTGCGCTGCTTCAGCTCCGTGGTTCCCTTGTCGGCGCCGCTGGCTACGGCGGCGGCGCTCGTCTCGGGGTGAATGTGGGTGTGTCCGTGGCCGTGTGAGTGATCATGTCCTTCTCCGCCTGTTGCGATGCGCAGCGTCTTATCCATTGCGACGAACGTGAAGAATCCGACCATGATGCCGAGTCCGAGGAGAAGGTTGCGGTTGGGTTCCACCATGACGAAGCGTACGTGGTCCTGGGCATCCTCGCCCAGGAAGATTTCGGGAAGTAGATGAAAGAGGGTGTCGCCCAGGAGGCCTCCCACGGCAAACGCGACCATGACGGACAGCGAGGAGGGGTCGATGTTGGGAGGACATAGTGCCAAGAGGAAGTCTAGATAGATCGGACGTTAGAAACAATTGCAATTGGGATTCGGCTTAGTTACGTACTTGGAGGGCCGGAAATATAAACGGTAGCTAAGATAGCATTGACGGCGGGGCTGCCGGGGAAGAGGACAGAGAAGATCTTGGATGTCAGACTGGCGGTTTGGGGGCTATTTGCGCGCTTGTGTTCGTTGAGAGATTCCACCAGGGGGCAGTTCTGAAGAAATTAGTACGATTGCAGAAGATAAGAATAGCAGTGTAGACAGTCGATCAAAGATCAGATGAGAAAAATAGGTAGCGGGGAATGGCAGGGTCTTTGTTTACCTGCAATTCATCCTCGATCTGCCCAACTGACAGCTCCCCGACATCGAGAATCTCCTTAGCGACTGCGAACGCGGAGAAAAGCAAGACTCCGGCAGCCAGGGCAAACCCGATTCTCCGCGAGGGAGCAAAAAGACGCGAGACCATGGTGCAACCGGACAGGAGATGGAGCGTGCCAGGGGTGTGAAAGGCACGAGGGGAGCAATTGGTGGAGAGGAAGAAGGCGATCGATGGATCCTCCGCAGTCCGTCGGCGATTAAGTCACCTGCTCCGGGATCAGGGGACCCTGACACAAACACGCCAAGACCAGATGCAAACACGGACGGGCTAATCGATAAGATCATTTCTTTTTTTCTTCCGAACTTTTCGCCGCATCTTTTTGACCTCCAGATTACATTGCATATCACACCCCCCCTCTCACCATGACGAACATTCGCCAAGCTAAGAAGCTTCGATCCGGGCTCTCGAAAAACAGGCCTAAGAAGAACGGTGTCCTCAAGAGTGGCAAGAAGAAGATCAACGTCTTGGGAAATGCTATCATCGCCGAAAACTGGTACGGACAGCCGATCGTCAGCCACAGGAAGAACGGTACTAATGATAATTCTCCAGGGATCGCAAACTGACTCTCACGCAAAACTACCGTCGTCTCGGTCTTGCTCACCGTCTAAACGCCCCCGCCGGTGGTGGTGAGAAGCGCCCCAACAAGGAGGGCGGTATCGATGTCGCCCCCGAGGATTCCCTGCACATCAAGGGCAGCGCGCAAGCGTCATCGAAGCAGCTGGGTCTGGGAGAAGTCAAGGTGGAGCGCGACCCGGAAACCGGCAACATTATTCGAGTGATCAGCAAGAAACGCGACAACCCGCTCAACGACCCCTTGAACGACCTATCCGACAACGAGCAGGAAGCCTACGGCTCCAAGACCGACATTGTCAGGCAACTTGAGCGACAAGCGGCGCAGGAAGGACAGGACGTGAAGACCAAGAAGCCGCGCCACCAGAGCTCGCGCGAATCGGAATGGATCCAACGGCTCGTGGATCGACACGGCGACGACGTTACTGCGATGTTCCGCGACAGGAAGCTGAACCCCATGCAACAGAGCGAGGGTGATATTAGGCGACGGATTCGCAAGTGGAAGAAGAGCCAGGAGTAATGGGTGATACCGACATGCATTGTGCAAGGGCGAATTGGCGTTATATATGGTTCATTTTGTTGCTAAAAGTCTTGTATCTATTCCCTTCCACTGACTGTCTGGGCCTTTTGGCTGGATGGATTAGAGATTTATATCTGACGCGCAATCCAATGGTAATGTGCACATAACTGTGAATGCTAGCGGGAGTTTCGACCAATTCATCTTACCACCGTTATTCACCTGACATTTCCCAGCATCAGCTTTCTCACTAGATTCTTGGTGCTCTCTTCTGCCCAAATATCCCCTCTTTCCCTCGCCTGTTTAAGCCTTCTCACCTTCTTGTCCTCTCGCCTATCGCCCTCGCACAACACCACAGCTCCACTCTCCCCCTCAACTATCCATCTTCCTCCGTCAAAATGAATACCCTCATCGCAGTCATGCTGACTCTCCTGTCTCTGGTCCAGATGGCATGGGCCCAGATCGGATAGTAAGCCTCCTATACATATATAAGTTGCACATCGCACACCACGCATTTACTGACTACCCAGCAACGCAAACACCAACAGCCTGCTCTGCTCCAAGCCAGGAGGCCACTATTGTGTCCACGGCTCTCTGCAAGGCCCGACCATGATATCCTGTGTTTCCACCACCACTGCTGAGATCCGCTCGTGCAATATCGAGTGCGTTTCTCTCCCCCCCATAGTCGCAGTGGAGGTGTGGTTGTTCACTAACTATTCTCAGACTGGCCCATATCTTGCCTCCCGGTTACAAGGATTTCGCTATTTGTGAGTCTACCCAGCTTTCTTGTCTTGGTTCTACCATCCCCGAGTCACCATGCCTCTTTGTTCAAGTGCTTTGAAGCTAACTGACAAACCAAGGCTACGAAACAGCTCCCATCCTCGGCGACGCCCTCTGCGCCTTCAATGGAACCGGCTATCCCCGCTCTGGCAAGCCCATTTCGATCCCTGAGACTGCCATCTGCAATGCCTTCCCCGCTGGCTCTCCCGTGGAGGATCCAGGCAGCAACGACAATGGCAAGGGAGACGTCAACGACAGCGACACTGGAGAGGAGGAATCTACCAAACCCAGCCATCCCATGCACTACGACCACAACCCAGACGCAGACGCAGACGCAGTCCTTGCATCTCGCCAACACTCAAAGCCCTCTGAGCCAGAGCCAGAGAAAGCAACAACACCCAGCACTACACGCCCCGACAACGAAAAAGGAACCATCCAGCCCCTCCCCACCTCCCTTCCTCTCCCGGGCCCCGTCACGCCCACAGACTCCGTGATCGTGATCGCGCCAAGTACCCTGACCACGAAGCCCGGTCCCGCGACAAGCCAGCCCGGCTGCGCGGATGAGTTGCGGACCAGAGATCCGAATTCCACACTTCCGGTGTATATCACGGAGTGTGGGGGGTCAATGACGCTGATGCCGACGCCGACGCCGACGTTTAGGAGGCCGAGATTGGCGGATAAGTGCGCGTGGACGCCGACGCCGTTGTATCGGACTGGGGCGGGGGTAGTGCGTTCTTCGTCGAGTACTGTGAGTCCGTCTGAGAGTGTGAGTGTTTCGGAGAGTATTCCGGCGGTGACGACTTCAGCTGCTCAAGGGTCTGGGGCTAAGGGCGATCGCGTTGGGTTCGTTGTGTTTTTGGGGTGGTTGGTTGGATGGGGGGTGGTGTTCGGATGGGATTGATTGGAGTTTGTGGATTTGCTTGGTTGTGCAGGACTTGATTGTTGTGTGGCTTGGAGGAAGCTTTCATGTCTGACCTTACTGGACTTGGAGGAGCTTGTTCTGGCTTCTATTGAAGGATTGGTTGGGAGTTGAAGATTGAACCGACGAAGATGAAATCAATAAATGACTTTTCTACCTAACAAGATTCTACACAGTAGATCACATATCCTTTACATACCCTTGCCTAGACACCCCGCCCTGGTCTAGAACGATGTAATAATCAGCATCCTTGATAGCTTCCAACCGATGCGCGATAGTAATCACAGTCGACTCCTTCATCTCCTCGCGTATGATCTGCTGGATTTCAAGTGAACTCTCATGATCGATCGACGCCGTTGCCTCGTCCAAGATGACGATCGAGCTGCGACGCAGAACCGCGCGAGACAGCCCGATGAGCTGTCTTTCGCCCTGGCTGAGGTTCCGACCTCCGGCTTCGACATGTGTATCAAGTGTCCAGCCATGTCTGCCACACACTCGTCTGAGGATCTCGGTGCATTCTTCGTCGCTGTAGTCACTTGTTGGATCGAGGTTGAGTCGGATGTTTCCCGGGAAAAGGACGGGGTCTTGTGCGACGAAGGTGACCCGTGTGCGCAGCGCCTGAGTGCTTACTTGTGCGATGTCGATGTCATCGATGAAGATGCGGCCAGATTCTGGGCGGATGACGCTCAGAAGGGAGACTGCGAGAGTCGATTTGCCACTGCCTGTGCGGCCGGTGATGGCCGTGGTGGAGCCTCCCGGAATCCGCAGAGAGATTTTCTTGAGTGACGGCTCAAGATGGGGAGCGTAGCGGATCGTCACGTCGTCGAATGTGATGTCGCGTCCGAATCTGGGCCACGAGGCGGGCGGCTCGATTGTTCCTGGTGTTTCTTCCTCTACGTGCAGGAGCTCGTCCACTCGCTCCACCGAGACAAAGTCCATCTGTAACTGACCGTATTGCTTGCATAACCCGTGGGTGGCGTCTACCAGGCTGTTGGCCGCGATGAGGACAAATGCAGCCAAGCCAGGAGAGACGCTGGTGTATAATGCCAGCACGGTCAGACAGAAAGTGGAAATGGCGGACAGACTTTCGAAGCGGAACATCAGCCAGCTCTGCAGCGACCAGTAGAAATGGTCCATGCCTTGGAATTTGTCCACGACTGCAATGACCCGATCCTGGAAACGCGTTTCTGCGTGGAATGCGCGTACGGTGGTTAAGCCGTGCAGTAGTTCGCCAAAGTTGGATATCAAAGGGCTCAATGATACCATTTCCAGCCGTCGCAAGCTCTGAGAGGTTGGGAGGAACTGCAAGAACGTGATTATAAAGGCCACAGTAAGGACCACTGAGAATCCAAGGAAGGTTGGAGTGACCGAAGCGATCACTATCATAGACGAAATCCATGTAATGGCAAGGAACGCAATGATTTGAAACTGCTGACTGATATTTCCATCCACCACGCCAATATCCGACGTCAGTCGGTTCATCAAGCGACCGATCGGAGTCACGTCGAAGAATCGAAATGTAGCGTGGCTGACTCGTACCATGGCCTGTTGGAACATCGTTTTTCCTGCATAGTAAACGACAACCAGCATCAGGAGCTGCGATAAGAGAACGACGACGGACTGGAAAGCTGTGATGAAAAAGAACGCCAGTAACCAGGGGCGAACATCTTCAGCAGGCGGCGGTAAATTGTCGATCGGATTCTTGGGCATCCAGTCGACTGTGTTGGATGAAATCGGGCTGACGGCGGATCCGGGGACAACGGACATGATATTCGACCCCGAGTGCCCAAAAAACAGGACGATTTGGTTATACGCCTCACCCCATTCTTTGAGGAACCACGATTGCGCAACAGATGCAATTCGATACACCGCGACGACAACAACAAGTGCAGACCACCATTTATACTTTCCTGCTTTGATGTAATTCCAGTAAACTCGAGCCTTCACGCCCCATTCTGCTCGATGCTCCTCTTCAATGAACTTGTCCGGTACTGCAGCGGTGTCATCCTCAATCGCTTCCTCATCTTCGATCTCGTTATCTACTGTATGAGACGAGGAACTGTCTTCTGTACTAGAGTCATGAGAAATGGCTGATTGTCGGCTTTGCACGGTGGCCCGGCCGTTTTGGACTTGGACAAGCTGATCAGCAATGTGACCGACGAGATGGGTGCGGTGCGTAACGAGGACAACGGTTCGGTTTTGCATTAAAGGCCCAGAGAAGCACCGGCGGACGATAGTTTCCGCTGTATTGTGGTCCAAGGCAGAAAGTGGATCATCAAGAAGGAGAATACCTGCCGCACTGTATACTGCTCGAGCAAGAGCAACGCGGGCCTTTTGACCACCCGAGAGACCAACGCCATTCTCTCCCACGAATGACAGGTCGCCATGTTTGAAATTGGCGAGATCTGGAAGCAAGGCGCACGCATCGAGAACACGTTTATACCGCTGCTCATCATAAGGAGATGAAAAGAGAATGTTGTCTCGAATGCTCATACTTTGCAGCCAGGGCGTCTGAGAGCAATACCCGACCATAGCATTAGGAATGTGTGCAACACCATCAATGCGATCTAGTTCCCCAAGTAGAGCTTGGAGAAGTGCGGTCTTTCCCGCACCAACCTTGCCACAAATGACCGTAAGTCCTTGTGAAATCTTCAAGTTTACCTCCGACAGTACCGGGGTTCCCTTGCCAGGCCAGGCAAAGGAGCAGGAATCCAGCAATAGCGAAGGATCGGAGTTATTTATTGTATCTTGCGTCTCCTTGTCTGGTTCATGCATAAAGTCCTCAATTCGCTCCACTGAAATAGATGCATTGATGAGGACTGTGATAAGCGCTGGGATTTCTCGTATCCGACTTTCTAGCATTGTAAACAGCTGCAGCGCAGGGAAGATAATGTCAATCCGAAGGGGATGACCTGCCAGCAGCGTATAGGCATACAGGGCCACCACAGGAAACAAGCCACTTGTGAAGACGTTGACGAACTGAATCAAAACAGTCCAAAGGCTAGTGATTATTCGCAGGTTCAGTTCAGACTGTCGCGCGTCAAGCACCTGAGTGAGCCAATGATTCTGCCATCCATACCAGCGAAGGTGACGAAGTGCCTCCACAAATTGGGAAGATATCTGTAGTCTTGTATCAGTCGCCAGTCTGCGGACACGCTCCCATTTGAACAGTGTACGGGTGATGATGGCATTGATTGCTTGACCAGCCAAAATTGCTACAATGCCCAGGAAACATGACGGCCCGAGTAGCTTCCAAACAAGAGCGATGGCAATGATCAGACCTAAAGGTTTATCAACAAGACGGTCAACTTCCCAGAATCGCTGGGCCACCTCGTAAGCGTCCCCACGGAGAAGATTGAAGATCTTTCCCATGGAAGCCGCGGTTTTCGGCCTTTCTTGTTTCGGGCTCAGGCTTCGGTTAAACAGCCCACAGAGCTTTCGTTGTTTGGGACCACCTTCAACATCGCCATTGTCATCATTTCCATTTGGAATGTCGTTTTCCTCTCCCTTGTCTTCCACGGGCTGTTCAAAGACATTCTTTCTAGACAGGGCTTTCTCATAAATCATCATCATCATCTCACCCCTGCTCCTTTCATAGCACCTCCTGCCATACCAAATGTTCAACACCTGAAATTGTGCAGATACGAAACGGAGCAGCAACGACAAAAGCGCATAAGTCAGAGCGATCCTCTTCCTATCGGGGTGATTCATTGCTTGCAAAAGCTGCTGCAAGAGAACCGGAGTAGAAAAGCCTAGAAAAGCCGTCAGCAAGTCCCGTGGTTACAAGCGATCCGAAAAGGCCAACCGCAAAGCATCTGTACGATGGAGATCGCCGTGATAATGACAACATCGATTCCATTGGCCTGAAGCAACCGAGTGACCACCGAGCCATGCAGTTTACGAAACTTATCGTGAAGTCGACGATGCTGGAACTCAAATCCTAGGAACCATACATCTTCCTCGTTGAGTTGTCTTTGCTTGCCCAGCGACATCAAAGGGGCCATCCACGACACGCTGAGAAACTGCCAAAGTCGCAGGTTATCCTCTGGACTGCGGAAGTCTGCTGATGGCGGCTGTCCGACCACGCCGATATCAAGACATGGAAGCGAGGGCGCCCGGAGAGGCATCACAAGGATGACGGCGCAGCCCGCTGCGGCAGCACCCGCGGCAAGATAGTAAGTGACGACTTGATGAACACCGTAAGCATCTTTATTTAGAATATATGCAACCTCTACAGCAAAAGCCGTCCCAAAATAAAGAAGCAGGGAGACGGGACTAGACCGCGGTCGTTCCCTGGCAACCAAGGCGGCAGTCAACGCCTACAGTCGGTTAGACAGCAGTTGATCCACGGGTTAAATCGCCACCTACCCAAGATACCAGCAGAACATAACTGGCATTCTCCGACCCATTGGGAATCACTTTAATGAGTTCAGCCGCGAATCCAACAATTGAGACGCCAAACAAGGATATCACCCAGCCGAGTCGGTGAGTGCCGGTCCTCGAAGCTAGCTCAGGCAATGGCGAAGGCTCTGGGATAAATGGTTTGGTCCATTTTGGGCGCCATTTGTGTAGCAACCGGCCAAACACCTGCAAGACAGCAATTAAGATGATGAAAACGCCAGGCACTACAGAGACATAACGCATTGCACATGGCGACAATCGGGCGTTGTCCGAGTCCTGGGAGGTAGGTACAAGTCAGCGCCAAGAACGAAAAAAGCGGCGAAGTTATCGATATTGTCGGCATACCCAGAATGAATGACATGTATGTAACCCGACATCGTGCTGATCCAGGGACATTGCAACGAGTTGGTGCAATTCTCGAGATGATGGAGGAAACAGAGCGACGTCCCCTCTTGTCATCCTTCGATGGACGCGGAGTCTCGGCACGGCTTCCGACGCTGGTTGGCTGCTGCCTGCAATTATGTAAGCTCTGCCAAGAATTCAATCGTCAATTTATATGGCTCATTCTTAAGCTTCAAAATAATGTCATTGCTAAAGCATGCATGCTCATTTCAGCACGTTCTGTACAAAAAATAAGAACAAAAGGCTCATAAACATAAACAAGGCCAATTCCGTCTATACACATATCTAACCCCATATATACAATAACCATAGAAATCAAATTATGCGCTGCTGTTCTCGAGGTGCTCCTGGCGTTCCTTCTCATAGGAGCCCTCTTTCAGGTCAAAGCGGAATCTCTCCTCATCCTCCTTCAACTCAGCCTTCAGTTGTTTGTGCGCATTCCAGATGGGCTTGATCTTGAAGAGACGATCAACCTGCTCCAGCGGGATACCACTGGTCTCGGGAATGAGGAAGAAGGCGAAGAAGAAGGCGAGGAAGGACAGAGCTCCGAAGAAGAAGTAGACGCCGAAATGCATGGTGGCAAACATCTGCTTGGTGAACCGAGCAATCAGGAAGTTGAAGAGCCAGTTGCTGGCAGTAGTGGCGGCTTGACACAACGAACGGAGGTTGGGGTCAAAGAATTCCTGTCATCGGTTAGACGAGTTTGGACAAAGTCAGAGGATTAAACTTACGGAGTTGATCAACCAAGGGGTACCATTCCATGACGGAGTGTAGACGGCAGTCCAGAGGTAGAAGAAGAAGATGCACGCAATTCCGCCGCTGTTGAGGGTGTCGGTAGGATTGTCCTCGGGCTTCACGGCACAGATGTAGGCGCCAATGATAAACATGCAGATCGATCCAGCAACGGCACCGATCAAAAGCAACATCCGCCGTCCTAGCTGGTCGACTAAGAACAAGAGCCAGACAAAGGTCATCACGGCTTTAACGACACCGAAGATGCCCGTGGTCAGGTTAACGGTCTCAGTGGCAACACCAATGCTCTTGAAGATAGTCGGGCTGTAGTAGTTGATTGCGTTGATTCCGGATCCATTCTGCCAGAAGAAAAGCATGCAGCCCAAGAACAGGCGGTACATCATCGGGGGACGCGAGGCGAGGGACTGGAAAGGCTTCCAGAAGCCCACTCCGACGGTGGCGACCTGGGTCTCATGGACCTGATCGATTGCTGCCACTTCTTCGGCGATGTAGATATCGGTCTGCTCCAGCTGACGGATCCAGCAAAGGTTCTCCATGGCTTTCTGGCGTTTGCCCTTGAGGAATAGCCAGCGAGGAGATTCCCGCAGCCACAGAGTACCGACCAAAAGCATTCCCGCTGGAACGATTTGGACAGCGAATGGAATAATCCATTGCTGATGGGTGGAATCCAGTGTTTTTTCAACGCCATACTGATCACACGCGGTTAATTCAAAATTCTTTGCAGGATACAGACAAATGTACTCACGTTGATCCAGAATCCAACCATGCCACCCACTTGCCATCCAAGTTCGTAGAAACCGACGAGTCGTCCACGGATGGCCGGAGGTGCCAGTTCTGATAGGTAAATCGGGATGATGTTCGAGGCAACGCCCGTGCCGAGTCCGGTCAACACACGACCACCGTACATGATTCCGAGACCACGAGAGCCGGTCGAGCCCACCTGTAAACCTGCGCCCAGGATGAAGATGGCAGCGGCAATGACCAAACTCCATTTACGTCCCCAGTAGTGTCCAATGGGGTAGGTGAAGAGCGCTCCGAAGAAGGCACCGGCAATGAAGAGAGAGACGATGTTTTCGCTGATCAAGTCGACATGATCGTCTGACATTGTGTCGAAACCGAATTCCCTCTCAAATGAGGGCAGCGTGATGGTCGTACCAATGAAGGCACTGGTGTACCCGATCATGTTGGAACCGCATGATGCGACGAGGGCGAGGGCGTAGACTCGCCAGTTGTAAACAGACTTGGGAGTCGGCCGGTCCTCGACAACGTGGAGAACACCCATTGCCGCGGATAGACAGCGATAGGGATGGCAGAGAAGAGGTGTGCAGAGAAAGAAAAGTTGTGAATCGTACGATTGATGAATTTGACAGAAGAGAAAATGGGACCGGGACCCTCAGTAATATCTAAGATTCTAGAGGCGGCACCGTGTGGGTTTCGGTCTTTTTCGAACCCTCTCCACACCTTACGTCGTGATTAACCCCATACTGGGGCTTCATGGGGATCGAAAGCGAACATGCGATACGCTGAAAAATCTAGTTCCCCCTACAGATGCAAGGGTTTTTTGCTCTCGACCTGTGAAAAATTCCCACGATCTCCATGCGGTGGGCACCGCGGCCGGGGGAGTGTTTTCCCCAAGCTAAATTGGTTCGCGCGGCGAGTGGGTAAGAAGTTCTACTGCTAGCGAGGAAACATTCAGCCGCGGCGATCATATATCACTGGTACACCACACCCCCTGGGTTTCCAGAGAAGCCAATTCGTTGGGTTCAGACGCATTGTTCGAGTAAGCCGTGCTCCGTGGCGGTCGCAGACGAGCCAGCAGAACCAGCGGACAAGTGCCGTCAGGCCCAGGAGCATGACCCAGAGAAGACCCGGCATCTGCCTCTTCAGGAGAGACAGAGTTTTTGACGGTGAACCAAACCGAGTTCGCCGCATGGAGCCTATCCATAAACCTTGGCCGGGTCGGCTGGAAGCCTAGCGTTACAGAGGTCACCGAGATCCATTAGCCGGACGGGTAGTTTATTCATCGTAGTGCTGGGCTTTGTTCAGGATCACGGCCCATCAGCGCGATCGGGACGGGATGAGCCCTTAACCCTATTCCAAGTCCCAGCGTATGGGGAACTGGCCTTTCGGACGATTCCCGAGTGGCCGAGACGCGTCGTTTTGCCGAGTCGCCAACTTTGCCGATCGCCGTGTGCCAGCTGCAGGTGTTGGGGATGGGCGTAAAGGGCGGGATATCGCCACGAATGCGGAGGCAGTTGCGATCAGCGTGAGGAGGCCAGTCTGACAGCATTTCCCCTCAACGATCATCTCAACGAGGACTGAATATTGAGTGGTTGCGCCCGTGGATGGACCGGAAGTGTAGGGACGCAGCCGAGATCGGGGAGGTCCAAAGCTTCGATGGGAGTCAGACGGCGCTAAGCCGAAGTCAGCCGGAGCCCGCCCGGCAGTCACCTGACCGCAGGCGAGTCAGGTGACCCACATGGCCCGAAGCAGACGCCCACACGAGAAACTCTTGACTCCTTGAGACTGTCGATCAGCCTCTTTGGCCAGGTGGAGAGCGAGGCAGAACTTCGGCTTACAGTTTGCATCCTTTGTTTCTACAGACTGAACTACGCTGTATACAGTAATCGCAGGAAGCAGGAAGCATCGTGGCATCACGATCTCCGAAAGACTTATGTACGATTGAGTCACGGTGGATGCAATGCGCGTTACTCCGTACTACTCCGCCAAATCGATAGGAACTCCAATATGCAGAATCTATGCTTGACAGTGCAACAATTGCCTATTCTGCCCGAAAACAGACATGCATTCGTGGAACCTTCCTTGCGAGGACACCGGCATGAATTGACAGCTTCGGAGCAGCCGGATGTCAGCGCGCCCCCTGCCTTAATATACTACGGAGTATATTACGGCGTAGAGCCACATGGAGGCCAGATTCTAGAATGTGGAGGCCACAGCTGACCATTCTTATTAATCTGAGCGGCTGTTGGCAATTCCGGGGTTCAATCTTCCCCCAAATCCCCACACTGCACGCTGGCAGACGCTGTCCGTTTACCCGCCCCCAGGCTCAACGAAATCCCGCAATGATGCAGCCAGCCAGTCATGTCGCGTTTTCGTCCAGTCTGGGGTCTCTCCGGTCTCTCCGCGTTATCCTAGTGAACTGGAGAATCTCCGCCTCGACTGTCCATCAAGAACGTTCTTCCCCGCTTACTAAAGACCATGGAAGAGTCCTTAGCTCTGGCTCCAGTTTGCCACTAACCTACTCCATACCCCATCTCCGGACTTCCTCCCCATTAGACGTACGGACTATGCAACGGGATTCACGACTATCAACCCGGGGTCTGCGACTGGTCGTGTGACATAATGATATTATCTCCAGCGTTGTCCTGTGGCTAGAATAGTCGGCCTTGACGGGGCGGGACTAACTAACTGGGATTGTTCTTTGTTGTCTAGTCCGAGAAACCATTTCTAATACTCCGTTATCAATTATGAAATCCCTCTTTCTTTTATCGTCTTTTTGTCACAAGTATGTGACAGGTATGCATAAACCCTCGGGGTCAATTTCCTCTGTTCTAATGTCGGCCATTTGTTATCTCATGGGCATGCGAATGGTGCAAAAGTAACGCCATGGTCATCCCCAAACCCTTGCATCGCATTTGTCTCGCAGCATTTACGCAGTAGGACTGAAAACACGATTTCCCTTTGAATCGATAGCCCAACTCAATAGGTGGATTTACATGTGGCATCTTCGCGCTTCGGATTCGTCTCACCTGAAACCATGTAGTTGTCGTAGGAGCAAGGATCTCGGATCTGTAAGGCGTTTCTTCCCTGCTGAGAATTGGGATGACGATATTTGACCTTGTTTTGGATTGGAGAAAGCTAACTTGACAAGTCGCAATCTTTGGTCCCATTTCCTGTTGGAATATATTCCTGCATAAAGCTCACGGGCGCTATTGGTCTTCCATGGATCATATCGTTGCAGGCCTTTCCAAATAGATTATGTAAATCTATCTTTGCTCTCGGTCTTCAAGTATTCCTGCGATGCCTTAAAAAGTAAACATACTAGATGTTTAGAGAAGCATATCGACGCTTGCTATTCTACCTATTTAATTCCACTCAAGGACATATTCTTATTCATATTCAGGATCATTGTAACTAAAGTCGTACGGTGAATTTGCCCACCATACATAGGTACTGACGAGGGTTGCACACCATAGAAGGAACCACAATTACCAACCACTCACCTAGTCAGACGAGCAGGCGGTGGCATATTTCACCTGTCCAGCACTGGACGTCCGGACTTTCTTTGATCCGCAGAATCCCCGCTTTCCGCCCGCATTCAAGGTTGTTTGTTTTGTGTTGAAGCCTACGCGACCAAGTAAGCCTTTGTCGGTACCCTTTTCTTTTCTACTGGTACACTGACAATGGAACTTTTCTTGGACCTGCAGAACCATGACCGAACTCCAATTGGACCCACATCCAGACGAGCGGACTAAAATGCCCGATGTCGCACCAAAGTCGCAGCTGTCCATCAGACCTATAGTAGAGCATTTCGGCTTAGCGGGTCCCGCAGTTCAGAAGATCAGGTTTCTTCATCCAGGATATCCTGATAACGAGAATGTCTTACTTATCTTTCCTGCCCTCGACTCCGGAGGCATACATCATGGCACTGCGCGTGTCGCTTGTGCTATCCTAGCCAAGTGTAAATGGGAAGGATATTTTTCAACAACGCGAGATGGTCCTAGGATTACTCTTGATATGGATGAGATCCTGACAAACCCAATCTACTACTTCCGGATTGATGGAGGTTCGTTGTCTCGATAATCAGCCTAGTCACTTCGCTGATGTCCTCTAGACGCGGATTATGCCATCACCCCATCCTTCGACAATTTCACTTTCCCGGAGACATTACCCGACTACTGGCGCGAGGCACCAATTTAGCCTGCTATAAGTGACCGGGTTCATGACCGTGATCGAACATGCCGGATATCCTGCTCATCGTTACCAAATGAGCTAGCCCACATCATTCCTGTAGCCCAGGCGGATTGGTGGCCAAGGAATACGATGTACATGCATACACTAAGCGAAGAGCACAGCACCGATACCAACTGTCCAGAGAACGCCATCTTGTTGAGGAAGGACATTCACTATTTATGGGATACTCACAAATTTGCTATTGTCCCAAAGCAGAATAAGTGGGTGATACATGTCTTGAACAGCCAGGCCACCATCGAATTGCAAGACAAATATCATAACCTTGAAACACAGCCTATAACAGGGGTACCGCCACAATTTCTTTTGGCTCGTTTTGCTCTTGCGATTCTCACCGAAAAGATCATCTTTGTGAAGCAAGGTTTCCCGCGTAAACTGAACATAAAATTGGCAGATGGTACGGTGCAACCAAAAGTGCTAAGCAGTGAAGAATGCTGTTCCCTGTTTGGCCCACGAAGCAAGAGCAGGAGTCAGAGTCCGAGAAAGAGACAGAGGCCAGTTTAATGCGAGGATAATGATACAGGACTGGAGTCCTGGGATACCGAGCAGTGGGATCAGCCAAGAAAGCGCCGACGGTCGTCATCGCCTGCCAGAAGCTATTGGCGTGGTCAGTGGGCGGAGGAAGGCAGATCAGATCAGGAAGAGGAGCACCGAGGTCGATCAAGAAAGCGACACTGCTCTATCTCTGGTTCTGGTGAGGCATCGAGTCCTGTTTCGATGCCATCCTCACTGCAAACTAGCATTGCCGAAGGTATAGCAGTTGAAATGGCACATGTTGGAGATTCGAGTCACAAACTTAATGCTATCTCAGATACAACTGCAGGGCCCATAAAGAACAGATTGGACCATCGCGACCGGGTCCATATCGGGACCATCAAGCCTCCGCCCATTCATGAATAATACCAGGGAGCAGGAACATCGACATTGCTTGCTTTTTCTCTTCTTCTATTTTGTTTTCTTTCATTTTCTTTTTCACTTACTTGCTTTTTGTGATAACCTACGCACGTTGGCTTTTTTTTTTTGGGAAGTGCGCGGAAACTTTTTATCAAGAACTGTAGCGCCTCCGAGAACTGTTGACACGCACCCCTGTACTTGGAAACTATTTTCCTCGATGAAGTCTCAGTAGTTATGTACTGCCGAGCCTTACGAAGTACAGGCCCTTCTAGTTAGATAAGTTAGTTACCGGACATCGCCGGGCAGGGAGGCTTATACTCTGGGCTGAACAGTAATTGGTCTATATTCCAAATGGTAATACAAGACAGCGGAGAAAATGTTTCCAAAGCCTAACAGTGGCGGTTGGTTTACAGAGATTAAGGTTGGGGAACCTAATGGATCCTCATTGTAAGTCATTGGGTCATGGAAATGCCTTTTGTATATTAGTGGAGCTTTCCGGTTTTGAACAGGTCCACGTGTGTGAAACTACCCTCCTATCTCAGAGACGTCAAGTCTAAGTGTTGTGCTCAACCCGGTACACCAAAAGCCATGGACAGCCTTTCATCCTCTAGTGGTAGCAGCACCTTCTTCTTGATAAAGTTGGAGTAATCAGGATCATTCAGATTAGCGCCTGGATTCAGATACTCCTGCAGGCAAGTCAATATTGCCTGTCGGAACGCCGGAAGTAGACAGGTGCTTTTGTCTTTGAACCACCGATCCGCTGTTTGGCGATCTGCCTCGTCGTCCGCTACAGAGTTGTTTCCAAGATCATCCGGGTGCCGAACTTCCTCTATGGACTCTCCAAAACCAATCTCCAACAACAGGATACCAAGGCGGAGGAGGCTTGAGCGGTCGCTGGCTATCTTTGCATCGGACTGATCTCCAACTGTAAATTCTCCATTTAGTATGAGCTTTGAATTGAATCACAACGTCAAACGCACCGATAGAGAACGCTCGCGTCAAATATGGGTATTGGATGTCGACGGGTAGATGGGGCTTTTTGCTGGCTTTCAAAAAGGCGATATCTTTCTTTCCCCATCGACGTCTGAGCCACGGAGTGTGACTGAGTTGAAATACCGAGGCCACAATCGTGATTGCTAAGGAGTATACCTCCTCCAGTGGTAACCTTATTTGCAGCCTCGGTAAAATCGACTCCAGTGTCTGGCATTGATCTGTAGATTGCGTGATTGCACTTGAGGATGGATATACCCTCAAGCCCCCTGCACCATCGAGACAAAATCCAAAGGATGGATAAGTTGGCTGTCGGATATATTGGCAGATGTCTGTTATCAGGGACGGGAGTGATGGATCATCGTGGGGAGCTGGAACATGGGCTGTAGGGGGTTCCACTTGTACGTTGCTGCTGTTATATTTGTTAGAACCCAGAAAACTGCATGACCAAAGACCAACCTTGAAAGTTTTTGAACGGTTCTAAACTCTATATCGACTCGATCAATAATATCCTTGTAGCACTCTCCGTCAAAGCTTAGCTTGAAGCACGTTGATTCTGTCAAAACATCCAAGATAGGATAGTGCTTGGATTTGGCTCGGGGAGATCGTTTAAGCCGTTGTTCCAATAGCAAATGGGTAGCATGTCGCGAACCTTTCTTGCAGTGGTTCTGATATATGCCATGTATATCCTTGTAGCATTGTCCTGGATAGCCTCCGGTGTATCAATGAAGCTAACGCTCGTATGGCTGGCAACGGTATCGCGGGTTCTTTCTGCTCGTTGAACCCACTCGTCAATCCGGTTTGTCAACTCTTTCAATCTCTTCAAGCTCATCTTGATATGCTTTTTCTTTATCGCAAACAGGGTCCTCCGTCTGAATTCGAATTTCTTCTTTCGGGGCTGAGTATCCGCAGTAGCAGGACCAGATTCACTGGCTTCAAGGGGTCGATCTGTTTCCTGAAAGCACACGCATTGTCAGTGAATATTCAAAAGCAGTGGCTGACGAAAGTGTGAATCTGTACTCCCTGCGATGATTTGATATTGAGACGGGACGCGATATCTTGCAGGATTTCTGCTATCTCTTCATTTGAAGTTCGCACCGGGCTGTAGATTACTCCCAGCTTTTCGCGGAGGCGCTCTGCGATGGAACCAGAAGTCCAGAGATCACTGGAGGGATCCTTTACCATGGCTTCCAGCTCATCAGGGCCGACAACTGGCTTGAGGAGATAACTGATAACATGCTCATATGAAATCCGCAAATTTTTGAGTTCCGTGATCAACACCCCTTGACGCTCCCTCCAATGGATGAAATCTCCGACTGGCCGAGAGACATTCTCGCAGTTTTCAAGCAAAGCAATCAGGAGAGAAAACGTTCCGATGAGCAGCCCGGCTTCCACGCCTGTTGCCATGATTAAGGTGCCCCCAGGGAGGACAAATGTTGGGGAGTGGAAGCAAAAGGTGTCGATGAGGGCATCCGGCCTGCTGTCTTAGAACCCCGCATTGTCGTCTGTTTGATTGGTGTAACTCCCTGACAACGAGGCTGGAATCCAACTTCTTGTGTTCTGTTTGAAACTCCCACTGCCCTACTGGAGGATTCCGTCATCATTTGTCACGTGATCCTGGATATATAAGGATGATCATCCCTCGCACAGAGTATCACTTGGTTGTCATCTCCATCAAGTGTTCTGTTGACTGGTTTAAAGGCCCTCCTGAAGTAGTGAAATAGCCTGGTTGTTTTCAAGACTTGTCTCATCCCCGACGCAATCCCTCCAGACTGATTCTTAGCCAGTCAGATTCCTGCTATAATGGATGAAATGAATACTATCGCGGCACTGAGCGATCGGTGCGTTCGAGGCTTCGATGAACTATTTGAAACCTTGGCCACCGACCCTGGGGAGTGGCTGGAAGATTTTGCTCTCGAAAATGACTTTGCTCGATTCAAGATTTGGTGTCGCCATAATGGAGCATCGACACAAGAGGGAGGCTCTCTCGATGCCAAATTGAAAGACTCGCCTGGGATGCATGACCTTGTTCTGACGTTCCTGCGCGATCTGCATAATCTTTTAAATTGCAGCCTTCGCATCACGAGAGGCGTCTCTCAGCCATTGGACTTGAATCTACTGCCCGAAGTCAGGGAAGGAGAAGCAGGAGAAGCAGGAGAAGCAGGAGAAGCAGGAGAAGCAGGAGAAGCAGAAGAGGGAGAAGAGGGAGAAGAGTCCGACACGAGCGATGAAGAAATGGACGAGGTCGCTGAATTACGGGCAGCAATCCACGACAGTGTCATGCAGCTTAATCGTCTCAACATCAAGATCCATAACGCCATTTCTCTATCATCCTTGTCCTCCGCGTCTCTTAATTCCTCGGAGAATGTGAGTCATGATCTTTCCTAACCTAGTAGATGCTACTTTACTCCATACCATTCTTTTTCCTAGCGTACTTTGACTCTATTTTGCGGACATTTTTAACTTTATACAGACGGAGGCTTCTCGAAGAAGCAAAGAATTTGAAATTGAAACAAGTCAAACACACTCTCGCGATAGTTACACCGTCGGCTTGATATGTGGTCCACATGTTCTCGAGTTGAGGGCTGCCGAAGCCATATTGGATGAAACACATTCGACTCTTCCAGCAATCAATTCATCCGACATGAATCACTACGTCCTTGGCAAGATCGGCGATCACAACGTGGTGGTTGCTTGCTTGTCGGAAGTCAGAACTGGCAAGACATCTGCCTCTAGAAACATGATCTACAGCTTCCCGGCTATCAGATTTGCGTTGATCGTTGGAACTGGAGGTGGGGTGTCATGCTATAGCATTCGAGTATATAGCGACTCCGTCGGCACGGAAGAAAAAGAGACCTCTGAAGACTCGGAAGCCGATCGCTATGTACAAGACATACGACTAGGTGATGTGGTGGTGAGCCTTCATTCGATGTTCTTTGAGACTCGTATGAAGGATGTTCATATCAAGTCAACAAGGGAAACGGGGTTTATTAGGTCTGCCGTGGCTCATCTCCAGTCGCAGCACAAGTTGCACGGTCACAGGATCTGCGAGATGTTATCGGAAACCATCTCAAAGTATCCTCCGGACCTTGCAAACAAACTCAAATACCCGGAGGCCAAAGACTACCTTTTCAGATCGACCTTTGTTCATGTAAAGGGGGAGGAGTCGTGTGAGGCTTGTCGCGGACCCTCGGATTGTCACCTTATACAGAGAGCAGCACGCGCTAATAACTCGCCTCGAATACATTATGGGACCGTTGGCTGGGTGGATTGGGTGATGAAAAATGCCCTGATGAGAAATTTAATGTCACTGGAGCACAATCTTGTGTCCTTCCAGACAGAGACTGCAGGTCAGTATTACACCCAGCCTTTAAATCGGAAATCAATACCTTACCTATACATTAGACATAATGGACTTGTTCCCCTGCCTTGTCGTCCGAGGCATCTGTGACTACGCTGATTCCCATTCCCACACAAACAAAGGCTGGCACATGTATGCCGCTGCAACGGCGGCATCATATGCAAAGGAATTCCTCCTTTCCATTGCAGGGCAAAGTGTCCTGGAGCTCTCTAAAATTGAGCAGAGCCTGTGAAACTGAGCGATTGCTTAATCTCTTTATGGTGTGTGGGCGTTAGGCTAGGATCTCTCACTAGCACACTCAACGGAAGAAGGAAAATGAAAGAACAGAAAATGAAAAAAAAGAAAGGAAGAAAGAGAAGGCTCTCAGCCGAAAGCTAAGTGTTCAATAGTAATCTCTTTACTGTAAGATCTTGAAAATGGTTGTTGAAGGCAATCTGTAGTCTGGATTTAGAGCCGTAAGAGTCCTGCAACGTCATCCATCTCCAACCATCTCCAAAGCACCTCCACATACCGCATTGGAGACATCATAAAAGGCCCGAAAAAAAAAATCAATCTTGACATTATTAATTCCTCCGATGCAAATGAGTTACAAATCAAAGCATTTGGACGAAATGGCGAATCGTCAACGGTTTAAATAGAATTGTCGGCCCTACCGGCATACCTCGTCGCTATAGCACCGTCCCCAACAGCGCAACACCCGTCCATATGGCAGCCAGCTGCGTTCGTGAGAGCTTCCTAGGAGAATGCCTTCGTCTTATTGGCAAACGCTCATGGCTGAAATACGATGAAGAGCACCTTGGGTGGCAAGACAAACCTCATTGCGAAAAGGCCGTCGACGACGACCGGACGATTCTCGTGGGAGGACGATGCAGAGAACCCACGCAATTGGCCCCAGGCCAAAAAGGCCTTTGTGCCACTTGTGATCGGCATCTACAGCTTCGTGGTATATATGGCAGCGCCGATTTACACGCCCAGTGTGGACGCCTTCATCGAGGAATTCGGGGTCAATAATGCCGAGGCATCGTTGGGGTTGGCTCTCTATGTGTACGTTGGGCTCGAATTCGAATTGCAGGGCAATAGGCTCCACCGCTAATGCTTTGCCCTCTGACACAGACTCGGCTACGGTGCTGGACCTCTCTTCTTCAGCCCCTTGAGTGAAATCCCGCGCATCGGACGAAATCTACCATACGCCATTTCCTTCTTCCTATTCTGCATTATCAGCATCCCTACATCTCTCGCCCCCAATGCGATCGGATTCTATCTCCTGCGATTTCTTCAAGGCTTCTTCGGCAGCCCGTGTCTCGCCACTGGAGGTGCCTCGATTGCCGATGTCTACGCGCCAGACGTGCTCCCCCACGCCATGACAACATGGGTCTACTCCGTCTTCTGCGCCCCAGCCATCGGCGTGTTAGTCTCCGGATTCGCAATCCCAGCCCTGGGCTGGCGCTTCTCCATGTGGGAGATCCTCATCGCAGCAGCCCCAGTCCTCGTGCTCATCTTCCTCCTGCCCGAAACCAGTCCCGCGACAATCCTCTACCGCCGCGCGAGACGTCTCGAGAAGCGTGATCCAGAAAGCCCATATACGTTCCGCTCAGCAGCTGAAATCGCCCAGTCCCATATCTCCTTCCACACCGTAGTCCGCGAATCCCTACTCATCCCTCTCAAAATCACCTTCCTCGACCCAGCCATCCTCTTCCTCAACTGCTACACCTCCCTCACCTACGGCATCTACTACTCCTTCTTCGAAGCCTTCCCCATCGTCTACCGTGAACTCCACGGCTTCAATCTCGGCGAGATGGGCCTCGCCTTCCTCGCCATCGTCGTCGGCACCACTATCTCCTTCCTCATCTACAACCTCTACATCTACAAGGTCTTCGTGCCCCGGCTCCGCGCCGGCGGATTCAGCTCCCCCGAAGACGTGCTCATCCCGGCCCTCTTCGCCTGCTTCGGTCCCGCCATCGGCCTCTTCCTGTTCGGGTGGTCGGCCAGGCCCGAGATCCATTGGATTGTGCCGACGATTGGAATCGTGATCTACCCCGGCTGTGTGTTCATTCTGATGCAGTGTGTCTTTTTGTATATCCCGGCGTGTTATCCGCAGTATGCGGCGAGTGTGTTTGCGGCGACGGATTTCACAAGGAGTGCGTTTGCGTGTGGAGCGGTTATCTTCTCGACGCCGTTGTACCGCAATCTGGGAGTCGGGAGAGGGTGTAGTTTGTTGGCGGGGTTGACGGTGGGTTGTGTGCTGGGGATTTATCTGCTGTATCATTTTGGGGCGAGGTTGAGAGCGAAGTCGAGGTTTACGGCAAAGTGGTGATGGGGGTTGGTTTATTATATAGCTGATTATGAGGATAGACATTCGATGGTTCCAATAGATTTAGTGTATTAATTGTGATTGCCAAATAGAAACATTTAATTAGTATCCTGATTTTAACTGGAAATATGCTGATCGCGACAGATATCGGCGTATATATCCAGGCTTTCTCCAATAATACCCAAAATTGCCCACATGCCATTCCCTCGGATTAGACGAGCCCAAAGCTTCACTACAAGATACGCCAAGTATTTACAATTGGAAGGAGACACAGGCTCGGGACATAGGTCTTCGTCGCCCGATGTTCGGCCTTCCTCGACGATGTCGCTGATCCAGTTTATCGAGCGACTTTCATGTTCTATTGCTGAATGAGTACCCGTAAAATCACACTTTGGCCGCTGAGGGGCCGTTAGGATTTATAACATACCGTCAAGAGGTCTTGTGGCAGAAGTGTCGCAGATGTGGTACAGCCATTTGCAAAGAAACACCGCGAACTCGAAACCACAAATCGAGTGTTGGATGCTCCACACGAAGGCATGGCTGCGCGCAACGAAATCTACTCCGAGTTTAACAGGTATGCTGAGGGCATGGGTTGCATGAAGCATGGCGGGAAGAAGATGGGGCCCGTGAGGGAGATCTGGCAAGTTGAAGAGTCGGGCTGCAATTTGTGAAGGGTTGCGAGATTCCAGGACTTTATATGGGCTCATATCAAAGGCGAGTCGGACGTATGCAAGGCCAAGAAGTGCGGTCGATGTGAAAGTGACCGGTCCGTTCGGGTTTCGAGGATCGAGGCTTGATTCGGGAGCTCGTTGCCATTGCAAGGTCCACGCCCGAAGGGAATTCCTAAGTGTGTTAGCAAGGGTAGAGTCAAATTGACACAAAAATGGTCACTTACCGCATGCCTTCTTTTTGGGCGATTAAAAGAGCGTTCCCGCCATCAACGGCTGACCCGATCGTCCGGTGCGCAAGAGTTATTCTTTGTATGAGAGGGTGGAGCAGAATGTAATTCGCGAGAGGCGACGGTACTGGCTGAGATGAAGACGCATTTGAGTCCAGGACCCCTCTCTCTAAATGGTGAAGTGCATCCTGGAAAAGCATTTGCTCCTGATGGCCAGATTTATGAATTGCTGACCATCGTTCCTGATTCGGAGATATCCATTCAATGCAGGTGCATGGAAGGCGAAGGTGGACTTCATCGGTTAGAATGATTGGAGGCACCCCAAATGCTATACTTTGTAAATTCAGCCAGGCGAAGGAAAAGAGCTTGATCCTTCGGTGTGTTTCCTGCTCAACCCAGGTATGCCAGTCGAGAGGAGCAGCTCGGAGAGTCTCTTGGCTTTCTTCTAGTCCACCTTCTCGGACACATCTTGCTAGGAAACTTTGAAGATTGAACGCTTCTCGTAATATCTCTGGCTTGCTTTGCCAAGTTGCAAATGCAATAAGATAGAGTGCACAGCGTGTCTCAGACATCAGCCCACGGCATGTGAGCTCACCAGGACTAGATACCTGGCCTGTATTCGCGCAATTCGTATTCGGATTTGGAGCAAGGTTGATACTGAGCTCTCTTTCTTCTCTCTCTTGCATTTCCTTCTTTAATATTGTCTTGGCGGCATAAAACAAAATGACTGCTTTCCGGTGCTCATGCCGACATTGCGCTCCCAGAGCAGCCATGGATAGAATGGTCTTGGCGTCACAATTATCCAGATTAAATGATGGTATATGCACAATTGGCACATGCGGATAGAAGCTGTCAAAGAAAGCGTTTGCGAACCGACTCAAGGAATGGCATGATGGCAAGGAAATGGTTGTCCCGGGAGTCTGAACCCTTTCTAATTCTTCGAGCAGACGGTGCCGATGCTCCTCAGTGACTCTCAGAATCGGTAAGGTTAGAACACCAAACTCCCCTATTCAGTATTTGCATTAGAATTATCACTACGAAGATTTAGACTTGGTGCCTTACCTATTGAATCTTTCTCGGCTGGGAGCTGGGTAAGAGAGTGATCTACATGTACAGAACTTGAACGCTCCTGCCGTCTAGACACACTCGATGGTGTCGGCATGGAATAGTAATTAGGCTCTTTGGCGATTATTGGTGCCAGACCAAGCTCAGTTGGTAGTGTCCAGTCAGTCAGCCCCATGCTGTGACTGAAGGATACGAATTCCTCCAACGGATCATAATCATCGAGGAATGAAAGGCCTCCTGCGTTTCGTCAGCTTTGTTAGCTTTAGAATTGATATGTTCCGTTATATACGGCATCAAAACCGGCAGCTTTTCCTTATAAAATTCCAACTCTCCACTGATAACTCATACCTGGCTGATAACCTTGCATCTGCCCTTGGGACTCCACAGGGTCTACATGTCCACCCGAAGACCCAGGAATAACCCAAGGGACATCTTCAGTGTCGAGATGGTCACTTTGTATTGTTTGAATTTGGGAGCTAGCTCCCGTGGCTGGGGATGGATGCTGCGTTGACGGTGTGATCGGTGAATGGGTCGCAGCATGATGGCGCTTCAGTAGATCGCGTCGAGCAAAGGAAGCACCACAAGCACATGTATATGGCTTCTCATTTGTATCTGGAGTATATCAGCTCTATTCACAATTGGTCCATTGGGGTGTTGCGACATACGAATGCGGACATGTCGTTGGAGATGTTCATGGCGCCGAAAATGACGCTTACAATGAGGGCAAGTTCGGGGCTTCCGGCGGGAGCCCGGGAGAATCTCGGAATTATCGTCCGGTGGAGATTGGTCCATGCTCGGAGAGAACGATAGATCTTCAATAAAGAGGCTATAAATGTGACCGATGGAATTCTGCAAGAAAATAGAAGGTGGAAGAAGCTGGATCGCCTCCATTGCATCTCCAGATGATGCCGAAGCCTGTTAATCAGCCCGGAGTGGAGACCTCCACCACCTCCACAGCACCTCCAACGACTTCGACTTCCTTTTCTTGTCCCTTCTTCGAATGAAATCCATGTGGATTCCATTGCAAATCAGTGGCTATGGGTATTTACTATCTTAGTCAAGAATGCCGAAAATGATTACATCTCACAGAGCACGAAGCATTGGTCACTCTTGAAATAAAACACTGCAATCTGATTGACTAAAGAAAACTCATAAATACTGCTTCGCTCGATCGCAAGTTTCTCCAGCTGCTCGAGGGTTCTTCTCTACAGGGATAAAAAGCACCTAGTGAATCTCTTAACACGTAACCAGCTCCCGACTACATGTACATAGTCTACGCAGTAATCAACGCATGGCTCATAAGCGCAACAGAATGGAGATGAGCTTCACTGCAGTAGAGAGAGTCTTTTGATTGGCGACAATGCTATCTCGGGGCGCAATCCTAGCGGCATGCAACGCGATTAGGACATTGTTGGATATCCTACAAGTCCGGTTGGTGTGAGTCACGATGCTCAAGGGGGTGTATACTGAGACTAAGATGAAAAGTGGACAAGACCATATGCAGTACTCTGCGGGTGGACCTATGATATGTCGTTGTTTCATAAGATCATCGGCCCGTTTAAGTTAGCGTTTACAAGTGCTGGAATGGAGATTTGGTGACATGGTCCTATTCCCTACTTATAAGACGTAGAGATACTACTGTAGGTGGCCTAGCGGGGTCCAACAAGTCTCGATAAACCCGGACAAGCTCAAACCAGCATGGGATACACTCGATTCCGACTCACCTCTTTTACATGTCCACACCATTTTCATCTTTCTAGGGAGTGTTTGACCTGGAGTCAGTGTCCTCAGTAAGAAAGATGGCAACTAATGGGGATATTTGCAAGCAGTATATTGGACCAATACCACAGAGATCGCGTGTCACAATAAACATTCTGACATCCGGAACCGGCCTTCACCATGATAGCTGCAGTATGCTATATTAGTAGCGAGATGCCGGCTTGTTACACAGCGGGACCCACAAAGACCTAACCATAGGATCCAAGGGATTTCACAAATGCCATGCCTGCTAGACGATTGATCCCATGTTCCTGGAGAATTGCCACCCCAGGCACTTCGCGCATCCACAATGAGTTGTGTCTTTTCTGGGTCTTGAGCTGGTGCACAATACATGACGCAGAGCAACCAGGCGATGGAAGAGAAATCGGTGCGAGGTTGAGTCCAGAGTGAGGATGGATCTATTCCTAGCAGTCTTCCGCATTCAGACTCGGGCGTCTTTTCTCCCACGCAATCTCGCGAGAAAGTCCAGCAGCAAACCAGAAAGGATAGCGCCCCTCACAGTCTGCAATGCTCGTCTTCGAAAACTGTCTGGAATCCGCCAAGGCTGACGGCAGGTCGGAAGCAACCCGTGCCCAAAATATCGTCAAGGTTGAAATCAATCCCTATTGTGTACATCTGTAGATATTTGTTAGTAGCAAGACTGTTCTGGTTGAAACTTGAAGATCACCGCCGAATAGAGTTGACACTTGACAGCATCCAACCCAGGCCAGTCAACGCTTGTTAGTCAACCTCCGGGGGCTTTAATTAGGGTTTGGGGACGTCCTAACGGTCAACGGTCGTTTCATCCGTTAACATCCCAGTCCTCTTGGCGCAGTATCTGGTAGGTACCAGGTCGATCACGGCCATCACACGGGTCGATAACAGCCCCGCAAAGCAGGCCTCAGCAGACACCGATCCAAGAACGTCCTGACAAGTTTGTCTAATATCCATCGCAGCTTGACTACGTTTGAACTATCTGCCAGACCCCTCGATTCGAGCCACACAGACCATGCATATTCCCAAGGTCCCTGTCTTCCCGGTCCTGAAGGACAAAGTTGCTATCATCACGGGCGGTGCTCAAGGGATGGGCAAGACCACCGCGTCGGTATTCCTACGAGCTAAGGCCAAACTAGTGATTGCAGATTTAAAGGCGAATGGCTTGCAGACGGCCGAAGAGCTCTCTCCCCTTGGGGACGTTCGTTTTGTGCAAGCGAATATCTCCAAGGCCGAAGATGTCCAGAGTCTCATTGCACAGACGGTGAAAGCATTCGGCAGACTTGATGTGGCGATTAACAATGCTGCCATGACCCCGGACAAGACCCCCTTGGTGGAGTTTGATGAAGACTACTGGCGTCGAGTACTCGATGTGAACCTTACGGGCACTGCGCTGTGCTGCAAGTACGCGATGCAGCAGATGCAGAAGCAGGGGTCTGGAGGGTCCATTGTCAATATCGCGTCGATTAACGCGTTCATGCCCCAGCCTAATATGCCGGCTTACACGGCGGCGAAGCATGCGTTGCTGGGATTGACCAAGCACGCTGCAACGGAGGGAGGACCGTCGGGCATTCGGGTCAATGCCGTTGCTCCGGGGGCCATATTTGTACGTGTGCCTTTTGTTCTATCGTGCACTACTTATTGCTCTTGCTAATGACTGCAGAGCGAGATGTCGACCAGTGCGTTGGAGATCATGGGTACCACGCACGACGAATTCGCGCCTAAGGTTAGCAGCCTGAAGCGTTTTGGACAACCCGAGGAGGTCGCGCAGGGGTCGCTTTGGCTTGCGTCGGGCAGCTCGTCGTATGTAACTGGTATTTGCTTGCCTGTGGATGGAGGCTTCCTGTCGAAATGGTAGTTTTGCATGCCAGCATCGGTTAGCCGAACCCCCAGAGTCTTCTCAAATCAGCTGCTCGATCTGCCGTCTTCCAGCCTGTCTCCCGCTCAATCAAAGCCAGGTGCTTTAGCAAGATAATCTTTTCTGTGGCATACTCTTCGCTGGATACTCGTTTTCCATTGGCGTTTCGATTACCATTAACAATGGGACCGACCCGAGCGGGGCGAGTGCGCAATCCGTCTAGCTCGTAGAGCTCATTGTAGCATGTGTTCTCACCCTTAAAAGCTGCTCCCGCTATATAAAGAGGCTGCACCTGGTTTACCCAATTGGCGCTTTGTGAACAAGCCCTTAGCATGAAATTCTGATAGTCTGATTTTGCAATCCAGGGATCAACAGCTGACCACTGCCGTAGACTTACTGGGAAGTATTTGATATGGAGATACCTGCCAACTCTCGTGCGTGCCATACCGTTTCGCTCTGGGCCTGAGGCACGAGACCTGTTTGAAGGAGTAGGATGGACCCCGCGTGGTAGAATGTACTGCCGCAGACTAACCATTTTGTCATTAGTGACATATAAAAAAATGTTCTGGAAACCAAATACTTACTAGACGATGATCGACTAAATACCACCGATGGAAAGACATTAGGGGGCGAAGGGGTTTCCCTCACCAGTGGAGCAACCTCAGTAGGACGAGATCGATACCAGGTCTGAAGATCATCCCACAGAGCATTGCAGGACACCCCGATAGAATCATCGTCACGACCAGCGGGGGCCAATAAATTCACAATCCTGGCAAATGTGAGGATAGAAAGATTGCAATAGTCATCAATATCTCCTTTAGCGGCGACAGATTGTAACGACATGTCGTCCAACCAGAAATCCGTTGGAATCAGGGTTGAATTTCCACTGATAAATGCCGCCCAAATATCTTAACATCGAGACAGAGTCAGCTCGCTGAAAGATAATTCGCCGCCGAAAAGGCCTGAGCATACCAATGCGAGCAAAAGCCCAGAAACACGATTTGACTATACCATTGCTGGAGCCATTCCATTTCTTGGCTTGCAATAGACTTGCGCAGCCCTAGAACACACCGATGAGTCTCAATTAGGCACTAGAAGGGTTGATTTCCCCACAAAGATACCTTTAAATGTCGTCTCCATTCATACACCGGTGAAACCATCATTTCGTACACGCAGAGAAGCGTACAGGCGGCCAATATTGAGGCATCAGCTTTAGCTGGGGCCTGACGAATCAACAACTGAACGGTGTGTTGATACAGTTCGAGTGTCATGGCGTGTTGGAACTGCTCAACATTATCCCGTTGGCGGGAAGCTAGAGCCATGGCTGCCGCTTCAAAGGCTGGGGCTTTCATCATGTGATGGATACTTTCAACTGTGAACTGCATTGACGAGTCTGTAGTATTGCACCAGGTTCCTGTTTCTTGCAGATATGATGCAATTAGGTGGGCCTTTTCTGCTTTTGACACCGGTAGAGAGAGCTCATGTAATGAAGTATCAGAATATGCTGCTTGCCCTAGAAAAAATGGCGTTATATAGCTGTCTTGGGGGGTTGAAGAGGCAACATTTTGAGGTATGGACTGTCCTGAATGTGGAGTCCAAGGAAGTGCATGGTGAGAATCAAACAGAGCGGCGGGTTCACGGCTAAAATTATCGCCACCGTCTTGCGAAGCATAGATCTCTTTTAAATCAAAAGCGTAGCCATTTTCAGTAAGGTACTCATTGATGATCTTCTGCGTTTCATCAACGATCTACCATCATGTTAGCGCGGTAGATCCGATCTCAAATTCAAGGCTCGCCTACTACCAGGTATTTATTAGGCTGCGGATTCTGAATATTTTCCCCTGCTTCTACTCTCGCCAAATCGACTGCATCATTATACGACAGAGTTGAATTCCGAGAGTGGTGGAAGGACGCCTTCAGACCATACACACAAGTGTGGCCTCGTAATCCGCAGCTCTTGCACGTTGGACGCAATCCATCGCCTGGATACAATCGACAAAGCTAGGTCAGTCGTATTCACTTCTAACACGAAAATAGAGAAAGGAAAGAGAGAAAAAAAAAGTCTGGGAAGCAAAGAAAACGTAGATGGATGACACACACTTCCGGCGCCGCCGCCGACAATTAAGACTACAGTTGGGAGTATGTCAGTGCGAAGTAACGGACTAACAGGCCTAGAACACATACCATCCCAGCCTTGTCCTCTTTTTGACCATTTCCACCCTCTGTGTCACGCAATCCCAAGAGCAGGATCGAGACTAGGAATTGGGGGAAGAGGAAACGAAGGTGGCGGTTGGGGTTTCTTTCAGCGTTGCTACATGGGCATCTAGTTTCCCCACGCTGTCACCACTCGAAACCAAGTGGGTAGCAAGTTGGAGGACAGGCAAGTGGAAGCGATCGGGTCTCAATCATGGGAATTCCATGTTTAGTCAACGTGGCTGACGGGGACTGCAGCACAAGCGTGATTGGATTGAGTCGATAGAAAGCGGCGCTTCCACTTTCCCTCGGTCTCATTTGTCAGCGTGGGGGAGGCCCGCCTGACGTCAGTTGACTAAATCCGAATTCTGTCAGATCTATAGATAAGTGGCTTGGGACCCCTGATAGCGACGATGCACATTGCAATTCAGTCGAGACAATTCGGAAACAGCTATCATCATGGGAGAACATCCAAACACCTCACTCGTGGTGCGCGTGCCCGAAGGCGGATCACCGAAGCTGGTGCTCGAGGATCTGCCCCGACCTTCTCCAGGCCGTGGACAGGTCCTCGTGAAATTGTCGCATGTGGCGCAGAACCCGACAGATAGTACGTGATCATTTTTTGGAAACCTGCATGCTCAATTTCCGAGTGTGGTCCGCGGCTCATAGCTTCCAGTTCAATCATTCGAGTCGAATGCTTTCGGAGATGGCGCGGTTCTCGGATGCGATTATGTCGGCGAGGTCGTTGAGTTGGGAGACGGCGTTAGTCGACTGGCGAAGGGCGATGTCGTGGCAGGACTTATATGGGGAGGCAAGTCTCGATTCTATTGGCTTTCTCAATCTAGGAGCCTAGAGTTGATGAGCATCTCGTACTAACATTATCCTTCTAGGCGAGATCAAGGGCCTAGGAGGCTACAGCAGCTACAGCATCGCTGACGAGAATATCTGCTTCAAGCTTCCTGTCGGGCTGTCCAGAGAGCATGCCAGCACGGTGCCTCTCGCGGCGACAACTGCGTGGCTGGCTCTCTTCTCGAAAGACTCCCTCGGTCTGGATCGCTCCAATGCCGCCGGCACCGGCGTTCTCGTCTGGGGTGGAAGCTGTATGTCCCCTTCTGTAATACACGAGCGTTCATGATCTAATTCACAATCGCCATCCAGCCAGCGTTGGCCTCTACACCGTCCAGCTCGCCTCGCTGTACGGCTTCGAGGTAATCGCGACCTGCAGCCCCCGTCACGCCGATTTAGTCCGATCCTACGGTGCCAAGCATGTCTTCGACTATCGGGACGAGAAAGTCATCGAGAAGATTCAAGCCACGGTGCCGAACCTCAAACACGTGTTCGACACGATCGGTAATCAGTCCTCCTCGACCCTCTCCTCGCAAGCCACGCAGAAGAACAGTCGTCTCTGCACGGTACGCCCGGGGAAGGCGAATACCGAGAACGTCACGGCAGACACTCGTGTCACCGACGTCTTGGTCTGGACGGCGTTCTTGAAAGATCATAGATATGGCAAATTCCATTGGCCGGTAAGTGTTACCCCCTATGCCCTCGGGTGTCTGCGACGGATTGGAAGTTGGTACTAAATGCCTGGTACCAAATTAGGCCTCGAAGCATGACCATGAGCTGTCGCGTGAGCTCTTTGAGAACCTGCCCAAATGGTTGAGTGATGGGACTATCAAACCTAGCGAACCGAAGGTCTATGAGGGCTTGAAGTCGGTGGCCGATGGTTTTCAGGAGTACCGAGATCGCAAGATCTCGGCATATAAGATTGTGTACAGGGTTTGAATGGGTCGCAACATTCGCGTAAAGAGATAAATACTTTATACATTGAATTCAATCTCAGGTCTTTAGCGCTCAAAAACGGGCATCTAAGAACTAGTCATCTTTGACCTCGTCAGAGCTTCGGGGTTTGTCCGGCTCGGTTGGCATACTTATCCGATGCACAATACGGGCCCATCGCCTTCGCCTCCATTCTCCCATCGCGTTGGATCCAATACCTCCCTTCTCTTCGTAGTCCTGCGAGGCTCGCCCCTTCATCTTCTTCTTTCCTTTCTTGCTCTCCCCCTTCGAGGAATATTTTTGGCTCGATTGCTCGTAGTCGTCGTAGCCTAAAGTCGTGGTCATTTCATCCTCATTTTTAGGGGGCACCGTGGATGGGAGATCCCAAACCCAGCCCCCAACTTCCTCATTAGCCATAGGGCTTTCCGAGTCGCTGGCCGAGACCTCGAACCCGACTCCGGTGATCATGCGCTCCACAACCCATTCCCGACAATCCAGATCCAGCTCCCACTTCTTACTTTTCCAGGCCCAGCCCCGAGGAGCCTGGACATCCTCGAAGAACCGACATCCCTTGGGTCGGTCGCCTGCGATTCGAAGTGGTGATAAAGGGTCATAGGGCATAGAGCTGAAGACGAAGTGTTCCCACTGCGACTCAGAATACGGGGCAAGAGATCGATATTGGATTTCAAAAATCTCGACTTCACGTTCCTCGGGGAACGAATCCAAGGAGATATCAGTCAACGAGCCCAGTAGAGACATAGTTGCAGATGGCGTGGGTGGTAGGCCCAACATGTCCGATGCGTCTTTCTTGATGAAATTGGATCCGGGGGATTGGTCTGCGGTGTGGTCCGCGAGTTCACCTATCACGCCCTGGATAAAGTCCTGCAGACTCGGATGGTTGGACAGGACGGCCGCATTACCGCCAACTAGGAGGATGTACCGCCATGGGAAGAAATGAGCACACACAAACAGCAGAACGGTAATGATCGTGCACAAAAGGAACACATTCGAGGATAGCTTTTCATTCGAGAAGTTAGTCAAGGGCGCAAACACAGACACGGTAGCATCGTGCATATCGGAGAAATCGGCCATGACGTTCTGTAAATCCCTCATGTTCCGAAAGAAGTCTTTCGAGGTTTCCGAGGCCGGTTTGATGGTTTTGGCCGGCGCCAGCGCCGGCCCCTGGTACGAGTAGTATGGCGTAATACTAGAGGTAGAGGTCGACGGTGGCGGGGGGTGTCGCGCCAGGAAGGCGGGGACCATCACAAACAGCAAAATCGACGCGATGGGAATGATCACAAGTAAATGAGGATCGAGGCAAACAAAGGAGTATACGAAGAGGAATGAAAAGGTATGGGACGAGTGCTTCCAACTAAAGAGCCGCTCCAGTTGGTTCTGAAAGGAGAATACAATCCCAATTCTGTCGAATATCTCAGTCGTCAACCATCTTCAACGCTACGCAGTGGGAACTGTTCGGCCTGATTTACCTCGCATTGAATCTGCGGAAGTTGTTCGCCATCAGCGGCAAACTGAAGGCGGGTCGCTTGGCATCGGCGCCGGCCTGTCTGTCGGCTGACGTCGATTCATCGTCAACGTCCTCGGCGGGGATGACTTGCTGAAGGAGCCTGAAACACCATCAATATCAAACCGACGCGCGGGATATATGACGCTGCGTGGCGAAAGTAAGGCGCCAAAGGAGCAACATACTTTGCGAACAATTTGTCCTGCAGAGAGCGACCACTGCTTGAGGTGGAGCGCCGGTGACCCGCCGAAGTTTCAGTGGAGGAGCCGTGGTTTTGCTGCCTGACAGAGATTACGGGAACGGGTTCGTTGCGGTTGACGACCGCGTCTTCGGTGTATTCATCCATGGCGATAGACCCGACGCCGGCAGCGAGAGGAAACGAAGGAAAGACGCAGCATTTCCGACGGCGGAGAGAGGGGGACGAGATTAAGTTGAGTTGCAAGCGGGAAGCACATGCAGGCGGAGCGCCGTAATTACCGGCCGTACCGCCGAGGATGGGCGGAGGACACGACGGACGCAGGGCAATACGCCGGCCGTACCGCCGATCAGGTGAGTGGGTAATCTTCCGCCGCGGTTTGGGCTGTTTGCAGCGACCTTTCCCGAACAGGACGGCGTCCGCCGCAAAAAGGAGCAGGGGGGGCAGCCTTAGGCCGGACTCTGCGTTTTAGTGCCCTCGACGTTGTTTACCAGTCCAGGGACTCCACCGCTTTTAATTATTCTTGTTGTTGTCGTTCATCTTGTTCTGGTGGATTTTTTTTTGTTCGTGTGTTTTTTTTTCTCCTGCGCTTGTTTATGGCCTTGCCTCTCCAGCCCTGAAAAGTGACAACCGACGTTCCCAGTCTGATCGTCCTCGTATGTATGTCTGGTCCCTTTCCCCCGTTGGCTGGAGCCCGTCCATCCTCCCGAAAGTCCACCCGGAAGTGTTGCCCCAGGCAGACTTTCTCCTCTGCACACCACCGTCCGCTTCAGCGCTGATAACTCCTATTTCTCCACCCCTCTAGAGATTGCCGACAAGTCGACAAAAAAAAAATCTACGAATTTCAATCCTCTGCATTTCTTCCACTATCACCCACTCGCCTCTCGAATTCATCCGCCCTCCAGAACAGACACTCCTGTTCTCGATCCCCGCAATGGACCGGTAACGTCCATTGATGGGTCGCGCGACGGTGTTGGTCAAGGCTCTCCTTTGTTTGAACAGCGAGAGACCGTTGACTCCTGAATGCCATTGCGATCGGGTTTCCACTTCGGATCCCCTATAATTTTCCTATCCAATCCCGCCCGAGACCAGTCTCCTGCACGTCCGCAATTCTCTCTGTCGGGCTTCGATGATGCCAGAAAAGCTACCCTCCCAGCCAGCTCTAGGGAAGGGGCTGTCGCGTAAAGATCATTCGAATTCCTCCAGTCCCTCACGATATGACGACTCCGGTTCAGGAGGTAAGGTTGACCCTCTGCGGTGGTGATGACATGTGGGCCGTCGGAGTCGACAAAGACTAACATGCGTCGTGGTGAGTAGCAGAAGGACCTACACGACGACGATTACACAAACACTCCTCCACGACCCTCTTGTCAGAAGCATCCTCCCAACCCTCAAAAACCGGCCCGGGCTCTCGTATCAGTGTGATGAACAGAAGGAGGTTATCGATCCGAGATCAGAAGGCACCTCAGGGCCCGCGACCGCAGGAACCATCCCGGAGAAAGTAAGTTTGGCTGCTGGAGTGTTTCCTTTGCTGTCTTGTCGACGCCGTCAACTCTGTCCCATCGCCTGCATTGCATTCACCGTCATTTCATCCCGTCAGACTGCTGTTCAATTTTTGAAGGATTTCCGGAGCTCTAACTCGTATATTTTCTTTTCTTCACAGCAATACATCCGGCTCGTTCTTTCACTCCGGAAACTCATCAATCGATTCCACTAATGATTCCACGCAAAGCAACAACTCCCGTATCAGCCTCCGATCGACCAGCATGGGTACTTTCCCAAAAATGGAGGACAACCAAACACCCCCCGAAAACGCCGAGTTCCTTGCGCCGGTCAATTTCGATGACTTTCACAACAGCATCGTCGCGGAGCCGAGCTTGAATCATTTCCCAATGCCGCGAAGCGGCGGATCTGGATCCGATCCCCATTCGAACAATCCGTGGCCGAATAGCCACGAAAATGGCGTGTCCGGGCGTTTGAGGAGTAATTCCTCCCGACGGAAGAGCGTGTCAAATCAAAACGCATCGGCCGACGTGGCATCCAGTCGAACACCGGGCTCGTATGCAGCCAGCCGAAGTCGTCGTCAGAGTATTGCTCAGACGGGGACGACCAGCACTGCAGCGCAGCGAGCTCCTCGCAAATCGATAGGGCCGGGCTCCATTCCTACAGCTGGCTCTGCACGACGGCAAAGTCTGTCGGCCAGGAAGGCCAGCGCTAATGCCGCCCAGCCCCAATTTGATCAAGCGAATTTCCTCAGCCCACGAACGCAGCATGTCGACGCTGGCTCCACGGATCGCACAAAGCTTACGGCGAACTCACGAAACATTAAGGCGAAGTCCCTGCAACCCCCTACCAGAGACCCCGGGGAAAGCTTCTTGGCAACGTCTAGCGTTCCAGACCATTCTCGATCTTCCTCGACGAACGCCGTTCGAACGCCAATGAAAAACGTCGCGGACACAGCAACGACTCCGTCCTCCTCCAACAAACGAATGTCTGCCATGCCACCGCATGCGACGGGCCTGGGTGCTCGCACCATTAGTCCCACTGATGCGCGCCGGATGAAGCGCATGTCGACGGTACCTCAGACACATCCAATGCCCCATACTCCCCCGACCCAGACGGAACCTCTCCCTCTGCGTCCTCGCTCGAGCGCCCAGTCTCCTTCGATGATTCCTCGAAAGAGTGTGACCCCTTCTTCGACCAGAACCACCCCGGACCCCAACCGGAAATCGTACAGCTCTGGCTTGTCTTTGTCATCCAATACAAGCTATAACTCCGCGCGGAATTCACAAGGTTCTCTACAGCATCGCTTATCCCAAGTCTCGTCGTCGCGATTGCCCACTCCCAAGCCTCGTGCAGAGCATGCGACGGCCGACGAGGAAGTACCTCCTGTCCCGGCGATTCCTAAAGCATACGAATCTCCCAAGAACGAAATTGATCAACCCAATTTCGCCCCTCGCAAGTCCAGTCTACCACTGGATATTCACCTTTTGAAATCCAAAGTTGATACAGACTCGGATACGAACCCGCAAGCAAGCGTGACGGAGGACGATGCTTCGGACTCCGCTCCTGGCCGAGCCATGAAGACACCCGAAGCCAAACCAAAGCCATCCGGTGGTCTTGCTAAGAAGAACCTGCAGCCCCTCAAACTACCGCCTTTGAACTTGCTACCGCTTGGAACGCCGATGACAACGAAGATCGAAGCACTCCGTGAAAGGGAAGAAGAAGCCAAATCGCATACGCCGACGGGTCAGATCACGTCCAAGACGCCTAGCACGCCCTTGACAGCGTCAAAGGCGAACTTCTTCTCTGTCCAGGATGACGATGACAATGCGCCGCGAACCCAGGCCAGAAGCAGCACCGCACACTTTGTAGTGAGCACCTCTGTGCCTCATTCTCTAAGAACCGCCAGTAGCTCCAGTGCCCTGGGATCATTTGATAACACACCGGCTGGCGCAAGAGCGGTCTCCCCCTATATATCATACACGCTGCCGAAGAGCAACAGTGACCTCAATTACATCCGCCAGAAACCGAGCGCCGACTACTCCCCTCGGCCGGCACAGCCCTACAAACTGACCGGTCCTCGTCCGCAAACGCAGTCTTCTGCTTTGTCTTCCAACGCGGAAACCGTCAGCCAAATGTCAACCCCATCCGATGCTGACAACAACAGCACGTCTGGGTCCTCGGTCCGCAACAAGATCGTTGTGCCCCGGCAGCGCAGTGCCTCGAAGCCCCAGCCGCCTCCTGATGCAGCGACGACCGATCCCAAAAAGCGGGATCCCATGCCCCCTCCCAAGATCCCGGCATCTGCAACCTGGAGTAACCTGTCGACGACTAAGAATACAAGTCCGACACTGAAGCCGACCTACCTTAAATCAAGGCGACAATCTTCCATGATGAACATGGCCAATCCGGCATTGAGGAAACCCAGTATCAGCAGTGACCAGAGTCTTGCCTTGGAGCCAAGCCCCTCCAACGAGTCTGGGGAGAGTGACACCCCGCAACATCGTTCTACATCATCTATACTCTCCCCCGTTCACAAGATTATCAATTCGGCGAAGTCGAATGCTGGAGCTCACTCAGGATCCACCGATCCTGTCAAGGACTCTGATGTCCAACTGGCCGACGAGGAGATGCGAAAGCTTGGAAGTCGACGCAAAGACTTCGAGCACGCCGCAAAGGAGCTGGACGAACTCCGCAACAAATCTGCACCGCAAGACCGTGTAACCCCCGGACAGGCTCTCAGGATGGCGAACTTGAATATTTTTGAGCGGGGAGAAATCATCGATTTCAAAGACATCTATTTCTGTGGTACGCAACATGCCAAGAAACATGTGGGCGACCTTCATGCCCAGGCGGCCAATTTCGGCTATGATGACGATCGGGGTGATTACAACATCGTCATTGGTGACCACCTTGCCTATCGATACGAGGTGATCAATGTTCTGGGCAAAGGAAGTTTTGGGCAGGTCGTGCGATGTGTTGACCACAAGACTGGCGGCCTTGTCGCGGTCAAGATCATCCGAAACAAGAAACGATTCCACCAGCAAGCTCTGATCGAGGTGAACCTTCTGCAAAAGCTAAAGGAATGGGATCCTCATCGCCGTCACAGCGTAGTCAACTTCACGCAGAGCTTTTATTTCCGCGGCCATTTGTGCATCTCGACGGAACTTCTGGGCATGAACCTTTATGAATTTATCAAAGCCCACGACTTCAAGGGATTTTCCCTCAAGCTCATACGTCGCTTTACGAAGCAGATTTTGGGCAGTCTCGTCCTGTTGCATGCCAAAAAGGTCATCCATTGTGATCTCAAGCCGGAAAATATTCTTCTTTGTCATCCGTTGAGCTCCGAGATCAGAGTGATTGACTTTGGCTCGAGCTGCTTCGAGAACGAGAAGGTGTACACATACATCCAGAGTCGGTTCTACCGCTCCCCAGAAGTCATCCTCGGCATGTCGTACGGCATGCCAATTGACATGTGGAGTGTAGGATGTATCTTGGCTGAACTCTTCACTGGGTATCCGATCTTCCCGGGAGAGAATGAACAAGAACAGCTTGCCTGTATCATGGAGGTGTTCGGGCCTCCGGAAAAACACTTGATCGAGAAGAGCACTCGCAAGAAGCTGTTCTTTGACTCTCTTGGCAAGCCGCGATTGACGGTCTCGTCGAAGGGTCGTCGTCGACGCCCGAGCTCCAAGGAGCTTAGGCAGTCTTTGAAATGCGACGACGATGCTTTCCTCGACTTCATTGCTCGTTGCCTGCGCTGGGACCCTGCTCGGCGTCTGACCCCTCATGAGGCACTTCGGCATGAGTTTATCACCGGAGTCAAACTGCCCCCACGACCCCGGACATACACCGTGGGGACAAATTCTCCGGCCAAACGTGGGAACATCTTTTCGAACCCGTCATCGGGTCGTCCTCTTCCCGAGCCCCCTGCCACCAGCCTCAAAAGCGGCAGCTTCGTTCGCAGCCGAGATGTGTCCGGCAGTTCTCCAGTCAAACCTCCCGTTGGCAAGCGACATTCTACTGTCAGCGGCTTACCACCGTCAACCCCGGGCAAGCGAGGCATCAGCACCTCCAACACCACACCGGGGTCTGCATTGCCTCGCGTCGCCGCCAGGAGTATCAGCGGAAAACCCGACCTCGCCACTGCGGCAGCTGCGACAAGCCTGGTGAGCGGCAAGACTATCGACTCCGACAAGAACACGACCACTGACTAGCATACAGAGGACTAAATAAAGCGGCTGACGAGCGTTGCATCTTTTTTTTCTTTCTTCCCTTTTTCTTTTTTTCTTTTTCTCTTTCCCCCCCCCCCCTTTTCACTTCTTGCATATTTGTAATAATAATAATTGTTTGACTATCAAGTTGCATAAACTGGTCGGGAACGTTTGTGATTTTTTGCACCCCATGTTATGATTGAATCTGAACTTGAGGAGGTGGACGACAGGGATTTCATTCTATACCCTTACCTGAGCATTCCTATGCTTCCTCATGATGTCCGTTTGTTGTCTCTCGTTTTTTTCCCTTGCTGAAAGCCTGTTGCTGTGATTTTGTTACGACCCTGGAAGCTGTTTGTTGCATGCCCATTCTTGTCTCTCGTTACCATTACATTTTCATTTTTCTTTCATATTGCATTTCTCTCGGTGGGACGATGAGTTCCATTAGACACAGATGTATATTTATTATTTTCTTCTTTTGTTGCTTCACCTTGTCTCATTCCGCCCATGATCTTGGAGAATTGCGTGAAGAAGGCAGGGGGGATGTTAGAGCCGGAGCATTGATGCATATACACTTACGAGATACACTGGACAGAACTGTAGACAAATGATGAACGAGGGATTTCCTCATGTTTCAATCCCATTCCATTCCGAAGAGCGTGGTCTAGAGCCGTGGTTTCCTCAGGCACCGGGGGCTATCGATAAGGGCGGGATGTGGACTACTTGGCCTCAACTTCCCGCTGCTTTCTCCTCTCCGCACCACTGCCTCATCCCCATTCGCTCCTTCACCCTCCCGCCGTCCGACATTCCTTTTGATCGCTTTATTCATGCCTTGATTTGTTACTGTGACACCTGCTCTCTGATTTGGACTCGTGATGAATGGGTACTCGGGGCATGGCCTGGATGAAGATGCATTCGGGGAAAAGCCCAGCTCAAAGGGCGGCTTGCAAACATTCGATGCCTTTCGTATGCATCCCCATTGAGCCCTCGTCCACTCCCCAATTGGACTGAGAAGGATACAATCAAGGACCAACAGATCATGCTAACCCCCGTTCTAACTCTCAGCCAAAACCAAGCCCTCGTACACCACGCCCTCGCGCCGCGGCGGACAATGGACGGTTCTAATCCTCCTCGTCTGCTCCATCTTCTCCTTCTCCGAATTCCGCACCTGGCTCAAGGGCACCGAGAACCACCACTTCAGCGTCGAAAAGGGCGTCTCGCATGATCTCCAATTGAACCTGGACATCGTCGTCCAGATGCCCTGCCAAGCCCTCCACGTCAACATCCAAGACGCCGCGGGAGACCGCATTCTCGCCGGCGAGCTCCTGAAGAAGGACGACACCAGCTGGAAGCTGTGGATGGATAAACACAACTACGGCTCCGGCGCGTACCAGACTCTCAGTCATGAGGATGCCTACCGTCTCTCCCAGCAGGAGGAGGATGCGCATGTTCACCACGTCCTGGGCGAAGTGCGTCGCAATCCGCGCAAGAAGTTCCCCAAGGGTCCGAAGTTGCGCAGGGGCGACTCGGTCGACTCGTGTCGGATCTATGGCAGCTTGGAGGGCAACAAGGTGCAGGGAGATTTCCACATCACGGCTAGAGGCCATGGATATCGAGACTTTGCGCCGCATTTGGATCACGATAGTACGTTTTTCCCTTCCCGATTGTCTTCCCGTACACCCCGGTATCACTTCCAGGATGCAAGACTAAACTGCAATATCTGCAGCCTTCAACTTCACGCACATGATCACCGAACTCTCCTTCGGCCCTCATTATCCCACCCTCCTCAACCCCCTCGACAAGACCATCGCCTCCACCGAATCCCACTACTACAAATTCCAATACTTCCTCTCCGTCGTCCCCACCATCTACTCCAAGGGCTCTCGCGCGCTAGATATCTTCTCCGGCGCACCTCCTTCGCAGCAAACGCACTCCAACAGCAAGAACCTCGTCTTCACGAACCAATACGCCGCCACCACGCAGGCCGACGAGCTGCCCGAAAGCCCGTTCTTCGTCCCCGGTATCTTCTTCAAATACAACATCGAGCCTGTCCTGCTGATGATCAGCGAGGAACGCACCTCCTTCCTCTCTCTGCTTATTCGTCTCGTGAACACCGTCTCCGGTGTCATCGTTACCGGCGGCTGGCTGTATCAGATCTCCAGCTGGGCCAGTGAGCTCCTGGGTCGGAGACGCGCGCGGAAGTCCGAAGGTGTGCTGACTGGAAGACACCATGCGGAGGAGTGAGTAGTGAGCTGGTTCGACGCTTCTCACTCGTACTTTCCGTTCTCTATTTAGGGCTTGATGCCCCTTTGCAAATCTGGAGTCTCTTCTTTTGTTGCTTTTGGTCCTGGTGTTTTATTCTCTTGTTTTGTACAATTGTACGGGTCTAAATTTGGTTTATCTTTTTTAACCTTTCTGGTTTTCTGTTGAATACTCGCCCGTGGATATCCATTGATTATCGATTGCTTTAGAGCACAAAATACATATTGCGGTTTATCTTTCCAGAAACAGCGAAACCAACGGTATCTGTCCTCCGCAAAGAAATTCAGTGTAGTTCGTAAATGAGATATAACCCCGAGGTATATTGATTGAAACCCCCTTTAACCCACACAGACCGACCGACCATTCGACTCCCATCAATATTCTAAATTCAAAACAAATAAACAAATAAAAAGTTACTCATCATGAAACCATGACCATCCGAATCCTTATATCTCAAAAATCTCACCCATCCCGACCCCGGCCCCCTCAGCCCCCGCGCGACTATCAACCAAATCCAAGCGCCAGCCCTGCCAGTCCTTCAACTTGGTCTTGATCTCGCGGACCCATTCGACGCGCTTCCGCGCCTCCTCTTCGGCCTGCGCGCGCGCGAACTCCGCCTCGTCGAACTCGTCGTCCAGGTTCTCTTCGGACAGGAGTTCCAGACTGCCTCGCGCGGCGGGAGGGTGCTGCTGATTCGAGGGCGCACGGCCTCGGTTGCTGCCGCCGGTGAACGCGGCGATGCCGCTGGAGAGCACGGTCGAGAAGGACGAGTGCTGCTGCTGGGCCAGGCTGCGGCGACGGGCGTGCTCGGGACTGCCGCCGACGAGGTCGACATCGTCGAAGGTGTTGGCGGCGGCGGCGTGGTTGTTGGCGGAGTCGGGCGCGAAGTCGGAATCTTGGCCGCCGGTGGCGGCGAGTTCATGCTTTCGGTCTTGCCAGACGCCGCGGCGCAGGTCGAAGACTTCGCCTTCGAGGTCGCGGATGCGCCGCGAGAGGCGCGAGCGCTCTTCGTCCTCCAGCTCGTCGATGGCGTCGTCGTCGGCGCCGCCGCCCCCGCCGACTTCGCGTTTCTTCACCTGCTCTTCTTTCAGGCGGAGGTTCTCGTTCTCGATGCTGGCCAGTTTCTTGCGCAGCGCGGTCGCTTCCTTCTCGGCTTTTTCGCTCTCGCGGAGTCGAGTGGAGTGCCGGGCCTCGGACTCTTTGTGGAGGTTGCCCATGGCCTGGAGCTTCTTGTCTAACGTTTCGATCTTCTTCTCTGATTCGGTCTTTTCGTTCTTCAGTTCTTCGATCTCTCGCTCGAGGTTCTTGATCAGGGTTTCTGTCGACGTCTTGTCCACGCCCTCCTTGACGGCCTTCTCGGAGGCACGCGTGAGAGCGGTCTTGGTGTCTGTGAGCTCGTTCTGCGTCTTCTCGAGGGCGGTTTCGCTGCGCGATAGCTTCTCTTCCAGAGCCGCAATCTGCTCTTCATGCGCAGTGTTTGAACCAGTCTGCTCGGTCAGCTGCGCCCTCAGGTTGGAGATTTCGAGCTCCATCGCCTCGATCGTTGCGGATTTCGACTCTAACTGCTGCACCAGATCCGCCGGCGGCGATTCCGTTGTTCCAGGGGAAGCGCCGGAATTGTTGCGGTGAGTTCTCGTTTGGAGATGCGAGTTCTGTCGTTGCAGCGATGCGATCTCAGCTTTCTGTAATCGTAGTCAGTCTGTCAGTAGCTCTTTTGTACAACCTTGCTACCCAGCATTTCGATCTGCGAAAGAGGCTCTCTTACCAACTCATCGATCTCCCCCACCTTCTGCTCCGCCTTCTCCAACTTATCCTTCAACTCCGCCGCATCAACACTCGACTCACGGAGATCCTCCAGCTGATCCTCCGTCTTCCTCCACCGACTCGTCCCGTCCTCCAACTCCTTCTCCAGCCGCTTATTCTCCTTCTCCAGCTCCTCGATCCGCGTCGACTGTTTCCGATACACCTCCTGCACGGAATCCCCGTCCGCCGACAACGGCGGCAGCGACGGCGACTTGATCGTCGCCGATGGAGACGGAGACACACTGCCCTGAGACACAGACGTCTTGCGGAACGACGACGACCGCATCTTCGACTGGATCGAGAGCGAGGGCTGGCGGCCGTGGGTCGCGCGCGGGGCGTCTAGCCGCGTCGCACTCTGCGGTTCGGCCTCTGGCCCAGGCGAGGTCGGAGCATCGGGCATGGGTTCGACGGGCGATTCTGTGCGCTCGGGCACCGGCTCTGCTTGAGGTTCCGAGGAGGACTCGGGCTGAGGCGCGGCGGCATCATCATCCTGGGCGGGTGCGGCAGCGGCGGTGTCCTCGTCCGGTTTCTCTTCCGGGGCGGGGGACTCTTCATCGGGTGTGGGTTTGGGCGGTTCGGCGTCTTGCGATGATTCGGCCTCTTTGGGGGTGTCGGCGCTGGTGCTGGTGCTCTTCTTGTTGGCTTTCTTCTTTTGTTTTTGCAGCTGGGCGACCTGTTTTGGGTGTCGGGGTTAGTGGTGGGGGCAGAACAGCAGATCGCTCACGCGGGCTGGGGGGAATAGAACTCACCCTCTTTTTGGCAGCCGCGAGCTTCTCGGCCTTGAGGCGCTCCTCTTCGTCAGCCATGGTGGGTGTGTATCTGGGGAAGTGGGAATGGAAGTGAGAGGGAGAGTTGGTCTGGGCGGAACGGACAGCTTTCCCCGTGTCCCTCGCACGGGCCATCCTCGCCGGGCCCTGACAGCTGGACTCTACAGAAGGGCCTACGCCTGTCGACTCGATCTACACTTTCTACTCGCTCATCCCAAGTGGCATGATTCCGAATCATTATATTCATCTGGGACTAAACCCGTACAGGATTCACAAAATTGCTGAATCAAACCATCGCAGCATGAACGCCTCCTCTCGAACCAATCTCCCGAGCGCCGCCTATGCAGCGCAGCACCATCATGGATCCGGAAAGAACAGGAAGCAAATAAAAGAGCAAAAAGCGAGCGAGCGTGAGAAACAAAACAGCTGCAGAACCATCGAGGCCTGATAACAATTAGGGGCCCCGTCCCTCATAACACACCCCGAACGCCTCATCCTCAAATGCAGGTTGAATGCACAAAAAGAAGTCATTAAAAGAATAAGAAAGAGACTTGCACAAAACCTTATACACTGAAGAATAAATCAAATCATCAAGAATGTCGTAAAAGCGAGAGTTGGCGAGGTTAAACCTCCATGGCGTCGGCGATTTCCTCGCTCATGGCGCGGACAGTCCCCTTGCTACCAGAGCGAGACCGGAACTCTTCGTCGCTGAGCAAATAATTGTCATATTCGTCGACGACCGGTCGACTAGGCTGGAGTGTGCTATCACCCTCGTCACTCTCACTCTCCTGTTCCTCGAGGTCGGCTCGGTCGCCCAGCCAGTATCGGGCGCGTTTGCTGGACCCCAGTTCGGGTGTCAAGTAACCATCGTCGAACGTTCTCTTGGTCGGTGTTGAAGCGACGCCCTCACTGGGCGTATGGCTCAGAATGGGGATAGCTCGCAGATAGATGTAGCAAACGCGTTTGCGCAGTCGGTTGAAGAAGAAATAGTGAAGGCTCCAGATAGCACCATCGTCGGCATCGGACGGATCTTCCTCGGGCGAGTACGAATAAAGGGAGCATTCCTTCAGCGACATCTGCGAGTCGATAATCTTCCAGAGTCTCGGTCCCCACGTAGACGATGCCCCGGCATTGTATGAGCCGGATATCGTGACCGGCGATGGTGGCGTGAGATCGATTGCTTCGCGAGGCCGCAGGTTGAATAGCGTGGTATCGATCGTGTTCATCACCCTCTTCAAATTCCGCTCGCGATGGAAATCGGACGGGCGCAAGACGTGAGAGAAGTCATAATCCGGGTGGCTCGCATTTAGTGTGGCGATCAGATAGGCAAACGTCCGGCGGCTCGAATGCTCACTCAGGGGGCCGAACGGGCTAGAGCGGGACAGGTTGAGTGACGCAGCAGCATCCGACGCGTTAGGAGGCGATAACGATGCCGACAGGCGCAGAACCGACTCGTATTGCGCTTCTAGTGATTGCTCGATGTTTTTGTACAATTTGCGATCGGCGCGAGCAGCCTTCGTGGTGTACAGATCGCAACCTCCAAGGATATGGCAGTCGGCAGTGTCGAAGTTCAGCGAACTCGTAACATCCTCGATCTCAGGAAGAGGGAGAAACTGATCCGATCACCGGGTTAGCAGCTAATTCAGTGCCAGGGTTGAGGCGGCAGCGTTGGGGTGCGCACCTTCATCTTCAACAAGAGCGGTCAAGCCACGCGGGTCAGACCACGCAATGTCGGGAATCGGGGAATTGGAAATGGCGTCGGAAAACAAACGACACCCTGCAAGGAGATTCAAGAATCGAAATATCAACAGAACGGAGTGTCAAAGTGATTCCTGATCACTTGCAACGTCGCCGATCGGAGATAAGAGAACGAGTGAGCTGGCAGGTGCTGTGGAGATAGCAGCTGTCGTCAGGAGCGGCTACGCGGATTGGAGGGGGATTTCGGGCAACGCAGAGTTAATAGAAGAGATTCACAGCGCCAGCATCCATGGCCAGCGAATCCAGGGGGCAGAAAGGAAGATGGACAAAGTCGCAGAGCGATGGAAATGAATGAATGGACGGGGGAATGGATGGATGGACACATTGGGGGCCTTTGGGGGATGCGCCGAGGGGGCGCGGATCACGTGGGCGCCGCGATCGGCCAGTGAGATCACCCGGCGCCTTCACGGGTTCCGGTCGATGATGGCGACCCAAACGCTGGTTCCATCCATGGATTCAGATCAGCCCTTCCTGGCTCAGATTGCCGACAACTTCCCGATCGTCCTGGTAGGAGTCAATGTGGTATTAATTAGTCTGAGGTCGCAATGATAGCAAACGCCTATGTACGTCCAACGCCGTCGGTCCAAGCAGCGCAAAATATACCCCAAAGAGAAAAAGAAAAAGCGATCTTCCAACGATAGATAGAAACACAGGAACGCTCAGGTGGTGACAGTAATCGCGCGCTACATCAGCTTCGTAACCACATCTTCCTCAACCTGGGGTCCAAGCCACATTAGCCTATGTTGGGACACGACGTGCGCAACCCGGATAATGCAGCGAGGGGAGTAACGGAGAGAAGTATGGGATGGAGAGTGTAGATTGCAGAGGGTTGGATTGTGGGTTTGGAACTGGCAGTACCAGAGGAGAGTTTGGGGGTATCGCCAACAACCCTCCACCCAAAAGGAGAGGAAAGGATACCCCCGTCAAGAATGGACACTGCAAGAGACAAAGCACCAAACCAAATCCCCAGGGGCAAAGGTAAACCAAGCAGCAAGAAAACGATGCCAATATATCCAAGTGTCGGGGTCAAAAGACAAAGGGGTCAACTCACCTCCATATCTTCCAGGCTGTCCTGTTGACTAATGCACCGCAACACATTCTTCTTGCTACTTTCCTGCATTTCTCCTGCCAGCAAGAGCTCATCCAAGATAAAGTAGGCCTTCTGGAAGTTGAAGATAATATCCAACTCGCACACGTTTCCGTAGTACTTGTCCATCTGCTCGACGTATCGGTGCACGACCTCAAGGGTGATCAACTCGTTGTCGGTGGAGGCGCATCCGGCGATGAAGAACAGCGAGGCATAGCGACGGTAGACGACCTTGGTATCTGTCGGAGAGGGCCGGTCAGGGGTACGGCCTTGGGGGACACGGAGGCGAGGAGGGCATCTCGAATAAGCGGCCTACCTTTGTACTCGAGGAAGTTGCACATGCGGGTGCGACGAGACAGAACCAGCTGGGTCACATCCTTGATGATTTTGGCCTTCTCCTTAGGCGACAGGGTGGTGAACCATTTGGCAAGGCGCTGCGAGGAAGAAAGAATTCGTCGGTCAGTCCGTCAGCTCCAGGCCAGACTCCCCGGAAGTTGGGTGGGCGACGAGAGAGGAGACATACCACTTTGCCCTGGCGGGACAGCAAAATCAAGTAGCTGGGCCAGTCAGTCAGCACATTGCCAGGGGAATTGAGAGCATGAAAAGGCTCACTGGATAGCCATTGTGCGAGATGATGGGGGGTAAAGTGGGGATGGAAGGGAAAAAAAGGCCACAGAAGCGACGGTGTTGTGGATGTTCGAAGAAAGCACCGGCGCGGCTCTGGTCAATTTCTTTGCTCGGGCCGCCCGCATCTGCCCCGCCGCTTGTCAGGAACATTTTTCCTTCTTCCATCCCCTGCTCGTCACTCTTCATTTCTTCTCTACAAGTGCTGGACGCTTCTCGGCTCTCCTCTTATACTGTCTTATACTTTGATGTGTCTGTTGTACCAGTGAACCACGTTGCCGCTCCCGAGGGTCGTCATGCCAACTCTAAGCTCACCCCTATGGCAATTTCTCTTGAACTGGAACATCTGAGGATTATTATTATTTCTTCTCGTATAACGAACAAGCTAGAGGGATTCATGGATTGATCGCCGCCGACTTGCCAATTGCACCTGATTGCAGAATGCTATCAATGGCAATGCCTCAAAGAATCACTAACTACAAACATCTACTTCTCTACAGGGCATGATCTCTCCGATCCTCATCGATAGACCTACCATGTCCCATTGCCTTGCCGTTCGATCAGTGTGACTCCGATATACTCTCCTCGCTACCTTTGTCCGACTGTTCTATCCGTCTTCAATTTTGCACGCCCACAACAAACATCAGCAAAAGACCATTCAAGATCTCAACCGAGTCTACCATCCAATCCTAGGGAGGAAAACCCCCTCGCCTCCGACAATTGAATCAGACTGGAAACATATTCTTCAAATGGCAGTTAGTACCTTGAAATGGAGCCGGAACTACGGAAATCACCGAGACGCGGCTACCGGGGACATGGTATAGAATTCGCCATAGCCAAATGACTCGGGCTATCGTCGATAGACCTAGCTACGGCTGTGACCTCAAAGAGGATATTACTGCAATGGAGCCCTAAAGTAAATGTACCTGCTCTACGGGGGTGCTCCGCTGTTCAGAAATTCTGCTGGCGTCCCTAGAACAAATAAGTAGGCGCTCAAGTCCAGCATGTTGTACACATCGTGTGCAAAGGACGTCCGGGCGAATTCCATAGTAAGCGACCACAGGGTCAGATATCTAATTCTAGAAGGGACTTAAGACATCTCGGACGTGATAATGGCGAGTCTAGCGAAATATATTCTTGCCAATGCACGACCGGAGAGTGCTAATCTAGTACAATCTATGGTATACCAGTTTCTTGACAGACAGATGATAAAACTACAAATCGATCATATATAGAACAAGGTGCAATCCAAAAATCATCAATTCCAAATTACACCACTAAACATACAAAGACACAAAACTCCAGCCTCCCCCATGGGCTATCCCACCGTCCATCCGGTTCCCCAGTACCCAAACCTATTCCATTGCACCCCCGAGAAAAGAAATCCATTTTGTTCCGAATATCGTCACACTGACGGTATCAACAGACTTGAGTCCCATAAACTCCAACCATCGTAAAATGATATTAACCGTTGATAATGATTAGGTAACGTCGTTATCGTCAAGCTCTCCACCGCATTAAGAACTTAAAGCATAGAATGAGTGTGATCCGATCACTCGGTAGCATTGCAGAGATTGGCACCGTATTATGTAGGTATTATAGAATTAGATGCCAACTTGAGATGATGAGATTGCGTCGTCGACGTCGGTCGATTTGTAGTATACTTGTGTCCGCGCCCGGAAATCAGGACATGAGGCTTCTCGCCGACACAAATCTCTAGACATTCACATCAGCATTATGAAATGGAGAAACTTTATCAGAAGGCACCATACCAAGTGATAAACACTCTTAAACCTGCGCCATGCTGGGACGAGTCCCACGGGCAGGGCCGGTGCGTCCACGAAGGTTGACGCCAGTCCGACGGGAGGCCATGATAGACATGACGACCGACACCGTGTATCCAGCCCACGCGAACCACAGGAAAGCGGTAGAGGCCTGAGCCTCACGGCAGCGCTTTTCGCGATGGAAAGAGCCGTCGGTGATCTCGTTGTTGAGGGTGTAGGCCTATATGATCGACAATCAGCCAGTGGATCTCAGTGGGTTTCGACCATCGATAACAATGTACGACAGCAACCGCCGAGCAAGCGGAATGTGGCCACGGGGGCAAGTCAAAACAGGAAATAGCACACGTACGTTGTTGCTGCAGCTGTGAGACTCCAGCTTGGCCGCCAGTGCGATACCGGATGTGAGGAAGAAAATGGCGTTCAGGGTGTCCAGGACGATCATGAGGATGGGGTGGATGGCCCAGTCGGGGTTGAACGAGGCCGGGGTCAGGTAGAGGAGCGAAAACATCGAGAATGCCGCAACAAACATGGTGTAGTTGACCGTGGCAGGGTTCCCGGCGAAGGATTCGTTGATCATGTTACCGATCAGGGCCATGACGAGCAGGGTCCAGAGAAACTGTTTGAAGAGGACAGGGTATTAGCGATGAATCGATAACCATCGTGTTCATCAGAGCAGTAGAGATGCGCGACCTACCTCCCACAGCCGCAGGCCAACGGCGATACCTTTCATGGCCATTTTAGCGACTTTGACTGGTGTTTGATGGATGGGTTAGACGTCGCGGGAAATGTTGATCGGTGATCTGAGAGAAACGAGTCTCGAGAGCTTAGATGAGAAAAAGCAGCGGAGTTGTGAACCGACAAGGAACGCAGGGATGAACGGTCGGGTTGATATTTGAAGGAACGGAATGACCGGAGGGCGGCGATGACGATATGCTGGCGGGCTGCTGCTACTACGTCATGCGAATCATGAAATCACCACTGTTTCGACTCAACCCACTCGGAAATAGCTGAAGAAAAAATGGAATAAAAGTCTGAGAGTACTTTGGTGGTCGTCGACTTCAAAAGACAGTCCAGTTAGTCCGATCTCCCTCTGTCAGGAGAGTAGATCAGCAACTATTTATATAGTAGGTAGACAGCTAAACTCACAGCTCTGCAGCCTAGGCTACTCCATCCTTTTGCACATAAAAATAGTACGCGCCTCAAACACCGCACCCAAACGTCTCGGCAAATATCAAACAGCAAACTAATGCAGGCCAGAGCCTTACGACAACCACTCCTCCCGCCGTCATCCGGCATGAAACGTTGATGCCGTCACCAACGGCCACCGCGAACCCCCAGCAGCCTCTTGATTGGCTCTCACGGTGCTTCTACAGATCCATGGGATGTTCAGAAGTTTATTCAATCGATCGTGTATGATTGCCAGCTGACCTGGCAGAGTCCTGGCAAGACTCTGTGTCTAGACTTGGTAGTTACCTGTTGATTTCTAATGAGTCTCGGAATGACGAACCGGCACCATGATGGTGTTCTAATACTGCCCGTGCAACCCAGAGATCATGAAACAAGGCTGAATGGGAATACTAAAGCGCCGGTGGCTTGATTCAACAAATCATTTTGTCACTCTATGAAACCTGCAGGAGTGTTCAGGCACACAATGAATGTGTTACCCTCGCTTTGTTTAATTCTAGTTAAAGCTATGCTACCTCAAATATCCATAAGCCATAAGCCATAAGTAAACCGATGCAAACTGATCTAGCTATATCAATAGAAGTCAAGCAATACTTTCCAAGTAAAGGTCAGAGCATGGTATGTAAAACAAGCTTCTAAACACCAACCAAAGCCTACGGCTTGAACTGACTTTGTACAGACCCGTACCTAGGTAGACTATTAGCACAATCATTTGCAACATAGGTCAACATGCAAACTTACCCCTGGGTGCATTGTCTACCGAGCGTGGCGCTTCCACTTCTCATGTAGCAGATCTTCGCCTCCCAGCATGCGGCAGTCGTGCAATCAGGGCTCTTGACGCTCAGTCGGCCCTGCAGTCTATTCTGCAAAGTAACCAGCTCCCCGTCATCCTCCATCGCCTCGGTGACCTGGTGCCAGAATGTCGCGTTCAACGGATCACTCTCACCCCATCCAGCCGCGGGCCCATAGGTGTCTCTGGTAGAGTACTCAAAGCGGTATACCGGGCCAGTCGTTTCGAGAGAGGAGAACTCCGAAACGTTGCTGAAGAAGGTATACGCTTCGTAGACGTTGAAGTCTCCAGTGTCAACTTCATACATCCGGAACCCGCTGTTCAGGTTGGTCAAGGGCGTGATGCTGGGTCCAATCCAGCCAGTCGCTAGAGCGGTGTCTCTATTTTGTTCGGTGCCGTTATTCGAATAATAGATCATGAATTCGTCCTCATGAGTATGGCCGTAAAAGATGTTCGCAATGACATGCGGCGAATAACGATCCACGATCTGATAAAAGAGATCTGTGGGGTTGGGAAGGGGGTTCGATCCGTCCCACCCAGAGGGAACATGGCCGACAATCCAGACTCGCTCATGGCTGTCTTCTGCTTTTTGAAGCTCGGATATCATCCAGGAAAATACACCCGAATTATCAGCCTGCGTTGTATTGATGAAGTTGAAAAAGTTGCTTCGATACCAGAAGTCTAGATATGAACGGTCAGCATCTACCATTGAAAAGGTAGGTATTATATGTGTGTACCTGTGTTGAAAGTAATCACACGCAAGCCGTAGTGAGTTTTGATTGAATAGCCACCATAATGTGTACTAGCTTCTGCGGCAGTCTTTTCATTAATCCATCCGCCATGCTGCCACAGCCCAGCTAAATGCTTATAGTTCCAGCTGTTCTGTTGGCCTAACGGACCCGGTAGGCTATGAGAAGGTGCGAGGTTCTCGGGACTGGTGTCATGATTGCCTAAAGCGGCAAAGACCGGGCCTGTGAGGTATGATTTGAGCATACCAAATACACTCGTTTCGGTATATTGAGTATAGGCCCTGTCAATTTGGATAGCGGGATTGTCATGCGAAATCAAGTCTCCCGTGTACAGCGTGAACGCCAACGGGTCCTTGCCTTCCCCGGTTCCGGTCAAAGGAGCAAGTGCTTCCAGGGCAGCAAGTGTAAGGTCATAGGGTGTGTCACATTTGTATGCACCATAGGACGAGGCTGGCAGAACAACTTGATCCTCAAATTCGGAGTTATGAAGGTTGGTCCGACAACACATCCCGGATGTGCAGTTTGCTTCAGAGCCCACAGAGTACCGCGGGTCCAGATGGATATCAGAAAGATGCAATACCTTGATCCGCTCACCACTAGGTTTGGGCACGCTAGTATCTGCTGGCTTGGGTTTTGGAAACAGATTGGTTGTGTCCAGGCGGGTTTGAGGCTGACTGCAGACATCGCTATCCAGGTAATAACAGATGTAGTCGCCATCAGAACCTTCGACGTCTGCATAATAGAGCACCTGTGTCCAGGGGACTCCGAAAGCCGTTTCAGTGTACTCGTTCTCGCATTCCTCGTCCGATTTGAAGCCAAACATCTTACACAAAGAAGTCATGGCATCGGGAACCAGTTTAGGGGCATACAGAGCCGCAGGCTTAGCAGCAGACAGCGCCGCTTTGCAAGTGCTGCAGGTATCTGCATTTCTGCTGCCATTGAAAATGCTCGTCACATTTGCCACCGTCCTCTGGATCATGGCTTTCTGTTGGCGATCCGATAGTTTCAGAAGGGGAATCGGGAAGACCACAGGGTCATGGTTCTCTGGAATCGTATCGGGATTGGTTAAGTTATGGGGAAATGTAATATTCAATATAGGATCATGAATAGCTGGCTGAGGTTGCTGGGTCGGTTTTGCCGGTAGGTAATGGTAAGATCTTCAAGACATTATTGGTGAGCACTCTTAGCCAGCTTATTGGTTGCCATTATTCGACTCACGAGAAAACACTCGTCGGGAACCCAGGCTGGGCCACATAAGACGACGATCCAGGCAGTGACGAGGCCTCGGCGAATTCGGCCGGCAGCAAGCCAAAGCCGGCTAAGACTGCCTGCATTCTCATAAGGCGCAGGAGTATAGACCCCATTGGTGACTGTCAATTGACGAAATATTCCAAAACGATGGGACTCATGCAACCGATGGCATGAACTCGGCCCGTAGCACTCAATAGAAAAGCAAGGCGATCTGCAAGAGGAGCAAGCAAGTTACGATCCCATAGCAGCGAGGCTTCCATGGAGTATTTCATTCTCGGCCATCTTGATGGCGAGCGTACATTGGCATTGCCTAATCAGGCCAAGGGACGCACGTGGTGACAGAGTGCAGGTCCAGTGGACAAATGATTCGATCAACAAATTATTGCCCTCCCTTGCCGATGCAATATGGATAGTGGGCTAGAAAGGATTCATGTTGGGCGATTGGTTCGGTGTCAGCATTCGGCGCCATTCCCACCGACAACCGGGGCAGCTGTTGTTGGGTGTTTTTGGTCGGGTTGGAAGGAGTTGACGGCGGTTTGTTTGTCAACCGGGGAACTCCGAAAGGGGCATCCCGATCGGGGGGGATCGACACCAGATAGATAGCAGTAGTACCACTCCGTATTGTTATTGTTTTTAAGTTCAGGTGAAAAAGCTTGACATGCAATCAGCCGGAGTGAGCATTGATCAATAACTCGTAAATAGACAATCCAGATTAATTAGGGCTCGGCCAGAATAGGTATTAGCGTGGTCAAAACGCCCTGGTGTACGGAGTATTCGCGCCGACTCACCAGGGCGCCAAGACCGGTGCCTTAGCACCGTTGGTTGTAGCCTTTGGGTGATACAGTGGTGCCTCCCTCCAATGTACGGAGTAGGGGTGATTGATAGACCCCTTTCTCCCAAATCTACTGTCATTTCACCTACGAACCGCCCACTGAAACTCTGAAAGCCGTGGCACTCGATTACTAAGAATGTCTCAGCCCGTACCGACCAAGAGACCCAATCAGCATGGATCCATCCACTTGGGCTCGTCAAGCTCAGGATCGGCGCGATTGACATCTTGAACTCTGGTCCAGACTCTTGATCATGATGTCATGTCGATTCCGTCGACCTCCGGACGCAAGACGATCCATCCTGTTCCTAACCGACTTGCCTGCGATGTCGAGTCCCCAGGCCGGTTGTGATTTGCTGACCATTGGACCCCGGAAAGGCAATCTTTGGCGGTGCGACACACAGAAAGAAAATCACGAGAAGATCACTTGTATTTTCTGATCACGATAATATTCTGTGTTGATATATTCAACTGCCTATATACACAATAATGCCCGTTCTACCCTCTCTAGACGGCTCCTCCTTCGATGCCGACATCCGTGACCGGCATCTGATTTATGATTATTCCGTGCGCGTCGATAACGGAGACACTGAGAAGTGGCGGTATGAAATGTGGTTTTACAACCAAGACCGCATTGTCTATAAGATCCATGGGGGTCCGATGGCCGGTCGAAGAAATTTTCAGTCTGCCACCTATCAATGCATTCGACCCGGCGAGCTGTGGCAGTGTAATTGGCTCGAAGAAACCGGAACACTATGCTCAATAGTGTACGACATACCCCGCAAACGCATCACCGCCCTGCTTGGGTTTTCCAAGGGACATTGGGAGCAGAATGAGGCATCACACGGCGATAAACGGAATCCAGAGGATTTGGCGAGGTGGAGAGGTTTGGCGCGCATCGGCACCCAGGTGGAGCGGAAACTCTTGAGTGAGCAGGCAGATATTGTGGAGGACTTCCGCGGTCCTGGAGATTTGGAACCCATTGAGATGGACTGGCCAACCTTGTGATACAGAGACAGAACTGCATTGGCGAGGGACCCGGGAGAAGTATAACCGACCGAAGGATGTGCGTAAGCTGAGTCTATCCGTGTGATCCAGTACGTAAATTGTTTATCCCAACATGGGTTTCCTGGTTGGCAACGTTAAGCTGGAGCGGCAATGAAACATGTTATTCCTTGACCATGCTATGGAAGGGCACGGGTGGCATAAATATTTACAAGGAAACCGTGCACATAAGGAACAGTGATGATCAGCACTCAAGATTGAAGCGACATGAATCAACCGAGGCGAATATGTCTGCAACAAGGACCGCGCTGAAGTGGTCGTCGACGGAATCTTCGTAGTGGTGTTCACAAGCGACATTGCTATGTGACATCCAGGCCACGGGGTTTGCTGGCACCGACAAGAGGCGAAGGACTTGGCGGCCAGTCATGGAAGTGGGGTAAGACGAGCGCTGCGGGTCGCCCAAGAAAGATGTCTTCATCCAGCTTCAGTCCCCAACTGTTCGAGGCCAGGTCGTGGGATTCTGTTCCCATATACTTGCAAGATCCGTCCAATGTGTCATCGACAACATTCTCGCCGATATCAAAACCGTGTTTTCACAGCTAGGTGAGTCAAGAGAGCCGACAGAATCCAAGACCAAGTAGATATACGGTATGGTATTTCGGAAGACTCGGGACTGAGAAGCCATGTCAGATGAGACACATGGAAAGGAAAAAATAAAACGGACTCTCTTTGGTCCTCCTATGTATCTTGGGTCGATGAGCTCCCAGTCGACGGAGCTTGGACGCAAACCAGTTCTATTTGGACGTCATCCTTGCTGCGCGGAGGAGCACTATTGTATGAAGGGCCCCGGCTGATGATGGCGACAGCTACCTGCTCTGCCTGTTGGCTGGAGGTCATGTTGTCAATGAACCATGTTTTCCACGGGCTTTCGCTGGTGCCGGAGGTCTTCAGAGTCGCTGATAGATCGGTATCCGTTTCTTGTCCGAATGCTAATAAGGTTTAAGTAAATTGACAAATGAGAAGTCAGCGGGCAAGGGGGAAGATCGTTTCCACATACGTTGAACGGGGAAAGTCTGGACGTCAAAGAACGGAGGCGGACAATTGGCCAGGGAGGGCGGGTTGATGAGCATCTGGCTTATAACCGTGTCCAAGGGGTAACTATAATAATCACCCTTCTTGGACAAATCGTAAATGGCCCCTTTGAACGCAGACTTCAAATTGTTGGAGCACTGGGGTCCCCAAACACCGTCACATCCATTATTATCTCCCGCCGGCGTGCCGGTCAAGTTCCCTATTCGCATTGCGATCTCGGATGTGCGGTTTCGATCGATGACGGAGTTATCGATGCGTCGTGCAGCGTACCCTAGCCAGAAGCTAGCCTTCGTCATCGGCTCGTGGCCTTTCCCTCGCGAGTTGGCGTCAAAACCATAGTAAAGATTGATGTCATCGAGGAAGAGAGGAGGGAACCCGAAGGAGACCGCCGTCTGAGCAAGCGGATCAACACATCCACCGTCCCAGAAAGAACAGAGCTGAGCGAGCCCTGACTGAAAGATAGTTGCGAATATTAGAAGGGTCAAGTAGGGTCGAAGCTTCGACCCCCTACCCGATTGCATGGCCATTTGGGGCCGAAACTGAGGCGAATGACCTGTGTTGACGAGTGCGACCGACCAACCTCAGAGAAACAGCAGCCAGCCGACTACCATGCTCATAACCGAGCTCAACAGGGGGGGGGGGTTTTGGCGGTCAGAGGGGATGGGGAATCGATAAACGCGAGTTGTTGCCAGTTGTAGGGATCGGAAAGGTCTATAGCATAATAGGGAGAATGCACTAGGGTATCATCAGAGCGCAAGGGTAAATACGGTATCGTGGAATCCTCGGCGCTTTTTGGTCCGTCCGGGCTCAGCCAGGTCACTCGATTGGGTATTCCGGGGCCAAATAATTCTTCTCTGGTCGTGTGAAGGATCGTCAAAATAAGAAAGGTGTTCCTCCGGCAAGCCACCTTGTGTCCGTCCAACGTCCAGAAGAGCCAAGGGATCAGAACCACGGCCGAACGGTCGACTGCGTGATCGAGGGGATGACGGGAGGGAGGGGAAGTTGTTTACCCGTGCAAGGGCAAGGCAGACAACAAAAATCCAGGGAAAAATGAATGGCAGAACAGATCCGAATCGGGATGGTCCGATGGTTGAAAAACAGCCGGGCGTCTGATCGAGGGCGCCGTCCGTAACGCTGGAAGAAAAGCGGGTGAGGAGAGAGAAAGAGGGAGGGAGGGTGAAAGAAAGAGAGAGAGAGAGCAAGCCCGGTGGGCAGACGAATGGCGTGAAGCGGCGACAGTAGCGGCAAGCAAAGAAAGCAACAGCAACAGCAGCGGTCGGCGTCGTAGCTGCTAAAGCTGCGCTCTTGGGTAGACGCAGAGTTTAAAGAAGGAACGCTGGGCGTGACGGTGATGTCTCCCTTGGCCGGTCGTTGGATTCATCCCAAAAGGCGTGTCTTGCCCGTGAAACAGGGAGTGGTGGAGCCGAGGGGGTCTCTGGCTGGCTCCCTGGCTTTCGAGAGGCATTCTTGGCCCAGCTTGGCCGGCGCCGCTAACAGCCAGTCCCCGCATATCCCCGACCGAATGCGGAAATTCCGGCGGTTGATCCAGCCCCCGGTGCCAGGAGATGGCCACTCACAGCGCCCCTCCGTCACATATTTCGGCCCTGGTGCCCTTCCAGGGCCCGGAGGGGCCAATGAGGGGCCGTACATTGCCAGCCACACTGCAACTTGAGATTCCGCTAGTAAACTATCTGACCTCGGTATTGTAATCCGCCGGTTTTGTCTTATTTTAGGCATTTCTTTTTCTTTTTTCTGTTTTTCTTTTTTCATTTAATTGATTTTGGATTTCTTTTTGCCGGGCTGGTTTTCTTCTTCTTTGCCCCCTCTCGCTGCCTCCTTCTGCTGCGTGCGGGCATCACTGCCTACTTGACGAACACGGAGTCTGTCGGCACTTGCGACCTTCCTGAGTGAGTGCAATAGTGCGAGAACCATACAGGCGACTCCATCGGCCCTATGGGTAGCTCCGAAGTTTCCATTCCATCTATTGTACCTTGAAACAGCGACACTTGACCCCGGTGCTAGTACCGAGAAGGCAGTGATAGGACACTTTATCCATCCATCCATCCATAAAATCCATAAAATTCATTCGGATTCATTACGGAGGATTTCCTACGGTCCTGGGTATGATTGCGTCGTATTTCTTACTATCTATGGCGTAGGACTCCTGCCTGGAGACCGGGTTGCACCACGAACTCCACGGTCTCAGTCGTATCATCATCATAAATCATAATCACGAGCCTCAGGGAATCATTGTTGGCTGATGGGCCAAATCCGAGTCCCAGCTACTACTCCGTAAGAAGCCATCCTCCGGCCTCCGTCAGTGATGCTGCACCAAACAGGGCTTACCGGCGAACTAGTACTGACACTACTGTACAGTTCATACTAGTGTTCCAAATTGATATCCGCCCCTCTTGGTGACCCCTAGGCTCACTGGTCACTGGTTCGAGAGACATCTTTTGGTCGGATTATGTGCAGCGCTGTTGCCACCTGTTGGATTTCAGCCGTACTGTCGACAGGGTAGTCCAATGATAATCGGCACGATCGCAATCACGAGGGCGATAAGTACTGATGGCGATGCCGATGCGACTGCTGCGTATCTCTGCGGCTTCTGCATGTTCTTCTGGCGGATGACACATCGCCTGGTATTCTTGGCATCGATCGATACCGACGGTTCCGTAAGGTACCGTTGGGGAAGGAAGGGAAATTTGATCCCATCAAAAGTCGAAATTAAAAAAAAAAGAAAAAATCAAATAAAACAAGGATTTACGGAGTATGGAGTACCTCGAGATAATGTCACGACCTGAAAAAATAAAATAAAATAAAATAAAATTACAAAATTAACCCCATCATGCGGATAACCTCTCCATCTATCTTCATCCAAGAATTGGACCTACTCCGTCAGTCAAAATTTTCACGACTAAAGCGCCCCGGTGCTTCTCTATTGAGCATGCCAGACGACCACGGTTCCTATCCTGCTTTCCTATCTAGCGATAGTTCGTCGGACTTCCAACGGCGTGTGCTCTAGTCTTCGCTTCATCCCTGGATCCGAGGTCCCAGCGCCGACAATGGTAGTAATGATTATCAAGTACTAATCCGAATACTACCCTGGTACGGAGTAGCTGGTGATTGCCGAGATACCACGCTCATCATCGCTGGCATTTGATCGTCGCGCATCGTTTACGACTGTTGAGTGGTACTGTTCCAGGTTGCTGTTGACAGTTCCCTTCACGTTCTGCCAAGAAAGAACCTTCAATTTTCGGTATAGTATCCGTCGTTTAAAGCGAACTCGAACTCGATCATCGCCGAGGTCGAAGTCCCATCAATATCCGAGTTGAACCCCCTCGCGTGCACAAGAGCGGAGTAGAACACGGAGAATCCAGCTCTAGTCCCATCACACCGCAAGCTAGAAAAGAAAATCCCTAGTAAACATTAACATTCACTCCTACTACTCCCTAGTCACACGGGACTAGTACTCCAGACTATAGGGTTTGCGCGCGCATTCCGACCTGGTTTTACATGCATTGGCACGGGCGACCAGCTGGTCATCGGAGCCAACCCTCTCCTCCGTTCTGCATACTACGGAGTAGTGTTGTAGCCAAATCCTTATCAGGAAATCCAGGAGTCGAGTCCTCGTTACACAATGCACGATCAAAGGGATCTGAATGTATGTATGTACGCTCTGGCCGTTTCCTGCCCTGCGGCCGTAATGCATGTTGCACGGAGGATGGGCATAAAGGACAAAAAAAAAAAAAAAAAAAAAACCACGCTCATAGGCCAAAGGGGCTCATGAGGTCATCTGTTCGGCCTTCTCAACTGCGTCATAGGGAAATCCCGTAATGATTAGCAATTTAGCCCGGCCAATCCGCGGACGCTAAACTGCCTTCGCCGAAAGAATGTAAATCAGTGTCAGATTCAGGGTGTCGATTGCCAGGCCCTTGACGGAGTACCGACTTACTCCGCGGAGTGCCTTCACTGCTATCTAGTATTGGCAGTCTACAGGTCCTCCGTAGGATACGAGCCACTCGCCTGGAAGGATATAGGGCAAGCAAATCGCGACACGTCTCGGGAACTTAACCATAGACGAGGACGAGAATTGTGTTCCTCTGCACTTGGCGGCAGTGGGTAGGACCCAGATTAATATCCGACAAGCCCGCCATCCAATGATGTCTCTGCGCGTTGGGTCTCTTTGGGCAGGGAAACCTGTTCCTTATGCCGCAATCAAACCTTGCGTCATGATCTCGAGGCCGGGAGGGTCACTCCGCGTTACTCAATTCAGCAATCTGTTGCGGTGCTGGCATGCATCAATTTAGGTCCTACTCCGAAATTGAGACCTCATATCCGTCTCAATCGCCCGATGTTTCAATAAATAGTGGGATTTTGGCGACTACTAGATAAAATAAAACATGTCGTTCCCCCTGTCGGTGAAGCCGGTGGCAGACAGCCCTCCTTTTTTCAATAATAGATAATATACGGAGTATAAATCCCTTGCTCGTAAAAGTGATCCATTTTGCGCCAATTAGACGGAATAAGCTGCCATCCTTGCGCCCCCTGGTTACAACGACCGACCATGTTTTTTCTCAAGCGCATGCACACGCGACTTCATGATTGCGACCGAATCAGCGATGGATCGGGTCAGTCTGCGGACCTTGGCCATTTCCCTTGATCTGTTCCTCTCTGCGACAATCACAACCTTGCGCACCGTTTCAAGCTCTGCAACCTCCATGTCGGTTAGTTCGCGGGCGTAGGATTTATTGGTCTGGGTGTTTCTTTCGAGGTTAGAGATCTTCGTAACTGCTTTAACTAGGGGCAACATCGAGGTCAAGTGGTAGGTAAGCCATGATGCATGCTCAGGCGTGGCCCCCTGGTAGCCCCAAATCCGATCCATGGCCTCTGCGCGCTGTCGGAATTTCTTGAGACTCTGCGCCCCATTGGGCACGGGTGCCACATTTTCCTCCCAGTTAATGTCCGGAAGTTTCATGGTGTCGTTCTTGTAGCAGCCGTTGTCGTGGCTATCCCTCGACTTTCTCCAGTGTTCATACTGCTGCAACTCGTATGGTGTCAAATTTGCTTTTGCTATGCTGTCTAGGCTTCTCGGATTCTGTGAAGCCACCTTCAAGCCTGTGTAGAGTGCGAGACTGTTTCCCTCACTGACTTCTCTAGCGAGGTCCTGCATCTTTCGAGATGTCATTTCAAGGTCATCAATATCTTCCGGAACAGGAAGAAGCCTGAAATTCTGGCTCAGGTTGAGCAGATCGATAGAGTTCAGGGGATTCCTTGCGGACGAGGATGATTCAGCAGAGTAATAATCGCCCTCTTGGTCTTCCCTTTCCCGCTTGATTCCGCGAGTCGGAAGTTGGCGCTCCATCCTTTCCTGAAGGCGTTCGTGTTAGAACTATACTCCGGAATGAGCGCTAGAGAGGCTTGGTGTTGAGAGTGTACTCAACGGAAAATGAATGTCCACCTTCTGACGTCTTGAATCTTTCTTTGATCCGCAAAGATTGTGCAATTGTGAGATAATGCACGACCAAGTTGACTATAGTCTCAAACAGAACTGAAAATTTCGGAATGACCCTCTGTGCAATCCTTAGGCTCGTCCGTCTTGGAGATGGCTCGCTTCATCCAAGCATTTGTATCAAGACGAGACATTCACATTGGGACTCATGTTCAGTATCAACGGGTTCTTCGGAGCTCTCTTGGTCTCGATAGATATGTTGTACCCCATAAAGACCTCAATTGAGCAGTATGTTGTTTGTTGTTGTGAGTGGTCGCTGTTTCCGTGTTGGGCGACTGATGTTTTACTGGGATTACTAAGGTGAATGTCGGTTGATCAGCAAATAGTATCATTTCTGTTTTTGATTCCTAAGAGAAGAAAAAATTGATGAAATGAAACCAACCCCTTGGTCTTCCTTGACTTTCCAATATATATAGTACAGTTGTCACCACCATGTGAACTTTCAGTCGACCGTCCTTCTTTTTTCCTAATATACAAGCAATTTTGTTCCCTCTTGAGTACACGATCAACAAAAGGAGACAGGAGTAGGGTCAAACCAAAACAAAAGATAAAATAAAAAATCAGAGTGAAGAAATGCAGCATGACAATGAGGCTGTCGGCATAAACTGACAGCGATGGCTAATAAGTCATGTCAAGATGTAGGAGAGTGTCCGTGATAAAACCAAAACGCCATAACACCGCGCTCGAAGATTGCACAAATAGTTCTCTGCAGATTCGCTCTATTAGCATTAAGCCATGTTCAGTTGTCGTCGTCATCCATATGCGCATGGTCCTTGAGGCCATTGCCCCGGAGCCAGACGCGCTTCCAGGGACCTTCTCCGCCAAAGGCTGCCTCGCGATCCTGGCGCATTCCCTCGAGAACACCAACAATTCCGCCATTTCGCAGGCGTTCCAGCACAACGTTCATGCCCTGCTTGCTTTTGAGCACGGCATCTCGGGTTCTGTTGACACCGATGAGCTCAATTGTTCGCTGAATGCCGGCCGTTGATAATGACGAGAAAAAACCCTTCTTCGGAGCCTCCTCATCGGCATCACCGGCGTGATCAACACTGTGTTCAGCTCGTTTCTTGTTTCCCAGGAGCTTTCCCTGTCCAAGTCGGGACCGGAACGTGACCGTTGTCTTGACCGTCGTCTGCTCACTGATCTTGTCGTCGAGAGACAGTCCCTGCAGGTTTTCAAGCGCCCCCTCAATCGATTGGCGCTGATAGACCTGCTTCTCGACGACACTCAGGATGCCAGTCCATTCCATGTTGCGTGATTCCGTTTCCATCCAGCCCTCCTTGGCGTCAACGACGGTGTTTTCCAGGATATAACTTTGGCCGGAGTGATCCGAGCCTCCCATGCCTTTCGGCAGCAATTTGAGGATACCCGACGGAACCTTGGATTTCTTCAGATGGAGACGCGTTGTGTGAAGGCGCTCGGTTTTGGGGTCAACGTATCGATCAATAACGTCGGTCGTAAGGACATGGCGAGAATACGGGTTCGGATAGCGGAGGAAGTAGGCTAAAGAGACGGCAGGGAAGGAGTAGTCGTAGGTGAACACATTCTCGAAGAACTTCATTGTTGCAGAGGCATATAGAAAGCGTGTAGAATGGGATTCTGGGGAGGGATGAAGCTGCAGTGGCGGTGGGATGATGGGGATGGTCTGAACTGCTGGGTGCTCGTCTGCGCAATGGCTTTTCTCAGTGGTCGGGCAATAATTCTGCTCGGGTCCGACCGTCCGAACCTCCTTTCAGAGGCCGCGATTCTGTCAGCTTCCGTCGGCGCTAGTCCCGTTCGGTAATGCGGGGAGCCGATCACGTGTGTTGCTGACCAACTGGCGCTGCAGCTTCGTTTCTACGGAGTAGACGCTCTCCTCTACTTCGCGATCAAGAGGCGGGGTTGCCAGAGATCTCGTGTCCTTCTACAGATAGTCATCTTATTCCTCATCCTCGTAACTGGCCAGGGTCCTGGGCAAGGCGCAGTATCCGAACCTGAACAGCCCATGCATTGCCACCTGAAAACCGGATCTATTACGCAACTACACAGCATCTCCGCAGCATTGCATGTGCAGATACGACCGAGGTAGAGGTATCGGTCTACCTGCTGTAAAACAAGGGGTGGCATTGTGTTCCTGCTGTGTTGGTTGCACTCAATTGCTGAAATACAAGCGTATCCAGTGTCGACAATCTCTATAGTGTGGTTCATAGAATATATATAATGCCGCTATTTCAAGCTCGTTTTTAAGCAAGAATTGTTGCACAATAAAGCATACTATTGCCAGGACATTGCATTACTTTCTTTAATTATATAGTGAACACAGTGAGATTGATTTAGTAGTGGAGAAGAAAAACATAAGAAAAAGGAGAGAAGATTCAAGAAGGGACTGGGAATGGAGGCCTAATGGCTATGCGCCCTCGAGAATTCGGCAACTTTCCTGCGTAACAAAACCTGGCCGGTTTCCCTGTGGCAAGTTATTAGAATTGATTATTTACATTCAATCGTTCTATTTAATCATGGCCTGATCTAGGATCTCTCATTCTCTCTGAAGGGTTAGTACCGAACCAACATGATCCTATCCTTTAAGCACAACTATCCCACGAATGAAACCGCGAGCTCCATTGCTGAGCCAGCACTCTTCCCCGTCAATCAGATCCGTAGCTCGAATGATCTTTTCGGTGCAAAACCCCTGAGCCAACGCGTAGCGTCTCGTTGTGCCCGCATTGCCACCGCTGGAGAGGGGTGGTGTGATCCAATCTGGTCCGATCGCTTGACCCGCACGGTCGTCGGTCTCAGATACTGACTCCTTGCGCCTAAAATATGGCGTCGTGATGCTTCCCTCCATAATTTCGCCCTGTGGGTTCACAACTAGCACCTCAGCCTGCTCCTGCGGAGATTGGATTCCCGAACGAAGGCGCGCAGAGGTATAATCATCCCGCGCAGTGGTCTTATGTGTAGTAAACGCGGAGGGAGTGGTAGGTTGTGTGTCTACATAGACACGCCATGGGCTCGACGAGGTGTTCGTTTCGGAAGGGACGAGAAGACCTGAGAGATCAATTGTTGTCGTCGGGTTGGCCTCGACCGTGCCGACTCCATGCTGGTCAATCACGATCCGGAGACGCCACGGTTTCGTCTTGTCCGGTATGAACGTGTCGAGAAACTGGAGGAACTGATCTCTATCTTTCTCAAGGAATTCTATCGCGGCTTGCCATTTGAAACATTGCGCTGCGCTGAGGAGACGGTCTTGATGGTACGGGAGGAGGTAATACGGTGTGCACAGGGTATCGGGATACGACTCTGAGGGAGATGCCCTGAGCACATTCGGAAGTGCGGGATCGTAGCGAAGGGTTGATATAATTTGAAATGAGCTGGCCATTTCCTTGTCCATTGTCAGTTGTCGATATATTTCCTGGTCGACTTGACGAGAAGAGGGAACAGGACTGGCAATTCTTCCCGACCTGGCGGTTTCCTAAGCGATCACTGGTATCTTGTTAGCTTGCAAGTCTTTCGAGAATTCGGTCATAGACTGTAATCTGGTGGATAAGCCGTCCAGGGCAATTAGAACTCCGGTGCTCTGACCCTGTTGACGATGTTGTGGAGAAAACAGGGAGCTGGGCATCCCTTTGCGGCGGATGTGATTGGTCTGGGAGCTCGGAAAGCCACTGCGTCGCCGGAACCTCGCAACGCATAACTTTTCAATCCTCCAACTCCTGCCGACAAGTTCCTGCCGTGCACCCTGGACCAGTCAGTGTTTCCCTCTTCCTTTCCCGTTCTTCGCCCGTCTCGACTGCATTGAGTGCCTGCATGGTAAACTGACTGACTCAACGTAGAGGATAAAAGGAAAAGGAATTCACAAAAACCGGGTCATCATGTCGAACGAATCGCCGTTGCCTCAACCCGCGAAGAACATCGTTGTCGACACTGCTTCGCTTCCCGCCTCTTCCTCAGCGTCGGTATGGGACCGCGTTTCGAAATGGGTGTCGGAAAATAAGGCTCTGGTTTACACCATTGCCGGTGTGGCCGTCGTCGTGACCAGCGCTGGTGTCGTCTACTATCTCTCCGACACCGGCCGACCGGCTCAAGCTCCTGCGCCCGCGGAGAAGAAGAAGAGCAAGAATCAGCGACGGAAGGAGAAGGAGAGGAAGAAGGCCGAGGAGGAAAAGAAGGCCAAGGCTTCCTCTGTCCAGGACGGTATGTCGATTGAACGCGTCCCCGCCCGACAAAACACCGCGAGAACCGGGCTGACGATGTCCCAGAATCTGCAGCAAAGAAGGCCGAGGAGCCCGCCGAAGAGATCCCGGAGGTTGATGAAGCCACGGTCGGAGAGCTTTCGGAAGAGGTAAGTCGCCTTGATCTCTGACACCTTTCGGCTTCTTGGCTTCCCGCGGGCGCTGATTTCGGGATTACAGACAAGGAAGAGCTACGCCGCCAAGCTGAAGGCTGCCGGCAACAAGGCCTACGGCTCCAAAGAGTACAACAAAGCGATTGATCTTTACGGAAAGGCTATCATTTGCAAGCCCGACCCCGTCTTCTACTCCAACCGCGCTGCCTGCTACAACATCTTGTCGGAATGGGAGAAGGTCATCGAGGACACGAGCGCCGCTCTCGCCATGGATAGCGAATATGTCAAGGCCCTGAACAGGCGAGCGATCGCATATGAGCACCTGGAGAAGTACAGCGAGGCCCTTCTGGACTTCACTGCTAGCTGCATCATCGACGGCTTCTCCAATGAAGTCAGCCGCAACGCTCTTGAGCGACTCTTGAAGAAGGTGGCTGAGCAGAAGGGCAAGGCTATTGTCGAGGCCAAGGGTAAGAAGCTCCCTAGTCCGACATTTGTGTCCAACTACCTTCAGAGCTTCCGCCCCCAGCCTCTCCCCGAGGGTCTCGAGGAGTCCGTCGAACTGAGCGAGGATTCTGGCAAGGGCCTGCTGCGCAAGGGTCTGATTGCTATGGCTAAGAAGACGGGTGACGGATACGAAGAGGCATCTGCTGCGTTTGAGAAGGCTCTGGAAGTTGGTGACTTGGGTGAATTCGAGGCCTTGGCCCTCAACCTGAGAGCCACCTTCACCTACCTTTCGGGTAACGCGCAGTCGGCCCTGCTCGACCTTAACAAGAGCGTTGAACTGCAACCTTCCCTGGTGCAGAGCTACATCAAGCGTGCTAGCTTGCACCTGGAACTTGGAAACAAGGACTCCGCCGCCGACGACTTTGAGCTCGCCATCTCCCACAACAAGGACGACCCCGACATCTACTACCACCGTGCCCAGCTCCACTTCATCCTTGGTGAATTTGCCGAGGCCGCCAAGGACTACCAGAAGTCCATCGATCTCGACCGTACCTTCATCTACTCTCACATTCAGCTGGGTGTGACGCAGTACAAGATGGGATCCGTTGCGTCTGCCATGGCTACCTTCAGACGGTCCGTGAAGAACTTCGAGGATGTGCCCGACGTTTACAACTACTATGGAGAGCTTCTTCTTGACCAGCAGAACTTCTCCGAGGCCATCGAGAAGTTCGACAAGGCCGTGGAGATGGAGAAGCAGAGCAAGCCTTTGGGTATCAATGTCCTGCCGCTTATCAACAAGGCTCTCGCCCTCTTCCAGTGGAAGGGTGACTTCCCCGAGGCCGAGAACCTGTGCAAGAAGGCTTTGATCAGTAAGTGTCATCCATGAACCCTCCGTTCCAAGTCGAGTTACGGATTACTGACCGGACTACAGTTGACCCCGAGTGTGATATTGCCGTGGGAACCATGGCCCAGCTTCTGCTGCAGCAGGGTAAGGTTTCGCAGGCGCTCAAGTACTTTGAGCGGGCGGCGGAGCTTGCTCGCACCGAGGCCGAGATCATCAACGCTATCTCATATGCCGAGGCGACCCGGACGCAACTGGAAGTGCAGGAGAAATACCCTCAGCTCGCCGCGCGTCTCTCGAACATGAGTGCTGGCGGCTTTGGCGGCGCCCCAGGCTTGTAAAAAGAAACCCAAAAGAAACCTCCGAAGAAGCAGTCTTTTCTTTGCCCAAGTTTGTGAGATGACCATGAGCCATTAGTTGGATTAATGTTTTGTTTCTCTTTTGTTCTTCTCTCTCCCTCTCTCTTCTTGGCCATCTTCGGGCCAAAAAGTGGGTAAGTGCTAGTTCAAGCCTGATTCTTATTCCTTTTCTTGTCGGTCTGATATGTCGGGGCGCCGGGGACCATTCGTTGCCTATGTATTTACTATATCTTTGGGGATTTCGTGTTCTGTTATTATTATTTTTTCTTTTCTTTTCTTATTTTTCTCTTTCTTCTTTCTTCTTACTTCGTGTTTTCTTTTCTCTCGGATCCCGTCCCATTCGTCGTGTCTTTCATGACGGTTGTTAGTTCTCCCATCCTGCTGCACGGGACGATTCTATGTATAGGAAGAATGGCGGGAAGGGACCAGGACGGTCGATTGGGTGCATTTCCTTTGTTTTGAGGCTTGATGCTTGGCTGCGAGGTAGTAGAGGGCGGGGAGGTGGAACCACACTGTACCATAGCGAATGCCCGCGAGCATTACTCTTTGTTTGGGCTATATTTACGTAGCTCCAGTATACTTCAACAGGAGTTCCGGGCATCTCCGCAGCGTCCCGTAATCCCGCCGTAATGGGCGTGTCCACCTGACGGCAACCCCACTTGCGGCCTATCAGTTTATCGCTCATTCACCATCGATCTGTTCCATCGGTCACCTTTTCTGCTGTCAGAGGGGTTCCTAGTGTTTGCTCCTGCTCATCTCCTCTGACTTAGTTTGCTGTTCTTCTGTCTTCTATTGGGCATCCTTGGTGGATTGCAAACGGTTTCGGTTTCGATGTTACTCGCCGTGTCCATCTGACGTAACGCTCTTCAACCTCCGCATTGCTGCAGCGGCCTCCTTTGACACCGTCGATTCCCGTACCTTCAAGGCCTAATCAAAGCCCCGAATCCCTATCAAACCTGTCGTTGGGATCTGGAAAACAAGTCGGTTCCCCCCCCCAGCCATTTGTCGGACAGACGGACTGCTTCTCCCTGGCAGTCTTGGACTGTACGACTTGAGTTGCCTAGCAGCGGTACCCCGTGGTGGTCCACGTTGCTCCCTGCCTGACAGCGACCGTCCGCAGAGGTAGGTACACTTCACTGCCCCTCCCAGCTGTTATCCTTCCCTCGATTCCACGTCACTCTGTCTTCCCACCTCCCCATCGTTGGTCTGTTTCGATTTGGCGGCTTAGGACGTAGTGTCCTGGACACTCTCTTTACACGGCCCGTTGCTCGACTTCATCCTACGAGATTAGCTGCCGGTACATGCAGTGTCGTTCCTATTGGGACACTCGCTCATACATCTCTGACAGAACTCGATATATCCCTGAACTGACTTGGCTATCGTTATCGTTTCAGCATTAAATACACCGGCATGGACGGAAAACGGGGTGAGTGTTGTTGCTATTCTCTGACACCCTGAACTCGACACATCTGATCTGACTCATTCTGCTTGTGTTACAGTGGTGGTGACCCTTCACACTTTCAGCCTGGCTGATTCCTTCCCATACCGCTCCTTGACCTTCACCTCCGACAAGGATCATGTCGAAATCGGCCGTGCCTCCAAGCGTGAGGCGAAGAACCTCACTCCGACCGAAAAGAACGGCCTCTTCGACTCCCGAGTCATGTCAAGAAATCATGCGAAGATGTGGGCGTGCTTGGATAAAAAGGTACGATGTACCATGAGGATCGGGGGCTATGCACGCCTATGCACATAGCCCTGAAAACGAGAATTCATCTCAGCTAACTTGCTATGATCATATTCAGGTTGTCTACATCTGCGATGATGGTTCCATGCATGGCACCCGGGTAAATGGCAGGAAACTTGACGTCGATGACGAAGCCCCGATTAAAACCGGGGATTTGCTGGTTTTTGGAACAGAGGTTACTCGTGGTCATGGTGAGTGAACCTTTGAGCTTCCGATTGTTGTCATGTTAAATTTCTGGAATAAGCACTGACCAGTTTGTTGTCTTCTAGAAACCTTCCCCCCATTGTCAGTTCGCTGTGAATGCCAATGGTTTGGTTTTGAGTATGTTATGCAATTTGTGGCCTGTTCTATATATACTAACGGGAAGAAAAGGGAAAACAAAGCTGCACCATCTAGCAAGGTCAATAAAACTAAAGTGGCCACCAACACGTTTTGTGTTCCTGACGATGATGATGATGACGACGACGACGACAATGATATTGAAATTACTGGCCAACCGGCCCCAGTGATATCCACCGTTGAAAGCAGCTCTGACTCTGAAGATGATTCGGAAGATGGATCGGTTGTTGAAGTCCTCTCTCCACTGACTAGCTCGCTTAAGGAAATCGATGGCGGAGTCAAAGGTGGCTCCCAGCAGATGCCCATCGAGATCGATGGCGAGCAAAACGGTCAACCTCTCGCGACCCCTAGAATGACACCCTCCTCGAATGAGGGCGCCCTTGCAGAGGCAGATGGCGAAGCTCGGGATCAGCCGGATGATAGCGGTGATTCTGAGCTGGATTCCATGCTGGATTACTCTGAAGGTGATTTGGCCTCCCAATCGGAGGATGATGAATCGGGATCCGATGAAGACTCAATGTCCGACTCGTCTTTTGAATCCGATATTGAATTGTCAGATGCAGACGGTCTCTCCCTCACAGTGCCCATCCCGCCATTCCCAGAGAATCGAAAACCAGCCCAAGCCGACGCCTCCAGTGGCGACAAAGAGAATGCGGGCACCCATTCAAATCGCCAAAGATTTACGGTGCCGGGTATAGGGCGAGATGCCACCGCCGAGCTGCCTGCAGACCATCCCGTCGACGACAACATTGAGTTGCCTGGAATCCGCGGCGACGCCATGAACCCGAACCCGCAAAATCTCTTAGAGCCCGAGGTGATGCTGGCCGAACCCCCCGGCAAACCGGCTCCTGGCGTTTGGTCGTCTAGTCAACAACTGTATGCGAATGCCCACCTTCCTTTGCAACCATATGGCAGAATATTTGACCACTCGCTCACCGGGTTCCATTCAAACAGCTTTGGCCGAGCAGTAGAAGGGTGGCCGTCGCGTGGTAATCCCACCTCTCAATATGGCCAGCTAAGAAATGAGCAGATAGGCCCTGAGCTGGTTCTGAACGACACCTTAACCCCTTGTCCTCGTTATTATGATGGACCTTTCGCCCACTCAGCACCGACTGTACCCGGTAGACTGCCCGTGCCAGGTATCTCTAGAACGAACACTGTGATACCGGCTGTCTTCGCCAAGGAAGATATTTCAAACAATTCCGGCAGCGAGGGAATTAGCACTCACTCGAGACCGGACACCCGTCTGAGGATAGCTGACATTGTTTCGTCACCTCAACCGCCCACGCAAAAGGCACCCCGGAAGAGAAAGATAGCAGACGTGGAGAACAGTCCCTTAGACGTTCCACACTTACTGCTTCATAACTCATCTGCATTTGAGTACAATGCTTCGAACGAGAATTCGCTTGTCGGGATTGAACGTGAAGAAACTTGCCTTCCCGATGCCCAGCCACAACTTGACATGAATGGCACTGTAGATCCATGCACGCAACTCACAACCATGAGCCAGGCCAACGAGGCGAATTCAATCGAGGATTTGACCCACTCCGAACCACAGGATGAGCGACCATCCAAGCGGCTGAAGAAATCCGAGGCGTCAAACATTGGAAGCCATGCGACTACCGCAGTGGTCGGTGCTATGATAGGAGCTGTTGGCACTGTCGCTCTATTGGCCTCCCTTCCTTCCGATTACTTTATCTAGACAGGACACTGTACGGAGTGTGCTTCTTGCCCCCAATCTCTTTAAAAAGGTGGACTGACAATGTCTTTCTTGGCCTTCTTACCGTTACGATCTATTAAACGAACAATGACTTATGCACGGGAATAATTTCTTTTGTCGAACCTCTGTTTACTGGCTAGGGATATGCTCTCCTTTTCTTTTCTTTCTTTTTTCTTTTCCTTCTCATCTCTAATTTCAGGATTACCTGACCGAGACTGGGCGCGGCGATGAATACAACAGGACGCGCAATGCTTTGATGTAACCGAGTTGTGTTTAGGCAGGTAATAGCATTATTTGAAGTAAACTCTCGCCGTGCCTCTAACCGTACTTAAATCTATGTCTATAAGTCCCTCATGATCTTTGTTGTCGGCCAAGTGAAGAAGGGGGTCAGCTGACCGGGGCAGCGTCTTGTGCCCGCCAAAGTCGGCGGTGATTCTTCTCTTTCGTGCAACCTCAGCATGCTGGACTATGAGAGAGTAAGCGTTGTGACTCCACCACTACGAATCAGAATACTCCCTCAACTGCACGTTAAAGCATCGACATAATACATGTCTCATTCTATGAGCGATTCAGATCCGAACAGCTCGAAGTCACTGCCATCTAATCGTCACATCTACCCAAATCAAGATCCCAGTTCAGCGCGTGATTTCGGTCGGTTACTTGCAGGTCTGTTAGCCTCGAATAGGCTGGAAATACTTGCTCTTTTGCATGCCTATGCGATGATCAGTAGTCAGCAAGCCACTTTCTCGACAGCAGCTGAACAGTCGATTTGGCTTCGATTTCGGCTTGTGGCAGCAGCAAGTAATCTAGGAATGACCACACATGGGCGGCTGTAACCTTTCGGCTTTTTTTTTTTTTTTTTTTTTTTCTTCTTCTTCCAACTTGCTTCTAAGGAAAAAGAAAATTCCTCCGACTTCCTCGCTACTTATTCTTTTGCCTTTCTTGTTGCCTTCGAGAGATCGCGAATTTCAACCATATTAGTCCAGTCCACTCGTTTCCACCAATGGGTCAAGATGGTGACGGCCAATTAATTCTCAGTCGGCCGTGTCTGTCACCAAATGCATCGCACGAAGATTTAGAAATGATCACTTTGGATGGTCCTGTTTCATATTAAACCCAGGGATTCATATAACATGTGACCAATGTGCAGGCCAGAGCCCATCGAATGTTTGATTGGTCGGGCTTCGAGAAAGCCCATTCGATGAAGAAAAAATTTGCAAAAGTTGACACGAGATCACTGGGCTATTTCTGGAGCAATCACCGTGCTACGCATGCGATGGCAATTCCATGGCACCCTTAGCTAAACGGATACCTGCATGGCAGGCCATCAGTATCCATTCCTTAAACTGTACGAGACATGCATGTTGCTGTGTCGGAGGCTACCACGAGACCAATGTGTGTGAGGATTGTCCCCTTGCTGGCTCAGAGACTGACCACTCATCGCTTGCTCCGACTATCCGGTATTGGGGTCGCATGTCGGATGAAACATCCCTTGACACTCTAGGTGCAACGATACCGAAAATCGAACTTGATCTTAACGGATCTAAATTGCCTAGCCTATCTGGAAATCCAGTTGCACTATCGGCAGCGCTGCAGTAGCGTGAATCCTTCCGCCGTGGCATTGTCGGAAATCGCGGCGCAAATGCTGTTGGATCACAGGAGCGAGGGCCAAAAAGAAATCTTTGCTGAGACTTGTGGCAAGTAAGCCCGACGACTCACAGCCTTTCGGCCGTTAGAAGACCGAGAACGATGTATGCAGACCCACCGCCAGGGGATACTCTCGCGTTACTTACTTGGTGGTAGGCAGTTTCGTGCAAGATGAAATCCTCCCGGTTGCTCTTAACGCGGCAAGCTGGATTGTGCTCGGCGCAAATGCAAGGGCCTCTACTTCATGCTTTCTCCCCCAGTGTCACCGTGCCGTCCCGAATGGAAATGCAACCTGTACGATCTATACATGGGACCGAGGAATGATATCATGCTCGCATTAATTTCCTGCACCTATCCGTGGGCGACAGTCAATTGAAGATTCGAAGATGGTCATTCGGATTCATTATGGCGGTCAGGAAACCTGCGACCGCTTGCTGATCGTGCCGATTGCTCGTAGCTCGAGTAGCACGACTCTTGATGGCTGCCATGCGTTTCCGCTATTTTTTCCGTTTCATGGAATTTTTTGCTTGCTGTCACGTTGACTCACGACGGTCCCCTCCTTTTCTTTTCGCTGCCTTATTGCTTCGTGACTAAGACCAGTTGGATCTTCTGCAATTCAGATCCAGATGCAATTCAACTCGACGCGCCATAGGCGACCCTCGCAGCTGGGCTTGGTCCTGTTTGTAACCATCGGAACAAGGAGCCCAAGGTGGACCCAGCTCAATGGATCGCAGATGCCTCCTGGTTCCCACTCCTAGGGCATTTCCATTGTTTTATGACCGACAGGCATTGTGTTTTATTAATCTCGAATGTGCCTCCTGCATGGGAGGTTGCCTATGTGATCCTTCACATTCACCACGTCTTCATTGGCGCAGTCCAATGTGACCGACGATCAACGGTTCTGATTATTCCAGTAATGTCATGTCGGGCTCTTTCAATACCCGCCAGTACGATGGCTGGAATCCATCGGCACTACCGATGCGAAATTCGAGTTGGTGTTCCTTGACTCGAGTCCAGGTTGCACAATCTCTGAAAATATCGTCTTACGGCTTTCTACGGGGAGAATCTCGTTCGTCTGAGCAGGGAAAAGCCTGGTATAGGTGCAGTTCTTTCTTGCCATATCCATCTATCGCTTTGATTTAATCCTGCCTTTTTTCCCCTTTTCTTTTTCCCTGCGTTTGCCGCGCCCTGTCTCTTGAGGATTTGCTTTTTTTCTTTTTTAGTTTTTCTTTCATTAATTTCTTGAATCTTGATTTTTCTTTCCCTTTGATTTGCCGCGTCTCACGCATGATGGGTGCCCCTCAATCTATAAGAAGCGCTAATATGACTCCCATAAAGAAGGATCTGTGCCAAAGTCTATCTCAAACTAGATCCATTCCCATTCCCCATCTATAATCTATACTTCGGTTATCTTTATGCTCCTACCTCTGACATCAGAGAAGTCAATTCGTTCCACCATGGCTCATCAAGTAGTCTCCACTGTCCGCCTTGATCCAGAACATAACTCCTGCATTGGCGGAAGAACGGTCTTGACGTGCCGCCATTGTGCAGGTAATGCACCAAGGTATGCTTATATATCCCATTGTCAACATATATGGCCTTAAATGACCTAACATACTGTAGAGGATCGATCTGTAGTAGCTGCAGTGGTCGTGGCTTCAACATTTTTGTCTGCGCACATTGCAACCCGGCGGCTGCGGCCCAGGCGTCTACTCCCGATTCATCTACTCCAAATTCCCCGGCATCGCTGAGCAGAAGCTCCTCGACTTCATTGTCTCCCAAACGAGATCTGAGACATAACCAACCGTGGAAACGGTTTGAGGATGGCAATGACGGTCCCGGGGGTGGGAGAGTTGGAACCAATACCAATAGGCCTCGCGGCTCATAGATGGCCTGGGTGGGATGGATTCGCCTGCTATACAAACGAATTATGCGCTCGCTTTGCTTCTCATGCAGCGAGGAGCATTGAATGTTATATATTGTACTTTGATTGATGTTTGGGTTGGTCGGTCTGGCGCAGTGGAGTGGGCAGGGTAGCCATACAAGGGCTACTACATATCACGTGCCCTGTTTATCTTTTTGTTGCATCATGTTTGAGTGACGGTCTTGATTGCTATCTTTTGCTTTTCTGTTCAATATGCTATTCTATTTTGTTGTCACGATCTTATGTTGGATGCAATTCAATTTCTTCCGAGGCAAGCAGGCACAATCCAGCGAGGGGAACATAACATGCTTTTTGCATTTGATTTTACCCACCAAGGCAGCGCTAGCTAGTGTTAGTTCAAGCGCTGATGTCATTTGCGTCCTCCATTACTCCGTAATCGAACAATCCGGGGTAAAGACTAAGAGCGAGGAACGTGTCGACCGGATAAGCCGAGCCCCTCCTCCAGCGGCATCTCCGACGTCGGCACCAAAGCGTCTCCACTTCCTCGACCGAATGACGAGGGTGACTTGGAGGATCTACATTCTACGGCACACGCCGTCGTGGATAATTTTATTATAATGCGTTCGACCCTTCCCTTCTAGCTAAGATAAACTTCTCACTGTTGAGACTCTTGCTGCAACCGACCCACCCCACCATGACTTTGCCCTGGAGTGAGAAGCCCCCGGATTCGAGGATTCCGTATGCGATTCCTCAATTGGAGGGCGAGCGCATCACTATCCCCGGCAGCAAGGGTGTCTTTCGCATTCTGGCGTCCGCGAAACAAACCAATGGGTTGATGGCCGTCTTCCAGAGCGGCGCGGTTCTCTCGGACGCGCCGGGCTTCCATTACCATAACCACGCCCATGACGTGTTTCTAGTGACGAAAGGGTTTCTGAAATTATGGAACGGGGACAGGTGTCGGATCATGGGCCCGGGTGACTTTGCCTACATTCCTCCGGTGAATACTTCGTCCTCTGTTTGGTTCTGTTACAATCGGGCAGATTGAAGCTAACGAAGAGGGTGGTTTCTTAGACAGTGATTCACAACCCTGTAATGCTAGGTCCCCATACGGAGCTCTACGGTTTAATTACCCCCGGCGATTGGGTGGATTTCTTCCGACACGTCTCCGAGCCTTACGAGGGGATCCTCGTCCCGGAGAACGACGACCGCGACCTCAAGTCCCTCCTGATCCCCAAGGTGATGGCCGCTAAAGAGAAATTCGACGTGGTCTTCCAACCCGACTACCAGCCCCCAGAAGTAAGCGAATGGACCAAGGACGACGAGACGCTGCCCGAGTCATCGCAGCCCTTCTTCCTACGGGCCAACACCGGCCCGCGATGGATGCTGGGAGGCGTGATGTCGCGACCCTTTGTCACCACGGCGCAGAGCAACGGTGTCTGCGCGATCTCCAGTATTGAGTCATCGAGCGTCTACCCCACCGGGAATGCGCTGTTCGCGAAGTATATGACCTTTGCGAATGTAGATCACTGTCTGTGTGTTATGGAGGGAAAGCTGGTGGTTTCTCTGAAAGAGTCGGGGAGGTCGTTGGTGCTGCGCGAGGGGGAGACGATTGTGATTCCGGCGGGGGAGGCGTTCTCGCTGCGTTTTGATAGTCGATATGTGCGAGTCTGGTCATTTACGGACGGCGATGGCATCGAGTCGTTGGTTCATCGGTTGGGCACGCCGTTCGAGGGTGTGGTTCTGCCGGATGAGCAGCAGACGTGGGATTTGACGCGGGGGCGAGCGGTCATAGCGGAGTTGGGGGTGGAGATGGACCTGGAGGTCTGACGATGGTCAGATATGAGTGTACGAAGTAGATGGCATCATATGAAGAATTCAGGATAAATTAATCCCCAAACCCCGTGGGGCGCGGGGCCAGTCATGTGACGGGCGAGAATCGGCACTCGGCATTTCCGGCGCATTTCCTTCTGCCCACTTCTTCTGCCTGCATCGATCTCTATCTACACTTCGATCTGCGAACGTCCGATCGTGTTTGCTGCCTCGATATCTCGGATGAATCCTGCAGCTGTAGATGGATCATGCACCGACAGACTCGTACTGCAGCTGATGACCCGGTTACACCCCGGGCCAAGCGGCCGCGCGCTGCGCAAGCTTGCGACCGGTGTAGATTAAAGAAATACAAATGCGACGAGCTCTATCCGTGCTCGCACTGTAAGAGTGAGTGGGCGGAAATGTCCTGGGATCCTGTGCCATGGTCTGACGTTCCTTGCAGAGAGCCACATCGACTGCGTCTACCAGGGCACCTATCGCGAGCGGGAAAGCAATCGGTCGGCGAGGTGAGCGCGATGCTCCATTCCCCCGAGAGACCAATCTTTTCTGACACACGCTGCATAGCTACGTCCAGGACCTGGAGAAAAAAGTCAACGAGCTCACCGCGAAGCTCCATCTGGCCGAGTCGGAGATTGCCTCGCAGCAATCCTCCCAGTCGCACAGGGTGGTGTCGGAATCTGCAGATCGACCGATCCCGCAGGCCAGTATAGACGCGACGCCATGTTCCATGCCCCCGAATCCGTCGACGCCGCGAGAAGAAGTGCCGCTGGCCTACGAGAACTCTGACGAAGCTGGAGACGCTATTGACGACGGTATTAGTGAGCTGAATCATCACACCAAAGGCATCGAGTATCACGGTAGTACATCGTCTGCAGCATTGATAGGACATCTACAGAAGGCACGGGGTCCTAAACTGCCCGAGGAAGAACGCTGGAATACCCGCCCCAATGGGCCGGAGTTCTCATTGATCTCGACGCTTCACAACTCGAGTTTTTCGCCCTCATGCACGGCTGGTCCGGCGCACCATGTGACTTTACACCAACAGGATTATTATTTCGAGCAGGCCCATGCTTTTATGAACGGGTACTTTGAGAATATTCATTTCATCCATCCGTTGATAGACAAGGAGGACTTCTACCAACGGGCTCACGACCTGTGGCTGAACCGGGACCAGCAGCCGGAACCAAGTTTTGTCGCTCTGTATCTGAGTGTCCTTTCGTTCGGTGCTCTTGTGCGCGTGTGGGACGAGGAGAGGCTCGGTGGCCTGACGCGGTTTGAATGGAGTCGGAAGCTGTTTGGCGAGGCGCAGATGTACCTGAATTATCTGCATTTTTCGAATAATCTGGACACTGTTCAGTGTCTGTATCTGATGGTAAGACAGGAATGGGACTGGCTGGTCTAGGAAATGGATAATCTAACTGAAACAGGCAAAAATCTGCCAGAACGAGCTCAATCCCAACTGTGAGTGTTAGTTGACCACGGATCCCTGCTGGAGCTAATGTTTGCGGCAGTGGCTTATATGTACCTGGGTCTGGCCATCCGGACATGTCTAGCAGCTGGATTCAATCGAGAAGTTCGAAACTCGACAGACCATCGGTCTGGCTGGATTTCAAAAACTTGGTGGTGAGTGACGCCGAGTGTTAATGGACCGCTGAACCATTGGCTAACCCGACTCAGGGGGCTATTTTCGTTAGAGATGTATGCTGTATTTGCCCCGAGGGTACCCCTGGAAGTTTGGTTAATGAGGATCTAGTGAAATGAGCTTTTCTGTCGGCCGCCCCGACACCCTAGGCATGGATGAATACCACAATCGCCCGCTCCCTGAAAGGGACGATTCCGAGTACGCCATCATTCCCTGGATGGTGGAGTTTGCACAGATCATCCGAAAGGTCTCGGTGCAAATCTATCATTCTCGCATCACCCTGCAGGAGAAGCTGCAGATAGCCCTCCAAGTCGAGTCTGAATTGGACCGATGGATGGCAAAGCTGCCGGACAGCATTAAGCCAGATATCATGAGACAGCCAGCCGCAGGGAGTACACTCCGGGATCCGAAATGGGCGCGAAGGCAGCGATTGGTCCTGGGGATTCGTGAGTCCTTCATCCTGATGTCCCATGAGTGTGTCTAATCGTGGTACAAGGCTACTATAACGTGAAAATGCTGCTGTTCCGCCCATTCCTGAGCCACTTCACCCGAAAACTACGACACACGCCAACCGAGCTGGAGGAAACGATCGCCAAGTGCCTTGATGCAGCCATGAGGACAATAGAAGTGATCTATGACATCTACCGCATCCATACATTCTTCCGGTGCTGGTATGGCACTCCACACTCCCTTCCCTTCCCCCACCCCACCCATGACCTAGCTAACAACAAGACAAGGTGGTACAATGTGACATACGTGATGTTCGCCACCTCAACGCTCCTCCTTCCCATGTCCAAGCTTGGCATGTGCGCCGAGACCATCCCGTTACGGCGATCCGTCGAAATGGCGGTGGAGATCCTCGAGGCCATGGACGAGTCTGTCGTTGCACGGAAGTCCGTCGACATCATCAAGCATTACCTGCGCGAGTTCCGGGCCTCCGACGTCCAGTCAGCGTCCGTGGGCGGCGCTAGCATAGAGAGTAATACTGCGACGTTTGCCTCCGAGACGGTTCCTAGCCAGGGAGGGTTTGACATCCCGGTATTTTCTTCCCTGCGCCATTCCCTTTGCTTTTTGTCCGTGATGTCTCTAAACACTGGTGCTAATTCAAATAGGAATGGGCCTACGGATTCGGGTTCCCCGATTGCTCGTTCGAAGGGATTGCCCGGCTTTTCGATGACTTGGGCGGGCTGCCCATGTTGGACAATTAAATTAGACGATGATGACGGTTCCAATGTACAATATGCTATTATACTTTCTACGATACTCTATTTGCTTGACGAATGGTTACTCTCTACCGTCAATTTCTAGCTGGACCTGGAATACACAGCCGCAGAAAACGCCAAACCCTGATTCATCCCTTTCCTTTCCCAGATAGCTTCGTGTTACAAATTCGACGTCTTCGTCTTCTTCACGTTCGTAAACAGCTCTGGATTCTGCGCCACCGCATTCTCCACCTCCTGGATGGCATCGTATCCGTACAACCAGGGCTGAACCTCGGGACATGTCCTGTATCGTGTTAGGCATAAAACATAAAACGCCAACTCTCCGGAGACAAATTCCACCTACCATCTACTCGGAAAAGCCCCTTTGATCTCCTTCCCTAGCTGGGACAGGAAGATATGGTCTCGCTTCTCTTGCGCCTCGCCGTTTGGCATGTGGAAGTCGTTTCGCTGTTGTTGTTAGTCTGCGTACTTCATGCCTTACACCTCTTCCCTTCCAAGCAGAAGCGTTTGAGAATGGATAAGGAGGAAGAACGCACCTGTTTGAACGTCTCCCTCACAATGGCCTCTCCCCTCGACTTCCGCAGACTCTCGTACAGTCGCAGGACCTGCGGCAGGTGCGATTTACTCTTCAGATGGCCCAGGAGCCCGCCTAGAACGGCCCCGTCTTCGAGAGATGAGTTGGCGCCTTGCGCGAGGTAGGGCAGCATAGGGTGACAGGCGTCGCCTCTGTTTTGGGTTAGTTGCTGATCGGGTTTTGGGAATGGGGGGGGGGGGGGGGGTATGTATGTGCATACATGAATACGAGGTTTGATTTGTCGTTGACCCAGGATTCCATTTCGCCGTCTGAGGTTGAACATGGGGTTAGTATTTCTCATTCCGGGGATGTGCTGAATGGCGGGTGTCTCACGATGCATGAGTTTCCACTTGTCGACGCTGTCGACGTAGTTGAGGAATCGCGTTAACCTGTTCAAGTCCATATTAGCATCACGACTACCTCCCCGACCAGCCAGCCAGAAAGAAACTCAAAGAGAAAGGAAGAACATACACGGGATCCCATCCCGCAAACAACGCCTTCATCTCATCCACCGAACCCGCCTGTCTCGACACCCCCGGGGGCAAATTATCCGGCACCAACAAGACAATATTAAACATCTTGCCCCCTCGCATCGAATAAGCGACCACATGGGCCCCGGGGCCGACCCAGAAATGACACTGCGGGTTCTCAACCCACTCTCGCAGATCACTATCTTCAGCCCGAATCTGCTCCGCGTTCAACACAATCCGATACGCTAGATCGCCCGTCGGCAGGGGGTCGTCTTTCCGTCCCTCAAAGCACTCGCGACACTTCGACCACAGCCCGTCCGCCGCCACGATCAGATCCCCTGTATACTCCGTCCCGGAGAGGGTGTGGACGGTGGAGGTGGCGAAGTCGAGGCGGTCGACGCGCGTGTCGAGGTGGAATTCGACGCCGAGGGCTTTGGCGCGCGCGAATAGCGCCTGCTGCAGATCGACGCGGTGGAGGTCGATGAAGGGGGCGTTGTTGTATTTGGCGCGGATGTGTCGGTCGAAGTCGTTTTCTTGCGCGAGGATCTGCCCGGTGTAGCGGTGCACGGTGAGTGATGTGGGCTCTGCTGCGTCGGTCCAGATGTTGGCGGGGAGTTGCCAGTGATGGAAGAGGTGCGAGGCGTTGGGGGTGATTTGGAGGCCTGCGCCGACCTGGTGGATGGATTTAGCAAAAGGGCTATGGGATAGACAAGATGGATAGATGGAAGGATATACCTCGGCTAGTTCTTTGGCCTGCTCGATGACCTGCACCGAGTGGCCGTGGGAGGCACAGGAGATGGCCGTCGCGAGACCGCTGAGGCCCGCGCCGACGATGATAATGCGGAGATGCGCCTCGTCTGGGGTCTGTTGGGTCTTAGTTGCTCCCCATTGAGGGAGACTGGCGGAGAGGCCCATGATGGCTTGATATCTGCTGTGGTAGTCCGTGATAGGTGTGGAAAGAGCACAGCGCTTCAACCGGACTCGACAATCGACAAACGGGCCAAGCACCAGATTGACAAGGGCGCTTTAAAGCACCCTCGACGACACGAGTTGCGCAATGCTGACATGCGTTGCTTACTCTCTGTCGGTGTTTCGCCCCGAGGGGCTCGGGATTGCCGAATGCCCCGGATTTTCCAAGCCGGAGACCCGAGTCGATCCCTCAGGGGCGGATCTATCGCTGGTCGCTGATTGGGAGTTGCGCTCGAGCTTATGAGGGTCCCATCGGAGCGTGGGGAAGGATGAATTGATGGAATGGGGTCTGGAATTGGGTGAAGGGCGGCTGTTTGCATCGGATATCGCGTGGGGATGTGGGAGGCTTCCTTCTGCTTACCGCGCGCTTCCTACACTTTCACTTCTTTAGAGAGATATAATAGGAACTGCTATTACTATCCAGGGACTTTCATACAAGAAGGCTTTCGTGTTATTCTCCACATACAAACCCACGCTCTCGACCCCAGTAAAAAGCACCAAGCATAAAAAATATAAGTCCTCTTTTATTCTGTGATGTAGACCATAAGGCCAATACATAGATTACACTGCTTCCTAAGGATAATCCACTCTAGCCAACACCATGGATGTACGACCCAGACAAGACCAGACCACACAACGGAGGAAACCACTTCCCTCAATCCCCCCAGCAAAACTACATTTTCTAAAGCGAATTCCATATCCCAACTCCATCCAATCACTTGAAGCATCCTAGCCAAAACGACCACCCCTATCTTCCCTCCCCCACCTGCAGACTCACGCCAGACGGAGATATCACAAGGTACACAAAGCCCACGTCTATGCATTTCCGGACCCAATCCCTCGAATTCAGGCGCATAGCGCGCATGTACTACTGCTTTTGGATCTCGCTCAAGTCACCGGTGGCACTGAGCGGGTTGAAACTGTTGAGTTGGGAAATTAGCTGGACCATCCTGACGAGAGATACTTCTGTTGTTCATGTTACTACCGGCGCGGTGTTACGTGGGACGGGTTTTTTCTTTTTCCTTTTTGTTTTGTAGGATGTTGAGGAGTGAACTGAAAGGGTTTATTTATTTATTTACAATTTATTCTGTGACATATACTTTATTCTGCGATGTGCTGTATGGGTGCGGAATGGTGGGACGAAGTTGAGTGACTCCAGATCAAAAGAATTAATAATAAAATAAATTGGAAAGAGAAGAGCAGAGAAATTGTGCTAATAGATGGTGTTCTATACCGGCAATCGGTATATGTTGGCTGGAACTTAGTGGAAATTATTATTTTATAGCATTCTATTATTCATGGTTTGAGTGCAAAAATATCCCATGTCAAAGTCAAGTACCCCTGCTAGACACGTGGAATTGAAAAGGATTTGAATGGATGATTTACTTGGCACTTTACATTCAGTTATTCTTATCTTTTCATGGTGTCTGGACAAGTCTAGCTAGGGGTTGATTGCGTCCTTTTGCTCTAGAACATGAACAAATGGACATATTCATGAATTTCCTCCCATACCCGCGGAATGAACAAGGATATCTCAAAACATTCTACATCATGGCAGACTCATCAACGATCCAGTACTTATAAGATGAATATGTAAGCTAACTCAACAATCAGACTCAGAGTCTAGCACAAGTCACCCAACTCCCACTGTTAGCTGAATACACCCCAGTAGCAGCCTAACTAACAGCTCTGCTTATCTCTCCTCCAACTACCAATAGCAAACAGTCTCTGCTCCTGCTGATAGACAATAATATACTAGGCTGGGCAACCATATGTGGTCCCGAACCGTTCGGCATATCCGGTCCACATCCCGGGATACAAATGGAATACCCTCATTCCTTTGACCCTGTGGCGTTTTCCCCGCTCCGATGATCATTCCGTGGCGAAGATGCTCCATAACCCGGGGTAGAGTATAGTTGGTCCCGGGGGGGGGGGGGGGGGGGGAGGAGCAGTGTTATATCGCCTCTCATCCTCACCCCTGAGGTGTCTTGTTCAGTGTCGATACTTCTGAGAGTCAGTCATTATGAACGAGACGATGGATCCCCGCGTATGTGCACTTTGGAGCGAAGGTGAAGAAAGAGATAGAAAGCTGATTGGAATAGCTTTTCCCTCGTCGGGTGCGCTATGCTGCGCTTTTGACTGTTAACGTGTTTGTCTTCATGGGCAATATGTACTCGGTGAGTCTTGAGCTATGAAAATCGGAGGAAGTGATTAACGTGTTTAGTCCGGCATTGCGACTGGATTTGAATCCCTCGGTTCGGGCCTTCACGTCCCTTACCAGAAGCTCGCCGACCTCATCAGTTGGTCGGTTCTGGCCATGGGGTTGTCCAATTTGTTCTGGATGCCGCTGGCCTTATGCATTGGTAAACGTCCGGTGGTGCTGGTCTCCATGGCCATGTTTCTGGGCGGGATTATTTGGACTGCCGTGGCAAAGGATTATGATAGTTTGATGGGCGCAAGGGTTTTTGCGAGTTTTGGTAAGATTATCTGCCCCTAGCTTTTGTTTTCGTCTGGGACCCTGGAGCTAGACTGGCTAATAACTGGGTCCTTTAGGGTTGGGATCGATCGAGTCAATCGGACCAAGTATTCTTGCTGGTATGTCCTCTCCTGATGTGAATAACTCCCAATTAATTATGCTCAATCGTAGACATGTTTTACGAGCGAGATTATGCCAGTGCCATGGCCACCTATGCTCTGTTCCTCTCCGGTGGATCCCAAATTGGGCCTATGATCGCGGGATACCTCGTGGCTTCTCGAGGATGGCGCTGGTTCTTCATCCTCTGTTTGATCATCGCCGCAGTCAACATTGTCACGACGTTTTTCCTGCTACCCGAGACTCTATACGAGCGCGACGAGCGGGAACAGTCAACAGAGCCCGAGAAAGATGTCCATGCCCATATCGAGACCGCAAGCATACCAGCCGACCGTCCTTCCTTTGACTATGCCACCTACTGGAGAAGTCTTTTCACAGTTGGTCTATCCAAAGAAGCACGTCGAAAGGGCCCCTTGAAGCTTTTCGTCTATCAGTTCTGTCTGCCGGCACCGATGCTGTTGGTTCCTGGAGTCTTGCTGGCGTCGGCGATGTATGGGGTCATCCTGGGAGCGTAAGTTGTGCATGATCATGAATTTGAGATTTGACCATGTCTGACGAAACGCCCAGGGTCGTGTCCATATCCTCACTCTGCCCCTCGCTGCTTTCCCCGCCTCCGTATCTCTTTTCGTCTTCTGCTTTAGGCCTCTTTACCCTCAGCAGCTTCATCGGCATTCTGATCGTCTTTCCCATCGCTGGCCCATTGACCGATCGCCTCTCGCAATGGATGCGCAATTGCAACAACGGCATCCATAAACCCGAACACCGTATCCCCGCCCTTATCGTTCCCTTCATAATCAGCCCCATTGGCCTCATTGTCTTCGGATACACCATGTCCAGGCATATGCATTATGTGGCACATGCTGTCGGTCAAGCCATGGCAGCTGCAGGCCTGACACTCGTGCCCTCTGTGATGCTCTCCTATGTGGTGGATTCGTATCCGTACACAAGTGGCGAGGCATTGGTTCTGGTAAACGCCAGTAAGAATGTTGTGGCCTTTGGGTTGTCGAAGGGATCGGTAGCTTGGATGACGAGCGAGGGAATCGACAAGATGTTTTACGAATTCGCGGCTATCCAGTGGGTCGTGATTGCTTTGGCGCTGCCGCTTTATTTCGCGGGACCTTGGTTGCGAAAGAGAACGGGTAGGCTTCTCTAGTTGATATTTCTACCTAAAGAGAATTTGGTCGCATGGAGGACCATTTTATGCGGAACATTGGGTGATGGCTTGGTAAGGTGGTTGCGGGCAGAGCTCATACACTCGGTGAATTCCTCGCAAGCTCGGATAAATGCTGTATCACTCGATCTAGATGAGACGATATGCTCCATCGTGATGCAATCGTCCGTAATCCGATTAGAAGGGAATTTAGCTCTTGAGGTAGATGAACTGGGTGTGAACTCTTTCCGAGAGTTTGCTGGAGGTTTGAACTCTCGGTTGATTCTGGAGGCAAAGACACATTTCCGCTCAAGACTGCATGCCACACATCTCGCCATACTAAGTCCCTTGGAAGGATGGCCACTTTGCCATTTGCCAGACAGTAGCCACCAATGGTCATGCCAGAGGCAAAGATGGAAGCTGGAATATGCGGCGCATGAGCCTGCTTCAGAGAAATATGGTGGAGTAGCTTAGAAATGGCTATGGCATGCAGAATTCCCCTTGTAGCATTGGTACTACTAGCCCATTGGCTGAGATGAAGTGGTTCGTTTCCATGATTCGCTTTCGTGGCCTGGTCTGTTAGCGATTCTGGAATACCGTAGGCCTGACATAATTCCCTATATAGAAGAACAGAGGGAGTGGATAACTCCAGACAAATGGTGTGCCATCGAAGGAGTAGCGCGATGTCATCTGCAGATTTCTGACCCGAAAGATTATTCTCATAAAGATTAATAAGGGCTTTGATGATCTGCTGCTTGGATATAGACCCAACCACAGGACCACTTGTCTCTCGGAGATCTGCAATGAGTGACTGTATCCCTTCCAAGACAACTGAGATTGAAAATCTTGGCAACGAAAGCGGGTTAGCGCTATAATCAGAAGAGAAAATCGAAACAAATATTTCGTTGAAAGGCTTGCGGCTAGAGGTTGACTTCTTCATCTCCACAATCCAGTCATCGGCAGTTTTGGCCGAAAATGCGCCATCCGAACAAGATGCAACGAGGGAGTTGATTAAATGTCGCGCGCTCGCCGGCGAGCCGGAAGTCTGTGAAATCAATCCATCGATAATATAATGGCCTAATATACTGCGACGCTGAACTTCAATGGCAGCCCATCTCCTCCAAGCCGCATTTTTCTCGGGCTCACAGGATTCAGCACATGGTATCTCATCCTGCTGCAAGTCTTCCACTGCATACATGCCAGATACCCGGGCCCAGTAAAAGCCCAAGCCGTGCCATACAAGCGCTGTGGTACGTATGTCTTCATTTCTAGATAGCAGTGCGTAGGTCTGGCCTAGGAGGGCCGTGAGTACCAACTGAACACCGTCACAGCTATCGCGTGGGCCTCTCAGGCCGATCAGAGTTTGCCACGAGGTTGCGACTGCAATATGACCAAGTCGCCAGAGCGTCTCACCCTTTTCTAAGGACCCAGGGTGACATACGAACAAGGAGCCAAGAGCAACCATGTTGAGTAAGAGAGGAGGGAGCGTCTCTTTCGGGGTAAAGGTAGGTTCGTGGATAACCGGGAAACAAGGTGATATTCTGCCAAAGAACTCTGTCAAACAGAAGTCCAGAAATTCCGTGGTAATGCCGGATTGATGTAACTCCGTATGAAATCTTTTTGTTAGATCATCTATCAATCGGTAGCTTTGTTGCACAGCAGTCTTGCCAGGTTCGTGTGGAGAATGCCCTTGGAGGTCATCAGTTGTTGGAAAACCCGATTCGGGTGGGGCTCGTGGGTTCAGATGATGAAAATAGTCTATGGAAGGCAGTGGAATGTCAGATGAGCCTAGAAAGTCTGGCATGAGCCATTCTAGCAGGTTGTCGCATTCCATCATATCATGGTTGATCGACAAATCCGGCTGTTCAAATGATGGTATATCCAATAAGCCAGGTGCCTCTAGGCTAGAGGACCCAGGCATTTCTGAGAGAGTTTCATGACTTGTCACCGGACGTGTTGTCTCTGGGCTTGAATTGGCTTGTTGTGGCTGCGAGGCATGAAGCCTCTCATGTCTTCCCAGGACATCCTTGCGCCCGAAGCTCCGACCACATTGATTGCATTGAAAGGGTTTGGAATTCGAATCTGAACTCGCTTGGTTAATGCTATTCCTCTAGTCCGAGAGAAGCTACCCACGAGTTCTTTGATGCCTCTGCAGGCTCAAGTCAGCACCAGATGGTCAATCGTCGCGGATTGTGGGGATGCAGCCTACTAGTAGATGCTCCAACTTCGTGTATGATCTCGAGCATTGGGAACAGTGGAACTTTTTGGCCGAGGAAGAGCCGGCTTTCCGATCCATGGCAGGCATCAGTTTTTCCAGGCGAAACTAGTACAGGAACAAGGAAACCATGAAGGGGATGAAGGAGTGGAGATGGGAGGGGGATTGGGTGACTCCTGGAGCAGGAGTTGCCTGGCGCTCCACATCGTGGGAGAAGTGGGGCGTCGATACGAATACGAATCCAGCCCTAAATGCTGGATGCAGAACCGGAGGATCTTTTGCTCAGTTGTTTCTCAGTTCACATCCTATTTCCAGATAATTTACCCCATAATTAGCAGTCATATTCCGTATAACTGTACATCGTTGAAAATGCCTTCGGACGGCGTGTACGTGCCCTGCCCCTACCTGTAACTGTCTTGTGCTCGAGAATGCTAACGAGTTTACAACTAGGGGCTGCTGCGAAATCATTCTCGCGATCTTCATACCCCCCGTGGCCGTATTTATGCACCGTGGATGTGGTGCTGATCTTTTAATCAACCTGTGTCTACTATGTCTTGCATGGCTGCCGGGTGTGATCCACGCTTTGTACGCCTTTCTTCCTATGTGGACACTACACGTTTTGCTAATATCAATTCAGTTATGTGTTGCTCCATTGAGACCAGTCTCTTTTATCTCCTGTTATTAAAAGGGATCTATTGAGATAATCACCCACAAGTCCAAATATCAGTTGGCTTGGGTGTAATCATGTCCTTACCTGTATGACGTGGTCTGCATGACAACATTACAGTTACATCCAAATTATATTCATTGATATCATCGTTTTGTTGTCCTTACAGTGGAGAAGCCCCCGCCTAAATTGTGCTTTGAGGTTTCATGTGAGCTCTAATCCAGTGACAGCAATTCATCCGTATCAATTTGAAATCAATTTCACAAGTGGAAGGTGACAGCCCAGCCTTCCAACCTCTCATCGGGCGTATATCGCGTATTCGAGAACCTATGTTAGAGCTTTATTAGCTTTATCATGCTTGGAATCAATATCAATATCAAAACAAGCACTCACGACCATTTCATATTCCCTAGCATCATATTCTTACATCCTTGAATGAGTACCTTCACAGCATCTTGGCCTGTGTGGCTCATATTCTGGTACTCTTTGCTTTCAAGGAACAGATACTCTGCTATATTGAAGCGCTGTCTGGATTTTGACAAATCTTCGATTACCTCCACTAGTGCATCCTGTGCGTATGTGTAGCCTCGATGATGCATCTTCAATGGAATTGCACTGTCAATTTGATCTTCGGTCTATAGACAAACCCGGGTAAGAATTTGTAGCTTTAGGGTCTAGGCATAACGTGACACTTACAATTTCCTTTTTCAAGGAAGCAATATCATTGACCCTGTGCGGTACAAGAGTACCATTTAGCTTTTATCGAGTTCCAGTTGAATAGAGTGCCTAGAGCCCACATTATGATTGAAATTGACGTCTCCTTGAGCATCAATTTGATCTCTTTTCTCTCATAAACCAATTCTGGGACAACAACCCCATAGGCATATCTGTTGGGCTCAATCAGTAACTTAACATCCAGAACATTTCAGTCAATTCTTACTCCATAGCCATGAGGTAAGGATGAGCCCCAATGGTTAGTAGCCTGTTGGCAAGATATTCTTCCCATGTAGGAAGACAGGTTATGCGCACTTTTTGGGCATCGCAAACCGAGTCAACATATTCGTAAACTGAAACTGCAAACCGATTGAGTGCTTCTATATTTTATAATTTTAGTCCCATCTTTATTGTGGATAATTTTGAGGCTTACGTTTGGATTGACCATCCTTCATTCTATCTCCAATTTTTTTGAAGGATTTCGAGTTGTGTTTTCCTAGTGTAGCACATTCTTGAGAGCAGTCGAGGCCACCAGGCTCCAGGCAGCTTTTCAAAAATATAATTGTGTCCCTGTGGTAATTCTGTGTGCCGGCTTCATCTTTGGTGAGATCACCACAATCAATTTCTGTTTCAAATTATCAGGTTATTGTCAGTGATAATCGAGCTTCTAGGGTAAACACGAGACTTTACCGTCATCCCATATGAATAACTGATACGCAAATTAGCCAGAGCTCAAACACCATCTCAGAGGGTTTAAATTACCCAGTACATGAATTGCGCCAGTGTCAGAAATCTCTCAGATTGACAACCGGTACAGAAGTATCCGGCAATCGTCTCAAATCCACTCTTGACCAATTTTTGGCGTCTATCGTTTTCTGGGTACCACCTAGTGCAAGCGAGACCAGCCTTTAGTTATCAACAAGAAAAGTCAGGATAGATTAGTAGATAGTATAGACAAACCGTGCAACAAAGCTATCGCAAAGATCCAGGCGAATCTGGGGCTCAAACTCATGTCGTTCTACTTGCCAGTCGGGGTATATCAGAGCAACCAGGTCTGGCACTCTGATAGTCTGGCCTTTAAGCGTCCTGAGCATTGAAGCGCGATAGTCTTCGAAGGATACCATCTTAAAGTATGGGGGAATGATTGCAGTTATCAAAAGAAAAGGTACCCCCTTAAGCTCTTAAGCCCAAGAGGCGACTGGTGAATCTGGGGCTTGACTTTGTTTGAAAGACAGTTGCGATACAGCGCGCCATATGAGTTATATATATGTGCATATATTGGACGAGTGTCCTGGAGAAGAAAGTAACCAAGCGCATAGAAACTGCAAAGTGTGGGCTCCTTCCTATATTGGGGGTAGAAATAGTGTGTGCTAATACTGCTAGAGTCAAAGCAACAAAACGAATATAGAAGACAAGAAAAAAAGGACTTGACAAGAGGATTAATAGCCAATGAGTTAGGGTTTTTTTTTCCTGCTCCAATTCTCAACTTTAGAGCCCTGGATCTAGGAATATTCCCGGTTGATGTGATACTATGATCAAAGAACACCCATCGTGACACAAAGGCTCTGCCTATTCACATGGGGTGAAACAGGAACATAGGAAGATTTATCCTTCTATCTTCAAACATAGGCTCATGCCCCGGTCCTATAGAAACTGTCTCTAATAGCGATTACCTGTCGCAAACTTGGTCGCAGGGAGTGGGGGAAGAAATAAGAAGGCAGCCGTCTGGTGAAATCCCCGAATATTACTATTGCTACCGTTGACGGTGGAACATAAACCCAACATTCCATGGTGTACGTCATGAAATACTTCTTTTAAGCTTATCGAGCAGACTTTAAAGGAAGCCGTGAAATCTATGGTTGGAGGAAGTATAAAGTCAGTTCTCCGGTCCTGCCGAGCTTCTTTCCCCAATTTAACCCATCAGGATTTTCCTGTCCTCTCATCCAAGTAATGCATTTCATGTGAATGCTACAGGTGGGTGTACATATTTAGCACACGCCATGACATCAGGTAGCTAAAAATATTGCGGCCAGCGGCTCTACAAGCAACTCCCTTCCTTTTCCGAATCGTCCGCTGCTTGATTCCAAACAGAAATTGAGATATAAGAGTCTTCGTTTTGAAATCCCTATGCAGTATGTATCAGCCAGGTAGCTTCGAACCCTTCCTGCTTAGTCCTTTGGATCACACTTTACCACCCGTCTGCCCGACTCTTTTCCTATGTTTCCGATTATCAGAGCACCAGCACTATGTCTCGCGCCTTCGAAGAGGAATAGATATTATGCTGTTACGTCTTCCATTTTTATATGGAGAAGTTGTGTCATGTGTCGACGAAAAAGGGAGGGCTGGACGTATGAAGGTCCAATTTCCCAGTTCTTCCATCGAAGGAATTTCAATGCTCTCAATCAGACATTACCCTGACAAGACATTACCATCCGATCAATCTCGCAAAGATGAACATCTCCATGTTCAGCATGAGGTTGCCAATCTCGATCAGTCATATTGCCCATTGGCATTTATCACGAGCCCGGGAGAGCCGGGCCCTGTTGTGCGCTTTCAGGCTAACATACTGGCTGACGGGGTTTTGCTGAGTATGAGTTTCAATCACCAAGTCGCCGATGCGACAGGACCCGCGATTATCTTAGAAATGCTGGCTCAAGGCTGTCGTGATTCTTCTGCGGAAGATGCACAAATTCTTCCCTCAAGTTGTCAATCCGAATCAAGGCTACGCGAACAGCTGTCCTGCATTGCACATTCACTTCATTCGCATCAAGACTGGGCCTATGGACCACTGGCTAGAAATGATACCGCGGACGATGCCTCCACAGCGAGCGAATCCGAAACGGTGCTTTCAGACCCAGATCTCAAAGGCCTTCCATTTGTCTTCCCCCCAGAAAAAGTTGTTCACCTTCGAGATATATGCAACAGTCTCTTACCGATCCTGCAGCACGAGTACCAGGGATCACGAAACAAATCCGTCCACCCAAGCACCCACTGGCCCACATTTCTTTCCTCTAACGATGTTCTGATATCGATGATTTTGTTTTGTATCGAGCGAGTCTGTTTCGAAAATGGTCGTGAGTGGTCCGACTCCGCCGGCTTATGCATGGCCATCAACCTGCGCTCACATCTTCAACCTCCTCTGCCAAATCACTATATCGGGAATGTAATCACAGTTCGCAGGTTTCCGTACTCTCTTCAACGCGATGGTCTCAGTCTTGACCAACATATGGACACGAATTTACTGGCCGAGCTTCCTGCTCTAGTCGGTGAATATGAACTATTCCACATTGCCAACATCGCCTTCCAAGTCAGAGCAATGATTAACTCCACAGACGACAGGTATACTCGGGGCTATATATCTTATCTGAATAATCAAAGTGGCTCGTACAGCGCTATGAGCGGACTCTCAGGGTTGTTGGTGACTAGTTGGCGACACTTGCCTGTATACGATCTAGATTTTGGCCCCGGGATTGGAAAGATCGATCATTTCGAGTCTCCACCCGGTATGATGGAGGGTGCTTGTATTATCTTGCCGGCTAACAAGAATGTCGGTGGCCATGGTGAACCTGCTTCATGGGATGTAAGACTTATGTTGAAACCGGAGGATATGGAGGGCCTGGTTAGAGATGGGCTATTCCAGTGGGCTTTGGGCGGATAGACCTGAGTCTCATTCTTGTGGTTGATTTCCAGTCCCATGGATAGTAAATTGGACTATCGTGCTATTTTCGAAAACCTCAATATCTTCGGTCTTCATCTGGTCCCCGAATCGCCGGGTCAGTCGGCCGAATGATCCGTTTAAGACCCGAGAAGGTTATGCAAAATATTTCACGCCCAAGAAAATGAAAATGAAAGATGGCTAGAAAATTGAATAAATAAATAAAAACTGTCCTTAGTACTCCTCGCATCAGAGAACTCTGGCAGAATACCATAAACGTCTTCATGTACTAATTCATAGTCAGTAGTATCGAATTTGATCCGAAGAAGTCGAACGGTGGCAAGGTGAGGTCATGGCGAGTTTAATCGCCGATTGACAGGTCGCCGACCCACACAACGTCTATGAAAAGGTTGATCATGGTTGACTCATCCAAAGGAATATAAATCCGATCATCTTCTCATTTCACTTTAGACACTATACGGCCAATTTCAATTGTTAACCATGATAAGTGCCCGACCTCACATCGGCAACATCTGGCAGAGAAAGGCTGGTCAGATAGCCACCCGAGCTTCAATGCTCGGTGACTTCAGCCGACCACTATGTCTTTCGAGCCAACGATCAAACAACCAAGTTGCATACGGCACCAAAACTATTTCAACAAATAAATCGCAACCCAAAGGTATCCAATTGGGTTCGTCCAGAGGGCCACATTCATACCGACCTACACGCTACACCCAGCCTTTACGACCCAGTCTCTTCCAAAATCAGATCGAACATCGGGCTCCATACACTACACAGGCTAGTACATCTGGGGAGCCGACGATACACGACATATTCGAAAGTAGAACGGGCACATGGCAGTACGTGGTTGTCGATCCATCGACGCTGGCGGCAGTCATTATCGACCCGGTCTTAGACTACGATGCAGCCACCAATTCTGTGACCACTACCGCAGCGGACTCATTGCTCGCCTTGGTTCAGGAGAAGGGATACAATGTCGAAAGAATCCTCGAAACGCACGTTCATGCGGATCATCTAACTGCGGCATCGTATCTCCAGAGCCGTTTGGCTCAGCAGCAAGGCCACTCGCCACCCATCGGCATCGGAAAGCGCATCGAGCAGGTGCAGAAATTGTTCAGCCAGCGGTATGGCGTTCCGGAGCAGGAATACAAGGGAATTTTCAACAAGCTTTTTGACGATAACGAGGTGTTCAACATTGGAAAGTTGGAAGCCATGGCAATCCATCTCCCGGGTCATACGCCAGACCATCTAGGCTATAAGATTGGAGGTTAGTTTCGAGCACCACTGGCCTTGGTTGGCAAAGTCCAAGCTAACGATAGTTTAGATAATGTGTTCTGTGGCGATTCGCTTTTCCACGCAGATATTGGCACCGCACGCTGTGATTTCCCCGGTGGGAGTGCAAATAGTCTCTTTCAATCGGGACACAAGCTTCTCGGCTTACCGGACCGCGTAAAGATCTGGACTGGTCATGATTATCCCCCAGAGGAGCGCAAATCTCCCATGTCATGGATGAGTGTTGAGGACCACAAAGCCGAGAACAAGCACCTCAAGGCCGGTATCACCGAGGATGAGTTCGTGGCCCTTCGGAAGGAACGTGATACGAAGCTGGCAGAACCCAAGTTGCTGCACCAGTCCCTTCAGATCAATATCCGAGCAGGACATCTTCCCGAGCCTACGGAGACAGGGCATCGGATGCTTCATCTTCCGTTGAAGCTAAAGGGGGTGGAATGGTAGACTCCGGACGACTAGCCTGTACATACTAGTAATTGTGTATTCAGTGTCATTCTTCCAATGTACAGAGTGCCAATAATGCCATTTAATTGATCGTGTTCACCAGCAACCGTGGCAAGCGTGCATGCATAGTTCCTGAGAAAGAGCGGAGCGAACGGCAGAGAAAGGGGCGGCTTACATCAACAACTTCTAGCAACTTCTTCTCCACCGCCCACGTGATGGATCTCCGCCCATTGTTGTGACCGCAATGGAACTAAACCAAGAGACCAGCACACCAGCTCTCCCAAGGTTCCTGCTTCTCTGTTCCTATACCCTCGTTTATCGTCTCCTACTCCCCCTGGAATACCGTCCCCCTTCATCCCCTCACTTCTTTCTCCCTCTGGGCTCTGCTTTGTAAATATTTATGTATGCCTGACTTCAAGATCTCCGCTTCTCTGGAGGGTCACGGCGATGATGTAAGATGCCCCAGTCAGCTAACAATGGCCATCAGAACAGCCACCATCTGGCTTCTTGACGCTTGCTAACCCTACCCATGATGTCTAGGTTCGCGCTGTGGCCTTTCCCTATCACAATGCCGTCTTTTCCGCCTCTCGAGACGCGACGGTCCGACTCTGGAAGCTAGTCTCTACCCCGCCCCCGACTTACGACTACACCATCACCTCCCACGGCTCGGCCTTCATCAACACCCTCGCATACTTGCCCCCAACCCTCGAATACCCCGAAGGACTCGTACTCTCCGCTGGTCAAGATACGATCATAGAAGCCAGACAACCCGGGAAAGCTTCGGATGATAATGCGGATGCGATGCTTCTGGGCCATGCGTCCAACGTCTGTGCCCTAGATGTCTCGTCTGAAGGAGGTTGGGTGGTCAGCGGTAGTTGGGACTCAACAGCTCGACTATGGAGGGTCGGGAAGTGGGAAACCGATGTTGTTTTGGAGGATCACCAAGGTAGCGTTTGGGCAGTGTTGGCCTATGACAAGGATACAGTCATCACCGGTAGGTGCCATCGTTGCTGCCTTAAAATAAAGGTTGGTTATTAATTCTCGGATAGGCTGCGCGGACAAAGTCATACGGATATTCAACACCTCGGGGAATCTACTGAAAAGCATCCAAGGTTCCCGCGATGTTGTCCGGGCCCTTTGCAAACTTCCTCCTTCCCACCCCACGGGCGCACAATTTGCTTCGGCGGGTAACGACGGGATTATCCGGCTTTTCACCCTACAGGGTCAGCAGGTTGCAGAGCTCCATGGTCATGAAAGCTTCATCTATTCTTTGGATGTTTTGCCTTCGGGTGAATTAGTCAGTGCCGGTGAAGACCGAACTGTTAGGGTCTGGAACGGTACACAATGCGTGCAAACCATCACTCATCCGGCAATCTCGGTTTGGGCCGTTGCTGCTTGCAAGGAGACCGGAGACATTGTCACAGGTGCTAGCGACCGTATCACTCGAGTCTTCACCCGGAGTGAGGAGCGAGTTGCCATCCCCGAGGTTGTGCAGCAGTTTGAACAGACGGTCAAGGAGTCGGCCATTCCGGAACAGCAAATCGGCAAGATCAACAAGGAGCAGCTCCCAGGGCCTGATTTTCTCAAGCAGAAGTCCGGTACCAAGGATGGCCAGGTACAAATGATTCGTGAAGATAACGGCAGCATCACAGCCCACACATGGTCAGCAGCATCGCAGGAGTGGATAGCTGTGGGTACAGTTGTCGATTCTGCTGCCAGCAGTGGAAAGAAAACAGAATACCTCGGGCAAGACTACGACTATGTTTTCGATGTTGACGTCGAGGATGGGAAGCCGCCTCTCAAGCTGCCGTTTAATGTGTCACAGAACCCATACGATGCTGCCACAAAGTTTATCCAGGACAACGAACTTCCAATGACCTACCTTGATCAAGTCGCTCAATTCATCGTACAAAATACACAGGGTGCAACCCTTGGGCAATCGTCTGAGCCCACGCCTGCAGGCGCTGATCCTTGGGGCTCGGAGAATCGCTACCGGCCCGGTGATGCCTCTGCTGCACAGCCGCCATCCATTCCCGAGTCGCGTCCCAAAGTACTTCCACAACAGTCATATCTATCTATCAAATCCGCCAACCTCAAAGTCATCGCCAAGAAGTTGGGTGAGATCAACGATCAGCTCGTATCATCAGGATCGAAAGATGTCTCCCTCAGCCCCTCGGAGGTGGAGACGATTGTTGCGTTATGTGGCGAATTGGAATCTCCGGAAAAGCTGAAGCAGTCACCCGCCGTTGGAGCCGGGATTCCCTTGTTACTCAAAATCGCAACTGCCTGGCCCGTCGCAAACAGACTCCCAGGCTTGGATCTCCTCCGTCTGCTAGCGGCCGCCACTCCTGCGACCGCCACCATCAATTACAATGGCCAGGATCTGTTCACCAGTCTGCAGGCTAGCGGCGTATTCGATGCCCCATTGAATGCAAACAACGCCATGCTGACTATCCGGATGCTGGCCAACCTTTTCGAAACCGACACTGGTCGTCAATTGGCTGTGAGTAGATTCGATCAGATTATAGCTGCCGCGAAGTCGGCCTTGACGAACGGTGGGGGCGCCAACCGTAACCTCACCATCGCAGTCGCGACACTATACATCAACTTCGCAGTCTACCTGACATCCGACGGAAGAGAATCGGCTCCCGAGTCGTCCCAAAAGGGGTTGGTTCTTCTCGCAGAACTCACTCAGATGGTCTCAGGAGAGAAGGACTCGGAAGCAGCATACCGCAGTCTTGTTGCACTCGGCACGCTGGTCAAGGCGCTCGGCGAGGAAATCAAGAGTGCCGCGAAGGAGGTTTACGACGTTGGTCAGCTTCTGGGAACGGTGTCAGGCTCTGGGATCGGGAAAGAACCCAGAGTCAAGGGTATTATCGGCGAGATTAAGGAATCATTGTCGTAAATTCGGCGAGTGGCTTCTTCAAAGTTTCAGCGTTCGACTACAGCACCATACACATTTAACGATAGCTATGCACTATACCGTCATGAATGGACATTGTGAACCTATTCCCGGGAATTTCAGATCTGCTCTTCCCGTTAATAATAAGAATACCGCAACGGCATACTGCCCTTTTAATCGAGTCTCATGAATTCATATTTTCAACGCTAAAGTAAACCTGTACACAATGATACCCTTACCGCTTAAAGCCTCCCCTCCCCACTAACCCCCACCTCCACGATCTGGTCAATGCCCGGATACACCGGTAGATCCAGATCATACTTGTCCGTAATACTCTTGGTCAAGAACCTGCCGCCCAGAAAGTGTCGCCCGTGGTAATACTTCACGCACGGCTTCGGCGCCGTCAGACTGATCAGCGCCTCGGGCATGAACTTCGACCCGGGGCCCTGCTTTGGCGGCCCGCTCTCGACGTCCCACGAGCTGGGCGCGTCGACGCTCAGCACGGGGATCGTGGACGACTCGATCTGCGAGATCACGGTGGGGAAGGGCTCGCGGAGGGGTCCGCCGAACGAGAACCCGAAGATGGCGTCGACGAGGAAGTCGGCGGATTTGATGGCCACGGGGAGGTCGTCGACGAAGGGGACCGAGAGGTTGGTGAGTTGCGTTTTGAGACGCTGTGCAAGGTGAGTTGGGTTGAGTTGAGTCTTGGGTTCTGGCTGTGGGTTTTCCGTGCTGGGTGATGGTGACATACCTGGTATAATTCATTCTTTCCCTGTTTGGGATAGTAGATGGATGGAGTGTAGCCGTACTGGGCGAGATGGCGAGCTGCAACGAGGCCATCGCCGCCTGTGCATGGGTGAGTATGGTTCTTGACCGAGGGCGAATAGTCGATGAAGAGCTGGCTCACCGTTATTTCCTGGTCCGCAGACAACAAGGATATTCTTCCCGGACGTTGGCGGATGCATGCGGTAGACTAGATCGTGGTATGAAGGCGTGAGCTATGGGAGCTGGTGTGATGATTCCAGCAGAGGTCGACTCACCCGCTTGTGAGACGGACAGACCAGCCAATTCCATCAATTGATCCAGTGACCATCCGCCGATTTCCATGAGGTCCTTGTCGAGGGACGCGGCATCCTTGGAGGAAATAGCCTGCGACACAGTTTAGCATGGAACATGGGTCATCATCGAGTTCGTATGTCTCATGCTGAAAGTGGGGAATTGTTGTAGTTAGTACCTTCAACGACATCTTTGCGGTTCGAGTGTAGTTGCGAAATGCGACGGGAAAGCAAGGCCGTCTAGCAAATACAGAGCGGAGCATACAATGAAAAGTGGGGAAGCTCAGGGTTGAATGTCAAACGCCAGAGAGGAACTTCCAAGCGTGAAGAATGGCAACTAAATAACCCCGACGGACGGGGATTGCATCATAGTCTTATCACGGACATCTCGTGTCCACCGCCTTGCGCTAAGCCAGAAAGGGGCGCTCCGGAACAATCCCTTCTCCGGTCCGTTGGAACTTCCGCGGAGTCTGTCTGGCGGCAGATCCCAGCGTCCGATATCCCATTGCTCGTTTCGCGCCGTTGCTTCCTGTCAGTCAATTCCGAGCACACGCTGTCAAGATGGTCGTTCGCATTCGTCTCGCCCGTTTCGGTAACAGGCACCAGACCTTTTACAACATCGTGGTGTCGCAGGCCCGGTAGGTTTTTCTCCCCGGCATTAATTTTTTTTTGGTCGGCGCTCTACGTTGGAATTGGGGACAGCGTGGAAGATCCTAAAGAAATGAACGAAGACTAATTTTTGCCTTGTATAGCACTGCCCGAGACTCGAAACCTTTGGAGGTCATTGGAACCTACAACCCTGTCCCGCAACGAGCCACGAACGAGACCGAGAACGGCCAACGGGCCCGAGCATTCAAGGACATCTCACTTGACCGATCCCGCGCCAAATATTGGGTTGGTGTTGGTGCGCAGCCTACCGACTCCGTATGGCGGTTACTGGACCTGGTATGTGGACGACTATATGCCCCGATTGGAGGGATTCAATGGGCTAACGACCATGCTTCGAATAGGCCGGTATCGCGCAGCGCAAGCCCCACGAGCAGAAGAACTAGGTTAGGACAAGCTCATCTGTTCTTGGGTGTACATTAGGCTGCTTTCAGGCATCTCAAGCATGCGACAGTGGAGTCGGGATGTTTGGTTGTTCAACGAGAAGGCTCGGCTTCTATCTCGGGAGTGCACGAACAAGAGAGCCTAGACAGAACTCGAGATGGATAACGTGAGAAAGAAAACCTGGCTTGTGCAACCCCCGTGTCTTTGGCATTTCCCTTGGCGTTTCTGGTTTTAAGTCTGTATGTTTGTACATTATGCGGGTCGACTGTTTTTCCTTGATTTCCCATGTAACATAACATGGCTTCGCATTTCTCCTTCCATGGGGATCTGTTATCAATTAACCTCGAGGATATTATCTCCGAGAGACTTATTTTGAGTCATATCTTAAGTTCAAGCAAGGAGACGTCATGTGTTGGCCTCTCGTGCTCTGGCATGTCAGCGTATGCCCCCATAGCCCGGGGAAAACATCTCCGGCGTTCTCCGACAAGGACACGTCAAATGACTGCCCTCCCCCTGCCTTACTCCCTCTTCGCCTCTCACCATGTCTGGCCAGAGCTTGGCTTACGTACTTTTGACCCCCAAGCCGACAGCAGGCGTGAGATGTTACCCCTTGCTCTCAGCCCGCCCAAGACGGTACGTCCCTCGACCTGCAGGTCATTCCGAACAGGGCTGAAACAGCCAAATGGCCGGTTGTCTTTGCAATCCCCGGCGTTATGTCTTCGAAATGCCATGCCGGTCAAGTCTGGTCTGGTCTGGTCCGTCGGTCATTGTGCCTGAGACATGTAGGTTTCACAGCATATATAGATATCGCTGGCACAATGGGCCTCTCCGGGTCTGACTAACGAGACGCGTCATGGGCATTCCTGGGTCCCTTGATTGATTGTCTGTCTTAGACGTCCTAGTCTAGGCTGCGTTTGGAGGGGGGAGATAGAGGAAAGAGTTTGTTTACTAAACTGGGTCGGGAAGTATAGGAAAAGCGTTAGCCAGGTATGTCACTATGGCTGTTTGTTTACTTTTGAGTCGAGAAGAACCGAATTCCCACCCAGTCATACTGCTCTTGTCATGAACCAGAAAGTACGAATCTGCCGGAATGGCACATGCTATCAAGAGGTCATAAGCAGTCAGATGAAGCCAAATAAGCACTACGACTCGATTCTCCTAACTTTAAGAAAACCACCAAATCAAAAAACGAGCATCCAGTCCAATCATCGCGACCGCCCTCCAGGCCAAAAAAAGAAAATGCAAAAGAAAAAGGAAAAGAAAAAGAAATCCCTGAACGCTGATCCATCCTTCTGGCGACGCAAGAGCCAGTCACAGCGGACAGAATAGACCAGATCACAGCGAACCAGACAACGAACCATTCCAAACTCTTACGAGGACTAGGTAGGGGTGCGACCAACGAACCAGTAATGCACCTCCCACCATCCAGGCAGAGAGAGAAAGAAAGAAAGAACGAAAGACGAAGGGGGGGAGCGTCGAGCAGGGAAGATCCGCAGCAGAGTTTGGGCTTTTCCATGGAATCCTGCCAGCCCCCGCCTCGGTGCCGTTCGTCGCCTTCTCATTGGCGCCCCCCAGGCGATGTGGTTTTAGCAGGAAGACCATCCCGGCCTTCGTGAGGATCGGAGTCCGGAGTATGGGGTCGTGGTTTTCACCTGGGGGGAACTTTGGCTTTGACGGGATTGTCTGGTGTGTTTCTGGAGTTCAAGATAGTGGGATTCCTCTGGACCGAACGAGAATGAAGATGAAGGGCAATGCATCGGATGTCTCCTATTCATCCACTTACCCGTCGATTCATTGGTCTGGACCGAGCGAAGGGAACCTGAGCCAGCAAAATCCGGGTCAAGATGTCTGATCCTCTTCGAACCAGATTCTGCTTTGCTATCCACGGTCATGAATGTCCGGGCCGTTTGACTTCGGTAAAGGGTCAAGAGAGACGATCGTCATTGCCTGGCCTATTATTAACCTACGGTGGTTTGTTGTATGTGGTTTCCGTTCTCCTGTTTGGGTCACGATGAGGCCGAAAAATTAGAAAGAATGGCAGGGGATGTTCTGTTAGGGGATTTCCCCTCGTCTGTCCGGCATGCTGAGGTTAGATACTGGCATCAAAAGAAAACAAAGAAGAGGTTCTATTCTCTTTGTGAGGGTTTCGTCAGGGAGGTAGGTAATTCGTCATCCACACTTGACTAGTTAGCCTACGGAGGACAGGGGGGGAGGGCGAGAATAATTAAAAGGCGCAGGGATGATGCCGAACACGATGTCATTCATGCAGCTAGTCCCTATCTACGCTTTCACCCGAGCAGGGAACATCAATAATAATAATAATGGAAGCTGCAGAGCATCCATCTGAAGGACGACGTTATCAAGGCCGCGGTGGAGAAAGGCGCGAGCGATGATCGATCATCCGGAACGATACCGTCCCGTATGGAGGCGCCGCTGTCTCCACGACCCTCCGGCGGCCCCGCGCACGCACTGCCCTGATCGCATTCGTCGTTCGGGTCTGCCTAGATCGCTGCACTCGGTAAGAGCAACGCACGAGGTTGTGATACCGTGGAATCCATTAGTCAGAAGGCAGCAAAGGCGACAGCCTTCCGCCGACTGTGACTCATTGCAAAAGGACCGACGATTTCCAGGGTTTCTTTCGCGCGCAGGCAGCGAGATCAGGGGGGAGGCCCTCCTGCCGGGACTCTGGAACCCCCCGGTGCGAGAAAGCATAAATGACAGGAATAATACCTAAGAATAATAATGGCGCGTCGTGTCAATCGGGGGTTTCGGGTCGCGCGTTTTCCCTAGCAGCTGGTTAGTACTTCCGCCGGCCCTGGAGTGGCAGGCCTGGACCGCGACTTCTCGTTGGACGAAAGCAAGATTAGTCCAGACTCCCAGACTCCAGACTGCGCTTGTCGTGTGTACGGGAGGTAATAGAGTCGACGGCTGCAGGTGACTACGAAGTCCCTGGAACGGGAGCAGACTCGATCCGTGGTCCAACCGCGCCGGCCGTGACGAGTCTTAAGGCCTCCAGTGCTGCAGCCCCGTCGTGATAGGACTCGTCTCGATCGCTCTTCCTGCGCGACTCTGTTGCCAGATCTCCAGCTGTTCAACTAAAGTACTGCGTAGAAATAAACCATCGGAGACCCGGGCATTCTGTCGCATTTGCCAAACATACCGCATACGGCAATACGGGCCATTTCCGGGAGCGTCTACAGCCACGGCGCCGGCAGTACCGCCACGCACCGCCGCCCGCGCCGGTCGACCACCAGCATCACCACCCCGTTTAGCTCCCCTCCCTCTCGTCCTTTTCCCAGACTAACTCTATCCTCCCCCCGAACTCCTTCTCTTCTTCCCTCCTGATAATCTTCCTTTCCCTTTCTTCCTCGCCCCCCTCCGACTTCCTCCACAACCCCCCTCCTTCTGCATCCCCGTCTCGCACATCTTTTATCGTCATTTTTAATTCGCATTCTCTTTCTGTCATCAGAAATTCCATCCTTGCGAGTCTTCGCTCTTGATTATCGTTATCCCTCGAGTTTGGTCTTGCGATTCGTACTCATTATTTCTATATCCGCGCTCGGTCCCTCGGTCCATAAGTCGCATTTGCCTCATCGTCCATCCACATCGTTTCGCTTTCTTTCCTCGGGGAATGATTCGGTCGTCTACCGGCATCCTCGCGCAGCATTCATCGGCTTCGATCTGAATCTGGTCTTCTTTTTGTTCCATCATCCCATCGCTTCCGCATCTTCCCCATTCTCAAATCTCCACGCACCCGTCCTGACCCCCTGTCACGTCTTCGCCTCCCGTCGCTTCTCTTCTCTCTCTCTCCCTCCCCTTGCCTCGCGAGCAACCTAAACCTTCACACCTCCCTCCTCTCGTGGTCGGATCATCGGTCCATTCGACATCTAGGATCACCGGTCCGCAAGGCATGAGTGGCAGTTCGAATCAGTCGACCCGTACGAGTCCAGGCTCCCACAGTACCACCCAGCGCACACCCTCCGTGTCGTCGGGCGCGTCGCCTCCGCATCAGTCGCTCCCATCCTCTCAGGTGCCCTCGACGGCCCAGAATGCGATGTCGACCGACGTGTACAATCCCTCCGCGTCGCAAGCGCCAACGTCTCTCACTTCCTCGTTCCCCTATTCGTTTTCGCCTGTCGGCCCGTCTCCTCTTGACAGCGTCCCGCCCGCCACCATGCGCCTGAGCGATTCCGACCGGTCGCCGCAGAGCCTCGGCGGCTTCGTCCGACCTGGCAACGGTGGCAGCATCGCGATCCTATTGCGAAACCTTCCGAATAACACGAGTCGCGAAGGCTTGCGCAGCATGTTTCTCTTTTCCAAAGACCTCATCGACGTCGAGTTCGAGTCCGTCGGCCCTTCCAATGACGCTAGATATCTCTCCGCGATCGCGCGCTTCCGCACGGTCGCAGGCGCCGAAGAGGCACGGACTCTCCTGCACGGCAAGCCAAATTCCAACAACGACGCCAACATGATCGTGGAGATGTACAACGGCCCTATTGGCCCGTCTTTGGCTCCTAGGCGCAGCACCATCGATCATACCGGAACTTCGTCCCTGCTCGGAAACGTCGCGTCGAATGGCCATCCGGTGCGGTCGCGTTTCAACGGCACTTTCCAGAGTATGGAGAAACTGACCGCGACTAACCCGTCGTCGACCAATGACTCCCTACCCCCTTCCTCTGACGCAGGCTCCCGAATCCCCAATATCTTCTCGCCCCAATCGCCGATCGGAAATGGCGTCCATGACCTCCCGCGTATCAGTGGCAAGTCGATGATTGACCAGGACGTTGATGAAGACACGGGCGAAATACTCAAAGATCCGGTGGGGTATGCAGAAAATGGACACTCGGGCTCGCTCCCTCGCCGGTCAACCAACCCCCAGTTCCCTACCAACCAGTTTGCCAACTTGTCTCTTGCGACGAACATGTCCTCGCCGCCGTTGCCAAACTACGCCTCCGGCGCATCCGTTCACGTGGGAATGTCCAACGCTCCGGGCGCCTTCTCTCAGCAGTCTATGACCAACAGCCTGGGCAACGCTCATGCGCACCCTTACCCGCACGCGCACCAGGCTCGCCATAGTCTTCCCGCCGCCAACCCGAATGATATGAACCCACCCTGCAATACCCTGTACGTTGGCAATCTGCCCCCGGACGCGTCGGAAGAGGAGCTGAAGGCTCTCTTCTCCAAACAACGCGGCTACAAGCGTCTCTGCTTCCGCAATAAGCAAAATGGGCCCATGTGTTTCGTCGAGTTTGACGATGTGGGTACGGCGGGCAAGGCACTCAACGAGCTGTACGGGTACAAGCTTTCCAACAGCATCAAAACCGGGATTCGCCTGAGTTTTTCGAAAAATCCCCTGGGGGTTCGGTCGGGTCAGCCTGGCTCTAATAATACATCGAACGGCATGGCATCGCAGGTTCCGGTGTCCGCTGGCAGCAGTCTGGGCGGAATGCATAACCACATGTTCTCTACGGTGAGCGGACCGCCTCCTGGACTCGGACCACCAAGTTTCATTCCATCAATGCCAGTGCGTAATGGCGCCATGCATCCGATGGCTAACAATGCCTCCTTCCATGCAAATACAGGCTTGGGTATTCGGACGCATGCCATGAACCCCATGTCTCCCCCTCCTCCACCGTCCAATGGTGCCAGTTCCGGCGGTGCATCAGGTTATTACCCCGACTACATGATGGGTCGGTAAAATGACACAGGAGTTCACCTTTTCTTTCTTTCTGTGGAACTTATGTCCGACACGCTTGATGACTGTTAGGGTACGTGGCGCATTTTTGTGTTTTGGGGAGGTTTTTCATTCACGAGTTAGATCAATCAGCATTGGGAAGGGCTGCTCCCCTTCCTCTTGGGAGTAAGGATCATGGGTCCCTGGGCTTTTCTGTCGCTTGCTTTGGCTTGACTGTTTTTTTTTTTTTTTTTTTTTTTTTTTTTTTTTTTCTTTTCTTCTCTTCTCTTCTTTCCTCGCTTTTTCTCTCCCCCTTTTCTTCTTTTCCCACCTTGCTTTTGTCGATTCGATACACTTGTCAGCATGGAAATAAGGGGCGCTTCGATACACTGTCGTTTTCTCTTGCACTTACTGTTTTGCTTTTGGGTAGGATTGCATTGTCATTGTGTGCGATTGTTTTCTTATACCTGAGAAGCCCTCGAGGTTTTTGTTTTTATTTTTTGTTCCCCATTCCGCTAGGTTGATTACCCTATCATCATTCATACCCTGTGCTGTACTATTGAGTTTCGCGTTCTCGGTAATAGTGCTTTTTGAAGGATATCTTGCCGGTCGAGTCTTGTTTGCGTTGTGTTTCCGTTGTGTTTGCGCGTTCATCGATAGCGACTGTTCTTTTCACCTGTGCATCCGGCGCCCTTTTGATCTCGGAGGATTGCCAATGCGATTCCAATGATTGCTTTGTTTAGGGGTTTTTTTATGTCTTTCTTGTTGCTAGTATTATTACTTCTTTTCCATCTTGTTTCCTTTAGTTTCTCTACGACCCCCTTTTCTTTTTTTTTCTTTTTCTTTTTGCTATTATGGCTTCCTCGGATGGATCGTTTCTCTTGTCGAATATCCTGTCTGATCACCATGTTCGTTTTCTCTTTATAAAGGGGAATGGGCAAGGCTGGTTATACAACCCAAAAGGAAAAGACTAAGAGAAATGCATTGGATAGGAGGAGCACGATCATAAAGCACTGGACTTTATTATTGGAATCACTCATTCCGAGGCGTTCTGCGTGGGCTATACATGGAGATACATTTCTTGAGATTCCCTTCGGTTGGGACAGAAGCATCCTGGGGAATTATAGCACTTGGCTTCTCATTGACTTGCATCTTTTTTCGCAGCGTGGTGGATTCTTGTGTATTGCGTTTTGATATCTTGCTTGCTGTCTTTTCGCAGGTTCTTGGAATTGTATTTGCTTCAATGGCTGCTTTTTGCGGCGCCCAGAGTTGACTGGATATTTGGGCCGACATACCATTATCTAAGGGTTTTTTTGCTTCTAAGCTTATTGAACATTCTCGCAACTTGTAAACATAGTGACTCCGTAGTGAAATCGTCGAAGCCACGATGCTGAGGGTTTCCCGAACGGGTAACAATGTGTCACGTGAGCACCGCCGGCACCGAAAAGTTTCTTCGAGCATCCGCCCGCCAGCTCTCTCTTTCTCCCTCTCCCTCCCTCTTCCCCCATCCACCTCCCTTCCTCCTTTCCCAGCTCTCAATTGGTCTCTTCGCGTTTGGTAGCAGCTTGTTAAGCTACCATCTATCACCTGTGTCTTTTTTTATTACATCTTATCCTTTCCTTTCCTGTGTTGTGCGGTTGTCATAACGAAGAGGTTTCCCACCTCTTTTGCTCATCATGCCTCCGCGAATACAGAACCAGCTCGTTTCCAATTCCCTTCTTCCCTACCTATCCTCAACCTCTTCCACCTCTTCCTCTTCATGTACCTCCGTATCTAAGCTCCCCACATCATGTCCTCAATCACGGCGGCCCTTCTCCTCCACTATGGCCTCTCAAACAAGACTGCGTGTCAACATGTTCAAATGGCTTGATACGGACGGTGCCGGGTACAAGTCTCATGTGCCAGGGGAAACCAACTTCCTGAAGGGTCGGCGAGTTATCGATGAGGACCGTAAAAACATCCGGCCGTTCCCATTGAACCCGAGCTTCATCAGCGAGAGGATCCTAAGCGAGGAGCTGCGGAACACGGTTTACGATCAGGTTGTGAATAAGAAGAGGAGTGTACGGACCGTGAGTGTTGAATTCGGAATCGACATGCGGCGAGTAGGTGCTGTGGTGCGGTTAGTTGAGCTGGAGAAGCGATCGAGACAACAGGTAAGGTTTTTTCCCGCTCTTTTGACTCTATATTCCCTTACTCCACAACCTCGATGCAATGATGAGACACAACAAAAATTCGATTAGTCTTTATGACCCAGTTCAATCGACTGGGAATGGTTACAACGCCTTATGTTACTGATATGCATCTTCATGTTTTGTTCTTTCTTTTTCTCCAGTTCTTTCCAAGACGCCAAAACGTATGATTTGGCTCTTGCTAACATTGCATCTCGTCTATCAGGGCAAGTCGTTAGCTTTACCATATGCTCGTGCTGTGCACGAAATGGTTCCCTGCACACCCGTTTATACTGACCCGCATGAGCGGCGTCTTAACCCTCACGAATCGATCAACGATCTTCCCGTCCACCGGGCTACTGATGCCCAAATTTTCTACCCCGTTTCCGAGTCTCGTCAGTTCAACCGTATGGACGCTGGTCGTGTCTTCTCCGCTGCACCCGCCCTCACCCACGAACAATCTGCAAAGCAGGTGTCGGACCCTGATAGTGTTATCTTTGGCGCTACCAAAAAGCCGGCGCAAATCGAACGGGTTGGCAAGGGTACCGAGAGACATCAGGTGTTGCAGCCCGCGGACGTGCGTATTCCTCACCCGCATCTCGTGGCCCACGAGCGCCGCCGCGCCAACTTCCCCGATGAAGTCCGTGAGAACCGTAAAATCTACGAGAAGCGTCTCAAGGAAATCGAGGCCGCCGAGAAAGCCATTCGAGAGAACCAGGCCCGCAACGATGGCCAAGTTCTTAAGGTTCAACCCGAATCGTCGCGCTTCGAGTTCCGCTTTAAGGACGTTGTCGTCAGCAAGGAAACCACCGGTACCGATGGTCGTGGCCACGCTGCCCCTGGCCGGCGGTACGGTGTCCCCAGCTACGACCGTAAGAAGGGCCAGGTCAAGATTCCCACCAGCGTGGATGTTTAAACCACCAAACTTCCACCTCCCTGCGTCCCGCAATCCTCCATCTTTCAACGACTGCACTGTTATGCTCATCATGTGACCTGATCGTTTTGAAAGCACACCCATCTACCTCCCTATGTACTTGTATCTTGTTTTCTCTGCTTCTTTACTCCTGTACAGACATGTGACGAATGGGTCAATCAGACAGCGTCGGCTTTTTATCTTGTATTTGTATCTATCTACCTATTTCGAGAGACGGGATTGGAAGATCACCTGCTCTATATCCATTTTATATCAACTATCACTATTGAATAACCTACGTTCAAACACATAATTCTTCATCTGCGGCCAAGCTGTTACTTTGTCTTCCTTTATACTAGAATTCACACTTGAACAGAGGCCCTAAATCCAAGTACCTACTCATCAACGACATGCTACATGATCGACAACCTGGTGAAGTCTGGCCGGGCCTGCAGTGGACTTGTATGCAGCTAAGGACAAGAATATAGAATAGAATGTGCTGAAATATGCCAGAGTCCGAGCCCCTCGCGCAGCTACAAAGATCGACTACTCAACATTAGTAGAATATTGGTCTACCATGATGATTAACACAAAACTAGAAATATATATCCCCAAGTCAATACTTATACTATATAGGTCTACGTTCAGATACATAAATGTAATTATATACATAGCTAAATTGATATTATTAAATCAAAGGACAAGATATGATGATATATATGTATAACAGGAAACAGCAAAAAAGGGCAGAAAGAAAAAACATGAAAAAAGCATGGACATCTCGGTCGTTTTCGTGAGCATGTCTTATTGAAAATAAATAACACTTTGTTCTGTATACCTTCCCTAGAATACTATGTATAATAAAAGATGAAGAAGAAAGGAAAAAAAAACCACCCAACACCGCAACGAAATAGGACAGAATAAAATGAATATAAATGACGAAGAGCCAGAAAAGAAAATGGGGAAAAAGAGACCAAACAAGATGGGATAGAAAAAGAAGAATGTTTGGGAAAGGAAGAAAAGGAAAGAAAAGAAAAGCTATGCTGGGTATCCATAGAAGACACAAATAGCGGGGACAGTTTGTTTCAAAGAGCAGACTGTCCTCGATGATATGCATGGTTTTTGAATCAATCGCGGCCATATAGGGGGAAAAAAGATATAACTAAAGGAAAGTCTTCAAGTGAATGATGGCGAAGAAGCAAATGCTAACGAAAATAAAAGAGTGAAAGATTTGAGAAGAAAGTATCACACCTCTGGACTGTCAGTCGGTTCATCGACTGGCCCTGCCGACGTTGGTGGGCTGGCAGGGGAATCCGGGACCTCGGTGCTGGCATTCCCCGAAGAATCGTCTTGCTCGGTATCAGTCGGGGTCGGCTTAGTATTGTCGGTGCCATTTTGTTTGGAGTTGCTAGGCGCCGGGGATGGAGTCGGAGGCATAACGGACGAGGATCGTTTAGATCCGCCCTCGGTTCCGATCTGCATGGGACTCCGAGGACCGTCGGACACAGGTGATCGCTGCGTATCGTCCACGAAGCCTCGCCATTTGCGCCAACCTTCGAAGTCGATTAGGGCTTGCATGCAGCCCCATTCGGTGACTTTTTGCTCCAGCCATTCAAATCGGACAGGCTGCGAAAGATCAGACTCTGTATACGAGGAAGAAGGGGAAATGATAGATGAAAAGTACACACCTTGGTCAAGAAGTCATTGCAGCCGGCGGCCAGCGCCTCGTGACGATCACTTTGCAAGCTGCTGGCCGTCAAGGCGACAATGATGACGGGACTTTTGAAAAGCGAAAGATCCTGCAGCGTATCTTCTTCCTTCAAGGAATCGGCCCTGTTGGGGTCCCGCTCTGCCGGAGACGTTGCGTTGGCGCTCGACCGTCCCGACTCCTTTTTGGGGAAAACACCAACGCCATTCAATCGCTCCAGCCGCCGAATCTCTTTGGTCGCGTCCAACCCGTTCATGACAGGCAACTGGATATCCATTAGAACAAGATGGAACCCGCCTTGTTGCCATTTCTGTACAGCTTCCTGGCCGTTCGCGGCGCATTTCCAGCGCACGGAAAGACGTTTCATAAATGCTTCCAACAGTCGCTGATTGATCACGTTGTCCTCAACGATGAGCACGTTGATAGGCGGTACCGTTCCCTCGATGAGACCCCCAAACGCGGCACGCAACGACTGCGAGTTGCTCTTTTTCGGCTTCGAAGGACGAGGGCGAGGGGAGGCCACCCGTGCGGGTGGCGTAAGAACCTTGTTTTGAGGCGACTCCGGAGGGGGAGGGCCAGGTGGTGTGGGAACCGGAGGGGCCGGCTGAGAGGATGGCGTAACTGAGGCCTCTGTGGTTTGTTGTTAGTAAGAGAGTGCAGTGTGATAAACCGGGGATGGAAATTTCCATTTCAAGCACATGTGGGACAAGGCACAAACCTTTGGGACCCGTTGCCGAGCCAAGCATCGTGGGCGAATTGGTCGTATGCCGAGTCAGCGGCGGCCGGCGCGCATGGCGAGTGCCACGGCCGCCCGGTGACGGCAGCAGAGGGGCCTTTCCAGTGTTGATAATAGATATAGCCGGTGCCTGATGAGCGTTCACACTGGTGGTAGAGTTGTTGGGATGCGTCGGAGGGGTCGGAACGCTGGCGTTGACGGGCATGAGGGGGAAATATTCGCCATGCTCGCCCGGTTCGGAATGGTGATAGTATACATTGTGACGGGGCGACGGTTTCGGGGTCCGACGCTGCGGCATGTCGATGACCAAGGCTTCCTCCACCGTTTGCCCGCCGGGGTAATACGCATCCACCACCGTCACCAGCGATTCTTCGGGGCTCAGGATGCGATCGGGGGTGGCCTGCTTATTGGCGCCCTCGCGAGGCACGATGCGGATGGTGATATCAGGCGCGTCGAAGGTTTTGCCGAGTGAGTTGGCATATTTCATGATCACTTGGTCGCGGACCTCGTCCACCAAGGCATCTGTCGTGGTGGGCACCAAGGTGGCCGAGCCCCCCGGCCGTTTGACCCAGATCTTGCGAGGGATCATGGCGGCGGCAGCAGCGACGCGTTGGCTGCTCGTTGGGGGACCGGACTCGGACGACGCGCCGGGTTCGAGCAACGAGCTGATCCACTGCTGATTGGAAGCAGCTAGCAGCGATTGACGGCGGATTCCGAGGCTGGGACGTTTGGGAAACGAGACGGAGGTCGAGACGCCGGGCTGGAATTGGACCGGAGCGGAAGGATCCTCCGACAGGGGATTCGTGAATAGGGGCTCAGCGACCGTGGGCGCGGGCTGCTCCCGTCCTCGAGGAGGGGTAGGTTCGTAGGGTGTAGGTTTGAGAAGACTTGACGTCGGCGGACGGTCTGCGGCGAGCGAGGTTGGCAGCTCGGTTGACCCAGAGGACGGCGGTGGGGAATCGACCAGCTCGGAAGGGTGGCGATCGGGTTCAGATGCGACAACGTTCGTGTCCCGCGGTTCCTCGTGCCTGGAAGCTGCAGCGTCCGGGGAATTGGGCCGCGACGGCGCTCGAGGCGGATTCTCTGTCGGAGAGGCTGGCGGTGCTCTCTCTTCCTTCAGCTGAGGAATTTTCGTGGCCGATCCGTCATCAACCGAAGAAAACCGGCTGTGTTGTGGAGACGAAGTCACGACGCGATGGGCAGGGTTCTTGCGAGAGATAAGAGGCACGGAGGTCGCGGACACGGCGGGGGAAGGTAGCGGAGGGGAGGCCGAGGAGTAGTTGTGGTGGTGGGTGTTTTGATGATGGTTGGGGTCGGGATGATGACTGGCTTTGGCCGGTGGCAGCGAACTTGATCGCCGCAGTCGCCGTTTGAATCGCAGCCAAAGCGATGGATGCTGGGCCATGCTGGTGGCCATCATCGCGGTCTATGAACACAAAAGAAAAAAGAACAGAAAAGAACAGACAGCAGGACAAGGCTAAAGGTCAATTCAAATCAGAAAGTACCAAAACCCAGAAAAAAAGAAAAAAAAAAAAAGAATAAAAAAGGAATACAAACGAAATAAGTAAATACTAGAAAAGAGGGGAAGAGCACAAAAATAGAAGCCTAATAATAATTAAAATAAAAAAAAAGAGGGAGAATTTACCAGGCAATCAAAGGAGAGAATGCGTTGTCACCTCTTCATCCTCACTTGCACGCCGGGCACAAGGGGAACCACCGCCGAGGGCATCGCTGGGAGAAAAGTCCCCGGGATGGATAACCAGTCCCCGGTCCGGATCGGAGGGGAGATGAGGATGAAGCCGGAGGAGAAGAACAGCCGAAAGTGAGGGAATGGAAGGGAAGACGAAAGAGAGAGAATGAGAGAAGAACGAGAGAAGAACGGGGAGGGAAAGAGGGGAAGACGAGAAGTCCGTGACTTGGCCGTTCGATACTCCCTGATGATCTCCCGGCGGAGATGAGAGGGAAAAGGGATTCCAGACCATTGGAATAATTTTAATCAGTTCCTTAAGGCGATTATTCTTAGCATCGAAGCCGCCCCGAAATCCGGTGCAAAGACCAACGCTTGGGCCGTTTTCTAGTCCTTCATCGCCTGAGCCGGCCTGCGTCGGGCCGGGTCTACTCGCTCCTGCTGCCATGGAGAATGCAACTGTATACCATGCATATCGTGTATCGTACATAGACGGACATATCGACATATCGTCATATCAACAGACAGACAGGCAGTTCCTCATTCTATATCACATCGACCCCTAATCCAGCAGTCCGTCGATCAGATGCTCACTCTCCCCCATGCCGTCCCTCGCATCCAACATTTCGTCAATGCTTTTCCCACAGGCTTCTGCCTCGAGACGCAGCTCGCGATATCGAATGCGCCAGATGAGATGGCTTGCATAGATCCCCACCTCCAATACCACCCTGTCCATCCTTAGTAGCCGTCGACCGGAGCGCATCGGGTTCACTTACACGAGAATGTACATGATCCCTCCTAGAACGTCGAAAATCCCCTGAGATGCTACATTTCAGTCAGCTCAGCACTCTTTCTCCACTGACTAGGATAGCAGAAACCTACCCAGTGCGAGCAGCGAAAAGACCCCTCCCAGGATATCCATTGAGAGAAACACCCAATCTAGTACGACTCTCATTAGCCAGCTTGCTCGACCATACGCCGCTCACAGGCCACACTCACTGATCCCAATCACCCGTCCATCTCTCTTCCACAGCTCAAGATATGGCGATAACAGCCCGGCTGCCAGAAGTACCGCGGCGGTAATTCCTACCAGTTGATTAGGCCAAGTGATGCCTTGCCGGTAGGGAGCCTGTCGATACCGTCGTCAGCGAGGGTCCATGGGGAAAAAAATCATCGGATGCGAAGAGATGACAAAAGAGGAGTACCGTTAAAGCCAGGACCAACAGCATTTCAATCACACCAAATAAGACCGTCAAGCCGACTACTAGCGATACCGCTTTGGCACGGGTGAATTTACTGCGTCAGAAGTCAGAATATATGCGACAGACCCCCAGTTCAAATCACCACCACCGCTGACATACTGATTATAATAAAGAATCTGCCCCCAGCTGATCAGCGAAAAGACCCCGAAGATCTGTGGCTGGATTTGGAGCGGAAGATTGACCTGCTGAAGGATGAAATACGCTCCCATCGGGACAGCACCTAGCATGAGTCCACCTCGTCAGCCCAGCACCGAGATGAAAAATGCGACAAACTCGACCAGAGAGCACGCACAGCAAGCCCACAGCAGCATTATTAACGGAGGGAGCCCGTCGGTCTTCTTCCGCGTCCAGTTATGCCATATCTGGGGGATCAGTTGGATGCACCATAGCACGGTCCCGATTGTGCCGAACACGTTCGAGGCCACCGTCACGTTGCCGTCCGCGGCCATGATGAAGGGTCATTTGGACATGCGAGAATCGATGGTGGTGGGAAAATGTGATGCCGAAGAAATTCGACGATGAGAATGACGCAGGCTTAAATAAAAACTTCGGCCGTGAACGGGTCATAGAGTAGGATTAAGTTGCAACGGTGGAGTCACCGTCCGTAGGGCTCTGGATGACTGGGAGTCGGTTGCCACCAACGACAAACCCGTTCTCTCGCCTTGACTCGACGGTAGGAATATAAGTAGAAGGTCTTTCACTCTTCTGCCCGAAAGACAAAATTACCCCAGAAGCCGACCGCAATCGCAGAGGGTCGTCGGCCACGGCGACGATCCGACTCCATGGGCCCGAACTGGGAAGGAATAGTGCGAATCCGATGGTCTAACACCGATGCTGAAGATCGCTCCCATCCCCACAGCCGATTACATCAAGCCGTCAAATAAACGGACTGCGCTCGACCAGAGATGCCCGGACTAACGAGGTCGAGAAAGAGGCGAATGGGGAGAGACGGGGATTGCTCAGCCTTGGCAAAACCCAAAGCGACAAGCTTTTCGGGCTGTTTCTACTCTGGTTGTCTCGACACGTGAGAGCAGCACTCTGCGGAGCTACGAAGGAGGACGCGGTTGGCAGCGTTGCTGAACCATGGAAAACCGTTCATTCTCAATGCTCGTGTCGAATCAGCATGCGGATGCCCACTCAATGAAAACTGGAAGGACAGTATCCGTAACCATACACAAGGGAACCAATCAGATGAACATAGATTCTTCAGAAAAAATAAAAAAAAAATAAAATAAAAAGATCAGAAGGATTGCTGGTGGTTACATGGGAATAGCAGACAAGACCAAAAATAAAACACACGATAAAAAAAAAGAGACCATCAAGACGTAACGTGATTTCGCAAACCAGACTCGCGCCGAGTGATACTACTCGAAGGGTATCAAAGATAAATTTTTCCTCGCGACCAAAACTGAGCGAGGACCGTGACAGACCAGAAAATAGAGAAAAGAACGCATGAGGCCGGGGTTCGCCTCCACAAACTCGATCACAGGAGGATCAAGTAGTTCGATGGTGCGATACCCGCTTCTCCCGTGGATTTTCTGGCCTGCCACCATCGCCCGCTCACGTCCGACACCTCCAAGATCTCGTGCTTCGCGAAGCTAATCTCGTTGGCATCCTCCGGGTTGGCATCATACGAGTAGATTGCCTTCGCTCGGTATGGGTACTCTGTCGGCTGGGGAACCTCGCCCGCAACGTCGCCACTCCCGTTCTGAGGGAGATTGGTCGTGGATGGGTTGCCGAAGCGAGCCTGGGAGGGGCTGCGGTTCTCGGAGCCGGGGGGACCGCCGGGGTATCCGGAAACAGGTGACGAGGTTTCGAATCCGTTGAGCTGCGCGGACGTGTACATCTGCGGGGGCTGGCTGGAAGTCGTCTCGGGGCGAGCGCCAAAGGCGGACGACATGGGTCGGCTGGTGCCTTGCTCCTTGTGGAGGGCGAACGAATCGATGAATCCGCGGTGAGTCGCTTGGGGTGTTGACCCGAAGTAAAAGATCCAGACAATCTGCATAGCGGTAAGCAAAACCAAGCCAGCGCAATTCTTGACCAGACCAATATTCCACTTACGAGGACCATAGAGAGCAAGATAAAACCAGCACCGGCGGCTTGCGACGAAGAACTATCGTCGTATACTAACGAATTGACGGACAGGGTCGTAATCACGAGACCAGCCGACAGATACCCGACAATCTACCATCTGTCAGCATTCAACGTTCGTCAATATGGTCGATGGAACCATTATCATACCGCCACCCCATACGTCAAGCCAGTATCCGTGCCGAAGACGACCGTCAACCCAACGATGCAGCAGAACATGTAGGCAACGGCCCACCACGAATACGTCGGGTATTTGCCATTGATATCAGCGATGATGGAAGAGATGAATGCGATGAGCCATGCGAGCTAAACACGAGAACGGGGTTAGTCGAGGAATTCGGAATAGACCGTCGAGCTGGGAATACATACGATCGAGATCGAAACGGTGGCGAGCGCGAACGGGTCGCCAAGGATATTGCTGGGCCTGAACTGGGCCATCCTTCGAGTGGGCTCCGAATATGGGGTTGGTTTATGAAAAGACGGTGAATATGTGGAGTATTCTACCATGAATGTGGTTTGAGCAGGAGCGCGCTGGAATATATAGTGGGTGGCAGGGCGCGGGTGTTTGCTGTTCCTATACCGCTTCGACGATACGGGAGAAATGACGATGCACGGTAAGCCGGTTGTGGTGGTCCTCCTTTGTGGTCACCGAAAACCTCAATTTAGCGAAAGTCCGGGATAAGAGTCGATTGCCGGCGATATTGGTAGCGATCGAGTGATGAATATATCCAGACGAGTCGAACTACTAAACAGTCAGTCGAGTGTTGAGAAGAATCGAGGACGCGCTGGACAAAGAAACATGACGATCGGCGGAGGAATGGGACGGCATCGTGGAGCCGTGAGACAACAACAACACGTAGCGATGGCTTGCAGGCGCAGGGAGGGGGGAAAAGAAAACCGAGCAGCGCAGGCCGAAGGCAGGACGCAGCAATGCAAGATCGTACCTTGAGACAGTCGAAGCGAATGTATGACGACGGGGCTGGTGAAGTTTACAAAGACAACCAATGCAATAAAATCAAGGCGGAAATAAACTAAATTGAGACACCGAACCAGAGGGACTAAAAAGAGCGAGTCCCTCGCGAGGGTGGCAGGTGTTTAGGGAAGGCGACAAGAAAAAAAAAAAAGGAAAAAAAGGGCCCCTTGCAGAAAGAGGCACGAATAAACAGCAGCGCCTGGCTGGAGAAGGAAGGATAAAGTATGAAACGGTCGTGAGGTGGGGAAGAGAAAGGAGGGAACGAAGACGAGAAGGAAACGGAGGATGGAAACCACGCAAAGCCAGAGAAGAAGAGAACGAGGGGAAAACGAGTGAAGGGTCGATAGGATGAAAGGCGAGTGAGGAATAACGAGGGAGAACGGGGAAATTGAAGCCCCCAAACGAAACGACGGGAAAGGGGGGCAGTCACTGACCAGGCAGAGACTTGGCGGGTTTCGCAGTCGGTGGGCCGCGCACAGAACACGCCGATGGAATTGGCCCCGGAGGATCGAGAACAATCCGCTCGTATTGTCTTACTCTTCTGTCTAGGTATAAGGTACCTTAGTGTCTACTCTGTGCTGCATTTATCCATAGGAGGGACGGTTCTTCGGGTTCTGAGTTCTGACTGACGATGGAAGATGCCTCAGAATCCCCAAGACATGAATTCCCATCTACTCCGGTCAATTTCTATTAATACAGAGACTACCCGGCTGGATCCTCCTTCTCCGCTTTCAACGGAGCGACTGGACGGACACGCAACTTCACTGCGCCGATGGCGATGATTAGTCGGACGCTAGACCAAGTGGGTTTGGCTCATTTCCCTCGCATTCCGGTCGAGACCTGAGGCTGAGGACGACTCCGTCCGCTGTGGCACGCCGTCAGTGCCGGTGGCTTTGCCTCGCCCGTCCGTGACTCCATGTACCGGGTACCACGCCCAGGCCGCGTTAGCCAGGCACCGTCAAAGGTACCGGATACCTTGTCACCCGTGCCTGGCCCTAGGGCTTGTCCAGGTCCCATGTTTAAGACCGAGACCTCTTGGTTCGCTCCCCGTAAGGCACGCCGAGGGTGCGTGAAATTAGATCCAATTCCACGGTAATAGCGATGTTCACATGAACGGACCCTGGCCTTTCGCTCGACTCCGTGTCTCCCGTGCTTCGGGGAATGCCAATCTGACAAGGCTGATTTGGATTTGACTGGCTCCACGGTAAGGGCTGGAAGGAAGGAAAAAAAAAAAAGGAAAGAGAGAGAACAGCCCTCACGTCCAATAGTCAATCTCTCCGGCGGTTGTTGTCGGGCGCAGTGCAAGGGCAAACGTGCAGACGCTGATACACCTGCCGGAGCCACAAGCACTTGTCTAGACTCTCGATCCCTCGTCGATTGCAAATCAATCGACACTCGACCCAATTTCTCATTCCCTCCACACCAATCGTCCTCGTCACTCGAACGTCGATTACGGCGTACATCGATGATTGAACTAAATTAAAGACACATCGGCATTGTTCGCGCTAGCCCCTCGAATCCCCATCTACTTTCTTGTCATGTTCGATTTTTAAGCCCGACGAAACAGAGGCTGAAAGTTTGAAACCCGACGCCCGTTTTTCGTCTGGTGTTTTGGACGCCAGGTCCAGTCGATCAACGGGTCCTGGGCCAATTTCGGGGGCGTTTTAACTTTCCTCGACATTCGATGGACGCAAGGGTTGATCGGATCTGGCCCCGAAATTGATGCTGATGCTCCATCGTAGGTACCCGTGTTCGCGCATCACGTTTCGGAAAGTGTTCATCGTCATCTTCGCGGTTTCTCGCCCTTGATTATTACACGAGATGCAATAATCCCGCATGGAATGTGAGGGTCCGCTTTCTCCCCGACTTTGTGCCTGGAAATTCGCCGCGGAATTGAACCCGGTCCATTCATTGCCTTGAGTCTTCTTTTGTCCTTGGTCAGGCAATTCTTCTTCCCTTGCTGCGGCCATATCTTTAATTACATACACACATAACTGTCCAATACCTCGCCAGGTCAGCGTCGAAGATATTCGTACAATTGTGATTGTATACGCAGCCCCGGCTACCAGCATAAATCACAGCCTGTACACCGTCCCTGCAGCGCAATATCCCCTCAGACAGAAGGGAACCAGAAAACAAAAGAGGTATCATATCATAAATCACAAAACACAAAAAACCAATCCAATCCGTCCTTACAGCTCCTTCGCCCTCCTCTCCCGCACCACTTCTTCCCTCCGAACCTCCCTCTCCACATCCTCAAGTCTCCCCTCCCATTCAGCCCAACACTCCCCACCGCCCACCAGCGCGATCTCGTACCAGCGCTGCAGCGCCCGCGCCGTTTGTACCCGCAGCTCTGAGATCTCTCGCGCCTGGTCTTCCTGCTTCTGCGCCAGTTCGGTCAGTCGCGGCTGCAGCTCGATCAGGGAGGCGGAGGCCTGGGCGTCTGGGATCGGGAGGTCGTTGAGCGAGGTCAGGCGCGATGCGGTCTCGGGAAAGGCGGAGGCGTAGGAGAGGACGATCGAGGCGAGGTTCTGGGTCGTTAGGTTCTCTGGTAATGTCTGCGGCGGGGTGGGTCGGAAGAGGTCGGGGAAGCGGTCATCTAGAATGGTAGAAATAGAGGGTTAGTTGTTAGATAGCCAGTCTGGATGTTTGGTGGTTTGGCGATCAGGTTGGGATGCGTTCGGTATGTCCGCATTGGATCGGATGGGAACGAAAGGAGAGAGACAGGGAGGGATCGTACGAAGTAGAAGAACATCTCGCACGGCGGGGTTATTCCTGCTGAGCCGTTCTAGGTCTCGTTCGAGGTGGAGGAGACGACGCGAGACGCTCTCTTCCAAGGACGCCGGTTTGGCGGGCGCCGTGGGGATGCCGGTCCAGTTGGCGTCGCCGGTCAGGAGGTAGGTGAGTCGTCGGAGACGCGATTCGAGGAGTTCGATGGTTGCGCCGGCCACGGCATCGTTTTCGAGAGCCATTGTTGTCTGAGGCTGTGGGTGGTGGTGGTCAGGTTGTTTCTACTCCGGAGTTGCTGGTGATGCTCCGATCGGGGGCGGTCGGGGGAGTGCAAACATGACATACAAACATTTGTTTGGTGGAGCCGACCGCTTTGCCTAAGACAATGCTTGAATGTCCTTGATGTACTCCGTATAGTTAGCTAATTAGGTAGTTCTATTGACTATCCTATAAATCGCAGTCTATTCGAGTCAAGCAAATACTCATTCCTGATGGTATATAGCAAAAATTCATGTATTTACTCGAAAAAAACCATTCTATCGAATGGTGAAACATCGCACCCCTACAGTGGCACCCTACTATGGCGCGACTTTTGCTTCGCTGATCTCGTCCCATCCGGATTGCGGGTTTTGCGTGGGTTGCGCAAGTCCTGCGGTGTTACTGCGACTGAGCAAAGGCCGCCCACCCCTTTCCTGCATCTCCTGCTCCGGCCCCGTCTCGCGACCGAAGCCGCCGACTTGGTAATCGAACACGTTGACGGAAGCCTGCGAATGTTCGTCTGTCTGCATAGAAGTATCTGGTGGATTGGTGTCTGCAGTGAGATCCGGGTCCCGTTCTCTTGCCACGATTTCTGTGGCGCCAGATTCTTGAAACTCGGCGTCAAAGGCTTTGTTGTCGATGTGGACGAATTCCTGGAACATGATTAGATTTGTAGGCTTCGTCAAGGCAATGGTGACTTACTTGGAGTGGAGGCGGTGCCGGCTCATTCTGCATGTTCATGGCGTGGTCATGGGCGTACACAAGGAGCACCGTCTTCGATTCCTCACGCGCTGCCTTGAGAACCTCGATTTCTCGGACTTTGCGCGCGGTGTATCCCACCACATCGGCATCTTTTGACCCCGTGTTACCGTCATGATTCATCTCCGCCTGTCGCGCCTTTGCATCCTCGATGGAGAAGCTAATTCGCCACCACTGCCACTCGCTATCCGCCTCGGACCCCCGCGGTTCGTCCGTTGCCTGCCGTCGAAGCACATATGTGACATGTGGCTCGGTACAGACTCCTCGCAGCGTGTACTTGTGGTAAGGCGGTTCACCGGGGGAGGTCGACGGCTCCGTAAGGATTTTAGAGTAGCTGCGGAGGGTTGCCAGGGCTTCTTCCTTCCTGGATTCCAACTCTGAATCGTCCAGCATTAGTATACAGCCATACGTTCTCAAGGCTCGGATTACTAGGTACCTTTTAGCTTGTCCTCAATTTTGCGCGAGATGCCGCGCAGCTCCTCGGCCAGCCGTTCCGCATCAGCTTTGGAATATTCTGGGGCCTCGCTGGCCCCATTTGCACGTTGTTGTGTTAGAGCAATAGGCGCAGCAATCGCGGCTTTTTCTAAGACCTCCTTGTAGTTCATACCCCGGTGAGCGACCGACTTCGAGGCGGAGAACCGATGGACTAGAGTTTCCAGCTTGTAAACGTCCTCGAACACCTGAAGTCGCTGCGTACGGAATTCACGCGCAACGTCCCGACAGCTAGCGAGGTACCTATCGGGGTAGAAGATCGGAGGCACCTTAACGTCAATGGGCTTTGATGAGTCGCTGCTTTCTAATTTGATGGTCAAAACCTCGGCGACATGTTCCAGCCATACATCGTCGAGCGATTCACCGGGCCTATCCGACCACACCGTCCGGTCTAATACATCGTACAGGGTCTGACCATGATCAGGCTCCACAAATGGATCAATCGTGAAAAAATCCCTTTGGATTGGTGTATCGTATTCGGATAGAGGCCGCTTGTATGCGCTCGACGAGAATATGGTTGCCAACTGATTGCCGGGATCCGCTCGAACAGCTGCTTCTTGCCAAGTTTCCAAGAACCTGCTGATGCTGCCTTCGGAGCCATATGTGGACATGCACTTTAGGCTTTCGAGAGCGTCAGCGCTGCCAAAGGATCTGTTCGTGGTGTCTAGAAGGGCCACTAGTCTTTGGGTCTCGTGAATGATGTCATCCCAGTCGGTGTTGCCCTCCTCGACGTCTTGCATTGTCACGATCTTAGGGAGGCTGATAGGCTGTCCATTCCACCACTGCGAATCGTGGCCGTAGTCCGACAGCACTCGGCTTCTGAGCAAAAGTGCTTCCCTCGCTAGCGGGATCGAATGAAGGATTGTCAACAGCCCTCCTAGATATAGGTTATCTTGAGTGGGGCGAAGGAAGGCTGGCTCATCCCCCACCCTTTTGCGGTCTGCAGGATCCGGGCTGATGATGATTTCACGCGCGCTCGAGTTGAACAGAGTCATTGCCCAAGCGCCTTCGTCGTAGTGGTCTTGAGTCGCTCGTCCGAAATTTGAAGGCTTCGCACTTGTGACCCCCGACTCTTGGCTTCCGAGATTCTGGTTCAATGACATAGCCACCGCCTGTTGCAGCTGACGTTCCTCCTGCTCTGCTAGTGTTAAGCCTTTATTGGGGTCTGCTCGGAGTCGAATACGCGGTCAGCAGGTGCCAGATAATCTCCAATAGTGTAATTGCCACCTTGAATCTCCTGCGAAGGAGTAGTATTGGGTTGGTTCGGGGTAGGCATTTGCGCTTGTGATCTTAGATTCACACTCGATGGAGGGCGCGAAGGAGGAAAGGCTGCTGAACCGAGAACCGAGTCGTCGTCATGTTCGATTTGAAACGCTGCGGTGGGCAAAGCTGTTGGTCAAACTGATCACTCGGTATTGTGACTGAAAATACACGGATTTGACATACATGGAGCGTTCGCATCGTGTTGAGGAACGGGGGCCTAGAGAAGAGAACCCGCAAGTTAGTCGTTGATCGCTCTCTGAGCTCGGCGCATTTCAGGACTGCCTCACCTGGAGCTGAGAGCCCGTTGGATCTTCAAAGTAAGCATTGATGGCTTTATTTGGGTTGAGGTCATTAGCCTACGGCGATCCAGGTCAGCTGGCAAACCACATTTGAAGTGAGCGGTTCTTGCTAACTTTCAGGAAGCTGACGGCCAGTTCCCGCGATGCGCTCGTGAAGCTCACAAAGTTGGCAATCGCCTCCTCCGTGGGTTCCGAAGTCATCTCGAAGCCCTGGGCGGTCGGGGTTTCTGTGCACAAGCGAGAGTTCTTTCCTGCCAGACAAGACGAGTGCGGGGATGGCTTGCGGGGAGACGAAGGAGACGAATTGTCTGGATGGCGCAGCTGTAAGGCAAGTCGGAGAGCTTCCCCACCACATGACATGCCGCTGCCAAGACACGCCGGGTTGTTTTTCCCACCGCAACAATGAAGTCATTTTTACGGAGTATTCATTTTTTGCCTGGTAAAAGCTATCGGATTTATAGAAAGCTTCGGATATTCTCCGCAGTGCATCTCGATTATACACATGTATATCTGGTACCTGCCACGGGGATTTGCGTAGGTATACCGAGTAGATGTACTCCACATACTACAGAGAGTATATACCTTCAGAACCCGGATTGGGATAAGTGTCTAGCCAAGTTGAACGAGTACTCCTAGTATATCGAACCAAACAAAATAGCCTCCCAGTGCGCGATATCTGTATGCAGGACAGTGAAATGGTTCCAAGCTGAATCATGCTGACCCACGGAGGCGTGCACAGAAACGATAAGACTGACTGACTCTTGCAGGTCCATGCTGCGGCAGTGTCTCAAGGGTGACGCTGTAACGACCAGGATATCGTAGTCCAATGTGTTCTAAAATATGACAATCACTGCAGCGTGGGGGCGTTCGTATACGGCTGAGATTTCAATACTACCAGCTTTGCTGCTAACGGACCTTGAAGCTTTCAAAGCTTATTGATATGCTCTCTCAACTGTCGTCGGTAATTTGGCCTTCTACAGTAGTCAGCTACCTGACACAAGGCCGCAGGCAGCCAATAAACGTATTGCTCAAAGTTTGAAAGCGGTGCTCGCTGCCCCCGGGAAGCAGATTGCCCTGATGACTACAGCTGCCGACCAGGCGAGCAGATCGACGAGCCGTGGGGCAGTGTCGCACTTGTTTGTTTGAACAAAGGCGATCCTAGTGGATACGCGTGCCTTGAGCACAAGCACTGTGGGAATGGCGGCGCGTACCACTGTAACATAAAGTTGAACGGTCACTGGTACTGTGGTGTCAATCATGATTGCGAACAAAACGGCTCCGATTGTTTGAGGGGCAGTTCATGCTATTCTGGGAACTGCCACTATGGATGGAATCGCTGGGCCTGTGCTGAAGAGGCTAGTATTAAGTCTAATCGTTTACATGGAGGAGATCTATAGGGTAGATCCCCTCTTAGTTTGTGTGTGGGCAAATTGTGCTGGATGTCGAGTAACACAGAAAGTTATGGACATGTATGCATGTCAGCATAGCCACTTATATTAAGTGCCATCAGACGCATACGTCAAATAGAGAAAGTGTTGAATTACAAAGAAAAGTATGGATACTAAGTACAGATAATAATTTCCGAAATGTCCTATACATATGACAAAGAAGCAACAAGAAAACCGCTGGCCTTAAGATGAGTCGAAACAGAAGATTCCGCACAGACTAGGCTGGCACACGGAGAACAATATCACGATAAGGTGAATATAGCCAGATAATATCATCCTATGTCGATTAGCTTCGTCCAGAGAGGTAAGAGTATATACTTACGCCATTAAGCAGATCCTCGGGTTTCGTTTTCGAAAGGGCTGGCTGCCGAAAACACTCAACCTTATTTACATACTGATATTTTCCAGTTTTCACAAGGCAGAACCTCAGAACATGATCGGGACGGTAGTCTAACTCCAAGATATCAACTTGGAGTGACGTACCTTCATACCATTGCCCTAGTGTGCTGATACCGCTGTCGTTGTTGTATATCAGTAGCATACCTGTACAACGATCCCCCAAATAGCAAACCTTAAGTCTTTTAATATCCGCTAAAGAAGCCCGCGATGTGAAGCTAGTCCAAGGGGAGGAATTGAGAAGGTTGAGGTGATTGAAGTGGTACGGCATATCCGGCATTCCGTGATCTGTTGGTATCAAAGGGGATGCTTCAGGGCGATAGATAGCACCTATGCTGGTAAACATAGAAAGACCTGGGGATACGTCGTAATATAAGCCCAGAATATCACTACTCCTGCCACAAAATAACGTTTTCACTTCAACTTCCGAGGGCGGTATATATGGCGCGAGGGTTAGATTACGCCCCTTGCTGGTTGTAATCTGTATCGGATTTAGGAGATTAATATAAAATCGAGGGTAGTGAGCTTACTGCGAGATATGGTCGGCAGGTACTACCCCAGATCACGGATATTGATGTTAAATCTTCGGAACGTGAAAGTCCAGCATGAACTGGGTAGCCGCTTTGTTGGCCATACCAAGACACCATATGACCGAGATCTGAATGGTCGTTAAGATGTATTCCCAACCCAACCAACCCCCTGGTGTCACAAAATGCAGTGAGGCCACATAAATAATACCCCTCCCGTTGCAGCGGGATATAGGCCATGAATCTTTGGGTTTGGGAAATAAAGTCGTATCTTTGCGGCCATTCATAGAACGAGGTTTCTGGTAGGTTATAGAGTTGGCTCGGGAGCCAGGGGCTCACCCAAAGAAAGTCGTGGCCGAACTTTTGCTCAATACCGGGCTCGGAAACTGGCTTCAAGTGGGAAACTTTTAGACCCTGCTCTTATCAGTGGGTTGGCTTAATTTTGATGAGCAGGTATCATACATCCCACTCTAGTTCCACCCGAAGTGGCTGTGATGACTGAGGATATACAACACCTAGGAACTCTTGGCTATTGGATTTGGATTTATTGTTGATACATGCTGTGTCATTTGACAAGAATTCGATGTGCCGTAGTCCGTATAGACCGAGAGTGAAGACGAATACAGACATAGACGAGAATATCGAGTGGCTCAGGGACCAGTTACTCCGATGTCCGTAAAGTCTGTCTCCTACACATATCCCGGATATATACGTTCCATCCAGAGTGGAAACTAAATAAACAGAGATATCTCCCGACAACTGAACCGTCGCGGATACTGGGACTGGGACCCTATTAATAACCGGCCAGATTGTCTTGGTAGCCCAGAGTGAGAGTAAGCAGCGAACAGCAGAAGGGGGTATAAATTCCCAGATGGTGTTGATAAGCTCCGGTGGAAGATTCGCAGTATTCGCAATGAGCTTATCAAGATCTGTTTTGTAAGCAGAGTCCGTAAGAGACAAGGGTGTGCCTATGGCTTCTGTTCCCGTAGGGGGGAGTGAGTGTGACAAGGAAATAACTGCAGTCGATCCGATCCGAGAAGGAGTTGAGACACTCTGCGGGAGCTGTTCCCATACCAGTGGATTTATCGCAAGCCCGAGGTTATAGACAAAGCGTAGAGATAATTGACCTTCAATTGCTGTCCAGCATAGAGCATGAACCGAGGGCGCAAGCGTAGACCTCCTCTGATTCTCTGACTTGGATATTTGAATATTAAGACTGTGAATATAAATGATTCTCCTTTTCTGATGAAATTTCAATGGCTCTGTCAAGACTGGATGATCCTGCCTGTTAAAGAAAAGGACTTTTTCACATCAGTATATGCAAGACTTAACGAGCTAATTGATTCCTACCTGAGCGAAAAAGAACGGCTGGATTCAATTTCTCCCCACATAAAGAACAGTATGGCGTCCTATGATACGTAGTGGTCTCCATTGGCGCATGTGCGATATAGAGAAGAGGCTTGATGAGGCCAAAATCTTACTCTATTAAAACTCGAGGACTAGGCAAATTCCGGAAAGCTTTTTTCCAGCATGACATTAGAGAGATTTTGAAGACCTTGATTAAGCCGTCAGACAGGAGATGCTAGGAAGGGGAGAGAGGAAGGTTAGGAAAGACACAACAATGGAGTAGTACATGACTAATATGCAAGGAGTTGGACTAAATAGCAGTGAGCCCCCTTACTGTACTTCTCAGAAACCCCGTTCTGCTATTATTTACCTCCTTGGTAATGATCACAAGCCGTTCCATTCTATACCAACTAGTAGCAGACTATACCAAAGCCTGTTGAATGCCTTGTGTTATATTGCAAAATTAGGAACTACCAAGTCTCGCCTCCTTTGGGGGGCGCCTCAGAGTGTATCATGACCAGTATAGAGCTTCTGCTTAACATTGACAAAATAGCCATTGTCCAGAGACCATTCACTGCATGGGCCGCTGCCATTCTGGTCATCGTATAGCACCCATTCGCACCAATCTGAATGAGTACGATGGAAAGTTGCAACTTTCGTATAGTTTCGAGGCGGGAATGGCGCAGAGTCCATGGTCGGGGTGTCTTCTTGGGCCTGTAGACTTGAACCAAGAAACTCCAAAGGAGGAATAGGAATAGGCTCCAAGTGGCATGGTAGACCTTTCTGAGCATTTGTGTCGATCTTATTAAGGTGATGTGCCCCAGATTTTGACGTTGGTTGAAAACTATCGTCCCCTTTGAAAATCCAAGGTTCTGGCGCGATTGTCAACATCTTGCGAAAGATCTTTATGATCTTTTCTGCATCAGCGTTTTCACCAAGATCCAAGTAGTGGCTGCTGGTACCACGATATGGATTATCGGACAAGGCCTCGAGTTTCCGCCCATTTTCGTTCACCTTCCACAACCGGATTTTAACACCAATAATGGTAGCAGCATACACAAACAGGCAGTCGTGGGACGGGTCCTTGAAGAATTCCTCGCAGTAGTCAAGAGCCTCCTCCTCAACAAGATCGGTGTTGTAATGGCCACTTGCACGAGGACGCTTCGCCTCGATGATGCATAAGGTTTGGAGTTTGTTGTCCTTGGTGATGTATTTGATGGCCAGGTCGGCCCGCGAGTCTGACTCGGGGTAGGGCGGGCACTGAGAGTTGACAAAAACAGTATCGTATCTTTCATCGCCTGCAAACACCACTTTGTTCAAAATATTTTCCATTAACTCAACAGTAACGTTCTCTTTGGGCTCCTTAAAGTCAGGTGGCAGAGGATGAGGGATTTTGGCCTTGTCATAAGAAATTTGATTGGCCCACGTAATAAGACGGAGCGCCATGTCAGTCAGGCTTTGGGGGAAGAAGAGTTTATGAATATTAGAGCAACTGTAGTTGATAGTAAGGAATACAAAAATGCATAATTCCAGGAGACCTTAGACGCTCTTCTTTTATAGTTAATGGATCTGCCTACGAGCTCGGTTGGCTGTGTGAGGGGAAGTAATCAATCGAACTGTTCGCTTGGAGTGCCCCCCCCCCTTGAGTATGGCCAACTAGAGCCCAGCACAGCCCCCCCCCCCCCCCCCCCCCCCCCAAGCTGAAACTTGCGACTTAAATATCCAGAGATTATAACCCGAGGAGATTTACTGCTAATTGCGACTAGTAAATACCGGTAATCTACTAGAAAAAAGCCGACCTGGAGACATGTGAACTCTCTTGATTGTACCCATGTATGGCTGGTACCTTCTACGAGGATATCACTCTGTTATCTCTCAAAGAGAGACCGGGAAAGCCTTCAGTCTTTAACCCTATTCCTATCACAAACATCCTTCACTATCTCGCATAAACTCAAAAGCCAGGGACTGTATATACTCGGGGATCTGTAGTGGATAGACGGGGCAAGTGATGTTCGCCCAGAGAGTGGTGTCCATGTCGTACAGGAGGCATGACTCCACTGGATGATTGCATTGATGCATATTTCCTGGAGACCGTGACGTTATCTTAAGAACCATAATTATATTATTTTCTGGCAAGTGGGTCGCAATAATATGCCCCGAGATGCAGCATGTTTCGGTTGTCTTCTCCTACAGCCGCATCCGGACAGACGTGACCATTACCCCTTCCGGCAGCCAGCCTCAGACCTTCAAATAGATTGGATTCTCGCCAAAGGCCTGCGTGTGATCGGTAAATACAGAGAACCCAATCCAATCAAGCCTAATTGCTTCTCGGTTTGCAGCGGAGAACATGCTGGCAAATTGGATCCAGGGCAATGAACTTCCCATCCTGATAGGGGCTGTGATCACCCTATCCTGCATTCTGGTCTGGATTTCTCGGGCCTCTCCTTTACAAAATGTTCCTGGGCCATGGCTCAATAAATATCTGGGTGTTAGGATTGCCCTGGCGGAAATGCGCGGGCACCGCAGCCAGCAGGTCGTCGCATGGCACCAGCAATACGGTCCAATCATCTGCATTGCGCCGACTCAGATCTCGATTGCCTCATTGCCAACTATTCGTGAGATCTATAGTTCGACGGGCCGCGCTGACAAGAGTCCCTTCTTTAATCACTTCGTCGCCTTCAATCGCCGGTCGGTCTTCACGACCCTCTCCTTTCCGGATCACAAACGCAAGCGAGCCGTTCTCTCCGCATTCTTCCAGGGCTCAACCATATACGGGCAACCTGCCATTGAGGCCTTCATCCGTAACCATGCCTTGGCTATCTTAAGCCAGGTTGAGGAGAGAGGCTCAGGAAAGAGACCCGTCGACTTCTACCCACTTGCCGACTGGTACGCATTTGACAATGTCGCTGCACTTGTCTTTGGCCCGCAGCATGCCTCTGCAACTACAAAGCACCCGTGTGAAGAGCGTGAGATACTACGAGACCTCAAACAGGGCCAAGCATGGTCCCCACTCCGCCAACGCTTTCCATGGCTGATCCCAATCGTAAAGATGGCTGTCCATATCCATAATGGGAATACGGGCCAATTCGACGCGGAACGCCGCTTGGCCCAGTGGACGTATGATCGGACGCTGCGCACGCTACAAGACCGCAATGCTGTCGGGTTCGACAATCTAGCTGTCTATTTGGCGAGGAAACTAGGGCTCAATCTCGGTCCAGGTGCTCTGCAGGAGACCTACGACGACCATGCTCACGGCCTTGTGGAGTATATTGCGGCAGAAGTGCTAGACAATATCAATGCAGCAGAGGCATCGGTTGCCGCAACGATCACGTACGTGATTTGGTACGTGAGCATCAATCCTAAATGGCAGCAGAGACTCCGAACGGAGCTTCTGGCGCTGCCCGTGAAATCGGATGGCCTACCCAGCTTCAACGACCTCGATCGGGCTCCCATCCTCGATGCGTGCCTGAAGGAAGTGTATCGCTTGAAGCCGGCCAGCGGCGGGCGTGCCGAGCGTGTTATCCCTGCTGGGGGGCGCGTCGTATCGGACGTTTATGTTCCTGAAAAGGTACCATTTCCCTCTTCCATGACGTGATGTAACGCTCACTGATGCCTGTTGTCTTTATCTGTACAGACCGTGGTTGCGGCCTCGATTATCGCAGTTCACACCGATCCTGCCATGTTTCCCGACGAGTCGAGATTCTGTCCCTCGCGCTGGTTGGAGGCGGACGAGGCCACATTGGCCCGGCTCAATGCTTCTGTCATACCGTTTGGATATGGAGCGCGGGTGTGCCTGGGCAAGGTGATGGCGAACATGGAGATCAAAATCCTGCTGGCAGCGATGTTCTTGCGCTATGAGATTGTGCCTGCTAGCGTGCACACGGGCGCATCGATGAAGCAGGCTGCTGCTCGGGATGGGGTCCGTAGTGGCCTCAGTGGAGAGTTTTATTGCCGACCTTTTCCTGGACCGAATTGGCAGAACTGAGGCTTCGTCGATGGATTGGGTGGTATAGTAATCTCTGGCAATAAAACGATCATCTTCAGTTTACTTGGCCTACTTTTATCTTTCCATTGAATTTGTTTTGTTCTGATTGAGTTTTGTTTTGCAATATGACCAGTCTTGTATACAAAGAGTTTGAAAGGACTCCAGACCCGCCTGTCATCCTGCATGCCATGACCACGAAGCTTGCAGTCCGCATGGAAAAGCTAACGATGAATCCACGACCGAAGATCAACCACGCAACGCCTTGGAGATGGCAGCCAAGCCCTCTACCAGACTATCTGCGCTTGACCAACCGTACCCGAGTCGAAAGTACGTGTCCGGCCGCTCAAACCATCGTCCTGGTCCGACATACGCTTGATGTTCCGATAGTAAACGATCATAAAACGCCGCAGTGCCCCCAGGTGGCTCCCTCGTCATGCGTACAAAGCCCATGACGCCCCCGTCCGGGTACACCCACTCCACGAGTTCCTCCGACTGCACCCAGGCCTCCACCACGTCCCGACGGCGTTTCATCTCCGCGATGGTCGGGGCGAGGATTGATTCGCAGCGCTCCAGTATCTGCTCCGCCACGTACTCATCCAGGACGCTCACGGTGATGTTGATCTGTTCCTTGGCAGCGAGGAAGGTCTCCTGCAGCTGTTTGTTCTTGGTGGAGATCCAGCCGATGCGGATCCCGGGGACACCAAAGGCCTTGGACATGGAGCCGACGCCGACAACGTGAGATCCTAGCGAGGCGCAACCCGGGAGACGGTCGAGATACGTGAGTTCCGCGTACGTCTCGTCCACGAGAACATAGCAGCCGTGTCGCTGAGCCAGCTCGGCAATTTGCCGCAACTCCGCCGCGGACATGCAGGTGCCCGTCGGGTTGTTCGGGGTGGTGAGACTGATGAGCTTGGTCTCTGGCTTGATAGCCTCCGCGATACGCTGGACATCGACCTGGAACCCCTGGTCGAACTCCAGATCGATGTAGGTGATGTCGCAACCAATGGCACGCGGCGTCTCAATGTTGCTGGCGTAGTTGGGCCGGGTGACTATGAGGTGGTCCGATGCGTTGAGAAGCGCCGTGGCCACGATAAACAGCGCGGCGGACGCGCCTGCAACCACCAGGATATCGCTGGCGTCTAGGCCGTCACGCTGAGCGATGAGTTCTCGGAAGCGGTCGCTCCCAAAGTGCTTGCTGTATGCCAGTGGCAGATCTCGGGGGACGGGTATCCCAAGGTCTTCCAGGGTGTGGTCGCCTACAGCGCTGTCGCTGAGGTTGTGGAGGATTGGCTGTCCAACCTCTTCGGGAGCTTCAATCTCGATGGCTGAGCGCTGATAACGCATGTTAGCGGTCGTAAGAAGAATGGTCAAAGGAGAGCTTGCGCTGTAGACAAACAAGGCAGCAGTGGATGGGAATATAAACCGGCTGGCATAGTGCCGAATGCAGTTTTAGCACACTATGTGAAAGTTCCTAGACGCCGTGCCTGCCTCACTCTGCAGGACGCATCTGGCGTGTGTTGTGGTGTTCTGCATTCGGCAAAGATGTAACTCGAAATCCGCATGCGGGAAGAATTCGCCGTAGGAGAAGGTAGGAATGTGGCATCTGACCATGGATTGTCTCACCCAAGAATGTCTGACAGCAGGAACACACTATATCAATAAGTAATGACAGGGGCTCAAATTGCTTGACACACCTTTAATCGAACTGGGAAACATTTTCCGCCATCGACGCCGTCGCGATGTCGTCCACCGTCACCAAACCATCACGAGCAAGCCTACATCTCCAACCGGCGGATTTTGAGAGCGTTCCTATCATTGATCTCTCTAAATTGCACTCGTCCAGCATCTTGGAGCGACAGGAACTAGCACGCGAGATCGACCAAGCCTGCACTCAAGTTGGCTTCTTTTACATCAAGGTGCAGTTCACTCTGTCCGGATCTTCCAGCGCTTGACCTGAGCCCAAGGAGCTAATGTTGTGTCGCCCCCTAGAATCATGGCATTGCAGAGGAGCTTATCAATGGAGTTCATGAGGCAGCTCATCGATTCTTCTCCCTTGACGATGAGGAAAAGATGAAGCTCTACGTGGGAAAATCACAGGTATGTCTACAGATGTTGATGAGATCCTCATGGAACACGGGTCTCACGGCATGATTCTAGCACTTTCGTGGCTACAGCCCCTTGTATGGCGAGAAATCGTCCAACCCCGACCTGGAAGACAACGCCCTGAAGAACGCCCCAGGGGCTCTATCTGAAGCATTCGATATCGGATACGAAGTGTCCGGGGACCTGCAAAAGGGTTCGGACAGCCGGCTTCCCGTCGACAACTTCGGGCTTCATGGGGACAATCAGTGGCCAGAGGAGAGTCTCATCCCGGGGTTTCGAGCCATGTACCTACGGTATTTTGCCGAGGCCCTTGAGCTTTCGAGAGCGTTGATGAGGATCTTCGCTTTGGCCCTGGGCCAGAGGGAGGATTTCTTTGACTCCATGGTGAAATTTCCGGGAGTCACGTCGAGAATGTTGCATTATCCGCCGCAGCCCGTCCAGGGACAAGAGATCCCTGGGCTGGCAGCGCATACGGTGAGCTGCTCGTCCAGCACATTGGGTGACAATGACAATATTCCAATACGGTGAATCATCTCTAGGACTACGAATGCTTTACGATCCTGTCGCAGGACCATGTTCCTGCCTTACAGGTTTTGAACAGCCGGGGTGAATGGGTGGTTGCACCTCCCATCCCAGGGACCCTCATTGTCAATATCTCGGACACGCTATCTTTTTGGTAAGTAATGCGATTGCGGCGTTTGGCTAGACACCCCTTTAACGACTCTATAGGAGTAACAAGAGGTTCAAGTCAGCTATTCACCGGGTGGCCAACCTGTCTGGAGAAGAACGATACTCTATACCTTTCTTCTTTGGCGTCGACTACGACAGCACTATTTCCGTGCTCGAAAACCAAGTCTCTCCTGGTAATCCTCCGTGTAAGGAGCCATTCAAAGCGGGCGAGGTACGTGAAACGCCATCTCTCTTAGACAGTTTTGAGTTGACCATAAGCATCTATAGTACGTGCGCTGGAAACTTTCCCAAGCATACATAGGATATGGTGGGGAGCCTGCAGGTAAGAGCGAAGATGCTTGACATCTATACGGACTGTTGCAGGGATTGCTCGTACCCAAACAGCTATATAAGTTATACAATAGGACCTCCTGATTATCTTAATATGATTACGCGAAGCCTTAACTATCCGATTAAGTTTACTCATCTATAGGCCTAGTAACCCTAGTTTTTCTGTTGACGTTGGAAGGTAGGCACTTCTGGATCTCAATAATCGGCGTTGTAGTTATGAGGCAAAAAGCCATAGGACATCCAAACGTTTTCTGAAAGGTTGATCTTTGTAATGTAACGTAGACATAATTACATCGCGCTACTGCTTCACTGGATTGATTAATGATTTCCAAATTTCATCTTACGATCTGCTTTAGTTACCGCTTAGACACGACACTCCCCCCCGATGTAAGCCAAATGGCTACATACATATCAAGATAGAAATATAACATCCTTTCCTTTAGCGCCTGACCGTGCTGTCCCTCACCAGATCCACCGTGGCACAGTGGAAGGAGCCTCCGATACTGTTGACATGCCTGAAGGGGCATAGAATACATTCCATGCCCAAAGACTCGTAAAACATTGCAGTCTGCTGATCGCTGGACTCAACCACGACCCGTTTCCCGTCCAACACCAAGGCATTGAGACTCAAGTAGGGACTTGTCATATAAAGCGGCGGATCCTCCGGCTCCTTCGGGGTGAACGGGTAAGGGCGCAGGTCCCAATCGGCCAGCACCGCGTGTTTGCGCAGTGCTTCCTCGGTGACCTTGCGGGGGTTGTAGACCAGCAGGCCTTCGCGCAGGGGAAGAATCGTCGCGTCGATATGCATCGCATGGGGGTCGTCCACCTCGATTATCTCGATCTGGTACCCCGCAGGCAGGCTGCGCTGGATGTACTCCACGCCGGCTTGGTTTGTAACGTGGCTGAGTTGTCCGAGGATGGTCTTGCCAAACCGCAGGAAGTCCGCCGTGTCGAACGCCGGGCGGCTGTTGTTGATCACCCACGGACTGGGCTGACTCCCATCCTCGTCCAGCAGGGTATCAGCGAGGGTGTGTGGCGGGCGGCGAATGATCTCCACCCGGCTGTCCTGCGCCAGCTCGCTTAGGATGAATTCATACGCGATTTCAATCTCCTGATCCCGACAGGGCCACGCAAAACAGGCTTCGATTAACGTGTTCTGGACGCTCATGAGCCCATCGCGCGGCATGGCCCCGGTATATCCATCCACATCCAGCCAGTTGACCCCTGCGGGCGGCCGGTACACCCGGACTCCCTCGGCCTGAAGGATGGCTGCGAAGTAGTCCAGTTCGGCCTCGGCCTTGGCGATGAGCTTTTGATCGAAGGGACGTCGGGGTTTAAAATGGTGGACGTGATGTGAAGGCATCGTTGCTTCGATCATCGCCGGGGGAGCGTTGGGAAAGCACGCTTTCCCTGCTCGTCCCACGATCACCGAGCGGAGAGGAGACCATTCGTCATCGGCTTGGACAGACGGCAGAGAATAGTTAACCATTGCGGTGTATTTGGAAAGGAAATTCAAAAGTCGCCGGGGAAAGGCTGCTCTGTCGGGCTGATCTCTCGAAGAAATGATAAATGCAACCAATGAAGCATCAGACGCAATGTTCGGAGGCCACTGTGCTCCCTGATATAAGGACCTGCTGTGTCGATATCCGTTTTCAGACTACAATGGCTTCGTCGCTGCGGGCCAAAAGATCCGGATGCTTCCCCGCAGGTGTCAGACAGCACTCTGGTTGCACACCCAATGGCTTTCCATTGTAGACTCAGATAAGGTTAAAGCTGAGGCGATTTGGAATTATGTGCCCGCAGGCCAAGAATGTTCCTGTCCTACCAACTCCGGCTGTATCTCATTCCACCGAGACAGCGGGACGATCGCTCTCTGTCAGTTCCCCAGAAAAGTCCAAGCTGTCCCCGCCGAATGCGGCAGTGGAGCAAGGGAGCAACGCATTCCGCATGTCAAGTAAGTGAATCACCAGATAGACAGGCCTCCGGAATGTGGGATCTGGTCGCAGCCTGGCAAGGGGTTTATGCCCCGAAAATGGAGCCCGTCCGTCTGCTGAACCGTCTCTGGTAGAGCGTATTTTGCCATTACTACCAAGGCATAAACAGACTCGGAAAATTGCTCCATCGCCCCAGAACCTTCTGATTTCAGAACCTGCCGACAACGGTGTTGGCTACGATGTGCCCAAGACACATGTCACTGTAACGTCGCGGCTCATGGATGCGTGCGTCGTGATTCACGAGTCCCCATTCCTCATTGGAGCCGTATGCCGGACATAGCATGTTGCACAAGTCATATAAATGCCAGACGGATAGATAGTTATAGACGGCATAAGTTAACAGCCAGAACACAGTGAACTCGAGAGCAGCACTTGCCTTACCTCGGACACAATGGCGCCGTCATCTCCTACCATTACCTTTCATATTCCTGCTGGCCCCGGATATTCCTTTCGGGCCAGGCTGCTCCAGGACGAGAACCCCGACGTCGTCCAGCAGGTCCTGGCTCAGCTCCCCCTCAAGAGCGTTCTGGGTCATGTCGTGATCGCGGGCGAGACCTTCTGGACCCCGACCCGGATCGTGCACCTGGGCCGCAACCACATGGTCCAGCGGCATTTGGGTGCGGTGTATCTGAATGCACCAGGCCAGTCGATCTGCATCACCTACGGCACTATCACGGAGAGTGCCAAGATCAACAAGTTCGCCGAGGTGTTTGAGGAGGACCTCCCCAAGCTGGCGGAAATCGGAAAACTCGTATACCAGCAGACCGTTGCGCAGCCGCGCCACACGCTCATGGAAGTGGAAATCTCCAGCGAGAGTTGCCCACGCCTTAATCCGTCTGAAAACCACCCGGTGGCAGCACCGCCCTCCTCGCCAAAGCATCACTGGCTCGCGGTCAAAAGCATAATAGACCAGGAGATCGACCGAGTCTGGCTCGAAGAGCCGGCGGAGGTCCAGAAAGTCCGCTGGGGGGTGATTGACAGCGGCGCGGGCAGTGGCCAGCAGTACTTCACGGTTTTGGTCCACCTGGAGGCGTATCTCATGGTCATGGGTGGCGATGTGATAAGCCGCTTCCTGAAAATCGCCCAGTACGAGGATGTCCAGCTGCCGACTTTGAATCGCATCACGAAAGAGTTCCTGGTGGAGAACTTCGACCTCTTTGAGTTCATGGCGGACTTGGGGCTGGGGAATATGTTCAAGATCGGCCAGTTGTATTCAGATGCGCTGGACACACTGGCTACCAAGGAGGAATACATCCAGCTGACCGGGGCGATGCAAACCTATGTCAATCGGATGCATCGCTGGGCCTACTTCATCTTTCCATGGCACCTTGGAGTTGCATTCCCGCGCCGGAAACCAGCTGAGCTCCGTTCTTTCTCCAACCTTGTCACTTCTGGTCTTCATAATTAGCAACTACGAAGAGCTGGCAAAGCGCGGCCCGGTTTTCAGGGGAAAACAGCTGAAGGTAGCCGAAGAGTCGAATTCCCAAATTCCAAGCTCCACTTGTCTCCTATCGTTACGTGTTTCTGAGAGCGTTATTCCAAGTATGAGAGAGCTAGAAGTGGGCGAATATTCAAGCAGGCCAGAGCAAACGGCCGAATACTATGCGGTGAATTTGCCCCCCTCCCCTCCGGCCAGTGGTTACTGTGATTGGGGATGAGTTACTTGTAAAGCCTCATTATGTCCACCTTGCGTAACAGCCGCCTAGGCAGTCGATCATTAGTTATGAACATGTCTTAAATGCCGCTAATAATCATCGAACTAGGATTCCTGCCAAGGGGTATTTTCCATTGTAATCCGGTTCCCTAATGCGAAGGCCCTATTTAGTCCAACAAGGGCAACCAATGTTCGCAACTTCTGTCGACAGGCTCTCAAAATGGGCCTCATGCCTTGCAGATGCAACGTGACACCTTGTAACGTGGCATGCAAACGCCCAACCGATTGCAGCATCCATTGTATTCGATAGAAGTCGAGTATGTGGAATATACAGAGTTACTTTTCTCTCCGGCTCCCCTCTGTCCTCAGCTAGACACTTATATATACTCCATGTACGCGTCGTTTTCAGAGTTAACGAAGCATAATCTGTCGGTCATCAACTCGGGCTTGTTTGGTTTGGATGCCAGGATGGGCGCAGTCGCAGATCCAGAAGCAACTCAGGACCTACTACAACCTACATCTCAAGATGGGTTGTCACCCAGGAAGCCCATGCAGCTCTCCGGCTCTTTAGACCAATTTTCTTATTTTGACGTGACCCCTGCCATTGGCAGAGAGTTCCCTGGCGTTGACCTCAAAGCATGGCTGGAGTCTCCGGACTCGGATTCCTTGCTCAGGGACCTTGCAATCACTGGTATGGCTTCGTACCCGCGTTGCACGCGGATAGGGCGCTAACCCATACACTAGTGTCTCAGCGAGGTGTCGTCTTCTTTCGCCAGCAGGACAATCTGAACGATAGTCTGCAGAAACATCTTGTGCAACGTCTCGGAGAGCTATCTGGGAAGCCCCAAACATCCGGGTTGCATATCCATCCATTTTTCAACGCTGGACTGCCCTTTGGGGGTGACGACAACGAAATAGACGTGGTTAGCACTCGGCAGGACAAGGCGGTATTTGGTGTTCCCGAGACGTTTGCGAAGAGACAGTATGCCTGCAAGGAATGGCACACTGATATTGCACATGAGCCTGTCCCCAGTGACTATGCCATGCTACGCCTCTCTGAACTACCGCAAGGCGGAGGTGGAGGTAAGTCAGTCCTCGGCTCTTTCTTCTCTGCCCGAGCACACCTGGCAGTCCCTTTCAAATCCGACTTGACGGATTCTTTCCCCTAGATACTCTCTGGGCTTCGGGATATGAGCTCTATGATCGCATCTCAAAGCCCTACCAAAAGTTCCTCGAGGGTTTAACGGCGACCTTCGTCCAACCCAGCTATGACAGGGTCATGAAGCAGCTGAACCACCAGCTGTACACGCAGCCAAGAGGCTCTCCTGAGAATGTAGGATCCGAGTTTGTGGCGGTCCATCCTGTGATCCGCACCAATCCAGTGACCGGTTGGAAGAGCCTATTCGCAGCCGGAAGCCATATTCAGCGCATCAACGGCCTAGAGAAAGAGGAGAGCGATGGCCTCCTGCAATGGTTTACCCGGTTGATTACCGAAAACCACGACTTGCAGGTACGGTATAGATGGCAGAGCCGGAACGATGTCGGTACGTATTGACGCGGTCCTCTGACGGTGGAGTCCTTGACGTTAACAGGTGGCGACACAGCACTTTGGGATAATCGATGTGTTTTCCACGCAGCCACCAAAGACATGGATATCCATGACCAGCGGACTGGGCATCGGGCTATGGGGGTAGGAGAGCGTCCGTACCTGGACCCAAGCAATAGGAGCCGGCACGAAGCCTTGGGGTTTCTGTGACTGAAGGCAGCAAGCAAGAAGGGTTCGATTTGACTGAATGGAAGGGACAAGTTGCATGGTGGCGCTTTATTTGGAGTTGCATTCCCACACCGGACACCGGCTGAGCTCCGTTCTTTCTCCAACCTTGTCACTACTGGTCTTCATAGTAGATAGGAACAGAAAACACTATCTTATGCTGGATTACTATTGAATAGATCAGTAAGTAAAATCGTGCACCCGTTTAGGTTTAGTGTGTCCTAATAGTACCAAGTGGTTGGTATCATCCTGCGAGGAAGGATATTCTAATACAAAAAGTGGTTGAAATCAATTGTCACTGTAGGGGTAGTCCTTAGGTGCATAGAGGTGAATTATTCGAGTAGGCAATAGCTTTGTGCGTGTATCGTGGCTTGCGAAGTTCAATATTTGTCTGATGCGCAAACAAGGGCGGCAAAGTCACATGAGGTGCCAACCGCTCAGTCATAAGGGGTTGTCAATAACTTCATCCTGAATCACCAGAACCCAGGTCTCCATTGATGAAGCCAAACCTTACAGCCAGAAAAAGGCCCACACAAATTAACAACTTAGTACTCGCAGACTTCTGTTTCACATGAGCTTTATTGCGGACTTGTTTGCCTCTGATACTTTGCATCTGATAATCGACCTCAGGTTCAGCTTGATTTCGATAAAATGGTAACCAGAGGCCTCTGGAATTTGCACATAAATGGTAGTATTCTCACATCAGATACAAAGTCGATTCAAGTTTACTTACGATATGTTGTAGGCAAATGGTTTCGCCACTGTCACCCTCAAGCACGCACCAGCTCTCCAGGCGAGGAAGCCACATTTGAGAAAGTGAAACAGCTTCAAGAGGAAAAGAACAAATCTAATGATTGGGAAGAAATTCCTTTCCCATGCCCACCCCAATCCAGTTTGGACTATGTCTACACGGTCGATCTGGATGACGCGTCCATAAAGGTCTCTGCATGGACCAAAACCGATGGGGTTATACCATCAGTTTTCCAAATCAAATTTGAGGAAGTTCATGAAGCTTCAGATCTATCTCTTCAGTCTTTACTCCAGAAAGCAAGCAGACCTTTAGAGCGATATTTAAAACCGACATCGAAAAACCAAACTGACTCCACTGTCTCTGGCGATTTGAGCATCCACATTAATGCACCAACACCCCTGAATGAGCTCCAATATCGGCTTTTTACGGACTTCATCTTTCAATGGAGGTTCTACATTGACGATCACATGTTATGGCAGTACCCCTCAATGCTACTTAATACACTTGTTATCGCCGTTCTACGTCTTGCTGCCTGGGATCTTGAAATAACACACGAGAGCATCGATAGTCGGGTTGAGCTGCCGATCAATTATAGATCTCTTCCGAGTTGGGAGAGCCCAGGATCACACACGTTTTGGTTCCACGGCTTCCTTGTCGTTATCTGTGATACACTTGAAGCGAGCTCATCGGTGACCGAGGCAGTTCTGCGAGCTAAGGAATTGCTCGATAACTACAACAGAATAAGCGAAAACGTCCGATTAATTCTTGTTTCATTGCGCCATGTTCAATTCATTGAGCTCTCACCAGAGGCTGTAATGAGCTCTGATGTGCTCCCACTAGTTGTCAGTACATCGGCAGAGCAATGTTCACCCGGTTTCCGTGCACTCGCCCATGTTTTATCCTCCCCCTGCTGGAAAGATTCGATTGCCTATAGAGAAACATGGGGCATCGACTTGCCTCCTGAAATATTGGATATGATACTCGGAGCACTGGGGCCTCGAGATATCTTAACGTTTTGCAAATCTTCTTTGGCAGTTGAACGTTGGTATTATTCTTCAGTGCCCCAATTTGATGACATTAGAGTGCGGCAATTCGACTCCTCAGTTCCATGTTGCGGTAAATTGGACAGAATGGATGCTGCTGTTTGTTGTTCCTTGTGTTATGCTTGGAGACATGCAGAGTGCATTGGCTTGGCTTGCACCCCGCCTGGTCGTCAGTACATCTGTCCTGATTGCCATGAGAACAAGAATTGCAAGATTCTTATCCCAGGTGCTATTAATGAAACCAGTAAGCGGAAAAAGAGAGGCCCAGGGTGTCGTGTCAGAGTTGCAGGCAATTCCAAACTCCTTGAACAGCGTCTTTCTTTGCCTACACATCTCCGACCAGAACTTCGGCTTTTAAGGGATATCGGCCCTGCACCACCATTGCTTATCGACTACGCAATACAATTTGGCGGCGTTTTCTCGGGTCTAGCATATGGGCTGGATGAAGACCCGGCCAACTATACCATAGAACCATAGTATACTGCGTAGATGGGCATGCTTGCGCTTTACCTGTTTGGGAACTGCCGCGAAGCCGCTTTAACGGAGGCACGACGCAACTCCGTTTACTTTACACACGCAGTCGTGTAGGTACCTTTAAGGACTCCGGAGTAATACGAGGAAGTCTTCACGAACATGACGTTGCAACTAGCGACCTCGGCGGTTTTCCCCCTTCTCATTTCTCCGTCTTTCCTCCTCCCCACTACTACTGGATACTCGGTAAATAATCAGTTGATGCGGACTAAAGTTGGTAACCGCCAACTTCCCATCGCTCCACTTTTGCAGCCCTGACCGGTTGTGGGGGAGTTCGCCATTTGGACCATTTGGCCAGTCTGCCGGGGACTCTTTAATATTATTTGATTCCATTTCCCCCTTTCCCGCAGAAACTCGGATGATCCTGTGCCCCCGAGGAAATTCCCACTGATTGACTTCGATGACTTGACGGTCGGAAGTTCCAGACCGCCCAAAATCCATCACGTCACGTTGCCCTCTCGCTCTCTCCGCCACCTGCTCTCCCGTCCAGCATGGCCGCTGCCTTCGATGACGAAGACCTCTCCGTCCCCCTCCCATCCTTCGATCGCGACCGTGACCGTGACCGTGATCGTGATCGCCGCCGTGACCGCGTCCCTGCTGCCCCTCCTCCCTCCGCCGTGAATTACTCCGCCGTGCCCATGCCTCCGCCCTCTCGTCCGACCGGCAAGGGCCCCGACCCGTCCACCCAGTCCCCCGCCACCACCAGAGACATGCAGCGGCTCGACCAGTACCAGACCATCAAGATCCTCGGCGAGGGCTCGTTTGGCAAGGTCAAGCTGGCCATCCACCAGCCCAGTGGTCGCCAGGTGGCCTTGAAGATCATCTCCCGGCGCAAACTGCTCTCGAGGGACATGGTCGGTCGGGTCGAGCGCGAAATCCAGTACCTTCAATTGCTACGCCATCCCCATATCATCAAGCTGTGCGTTTCCCCTCCCTTTGTCCGACTCTTTCGCACAGAAGCGAAGCGACCGCTGATTGATCGTGTGTGTGGATTGGTTGCAGGTACACCGTCATCGCCACAAAATCCGACATTGTCATGGTCCTAGAATATGCCGAACGGGAACTTTTCGACTACCTGGTGAAGAGGGGCAGATGCAACGATACCGAAGCTCGCAAATTCTTCCAGCAAATCATCTGTGCCGTCGAGTACTGCCATCGTCATAAGATCGTCCATCGTGACCTGAAACCGGAGAACCTGCTGATCGACAGTGAAAAGAACGTTAAGATCGCGGATTTCGGGCTGAGTAACATCATGACCGATGGCAATTTTCTGAAAACCAGCTGCGGGAGTCCGAATTACGCCGCCCCCGAGGTCATCTCCGGCAAGCTGTACGCGGGCCCCGAAGTCGATGTCTGGAGCTGCGGTGTCATTCTCTACGTGCTGTTGGTGGGGCGACTTCCATTCGACGATGACTATATTCCGGCCCTTTTCAAGAAAATCGCCGCGGGCAACTTCCATATGCCTCCATACATATCACAGGGGGCTGCTCGGTTAATAAAGATGATGCTCCAGGTGCATCCGGTCCATCGAATCACCATCCCCGAGATTCGGATGGACCCTTGGTTTCTCCAGGACCTCCCCAAATACTTGCAACCGCCGCCGGAGGAATTCATCGCAACGGGCGTGGATCCAAACAAGTCGATCGATCCGCGCAAACTCGCTCCGGGGAAGCCTCTCTCTGCGCAGCACAAGATCAATCAAGTGGCCATCTCCAAACTAGAAAGGAGCATGGGATACGCCCGTGATGACATCGAGGAGGCATTGAAGCATCCGGAGCCCAGCGCTGTCAAGGATGCGTTCTTCATCATTGTGGAGAATGAAATGATGCAAACCAATTGTAAGGATTGCCCCGGCCTTTTTATTCTTCTGTTTTGTTTCAGTTGTTCTGGCCTAAAGTGCACTGAACATCGGACCATTGAAATCGCCTTGACGCTAACGAACAACAGCGCCCACGGAGGATCATATGATGGGCTCCGCCGTGGCACCTTCTCCACCGCCAGACAAGATTATCCAACGCCCAGCGGCGGCAAATGACAGACCACCAGCTGCTCGTCCACCAGGGGTCCAAACTGCACTACCCACGAGAACGAGGAGCGGCTCGCAACGCCAGAACTTCCAGCTGTCGCAGCAGCACGACCACGATGATCCGGAGGAGCCCCGTGTGAGCCATGTCAGAATCTTGCCGACCAGCCTACCGTATGTCCATGATCAGCTCATGGAACAGAGGGAGCGGGAGCGGGAACAGAGACTTCAAGCCGCGGATCGGCTATTAGAAGAGCAGGCTCAGGCCAGGGCTAAGGACGGCGACGACTCCCAGGCTGGCCATGACTGGCGGTCGCGAGAGGAACAGGAAGCAACCGCTCGGGCTTTGAAGCCTCACTCGCGCAGTATCGTCGATCTCGAAAAGCTGCGGCTAGAGCCTCCCGAGGGACGCAGTGCGCCACATCAACCCAGACGGACTCGGAAATGGCAGTTTGGAATCCGATCGCGGAACCAGCCCTATGAAGCGATGCTGTACCTTTACCGGGCAATCGCAGCCCAAGGGGGCATCTGGGATATTGTTCCCGACGAATCAGGTTAGTTCACAGATTGTCTCAACCTGTCTGCATGACCCAAGCTAACTTCGGTCAAACAAAGGTACGCAAATCGGAGGTCAGGCACAGCCTGCAGACCAGCCCAAGCCGCTGCAAAGCAAATATCCCGATTTGCCATCCGACTACTACATTCCTAAGGACCCCTGGTTCATTCGAGCTCGTCTCCTGAAAGAGGGGGTCAAGGCGCCGGGCGTATCGGGAAGCGTGCACAGTAGTCGCAGCGACTTGGAAGAATTCCGCCGTCGATTCAACCTGAGCGGGCCATCTTCTCTGGACGAAAAGAACTGGACCCCCGTGGAGCCTGGCAACGTATCCGGTCCATCTTCCAGCACGCAACATCATGCGATCCGCGGGATCTCGTACGGAGTGTGGGTTTTCGTGGACATCCAACTATACCAGTTGGAGGAAAATAACTACATGGTCGACTTTAAGTGTGATGGATACCAAAACGTGATCCGTGCTGAAGTGGACTCCGAATGGCATCCGATCAGCAAGCGCTTCCGCAACAAGGAAAAGGAGGTCACCAGCCCGTATCCCTTCCTCGACGTGGCATCCGACTTGGTCGCACAGCTGGCGGTTGCGAGCTAGTTCTTTCAAGATTTGAACATAGGGGTATCATGGGAGTTTTGGGTGCATTTGACATGGCGTTTGCGAATCTACTTGTTTTGTCCAGAAAATTTGTCTAATAATGCTTCGACTTATTTTGCATGTCAGCGAAGTTATGGACCTTCTGAACTGCCCTTTCAGGAACTGCACATTGTTGTATTTGAAGTATATAGCGATTATGAATCTTTCTTTGACCTTGGAGACTGTCCATTTGCTTTCCCACTTGCTTTCCCCGCTTGTTTTCCCACTCGGGTGGGGACCCCGATATTGACCGGCCAGAATGAACAGTATAAAAGGTCAAAACCACCGTGCAGAAAGCACCTGCATTGTATTTACACCCCTCAAATCTATACCTAATCAGTCATTCCAAAACACCCACCATGTCCATCACAGACCACGACCCCATCCCGGTCCTCATCATCGGCGCCGGTCCCTGCGGCCTTCTCCTCGCATACATGCTCGCCAAACTCGGCGGTATACACTTAAGCTCCCCTCTTACCCCATCCCTGAACTACCAACCTCCTCTACTAACTCACTACAGTCCAATCCCTCGTGATAGAGCGCTACCCGACCCGTCTCGCAGCGCCCAAAGCCCACGCCCTCTCGCCTCGATCCCTCGAACTCTGTCGCCAGTTCGGGCTCGACGTGAACGCGATCCGAGAGATGGGATCGCCCCGCCCGGACGCGATGTGGGTGAACTTCGTGACGGATTTAAGTGGGCAGTTGGTGGGCAGGTTGCCGTATGAGAGGATGGATAAGGGTGTTTTGGATGATACACCGGCGGTTTGCACTCTTTTTCTTTTCTTGCTCTTTTGTTCGATTGGTTCTGGGGAGAAGCTAATTGGGTGGGTTGTGTTTCTAGATGATTCATAATATCCCGCAGCCGGATTTCGAGGCGTTGGTTGGTCGTGAGTTAGAGGGGGGCAGGGTGGAGGTTAGGAAGGGGCATTCGTTTGTGAGGCTGCAGGAGGTTTGTTTCTCTATTTTCTTTGGGTTTTGTCCCTTTGATGAGTCTGTTAGGGCTTCGGCTCACTGATCGAATCTAGTTCCCGGGCTACGTCGAAGCGACTGTTGAAGATCGAGCCGCGGGACGAGAATACACGGTGAAATGCGCCCATCTGGTTGGCTGTGACGGGGCCAAGAGTGTTGTTCGCAGGGCGCTGGGTATAGAATGTGAGGGGGAGGATTCATGTACGTTCCATCCCAGCCCTTCCTTCGAACAATGATCCGGGACTAGGGACACTGACCTAATAGACGAAACCATGATGACCATCCATATCAACGCGGACTTGCGTCCCGTGCTTGGAGACCGAGTGGGCATGCTGCATTGGATCATGGACCCCGACGTGGCGGGGTTCATCATCGGATACGATCTGTCTGGGAATCAGGTTCTGATCTGTAACTTTGATGTAGGTGCGTGTTTCGGTTTATTGACGCCATGGCTAATGGGTGATTAAAGGCAGAAAAACACCCGGTTGACTCGTGGGACGAGATACTCTGTCGCAAGACGGTAGATGCAGCTATTGGCACGAAGGTGGAATATGATGTGCTGAGCTATAGACCGTGGATTCTGAGCCGAAAGGTAGCGAAGGAGTATCGCAAGGGCCGGGTTCTTTTGTGAGTACTACTTCGCATCTACTGCATTGACTTTTTGGTTCTGACACATGTGCGCCTAGGGCTGGAGACGCCGCTCATTCCTTCCCTCCTACTGGAGGCTTAGGCCTCAATAGCGGGTTGGGCGATGCCCACAACCTGGCATATAAACTGGCAGCAGTGCACCATGGGTGGGCCAGCGATAAGCTCCTAGATACCTACGAGTCTGACCGCCGACAAGTAGCCGTCGTGAACTCAGAACAGAGCGTCAAGAACGGCAAGGAGATCTTCAACCTCCTGAAGACACTGGGGACGACAGATGCCGACACGAGCGTGGCACGACAGAACCTCTACCGCAACATTGAAGACCCAGAGACCATCCAACAGATCAACCAGGGAATCGAGGGCCAACGAGAACACTTCGATAATCTGGGCCTGCACATCGGATACGTGTATGGTGATCGCCGCATCCCCGAGAACGCATCCATCTACCGTGCGGCCTGCGTGCCTGGTGCTCGGCTCCCTCACGCGTGGATCCGGCTTTTACGTCCCGAGAAGATGCCTCTGCCGCCGATCGACTCATCATATGTAGCTGAGCTATCGGTTGATGAGGTGCAGGCGCGACAATTCTCAACGTTGGACCTTTGCCCCTTTGACGGGTTCACTGTGTGGGTGAATCAGAAGACATCTGCATATTGGCATCAGGCCATCGAGGAGAAGCAGCAGCTCCCCACCGGAATCCGGGACCGGTTGAGAATCCAGACGGTCGTGCACGGGGTGGACTTTGAAGTGCAGGCCGGGGAAAGTGGCGAGAAGTGGGTGCAGCTGATGGGGTTGGAGGATCAGGCCATTGTGGTGCGTCCGGACCAGCATATTCTGGGGTGTGTTCGATATCCGGGGGGATCGGAGCAGTTGTGGCGCTTGTTGAGGGCGCATTTGGGGTGGGACGAAGCGATTCCCACTTGGAGTAGTACGGAGTAGTAGGAGATCGTCGAGCTACGGTTGCTCGGAATTCCCGACGATGTTACACTTGCTACTCTAGTTACTAGTATAGTAAGTGGTGCTCGCTCCGGCGTCCGCGAATACCGAAATGTGATAGAAATAGAGAATCCTACAGATATCAAACCATACCGTACTCTATCTCTTCCTCTCATGAATTCCCGACCAATGCACTCCATCCTCCGAGTCAAGCCCACGATGTCTCCCCACAACCACCGTTTGGCCGCTCTCCACAGCGCCGCGTGGAGACGAAGTGGGGAGAATCGCAGCCGGGAAACATCCGATGCAGACCGTCCGACTATTAATTCTCCAACTCTAGGATTCCTTCGTTCCGATCGTCTCTCTGCGTCCTCTGCACATTCTCCTCCACCTCACCCCGGACTCCCTGCCACCCATTCCCCCGCGATGAGTTCGTCGCCCTCCCAGCAGCCCACGGGCGAATATCGCCAGTATCTGCCGGACCTGAGCCTGCCTCGGTTCCAGACAATGCGCAAGCAAGATGCGCACGAGTATGCCGATGATTTCAAAACGCGACGGAATCCGCCCTGGCTGCATGCGCTGTACATGCACTGGTTGGATCTCTTGCAGGAGCCTTTTAAGGGCGTAACGACGGACGGTGGGCTCTATCACCAATACCTTCCCTTGTAGTACAGTAAAGTAATATACTGATAATAGACCAGGAACCGTACGCCCCGACCTCTACACCCTCCAGGACGAAGGCCTCCCCATCGACGCCATCGTCGACTCCGTCCACGCCCTCTTCTCCACCCTCACGCAACCCCAGCGCCAATCCCTCTCCTACCACATCGACTCGCCCGAATGGCGCACCTGGTCCAACCCAGAGTTCCTCCTCAGCGCCAAAGGCCTGCGCCTCGACGAAGTGACCCCGGCCACGCGCGACGCCATCATGACCGTCCTGCGCACCACGCTCTCCCCGGAGGGCTACGACAAGGCCGTCAAGGCGATGCGCATCAACCACTTCCTCGGCGAGCTGGTGGCCTCGCCGCGCGTCATGAACGAATTCTCCTACAACTTCGTCCTCTTCGGAAACCCCTCCCCCACCCGCCCCTGGGGCTTCTCCTTCTACGGCCACCACCTCTGCCTCAACATCTTCCTCTACAAGGGCCAGATCGTCGCCTCCCCGTGGTTCACGGGCGCCGAGCCCAACGAGATCGACGAGGGTCCGCACGCAGGGACCCGCATCCTCCAAGTCGAAGAGAAGCTGGGCCTCCAGCTCATGCAGTCCCTGTCCCCTGACCTGCAAGCCCAGGCGCGCGTGTATGCGCACATGCATGACCCCGCGATGCCCCCGGGGCGGTGGAACCGCGATGACCAGCGGCATGTGTGCGGTGCGTATCGCGACAACCGTGAGGTGCCGTACGAGGGTATTGTGGCGAGTGTGCTCAGCGAGACGCAGAAGGGTCTTCTCCACGGCATCCTGGAGCAGTATCTGCTGTATCTTCCTGAGCCGTCGCGACGGCTGAAACTCGAGCAGATAAGGCGGTTCGAGGCGGAGACGTATTTCTGCTGGATCGGTGGGTTTGGGGATGAGGATCCGTTTTATTATCGCATTCAGAGCCCCGTGGTGTTGGTCGAGTTTGATCATCATTCCGGCGTGTTTTTGAATAATGAGGAGCCCAAGAAGTTTCATATTCATACGTTGTTGAGGACGCCGAATGGGGGTGACTATGGGCATGCGTTGAGGCCTTTGATTCCTGCGGTTGAAGGGCTGGTGGGGAAGGAGATTACGTGGGAGAAGTCGACGTTGTGATTGAGTTGATGGTTTTGGGTGATGGGATGGATTGAGAGCGAGGTGCCGGTCACCTGGGTGTATATAGATATGAAGTAGCTCTTGCATGAACACTATTGACGTACTAGTAGCTTGAATTGGTCATCTTAATCCGACGAGTCTTTTGTTAGACCTCCGGTCCCTAGGGCTATGCAGTATGGCTGCCCTAATCTCCATAGAACGGCAAGCATCTTAATACCAAGCAATTCAATCAATTCATCCTGAGTAGCCTGTCATCTTTTAACATATCCGCTATCATAGCAGACCTTTGTATCCATGCCGGACGCCGACAAGCGTCTGCAAACTGCTTAGTAAAGCTGGCATCGTGGACATCATCGCTGACAGTCGAAACCATCAGCCCTGCGAGGTATTGACGGCGGGCGAACTCGACCTGGAGATTGATTGTTTCATTATCATAGTACGTTACCAACTGATTGTCCCAGCTGAGATATTTCGCTGCACCGTTCCCGACACGCTGCGGCTTCACAACATTCGCTTGCATAATGCCAACGATCTCGCTGTTCAGGAGGACGCCGGCCTCTTGACTGCAATGTCCCGCTAATCCGGGAGATAGGATCGCGCAGTCTGTCGAACGGCATCCGTCAGCCATTGTATACGAGTGGCCGCGGAACGGCATCCCCCAGACGATGCGGTTCGGGTTCACATCTTGGCAGTTTAGATGCTCCAGAATACTCGTGATCTCGGCGGTATTCACCCCGGCATTTGCAACTGGACGGCTCCCTCGTGCAGCGCCCCCGTCGTACGGCTTGAGATTGATATACGATACGTATCGATGCAGCGCCTTGAGGTCAAACCGCCGCAAGTATGCCTCCGAGGCCGGGAAACTAATCGATAACTCATCGGGTCCGGCCATCTTGCTAAGTGCGATGTTCAGGTTCGCCACAAATCTGGAAAGGTTTGTATAGTCCGGTTGTTGCTTTTCATCCTGGGTGTCGAAGTCGAGGTCCAGGTCTAGGTTGATGCCGTTAAAACCATGCGTAGTCATGAACGATATCAAAGATGAAAGGAATTTCCTCTGCTTCGTCTGAGGAGAGGCAGCCAGCTCGGAGAAGATACTCGACATGAGCCCAGTAGAGTTGAGCTTCTGTTGATCTCGCAGAGTGATCAGGACTTTCGTATCATTCTGGTAACCCAGGTGGCGAATCAGTCGTGCGTAGAGATCAATGTCCCGATCATGTGCCGGAAGCACTTCGTACGTATCCGGGCTGATGATCGCGGAGGCGAAGTTAACGTGGTTGAATGCGTCGAGTGGGATCTTCTCGGGCCAGAAATCGCGGCATCGTCGGCGTGTTGCGCTGCCTTCGTAGGTGCCCACCGCGAGGAAGAAATTCTTGTCCGAAGAGCAAATGGCTCGTGACGCTTTTTCTGGGCACTGTCGGGGTGAGCTTATTCCGTGTTTCCTGGGACTGAACTTGTTGGACGAAAGGGAAATTAGGGCTTACGCGCAGATTGACTCTCTCGCAATGGCCCTGGTTCCAATCATTAGCTTGCATGACCTGAGGTTGATAGAGATGCGGTAACTGCGATGTCTTACATTTTCCATACACCGGGCCTCCAGAGTGCGACCGGCCCAAATAATGAAATAATAGACGCTGTATACAAAGAATGCGAGCGCAAGTAGGGGAGCTACGTCCCGAAGAGCTCTTCGGTAACGTCGGAGCATGTCTGCTGATTTGGGCTAGGTTATGATGCAATTAGACAGTATCCTTTGCTCTTATATGTTAGTGAGACATTTTATTTCTATTCTCTCAATTTACGGGAGAATAGAAGCAAGAGGGGTTTTATGCTTGGACTGGGCCCATGATGTTGGTCCATGGATGGTTAGGGTTACATCGTGAATGTATACCTTGTATGTGCGCTTTGAGCTAGTGGTGCTTACTGTTCCGGTGCTCTGCTAGCCTGAGGCTAGTACTGCCTTGGGTATTGGACCCTGATCAAGGGCTAGAAGAGGCCATATATTAGGCAGTAATGCCCAGTATAGGATGCAACTCATAGACCTAGTTTTCCTTTCAGTATTATCGGACTTGAGGAGCATCAATATTACCGGAGTAAATATGTCAAATGGACAATAGTGACTACTACTCCAGTAGATAATCTTTCGCAAACTCACAGAGCTCAACGGAGAATACAAGTCTTAGTCGGGCTTGTACTAAAACCTTTGCAATTTCCTCTAATTCCTTGGCAGGCACGAACCTTGACAGCATTCTCTAGTGTTGTTTCCAACCGATCCCTAGCTATCGACTAATATTATTCCAGGCTATATCAAGCGAGCACATGGGTGGAAGTGACTCATGCCAGTAGTCGCTCACCTTGATTGCCCATCCAAGATCTACGTGATAATTGCGAAAGAATCGCTGATGAATGTTTATCGTGATATCGCCATGGATGATAGCATGGTGTTGTGACGTTGTCGAAACTCGAAGCCAGTAGGTTTAAGTGCAAGAGTGCTTGTAATTGCAACGAAAATCCAAAATAGAACCAATATATTCCGATATGAAAGAGGTAATTAATGATTTTGCTTCTGTCAGCAGCATTGAGAGGATGCCTGATGGGTGTGTGTGAAGGTGATGGCAGAAGGTTAAGAAGCACTCTGTAGGAAGACATGATCAACACTTTCCATGGGTAACTGTAATACCGTATATTATCCAATCCACCGCAGAGCAGCCCTCGAGACCCTGTACCGTACCGTCTCCCTCCAAGTGGAGCCCTCGTGACTAGCGAGGCTCACGTGTGTTCCAGGCTAGTCCCCAAACGGCCTAGCGGCAGACGGCCGACGCAAGCCAGCACGGCCGGTGATTTGACCGAATATCAAAAAGACTTCAATCTCTCCTACTTCTCTGGACCGGGGTCTCCCCTTCATCCCAATACCTACTCCGTCACGGGCTGGTGGTCTGTCTTGTTCCTCGGTGGAATCGCGGTGGAAGGATCTGTTTTCTTTCCATTGACTCAACCTGGTTCCCTGGGATCTCCCACTCATTTCTGAATACGACCCCGCCGCTCTGTGCTCATGACTTGACGAGACCGACGAATTTTCTTCTGTACTTCTACTACTCCGTAAATTCTCTGCTCGCTTTCTGTCCTGGAAAGATCTGTCTTGCCTTATCTCATCATATACCACTTTATTGTTCCTTCGCCAGCCGCATCGGTTGGCCTTCGCGTGTCGAGTGCAATTCGTTTAGATTATCTTCATCGTTGATTTTCTGCTAATTGGAACCCAAAATGGCGTCTGGTACGTATTCACGCTTTGCTCGCTTCATACCGTGATAGCGCGGCTGACCGTTGCAGATATCCCCAAAGTCGTACCCCTGACATGCCACGGACATTCCCGTCCCGTGCCGCATATCAACTTCTCTTCCACAGTGGAAGATGACCAGTATTATCTTTTGTCCGCCTGCAAGGGTATGTTTCCACGTCTATCGGATTGGCGAGAGACACGCGACTGAATGACTTTCATAGACAACAACCCTATGCTCCGTGATGGCATCACGGGTGACTGGTCCGTGAATCTGCCCCCTGTCGTGAAATCAATCCCCTAACTCACCGCAGGATCGGTACCTTCCTCGGCCACAAAGGTGCCGTCTGGCAAGCCCGTCTCTCCACGGACGCTACCATCGCAGCTACCGCTGCGGCTGATTTCTCCGCGTAGGCCCTTCCCTCCCTCTTCTCTGATTCACCGGGTTCAGTAAACTGACCGCCTCTCAGCAAAGTCTGGGACACCCACACGGGAGAATGCCTGCACACCCTGCAACACTCGCACATCTGTCGAGCCGTCGCATTCCCCCTGCAGCCGTCCCCCCAGGTGCTCGCCACCGGCGGGTTTGAAAAGAAGCTCCGCATCTTCGACCTCTCGCGCGGCAGCAACGCCTCGTCGCCGACCTACGCGTCCGCTCCCGGCGGTGGGGGCGAGAACGGCGCGCCCGCAGCTACCAGCTACGAGATCGGCCCCGGCGTGCACACGGGCACCATCAAATCCATCGTCTGGAACCAGGATTACAACATCCTGACCACCGCCGCGGAGGACCGCAAGATCCGATGGTGGGATCTGCGCTCCCGGCACCCGATTTTCGAGCACGCCGTTGACGGTCCCATCGGGAGCTGCGAGCTGAATACCCTCGCCGTGAGACCCAATGATCCGGGCATTTTGACCGTTGCGGCGGGCAAATCCGTCTATTTGTTTGATGGCGCCAGTCCCGGTCGGATGCTCAAGCAGTCAACCTTCAGGTATGAGGTTGCTAGTGCGGCGGTCAACAATGAGTCCGGCAAGCTGGTCACCGGTAGTGCCGATGATACTTGGGCTAGGGTTTATGATCTCCGGACGGATGAGGAGTTGGGTATGTTTTCCCCCCGCCAGTTGAATATCAAGGAGGTATGTAATCATCGATGATGTTTGCTAATATACGTATGCAGAGGTCCAAAAAGGCCACCACGGCCCCATCTGGTCCGTCAGCTTCTCTCCCGACGGCAAGCTCTACGGCACCGGAAGCGAGGACGGCACGATCAAGTTGTGGAAGGCGTGTCGGGAGCCGTATGGCCTGTGGCGCTGAAGTCACGATAAATTACCTGCTTAGGTGATCTTACCTAAGTTCTGCTTTGGGCAACTATTCTTGGTCAATCAATAATCGCTACCTTGGAAGGAGTCTTAGACCAAGTTGCTCTTGGCTAGTAGTCGAAATTTACGTAAATAAAGAGAGAACTAAATGCCACGGAGAGGAAATAATTTATTGGCCTGGTTGTACCTGTAATATCACAAAATCGGTGTCCTCCGCCCATTTATCCATCCGGCTGGGTCTGATGTCGCTAGCACATTACTTTTGAGTCAGAAAGACCACCGTCAGTTGAGTGTTCACCTCACTCGATCATGTCCACATCATCGTCGCCGCCAGCAGCGGGAGCCGCGGGTGCTGCGGCCGCAGGTGCATGATGTTCTTCAGCGCCGGCCTGTTTCTCGGCCGCACCGCCCGTCGCATTGCCCCAATAATCATCCATTTCCTGGTCCAGCTCTTCTTGCGTCTTTCGGGGTCGGCCATTCGCAGTTCGGCGGTTCTCGCCACCGCCGCCGCCACCACCACCTTGTCGTCGGCCTCCACCATTGGCGGATCGACGAGCGGGCGACCGCTGCCCGGGCACATATCGGTCGATGTGATCCGGAGCCGGTTTAGAGACATCACTGCGTCGGTAACGGCCTGCGCCACGTCGACCACCGCCTCTACGACGGCGACCACCGTCGGCACTATCGCTTGCGCTTTCAGGACTTAGACTGCGAGCATCGCGGCCGCCGCGGGGGCGTTCCACGCGGTCGAAGAGGCTACCCTTGGGTCGTTGGATGTTGTCAAATGGGTTGCGGTCTCGTCGGCCACCGCCGCCGCCGCCGCCGCCGTGAACGATGGACAATCGGATCGGTTGGCCCTTGGCATTTGCACCGTCGAATTCATTGATCGCAGTTCGCGCGTCGCTGTTGCGGTTGTAGGTGACGTAAGCAACGCCGTCGGAGCGACCTGCTCGGTCGTAGACGAGAGAGATATTGGTGACAGGTCCGATGCGGGAGAATAGATCCTACACAAAGGTTTCGGTTAGGTGTCTCAGTTTGAACTATCTGTCAAGCAGCGTTCATACCTCCAGATCAGACTCCGTGATATCGTAGTGAAGGTTCTCAATTCGAATTTTCGATCCCGTAGAGGCACTGCCATATCTTAGTCAAACGTCCGCCACTCCAGTCAACAGGCTGGACATACTGTTCCGGCGAGGGAGAATAGCGATCACCGCGCGGGCGTCGAGGGGCACGAGAAGGGCGTGCTGCACAAATCCATATTAGCAACCATCCTCACTACCACATGTTCTCCGGGTTCTGGGACAAAATGCATACCATCTCTGTCGTCTTCGTATTTATCGTGGACCCAGTCCCTATCATCCCATGTCAGCAAATAATGATCCACGCCGTTCTTTCCTAGGAAGCAATACAAATCTAGGTCGAGACGATCATCGCGGTAGGGCTGTTGTGATCGAAAAGTAGAAGACAAGGTCAGCTCGAAGTCAAATCAGGTGGCATGGCAACTGCTCCATCATAAGATCATCTTTTCTTTTTTTTCTGCGAGGGTGTTCGCAGCCTTGCGACCTCCCGAGATAGGAGGACAGGTGTATGAGGCTTGTGACTTTCTTTCACGATGCGCGAGGAGGGTTCGAAAGGAGAACAAGAGGAGGGAGGACCTAGTTTGCAACAGTGTTTATTAGCATGGTTGTTTCAGTTTTGTGGCAGTGCGCAGATTTACAGCTCCGCGATCACCCAACCTCAAACTTGGGAAGAAGGGTGTTTACCTTTTTGACGCCATCACGGCGACGACCTTGACCCTGAGGACGGCGGCCCCGATTCTGATTCTGCTGCTGTGATTTAATGTTAGCTGATTTGAAGTGACAAGGTAGGTGCAGGGTCAGTGGTAAATGCTTGGGGTAAGCTCTAGCCTTACAGGACGCTCCGCGATGATCTCGTCCAAGCTGCGGTCCATCTTGGAACACGTTGGGAGAGGGTGTGCGGGAGTGAGAAGGAGGAATAAGATGCAGACAAATAACACTAACTAGCCCTCTAGGCAAACAGGTGGGAGGGAGAGTGGTCAATGGACGGTTTGAAGAGGTGGACAGAGTCAGAGGAAGAGGGAGAGAGCAAGGATGGAAAGGCCGAGACACGGAGCGGCGAGGTCACGTGGGCCCCGTCTCGCCCGCAGCCACTTTTACGCCGTGCAAACAAGCCCCGGCCAATTAACTACCAAAATTCGATGGTGATGATCAATAATTCTATTCAGATTTTGAGTATTACTCCCAACCCCTCTGATCCATGCTAGTAATTGCAAACAATGTTTGGTATCGGGAAAGAAAACCCCAGGACGCAGAAAAGAGGACAAAACCAGCCTGATATGCATGCAGGAGATAATCGCCCATCAAGACACCCCAACCCTCCATTTTGGCTCCAGAAAAACACCAGTTGCTGTATCCGAGTATGAAAGTCCGAGAAAAAGAAAGGGGTTGTTAATTAAAGAGAATTGAGGGGACAGAAAAGGAAATCAATTCAAACGGGGGGTGTCCTAGGCTCCTCCATTGGTGGCTGCGTCATGACCGCCGTTGTTGTTCTCCATCATCTTCTCCATGAAGCTAATGTAGTCATATTTGGCAAGCTCGCGGTCTTCGAGCAGGTCTGGTCCCTGATGTTGCGGCATGGTCTGGACAAGATGCTCAATAAGTTCATCCGGAATCAGAGAGTGTCGAAGATCAAGTTCCGTGACATAGGGCTGGAAAGACTGTCAGTTTCTGAAGAGATCCAAAAGATATCCATTGTTACATACCTTGCCATCGGCAACTTCGCGGAAACTCTGGAACACCTGTTCGGCGGTGTTCTGGTCTTCCGTTACACTGACCATAAAGCGAATAAACTGTTCGAAGCTGACGCCGGCGTTTTGTCCGAGTCTGGCTGGACCGCAAGTTTCGACGTAGACTTGATGCATCTCATCTTCGTCGTATACAAGGCCGAGACTGGCAAGAGCTGCCGAAAACTCAAGTTCGTGGAGCGTGTTAGATGAGTCGCGGTCGAAATGTCGGAACACGGACTCGAACTCCTCCAGTTGGATCGGAGTCAGGTTCGTCATATTTCGGGCGACGAGTTGGTTATCGAGGAACGCAAGCTTCTTGGAGATACTGGATTTCACAAGACTTAACTCGTAGGACAGTTCGTCCAGCGTATACGTGGTGTAGTCGTTTTCTTCGATGTTCGCTTCGGCGCACTGCTCGTCCAATGCCGCAATGGTATCTAAGAAGGCGTCGAGGGGAGGCAGATTATCATTGAGCCTCTTAACGTGCGATAGTTGGTCCTCTACGTCACCGTCCAGTCCGGAGATCGCAAGGGATAATGTTTTCAGAGTTAGTGCGAAGTCATTCGCTTTGTCCGCAAAAGACCGACGAAGGGCATTCTTGATATCACGGATCGTCTCGTTGATAAGCTGGCTACGTTCATGTTCATCGCGAGTCAAGCACTCCCACTCCTGATCGCAAACCTCAAGGCGGAGTGCCTCCGGGGGGTCGTATGGACGCAGTCGGTATGTGCTGAGCTTTGTCTTGATGTTTCCGAGGAGGGCTGCTAGGTCTGATTTTTCGGCGACCCACTGGCGCTTCTGGTTTCGCTTGTACAGGGAGAATTGGAAAGCCTGGTCTTTAGCGTCTTTGTAGGTCCCTTCGAAGGTGGAGTTCTTCCAGTGGTCACGTTGTTGCCGGATCAGACGCAGCAACTCCTTCATCCTCTGCTCGTAAGAGTTCTGCATCTCCCAGGCACCGTGCATGTTGTTGATGAACTTCTCCACTCGTCGACCAGCGTTTTCGACTCTTTCCAGTTGCGAGAAGGCATGGAACCAGTAGGCGATATATGTCATCAGGGACCGTTCGTCAGGCTTGGGAACGTCGCAGACATCGTCAACATCCAGCAAATCCGGGATACCGATTTCGTTCGCGGCGATATCGAAAGCCAATTTCATATTTCCACGGTGGTCCGCCTTGTCCAAGGCATCGAAGTCGATCAGGTCGGGACGATGGATATCTAGGAGGGCGCAAAACGCAAGGCCGTCATTCCAGCTGCTGGAGAAGTCGCGGACCTGCACTCCTTCGTAGCAGGCCGTTTTTCTTTGACACCACAGCAGGAGACCCTCCTTCGCGGTCATACCCTCTTCGTTGATGTCGCTGATGGTGAATCGCAGAATGAGGGTCCATATTAGTCCCAGGATGATCTTTCTGTTACCGTCCACAATATCCTCTGCACCGATGTTGGTCATCTGAATGCCCCTCCCTTTGATGAAGTCAAGACTTTTGTTGACATTTTCGAACTTTTGCACTCGCAGTCTCGGGTTCGAGGCATATCGACCGAGGGATTCTGCGCCGAGGATTTCGAGGAGATGGATGAGGATAACCTACGCAGACATCGGACGCTGGTCAGCCAGAGTTCTGTGTTTGAGAGGGAGGGGTTTGTCTCCTCCGAAGACCAGGAAGCCTGGACCGCGGGGTTCACTCACGCCGGTGGACAGGTCAAGCACCAAGTCATCTATGAAGATGCGTCGGACCTTGAGCTTATCATTCAACCTGTGGATAGAATGGAACGTTAGCGACCGGTGTCTCACCCAAAAACAAGTCCCGTGCAGCGACCGGCTGAAGCGGGCGCAAAGCAACCAAAACGAGGGGTGGGCCGTGGCCACGGCAGAAAAGAGGATGGAACACCGACCATTTGGTAAAGGTTTTCTGTTGTACATTGATCCACTGCTTCTCAACCGTCAACATGATGAAGGATGGACGTAAAAATGAACATTCAGGAGTGAGAGGTTGAGATTGAAATTGTCGGAAGCACGCTGGGGAGCACGGATGGGGGGGAGGAGGACGAGGGCAGGGCGACTGATAGAGAGAAGGCGGACTTGGATGGAAAAGGCAGGATCTTCACGACGGACGAATGAGAAAGAAAGCGTGAGGGCAACAATACGATTCGCTCATCCGGCTGGAACTGGATGCCTTAGCGGCTAGCGCAGGGAGGGGCTAGAGCAGCAGGGCCGGCGGCACAATGCAGATAAAATGGGATGGTTGGATGGAGGCTGAAACCTTGTCTCTGGACGAAGAGGAAAGAAACGAGCGCAGGCTAAATACTCTTCTCCTAAAGTCTCCTAATTTCCTGCGAGCTGGATGCCTGAATCTTACGCGGAAAGGGGTGGTATCGTGAATACTCCGGCATGTCATGAACCACAATCCTCCCCACAGCAACCGACCATGGTTGCCCGTCGGTTGCTGCCGATTTGGCCCCTAGCATCCATTCCTGGGGTTCGCGCGAGGTTTCACTGCTTCCCAAATGACTCTATTCGGCCTCTACTTCTGGTGATGGCTCTGGGAGCCTGGGAGTCCGGCCGCAGAACTTGAACGATGGTTCGTTTGAAGACGATCATCCTCATTACCTCAGCGGGTAATGCCAATACGGTAACTTAATTCCGCCTAGCGCTGCAGAGCCCAAAAATAGAAACCGGAAGATGCCTCTTTCTACAGTGCACTCCGTACGAAAGATGGGCCGATGGACGCTGTATTAACATCTGGTCCATTATGGGCTGGCCGCATTCTCTCCGTCTCCCGTCTCTTCCTTTAGCTTAGCACTCTCCCGCGCTGTCTTCCATCGCGACTAGGGAGTGCCATCTTCCTGTTCAGGCACGCACGGAGGAATTCCCGGACCCACCGCGACCCAAACTCTGGTGGCCCGAATTCTCCGTCTGTCAACTCGATGTGTTTCGTCTCATGGCTTAAAGGGAAAATGGGTGGCTGGATAGCGATCCACAGGGACCAAGAGAGCCGAGGGACGTCGTTATCTCGAGTGGCTGGGAGCAGGATGATATACTATGGTCACCGCCTCTTGACCTAGCGCATTTGATGCCCGAAGCTGTCGGAATCACATCATTTGCGCCTCACTCCAGCCACGCAGGAGCAGATCCGGGGGTTCGAGATCGCAACAAATCGGTACATTCCGATCCACCCGGGACTCACTCCCGTTTCCGTGTGCTCTTGGCCTGCATCAAGCTAGCTCTAAGAAAGACATTGCTATCTCTGATATCAAGGCGTACGCCCAGGCCTCAATGCAGGGTGGTTGGTAAGAATGTCTATGACAGCGTGAGTGACTCTAATCTTACCAATAAGACCAGTCGATTGAATATGTACGTCCTTGGTGCTGCATCCAAGTAAGCCGAGAATACAACATGATGATCGGTTCTGAAGGGCCTGTGATCTGGAAGCAGTCCAGGCCTTGAGTCAATTCAGATCCATGTTCTATACTGACACCGGACAACAAAGATTTTCCTTCTGTTGTTTCATTAGGTCTTCTTGTATAAACTTCTTGGCAGAATAGGTGAACTAACTGCAATGTGAAAGATCAACTACACCTATATTTCACTCTTAGTACTAATAAACAGACAATAAAATGACGCATAATTATATTAATATCTCAATGTGAATTGTGTCAGGGAGCAAGATATTTGATAAATCAAGTCAACCGAGCGGAAAGGACGAGGCAGTATTGACGGGTGTCATTTATTTGGCCAAGTGTACACATAGTCGTTGAAGAGATACTTTCTGGTGATGGTGCCAGACTGGTCTCATCGGTTACTTCTTTCGACTACTTAGTAAATGTGCCTTCGAACAAGTTCCCTAACTAATGGACATATTCCTCATGTAAGTGTTCGGCTTCAACAGTAAACGAACTATATGCTCGCTTGAACCATTTGGCCCGAAGATATATTTATCATCGAAAATTGATAACATGGCATGATAGAAGGCTGCCATTTATCTGGGAAGCACAAAGAATTGCAATCATATAAGCCACCTAATATGCTCTTCATACCCTAATACAAAGAAAATCAGTTCTTGACAAGTTATGCTGACTCCCACTTTTATGTTTGTTTGGCTCGTTTGCATCGAATCTTCGATCTAAGAAATCATTACGTAACTTTTCTTGGCTGAAATCTTTGGCATTGAGAATGATGGCACCCTCTCTCGATGACAGTAAATAGACTAAAGCATAATGATTAGTATATAGGTACGGTAAGTTCAATGTGTCCACTGCGATTTTGTTGCGGTGCGAAGTGTGGTGGCCATATCCATTGCTATGGAGTTCCGAAGTGGCATTGATCCATCATCCTGGAATAAAGAGCGCCTATGTTGTACAACCCCGCCTAGAAAAGAGGAAAATAGGGAAAAGGCACCGGGTGATAAAGTTTATTAATGGAATGAGAGAAACAACTCGAACAAAGGCCTAGTCCCTGACTGCTCAAAACAAAAAGCAATTGCGCAATAGCAGACTCAGTCGCTCATTGGCAAAGCGCGATGATATCATGTCGGATGGCGGGGCAAAAGCGGGACGCCGTCGCCTCAGCACACGATGAGCAAATCTTCTCCGCTCGCCTTCAAGTCCATCCGGAGAATAAGAAGCCAGATTTCGCTCACAATTTGCCGATTCCAGCTACCGCATTGCGTTTCCCGTGTTACACCTCTTGATAAGGATATTGCTTTTGAACCAAAATGTCCGCAAACTTCACCGCCACCGACCTCCTCCCCCTCCCGAACTCCTCGGTCAGGATCCCCCGTCTCGGATTCGGTGTCTATCGCTCCCCCACGAGCCAATGCGTCCAGTCCTGCTTGAAAGCGCTGCAGGCCGGATACCGACACATCGATACGGCTCAGTTCTACGCGAACGAGAAGGAAGTCGGCGAGGCGATCCGCGCTTCTGGGATCCCGCGCAGCGAGATCTTCGTGACGACCAAGATCCTGAGCCCCGCGGGATCGCCCGAGGCTACCTACGGCAAACTGGTGGATAGCGTCGAAAAGATTGGAGGCAAGGACGGATATGTCGATTTGTTTTTAATTCACAGCTCCAGCTCGGGGTCGTCGGGTCGCAAGGAGTTGTGGCAGGCGTTGGAGAAGCTGCTGGAGGAAGGGAAAACGAAGAGCATTGGTGTCAGTAACTTCGGGGTTCAGCATATCGAAGAGATGAAGCCTTATGCGAAGGTTTGGCCGCCGCAGGTCAACCAGATTGAGGTGAGTACCTGGAAATCCTGCCCGAGCCTTTGAACGGAGAAAGGATGCCGTGCTAACGGAAGGAAATTCCAGCTTCATCCATGGTGTCAGCAGCGGGTGATCGATGCGTACTGCAAGAAGAACGGAATTATTGTCGAATCTTATTCCCCTATTGTGCGCAACTATAAGGCTAGCGATCCCACGCTGGTCGAGCTGGGGAAGAAATACGGAAAGAGTACTCAGCAGGTCCTGATACGCTACGCTTTGCAGAAGGGATGGGTCCCGCTTCCTAAGACCGACAACCCCGACCGAATTGTCAGCAATGCCGACGTCTTTGACTTTGACATCAGCGAGGAGGACTTTGCGGTGTTGAACGCCTTGGATCAGGGACGAGCGGGGGCTATCGTGGAGGCCGTGGCCAATGAGTAAATATCCAACATGAGTGATGACTTGTATAGAGTACAGCTAGAGCTGTATATATAATGCAACGATATAATTGTCTAATAATTTGGTTATTGCATGAGGAAAGCGTTGATAGACTGGAGTGTGGTGCGCGAGGGATTGACGTCGTGTTTTGACGATACGATCCATGCCAGGCGCTGTCGGATGAACTGCTTGTTCACCCCGCGTGGAGTGGAGGATGAGAAGGCCCCTGAAATGGTCAGAAATGTGCTAAGAGAGGAAGAGAAGAGAGAAGAAGATGGGAAATACCGCTGTCATCGTAGGACGAGCACAAGATGGCGAGTAAGACCCCGGCCGAAAGGTCCTTTCCGGATTCGCAGGTCACGAGCAACGACCGTGACGGATGAGGGGCAAGCTGCGAGCCGATGAAAGCTTGAACCTTGTCTAGGTGATTGCGCAGGTCTCGACCTCCCACCTTTCCAGATCCACACCCAAGGCTCAGCCGTTTGGCGTTGCCTTCCGAGGCGTCTGAAGGCGCGTTGCAATCGATGACCAGATCATAAATGCCACTCTCGTTTGTACGACCATCCGCCAGGCCGATGTACAGATTCTGAGTCGGCGCGATGAGGGTGGCCTGAGGGACGTTTTCCTGCGTACTCTGTACGTTGACCAACTCCTCGAAGAGCTGGGGCAAATCTTCTTCGGCCGTTTGAAAGATGGTGGATTTATTGGCCCAGAATAGTGGAGGCGTCAAACCGTGGGCCCAGCTCTCACTGTCATCCCCTGCCCCCTGGATGTAACCACCCTCCGATATCTCGGCGCCATGTACCCGTTTGGATGCGGAGCAAAGGACGAAGAGGTTATATTCGTCTGCTTTGTATAGGTCCGTGGGGTGGAAGTAGGATCGATTGGCCCAAGCGATACGAATAGGCTTGCCAAGTTGCTGCCTGAGGTGGTCCAAGTCAAGCTTAAGATCCTGGGAGCAGTTAGAACCCGACTAGGAATGATCGTAACGCCCCAATCAACGGACAAGGTACCCTGAGTGATTTCATAAAACCCTCAATGCGGTTCTCGATCTGCGCCTCTTCCGACGCACCGAGGAAGTTTGGAGGGAATTGGACCGGGTGGTATGCAGTGTCGGACGGGAACAGAGTCCGATTGATAACGGCCGACCAGATGGGCACGGTCTTGGAGAGGGCATCGGGCATCACTGGCGCCTAGTGAGATTGTGGTGACACGAGGGGTGGAAGACCGGGCTGAGCGACCCGTTGACTTACATTTACCCCGGCGCGTCGAGTCGACTATAATACAACTGCAGCGCTCATTGGGAGCCACGGTCAGCCCAGGAAGATATTCCATTGGCGGAAGCAGTCAATGCAAGGCATTCGAATTACTCACCCCCCAAACTTCTGTGCAATCGGTAGGATCTGCAGGTTTAATCTACGAAAGCTAAAATCCCACTGGCCGGTATGACCATCGGTGCTCTTGAAGTAGCTGCTACCAGATTTGGCTTCCGGTGGGATATACCAACTCCCGCATCGTTCATTGGCTACAAGAGGAAGATCGTAGTGGTCGGAGACTTCCTGCGCGAAGATGGCATCCGACTCAATCGAACGGAGTCGGTTGGTGAGGGAGAGTGCAGAGCGCCGCAGCGAAGACAGGGTCTGGGAAACGGACTGCAGCTCGGCGGATGGGAAGTGAAGCGACGAGACCGAGACGGGGTACGGATCAGAGCCCATGTTTCGTCGTGGGATTGGGCTGCTGTCACCCACAAATCACGGCCGTCCGGTTGAAGGCGGGGAAATAACGGCGATGTGGATGGTCTACAACGAGGGCGGACCAAAGCAGGGGAGGGCTAAGGTGATACCGTGGTTAGGGGGTTTGCAATGGCGGAGATGATTATCCAATTGACATCCCGCCTGGTTGGTTTGGGTAGGATTTCAGAATCGTAAGGTAGAGTCTTGGAATGTTAATCCATAGAAAGAATTAGAATCATTTCTGCGATGTGAAAAAGAGGGGCCGACCGACCAATGAGAATGGGACGGTGATCCACCGGATTCCTGCCTGGGGATTCGGGTGTCGTGCATGAAAGAGTATCGCCCTGGGATAGAGGCCCCAAATCCAGAAGACTGCTGTTGAATGCGATTCTACATCTATGGGAAGGGAAAATAATAGTAGATTCTAGCATGTACGAGGAGCCAGTGGGGCGTATGACTCTACTCCAATTTGCTGAGTGCTAAGTCTGGGTACGTCGGGAAACTTCTAGACCGTTTGGAATGTTTGCCAGCCCTGTCCCACAGCAGGTTCTAGCATGTAGTAACTGGAGTAGCGGTACCCTCGGACTCAGTCTACTTTTGAGTTCAACCACATGATATTCAGGCCTCTTCAGGTCCCTTCAAGCGCCTGATTCGCTTCAGCTTTTGGCGGCATAATCAGCCATAGACATGCGGTGAATCATTAGGCATGGACGACAGTTCTCCGGCAAAAGCACGCGGGTTGGTTTCGAATTCTATTGATGGTGTGTCATCTCAGGCCGAGCCCGCATGAGTATTCCGGGTGACTTACTCCGTAGACCGTAGATCGTTAGAAGTGGGAATAGCCAGATGGGCTGTGGGTGGACCCCAAATTAGCAAGTCATGTTCCCATGATGAGAAGTAGAATCGGCATTCCGAGTGTCGCGGACAAAGGAATCACCCCCAGCCGTGCATTCCATCCATGGAACGGCCAGAGAGAGAGACAATGAATCTGTGATGCCCATAGCAGCCAGGGCGAGGAGCGAGCGTTGGCCCGAGAAGGAATGGCAGCGCATTCGGCCCCAAGGGGCTTAGCGCGCGGTCTAGTGCCTGCGCAGCCCCGAAGGCCGGCGAAGCGCAACGTCACGGGCTCACGATGGGTATGACCTCAGGCCCCGCCATCCACGCCCTTTCCCGCTCTTGCCCGGTTTGTGCCTGGAACCCCCATGTTTTCGCTGTGAATAGAATCGTTGCCATTTTCAATTACCGGGTTAGTGCCTTTGCGAACCCCCTGGGGATCACTACTTAAGGAGCGTTAATCCCGCTTGTTTATCTGGTCCGTTTCATACTTGTTCTCAACCAGCGCCCCCCGCTTCTCTGTTCTCTTCCCCAGCTTTCATCTCCCCGCCACCACCCACCGTCCGCTCAGACCTCCCCCTTCGCATTCTCTCATTCCATCTGACATTTGAGATCGTCAATCACCTCCGCCATCATGCCTAAGGTGAGTTTATCATTCCTAGCGTCTGCCTGTGCTATCCCAGACCCACGTCACTAACAGACGCCACATTTGCAGATCACCGAGATCTTCTTTGACTGCGACAACACCCTCGTCCTCTCGGAGGAATTGGCATTCGAGGCCTGCGCCGATCTTGCCAATGAAATCTTGGAGGAGCAGAACATCCCCGACCGCTACACTGGGGAACAGCTCATCCAGGACTTTGTCGGCCAGAACTTTCGGGGAATGATGGTCTCTCTGCAGGCCAAGTACGACTTCAACCTGCCCCAGGACAAGCTGGAGGGATATGTTACGAAGGAGGAGGACAAAGTGATCGCCAAGCTGCTCGAGAAGGCTCAGCCTTGCGTGGGCGCCACCGAGGAGCTGGAGAAGCTCTTCCAATCGAAGAAGTACGACCTCGCCGTGGTCTCCTCGTCTGCTCTGCGCCGTGTGCGAGCCTCCATCAAGAAGGTGGACCAGGAACGGTTCTTCGACGAAGACAAGGTCTTCAGCGCGGCCACTTCGCTCGAGAAGCCCACCTCAAAGCCCGACCCAGCCATCTACCTCCACGCGTTGAAGAAGTGTGGAAAGGAAGCCAACGAGGTGGTCGCGGTCGAGGACAGCAAGTCAGGCGCCCTGAGTGCTATTCGCGCTGGTATCCACGTTATCGGATATGTTGGCAGTTACCCGGGCGATGACAAGAAGATTGAAATGACAAAGCTCCTCAAGGAACTCGGGGCCAAGGTTGTCATGAAGGATTGGTCCGAATTCGAGAAGTGCATGTCTGAAATCGAGGCTTCATGATTGGATTTACCATCTCTTGGTCTTTTTCATACGAGTTACGATAGCGAGCGCAGGTCGTTACGGAGCGATGGCTTTTCTTATTTCATTTAATCTCAACCATTGAAGATCATTCGCATTGCATCTCGTCGACTGTACAATAAATAGGTCGAGCGGGCCCGTTTGATCATGTTTTCTTTCTATTCCCACGTATTTGCGACTGGGAAAGCATGGGTTATTACCACCTTCTAGCATAGACATGTCTATAGCGAAGAAATACAATTCATCTTAAATGGTCCATGTCATGGGAGATGTATAATGTTCCTCAGGCACCGACCACCGAATGTGAATGTGTACCGGTGAGAGACACCATGACCCCATGACTATACGGCCGTAGCTTAAAATTAGAAACTCACGGGTCTTTCCCTTCACACCTTTCTACGTCCGCGACTTCAGCATTACCTACTCTTACGCAGGATATAACGAAAGCTAGAGCATCAGGGACAAACAATCCTTGCGTCAAACCAGCCAAGTCCGATCAATTTGATTTGCCCATTCTGGCGGACTAACGCATCAAAACCATCAATTCCGAAAAGACCACTTTGGTTCGAGAAGAATCTCAGAAAAATGAAATGTCAAATGGATGACAGTAATACATCGTCATATATATGCCAGTTGCTTCGGTATATGAAAATGACAACCACAATTGCAGGTCACTGGTTTGATCAAGATCCGACGAGGGACTAAGCGACACACGAAATGGTTAGCTTGACAAGTAACAGCTACCCAGGATATCCTGGTTAAGTAGAGATGGCAAGGAGCATACTAATAAGCGATCATGTTGTCCATGTAATCCCGCGCCTGCTCATCCCATCCGTTCTCCTGGAAGAAGGTGACCAGCGCTTGCGCCTTTTCTCGATCACTCATTCCAAATATAGGGAGGTACATCTTTGGCTGCGGGTACTGTGCCCCGGGATAGATTTCGAAATTGAACATCAGCGGGATGGGGTCTTTCCAAGATCCGTCGGGGATTTGTCGTCGTTCTTCCGGGATGTTGAAGATCGACCAGAGCTTGCGCACAATCTCCAATCCCTTGAGGATTTCAGGATGCTGCAATCTTCCGCCTAAGGTCCACATGTCGCATGCGCTCGCGAGGCTCACCTCCAGTGAATACGAATACAATTTGAACCTCGTCTTGGATGGCTCAACCAGATCACAAGACACGCCGGTAAGTTCAACATCCGGGGGACCGGGAGGGCCGGTCGGGGGCGGGGACTTTACCGTCTTGTCCTGCATATAGGACTCGAGAATTGAAAGAGATTGCTGAAGGGAATCATTGCCCATGACTTTGGAGAGGCACTGGAAAAGCAATCCAGATGGTGGTATACCAGTAGCCAGAGCTTTGGGCGCCACGAGCATGTAAAACTTCACTTTGACATCGCCGCCGACGAGATCCAGACCTATGACGCTTTGAGATCGAATGGGAAGAAACTTTTCCAAGTCCGGACTTTGAGTCAAGGATTGTCTCTGCTTGGCACTGAGACCGAGATCGTTGACAAGCCGATGGTATAAATAAAGGTCTATGTCGAGATAAAGCCTCTGCAGGCTTTGCAATAGCTCGTTGGTTGCCTGCTGATTGAACGGGTCTCGAGATGTTCCACTGACATGGTTGACCGCTTCGAATGAGACGCGAGCCGTGGACTTTGATTTCTGGAAGTTATAACTGAGCTCAACAGTCCTGCCCCCGCCCATGAGAGATTTATAGCGTCCAGGGTTTTGTGCCGTGGGTAGCGGACCAAGAAAGGGTACAACGTTCTGCGCAAAAAGAGTCAAATACTGGTACTGTTGGTGCACGTCGTACTTTGCATTGATGAGCATTTTGCTCAGCATGAGGCCCGAACTATCCCACCAGTCCTGCTGGTCTTTGTTTGGGAAGTAGAGATACTTGCTCAAACATTGGAACGGAGTCGAGGGCTTAGGAGAGGGAGTTGAAGCATCTCCATTGTCGGGCTGCGAAAGGTTCAATATTTTCAAAGTCATTGTAACTGGCTGTAAGTGTGATGACTGACGATTCTCTGCGATATCATGCAATCTAACTCGCCTTTATATAGTATGCTTTTGAATGTGCTTCGGAGACCGAAAGTCTTAAGCCATCTCGGGTCCATGGCTTCCAGGTTGCTCATGAGAACAAGGTTTCAATATCGGCCGGTGGACTATGGAGCAAGATGTGATGGCACCGTGCCAACCGTAGTCTTCTTGTGAATTTCCAGAGATACTGCTGTTGCGATTCCTTGAGAGCTATCATGCGCTGGAAGATACGAATACGAAGGAAACATTGATAGATGTCCACCTCTCCGGTTGCTCGTTTCCGTGACATCGTGCATCTCGGGGTTGTACATACATATAGACATACCATCTTGTTCTACCGCAGATAGAAAGATGATCTAGATCTAGCTCGAGACCAAGTCTGGGCAGTGTAACAACCACTGCAACACAGCCAACCCGATCGCATGGGCAACATGCAAGCGATATACCCGAGAAGGAGGGGCTGAAGGCGAGCTGAGCTCGACAATGCATCATCTCGCGGCTACCTCGTGATTGTCTTGCGAAGGTCATGGAATCTAGGTTCACAGTCATCGTCGTGGGTGGCTCGATTGCCGGCCTCTCATTAGCTCATTGGCTGCATAGAGCTAATGTCAAATGCATCATCCTGGAAAAGAGGTGCAAAATCGCCCCAGAAGAAGGGGTCGCTGTCACTATCACCCCAAATGGTGCCAGAATTTTAGCCCAGCTGGGTCTCTTCTCATCAATAGAGAGACTCACGGAGCCGGTCCGTGTGTCACAGGCTCTATTTCCAGATGGGTTTGAATGTTGCTATGCTGTTCCGAGGATCTGTCAAGAGAGGTAAATCTTTAGGATGCCTTTTCCATAGACATAGCTGACCTAAGTAGACTCGGTTATCCGATCGCTTTCTTGAAGAGACAGAAGCTGCTCGATTCCCTGTACACCATGTTCCCCGATAAGCATAACATACACACTAGGAAGAAAGTAGTGCTTGTGGAACAGGAAGACGACGGGGTGCGAGTTCATATGCGGGATGGAGCCATCTACGCGGGCCATCTAGTTGTCGGAGCAGATGGAGTGCACAGCGCAATACGAGATCAGATATTGCGAATGGCTGAGACATTTCATCCGGGGGTTAAAAGTGTGCCAAGAAGTAAGTAGAATTCCTTTACCAGAGCATCCCTGTATGTAAACGAGAAGTCGTCTAACGAGAAAACGTAGACACGACTATTAACTATGCCTGCGTCTTTGGAATATCCTCGCCTATTTCCAAGTGGCCTACAGGACACCAGGTCGTAGCATTCGGTCAGGGAAAAGCAATCATGACTGTTTCTGGTCCAGACCGTCGACTGTTCTGGTTTATCGTATTGAAGCTGAAAACTCCCCGCCAACACGGCAAGAGACCACAGTTTTCGCGCCAGGATGCGGAAGCAGAATGCGAGAAAGCGGCTGAGGTCTGGGTTACCAAAGGCGTTCAATTTGAAGAAGTATGGCGAAACCGAGAGATCTTCTCCGCAACCCTCCTGGAAGAGGCGCTTCTTCCAAGATGGCATTGGGGACGGGTTGTTTGTATAGGGGACAGCGTGCACAAGGCTAGTTTAAACCTAGTGATTAAGAGTGGCCCTGCAGAGAGTGCTAACCTCATTAGATGACACCGAATGTTGGCCAGGGCGCAAATTGCGCGATCGAGGACGCTGCTTGTCTGGCCAGTGAGCTACATTCTGCATTAATACGCCAGGGGACCAAGATTTCCGACGTACAGATTCATCAGTTACCAGCTGAGTTCAGCGCAATTCCACAGCGGCGCATGAAGTTTATGTATACGTTATCCAAAGTTGTAGTCCGGCTACACACAAGGCAGAACTTCATTTATGGGGCGATGCGTGATGCCTTGGATGGCAGAGCCTACGATGAGAATGGCCGCCTGGCTCATGGCAGACGCCCCTTATCTGATCTTCTTACCCATACCAGAGCGTTCCAGGCATGGCTGGAACCGTTTAAGCCCAGAATCTCCAGTATCTACGCTACAGCAGGGGCTTGTGTAGTCGTTATAGTGCTGGGCTTGGTTACGGGTGGTCGTTGAAGTAGTCTGATTTTAGTTCATTCCTGGAAACGGGGCAAAGACATATGCATGATCAAGTCTTACTGTGTGTGGGTATTCTTAAACACAGTGTGAAATATTAGAATCATCATCTACAAGGGCTCACTTATAGTATCCTCATGGCAGTACTGCTGTATAGTGATGGAGCACTGATAAGATAAGGGTCCAGCCCTTCCGGAACCCCGCTCCTCTGCCCCTCGTGACAACATCCGGTCGACCCATCGGACCTTAGCCCAAGAGCTTATCCTCCTAAGTATCTCCCTGTCTGGCATTACATCCGACCATGTCCGAGCGCAAAGAAATCAAGTCCACATTGGTGTCGAGAGGTCCACTGGTAGGATCTACAGATTCATAGCCACTGTCCATCTGTTATTGACATGGTGCTTCCAGGACCCAAAGGAGGCGAGATGGGCTAGACTCGTCAAGACTACGTACCGGGATCCCCTGGGCGTGGAACGCACCTGGGAGTCTGCGGAGCGACAAGTAAGAAAGACCCCCTTACTCTGGTTGTGGCTTTACAGTGGCGATGATGAACCCGGATACCATACTGGTGCTCACGTGGATCTTACAGACTCGACCCGCAAACTGCGAGCTCGACGGTGTCGGAATCGTGACCATTCTGAACAAGGCCTCGGGCCCTGAGCTGCTCCTTCAGAAACAGTACCGACCGCCCATTGACAAGGTGGTCATTGAGGTCCCGGCCGGTCTGATCGATGCGGGCGAGACGGTCGAGGAATGCGCCGTCCGTGAACTTAGAGAGGAGACGGGCTACGTGGGGGTGGCGGAGGAGACGAGTAGTGTGATGTATAACGGTAGGCTGCTACTCTACTCAAGTAAGCTGCATATTTGGCGGACCTTTAGCATCTATGGGTTGCGTCGCTGGATGAAGTTAAGTCACTAATTGCGATGCTCTGACAGATCCTGGATTCTGCAACACGAATCTGAACATGGTCCACGTGCGGGTGGACATGTCTCTGCCCGAGAACCAGAACCCCAAGCCGCAGCTCGAAGATAACGAATTCATCGAGTGTTTCAGCGCTCCGTTATCGACCTTGTTCGAGGAGCTGAAGAAGCTAGAGGCGGAGGGTTACGCCATTGATGCACGAGTGGGGACGATCGCCGAGGGAATTGAGCTCGCGAAGAAGTGGAAGTTGTAAAGTTTTGTGTCGATGATTCACCCCTTAGACGAATAGCTGCCATGACTGCATTTGGATAGAAATCGATAGAGGTGATTCAAATCCTGGTGATCATATACGTCCTTCCCCTTGGAGTCCCTTGTACAAGGCCCAAGCTGCCAGAGTCTTTCCATCCCGCAATCCTTCTTTCCACAAGTCCTTCAACGGCACGATTTTCAAGGTGATCTTCTCCCCTTCCTGTCGCAATCCCGTCAGTCGGCCCTGCAATGCGTCGATTTCACCCCGTGGCATGTGCTTTTGACACAAGAACAAAGGAATGAACTCGTCACTTCCCCCTGCCGATGGGTAGACTGCGTCTTGGAGTGTTTCTTCATTTTCCGATCGGGCGGTCAACTGCGACGCTAGCGAGGTCATGTCTATGAGTTCGTCCTGAGGAATGACCAGCCCCGTCTCTTCCTGGATCTCCTTCGCTGCGCCGCCGGCGAAGGACCCGCTGTCGTCGAGCATACCGGCAGGGATTTCGGAGAATGCAAGTGACCCGGCAGGAACCCGAGGCTGGACGGTGAGAATGGCGCGCTTTTCGTCTTCGCTTGACAGCGGCACATCGTCGGGCTGGAGAATAAGCTGTTGCGAACAAAGGCACGGGTTGTTAGTGACACGGAGATGCTTGGCCGAAACAGAGACCTTGGCCGGCGCTTACCAGCATTCCTACACTGCCTCCCCGCAGGAAGACGCTGCCCGGGAGCGATTCCCCGCTGGAGTTAGACACGCCGGCCTTCAACTTCACGAATCCCAAACGACCTCCGCCGAAGAAGTCGACGGCCTGCACATCGATCTTGCGTAGCACGTAGGGGTCCTTGAAGAATTCGTGGGATGGGTTGCGCTGTTGGTCGAGCGAGCGCTGGAGGGTGGACAGCCAGATGCGGAAGGCCGGGAAGCGCCAGAGGGCGTCCTTGGTGAGATCGGGAGTGCCAGTAAAGGCAAGGCCCTGATCGGCGGGCGCAGCAGTGGACATGGGGACGGCTAGGGATGGCAGAGACGGCCGCAGCAGCCGAACAGAGCGCCAGCAGGGGTGCATCCAGTCGAGCGACGAGAGAATGGAGAATGGAGTCTGGAGCCCTCACGACGGATGACGTACGGCGCGGTCACGCTAACCGCAGGCGGGGCTGAGTCAGCGGCCAGGGCTCGGCGCGATTCCCCGTCACGAACGCCTCCGTGAATCCCCCTCTCGATGGCTTCGGGCGGCATCCTGAATCCAGGAATCTGCTCCATTCCTGGGCCTGTGGGCGACCTTCCGGCTGGTTCTTATGCCCCGGAACTCGCATGCCAACGCGGCCACGATCCGCACTTGAAACGACACATCAGCTGGCGGGGTCAGCTGGTTGCACCCGCATCACCGCCCATCCATCGACCTTGCCTTTCTTTGTCTCCTTAGCCCGAGATGGATCAGCGCATTAATTAATTTTATTTCGGCCAGATCGAATCGCATCGGACAGGGCTGGGCGGGTCTTCCACGGCCCCTTCGAGGCGCCTCCGCCGACCCTTCCTTTTCCTTTCCGGGTTATTTGTCCTGGTCGCTTAAGCAAGTTGTTCGGCGGCGTTGCAGTGCAGCCCACCGGTGCCATCTGTGCCCTGGGGGGCTTGAACCCGTCGGGTCTAGAGCAGTCAACGTTGTCCAGACGTCAATCAGTCAGCTTGGGGGGCTCGGACCTGTCTGCCCTCCGACTCCCTCGTTCCCCTTTCCCCCCTCCCTTCTTTCTTCTCGGATTTCGTTCGTTCCGGCTGGGTGTGGAGGATTCATGCTGGATCTGAATTCCGAATGAAAGAGGTTCCAGACACGGAGTTTCGTCCTGAAAGTCCCTAGTGTAACGGGCGAGCTTGTTGGGCTCTTTGCCGTAGCTCAAGGTTTCCTTCATTACATTTCTTTTTCATTCCCCCTTGGACCCCTGGTCTAATTTCTGCCTGATTATTTAAGTGTCACTCTATCACTTCGTCATTTCGTCGTCTCGTCAGAAGCTTGATTTCGACCGGCCTCATCTTTATCCCACAAGAACCGATTCCCACAGAAATATGGCTTCGATGGTCTGCGAATAACCTTCGCGCCGTGACGACTGGCTGACGGATCGCCGGGAGACCACTTCTACCAGCTGTTTGAGTTAGTCAATAATCCAAACCACTCTTTTTTTTCTTTCAACATTCGACTGGCCTCTTCAACTGCGATGTTACTATATATCGTAATTTGATCTTATTTTATCTCGTCCTATCTCATATCTCGGTGGTCGCGATACTTCCGTAAAGGAAGGTCGGTCCCGCTTCTCCCAGATTCCAACATTCGAACTCCGAATTATGTTTGGCGCCTCAGCTCGACCGACCAGTTTCCCCGTTGCCTCCAAGAAATTTCAGGACTTCTACAGCCTGACCACACTTTGTCGCTCTCTATTCAAACTGTTCGACACTCTTCCGACTTCGCTCTGTCATACCTGACTGTTGACCCGAAGAATATCATCCTTTTTTTGCGGGCCATCTGTAAATAGCTGGAAGTAATCGGTTTGTGCCCAATCGTTTGCACCATTGCTTCTTCACGGATATCCCTGGTATGAGAAGAATCCCTTTGTGCTGTCTATTGACGTTTGTCTCCTTTGTATTTTGAGAGCTCTTGTAGGGCCGATTTTCATGCTTAAAAGCCTGGATCACTTGAAATATGCTCGATGTTGGCATGCTGACACCATTTGCTAGTCTTTCAGCACGGGAACTACCGGTATTGTGCCAGATCTTGTCGAGAGTCTCTGGCTTGATGTGCCCTGGCAACCAAAGCCCCCTCTTACTGTCTATCCTATTCTCTTTCTTGCCTTCCTCATCTTCTTCGTGACATCTCCCTCAAAACTACTCATTACAGTCCTGGGCTCCCAACGAAGAACTTTACTATAATTCTCCCAGATCAATCTGCCTTGCGAGCTGTCTTCGCCATCACCAATGCCTCCTGTCGATACTTATCCCTGGGGCTTCGGTAACATGGCTGAAGGCCTCGGAACCAATCAAGGGTCGTTCATGATGCCTTCTTATAACCCAGGCTATGGCTATGACGAAGCCATGCCAGCTAACAACCAAAATACTTTCGACCGTCCAGTCCCCTGTCCCCCGAGGATTGCTCGCAATATTTATCGCACCTCGCAGGAAACTAGTTAGTATTATTTTTTTTTTTCATTTGGCATCGACTAATAACTGACGCCTGCTTAGTGGGCCAGGGAATTTCTATGTTCGCCAATGTGCCGGATGCCAGCGCCCAGACTTCATTTCCTGGGGCAAATGACCAGTTTATTGGAGCGACATCTACTCCAGTCAGTAGCGGGCCTATTTTGGATGCCACACCGTTTTCAGTGCGTGGTCATGCGACCTCGAATACTTCATTTCCCGCCCAGTTCCCACAAACCCCGAATGCAAATCCCCAGGCATGTCCACGGACGACCGACCAAAATAGTACATTCAATCACCTTCAGGAAATGCCTCCCGGCGTCGCTTGGCAGATGCAGCCCCTTCCTCTTCCTGTTTCTCAGCCTGCGCAGTGTCCTACCGCACCGGGGGCTTATACACCAGGAGCCTATCATCAAGCCATGGGACGGCCCTCTGATACGGGCCCACTTGCCCCGCAGCCTCCGACTCATCGAATTGACCTTACGCCGTTTCCGCAGACTCCAATATCGCGTAATTCATTGGCTTCTATTCACACAGAGTCGGCCTCGGCGATCATGCAGGCACAGCTTCGCGCGAACGCTGTATTTGGCGTTGGTGCTGCAGCATTCACCCCTAGGAGTGGCGGAATAAGGTCAAGCTCTCTGGGCGATTTCTCAACGGGAACAATAACAGTTCCCGGGAGGAGTCCAAGTGCTGTATCCTCGAGGGGGTCTTATGAGGATGCCAATGTCAACTCATTCGTACATCCCATGCCCCCCGGAGTGCCTTCATTTCGACCCTCTCGCGTAAGGAGGATGGGGCAACACATATCACGTTTTGAAGCCGGCAGGGCTGCCAATAGCAATCATGTCTCTCGTCATTCACTCCCCAAAGGGTTGGATGACCCACTTGATGAGCGCCCCGAACCTAAGGAAACGGCCGAGATGACCCTCAACATGGAGTGCAAAGTCTGCATGAGTCAACCAGTGGATACGGCTGTATTTCCCTGTGGACATGCTATGCTCTGTCGCTGGTGTGCCGAGAAGTGCATTCCGTCGCAGCGAAATGATAAGAGTCGTCCTAGGGAAACATCTCGCTGCCCTATGTGTCGTAGCGTTGTTCGACAGAAGGTAGGATTTTCCCGTGCTCTTCTAGAGCTTTGTGCCGGTCCATGCTAACAAGGGTGTAGCTGCGGATCTATCTCACTTAGTTATCGCCAATCACTCTCTAGCAGGGTTGTTTGTTTGAAATGAATGATGATTCAACGATGGCGTTGCTGTTTTACCAGGGCATACATTTGGACTATTCGGACTTGCAAAGACGGCGTTGCTGTTGGGCCTGACTCTCTTACGAGATTCTATGATTCTTAGTCTTTTCCTCCTTGAAACTTCCGATTACCCCTGTTAGACATTTTCCATAGGTTGTGGAAATAAGTATTTTCTTTTGTTTGAAAGATTCTATGTCTGGCTTGCATATGGCTTTTTCTTGAAGTTGACTTGCTGAGCTTGGTTGTTGCTTGGTTCTTTTCTTCTTTTTCTGACCTCTTGTATTTCGCATGAAATGTATTCTTATCAGGGTCCAGATGGGTTGGATATCACTTTGCCAGGGTGTAATACTTGAAGGCCTGTATGTAGTCTTGTCGGTTGCTTCCTACTTGATCAAAATATCAAACCATGCCATTAATGGCTTTGACGCCTTGGTTGAGCAAGACATAGAAGCTAGTGCGCCCTTATCACTGTTCCTAAGTAAAGGTCACTCACCACAAGTCTTCGACTCCTATTTGCAATACCATGGCTGGTTATCAATGCATTGCGGCCAGACAATCGTAGATACGCTCTCCTCCGTATGATGCCTCCCCAGCCCCGTCAACGAGATTGATATAGACACCATCGAGCATTATTTAGCAGGGTTTAGCCTAGGACCACAACTGAGAGAATTGATACATCCCATTAGAGGCAATATGCTTCCGGCTTTTTGTGGTTGGAGGAATTCCGGTGGCGACATATAGGGAGCAAGTAGGTACAGATCAGAGGATTTCAACACCAGGGTTCGATCGGTGCAAGCTGAAATTGAAAAGACCGTGTCCAATACTTTGTGACTTGAGGCCCTCTTTTGCTCATAACGGACAGCAGATAAAATATATGCAGGCGTCTACCGTAACAGTACCCTGTAAGGGCTGATGTTTGTGAGCTTCCCAGGGATGGCAAATCCCTACCACGCAACGTAGTTGACAACATAACAAATACTGGAAAGACCATGTTTTCCATTTTGAACCGGAAAAGGAGGTTGACTACGCTCAAAAGGGCCCTTTTCGAAGAGTCGTCATCGTTGATGCTGGGAAAGTCGATAAACGGGGCCAAAGACCAGCGTGGCAATGTTTTGCCAATCTTTAGTCGGCTGGTTCTAGATATGCTTGTCAGTCACAATCCTCGATTCAAGTATATGAATGGGCAAGAAGATAATCATGCTCCGGTGGATTGCTGGACAGTCGAATGCTTGGAGTCACATGGCCAGCATGTGACCGGAGGCCTTCAAGGCAGTTCCAAGTTTCATCATCCTCCACATTTCTTCCCGTCTCCTCTCATTTGTTCCTGAATCCCGCCGCCATCTATCTCAACCCGGATCGATCTAGAAGCCGGATCGCATCCTCCAAGATTTGTCGCAGCCACCACCAGCCCCATGTCGAGAGCGGACGAGATCACGCATGCCATGCGACTGACATCCAGGTTGAGTGGACTGACCAAGACACTAGACTCAACGGAGCTAAGGGCCTGCTTATCCGGCGTCGTCATAATATCAGGAATGGCGTGATGGACAATCGACAAACAAAGGAAAGCGTGGCCGACTACGGAGTATCATCAAGTATGAATGTTGTTCTCCACACGCTTGTGCCATCCTCACGCTATCCCGATGAGGATTCCAAGATGACAGCTTTAGATGAAGGTAAGCAATCCTCTCAGGAATCCCGGTTCTTGGCGCTCTTTTTGCTCATTCCCTGTTAGCTGGGCGTGGAATATGAACTCTCCGACACCGCCTCGTGATGTGTCTCTTTTCTTTTGGCCTCTTTGCGTGTGTGTTTTTCCTCGGAGCGCTGTCTCGGTCGGCCCAAAGTCCACAGTGGAACTGGCGGGTCGGCCTTATTTATGGTGGGTCGTCGGGACATATTCAGCCCTATCCTGTGGCAGTCAATCTTTTCGCAGTTGCCTATCCTCGGACGATGAGCGAAGAAGAAGCTCCTGGATTTCAGGAAGAGTAACGAGACTCTCGGACTTCGAGATATACAGAAGGGCACGCCAACGGTGGCCAAGATATGAACCATAGTGGGGTAAAATGAAGTGCAGCTATACCGAGCAACTAGTCCCAGACCAGCAGTCTGGGCATCGCCCCAAGACTCCTACACGGACCTGGGTCCAATCGGGCAGTCCCTGGCCCACTCCCTGCAATATCGAACCCGTCCGGAAGGTCTCAAGGTGAAATTGTAGAATACGGCATGGTGGGTTGCCCATCGCATGGCGAAATGGCGCTATGCATGCGTGTGGTGAGGATGGTGAAGCTCCAGGGGCCAATGCAGATGGACCTCATTTGAACCGAGAGTCCTAGTCCAAACTGGCTAATTAATGATTGGTCGGATTAGAGTATATTTGCACTTCTGTCCTAAAATCACGACATCGCCTAGCCATGGCAGTGGCTCTGCATGCTCGATTTTTTTTCGACCGTGAGGAACAATTTTCCTTTGTCGAGGTGCAGCTTATAAGAGTTTTGGCGTTCCCCTTCTGCTTATTTTCGTCAACATGGCATTTGCTTTTTTCTGGAAATTTTCTTACCTGTTTGCTTGATTAGACGAGGTGCTTACGTCGCGTGTCGTTTATCAATCGAATCAGACGCGAAGAGCGCTGATTGCTCTGATCGGTCATGTCGGACACCAAATCTTCGAAACTAGGCCATGGACTAGCAAAAGGCTTGGGTATCGACTTGAATGAGACTCGGAGTCCCAACTTCCATCATGATTCCATAGAGGATCCCCATTCTCACACCTACGTCGAGCCTGAGCCCACGGCAGGTGACTGGTTTCGCGAGCATGCGCCTACAACCCGCCAGGCCGTTGAGTACTTTTACAATCTGTTCCCATTCCTAGCCTGGATCATGAGTTACAACGTACAGTGGCTTATTGGGGACTTGGTTGCCGGTAGGTCTCCTGGTTCTTACCCGCATGCAGCGCGAAACTAAAAGATTTAGGCATAACTGTCGGTGCTGTCGTCGTTCCACAGGGTATGGCCTATGCCATATTGGCTGAACTACCCCCGGAATATGGCTTGTATACTTCATTCATGGGTGTGTTGATCTATTGGTTTTTTGCCACATCAAAGGATATTACGATTGGGGTAAGTGTCCCTCCTCGCTCATTGCCTCAGACATTCACAACTGACCTTTCCAGCCCGTGGCTGTCATGTCTACTCTAGTTGGCGGTATTATCATAAGCACAAAGGAAAATCACCCCGAGCTGGAGGGCACCGATATCGCGTCTGCATTGGCCATCATTTGTGGCGCCATTGTCACTTTTCTGGGCTTCATTCGATTCGGTTTCATTGTGGACTTCATCCCGCTACCAGCTATCACGGCGTTCATGACTGGCTCTGCCATCAGCATCTGCGCCGGACAGGTGAAAACATTGCTAGGAGAGACAGCTAAATTCTCGACGCGTGGTGCAACCTACCGAGTGATTATAGATACCCTCAAGCACCTGCCGAGTGCCACGATGGACGCATCCATGGGTATGACCGCATTGGCCATGCTGTATGGCATCCGTTCTGCTTGTAATTTCGTAGCGCGCCGAAACCCTCAGCGCGCGAAGGTTTTCTTTTTCATCTCGACTCTCCGCACGGCCTTCGTCATTTTGTTCTACACCATGATCAGCGCTGCTGTCAACCTGCACCGGCGTGATGATCCGGCCTTCAAAATCCTCGGAGAGGTGCCCCGAGGCTTCACTCATGCCAAAGTGCCTCGTGTTGATACTGAAATCATTCGCGCATTTGCCAACGAGATCCCGGCCGCCGTCATTGTGCTCCTGATCGAACACATTGCCATCTCGAAGTCATTCGGTCGTGTCAACAACTATACTATTAACCCATCGCAGGAGTTCATTGCCATCGGCATTACCAATCTTCTGGGTCCCTTCCTGGGAGCCTATCCCGCTACAGGCTCGTTCTCGCGTACAGCCATCAAGTCTAAATCCGGCGTACGCACGCCTCTAGCAGGTGTTATCACAGCAGTTGTCGTTCTACTTGCTATCTACGCTCTCCCGGCCGTCTTCTTCTATATCCCCAGTGCCTCCCTCGCGGGTGTCATTATCCACGCTGTTGGGGACCTGATCACACCACCCAGCGTTACCTACCAGTTTTGGCGCGTGGCGCCTCTTGATGCGATCATCTTTCTGGCGGGTGTCATTATCATCATCTTCACTGAGATCGAAATCGGAATCTACTGCACTATCTGCGTCTCGGCTGCTGTTCTTCTCTTCCGTCTTGCGAAGGCCCGAGGTCAGTTCATGGGCCGCGTTAGAATTCACTCTGTCATAGGTGATCACCTCCTTGAAGACGACGAGGACCCTTACGCCATCTCCCCAAGGACTATTTACCTGCCAACCACCCACTCGGACGGATCAAATCCGGATGTCAAAGTCGAACAACCCTCTCCCGGTATTTTCATTTACAGACTCTCTGATGGCTTGAACTACCCCAACGCAAACCACTACACGGATCATCTCGTGGATCATATCTTTAAGACTACTCGACGGACGACACAGGACATTTACGAAAGCCCAGGAGACAGACCCTGGAATGACCCTGCTCCGCGCCGCAGCAAAGCTAAAGCCAATATCGATAACACTTCACACCTACCCACTCTGAAAGCCGTTATCCTCGACTTCTCCTCGGTCAATAATGTCGATGTAACTTCCATCCAAAATCTCATCGATGTGCGAAATCAACTTGACCGATACGCCACTCCGGACAAAGTCCAGTGGCATTTCGCTCATATCAACAACAAGTGGACAAAACGGGCTCTTGTCGCAGGCGGTTTCGGATTTCCTCCTTCTGTCTCTAACTCTGAAGGCAGCCAACAGCCCTGGAAGGCTATTTTTACGGTCGCAGAAGTTGACGGAAGCCCTGATCTCGTCACTAACAAGCGAAACCCGGACCTGGAGTCGGGATCGGATGATATCGATAACACTCTACCCTCGAAGCAATACCCTCAGGCCACGGAGCGGAGTATCCAAAGCCAGACTCTCGGCATCGAGAAGGAACAACTATCAGACGTGCCTAGCCGCGACGGGTCTACTGTAGCAGAGCGCCGCGAGACCGGGAACAATCGCAAGCGGATTCTGGGAACGATGGCCGTGGTGGAGGGAATCAATCGACCATTCTTCCACATCGATATCACCAGTGCGTTGCAGAGCGCTGTGGCCAACTCCCATCGTTCTTCTGGGTCGGAGCTGGATGCATCAAAGTAATTCTGTTGTCTTCTACATCATCTCTGGGAGGAGACTATCTTTTGGAGTGGATGAGATTGCGTGCTACTTTTCTTTTTGAGTGAGATATCCTATAATAACTGCTGTTTTGTGTTTCTGGAACGAGTCGCTCGTTTTTGTTGGATTAGTGCGGAAAGGCAGCTGCAGGTAGCTGCGCGGAATTTGGCTAAGCTGGTAAGCTTCAGCTAGAGGTCCCAATTCTACATCCTATACCCTTGTTTTAATCTGAAATAATAGTCATTCAATCCTTCCTGGTCCTCGTAGAATGGTCTCACATGCCTTTTGGTATTAAACTTTTTAACTCTCACACATGGCTTGTAATACCTCGATAGACCATCCGGCATCCCTGTCAACCTAATCTGGAAATACCCCATTGGAGAAGCTAAATACTCGTACACCGAGTCCGGCATCCATGCGAGCTTTTCGTATCCGTAAAGGGCTCGTGATTGTTATCCGAGTCCGAGTCCGGGCTCGAGTCCTGGCTAACCCCTATTCCAGGAAATGGGACGAAGGGGTCCAAAACTCTATCTTTCAGCTCATATTCAGATTTGCTGCGACAAATGGGTCCGAGACAAGCAAAACATAGGAGTTCCGGGATATAGTGTTACTACTTTTATTGCAAATGAACGTCTAGGGAATGGAAAGGGCACTAGAAACTATGCCTATCCATAAAACATATTCTCTCTCAGATGAATAGCAATCCAATTAATACAAAATATATCTATCACGAGGCAAGAAGTACTAATATGTACATACAAAAGCCTATCCTCAAAAGCACAGCGCACCCATCTCTATACTGCTTCTATATCATCCTTCCCCCTAAAGCATCATCTCCTCTAGTTGACCTCAAGTTTGAACAAGTTCCACCCTATTTCTTGCTGGCCCTCACCTTTTTAGTATAAGGCCACACCCGGAAAACGTAATACAGCATAATGGCCCCAAACACGTTGAACACGAAATAGGCCCAGAAGATACCGTAATTGCGCCAGCGGTCGTCCCACGAAATATCCCGTCCAGCCAGGTACTGGTCCGATATTCTCAAAGAGCAGTACTGGCATGCTTCTGTGGCCTCGTGGTTGTAAAGCTGTCCCGGGGCGGCTTTGAGGTACTCTGCTAGGTAGTCGCCGCAGGTCTGTCCCGCAGGTGGGTCGAAGGTATTGAGCTCTCGATCGGAACAGCGGATCGGGCGGTCGTGGAGAGCAGCGCCGCTGATCCCGGCGATGTAATATGTCAACGGGGAGACGCGGTGCATGAAGATCCAGAACCCGGGTAGAGCGTCGGGGGGTTGCATGACTCCGTTGAAGATCAGGGACATACCGAACCCGAGGACAGCTAGCATGCCTCCCAGGGCGGGGTCCGGTAAGGCGGAGATGACGAGCTGCGCGAAGCTGGAGGCGAAAATGTAGAACTGCACCACGAAGAGGAGGACGAGACCTTGGCGCTGGGGTTCTTGGTCGGCACCGAACACGGCGAAGTAAAATGAGGCCCAGGAGCACACACCGAGAATGATCTGCCACGGAAGCTCGGCGAGGATCTGGGCCACGATGAATACTTTCCAGGAATAGGTTCGAGACGGTCTTTCGCGAACTTCATAGAGTGCTCGTTGAGTAACGAATTTGGGCATGATTCTGTTCATTTAGTCAGTGGGGATCGCTCATCGCCTGTGTAGACAGCTTACTGGTTCACGAGTGTAGAAAAGATCGTGCAAAGAAGGAACAGACTGAATAGCACATTCTGAAATCCTTGCTGGGAGTTGTCCGCTTTCCAGAATGAGAAGCCGATGAACAGGCCGGAAATGATTCCCAGGACAAACTTAGCAAGAATATACTCCGGCTGGCGATAGTACTGTTGGAAGACTCGCTTGGTCACAAAGTAGAACTGGCTCGTGATGGGCATGGCGAACTCGCGAGTGCTCATATCGTCTGAGTCTGTAGCATTCGGAGAGCTGTGTTTAGCGATGCGGTCCAGTTCTGCGAGGACTTCACGACGATGGGAGCTATTGTTCCATGTCGCCACCCAATCAATCGAGCTCTGGCCCGAAGCCCCTGCCCCAATTATCTCCAGCATATATTCAGCAGGCTAGACAGGCTTACATTAGTTAAAAAGCTCCAATATCACGCCAGTAAAGTCTTTGAGAGAGACTTACATTTTCGCTTTCCTCGCAGTGTCTTGCTCCGTTGCTTTCAAAGTAATCCAGTAGAACGCGCGATTGTTCACCGATGTCTCCGAAGTAGACCGTCTTGCCGCCTTTTGCAAGGAAAAGAAGCCGATCAAATTCCTGAAACAGCAAGGCGCTGGGTTGATGGATTGTAGCCAAGACTGCTTGTCCATGATCAGCAAGCTTTCTCATGAACTTGCAGATCGCCCATGAGCTCTGTGAATCTAGACCACTGGTCGGTTCGTCAAGGAAGATTAGCAGAGCAGGCTTGGCAGCAAGCTCAACACCGATAGTAAGCAATTTTCTCTGCTCGACATTAAGACCCTCTCCAGGGTTTCCGACCACTGATTCAGCGAATTCTTCCATGTCGAGCATTTTGATAACCTCTTCAACGAATCCATACTTCTCTCGCATTGGAACCGACGATGGCTGACGTAAAGCGGCACTGAATTGAAGAGCTTCGCGGACAGTTGCGGTTTCTAGATGCAAGTCCTGTTGCTGCACATAGCCTGCCTTCCGTGGAAAGCTCGCATCAAGATCCTTGCCATTCACTAGCAGTTCACCGCTTATGACTCCAAGTGTGGCACGTTGAGCAAGCACGTCAAGGAGTGTCGTTTTCCCAGCACCGGATACACCCTGTAATATAAACCGTGAGTATGGAGATCTTACAACGAAATGCATACAATGTTTCACGTACCATGAGTGCAGTAAGGGTTCCTGGTTTCACCCATCCATTCACCTCATCTAATAGTCTCCTTGTGCCATCTTTGACCGGAATATCGTAGGACAAGCCCCTCCAGGTGAATATATCCGTTTGCTTTGCTAGATGGGTAGCCTCATCATCAACATCTGTCGAGCCGTCGGTGCTGGCTACAGGTACTTTTTCAGACGCGGCAGATTCCATATCACGGTTTTTGAGATAAGCGGGAATATGTCCTGGGCGGAAAACCAATGCCTCCGGTTTGGATGATGTGCCGGGGCTGAGCTCGGTAATAACCAGATAGAGTGTGTTAAAGAACACCAAGAAGCCAATGAGAATACCGTAATTCCTCCAGATATGGCTGTAATAATACTGATAATTCTGGCCGATGAACTCGTCTCCAGAAACAAAGTGTTCTCCCGCAACGGCACCAACGGCAGAACATATGAAAGATGTTCCGCTCAATGAAGGGTAGCTAGGGACAAATTGGCTGCATTCGAAATTGCGGCCATGGAACTCGTTGGCGATGATTCCCTCGAAGGCGTAGTAGATCGGATTTAACCATCTGATCCAACCAAACCAAGGGTGCATATAAGGTTGGGGGATGGTAAATCCGGTATAAACAGCCATACAGATGACCATAATTCCAGCCAAAGCCATAGCCTGTCCGATAGTCTTTGTCATAGCACCCAAGGTCCTGAATATGCCAGACATCGTGACGATGGCCGTGACCAAGAACATGATAAAGATGAAAAATTGCGATGGCTCCCGCCGAAGATTGGTCATAAAGTAGAGTATGAGACTGAAGATACAGCACCGGAAAAGCTTGATGGGAAAGTCCAAGATGATACTTGCCAGGGACTCTGTGAACGGATGGACAAAAGCGTAGGAGGCTTGCTTTTCGACAATTGGCCGCTGGCTGTACAGTAGCATGATCTCGTTGATAGTGATGAGCGCATTCATAAGCACGCCAAAATACAGAACGGCGCCTTTTTGGAAGAAACCATTGGTGCTATTAGGAGTGTTGTAGAAGATGGAGCCTATAATTAGTGACAAAATAACCTGAACGATTGCGGTAGCCATCGTGGCAGGAAGGTCATTTCTCGTTCGCTGGAAGGCTCTTTTCAGACAAAGCCTGAACTGCATCGGAACCGAAAGCAAGTAGGGACTCTGCTTTCGAACATGCTTAGCTTGCCCAGCCTGTTTTGTGGCATTGAATGCTCGTTCTTGTTGCCCATCGACGGGAAAGTTTTGCTGGTAATTTTTCATCTTAGACTTCAGGGCATGATATTCCGGGCTTTTCCTCCAGTACGCTTCAAACTCCGCTGCGCTCCGGGGAACCTTGTGCTTCATGTCCGGTCTAGCAACACGTTCTCTCGGGTTTGTAATGGAAGTCAAGAAGTCACCGCTAACCTGTCGGAGGGGTCGCATCCAGCCCATCTCCTCGAAATACTCCACTGCCCGCTCACATGGACCATAGTAGATCTCTCGACCCTCATACAAGACGATGACCTGATCAAAGATATCATACATTGATTGAGAGGCCTGGTAAGCTGCTACCGCATGGCAGGAGCCTCCAAGGTCGGCAGAGAGACGAAGGGCCTTGACGAATTCTAGAGCAGTGGCAGCATCAAGGCCTCGAGTGCTATTGTCCCACGCGCCAATCGGGGCGCGGGATAGAGCCATCTCTGCGATACTGTTGCAATTTTAGTGCCCGGATTTCACGAACCACATTGACTGTAGCTGCAGCACTCACCTCACTCGTTTCCTTTCACCCCCACTGACCCCCCGAACAAAATCATTTCCAACTTTGGTACTATACGTGTGCGACAGACCAAAGAATGCCAAGATCACCTGGACCATAATTCCCACGTACTCCTCTCGACTGTATCCGTTGATTCGATTTTGGGGGGCCCTTGCGTGAGCAGCAAACTCGAGGGTCTCGCCAACCGTCAGGTGTGGAAAATGCTTGTCAACTTCTTGATTATAGAGCACCTCTCCCCGAAATTCTTTGATCATGCGCGCGAATTGGATCCCCTTGTATTGGATATCACTAGATGGGTCTAGATCCAGTCCGTTCAAATGACCGCATATCGATTTTAAGAATGTAGAACAACCACTCCCAGGGCGACCTAGAACCAGAAGCAACTCGCCACCGTCAAGTAGCCCGTCGAAACTGTTCAGGATTGTTCTCTTCCCACTTCGGGATTGTTGCATCATTGTCGCAATTTTCGAAAAGGGGAGCAGCAAGGTGGATAGCACGGTTTGTTGGATCTGCACCGAGGAGCCTGAGCCGAAGACCGATAAATTTTCAAACACGACTCCCCGACGACGCGCATTGACCTCCTCGGTATCAAATGAACGAATTGTCTTCTTGGCCCATTCATGAGGATTGAAGTTAGGGTTTGCGGGGTCCAACGACGTATCGTCCATCTCAGGCTCCTCCTTGACAGAGGCTCGCTGCCGTAGGTTTGTCGCTATGCGAGCGACAGTTACCCGGTCATGATCGGTGATAAGGCTCGAGGCTGTCTGAGTTCTGGTCAATTGGAGGTTTAGTTTTGCCTCGGTGGACTGCTCGCTCATGTCTTGCGCCATGATGGGGAGATAAACCACAGGTTGCCACTAGAGCAAGACAAAATGACAGGCATAGATGAAATTCTTAAAAACAAGGTGTAGGGAGTTCTTTCAGGTACAAATGATCTTGAGGGGTCCTATTCACTCTTTAATATTCACCTCCTATTTGGGAGGCAGCCATCAGCATTAAAAAAAGATCGACCGAATTACGTTGTCATAACGCATACAACCCGCCCACTTAGAAGCAACCCACAGGTAATCGGATAGTGGCAGATCCGGAGCCTCTAGAGCGGACTTATGCAACCCTGATCTATGCATGTCTTCCCTAAAAGTCTGCCCTGAGGTCAGGAGCGGAGACGGGAAATGAACCGCCGATATTCTTATGTTGGAGCTCCGCACCACCGACCTGTTTTGATGCCATGGTTCAGTATACTCAAGCCTAGACACCAACCAACAATAACTCACATCCAGCATAAATCTGGACTGGAAAGCTGCGCTCTTTCTGGCCCTTCAGACGACTCTCATCGATTGATCCACTCCGCTCGATGGGCGCAGCTGATTGGCCTGTCGGTATATTGGAGACCGATCGGACCGATGCTCGTTATCTCCGGTGCGGACTCGAGTTTGAGGATAGTCGCAGGATAATCACCATTGGCACTGTCTCCTCCATGGTGGAGACTGCATTGGATGAATCCTTTCCTTCACTTGACGTGGAATCAAAATCGGACTTAGCAGCCGTTGGTTTGAGCCATGCATAACAGGAATTAAAACCAAAAGGCACCGATGCTAGTCGCTAAAGGCCGTCTCCCTGGTTTGGGTGTTGCTAGACACCCATGAAGTATGGATATGTCGGTCGCCAAAGGGGGCCAGACTGTCTAGTACTTGCTTTTGAGTGGGGTCTGCTGCTCACTGTGACTAAACTAGCAGTTCGTTCCCGTCGAGCCACATCATCTCCATCATTCCCTTGAATGTGGTTGGATCGTCTAGATTGGGCAGGGGTGCTTCACGGCTGACATTCGGCATAAAATTATGCGAGCTTTCGGTTTGAATCGATTCAGATTGCAAAGGGTGATCGAATTGTGTGGAAGCTTCCCCTATCTGTTGTGGACTTTGAGCATTAGAATCCAGCGGCAGTTTCCACGCATGACCCGGCATTGATAAGATATCCCTTTCGAGAGATCCAGAGGGACTGCTTCTCGCTTCAGGAGATGAGCTGTCTATAGCATCAGGTGGGGAAATCGCTTGCTCTTTCGGTTTGGCTCCGAGCGGAAATGATTGAAGAATCCCGGCCAGGATGTATGCTGGATCGAATAATACGGTAGAGCGCATCACTTGTGGTAGATTGGTGACCATGAAATATTCCACCTGGCGTTTAGGGCAAACCGGCATTGGAGGAGTCGGCGCTAGTGTTGTCCGTTCAAATGGGGCACATGGTTCCCCCAGGAACTCATCAACGTCTCTATCAGATATTCTTGCAGATTTCATATCGGCCTGCAATACATCCCACTAAAAGCCAAGTCAACTATCAGTTCCTTATCCTTTTTCTTAATCCAGCCCGCATTTGACGCCACCGTCGGGGAATTTAGATATTACCTACCATTGCATTCACGGGGGCCCAAAAGCCCCTAAGCTGTTTGAGCAAACGCAAGTTGGAGAGAAGCCGGACTCTTAGGAGGCGAAAAGCAGGATTCCGATCACTCGCTGAATCGGTGCTGCGATTTTGGATACTTTCCACGTATTTGAAGTAAACTGAGCTTGACACCAATGAACAGTATGCAACAAATGGTGGCAAGGCCGATCGAAAGCACTGCTGAACGGAGAGGCAAGTCGTGAGAATGTCGGAAATTTGATTTATATGCCGAGCCGCGATCTTGGAGCACGGCAGGATATGTGCTTGAGCCCACGGCTCTTGTTTCTGCAAAAACCTAGCCATCGCGAGATGCGGTAGGATGCGACAAAGGTGGTAGATAGTTTGTAGTGATATAACGTCATCGAATTCCGACTGTCCCACCCAACGCCGGCCATCAAAGTTCAAGTACTCTGGAGGAAATGTCCTGTAGATGCTACAGGCCTCGGTGTCTAGATTAATCAAGGTTGCCAATTGCGTCCCAGGATGTGCGTCATCATAGAGCCCGTAAACGAACTGCCTTATCTTCAACCTGGTCTATTGTTAGGAGTCCAACCGGGTGTTAATGAGATACACTCCACGTACCAGAGCTCCATGAGTTTCATGATTCTGCCACGGACAAAGCTTCCTAGGACAATTTCTGGGGACTGTGGGAGAATTTCCTCTCTTAGTGAGAGTTGATCCTCCAGCACCGAATCGAAAGGAGCTACAAAAAAATCATTTTTGAGCAGACTACGGCATGTCATCGCAATCCAAAAGCAGGACTGTTTCAGTTCGCGAGCCTCGTCAGGAGGCAGGCGGGGATTACCAACAGCCACTTGCTGGGCAGATTGCATTGCATTACCTATTCACGCGATGAGCATATCACAGTCGCCGCGGGTAGGCTGGGTGAGATGCAAGAACTTACTGGCACATTCTCGGAAATTGCTCGTGCCTCCTACCGCACACCAGTAGGCTGCAAGATTATAGTAAGTCTGAACCGCATCCAGAGTTGGACGCGTGGCCTGTTTAGCCGCCATGTTGGCGCGCTCTGCCCACAGTCTCGCCGGCCATTTCGTTCCCTGAGGTGTTGAGGTTTCATCAACCAGATGGTGTGTTGGGGCTGTTCTTGCTTCCAGCAATAGCAGCGCTATCGAAAAGATCGAGTCACGCACCGAGGGTGATATGTGGCCTTCAACATATCGGCGCTTCACACAAGGCTGGTGAAAGATGAAACTAGACGGAATGAAAAGCACGAAATAGAAATCCAAAAGCACCAGACCATTGAACTCCGTTGAGAGCTGGCCGTTTTTTACCACCGACACTGTTCTCCCACTGTGCCATGAATGGTCCACCGGCTGCTTTCTGCGGGCAGGCAGATAGCCGCAGTCGAAACCGAGACGACGGCACCGATGGCAAGCCGGGAGTTCCCGGGAGCATTTACGCTGATAATAAGATCAATCACCAATTCTTAACGAGATGAAAATAAAGCATACCTTGTTAGCCCGGCAGCGACTGCAAGCAATGGGGTGCAGGTTCATCTTGTGCGACGATGGACGGAGAGCATTCAACAATGCGCCCGATCGATGGGGGGATTCCCCGGCTCGCGCTAACCGTATGGGGTGTGGTTGCCAAGCCTTCCTTGGCATTGGGTTCCTGGTCCGATTAGATCGCAGTCTATACATCATCCATCACTTCACTCCTGGTTGGGGGATGGAATGGGTCAAAACACATCTTCCTCATGTCGAGATCCCTGCAATGCAAAGTATAGTGGATGAGGTCTCGTAGGTGCTGGTGCTAGTTGTCTTGAAAATAGCTGTCTCCGTCAAATCCATGGGCTGAGAACAACTACAGAATATGTTTTTATCTCGCACGAGTTTGAATATGAAACTATACTGCTCTAATGCCTGTTTAGTACTATGACCCTAAACATAGGTCGAAAACATTATAGTATTCACTAGAATTCCCACTCTAATTAAATCTAGCGAATCAAACTAGAATCCTTTCATGATCGGATTAACCGAGGTTCCGAGCAACGAGCGTTATCACTCGGCTGCGTCCCGAAACCACTCATTCCTATCTTCTCCCCGCGCTCGATCTTATTACGTGGATCCACCTGAAAGATATGTTAAATGCAGCATCTAACGGGCGTTAAGAACGATGACAGCTTCTGGTTCGCGTTCGGCGAATGCGTAAGAGGCCCTGAACGTTCTCGGATCGGCTCCCGAGCATACCCAGATCCCCGGAAGAGTAACCGCTAATACGAATCTTGCAGATGCGAATCGTGCCGTCGGCGTAAGGTCAAATGCTCGGGCGAACAGCCGTGTCGCAGTTGTATCAGACACAATTGGGAATGCACGTTTGGAAATTGGGGTCGGAGGCGGTACTCTGAAGCGTGCGTGATGTTTTGTATACATGTCATGCAAGTGGTGACTCAGCTGATAGCCTCCAAGTCATGTCCAGGGGCTTTTAGACAAAATTCGATCATACGAAGATCAGCTTGCTGTTCAATCTGATAGTGGATCGGTTGTCAGACAGCAATCCGAACATGATCCAGGCGGCCATGCACCGGCAGTCCGGCACCCTGCGTTCATTGCACCTGCGCCTCGACCGGGGGGACATGCAACGCCTAGTACGCATGGATTACAGGAGCCACTGTCAGATGGAATCCCTTTCCCTGATGGTGATGATGACGATGATGCGGGTATTAGTCCAGGTACGACGAAATCTTGTCCTCGTGAACGTTGAAGTTAATATTATACTTAGCGACAGACTTGACCTCTGGGCCAGCGTTTGAATCTCAGGTCAGGTCCTTGCTGCACCAGAATCGCCCATGCAACAGTTTAAACAAAATGATTCCTGATCACATGGGAGTAGACAGACCAACCAGTCAATGGAAATCATCCCAAGCGTTGGTCAATGAGGCTTCCGCACCTATGATCCCGACTTTGTCGGAATCTCAGCACCTTCTCGATCGGTTCCTGTTCTATCTTGGTGTTAGCCAACACTTCTTCGACCCTCGCACCTTTTCCGATTCCATGATGCTGTTATTCCAGTCTCCCGAACGACAGCAATATCATATGTGCACGACTTGGTTCACCGAGTACTTGCTAGTCATGGCTATGGCGAAACTGATGGATGTCGAAGAGCCAACATCTCAACCGCCGGGCGCAAGCCTTTTCGCGGAAGCAATGAGGCGTCTACCTCATTTACATCAGCTCGGCGAAGAGGGTGTAATTGCCGTGGAGATTCTGACACTGATCACCACCTATCTGCAATGGTGTGATCGCAAGCACGATGCTTATCTTTACGTGTGTCGAGCTATCGGCCTTCATGACAATAATTTGGTATACTGACCTTTCGCATAGGTTGGCCTGGCATTGCGACTAGCTATTGCACTTGGATGTAATCGGCCTTCCGGGGAGCAAGCTTGTCTTCCGTCGGAAACCGCTCATCGAGTACGGCTGTGGTGGACAGTGTACATGCTGGATAGGTATGGACCCTGGCCCCTTCTACAAACCAAATAACTCAATATGTACCATATAGACGTCTCTCATCGGGGCTCGGTCTAGCTGCCGGTGCAGACGAGCGTCAACTCTGCCTAGAATTTCCCCGCCACGCAATTGGCTTCCAATCGCCTATTGCCTTGATTATCAACGTTCGCATTGCCCGTGCCACCGACGATATTATGTCCTGTAAGTAGCTCTCAGTCGGATGAACTGCGCAGAGTTGTTAACTTTTGTTCAGCGCTATACGGAAATGCTTCCATAACCCAAAATGAGCTGGTGCGAAAGATCCAAATTGTTCTCCATGATCTCTACGAGACCGGTCGTAGTTTGCCTGCGCCCTTACTGTTGGACTTTAATCGGCCTCTTCAGACAGTCACCAGAACTGGTGCATCGCTGTATTTGATGCTCTTTCAGGTGAGATACTCTTCTTTGATTCACTATTCTTTTTTATTATACTAAGCCAAACCCACAAGGCTATAATCCTATGTGTCCGCCCCATTCTCCTACAGAGAGTTCGTCAAAAAGTCCGTCGCCAGGCCAAGCAGCAGCCCTTAGAACCGGCGCCTCCTATCCTAGCCTGCTTGTGCGAGACATGCAACGAAGCGGCTACTAAAAGCCTAAGTATCTTATTTGCTCTTCAGCGACAACGCATCATCCGTACGTCTTTCCCACTCTCTATCCCTGCCATGTTCAACATCCTTAACCTGCTCCCCAACTACAGCACGATACGGATTCTTCGACCTCGACGCCACCTTCTCCGCTGCCTTCATTCTAGTCATGGTAGGATTCATCGGAGATTCTTCAACCAGTCCACCTCCAGCGCTCGACCAAGCCTTCGTAGTCCTGCGCTTCCTCTCCCGAGCAGGAAACCTAGCCGCCGAACAGCGCCTCCAAGACATCCTGCAATCTTGTCTCCACGTCTGGCCGACTTACTCTGCGGGTGACAAACAGGCAAACGATAGCAGACAGGGCCCTGCTGGCGCTTCGTCAACTCCTTCTCAACCCCTGCCTCGCTCGAGTACATCCCCTGGCACAGACTATTTTCACTCCACGCAGGAAGATTCGAGACTACTGGAGCCGTGGATGCACCATGATATGGCATCGGGTGTGTTCGATATGCAAGGAGGCTGGGATATGGACTTGTCCGGGGAAGCGGAGGGGATATATTCGAGTTTCTATGATCCGACGCTGCCGTTGACCGGGGTGGATCATACGGATTGGGCGGAGATTGAGAAGGTGCTTCGCGGGTTGAATGCGTAGTTAGTGTCTTGGGAGTATTCTGGACAAGTATATAAGTTTCTATATTTGTAGGTCTAACGAGTTATGAGTGACGCGAGATTTATTTGATATAGTAGGTTTCTTTAATCTAGGTTGTGTATTTTCAAAGATTTGGTTCTCGGAATGTGGAATCCATTTAACAGATCATGCATTTCATCTCTATGCTGCAGCTTCATTTCAAAAACTACGACGCAGTCTTCAGACACTCCGCAATCGACTCTGCCACATACTGCACATTCCCCGGGTTCAACCCCGCAATGGAGATGCGCGAGTTCCCAGCCATGTAAATATGATAATCCTCTAATTTCAGTCAGCTCACATCCAATCGGCATGCTCACGAGTGGGATAAACGTACCTCTCAGCCTTCTGACAATCTCGGGCTCCAGACCCAAGAACCCAAACATTCCCGATTGCTGGACCAAATGATCCCAGGTGCCAGGTGCTCCTGTCAAGATTCTTATCAGCCAAGTCTCTCCACGGTTTTCCAGTTGCGTTATCTTACCGGATTGGTTCAAATGGTCATACAAGGCCGTTCGCATGGCCCGGATCCGCGAACTCATCGTGATCAAATCCTCATACCACATCTTTCGAAGGCCCTCGTCGTTCAGAATCGTGGATGCGATCTTGGCCCCGTAGGCCGGGGGATTGGAGACCTCCGAGCGCTGGAGCATCTCAAGCACGGACTGCGTGTTCGTGGCGGTTTGGTCGTTCTGCGTTACGACGAAGACGCAGCCGACTCGCTCTCCTGTGCTTTGCGTCAGTCTTTTTTTCTTGGTCGGGACTGCGAGTTGTCGGTGGTTAGATGAATAGAGGGAAAAATACCGTAAAGACCCATATTCTTCGCAAAGGACATGCACACGCCGACTTCGAGCTGCAGCTCATCGACAAAGTGCCTGATAGCGAAGGCATCGTTGTCCAGGTTTCCCGAGTTGAAGCCCAGATACGCGGCGTCGAAGAGCGGGAAGAGCTGTTTCTCCTTGACGATGCGTCCGATCTGCTTCCACTGCTCGGGGCTGGGATCGCAGCCCGTCGGGTTATGGGCGCAGGCGTGGATGATGACCACGGAGTGGGGTTCGGCGGCGTTGAGGGCCGAGAGGTACGAGTCGATGTCGAGTCTCTTTTTGGCGTCGTCGTAGTACTGGAACGAGTGGCAGTTGAATCCAAGTGACGCGAAGACCTGGTGATGGTTCGACCATGTCGGTTGAGGGATGTAGACGTTGGGTAGGGGCTGGCGACAGTATTTGAGCAGGAGAGCAGCCAGATGGAGGGCTCCGGTGCCTGAGATACTCTGACAAGCGGCGATCTATCCGCTGTTAGTTCATGGGATTCCTTTTCCATGCCTCAATCAGCGAAGCAGATGGAACTACTCACTCTACTCTCCACTCGGCCAAACAGATCTACACCCAGTGCTGTCCGTGGCGCGGCTTTCCGGAACCCGGCATGGCCCAGAATCGGCAGGTATTCGTGGTTCAGATTTTCTTTGGCGAGAAGCTCGCGAGCCTTCTGCACGGAGGGGAGGATCCACGGCTGGGCGTTCTCGTCGCGATAAGCACCCTGGCCGAGATTCACCTTCTTGGGGAAACTGTCGGCGTTGTACTGCGCCGTTAGGGCGAAGATGGCATCGGCCGGGATGAAGGGGGCTGTCTGGAACAGCGAGGGGCTGTCGGTTGCTGTTAGCGTTGTGGTTTGGGTGGCCATTTTGAAGATATACTGTTCGATAACTAAATTCTTGCCCCGCCTGGAGTGACTCGGCGTCTCTTTTATGGTCGCTGGATTTGCCCGTCGGGTTCGTATCCGCGACGCTTTCCGCGGGGTTCGGCGTCGGTCCGTGAAGCCGAGATGTCATCGAGGGTTTGATTCTTTTGATTGTTATTTATCAGAGATCGGATCAACTGCACGGAATTTCAGAAACGGATTGGAATCCGGCATTCTTTGGTTGTTTGTCTGTCTGGCTGTCCTTAAGTAGCAGATCTTCTCCACACTTGTGGTCAAGACTCTCCATGCCATTCTTTGCAGATAAAAAGAAAAGAGAAGAAAAGAAAAAAGGAATAGCCACTCTCCAATTGAAAGGGTTAGAAGCACATCCAATACTCATCCTTGCCTATTTCTGCCTGCTCCGTGGTATTGCACGCGCTTTTAAGGCTGTCTTGGACCCAGAACCCCACCTGACGCCTTGTGGTAGGATCTTGGCTGCTGGTCGGTGTCTGTTCCAAAGCTGCCATAAGTTGAATCTTTGAAAATAAATAACCCTAAGTGGTTCTGCGACTTTATTTCAATTAATAATATGCCATTCTACAATGCGAGGAATCAATTAGGGTTCACATCGGGACATTGTCACCCCGAGAATGCTGTGCACTGGAAGCGAACCAGAAGGTTCATTGCCAGCTGACCACGACAGCCATGATGATTGCAACTGTTATTCAGCCTATCACTATCCCACTGATTCTTCCGATTGTTCTCGATTGCAGCATCTGGAGGGGAAACGCGGGGAGAACTTCCTCGCGACTGTCGATCGCATCGGAAGATCTGCCGGGGACGATGCAAGCGGTAATTCTCGCCGGGGATTTCCTCTCTCGCCCAATGCAGTAAGTAGAAGTGAAGTCAAGAAGTATACAGCGTCCTCGAGGGTATAAGAGTCGTCAACTCTCTCGATAGAGTCGCTCATTCTTCTTCTCATCAATTCAATCCTCTCTAAATCAATTCTTAATATCTTCTCATCTCACAATCCAACAATGGGCTCCATCCTCCCCACCGACCAAGTCCTGAACATCGCCGTGGCTGGCCTCGGTCGCATGGGCAAGCGCCATGTCCACACGCTGGTGGGCCGAGTTCCCAGGGCCAAAGTTGTCGCCGTCTGCAGCACCTGGGACAACGAAGTCGAGTGGGCCCAGGAAGCGTACCAGGGCACCGGCATCCAGGTCTTCAACTCCTACGAAGACATGATCCAGCTGCCTTCCCTGAACGCCGTCTGGATCTCCACCAGCACCGACGTCCACGCCAGCCAGACCCTCGCAGCCATCAACAAGGGACTGCACGTGCTGTGTGAGAAGCCTCTCAGCACCGATCTAACAGAGGTACGTAACCCCTTGACCCTATCCCCCTTCGTGCTCGAGAACTCACGCACCAAGGTACCGTCCGCTTGAAAGACGAACAGGCCCAGCATGTCGTCGACGTTGCCAATGCCCACCCACACCTAAAAGTCATGGCGGGCTACTCGCGCCGCTTCGACGCCTCGTACCGCGCCGCGAAGGAGCAGCTCGCCGGCATCGGCGCGCCGTTCGTCGTGCGCTCCCAGACCTGCGATCTCCTCGACGACACGGGCTTCTTCGTGCGCTACGCCGCCCGCAACGGCGGCATCTTCGTTGACTGCTGCATCCACGACATCGACCTGTCGCTGTTCTACATGGGCGAGCACCTGCTGCCCAAGTCCGCCTTCGCCGTTGGCTCCCTGCAGCATCATCCCGAGCTGGGACCCCTCCAGGACGTCGACAACGGCGTCGGCATCGTCGAGTTCTGGGGCGGGAAGATCGCCTACTTCTACTGCTCGCGCACCCAGGCTCATGGCCACGACGTCTGCACGGAGATCACTGGCACCCACGGCAAGATCATGGTGAATCTGATCCCGCGCACGAACCATGTCCAGGTGGCGGGTGCGAATGGGATCAGCCATGCCGTGCCTGAGGAGTATTGGCAGCGCTTCGAGGATGCGTTTGCCACTGAGGCTAATGAGTTCGTCGCCAGCGTCTTGGATGATGAGCCCGTCCCGGTCAAGCTGGAACTGGGCGTCAAGGGCATTATCATCGGTCGGGCGTTGCAGGACTCGCTGCTTTCTGGGGAGGTGGTGAAGTTTAATGAGAAGGGGCAGCGCTTGGATGGGAAGAACTCGCTCTAGACTGTGTCTGGTGATGATTTGTTTCCTACCAGTACCTACTTGAATAGGCTCAATAAATTGACCATTATTTGACTGGTTGGCGTTATTTCCGATTTATTTTTGTTTATTGGAGACTAGGCTCGGGGTATTTCAAACCTATCTACGTACAAGGCAATATTTCAGCACTTATGGCCAATGATAACACCTATACGATGTCGATTAATTCTATTGCTCATGCAATTCCAATTAATTATACCTCCTCTGCAGCCTCCCTTTTCCAACACTTCATCCCCCGCCCGCGAGATCTCGATCTCATCCCAAACAAATGCCTATACCCGTCCATCACAGCCAGATTCTCCCTTTCAACAACCTCAGCTCGACTCCGATGCACGACTGTCAAATCACTATCCACCGTCGGAGAGGGGCTGCGCGCCTTGGCCATGGTATACAGCGTCCAGAACGAGGCAAGACAAGCCACCATGATCGCTGCCAGATTCTTCGTCTCAGCACCCTGCCAGGCCACCGACCATGTCGAATGTGGATAACACTCACCGACACAAATCTCCACCCCACTCCATATGATCAGCCACGAGGCATCCGGGATCCCTGACCCCGCGTTTCCCCATACCATGCGGATGATCGAGACGCAGATGATGAATGCCGTGAGGAGGCTGATGCCGATTAGTGCGAGCTTTCGTTTCCAGTTGATTCGCGCTCGCCAGAGGACGTTGCTAGATAGCAGGATGACTTTGATAAAGTAATTAGTTTCATCGCTGATTACTGACAGATACAGAATGGAGGAAGACGTACTCGCTACGTCTGTGACGATGTCTAGCGAGGTGGACACTTTGACGGTCACCCGGCCGAGTCTAATGGACTCGGCACTTGCACAATTCTCTACCCGTGGATAGCATGTTAATCAAGTGTCTGTCCGGGGCCAAATGCACGGAATCGAAAACACCTACGGATCATCTGGTCAATCTCACTCAGCTCACATCGAAAGTTCAGCGTCCCGATACACCCCGCAAATGTGAGGATCAGCAGCCCGCACACGCTCCACCAGATGATCTTCTGCAGTCGATACCGCTCCCCTAGTTTGCGGAAGAAGAACAGAAACGAGAACTTCGCGCTCCATAAACTGCAATAGGTCAGGAAGTAGCCGGCCAGCTGCGCCCGCAGATCCCGCTGGATCTGATGCCAGTCGATGGTCAAGGGGATGGACAAGAGGTTACCCTTCGAGAATTGCAAGATGATGAAAAGATATCGATAGAAAGCGGTCCAAAGGCCGACATTTCCGAGGAAGAAGAGCCATGCTAGCAGGAGAAAAGCGTCGTCGGCGCGTTTCTGGGGGGCGATTTTCCATCGCGCGACGAGTCGCGTGGCGAGGAAGAGGAATGACGTGCCGACGGAAATCCAAAGCACTGCCTATGGACGCTGTTAATCTGATCATATCCTATCAATGCCAGGGAAGAGGGGAAGACCAGAAATGTCGTCTCGCTGATCTCCGGCGCAGACATCTTCGTCTGCGGCCGGACGTCAATCGGCTCCATGTCGGGGCAGCAGGTTCGAGGGATTGGTTGGATGCGCGCATATGCGGTGGGAGAGGATGACGGCGCCCATACAGCTTCTAGTTATATCAACATGGCGCTTAGAGATCCCGTGCAGAATGGGTAGTGCAACTCGGTGCTAGACGGGTTGTCAATCTGTCTGCCTTTGGAAACGGCATATAAGTACAGTCCAGGGGGAATATGCATAAGGAAGCGCCGATGATTAAGACGAGTTCTGTTTTGCTTGGATTTGCGCTGATCCGGAGCTCTTTGTTGGACTGGATAATCTGCTCGAGTGCACGGCTTGGGTCATTAGAGTTCGTTACTTCGAGCATATCTCTTTATAGCGCCGAGCTATATCGCCCTCTGTTAAGCGTACCTTTTCTCTCCTTCCTAAACCCCATGGGTGAAAATAGTTCATGGTTGTACACGCTTCGTGTCAATCCCAACATTGTAACACTCGAGCAACGATATCGAGCATTTGACGACCCGACCCTTTCCTCTTTTTCTCCCCTCTTTCCTTTTTCAGTAAATAAACCCTAGGCAATTGCCAAGGTGTCACCGCTAACTGGCATCCCGGCCGCTTCCAAGCTCGCTAGTGTCCAACACCAACTAGCCGATAACCGTCCCGATACGCTAAACATAGGAAATGGCTAGGATTGAAGCAATGTTCCCGTTGTTTGATGGAGGTGTTCCAGTAGGAAGTGCCCCGGGGGACGTACTTAGTGCCGAGTCTTCCCCTGAACTGGCGTTGGCAAACTTTCTTTGTTGCTCGGTAGTGCTTGTGATACGGGCTGCAGATTGCGTTACACGGGGGTTGGGTTGGATGCAGGTATCCTTCCGCTGGACTTGGTGAGGGGGGTTCGAATGTATGTACTTTGGGGAGAATTTGACTAAATTTATGTATGAATAAAAAATTGAAATGTGGATTTTATGGATGAAGGTTGGGGAGGTGTTTGTGGTCATACCCTTGCTTGCATTTATTCATCCCTGTCAATGGATAGATCAATACGGATAGGGACAGATGCGTATGATCGGAGGTGAAATCACCGGAAACATACGCCAGGGTGGAATGAACTTCGGAAATTCCCATAGTATAACGTTATTCTTCAAGTCATCTCTCCAGAAAGATGGCAATTATCTCCTACAGCCGTGGGCGCAATTTTAACCTCCACTCTCCTATGCGAACTACCGGCCTTACATACAGGATTGTGCATTTGGTCTACCAGGATTCAAATCCTTCTACCGCTGCTATCTGTCGAGGCTCTGGATCGATCAGATTTCAACTATGGGTCTGTCATGAGGTCTAGCTCAAGTTCGGTCTCTGCAGCCACTGCTTGACCGGAATAGAGTTGTCATCGAACGATCGATGTTGAGCGTCCAAGGACGTTTGATTTATCATATTTGACGGATGTCTCAGTTATCAAGCTCATAGTTAATTCTGAGGTACCGCGCCAATCACTGCCATTCTCAGAGCATACCATACCTGCAGTGGGTCTTGCACCGAGATCTTGCGAACAGACAACTAGGCCGAGACTTGCATATACTACATTTTTCAACTTTCCAGGGTAGCCGAGTCGGCGGTACCGATTAGAAGCAAGGAATCGCGGGTGCTTTTGATCGAATGAAATTCAATCCGATCTTGTCGATCTCACCGACACCTATGGTCGATCAAGGGTCAATCAGTAGACTACCAATCGACTTGTCATGATCGGACGCCGGCCATTCCCCGAGTCAGTTGAGCAGACATGAGAGCCTCAGCACTGCATCTTCCGGCCGAAAGACCAAGCAGCCCCATCCAGGCGGACAGTCGATCAGGGTCTCCGGCCGGAGAACCTCGTCTCCAGATTAGGCATGGACGTTGAACGTGGCGCGCTGATCGCTGGATAGAGTTGAGGCATACGAGATATACTATTGGCATGACACATCTGGCAAGCTGGTCTCCGGGCACGCTTCGGTGGCAAATTTTCCACGTCGATTCAATGCAAATGCTGCCTTTGCGCTCACGCAAGGGTGGCCCTATAATTTGGAGGCCAGTCAGGGAGCCCCGTAGGAACCGACCCCCGAGACAGACCAGCCAGGGATTTCCGAGAGACGGTGGAACGTGTCGCACGGACGAAAAGGGAATGCGGTGATTTTGGTCTTGGCGGCGCAGGCATCCAATTGACGAGGCATCCTGACTCAGTCCTTCGTATGGGGAGAGCTGCCAACAGTACCTTAGTACCTGGGTGGCTCACTCGGGGGCCGTGAAGTGGAGAGAGAAAAGAGGAAAGAGTCAGCCTCAACAATGCCTCCTAGCTAGATCTATAGGGCTTCAGACACCCAATTCCAACCAGTGACTCCCTAGTTAGCTCCCTCCGTAGGTACTAACTGTAGTATTTATACACCCCAAACACCGCAACGGGTTTCGCTTCCAATGTTTGCCCATCCGTGACTGCCGCCCCACTCGCCGCAGCCAATCGGGCCGCCGTCCCCTTTAGGCCGTCAGGCAACCAGACTAAATCACGGCCGCCCAATAATCTGGCCGGTGGAGCGGTAAAACACAGCCTTCATTCTCCTATAACATCCATGGATGGTCGCATGATGACTATCTGCCGACCTGTAGGTTTCAAGTCTGCTGGCAAGAATCCCACCAGGGAAACGCTTTCCTGATCCAGAATGCAGCGTCCTGGAATGCTGGCGATCTTGCATCTGCACGACGGCATCAATGGTGAAGAAGCATCGACGCCACATTGCTGTGGCGGCAAGGTATGCGGCCAAGCCACAGCGATGCTTCGTCAGCCAATTGTGCATGGAACTTCCATCCTCACCGTGTCGGGGGCGAAGACGTCGGGGATGGAAGGTGCCACTATTTTCCATGGATTGGAGGGGGTCCGAGGACCAACAGCACCCGAAAATTAAAAACCAAAAATACAAAATAAAAATAAAAAACCGTCGGTGGTGCTGCCGTGGAAAGCTTTCAACGTAAGGCAACTGGCGGGCGCAGGCCAACTATTCGGGTCGTCTCTCTTAGGCAGGATTAAGTCAGCCTCTCTGCTGCCCGTCGGCCATTTTCATCGCCTTCTGCCCCTCTCCGTCTTCCTGCTCTCCACCGTCATGCTTTAAAGCCGTCGCCTTCTGTCTCGTCGGCCTCTGATTCGAATATTCTTATCGACTAGGGAGCACTATGCCTCGTCTGTTGCGCGTCTAGTCCGATTCCTTCTTCCATGCCGTTCGTGTTCAATTCGCTCCGCCGGCTGTCCTCCTAGGCAGATGAATAGAAGACGATAAAGCTTAGCTGCCTAACCTAAATGCCATCGCCCAGCCATTCACTTATATATCCCGGTTTCTAGGTGAGTGTCACTGTGGATTTCTTGCGGCTCTGTCGATGCCATTGTTGAATGTCATTGTAAGACTTTCGTGTCAACACACTCCGAGTCACCGGCTTCATCCCCTGGGCCCTGTCTGATATTCGCTTCCCTAATTTGTCTTGAACCCCTTTTGCACTACTTTTTTTCCCACCCCCTCTTGTCTCTGTCCTGATTCTGTCGGCTCCCTTGGGTGTTGCCATTTCGGGACGCTTGCATGGGTGTGACAGCGTTCCAACGGCTCGACAACCCCCCACGCGTTATCCACCGCATCCACCATTCCGTCACTCGTCATGGCGACTGAACAACTAATGGACTTAGATGTCGTATTACATCATCGCGGACCAGGTACGATGAGTGATGATAATGTTGATCGGGGGACGATTCCATTCCGGGTTCGGGACTCTGTGAAAGATCCTGTGACCGGTTCGTCGTCCATACGTTCTCCCAAAGCACATGATATAGATATCGCCAAGTGAGTAGTCCTCGCGTTGCTGATTCTCCCCGTGTCTCGAGACTGTCCGGTCCATTGGCATCTTCATTCGCATCCTGCGTGTAGCGGCCTTCTGATTCCCATCATAGGAGTCGAGTCATCCCGTTACTCTCTGGCGCTGATTCCCCTGGGGGCTCTTCTGCGACAAACCGAGCGCATCATTCGGCTAGCGCTTCTTTATCAAACAAGAGACCGGATTCTCTCGGGGCTGTACCGAGCAACTTTGTCGCAGATGATCTGAGTGAACAAACTGGCGGATTGGTGAATCCACGAGCATCCAAAGGCCAGCGCCCGATGTGCTCGGAGGAGCTAGAACCTTCAAGTCAACCTAACAGTCCAGTTAGCCGGGCCACCCCCGATAACTACCCCAGAAAGCCCGGTGTCATCGGTAGTGGCATACAGCAATCCAGAAACTCCCCGGACTCGACTGGCGAATCAGTGGGCCACGCATCTGCAGGGCCGTCGCGACTTTATCACCGCAGGAACCACTCCAGCCCCGCTTTCCATGCTAGTCCGAGGGCCAACCGGAGCGACGAGCAGGAGGCATTCTCATTGCCAAGAAGGTCGCGACTCGCTGCGGAGAGACTCACGTATGGCCAGGAGTCGGCGCGGAATTTGAGCAATGAACACAAATTCGTCCGAAGGTTCGCTGCTGCATCCGAAGGTACAGCATCTCGCGGGATTCTATTGGAGGTACAGGATGCTGAACCGGTAACAGAAGAAGAACTGATCAGCGAGGTGCGCATCATCTATGGCGGAATAATCGAGGTGGAGAAGAGATGTGCGGAATACATCCAAGCCGGCCAGCAGATGGTCGTCATACCTTCGGATAAATGGCATGCGATGCTTACGGTGCACCGAATCCTTCTCCAAGAGCACCATGACTTCTTTATGGCTTCGCAGCATCCTTCCTCAATTCCAGCTCTCAGGCGCATATCCGAGAAGTATGCTATGCCAGCTCGTATGTGGCGCTACGGAATCCACGCATTTCTCGAGTTCCTGCGTCGTAGACTGCCCGAGTCCCTAGAGCCCATGCTGACCTTCATCTATTATGCGTACTCCATGATGACTCTCTTTCTGGAGACCGTGCCGTCGTTCGAGGAGACTTGGATTGAATGCCTTGGAGATCTGTCGCGATACCGTATGGCCGTGGAAGAGTCCAATTTGCAGGACCGGGAAATCTGGGGTGGAGTCGCAAAGTACTGGTACAACAAGGCTGCGGACAGGAACCCCGACGTCGGACGGATTCAGCATCATCTGGCCGTCTTGGCTCGGCCCGACATCGCCCAACAGCTTTTCTACTACACCAAGTCCCTTGTGAGCGTGCGCTCATTCCCGGGGACCCGAGAAAGCATTGTGCTCCTGTTCAACCCACTCTTGAAGAGCCCAAGGATGGTTCACTATCACCCAGTCATGGCCGACTTTGTGACCGCCCACGGCTATCTATTCGGTCGAGATGCCTCCGAGCGTTTCTTCGGCGCAGCCGACAATTTTCTATCGGGATTGGACAAATACATCCCCCGAGTTGGGGCGGCATTTAAAATGCAGGGGGTCTATATGACTGCCTCCAATCTTGCGGCCATGCTGGAGTACGGTCATACCCACGCTCTCTTGCCCAGTGAATTCCGTCAACCGTCCACATCACAATCGAGCTCTCTTGAGGATCTTCATCAATCCGTTTCTAGATACTGGACGCCCGTCAGTGATCCCGAGAAGGTTGCAAGCGACTTCCTTGCGCTTGACGACCCTGAAAGTGACTGCCGGTTGCTATTTTACGGCTCGTATCTTGCATTCCAGACATTTTCTATTTTCCTCGACCAAATAGGTGACAAAAACATCTACGCGGCTCTTCACTTCTCATTAGCATTTCTATGGTGCTTGTCATCTACTTCGACCGGAATGGCATATGCCGAACTGGTGGTTCCCTGGAGACGGATTGTCGCCTTCCTCAACACCATGTTTTCGCCCCTGTTGGACATGAGCTTGGTGGAAAAGGCCGAGTTTCCCATCTCGGATGAAACCAAATGGATTCCCGAAGACTTTCTCATCCGAGGTCATATCTGGAGTCAGGCCTACTATCCCCAGTCATTTTTCGACGGGTCACCGACCGAGGATGATGGACGAAACATTGAAATGCCATCGCTCAAAATATCCCGAATGTATAGATGTCTTTGGCTGGGGGTTCGGCTGGCAAAGGTGCGTTCTCAAATTTCTTACCGGTTAGACCTGCGAAGGTTGTACTAATGTTTCGCACAGTTCGATCGTTGGATGACTTACGACTCTGCCTTGCAGAAGTTCTCCGTTACCCCCTTTGCTCTAGAGCTTGAGAGGCTCGCGGAAGCACATTGCCCTTTCCACTTGAGTACACCGCAGGAAGTTTCCAGCGCTGATGTGGAAATGCGTGGCTCTTGAGTAGACTATGGTCGATGAGTTTTCTATTGTCTTTCGCTTTTTTTTAGCTGTTGATTTATGAAACCATATGGCATTCCTAGCGTCATTCTATTGGAAGGCAGCATTTGTCTTGGACGCATGCATGCCCAGACGATACCGCTCAGTAGGCAGAGGAACGCTCGAGCGCCCACGGGCCCCTCGGAGGCCAGTAAGCTCTGCGTTTGCGGTGATGTTTACGTGGATATGCGCCAGGTGATCGGTCATATTGACAGACGCTGGTGCCGAGTGTTATATGTCTCCGCTATGGAAGAATGCCTAATTCGATCTTCGCACCAAGTCAGGATCACTTGGCGCGCCAGAGGCAGGCTTTCGTTGTGACTAGGCCAACGCCAGGAGGGAGTGAGGTTGTACAGCTCTAGCAGGAGAAAATGGAAAATGGATGAGATGGATGATGATCTAAAGAGACAGATGTCTTGTGGAAATAAGAGAATTCTAATCTAGCCAAGCTGCATGTTACTGAACGAAGGGCAACCATTGAATGTACGATGAAACCGCGAATAGAGAAGCCTAACTCGTGGACATACGTAAAGGGCAGCACTTAATTTAGATGCTGACGACGGGACGGGGACGCTAAGCACTGAAAGGACAAGCTGGCGACAGGAACGCGTCGGAGATGCGCCCGCTTCCCCCTCACCTCCTCTTCGGCACTTCGCTTCCTTCGCTTTTATAATCCATCGCTCCCTCCGGCTGACGATGCCAATCTCTTCCCCAGCTCCATGTTAATTATCCGTACCAGACAGCTTCCGCGTCGTATGGCTGGCCAGTCCGGATTGTCTCCGTCCCCTTGAGCGCTTAAGCTCATCCTTCCTCTCTTCGATCTCGACATTCCTAATTTCTCGACCGCTCTCCCTACTTTTGTGATCGCATCGTTACTATCATGGCCTCCGAAACGTGGGCTGGGGTCTGCGTGCATTGCGCAGACCTCCTTGCCAACGTTCCCGTCCACATCCTTCTCTTAACCGTGGTCGCGACTCTTATCGGGGCTTTTGTTCTGGTAGGTTGACCCATCTTTCTGTTCCTACGAATCCGATCAACGGTGTCAATTAACTGTCCCCGTTCCGATTACAGTCCTACGTTATCCTCTGTATCGTCGCCCCCGTACCGCGAAGTCCCTTGCCGGGAGAAAAGAGATACCGCACCCTATCGAAGGAGGGATCGATTACGGAGCCCCAGCAACTCCCATGCTGGTATGACACCTTGACCGCACGCACCCGTCGGATGCCGGACCACGCCGCCATGGAAACCCCCGAACTGTTCATGTCCCTGGTGGTGCCGGCCTACAACGAGGAGGACCGGCTCGGCGGGATGCTGGAAGAAGCGGTGAACTATCTCGAGCGCATGTACGGGACACTCGCCAGTCACGCAGAGGAGGAGGTTCCCGCGTTAAGAGAAAGGATGACTCGGCGACGCACCGCTGCCAAGGAGCATCTGAACGGCCAGGCCGCGAATGGCCCGGCGCGTGCCAATCGAGGCTGGGAGATTATCCTTGTTTCGGATGGGTCCAAGGATCGAACGGAGGAGATCGCGTTTAATTTCGCTCGGGACCACCAGCTCTCGCTGCATCCCAAGGGCCATGCCGGTCCCTGGACTCCCAAGGTCCAGGAGGGCGTTCATATACCCCCTGGGACGATCCGGGTGGTGACATTGGCGCAGAATAGGGGGAAGGGCGGGGCCGTCACGCACGGCATGAGACATGTCCGCGGGCAGTACGTGGTTTTTGCGGATGCGGATGGGGCCAGTAAATTCGAAGATTTGGGAAAGCTTGTCACCGCTTGTCAGGAGGTCGAGGATTCCGAGGGCCGCGGCGTAGCAGTGGGGTCCCGCGCCCATATGGTTGGCAGTGAAGCTGTTGTCAAGGTATGGCTCCCCATTGCGACCCAATTTGAGGAACGACACTAACACATTGCGCCCCCGCAACGACAGCGCTCGAAGCTCCGCAACTTCCTGATGCATTCCTTCCATCTGATCCTCTGGCTCCTGACTCCGTCCAAGACGGCTACGATCAAGGATACTCAGTGCGGGTTCAAGCTGTTTTCTCGCAGCGCGCTGCCGTACATCATCCCCTACATGCACTCGGAGGGGTGGATCTTCGACGTGGAGATGCTGATGCTGGCTGAATTTGCGGGCGTCTCGGTGGCCGAGGTTCCAGTCGGGTGGAGAGAGGTCAAGGGGAGCAAACTCAACGTGCTGCGCGACAGCATCGGCATGGCCTGGGGTCTGGCCGTGTTGCGCGCGGCCTGGTCGCTGGGGGTCTATCGACGGACGTGAAGATCCTGTCTCAGAGTCGGGGGGGAATAGAGTTTTCTTATATTTTCAATTAAGATTATTATTACCATCGTGCATATTGAATATGGAGATCTGGCTCCAGAAGAGCTCCATGGCCCCAGAGCCCCGGGAACGAAGATTGGGGATGTTCAGGGTTTGATGAAGATCCTCGCGGCGGACTTGGGCTATTGTTTGCGTGGGAATATTAATGAATATTAATAGCATCGTCACTCGGCGGCGCTTCCGAGGAACAACCGACACGGCGGATTTCCTCCGAGTCCAGGCAGGCCGATGGCTCCAGACCAGACTCGTGGATCTACGGAGGACTAGGATCTTGGGGAGCAGAACTAACTCCAGTAAGTCCAGGCCGTGCGGATGCCTGCAGGAGATGGGCTGATATCCCCATATCTAATCAGTGAGTGCTATGGACATGTCGACGCCCGGGATCTTTATCGTCATTCCTGTCAATTGCTTCAACGGGTAGGACCCAACTTTTCCCAGCAAACGCCGTCAGGGACGACGTTCCCATTGGCGAGCGACCGGTGGCGATTGAGTTCTTCGAGAAAAAAAAAGTTTTCGTCAATAAACTTTTGCAGCCGATGGTTCGGTTGATCCGGCCCGGTTTCTGGCCTCGTCCAGTCGCTCATTTTTTACGAAAGGGAGTTGGCTGATCAATAGTGGTGTGATGTCGCTTTCTGTTCGGATCCTGTCCTTTTTTTTTTTTTTTTTTTCTTTGCGTCGGCGTCCACTCGTTTCACTTTTTTGCCCCCTTTTCCCTGTTCTTTTTCTTCTGGCCGTGAGCGCATCACCTTGGCATGAGCTGATTCTGTCTGCCAACTTGCTCTGCATTCCTGTCCTTCCTTCGCTTCCTATCATTCATCCCTTTTGCCTGCAGTCCGGGTCATTTGCGCACGGATTGACTCAATTATAAGTCCTGGCTACTAGGATTAGTGTCAGTTGATGCTTCTGAGGAGTCTGTCATTTCGTTCCCCGTCGGAAGTATAAATGTTGGTCGACATATCGTCGCCTTTTCTACCCTCACTCGAACAACCCCGATAACTTTGATTCGTGTTACCAATATCCATCATCTACTTCGTTGCTAGTCAACCACCCCGAGAAAATGGAGATGCTTCAGGCTGTCGAGCCCGCTGGCCGGAAACTGGCCACCAAGGAGTCGCCCTTTCTGCGCTTACCGGCGGAGCTGCGCCTGATGATCTACGAATATGCCCTGGCCATCCCCAACGACTACATGGACCGGCCCTTGATCGTGGTCGACGACCGCGGAAAAACGTTCACGGCGCGAGGACGATATCGCGCGCTCTGCATGTGCCCCAGCTGGGTGGGCGAGAACGGCCGCGTCCGCAACATGCTGTCGGTCAATCGCCAGCTGCACGACGAAGTCGAGGACTTTGTCTATTCGCACAACACGCTCTTCTTCCGCAACTCGTTCGACCTCGACCGCGTCGGCGCTTTCCTCGACACCCTCAGCGCCACCGCCCGCAATCGCATCCGCAGCGTGGGATTCGAGGTCTTCTTCTTCGTCCATTCGCAGACGGGGGTCCCCAAGCGGACCTTGAAAGAGTACGAGCGCGCAGGTCGCATGTTGTCGGAGAAGCTGCCCAACTGGACGACGGTCCTCCTGTACCTGGACCCTCGATTCTACTTCCCGTCAGCGGCCGTGGGAGGCCGTGAACTGTCGGCTCGCGGCGTCTGGTACCTGGCCACGGTTTTCGGGAAGATGCGAAAAGAACTTCAGTTTCTTGCGCTGCCATCGATCCATCGACACGTTATCAGCGAAGCGCAGCGCATGCTGCAGATGGGGAGACGAAACTCCCAAGAAAAGTCTTGTCTTTAGGGAGGTGGAGGATTGACGTCTCTCCGATCCGCCCGACATGCGATGTTTTTTTCCTTTTTCGCTCTTTTTTCCCGTGCAAACCGTTTTCCCTTCCATTTGGAGTTTTATTGGCCGCTCCCCTCATTACATATTTGGCGTCATTTTCGTTTAAAGCGCATACCCTTTTTTTTTTGTTCTCCACCGCGCGATAGACACTGATTTCCATCGAAACGTGGAGCCCCGAGATGTCACGGAATGAAGCAATTGGCCGGTGGCCGGCGGTTGCTGCGCGATGACGTCGTTTTTGATATTTGACGCAGAACAACGGCGCGATCTTTTGGTGTCAGTGGTGTCCCCACACGAAGGATGTCATCGAGGGGCATCGTGGAGTTTTCAAATCTGGCATTTGTTTTTTCAAGGACTTGGGAGTCAGGGCGAGTTAGTTGATTGATTGATACCTCTCCGCACGGCATTTGCGTGATTGCATATAATAGAGATCGCGATAGACTGCATTTTAATGGAATAGCGTGAACTGCGAGATACGAGATGCCACCAGTCGAGGCTGGAGCTTGTTTCAGGGGACTGCGTGAAAATGGCGCATCGCACCAATCGGTTCCGCTGGGCGAGGCCTCGTAGTCGGCGAACTGACTACATCATTCCCACGATGATATCAAGCCAGATGATGGTGACATCTGGGGGGACGGATGATCGGAGGGGCTGGTCAGATTTAGTGACTCGTCACTAGTGCTCCAGAGCCAAAAGAATGCTGAAGAAGGGGTTTGTTTGCCTCGACGTCATGGCCGCCGCGTGATCGGCCTCAGGCCTCGCCGTCACGGGGAAAGCGAGTCTTTCATATTTCAGTCCGCGTTGCCTCTTGCATCCTCTCTTGGTTTCATTCTGGGATCGTTATCTTTATTTCCCATCTCTCCCCTCAACTGGCGGTGTATCTCCCATCTTATCCTCCCCCTCGGACAGCTCACCAGCCTCCCTCGGCCTGTCCGTCCCTCGTCCTCTTCCCCGCATGTGGGACTCGCCTTCACCAGCCAGTCGTTGCAAGTCCGGATGCCTGATTTCTCCCCATCTTCATAGGTCCACTTGCAAATAGCACGATGTTGTGAACCCATCGCTGCACTCAAGCGCATTGTCCACTTGTCGCCCCACGTTTGGCCGCCTGATCTCCGTGAACGCCCACCCGCTGTCACTTGTTGCCCGTCACGATCCTCTCTCTCTCCCTCTTTCTTGGACTCTCTCTCCCATTTCTGCCGGATCCGTGGGTGTTGTTTTCAGGCACCCGTTGGCATCGGATTAATTCATCGCTCTGAATTGTCGAATCGCATGGTTGGCTCCCTGCCAGCCCCGACCTGTTGATTGTTTCGCCACTTGATGCACGTTGCTTTCCGTACGTCCTTATTTGTTGCATGGTTTGCGACCTGCTTCCGCGCTGTTTCATATCGTTGGATTGTGTAGCTGACCGTTCATTCAGTACCCAATTTTATTTGGATTTTTTGGGTCTGCCCGAGGCTAGAAATCTCGCCTCGTTCTTTTTCGCCTTTTCTCGTTTCCTTTTTTTTTTATTAAATTTCTTATACCCGGCCATCCCTTTCTATAAGGGGCTCGCCCATCCCTTGAACTTGTCTCAGTAGAAGTCATCTGTCTACCACTCCCAACCCACACAATGAAGTCAGCAACCGCTACGAAATCTCCGAATGGCCACGGCAGCTGCTACAAGGAGGTGCGCTTCTCTCCTACGGCCACGCCTATCATGCGTCGGGCGCAGTCGTTGCCCGTCAACCATCCCTATCATCACATGAATCACACGCTTGGCACCCAGGGCGACTCCTCCGTCTCCAGTGCAAATTACCTCGACCAGGCCCAGTCCCTCCTGGATCGACAACGAGCGAACTTCGACGGCGAGAGGGCTCTCTTTGCCGAAGAGAGGCAATTATGGGAGCAGGAGCGCTCGTTACTGAAATCCAAGATCGCCGAACTGGAGTCGCTGCTGAGGCGCACCGGGGCTACGGTCGCTGGCTCGACCTCACCACCTGGCGCCTCGGCACCCCAGTCGTCCGTGACCTTTCAGAACTTGCCCACGAACTGGTCGGACTCGACTCACCTCGGCACCAATCCCCAGGTGTGGGAGGGGTCCAGCCCTGGCTCGCGGCCCACAAGGGTTTTCCCCGAAGCGGAGAAACTAGTAGACAGCCAGACCTCGTTGTCGGAGCAAGGAGCTACCCTGTCGACCCCATCCCTTGACGCTGCTCTGTCACCCCGGTCCCATGCGACCGACTCAACTCCCGGCTCTACTATGTCCGTCCCCATCGAAAAGCTCGACAGCAAATTGGATGGCATCACGCTGAAATCCACCGCGCTGCCGCCGGAAATCTTTGCCCGCGTGATGACGCCCCCATCCCCGCTGTCTCGGGAGACGTCTCCCTCTGCTACTCACAAGGCCGAAATCAAACCCGGCTTTAAACTCCGTCTGTCCGAGCTAGGGCCCCCAGAAAGGAACCTGGTCAGGGATGCGGGACACACCCCCATGGCCGTCATCGATCGCGACATGGATACGGAGTTGCCGTCTCCGAACGAGGACACCATCAAAGAGGAGGACGAACCCCTTACTCCCCGGGCGCTTCGGCAACCTGCAGAAAACTCCGATTCGTATTTCGCCGATCTGCCCGACGACCCAGCTCTGAAGGGGCCTCTCTCCCTGGTCAACGACGAGGAGCACGACAATGACTTTCTCAAGGAGCTAGATCAAAAGCTCCTTGGCGAGGCGAGACACGTCCTAGGGTCGTCTGGGGCAACCCAGGAGTCGAAGGAAGACGACACCAACGCCTCAAACCAAGGAGAGCAGGAGCCCGAGCTGAAACTCAGAAGCACCACCAATTTTGGCACGGCTTTTGGCGATCCTGAGCTAGAACGATATCTAGCGAAGCAATCTACTTTGGCATAAATTCTTTGCAGTGATGATCTTTACGAAAATCTACTGTTGATGTTTTAGATATACCTTTTTTGTTTTCATTTTATGTTGGGTTTATGGGCTTTCTTTGGATCCTTTTGTGATATATATGAACAGGCGCTTTTGTGTCCCGCCGGGTTGTGGATACTCTGATTGACGATCTAACGATGAATATATGCATCATCTTGACAGAAAATAGCCATGTGCAGCTTACAGAATACAACAAAGTTTGTGCGCGACTCCTCGCTCTCCTTTGGGTGCCTTCTCCCTAGTAAAATGGATAGTCCTGCGTCTCCCTTGCATCGGTCTGCATCCATCTTATCGCCCTGGACTCCCGATCTTAGAACGAGCATCCCTGTTGCCTCATGCAACCCTATCGGTATCGATTGGGGCTTTTCCTTTCTTATCGTGGCCTTGCATGAGATCCCTATGGGCTGTATACAGGGGCCAGACACCCTTCAAGGGCTCTAGGCCCTTTTCATGATGACATAGATGACCTTTTCTAGTTATAAAAGGACCTTGATCTCTCTCATTCCAATTCAGCAATCAGTTCCATTCATTCCTGCATTCCTTCACTATACAATCATCCATTCCTTCTCTTGCTTTTTGTCTATCTCTTAACTCAACATCAACTCATTTCACCAAGCATTGACCACATCCTTGAAGCATCAGGTTTCCATACCACACCTGCACACAATGTATTCCACAAGAAGCATCTCGGCACTCTTGTGCCTCCTCTTAGCTTCCAGCCCTACCTCCGTTCTCTCAGCGCCCATCTCCAAGGTAAGCTTCGCTCTTGTTCCTCTCCAGCAAAGCATACAACTGAGCCTTTCCATAGAACCATGCCCTCCTCCCCAGACAATTCAACAGTAACTCCGAGGCGGGCTTCAACTGGGACTTTTCCATCCCGGACGGTCCAGGTTTTCATACCGGCAGCTCAAGCTCCCATAGCTACGACGAAAACAGCGGTGACTCCGACATGTCGACCGACACTACCGCTAATTCCGATACTTCGATTGGTATCCCCGACGGCCCCAGTATCAACCTTGGGAACTTCTTTAGTTCGCATTATGAGGAGAGTGAGCCTGAGCCCGAGCCTGAACCCGAGCCAGAACCCGAGCCAGAACCTCAACCTGAACCTGAACCTGAACCCGAGCCGGAGCCGGAGCCTGAGCCAACACCCACTCCGACGCCTACGCCGCCGCCTCATACACCTGAAGAACCGGAGTCTCCTCCGTCTTCTTCGAGCCCTAGTCCTGAGCCTACCCCCGAACCTGAACCTGAGCCTACTCCTGAACCTCAACCTGAGCCAGAACCCACTCCCGAGCCAAAGCCCGAGCCTACTCCAGAACCCGAGCCTGAGCCCGAGCCCAAGCCTGAACCTCCCGTCCATGAGCCTACTGAGCCTGAGCCTGAGCCTCAACCGGAGCCCCAGCCTGAACCGGAGCCTGAAGTCGTCGTCGTTGAAGCATGCCCTGCCCCGGAGCCTGAGCCTGCATCCGAGCCTCAACCACAGCCGGAGCCGGAGCAGGTGCCAGAGCAGGGCCCAGAGCAGGAGCCAGAGCCCCAGCCGATCGAAGAACCCACCCCTGCACCTGCGCCAGAGCCAGAACCCCAGCCAGAGCGTGCAGCACCAGAAAACACATGCCAATGTGCTAAGTGAACCTTCAGGTCTTAACGCAAACCCTTCGGGTTCAACACGGGGCTAGAACTCCCCGGTATCCTTCTCTAATCTTTTCTATTGCTTGATTCGGTCATTTGGAGTATAGGATTTCTTTCGTTCCCCCTTTTTTACATTTATTTCCATTCTACTTTCTGTCATTATTACCATGATTCTTTTTTTTCTTTGTTTCTTTATTCACTTCTTGTGCAGGACTTCGGGCATTATTTGTCTTATCACCCTTTTTTCTCTTTCTTTCCCTTTGTCTGTCTGGTCTTTCAGTCGTCTTTTACATATTTCTACTTCCAGATTGGTTCTCGAGGTTTAATCTAATAGGTAGCTAGTTAGTATACAGTGCAAATATTATCTTGGTTTATACTTTATAGATTATTTCATCAGTTCTCAAGCATCTATGGCTTGATAGGTGGTAGAGAATTGAATTGTTTATAAAAGGATTGTTTAAAATCTGTATCATTTGTAGAAAAATATCGCTATGACTATTGTAAGGAACAACAGCGGCTTCGAATACATCCATATTACCTATCTGTGTAAATCAAATGTAACATCATGTCATGTCATGCTATCATAAAGAAAAAAAAAAAGAACCTGCCTAATATCCCTTGCGCCTGGAAACAAATGAATAAAACGAGATGAAAAGGCACAATCGGATCAAAGAGGTGAGGAAAACAAATTATACACCCATGGTATAATCATGCTCAATACCCGGCGTCACACTAGCAATGAACTTCAGGAAAACAACCAGATACTGATCCACCCGGATAGCCACCTGGTCTTCCTCGTCGTGCTGCAGCACTTCCCATTCGTCGCCGCCGGCGCCGCTCTGCGGTTGTTGCTGTTGCTGCTCCGCCAGGGACAGGCCCTTGACGTCGTCCACCAACCCTTCGAGTCCCCTTCCCACGGCGGGGGAGGCATTCGGGTTCGCCTGCGCCTGCTTTAGCTTCTCGCAGCGGATCTTGAGCGCCGCGTCGGCGCGGTCGAGGAGAGTCTTCATGACGGAGGCGTGACGGCATGGGTGCACGGATGCCATCTTAGGGCTGCCCTCCAGCCACGGGAAGTCTTCCAGCGTCACGGTCTTGTCTTTGTAGTCGCCGACGATGTCTTCCATCATGAGCGGCGGGGAAAGAGGTTGCGAGGGAGACAGGTAGCCGGAGAGGTAGAGTCGAGGGGTCCGGTAGAAGTTGGAGTACGTGATGTAGAGGTTGTAGGTGCGAGTTGGTCTAATGCATTCCATCTGTTAATTTCATCTAGCATCAAATGGACAAGAATGAGGGGGGGGAAGCTTACTGCGTCGTTCCAGGCCCTCCCATGGGCTCACGAATAATCGCCTCCTCATCGTCATCTTCATCCTCCATGTCGGGAATCTCCTCTTCCTCTTCTTCTTCCTTCTCGCCCATGTTCCCTGCTTCGTCGACGGTCCGGACATCGCGGATCCGATCCCGATGCGCAGCATCCCCTCCGCCGCCCGTCCTCAACCACCCATCGTCATCATCGTCCCCCGCACCGCCCGTGCCCCCCGACAACATGTCCCGCACGATCTCATCGTCGTGGCCCGCGTCCCCCGCGAAATCATCATTCAGCCGTCGGTGGCACGGCACCCCGCGCGTCACCAGGAACTGCTTCCCGGCGGGGAGGTACGACACGCGCTTGGCAGGCGAGGATGCGTCGCCCCAGGACCACGACGGGAACTTGTAGACGAGGTAGTCGCCGGCCAGCACGAACTCCTCGGGGGTGATTTGGCCGGTGTTGCGGAAGGTCGAGGTGCGGGAGACCGGGGCCAGGCGGTCGCGCCAGGTGGAGAGCGTGGAGTGGAGGATGTTCATCTTTGTGTTTGCTCTCTCTCTCTCTCACTTGCTGTCTGTGGGTGTGTGAATGTCTCTTCTAGTGTAAATGAATATGTGTGCGCTATTGTTCCTTGAGGTGATGGTAAGGGCAAGAGAGATGGGTTGGATGCAGAGGAAGGGAGGCCTTATCAGTCGGGGCGGTGACGGTCTCTGCCTGGGGCACGCGGGGTACGACATCATGTGGCGGAGACTCCCTCGTCACGCCGGGTCTTTCCACTCCTTCAACCAGTGAATCCCCTGATTCTTCCTGAGTCACGCCTCGGTCATGTTCTGTGGCTGGTTAGTGGCTAGCGGTATTATTCAGAGTCATAGATCGCTCGTTGAATCGATATGGATTGTTGTATTGGACCATATAGTCGGTTACATATGTACAGGTAGCTTAGCTGGGTGAGTATATATTTACAGGTAAGGTTGCAAGCGCACGCACTCCTATCCACTTACTCTCCTTCCTCCATCATCCTCCGCCTCTCGATCTCCGCTTCCACCTCGTCCACCACCACGGGAACCGTCTTAGATGACCACTTCTCCCTCTCAGCCCGCGCAAACCCCTCCATGCTCCTCATCGCCACCACCAGGAACCCGAGCTCCTCGCGGTCCACATCAAACACCTCCCACCACTCGCCATCTACCAGCTTAACGCCCTCCTCCCGCGCAGCGAGATAGATGGACGACACGGCCAGCGCGTTCGGCTGATGCGTGACGTACAGCAGCTGCGGCGAGAACAGCGACGCGTTGAGATGCTCGAAGACCCGGCGCGCCACGCCCGTCGACGACACGCCTAGCGTCTGCAGGTACGTCAGGGCAATGGTGTGAGGGAGCGCGACGTGCGTGTCGAAGCCCAACGTGCGCAGGATGATCGACTCGATCCGCAGCAGAGTCATTCGCTGCGCTTGGTACCCGCCTTCGGAGAGGTAGTAGGTCTCCGGGGCAGGTTTCTCGGGCGCTCCTTGCGGGTTGATGAACCATAGCGGCGAGGCATCCTTGGAGAGAAGGAAGGTGTAGACGTTCAAGACGGAGCGAGGGGAGGTGGGTTGGAAGGATAGCTTGGCGGTCATATAGAGCGCTGCGGCGGAGACATCCTATATTGAGGGGGGTCAACTGTTAGCGGAAGGGATCTTTCTTCTTCTTCTCTCTTTCTGTTAATCGGCAGGTAGCAAATACCTTCACTGAGTAGATCCGCAAACTGCCTCCTTCGGGGCCGATCCAAAAACGAGTGAATGTCACGACAGCCTGGGCGATGATATCCTGCGACAATCGCAGGAGAACTCCGGCGGCTTGTGTCAGCTGGGTGCCGGCGAGGCGAATGGATGCTTCTAGGTCGGGAGAAACGCCATCGATGGAGGATGAAGAGCTCGAGAGTTGGTCTGGCGTTGCGAGAGCATTGGACAGGAACTTCAAGTCGTCGGTGGTCGAGGGCGCCATGGTGTCGCGCACGGAGAGGAGAATGGGACTTGGGATTAACTCTGCTCCAAAGCTAGACCAGCACAATCATTGAGAAGTGAAGAAGGACTCCGAGCAAGAAGTTGATGCTCAGCAGCGGATGGCAGAATAATTCAGTCGCAAGCTCCACTCACCGCCTGGTCATACCTTCTAGACCCTGCTGTTCTGAGGAAAGACAGAGATAATAGGAATTATCATGAATTGGTCGGACTCTCACAAGAAACCTGTGATTAGGATTACCATGGCCCTCAGCTGTCATTGTGGGATCTAGATTTGAATTTTCACATGCTTCTTAAGATGTCAAACTATTCCCAAATAAATATACATTACACACGAATATATAAAGGTTTTAAGTCTCCGATAAAGCAATGCCAGGAAAAGGAGTACGTATTTAAAAAAGTGAAATGCCTGGCAGCTTAGGCGCCTGCCAACAGTTCAAATATACAGCAGTGATAGTTATACCAAGACACAGAGTATAGAATATCGAGAGGGAAGACGGTAGAAATCCGAGGTCAAGCTGCTAAGTAATTTGCTGTTTGCTTGCTCTCCCTTCCTGTCATAGAGCTCCAATAGACTATTAGTAAAGACAAAACTCTCATCTGTAAGTTCACCGTCCACTGTCTCTATATTTTTACATAATAAGACAGCTTGGCCGAGTGGTCAAGGCACCCTCCTGCTAAGCGTGTACTCCCGAGTGTCGAATCCTGCAGCTGTCGTGAATTTCTCATTCACTTTAGACTGGTTAACCTACCTGCCTGTCCGGTAGACAGTAGTGTCTTTTTTATGCACAGCAGATGAATCAACTGAACAGTGCCATCCTGCAGCGTACGCAGTATGAGCTCTTATCTCCCACGGGACCAATTACCGATGTAATTTCCCTGGAGGACTGGATCACCCCCGAGCTAACTGGCCGACTGAACGGGGTTGATTAGGATGACCCAGGGTCTAGAGCCATGGATTCGGCCCCTGATCCCGCCGACAATCCGTAACAGACATGACACTCGGCCGGGGGACCCCGTAGATCGCAGGAGTCATCACTCCTCGTTCCAAGTCCTTGACAGTATGTCCCAACAAGAACAAAGATCAGATAGGTGACGTCGTTCATCCCAACCACATGAAGTCAGAACGAGACGGACACAGCATTCGGAGCTGAGCGATGAGGCAAATCTGGCTAAGAATAAACCACCAAACCACCCGAGGGAAAGGATTGCCAAGTGAGAGGGCAGGGAGCTCCGAGCTAAGAGCGTAGGACTGGGGCGACGCCTCGTCACGGTGGAGCATCGATGCTCACGGTCGGTCTTCAACGTTCAGCCACCGCTTTTTTGCGGAGCGATGATTGACGGAGACGCCCCGTATATGTAGACTTGGGGACCAGCCTCCGGAATTTCGAGTCTGTCGAGTCTGTCATGCAGCAAGACCTTTCTTTAGTCTTTCTCCGATCGTTCTTTCGTGCATCCCCGACAATAATCCTATCCAACATCGAGCGCTAGTGCCGTGCGGAGTGCCAAACTCGTGTTTCTCTGCGGTTTCTGATTTCTGCCGTCGATAAGGGGGCACGTGCGGACGACTTCTCCTGACGGCCCTTCATTTGATTTCTTCGTTTGATTTCTTCATTTCCCTTCATTACGAGTGGAATTGCTCTCCAGACTCCTTCTCTGCCGGCGGAGTCTCTCGGATCGCATTATTAGACGCCACTTCACCCCTCCCCCCGTCAATCAATCAATCAATCAATCAATCGTCACTTGGCCCGTCCGATTCGCAACGGAAGTCCCCGAAAAAGCAAAGGGAAAACAAGGAGGACGCGAAAGGGCCGAACTATTAGGGAGTGACCCAATTCCATTCCTTTTTTCCTAATTCCCACCCAACTATCCTCCGTGGGCGTCAGGGATTGGACGACCATTCGACGTGGCATTCCAGTCCTTGCCCAAGTGGTCATCATCCCTACTGTGCACCATTCCAATCCGTCCCTCTCCCCCCCATCCCTTTTCTCTCTGTCGTCACGCCCTCCCCAGCGACAACAATGCTGCAGGACCTTGATCACCCTTTGATTTCCCTGCCGCCGGCCATCGAGCATCTCAAACCTTCGACCATCCTCTCGCCGCCGCCGGACCCCGATGATCACCGCTTGTCCCGTCCAGACATCCCTGCAGCCGTATTAGCACCGAGCTCGGATGCATTATCCCCACCACCAGACAAGCCGTCTTTTGCCAAAAACCCCTCCTTTCACCGACGAGCCAATACCGAGATCATTCGTCGCCAGACGCCCCCTCTGCCCGCTCGACAGTTGTTTGCGGATCAGCCTAAAACTTACGAGGACCTCGATAAACCCTCGACCGAGACCGGCCCCCGCAGGAAATTCGAGGAGGGCGCCAAACTGATATCAGGTTGGTTCCAAGGAAAGTCGCAACCGGTCAACTTGGGAGTTGTGCACCCTCCTACGGACCAAGAGTCTTCGGAAACAACAACCAATATGGACTACCGGACCTCGCGCGATTACTACACCTCCCCCAACACTCCTACTCTCCCGACGAGTCGGGCACAGAAGCGCATGACTGCTCCGTCGCCGCTCAAGCAGGTGACGTCCTCCAGCCCGTTCTCCTTTTTCGGGTTGAAGCGCCAGGGGGAGAGCAAAGCGGAGCTGCCCGAGCCCGCCGAGGATGAATTCCTGAACATGGATATCACGGCCGCTCTGTTCCCGCCTACGTCCAGCGGCCTCGACGAGCGGGAGGCATTCGATGCGCTGCGAATCAATGCAGACAGCGTTCTCAGACGGCTGCAGGCGGCCTACAAACAGCGGACGTTCGCGCTGCATGAAGCGCTGGCCGATAAGAACGAAAAGCAGGAGGAGTTGGAGGAGACCCGAACGCGCGTCGGCCACCTCAAGGTTCAACTGGATGGCATGGCCGAAAAGGTGCTGCAGCAAGAGAAAGCCGTCAAAGCGATGGCCGAGGAGCTGGAGCAGGAAAGACAGTTGCGACGCCGAGAGGACGAGGCGCGTCGGCGCAGCGTGATGCTCGTCCGATCCAGCGATGACGAGAGCTCCGACCTGGGTGCCGACCTTCAGACGCCGAAGCGCAGCTTGAAACGCAACAGCAATGCCACCTTTACCAGCGACTCGGGATTTGACTCCGGCGACGAGAGCCTTGCCGAGAGCGTGTTTTCGCGTCGCGAGGGTGTTGAATCTCCGGCCTCGACCGTCGCCCCTTCTCCTAACCTTTCCCAAGTCACGCTCTCGACTCCGACGACGACTTCCGCTCCGAGTCAAAAAGAAAAAGAAGCCAAACTGACTCCCGTCTCCACCCCCGCCTCTACGCCGCGACCGTCGGCGTATGATCGCGTGCTCAAAGGCTTGGCTTCCACGGGTATCAGCTCGTGGACGGGCAATTCGTCCAAATGCCAGATTTGTCATGGCGTTCCTGCATCGGAAGCTTGGAGCGTCATGGGCATCCTGAAAGAAGAAAACAAGGGACTCAAGGACCGGCTAGGAGAGCTTGAGATGGTCATTGATGACTGTCTCTGCCTGGTCGGACCGTAACCTGGAGTCCCGAATGCAATATTTCCGTCAATGGCCAGAAAATATTCCGACTGTGTCTACATGATGTAGAGACAGCGATCAATTTCCTTTGTTTTTACGATGAGGACATATTTTGTTTGATATTGTTTTGATGAATGGAAGCTCTGTATTGTGATACCTCCGTGCTAGTTGGATAGTCTATAGAAATATCACGCACGCAATTGTATAGTCTTCTTGTGTATTCAATATTCATAGTGATTTAGAGAGAACAGAGAACACATATGCCGTTCTTGCGGAGTCACGGGGCCAAGCGACCAAGTGGCCTCATCGGGTTTAGCGCCGGCTGGAAGGCCAGCGAGGCGACTTCCCGCCGTCTTTCTGAGCACCTCACCTCTTGTCGACCCGTTCCTCCCTTTCTCCTCCCCCGTTCTTCTTTTCGTCTCTGCTTCTTTTTCCCCTTCTCTATTTTTCTTTCATCTTCACTCCTTTAGCTGGTTGTCGTTTCCAGCCTATTTCCTTTTTTCTAATCCCCCTCCCCTAATTCTTACAGCTGGGGCTGTGGACCATCAAAATGAGCGGCCGTGAGTTTCTCTGCACGCGGTCGCAAATATCTGCGCGACGGCGTCTTCAATATACCCTCAATGGATCAACCAATGCTGATCCTCGTATCTAGTCCGATTCCTCGACCTGATCAAACCTTTCACGCCCCTCCTCCCGGAGGTGGCAGCCCCGGAAACGAAGGTTCCCTTCAACCAGAAGTTAATGTGGACGGGTGTACGTTTCTTCGGTTGAGTCGCGAAATATGGACGTTGGGACTGATGGATACCTCTAGTTGACCTTGTTGATCTTCTTGGTCATGAGTCAGATGCCTCTGTACGGCATTGTCTCCTCCGACACCTCGGATCCTCTGTACTGGCTGCGTATGATGCTGGCCAGTAACCGGGGTACTCTGATGGAACTGGGTATCACCCCCATCATCTCCTCCGGCATGGTTTTCCAGGTATGTTCGCATTGGTCGTGGGGCGACGTGGAAATGTAGATTGCATCTAACGGGTCGTTTGCTGCCATAGCTCCTCGCTGGTACCCACCTCATCGACGTCAACCTGGACCTCAAGACCGACCGTGAGCTGTACCAGACCGCTCAGAAGCTGTTCGCGATCATCCTCTCCTTCGGCCAGGCCTGTGTCTACGTCCTGACTGGTCTCTATGGCCAGCCCAGCGACCTCGGCGCCGGTATCTGCGTTCTGCTGATCGTTCAGCTGGTCGTTGCCGGTCTGGTTGTCATTCTGCTGGACGAGCTGCTCCAGAAGGGATACGGCCTGGGCAGCGGTATCTCCCTGTTCATCGCCACCAACATCTGTGAATCCATCGTCTGGAAGGCGTTCTCCCCCACGACCATCAACACCGGCCGTGGCCCCGAGTTCGAGGGTGCCATCATCGCCCTGTTCCACCTTCTGTTGACCTGGTCCGACAAGCAGCGTGCTCTGCGTGAGGCCTTCTACCGCCAGAACCTCCCCAACGTCATGAACCTGCTGGCCACTCTCCTGGTCTTCGCCGCCGTCATCTACCTGCAGGGCTTCCGCGTTGAGATCCCCGTCAAGTCCTCCCGCCAGCGTGGAATGCGTGGCTCCTACCCCGTCCGTCTCTTCTACACCTCCAACATGCCCATCATGCTGCAGTCCGCCCTGTGCTCCAACATCTTCCTGATCAGTCAGATGCTGTACTCGCGCTTCTCGGACAACATCCTTGTCAAGCTCCTCGGAGTCTGGGAGCCCCGTGAGGGATCTGCCCAGCTGCACGCCGCCTCGGGTATCGCCTACTACATGTCTCCCCCCCTCAACTTCAAGGAGGCTCTCCTTGACCCCATCCACACCGCCGTCTACATCACCTTCATGCTGGTGGCCTGTGCTCTCTTCTCCAAGACCTGGATCGAGGTCTCCGGCTCCGCTCCCCGTGACGTTGCCAAGCAGCTCAAGGACCAGGGACTCGTGATGGCCGGTCACCGTGAGCAGAGCATGTACAAGGAGCTCAAGCGTGTCATCCCCACCGCCGCCGCTTTCGGTGGTGCTTGCATCGGTGCCCTCTCCGTCGCTTCGGATCTCCTTGGTGCCCTGGGCAGCGGTACTGGTATTCTCCTTGCCGTGACGTAAGTACAATGTTCTCTTGTTGATTTCTTGACCACCGTGCTAACAGCGCGTTTGCAGCATTATATACGGATACTTCGAAATTGCCGCCCGCGAGGGCGACATCGGATCGGGTCTTAAGGGCCTTGTTCCCGGTAACTAAGCAGGGACCTTCTCTGTCTTCTTGATGAAGTTCGTACGAGAAAGAAGAACGAAGGTTTTGATGCGTTTGTTATATTTCGTTCATTCCCGGGTGGTGCACTGTTGTGGTAGTAGACTTTGTTGTTGAATGTTGGCGAAAATTTGGGAAATGTAAGGTAGATGGGAGGTGATGGGGAGGCCGACGGATGGTTTTCCGCCGGAAAAAGTGCCGCCGCAACTGTACATAGCACCAACCTGGTTTGTAACCATATTTCTTTTTTTTTTTCTCCATCTGTTTGAAAAGGACACGAAAATTACAATTTAATTCGGCGACTGTTCTGCATACCACTTGGTCTTAGTCCGTCGGAAGCACTCTAATTCCCCGACTTGCCGTCTCTAGATACTCTCTGCTTCCGCATCTCCAGCCCCAACCACGCCAAACAAGCTGCCGAGCCTAGATACATCACCCCTACAAACAGCTGCACTCGCAGATAGGGTTTCTGCTGGCCCGCATCATCTCGCAGCTGCACTGCAATCGCCTCCGCCACCGCTGTCGGCGGTCCCAGCACGAACCAAAAGACCCCCAGCGCCGCCCCGAGACTCTGCAGCCCGACAACCTCCGCAGTCAGCGGTGCGGCGGCGGCCAGAAACGTCCCGGAGAACAACCCCACCGCGACGGCAAAGAAGTATATGAGTCCGAGCGAGTCGGCGAAGATCCAGAGCACGAGCGGCAGGATGCCCGAGAGCAGCGAGGCCCCGAACGCAATGTTGATCCGGCCCAATTTGTCGCTGACCAGGCCTACGACTGGTCGGCCCAGTGCCTGTCCAAGGCTCAACAGCGCACTAGCCAGACTCCCCTGTTCCTGCGTGAGACCGATGGCGACGGCGTAGCTGGACAGACTGAAGAGCAAAGCCACGTAACCTAGCCCGCTCAGGAATGCCCATGCCAAAAGCAGGAGAAAGTCGAGTCTCAGGAGCAGACGCGAAAGACGGGATGGTGAGCTATCCTTCTCCTTCTCTGCACGAGTCGCAGCACGAGCATTTACCTGGGACGAGGCCGGAGACGGCGACGGAACCCGAAGAAGATTCGCACATACCATATTGACCGTGAAGGCCAGGATGCCTAGGATCCGCATCGCCCATGGAAATCCCACTTCGGGGATCAGCTTCCCCACGGCGAGAGAATACACGAGACCACCGATGCCCGAGCCGCCGGCCGCGATGCCGTTGACCAGGCTTCGTTTTCTCTGGAACCAATGCGACGTGATGCCCACGGAGCCGCAGAAGCAGAAGCCCATGCCGATGCCGAAGCAAGCGCCCTGCGAGAGGAAGAGCTGCCAGTCGGTCTTCACGAACGACGTGGTGATCAGGGACAGCGCTTCCAGGATGGCGCCGAGGTTGAGGACGAAGCGCGTCGATATTCGCTGGTCGAGGTATGTGGCGAGGGGGGCGATGAACATGGCGCATGAGATGCTCAGGCCGCCGACGAAGGCGTACTCGAGGGCTGATGTGCCCGGGAATATGTCGGTCGAGAGGTAGTAGGCGAGGAAGACCCCGTAGGCCTGGTGTGGTGATGTTAGAAGAAATGGGCGAGTCAGGGGTAGAGTAGGGTCTCGTACGGCGTTGATGCCCCATGTATGGGCGTTCATGAGGAAGGTACAGGCCACGCAGACCCAGCCATATCCTCCTTCACGGAATTCCGGCGGAGAGATTGGCTCTGGGGGATGCACAGAGAGATCTGATTTCGAAGGGTCCGACTCGATCATTTTGGATTGCTGCTGCCCATGACAGTGGTACCCCTTGCTTGACCGACATGATGGGCGATATAAATGAGACGGGCTAGAAGATTCAATTCGGAGCTGCGGTGGTCAATTACCGAAGGGAAGATGTGCTGATGGTGATGTTTTCGTCGCTGCGAGGACGCCCTCGGTCACGGGGCCGAGATCGCCGAATGTATAGATCGAAGGGGCGGACATCTCGGCTTCCTCCCTCCGTCATCTTCCACCACCAGGGAACCCTTTCTCAGTTCCCACTCATCAACTTAAACAACTACTTCATGATGCCCAAAGTTCAAAGGACCTCTTCGGACAGCAATAGAAACCGCAGAATAGACGCCCGGTCCTGCCTGGGCTGTCATCGGCGCAAGGTCCGCTGTGACCGTGGAGTGCCTTGCACGAACTGCGCCAGAGCTGGCTGCACCTGCATCTATCCGAGCAAGCCTAGCGACGAGCGCAGGAGTCCTTCTCTGCAGCACATTTCCGATCGTTTGGAGCGAGTGGAGTCTATTATTTCGCATCTTTGCGAGAGCCGAGCTTCTGGATTTGCTGCTGGCGGCGACTCCGAGACTCAAGGGCGACATGAGACCAACCAGCTTTCGTCAGCTCAGCACTCTCATATGCCATGGGAGGTACTGTTAAATGATGGACAGATGGTGCAGTATGTAAACAATGCAAACATTAAGGACCTGCTTCAAGATGTAAGTCCTAAGTTGACCTGCATTTGCGCTTCGCTTCTCATTGGGATCGCCCCTAATACATCAACCAGGAAGAGCGAATGAAAGTGACTCGGAGTTCCAGTCCTGAAAGAGAGTTTTCACATCGACAACCAGAAAACACTCCAATGTTAGCCGCGCAGCCAGAATCCTTAGCAGACACCTCGTGCGCCTGGCTCGAATCATATCCCGACCCGCAACTCGCCCTGCGACTGTGGTCAGTGTATGTAAACTCGGTCGATCCGGTTCTAAAGATCCTGCATATACCGACTACCCAGTCCGCCGTGATAGCAACAATCCTTGATCCCAAATCGGCGGGATCGTCTATGGTCGCATTGACATTTGCGATTTACTTTGCCGCCATCACGGCGCTAGGGCATCACAATGAACCTGAACTGTTCCTAGACAAGTCCGTCCTCCTGAAGCGCTACAAGGCCGCCTTGGACAGACTTCTTATCAATACCGAAGTGATGAACCGGCCAGAAATAACGGCGTTACAAGCTCTGGCCATTTATGTGGTAAGGGAATTTCTGTAGCCTGTTTAAAAACGTAGCTAACCAGGTCCTGCACAGACTTGTTTACGAGTCCACGAAACTGCACGCAGCACATGGGTCCTCAATGGTTTAACTATCCGGCTAGCCCAGTCAATCGGGCTGCATCGAGATGGTGCTCACCTCCAACTGAGCCCTTTTGATGCCGAGATGCGTCTTCGTCTCTGGTGGCATCTCTGCGTGCTCGACTCCCGCGCCCCCGAAGACCAAGGGTTCGAGCTGACGCTGGACGTCATGAACCGCGGCCTCCGACTTCCTCTGAACATTGACGATGATCAAATCTTTCCTAGCATGACCCAACTTCCCGAGGAGACGGACGGCTGGACCGAAATGTCCTTCTTCCTGATCCAAACCGAATCTTGCAGACTAATCCATCCAGTCCTCGGGACTCGAGGGCCTTCTTCTGTGGACGCTCTTCCCGAGATCACCGCAAAGAGGAAGATGATTCTCGAACGCTCGCAACAAGTAGCCATGAAGTACCGCCTCTCATCCAGCAGCAAATCACCGCCAAGCAACCTCCCCCGCATCACAATGCAGCATTTCACTACGGCCCATAAGAAAATGGAGTTCATGCTGCAACTGCGCGAAGAGATCGGTACACAGAAAGGGAAAGGATCGCGCTCTCACAGAGCCGACACTGACGATGACAGCAGCCATACTGTGTTCAGGCCCTCATTTCGTCTCGCCTGTGAGAGTCTGGAAAGCAATTCCATCCTCCTGAAGGGCAGCTTTTCTTCAGGCTTCAAATGGCTCTTCACCACGTATACGCCGTGGTATGCGCTCGCCTACGTCTTACGCTGTCTCTGCTCCTGTCCTTGTGGAGGAGAGGCCGAGCGTGCCTGGGCTTTGGTGGACGCCGTCTTTTCTCCAGAGATGAGCTTTGATGGTAAAAGACTTTCTTCGGAGGGTGCTCTCCCTACCCATGCCCCTGGACGGACGCAGACACAGACCAAGGGACAGAGCAGCCTCTGGAACTGTCTCTCTTTGCTTCGCTCCCAGGCCTTATCGTTGAAGCGCGCTCAGTCCCAGTCTCAGCCCCGGTCATCATCTACCAATAGCGGCGAGATGCAACCACCACGCCTTGTCGACGATCCCCTATACGGTGGAACTGCGCCGTCACCGACTCTCACCGAAATGCCAGCGCCAGGCATATCTTCTCCTCTTCATACGGACTTCGAAGTCTTTCATAGCGAGCAGCCATTTCTTGCTGATGGAACCGGTAACCCGAATATCCTCTCCGGGGCCGACTTTGAGATGCCTGGGATTCCGTTCTTGCCGGAATGGAATGCAGTGATTAATGGGTGCTTGGCTGGGGAGGGAGATTTCGACTTATGATAACTCCTTGCTGCTACATAATAACAGAGGACAGAGATCCTCGCTATCCGGATGGCTTAACCAGATTTGATTCTAAAGGAACGTTCAGTTCGAACCGCCAGACAACAACAACGGCAATGGGTTCACCTCCACTACCAACCTACCATCCGGAATCCATCCGAACACATAGTCCAGAATCCATCGAGTAAAATCCTCACTACTTCCCCTCTCCAGGATGTCCAATTTCCACCCTACTCGCCGCTTCATCTGCCTGTTTCTGCCACATAGACTCGCTAAGGAGATTAGCACCTTCACCATCAAACAGCACCGCAGTTTCCTCAAGCGTCCGTCCCTTACTCTCTACGAAGAAAAGCCAAATAGCCAGGACCTCAAAGACAGCACCCGGACGACCGGTTAGCTGGTTATGACCGGCATTACTCTCATCGCCCCATTACTCCGGCATCCGGTCACCGTTAGCCCAATGATCCCCAGCGGTCGAGTCGCCCGTCGATGACGTGGGAGTCGAGGCATGTGAGGCAGGCGAGGAAGATGTAGGCTCCGCCATATTGTAAAGGCCACGCTTCCGCTTACGGGGTTGATAGAAACACCTAAAGCCTCTGGCTTCACAATTACCGCACCGAGAATTCGATTCGGGAGGCTACATAGCTCGAGCATGTCCGGCGCAGGCGGACCGGTGCCTGTGAGACTGCATCAGGACGACCGCCGCGGTAGTGCAGTTGCTCATGGCTGCATCCCTACAGCAAGAAGGTTCGAGAAGGACATGATGATTAGGAAAAGAGATTCTCGCTTGCGGGAGAACACCTTGTCGCAGTAGCTGCACTTGACGGACTTCTCCCGGAGGTGGGTTTGACTGTAGCGCTTGAGATGGTCCTGGCGCAGGAACTGCCGAGAACATGCGCTGCATGAGAAGGCGGCTGATAACGACGGGCTCTGTGACCTCATGACGACTTTTCTGCCTTTGCAGATGTTACATTGTGGGTGAATGATGGGTATACGGGCGAGAGTAAGCAGTGCTCTGGTTATTTCTGGGAAACAAACATTATTTGGCCGATGCGGGGAATGGAGAAGCCATCATGTCGTCTGGAGGGATTTCTTGCTCTGCACTACACACCACGACAGACAAACTTCCCAAGTACTGTTGGTGATGAGTACGTAGTACGCCGGTAAAAGAGCAATATCATTGAGCCCAAGATGGCCCTGAACCATGATGCAGAGAGCTTGAGCGTCTGTCCCTTTGCTGGACATTCCAGCTCTTGTAATAGGCCCTTTGATTGCAGGTGCAGGTGTGATTTGTAATTTGTCTCAGGTAGAATCAGATACTATAGAAATTATTATTGTGCCTTGACTGGTAATAATACTGATGCTCATAAGAACGTCGTGAGAGATGCCCACGACTTTGTGTGTAGACATGCAGTATTTCTATTTCACAGAACATTACTGTTGTTGAGGTTGATCAAGAGTGGATATAACTAGAACTGCTCAGCAGATTAAGTGATCCAATTTTGGGTTAATGTGATCCCAGCAGACTGTACACTGCTGTTGGGGTAGAGGGGCTTGTCACCCTAAGTGCGATAGTCGCCATTGATAGTCACATATTCATGACTGAAATCGCAGAACCAGTACACTGCCTCTTCTCCTCCCAGACCCTGCTGGCCCTTCTCGCCGCCACCCAGGTCGACGACGATCTCAAGGTCCTCTTCCTGGAGGATGACGCTGGCGCGGTCCTCGTCCACCTGCTCGGGCTCGCCGTTGACCAGGAGCTTCAGGATGGGGCTGCCGTCGACGGGCTTGAAGCTGACGCTAGTCTGCTCGGGAACGACGGTTCCGGGTGCGACGCCCTGCGTGTACCCGATGGCGCAGAGAATGCGGCCCCAGTTGGCGTCCTTGCCATACAGGGCCGTCTTGACGAGTGGAGAACGAGCGATGGTGGAGGCGATCAGGCGGGCGGATTCGTAGTCGGGCGAGTTCTGCACGCGCACGGTCACGAACTTGGTGGCTCCCTCGCCGTCACGCACGACGAGCTGCGACAGGGATTGAGAGAACGAGGTGAGCACGTCCTGCATGGCGGCGTAGTCATCCGACGAGGAGGAGCTGATGGGGGCTCCGCCGGCGGCGCCGTTGGCGAGGATGGCAATCGTGTCGTTGGTGCTGGTGTCGCCGTCGATGGAAATCGAGTTGAACGAGCGCCCGATGGAGTGCTTCAGCAGGGACTGCAGGGCGGACGGTTCGATGGGCGCGTCGGTACAGAGGACGCCCAGCAGGGTGGCCATGTTCGGGTGGATCATACCGGCTCCCTTGGTCATACCAGCGAGGCTGTAGGTGCGACCGGGCGAGGAGGGGAGCGTAAACGTGCGGGACAGAAGCTTGGGGAAGGTATCGGTGGTACAGATGGCACGGGCAGTCGAGAGCCAGGCATCGTGGGTGGAGGAGAGGTTGGCGTGACCGGCTGGGATCTTGTCGAGGATCTTGGAGATGGGAAGACTGGAGAATGAATGCGTTAGTCCTCTAGTTTTCCAAATCAACTGAGCATGTTGAGGTTAACATACCGCTGTCCAATAACTCCGGTGCTCATGACCAAAGTACTAGGCTCGTTGAGACCGTTGCATTCGTCCACCGTCTTGCCCATGCTCACGGCATCCTCCAAGCCACCTTTTCCGGTGACGGCATTGGCACAGCCCGAGTTGATCACGACGGACTGAATCCCCTGCCCCTGTCGGTTCTTGAGGATATCCCGACTCACTTGAACGGGAGCCGCCTGGAATTTGTTGGTGGTGAACACCGCCGCCGCCGAACACGGAGTCTCCGACGAAATGAGGGCCAAGTCGGGGAATTTGGTGTTCGACGCTTTGACGCCGACGTGAGTTCCAGAGACGTTGAAACCCTTGGGATAGGACCCGGACGAAGGAATGTATTTCTGTTTGGCGGCAGGAATAGCCATGTCCAGCGGGGCGGAATAATTGCGCACTTGGCCCTTCATCATCCTGGTGAAGGTAGCCATGGTGGCTGTAGGTTGGACGGTGAAGGTCATGAAACAGGATTCTGCTAGACAAGAACGATTGTCAGAACAATGTTCATCACAAGAGAGAGCTGGGTTACAGTCCTGGCCAGGTGTTGGGGAAGGTGTAGATATAGTTCCTGCATACCTGAGCTAGCGCGATAAGTCGGGAAATGAGTCAGAAGCGAAGGATGAGCCTGACTCAATGCCTTCTACCTTTCCAGCTTTGTGGACAAACAAGACCACCGGCCAGAGAACACTGCAGCAGAACTTCACAGCCCAAAACCGAACGAGGACAGGATGGAAGTCGAGTGGTGCGAGGGAAATGCCGCAGTCGCCGTCGTCGCGCCGATACCGCGGGACTCGGAGAAACAGTCGGCCCGGTCCTTTTCCTTAAACAAAAGCCACGAGGGAAGCGCCCAATGAAGATCAACATTCCCGTCGCTCCCCTTGTCTAGCCCTTGCGTCCTGTTCCCCCCCAGCTGAGCGGTGACGAGCGATTGTCGCGTCTGAATGGTATTTTCTCCCTCTGCCCGTGTCGACCTTTTACCGGTGACCGTCTGTTCGAGGCATACTTACTGAAATGAAACGGAAGCAACCAGATTCAGAAGACGAGCGTCCGGTCTCGACGCCGAAGAGACAGAGAACGGTAGATCTCAATGGATCCACGAATGGAAACGCGAACGATGGGGATCAGGTCGAGACCACGCCGGTGAAACGGATGAAATCGACCCCCCAGAAATCAACCCCCAAGAAAACTCCGGCGACGACGCCGGCGGCTTTGAAAGAATCCGGCCTAAAGACTCCCACGCATAAGTCCAAGGCAAAGGCTCTCTTTTCGACCCCTACGAAAGATAAGGCTGCCCCGACGCCATCGAGAGCGAAGAATGCCGACCGGTCTGCGAAGAAAAAGAGCGCGCGTCTGCTCCTTGAGCAGGATGAGGAAGATATTTGGGATGGGGGAGACCGTTTAGCAGAAGAGATTCTGGAAGAGGAGAATGACGCGCCGCAGAAATCCGGGGAAGGGGGCAGGGATGTGGTTGAATCCGTCGAGGCAGACGCAGAAGCACCAGCCAACAAGAAGACGGCGGCGACCCCGAAGCGCCGGGCAGGACGGCCGAAGGGTGCAAAGAACAAACGGTCTCCAACACCAGAGGGGGAGCTGCCGGCTCACGAGCGCTATTTTTTCCAGAATCGGGCTGGTCCGCCGCGGACGTCCAATAATACTTTCAACAAAGTGCCGCTCCTGACGCATGAGGAATATTTCGAGAAGTTGGCGCAATATGTGGATCCCTTCAAGAAGGAGAAGTCTTTCTTGTTTGACCTGCATTGTCGGTCCTTCCCGCAGTGGAACTTTGAATTCGACCAGGGGTTTAATCTCTGCCTGTATGGATACGGTTGCAAGCGTGAGCTTGTGCAGGGGTTCGCCGATTGGGTTCATCACAAATACAGTGATGATCCTCCTTCGATTGTCGTCGTCAACGGACACACGCCGAATATCTCCATTCGGTCGATCTTCGCTACGATTGTCACGGCGGTGCTTGGGGCGGACATTCCCTCGAAGATGGGATCCCAACCGGTGGAGGTTTTGGAACTACTGCAATCAGTTCTGAAGTCACAACCCTCGCGGAAACCGATCACTGTTTTAATCAACTCCATCGATGCGCCCTCTTTCCGACGCGCAGCTAACCAGGCGCTCCTAGCGCGATTAGCCGTGACGCCTAAGATCAATCTTCTGGTGACGGCCGACACTCCCAACTTCTTACTGATGTGGGACATCAGTCTTCGGGACCAGTTCAACTTCGTCTTCCACGACTGCACCACATTTTCATCCTTCGATACCGAGTTCGATGTCGTCGAGGAGGTCCACAGTCTCCTGGGCCGCAAGGGCCGACGCATCGGCGGCAAAGAAGGTGTCGAGTTCGTGCTGAAGAGTCTGCCGGAGAACGCGCGGAACCTGTACCGCGTGCTCCTGACCGAACTCCTGACCATCATGGATGACGGACACCAATCGGACGACGAGATCGACGGCCATGAGGCCGAGGAGCGACAAGGCGGAGGGCGCGAAGAGACCGGCATCGACTTCCGCATGCTCTACCAGAAGGCCTCGGAGGAGTTCATCGCCTCGTCGGAGATGATGTTCCGGACGTTGCTGAAGGAATTCCACGACCACCAGATGATCACCTCTCGCATGGACACGAGCGGGATGGAGCTTTTGGGGGTGCCGCTGTCGCGCGAAGAGATGGAGGGCATCCTGGAAGATCTCGTGTTGGCTTGATATGGTGCATTTGCATGACTTGATGATACCCCTTTGTATAACCGTGTACCGATTATATAACTGCCTACTGATTATAAGATGGAGGATTCTGAATATGGCGTCTAATTACCTGTGTACTGTACAACATCTAACCATGGCTTCTAAATCAATATCCAATATTGAACATCCACTTTCTCACATATCATCACCGTTTCGGTGCAAAATCAAAACTGCGCAAATGCCGCCAGCGTCATCGTCGCCCCGAAGCTCAGCTTGAACGGAATCTGCCTCGACACGGCCTTCTGCAGATCCACTCCCTTCACATACCTCTGCATCTTCTGCAGGGGCAGAATATTGTACCCCTTAGCAGCAGCCCACTATCCCAGCAGTACCCCGACATCAGCCAATGGACATCCCCATACCAACCAGAACAGACGAAGGGAATGACATACCTCGACCAAAACAACACCCATCCCCAGCAATACCACCAGCGCCTTCGAAAACGCCCGCAATCCCACGCCCGCCACGAGGCCCAGGACGCTGCCCAAACTGACCTGGCGCATGTTGGACGCCGTGAAGATGCTGCTGCCAGGACCCGTGGCGCCTTGTTTGCGCAGCAGGGGGTCCTGGCCGTCGATGGCCCAGCCGGATTCGGCGGACTCCGTGGCCCGGGGGTAGGGCGCTGCGTATTGGCATTGGATCGGGGTGGAGCGGAATGGAGACAGGGGGCTGAGGGAGAGGCCGAGTCCGACGCCGACGCCGAGGATGGCGGAGGTGCGGGACATGAGGAGGGACATGATGGGTTATATGAGGGATTGACAGTGAAGAGGCAGTATCGGTGGGAGATTGGATGCAATTGAGTTCTGGTGAGGGAGATACGGAGATACGAAGGGATGATGAACTGCGGAGGTGACGTCACCGGCGGTCAGCTCCATGTTAGGGCTGAGCAGTAAGATATGACCATACGGGACAGAACACGATACGCTGCGGTACGGGGCAATACACAGGAATACGGAGGGATACGGTGCCTGGGCGAGTCCGCGGGAAAGCGACACAGGGCGCGGGCAACGAATGGAGGGACGCCGCCGCTCTGATTGGCCGCGCATTCCGCGGGCGGAACGAACGCTGGAAAAACTCGGCGGGGAAGACAAAAAAGTGGAATCCTCAGGCAGGCGTTGCTTATCGGATTCCGACTTTCCGTGACTCACTCGCGTCCTTTTAAATCTCTCCCCCTCTCGTCTTCCCCCACACGATCTTCTGTACATTCCTATCCCTCATTACATACCCTGTGCTCCCTCCCTCCCTCTCACCACCCTCCCCTCAATCACTATTCACAATGGCTGCTCAGCAGAACGGTGCCACCAATGACTTCACCGTCAAGGCCGGTTTGGCCCAGATGTTGAAGGGTGGCGTGATCATGGACGTGGTCAATGCGGAACAGGTATGCGCTCAATTGATGACCTGTGGGAATTGCAATACTGATGAGACCTCTTTTCGCAGGCGCGCATTGCTGAGGAGGCCGGTGCCGCCGCCGTCATGGCCCTCGAGCGTGTTCCCGCCGATATCAGAGCCCAGGGTGGCGTGGCGCGCATGTCGGACCCCAGCATGATCAAGGACATCATGAAGTCCGTCACCATCCCCGTCATGGCCAAGGCTCGTATTGGTCACTTCGTCGAATGCCAGGTATGTAGCATTGTCTTCCCGCCTTGAGGTATGTCCCGGAAAACTGACGGTTTCTCTCCCACAGATCCTCGAAGCCATCGGCATCGACTACATTGACGAATCCGAAGTTCTGACCCCCGCCGACGACGTCTACCACGTCACCAAGCACAACTTCAAGGCTCCCTTCGTCTGTGGCTGCCGCAACCTGGGTGAGGCTCTCCGCCGTATCTCCGAGGGTGCTGCTATGATCCGCACCAAGGGTGAGGCTGGCACCGGAGACGTCGTGGAGGCCGTGAAGCACATGCGCACCGTCAACGCCCAGGTTGCTCGCGCTCGCGCCATCCTGCAGTCCTCCGCCGACCCCGAGCCCGAGCTCCGCGCTTTCGCTCGCGAGATCGAAGCCCCCTACGAGCTGGTGCGCCAGACCGCCGAGCAGGGCCGTCTCCCCGTGGTCAACTTCGCCGCCGGTGGCGTTGCCACTCCCGCCGACGCCGCGCTCATGATGCAGCTGGGCTGCGACGGCGTGTTCGTCGGTTCGGGTATCTTCAAGTCAGGCGATGCGAAGCAGCGCGCCAAGGCCATCGTCCAGGCCGTCACTCACTACAAGGACCCCAAGGTCCTGGCCGAGGTCAGCGAGGGACTGGGTGAGGCGATGGTTGGCATCAACGTTTCGCAAATGCAGGAGGCCGACAAGCTGGCCAAGCGCGGCTGGTAGATTGCCTCCTTTGGTTTCCGTTTTCCTTTCTTATCCTGTCTTCATTCCATCCATACATTTTATTTTCTGGCGGGCGTTGAGAGAAAAGTTGGTATAGTGTCATCGAGAGAGGCTGCCATTCCTTCCTGTTGATATATTGCATAATGTATACCTTTGACCTAGGCTTCCGGGCTGAGATAGTACATTTGGCTTAGTTTGTGTTATGAGCTACGAGCACATGAAAGACTATTGTGACCATCCAATTCCTTTTTTTGCACCAAGTGATTGAATTCCTCCGAGGTGGCTGTTCTGTCGGTAGCTTACGATAATGAAATGTCACCATTGACCAGACTTGGCATATATCGGACCAACGGGGTGTGTCATGAGTTGAGCGATTTTGAGTAGCTTTTGGATAATTGATATGTAAACACCGGGGTCTAGACTAGCTAGTAGCTCACTAGGTCTACTAGGTTTACTAGCACTGCCGCGTAGCCTCCAGACGCCCCCCCTTCCTAAAGCGGCAAAACCAGCATGGCTCTACAGAGTAGGACGTGGGCGAAGTTTAATTCCGCTCGCATGCTCACTTGACCACGCATCCTTACCTTCCTAGAGCAGCAGAACTGCAGTGGCGGTAGAACCCCCGGCCGTGGACACAGCTAACCCCGAGCAGCCAGGTCCCCCACAGGGCGCAGAGGCATTGGTCTTACGCAACGAAGGTTATTGGCGCGTCCGAAAGTTCGCGCCAAGCGGTCGAACCCACCGTCGAGGCTCGGTGAATGAATTGGCCAGGTGACAGGAGTGGAGTGTCCTCTGCAGTGGCTGCGGTGCTTCTCACTGGCGGCTGGACACCTGCTGAGCCGGAATCGGCGACGCCCTCCCCGCTTCTTCCGGGGATGTTTTCGTTTGCGCCACCCGTTTGGAGGGGCGCCGCGGCACGTGAGCGGTCGGCGGCGAGGGCGTATTTTATCGTACGGACTGTGACGGGCTGGACGATGTACGGATACCCGGGCTTACGGTACCGCCATCCCGAGGTCGTTCCTGCCGTTTTGAAGGTTGACGAGGTTCCTGCCAGATCGACGTCGGAGGGATGGCCTGCGATGGGAAGGAACCACCCGGGGAGACACAGCGGGGTTTATCTTCCGTCGTCGCGAGGGCTGCGCAGTTTCAGCTTTCTTTTCTCCAAGCGATTCGCTCTCGTCTTCATCACTTCCACCGCAATTCTCTTCCATTCCAATCTACCTTCCATACTACTTACTATCCACGGGCACAGCCCAACCTAGTCTTTGCGTGAATGTCTGTCCAGTCTCCTGAATTTCTCTTCATAGAGCATTGGGATAACTGTCAATAGTGTGCCTGTCGGTTTGTTCCGGAGACTTCCCGCCGAAAATAATGGCCTTTCCGAATTTCGTGCCGCAGCTGCAGGCGTGGTACCAGGCACAGGTGCAAGCTCGCCCCGGCCTCATGGCAGTGATCTCGGTGTTTGCAAGCATCCCGCGACGGGTCGCCCTGATCGTCGCCTATCTGTGCATGGAGGTTTTGATGGGGGTGGTCAGCTTGGGTATGCTGGCGGTGGTGGTTGTCCTGGGGCTTTTTCTGGGAGCATTGCTTATTAACGCTGTGGGTGATCGCGAAAATCCATGGGTTGGTTTGGTTCCGGAACCTCGCTCCATTTATCTGGGACGCAATAGTTGCAGTAAAAAGGGATTTGGTAACGGCAGTGGAGGCGTGCATCGTGACACTGCTCGCGGCCACAATCGTCACGGGCACGGGGATATTCAGTCTGGTCCTCTCAACGGTCATGGCGTCCCATCTGGTGGCTAAAACTATCTTTCTGTTTTCTCTGTCGGCCATCTCATGGTGTCTGTGGACGATTCCGGTTTGGTTGCTAACGGTGCTTTGGGCTTGGTGCGTACCTGCACTGCTCTATATCAGGGCGGCGGTGCTGTTCTGTGCGCAGCAAGTGAGGGCGCTCTTGTCTTTTTTCCTGTAGGTGCTGCTGCACGCTTCATGGGGTTGACGAGGGATCGGAACGGTTTCATGTATTCACTATCGAGATGTATCAGATAGACCAACCCCGAGGGGGGCACTAATTTCAATGGTTCTCGGCCCATTCCACCCATCGGCGTATGCAGTCGTCCACGCGTTTGAGCGATGCCTTGTCCGCCGGCACTTCGAACCACTCGCGGTGCTCCTTACCGCAGTCCGGACACTTGCCCAGATCTCGCGCCTTGATATCGCCCAGCTCCAGATGGATCAGTCGCTCCACGCGATGCACGTGCGGCACCTTTCGTCCCGCCTGCAGTCCGGCACTCGAGTGTCGTCCACCCGCGTGTCGAGCCGGCGACGGCGACGGCGACGGCGTGGACGGCGTGTAGGGATAGTACCGAATGAGCGTCAGTTCGTGCGAGCACTGTCGCGACCACTCGTTCAACCGCCGTTGCACGTTATTCGCGCGCCCGATCTTCAGCCGCAACGTCCCCGGACTGTCCCCCGAGGGATTACTCGTCAGCGTATTCAGCTCCCGCGCCGTCTGCAACGCCTCGCTGATCCGGCGCGGGTTCTGATGCCGACCCGACTGCGGCGGCAGCAGCGACGACGCGATATCGCGCGTAGGCGGACCAGACCGCGAGGTCGTCCCGCCGTTCCCATTATTGTCCTCCGTCGGCGTCATCCAGAACATATAGATGTATCCCGGCTCGTCAGCGTCGGAGATCGGCTTCTCCAGCTCGCTCGCCAGCACGGTGGTCGTTTCCTCCGACAGCGCCGTCGGGATCCATTTCATAATCGGATCTTTCCGGCGCGCCGTATCCGGTCGATACACCTGAGCCATCTGCGGCTGAGCCTGAGGCTGGGACTGCGACACGGGTCTCGGCGGCGGCGGCAGGTCCTCTTCATCAATGACCTCGAAACAGCAGCAGATCGTGCGTTTCTTCTGCTTCTTGCGCTGCTTGTAGTGGTGGCGGCGTTTCTTGGCGTCATCATTCGTGCCGTTCAGATCCATCACCCCCAGACGCTCCATGAGCGTGTCGATGCTGCTGCGCGGCTTCATCTGGTATGACGGGTTTGTGGCCGCGGCGACGGCTTCCTGCACCACCTCGGCTTGGTCTTTGTGTTGCCAGCAGAAGAGCGCCGAGGGGTCGGATTTCGCCAGCTTGGCGGGCGGTTCGGTCGAGTTGTTGTTTAAGGGCCGGCGGCAGGGGCGTCCGTTGTTGGTCGTGCCTTTACATGTTGTGGCTGGGTCGAGGGAGTCGGTGCGTGGGAGGAGGGATTCGGGGGTGTTGGCGATATGGGGCATTTTCTTTTCTTTTCTTTAATTTCGAGGTGGAAGGGAGGTCTAGTTAGAGGGAAGGAGAGAGAAAGAAAGAAAGAGAGCAAGAGGAACAGAAAGAGAGGGTCGATATAGATATACTCCTACCGGAAAAAAAGGAGCATACACATGGAAGAATCAATTACAGGAACAGGCCTGAAACGAGCCATGGGAGAAAATCTTTAGATGGATGTGCTAAACATAGTTAATGGCACCGCGTTAAACCCAACCAACGCTAGTCCCCTTCGTCAGGGGTGGATCGAGACCCACTTCTAAGGCGTATCGTGGAAATGGGCGCTTTCGATTTCATTCATCGACGCCTGAGTTGACGATGCACCGCCTCCGTGGCTGGTGGACGCTGCAGCTTGCCTCGACCCACTTGGCGTCGAGCAACAATCACCGAGTCACAAGTGGCACTGGCATCGCTGGAGGTAAGGGCGTGGGAGGGGACCTCGTCATAAGGCAGAGAGTTGGGTGGTCATCGTCATCCGATAGGGCTTTACGCTGGACCGAGTAGGTTGGCGCTACTCAGCTTCACTTTGGACGGGGACTTTAGTCAGATCGGCTTTGTTGTTTGGGCCTTTTTGTGCGTGGATTACTGCGAGCGAATCAAATGCAGTGATTGCGTGCATATTTCTCTCTTCTCTTTCTCTGGTCTGGTCTTGTCTGAGCTATTCCTTTTTTTTTCTTTCTTTTTTGTTGTTCCATAATTATTTATTTTTGCTTCACTTGTTTCGCTGTACCTTGTCACCCTTTGGCCAAAATTCTTCCGTTGTATCCAGTCCTACCCAATGTAATCGAATCCGGCTCCGCGGCTTTTCATCCAGAAAGTACGCACCAACTGTCCCGTTTGCGCCTTGGCCCCTCGAGCAGCGAGCAGCGACGCAAGGAAGCGCTGCCGCTCCTGATGAACGGTGGCCACGTCCGGGGCGGGGCCCGAGACCATGGCATTCTCGGTTCCCAGGTCAGACAGGGCCGTAGCTAGATGGGGGCGGGCGTGGCCCTGGTGCTTGAAGATCAGCCGTCTCAGCACCTCGCAGAGATGCTCCAGATCGGATCGCGCACATCGCCCGGCTACCTGCACGATGAGAATGCGACAGAGCGCGGGAAGACTGTCGCGAATGCCGACTTGAACGGACTCGACTTCCGTGGGGAGATTGATGACGCTGACCCAGAACTGGGAGGCCGACCGCAGGGGGAGCGGGTCTGGCCCTTGCAACGAGAGAAGCGTGAAGTTCAAGATCGCCTGAAGAACCGGGGGCCGCTGTACCTGGCCGTTTCCTAGGGCGGCGTCGGTGGGACTGGGCTCCGGGGGCGTGCTGGTCAGCGCGAACAGGTAGGGATGGTACCGAGGGAGGAGGCGGGTCAGGAAGTCCATGCCGCTGTTGGCCACCTCGGGGTCATAAAACTCCGGGTTTTCATGCATCCAGCAGAATGCGCCGTAGACGTGTACAATCAACGCGACCGCCTCGTCGCGAACGTGCTCTGGGTGTGCGCTATGGGATGCGAGGAAGGCCGAGGCGGTGCCCATCACCATGTCCGTGCCGGCGCTGCCGGAGGGGATGCTTTTGACGAAGCTGACCGTCATCATTGGCGGGAAGACGTACGGGCCCGTTCTCTCCGTGTAACCGGCCTTGAGGATGTCGCATGCCGCTTCGATGATGGCCACGTCCAATGGGAAGTCGGTCATGAGGAGCTGCAGACACTGCATGATTAGGTTCTGCGATGCAGCGCCGTTACCCGCATTCCAAAAAGTCGGCGGATAGGGGTTGCTATCTTCGCCGGATCCGCCGTCTATGGTAACCTCGTTCTCCGTCCGGAGACCCCGGCCGATACTGGCCACGCATCGCAGCACCATATGAGCCAGGTAGCGGGCAGGATCAACCAGGCCGCGTGCGGCTTCATCCCGTGCGAGCATCGCTTGTTCGTGGAAGGATTTCAGGATTCCTTCGAGTATGTGTGCTTTCTCCTCATCGCTCGGCAAGGTCTGCACGATCGCTGCGATTCCCTCGAGCACTTTCTCCATAGTCGAGGTCGTAGCCGTAGGCTTCATGCGGAATTGCTCGAACTGGGCCATGAATGCGGGCAGCTCGAAGGTGAGAGCGCTGCGGCAGAATTTGCAGAGGTAGGAGATAGATCGGGACGCTGTAGAGGCGCACGAGGCTACCTTAAGCGATGCGAACAGGAATGTCAAGACCTGGGGGAGTAAAACGTGGGTGCGTTCAAAGTATGACTGGTATTTTCCAAACATGTCTACCAAGGTCTGGCGGGCCTTGTCCGGGATCTGTCCCTCGTTGCTCTCACACAGCCGCGCGAACTCGTCACTGAAGAAAATCGAATTCAGACATTGGTCGGCATGCTGGTTTTCATCCACAGCCTCGGAAAGCTGCGCAATGCAGAAGATGGCCGCTTCGAAAGTGGTCCATTTCTCCTGCGCCAGGGACGATTTGGCGCGCTCCTGGAACACCTGGACCAACTCCACCCCCAACATGGGATAGATGGCCAAGAGGAAATCGCAAACATCACGGCGGAAGGATCCAAATTCGGCACGGTCGTCATCGCTCCATTCCCGCAACTCGTATGGTTCCGGCCAGTGCAGCTTCGTGAAACAGTCCGTAGCCGCGCGCGCTAGGTTCTGTTTGGCAAACTCGAATCCAGACTGGTCCTCGGCATCGAGCAGAATTTCCTGGAGATCGTCTGCAACTTCCGTCCACCATTCCACCAGCAGTGGGCTGGCCGCATCTTCAATTGCTGCGTGTCCGGACGCCTGGAACACGGCGTGGAGTAATTCCAACAGCCGTGCGTGTTGTGGATCAATGGATTGCCTTAGCAAATCCCTTTGCTTGAGTGATGCATAGCCTAGCAAAAGCTCGAGATATGTCATATTTTCATCATCAAAGTCGCCGTCTAATAGTCCCATCACATGCGTGCCACCAGCCTCGTTAACGAGGTACTCCAGGATCGAGTCCAGATGGGATGGGCTGAATGTATTATCTCGCCAATCCAAGAGTTCAACCAGGACCTGCCCTGCGGTCTTGGAGAAACTGGGGACGTTCAAGGTCTGGACCACGTAGGTTGTTGTGGTGTCAAGCTGCGAGCTGGGTCCGGTGTCGCGCTGGAATACACTTCGGACAGACATCCATGACTGTGATGTGGGGTTAGATTTAAATTTCAAAAGACAATAGATAGGATAAAGATTCAAGAAAGGGTCCGATCCCACTTACGTGATATGCATTGACAATCTCAGGTCCGGGGCCTTCACCCGGGATAGTGTTACCACTGGCCTGCTTCTGCAGGACATTGTGAAGAGCAAAGTTGACGAGTGAAAGCGCATCCTCAACATTCTGCGAGATGCGATCACTGTCTCCAGGTTGGCGTGACTCCGATGATCTGTTTATTTCTTCGGCAAGGGTGTTGGAGAAATGAAACAGACTGGCTACAAATCGTTCGGGCATAGCCGGAAGGATGGCGGTTTGTAAATCGAAAGACTCGCACTGCTGTTCCGGGACGTACTTGCCATTGGCTAAAGAGGCCGCCAGACTCTTGATCGCACGAGTCCACGGGGCGTTGGGCTTCAGAAAGATCGTGGACAGACTCGAAGCCAGCTTGCGAATGACCATCGCCTGCTCGCCTCCATTGACCAGGAACACATAGTGATCGATGAGACGGGCGAGGAGTTCCTGGACCTCACCTTCCTTTAGCTGCTGCCTGTACCAGACTCGTTAGCATACGTCAAGCTTCCATAGCCGCTGCATGGTCCGGTAGGCATACCAGTCCTGATTGATCTTGACCGTAAACGTCAAAGCGCCGAAGAATCTCAAATCCGTGGCCTGATGACCAAGGAGATAATTGGCGATCAGCCATGCATGGGGGCTCTTCTGCAAGGCCTGGAGTTGCTCATTAATGGCCTTGATCTTCGCCGGGTCGCCCGTGTTGGCGGGATGGTAGAGCTCGGAGACCAGCTGGGAGACTATTTAGAGACTGTGGAGACCGAGATTTCTCCCGACGATGTGGGGACCAACTCACTGTCTTGGCCTCATCAAGGAGAGGCTGCACTTGTGAGCCTTGGCCAGGGACGTCCATTGAGGCCGAATTGGCGCCGGGAGCAGAAAAGGATAAGTATAGACGGCGGGACTGTAAAGGGGTGTCACGTGCTGATACCGCTATCACGGAAGCGTCAGGCGGTGAGGCGGGGGGATGGAGGGGGATGGAATCAAATCATCCGAGAGACGGACGGAGCGACGGAGTGAAGGACAAGACGACATTCACCGCGTGTGACAAGTCAGATCCGGTCGGGCAGGGAGGGGCACCTGTCCATTTTTATGCGCAACCACTGTCTCCTGCTGCCATTCATCTGTCAGTCTAGTAGTCTCGGAGTCCAGGTGCAGTGAATTCAACCGCATGAAGCTGCCTGAGGGGGCCTAAATAATCCCCATTAATGACGGAATCCCCGGCGGGTCACGGGGTTGTCACGGTGTATTCTCGTACCATGCATACTGTAACAGACTGTCACCTCCCATATAAACTGACCGCCAATACCTACCTGGTACCATACCCATACCGTCTCCCACCGGCCGACCTGCCCAAAGCTCCCTCCGCCGTCTCTTGTTGGCCGCGTCTCTCCACGTCTGCCACCTCAACCCTGCACACGGCCTCTTTCTCCCTCCTGCCAAAGTTGCAGATATAACTGGCCTGCTTTCCATTTGCTAGTCTGGGTCTTTGTCCGCCTTCTTTTTCTTCTTTCTCTTCCCTCCCTTGTGTAACCTCCCGGAGGCTTGTGCTTGCAGGCCTCATCTTCGGGAGACCATTCATCGGACACCCGCATCCTTTCCTGGTCCAAACTCGCCTGTCGATGCTCCTTTCCCACCCTCCAATTCGCCTTTGTTGGTCGTCAACCTTCCGATCGGTTCGCCAATTATCTTTCGCCCGCCCCAGGTTCTTTTCCACCTCCGTCCCGCGCTACTCCGTCGAGATGGGGACCGTCAACACCTCCGAACGCCTGGCCAAACTGCGACAGTTGATGCAGGAGCACCAGGTCGATGTATACAGTATGACATCATATGACCCCCCGCCCTACTGTTGCAATGATGAAGGTCGCATCCTAACCGTTTCCAAAAGTCGTGCCCTCAGAAGATAGCCACCAGTCGGAATACATCGCCCCATGTGACGGTCGTCGAGGTTAGAATGTCGCCCTTGATTCTCGCGCCTGTTTGATGCCACGATTCCAAGACAAGTGTCCGCAGTCACCGTTATAACTCAAACCTCTCTCTGCAGAATTCATCTCCGGCTTCTCCGGATCCGCAGGCACTGCTATTGTCTCTCTGACCAAGGCTGCCCTGTCGACCGATGGTCGCTACTTCAATCAGGCTGCGAAGCAGCTGGACAGCAACTGGGAGCTCCTCAAGCGGGGTGTGGAGGGTGTTCCCACCTGGCAGGAATGGTATGCAATGCGCGACGGAGTGATCCGAAGGTCATGAACTGACTGTTATCCAGGACTACCGAGCAAGCCGACGGCGGCAAAGTCGTTGGTGTTGACCCGGCTCTCTTCACCCCATGTAGGTTGACCCAATCTTCTGCCGGCGGTTGGAGACGCTAACACAACCTATAGCCGGCGCTCGCAGCCTCTCCGAAACCCTCAAGAAGAGCGGCTCATCGCTGGTGGGCGTTCAGCAGAACCTGGTTGATCTGGTTTGGGGCAAGGACCGACCTGCCGCCCCAAGGGAGCTAGTCAAGGTACACCCGGAGAAATATGCGGGCAAGAGCTTCCAAGAGAAGATTGGCGAGCTGCGCAAGGAGTTAGAGACCAAGAAGTACGCCGGATTCGTGATTTGTACTGTGTCCCGATCCTTTTCGAATGGCTGTGGTGACTAATGATGCGAATGAACAGCGATGCTCGATGAAATTGCGTGGTTGTTCAACCTGCGTGGCACCGAGTAGGTCCAGCTTCGGTCTTGATGTTTTGCTTTGTTCCATTTGTTGCTAACTGGTTAAATTTCAGCATCCCCTACAACCCCGTCTTCTTCTCATACGCCATCATCACGCCCACAACGGTCGATCTTTATGTCGATGAGGATAAACTGACTCCGGAGGTCAAAGCTCACCTTGGCCAAGATGTCACCATTAAACCGTATGGCTCCATCTTCGCCGATGTCAAGGCAATCAGCGAGGCGCGCAAGCAAGAAACGCAACCGTCGAAGTTCCTTTTGTCGAACAAGGCTTCTTGGGCTCTCAGTCTTAGTCTGGGAGGCGAAGATCATGTTGAGGAGGCTCGTAGCCCAATTGGCGATGCCAAGGCCATCAAAAACGACGTGGAACTCGCGGGCATGCGCGCGTGCCATATCCGGGATGGGGCTGCGCTGACCGAATACTTCGCTTGGCTTGAGAACGAACTGGTCAACAAGAAGACTACTCTGGATGAAGTGGATGCTGCCGACAAATTGGAGCAGATCCGATCCAAGCACGATCGTTTCGCCGGTCTTTCTTTCGACACCATCTCGTCTACCGGCCCGAACGGCGCTGTTATCCACTACAAGCCTGAGAAGGGAAGCTGCGCCATCATTGACCCAAAGGCAATCTACCTCTGTGACTCGGGCGCTCAGTATCTGGACGGAACGACGGACGTGACGAGAACATTCCATTTCGGACAGCCTTCCGAGCTCGAGAAGAAGGCTTTCACTTTGGTTCTGAAGGGTGTCATCGCCCTGGATTCCGCCGTCTTCCCTAAGGGCACCAGTGGATTTGCGCTGGATGTTTTGGCGAGACAGCACCTGTGGAAGGAAGGTCTGGACTACCTGCACGGAACCGGTCACGGCATTGGCTCCTATCTGGTGAGTATTGAACCTGCCTTCGACGAGGCTCAAGCGCCGGCTAACTGTGCTTGTAGAATGTGCACGAGGGACCTATGGGCATCGGCACTCGCGTTCAGTACACGGAGGTTCCGATTGCTCCTGGCAATGTCATCTCGGATGGTACGGTGCATCGATTCGGGGCTGAGAGGGTCGTTTGCTAACTTCTATAGAACCCGGATTCTACGAGGACGGCAAATTTGGCATCCGTATCGAGAGTAAGGTCCCTTCCCCCGAGCAACAAGAGCTGCTTAACTCAAAATGATTTACAGACGTTATCATGGCTCGTGAGGTCCAAACGACGCATAACTTCGGCGATCGCCCGTGGCTGGGCTTTGAGCATGTCACCATGACTCCCGTGGGTCGCAACCTGATCGAGCCCTCTCTCCTCAGTGACTCCGAGATCAAATGGGTCAATGACTACCACGCCGAGATTTGGGAGAAAACCCACCACTTCTTCGAGAACGATGCGTACACGCGCCAGTGGCTCGAGCGCGAGACGCAGCCCATCTCGAAATAAGCGCTGTCTTGGTAGAACGCGCCTCGTGCGCTCGTAGTATTCTTCGTGCAGTCTGGAACCTGCTTGGGTCAGGAGCAGACGAGCCCCTTTTAATTAGTATTAGGAATAGAGTTCACGCAATCTAACATGGGGTCGATTCTCCCCCGTCAAGCCCTACTCTAGAGTTGTAGTTCGGAGGTGTCGGCATTCAGCGTTGCGGAACGTGGCTGGTTGCTTGTGTGGAGAAGCGCCAGCCGCCTTCCACCTGCGATCGTTGCTCCTTTCTGTTTCGGCTTTCTACCTCATACATCTTACGGCCCCCGGTCGCTGTCGAGCCATTCCACCTTCTCACCCGCTTTTGTTGCCTGGTAAACTGATCATGGTCGCATCATCTCCTTCCTGATCTTATTGCGCCAGCGCCTGAACACCGAACCTTGATCTCGCGACCTGACACGCCGATCTTCGATATTTGATCCCCCGCTATTCCCCTTCCCTCCGGAAACCTTCGCAATCAGATCTGATTTGTTTCGCATAAGACCGACCGGAATCAGCAATCTGGTATGAGTGGCAGAAGCGGCTACGCCAACGGATACGGCTACTCCGACTCCAGCCGATACGATCGCCCCGATGGAGGGTACGGTAGCGGTAGCAGCAATAGCAACCTGGGGGTAAACGGCTACGGAGCCGGAGGAGGAGGAGGAGGAGGAGGAGGAAGTCGAGACCGTCGCCCCGGTGGCTACGGTGGCTTTTACCCTGAGGCTTCGCAACAGTCTCTGCCTCCGTCCCAGTCCCCCGACCGACGCCGCGATCGATGGGAGCGAGAGCACGAATACTCGTCCTCGTCGCGCTCCCGCACACGAGACCGAGAGGTGGAATCCGAGAGGCGATTGCAGACTTCGCGCGATGGGCGGTCACAAGGAGAGGCTAGCTGGCTGGCCAACAGCAGTAGTAGCGGAGAGAGGGAGAGGGGGAGAGATCGAGATATGAGCAATTCGGCGCCAGGGCCCCATGCTACTGATGGTTTGGCTCCCTGCTACCTGGCATCTTCCTATCTTCATGCTGTGTGACCCGCGAGCACTTATGCTGACCATTTGGTGTCTGCTCAGGTGTCTTACAGTCGATTCACAGCGAATGGGCATTTGTGGCCTCCGATGATTGCGTACCGGCGCAAGTGGCTTTGCAGTTGATGGACACCAGCACGCTAGGAAAGGCTGATCGCGAGCCGGATTTCTTGAATATACACGATCAGATCCAGAAGACGTTGAAGTCCGTTGTCAATGGTTCGTTCTCGTAGTTGCACCGTTGTTGTTCCTCCATTGCTAAAGAGATACGTTGTCAGAACACCACCAGGGATTTAACAGTTCTATCGGTACCTACCATAAGATTCAATCGAGCATCCAGAGTTCACAGGGCCGCGTCCGGAATCTGAAGAATGCACTAGAGCAGGCAAAAGGCGGGTTGCTAGCGACCAAGCCCGAGCTCAAGGGCCTGGCGACATCCTCCCAGAAGTACGATGATATTATCCAGCTGTTCAGTCAGATCCAGGAAATCCAGTCCCTTCCCGAGAAATTGGAATCCTTGATATCGGACAAGCGATTTCTTGCAGCGGTCGAAGTACTTCACAATGCGTTCCGACTACTCCGGCGTTCCGACTTGGACAACATCGGTGCTCTGGCGGACATCCGTGCCTATTTCACCAACCAGGAGACGTCGATTACCGATATTCTCGTAGAGGAATTGCACGATCATCTATATCTCAAGTCTCCCTACTGCTCGGGTCGATGGAAACAGCCTACAGCTGAAGGAGAAGGCAGCAATGGGACCCCTGCCAGCTTGACTGGAGCGAATACCTGGGAGAGGCCTGTGTATGGGTTCCTTGCGAAGCTGGATGCCTCCACGCCCATGGTGGAAGATGCCTCGAGGAACCCGGAAGCCGACACCTTTTACTATATCCAGTTGCTGGTGGAGGCACTCAACAAGATGGGCCATCTGGATATAGCTGTCGATCGAATCGAACAGCGCCTCCCCGTTGAACTGTTCTCCGTGGTTGACAAAACAAACGCTGAGATTGATACACGCTACCCGAACCCAACCCGCGGCTTTGCATCTCAAGACAACAAGAACGCCTTGCCCACCGAGGTTATTGAGAAGCGCGGGCATGTCTTATCCGAATACCTGTGGGCGTTATATGCCAAATTTGAATCCATCGCCGAGGGTCACCGCGTCGTCCACGATGTCATTGCGGCTATCGTAGAACGTGAGGGGATTCCTAAGAGCAGCTCTCTCGTGGGTGGCTTCAAAGAGTTGTGGAAGCTCTACCAGAGCGAGGTAAGCTGTCAAGCATCGCGATAGTAAAGAAGATTCCTTTATCTGATATTTTTCGACCAGATTCGATCTATCATGCACGACTACCTGGCCACCGACGGAGTGTCGTTGCGACAAGGGGCTGAAGAGGCCGATGCCCGGCGCCAATTTTACTCGGGCATTAGAGACAAAAATAAGGTGATTGAGATCTGGTGCATGAATCAGTGCAATGCCATTGCTAACTACATCTAGAAAATGTTCAAATTGTCCGAGGCGGACCGAACAACGGAAATCCAGGCCGAACAGGATGAACTGGACGAAATCCTTCGAACGTCGGTCCCTGGACTGGTGTCCAAATCACGACAGAAATCCTCTGCGGAGACTGCATCTGATCGCAAGCAAGGGAACTCGGGTACCGGTCATAAGATTCTTCTAGAGCCGAGTGTGTTCAACATGAGTCTCCTTCTCCCACCCTCACTCTCTTTCATCCAGCGGTTGAAAGAAATCGTTCCCGTGGAGTCGGACATTGCTATGAGCACGTTGACTTCGTTTTTGGACGACTTTCTTGTCAATGTTTTCCTTCCCCAGCTGGATGAAACTGTGACCGATCTATGTACCCTCAGCTATATTGCACCGGACGCATTCACCGAGGATTCTCACTGGTCGGCCGTCTCACCACGGCCTCTGTTCAAGGTAATGAATCAGCTGTTCTGTATATGCCATTGACTAACCCGTCGTCGTTGTAGGGAACGGTCCAATTTATGTCTACCATCAGAGAGTTCAGTAAAATGCTTTCGAGTATCCCTCATGACCAGGCATTCTCCCAACTTCTTATCACACAGATAGTGACCTATTATGACAAGTGCTGTGGATGGTATAAAGGTGAGCAACCACGAAAACTTGATGTTCTGCTGCTCTTCACTAACAACACCGGTAAAGCTATTGTTACAAAGGTCACATCTCGCACTAACGCTGGGCCTCGACTCAAGGCGGCAGCTCAGTTCGCCGAATCCGGGGAACTGCATGACTTGGTCAGTGGATTGTGGAAAGCGGAAACAGACGAAAAGCCAGCACTTATCGACAAGGTAACTTACCCCTGCTTATGTGCACCAGCCTCCGAAACCCAGCTGACCTTCTTAGGAAACGAGGATTCTCCTCAAGCGCACCAATGACGTGCCATTAGAGCCATACGATATCGTTTCCGACCCTAAGACGGTCGCCGCTCTGTCACTTCTTTACAATAGCATGGTCAGTGTTCTTACTACAACCCTCCCGGCATCGGCCTAACATCGCACAGCAATGGCTTGCAAGCCACCTCGGGAAATTGCGTCAAATCACCCAGCCTAGCTCCGAGCCGCAGAAGTCACAAGCGGAGAGAGGACCGACGAACCGCCGGTGGACTTTAGTCAGTGCGATGAAACCCAGGCGGGATAGTGTCTCTCAGCCAGTCTATCTCCCGCTCAATTCAGAAACAGCCACTGCCTTCGACACAACCCTTCAATCTCTGCGAGATCTCTCGATGACCGCTCTCTTTGCCTTGCACATTGACATTCGGTGCGGTGTCATCCACATGCTGACCCGAACGATGGCTGGGCCCAATCCTCACAACCCTCACAACTCCGAGCCTGCGACGCCTTCTCCCAACACCACGATCGACTGGTGGCACATTGTCAACAACCAGCCAACGGCCGCATCTCCCACCGTTCTAGAGCTGAACAATGACTTGATTGCATTTGACACAAATATCTCAACGTACTTGGGATCTTCGGAGCGTTGGTTCATTACATCGGGTCTGGCCCGGTTCATCGACCAAACCTTTGTGTCTCGAACCCACCTTATCGGTGCCATGAATGAGAACGGTGCCCTGCGGTTACAACTGGATGTTCTTGTCCTGCAGCAGAACCTGAAGAATGTCATCGTTGCACCGAGCGTCGAGCTGGTTGAGAATGGAAACGCTTCCGAGGAAGAATTGGCCGCTCATGACGAGACTGTCGCACTTCCACGTAGTGCCAAGTTCCTTGACTGGTTCCTGGAAGGCGCCGAAAAGGCCCTTGACTATGCGAAGGAAGAAAAGGAGTACTTTGCGGCTAAAGGCGACCAAGCGCTGGCTGCAGGTAACGGAGAACCGTTTACGTACGAGGAACTTAAGATCCTCATCGATCTCTCCTTCTCGGATGTCCTCCTAGGACCCAGAGGAGCCGAGAACCGGGAAGATTTCATGTTTGCGAAGAAAGCCAGCGCAGACGCACTTCTGCGGTTGAATGAAATTATGTGGGATTCCAAGTAAAGGGCGATTTGGAAGGACATGAAGCTCGTGATTATGTTTTATACTCAATGAACCATTTGGCCCCCTGGATTCGACTCCGATCGGCTTCAGAGATTTAGCGCCACCACCGGTTATACATATTTAATGCAGACCTCAATAGACGAAAACCAGCCTAGAGTGAAAAGGTCACTGCGACTAGCGCATCGCCGCATCGTTCGATAACTGATGATTGCTTTATCCAGCCTGCGAAGACGGGCTAATACAGGCCCCATCGACGTCCACCCTAGATTATACATGATTGATCAGACCCTTAAAGGTCACAAATGACCAGTCTCTCCTTCGTGAGCACAAATGAGCGATTTCTCTGGATTCCGGTGCAGCGTCCAGGGGTCCCCGGGCTACTTCATTTCCACCGCAGGATCTGATTGCTTGCAGTGGGTCCAGGATTGTGTAGTTTAATTTCCCAACGCTCATGGCTAAGCCTGCGGAAGCCATCGGACGACCCATTTATCGAGATCCCGCGCCAGCAACGACGGGGCAATTCCAACGGATTTCGCTCTTTGGGCCGTGGCCTTGACCGGCCTGATCCACGCCCGGCGTTTCGGATTAACATCTCATTTCGCTAGTCGGCGATAGAGCCCAAACCAGTGGCCACCACGCTGCAATTAGGGCTTACGGTTCATTAAAACAATGGCGCTAGTGGTCTTGTTTTCGTGGATGGTTCATTTGCCCGTATATTGCGGGCGTCAGGCGGTTCGTGCCTGGTCTGGTCCGATGGCCACCGGAGGCAACGATTTATTTCCTGTCGCTCTTATATTCTCCTTTCTCGTTCGTCCCTGCTTTGTTCCTTTCTTCGTCTCTCCTTACACTCCTTGTCTGGAACAGCAGATCTATTCGTCCTGGGATTTGATATCCAGGTGTCCATTCATTACATTTCTATTCTTGTGCTTATTGCACGTCCTGTCCTTTTTGGTCCACCTGCTTGCAGATTCACTCCTTTACGACAACAGACCGTTCATCTTCTACATACTCAACCATGAAGTACCAGTCTCTCGTCTCTCTGGGCCTTGCTGCCCTCGGCACGACCTCGGTGTCGGCTAGCCCTCTTTTCCACCACAGGGACAATGGCCAGTGCCCTCCCGGCTACTCGCCCAGTGTCTACTACATCACCGTCACCGCGGAAGCCACTCCTACATCGACCTCGTCCGTTGAGCTGACCACGACGGTCTCTTCCTCTTCGTCGACAACCTCGACCTCGGAGACGACGGTCAGCACTACGCAGACCCCAATCCAGCCGACCTACCACACATTGGTTGAAATCCCTCCCCCAGTCACCACGGAGGCACCCGTCACCACCCAGGCCGAGGCTGCCCCTGTCGAGACCACCACTCCTGCAGAGCCCTCGACCACATCTAGCGCCGTTGAGCAGCAGCCGACGGTCGTCGTCGTGTCGTCCGAGGCCCCCGCTGCTCCTGCTCCTTCCACCACTGAGGCCGAGGCCCCGGTGGTCGCTGTCCCTACCACCACGCAGGCCGCTAAGCCTGCCGCTACCACTGCCGCTTCTTCTAGCTCCAGCTCCAACTCGAACTCCAATGCTGGCTCTAGCTCCTCGTCCTCGTCCTCGTCTTCATCCGGCTCCTCGGGCGCGGTCAACTCCGGCAAAGCCACCTTCTACGGCGGCAACGTCTCCGGCGGAGCATGCTCCTTCACCGGCTACACCATCCCCAGCAGCCTTTTCGGCACTGCCCTGTCCCAAGCCCGCTGGAACGACGCCTCGTCGTGTGGTGCCTGCGTGTCCGTCAAGGGTCCCGACGGAAACAACGTCAAGGCCATGGTATTTCCCTCCCCTTCTCCTTCAACCCCACGACGTAAACTAACCTAACGGCCTAGATCGTCGACAAATGCCCCGAATGTGAATCCAACCACCTCGACCTCTTCGAGACCGCCTTCTCCGAGCTCGCCAGCACCTCCGAAGGCATCATCCCCATCGACTGGTCCTTCGTGCCCTGCGGCATCGACTCCCCGATCACCCTGAAGAACAAGGAGGGCACCTCCGCCTACTGGTTCTCCATGCAGGTCGTCAACGCTAACGAGCCCGTCTCCTCCCTGGAGGTCAGCACCGACGGCGGCAGCACCTGGCAGGAGACCACCCGCAGCGACTACAACTTCTTCGAGAACGAGAGCGGGTTCGGAGCCGAGACCGTCGACGTGCGCGTGACCAGCCAGTCCGGTGGAAAGATCCACGTCAAGAATGTCGGCTGTTCGTCTGGCACCGAGAAGGAGGCGACTAGCAACTTCTAAGCGCACTCCTCTCTCTCTCTCTCTCGATCTTGATCAAGTGGGATTGAGATCCAAAAGCCAAGACAATCGAGATTAAGTGGGTGTGGGTTTTTTTTCTTGGGGTGAGATTTGGTGGGGACTTCTATGGTCCCTGCGCTGCGCGGTTTGGTGTGGTTCGATTTTTATTCTTTTTTTTTCTCTTCTCTTCTCGGACTTCTTTAACACTCGATTCTTTATTATTCTGATTCTTTGAGCGGTCCGTCCTGCTCGTTACGTTCGATATGCCGATGATGTGGCTTCCTTGCGCCTGATGACGCGCGCTTTCATTGTCCATTTACTTCCATGTTTTTACACTTCTCTGTACATACTTTGTTTGGCCTTTGCCTACTCACCCACCCACGTGCTATTCATCAAAAGCATTCAATGGAACGGTTTGACCCAGCGCTGCTCTTGCAGCATATCTGGACACAATATTCACCTTGCAAGCCCCTGCACATTACAGGGAGATAGAGCTACACGGATGGTAGAGCTACACCTACAAGCAATGGATAATTCGAATTTAACTTGCATTCCCGATAACGCGCCGCGATATCGCAGGCTTTAGCCTCCGGATCAATCAACCCAGCCGTAGTTTCGCCAGCCCATCCGTGAAAAGAGAATAAAAAGGAAAGATAAAAGATAACGTACAGACAGAATCAAAGTGGAAAGTGGGGGATGAACAGAGATGGAAAGAGAGGAACAGAAAACCGACCCCAGGCTAAAAGAAAAAAAGAAAAAAAAAAAAAAAAGATTAAGATGGCCCACCATGGGAACATGCATCAGATCATGCTGGGCGGAAAGATAAACTGTATCTTCGAAGAGACGAAACATCAAATGAGAAACCGAGGTGGCAACGCAGCACGATCAAACGAAATCTGGTCGAGGAGGGGGAGGTTATTTGGAGACAAAAGAGAATAAAAGACAACTGAAGGAGCACCACCGGGACTCTCAGCCTCCCGAGATAAACAAATCGTAGCGCATGTAGGACCGTAAAGCGGAAAACACACCGCAAAGAAGAGAGGGTATTTGGAAACAAGTGTCATGCGAACCAGCCATTAGACCTGGCCCTGGTCGACTTCAAGAGGGTCGAGTTCCTTCGATTCCTCGTAGTCGTCAAACTCCAGGCCGGCATCGCGACAGCGTTGCAGCCACTTCGTTGCGATATCGCCACGACGGTTCACTTCCACCTTCAGCTTCGAATTCTGCGAGCTGATCTCGTTGATGGCATGGCTGGTAGTCATGTTGTTCTGCTCCCATCTCTCACTCATGGCCTTCTTCTCGTCGTGCAGCTGACAGATGTACTCGATGGCACGCTGCAGAATCGCGCCCTTGTTCTTGTCACAATTGGGGACCAGGCGGGCAATCTGATTGATGCCCTCGTTGATCGCCTCACGACGTCTACGTTCCACTACAAAGACCACGTTAGCGAACATCAGGATGCCGAGGTGTCTGAAGGGACTGCCGTACCTTCTTTGTGGTTGTTCTTGCGGATCTGGTGCCACTCCGGAGAGCCCACCGACGGTTTCTGATTCATGCTCTGGGCTTCGCGCGCGGCATAGACCGCGGCAGCGGTGGAATTGTGGCCATGGGTGGAGCCAATGGGCTGGCCCATGTCATCGCCGAAGGTCAGACCGTGGGTAAGGTTGTTGTCGAAGGGCGTGTCGGGGGGAGGGGGGTATTTGTTTTGAGGGGTGTGGGCGGCCAGCGCAGCCTTCGCGGTCAGAGCGTTGTCATCCGAGATGCCGTTTTGAGGACCGACATGCTGCAGGATCTGCTGGTCGATGTTGAGTTCTGAAGCTGCGTTGGGGAGGCCATGGTGGTCGTAGGAACCGAGCGAGCTATGGGCAAAGTTGGTCTGAGCATCGGGACCAGGGATGCTGCCGTTGCTGCCGTTGGAAGAACGGTTCAGGCGCTGGGCATCCGGACCAGTGCTGTCAGTGCTGTCGCGCTTGCGTTTGTTAGGGACGTTGCCGTCCGAACCACCGAGTGAAGGATCAGACATCATGCAGGCAGCCGTAGGACGGTCTCCTGAAGCAAGTCATGCTCGTTAGCAGGCGTTCGTCACGTCGGATTATGACAATTTCACCTACCCAGTCAACAATGCACGACCCCGCAATATTTAGTAGAATTCTAAGAATTCAAGGAGGCAGTCGTCAAGGGCCCTTAAAGAGTTATTAATGTCAGTGGTTGTCTTGGAAGCACGACTGCGATTCTGGCGATGAAACGCGGTGTCATAACATTCAGTGACGGGGATGGGTTAGTGAAGAGAAGACTCGAGAAAAATGATAGCAAGCATGAAGCGTCAAAATCAGTCACGTGAAGATGACAGCAGTCACTGGCGCCAGAAATATGTGAATATTGATGGATGCATCGGTCGCAGGCGAGCGGTGGTGAGTGTTCAGGGACGCGTTTGGCTGACGCGCTCATCTCCGCACCACAACATCATGCGGTTCTTGGGAGACCTGTCCAACAGCAGCCGACCGATCGCCGCGAGAAGAAGCTACGGAACACCCATGCACAGCTGGGGACAGAGGGTAGAAATCACAGGGGGGCACGCTCTGCATCCCGATAAGCCCTGAGGCGACATCGGAAACGCGTCATGGCGGATTTGCGACCGGCGTGAAGCGCGTGAACAGCAGCATCGTGAACAGAGGCCACCCCGTCACAGCCCGGATGGCGGCGGACGACAGGCAGCCGGACCGGCCAGGAGCATCACGGAGGGCGGGATTGGGAGATGCTGAGGGCGACGGGGGCCGTTGGGGAAGGAAGCAGCATCCGGCGAGGGCAGCAAGGAAAGACGAAGGGGAGAGAAGGGCACTTACTGTTCCTTGGGATGGGCAGTCTATCACCTGACAGCAAGTCACCTGCCACGGGAAACAACAAGATGGAGGAATCGCGACTCGACCGGGCGAGAGCGAGAACGAAGATGCACCGCGAAAGAAATGGGGTGGAATGCAGAGGGCCAATTCAGCAGACACGAGCCGGCTGGATTTGCAGACGAGCAAAAGGCCGTGGCAGATAATACAATGGAAAGAAGGGATACCCCGAGGGAAGTAGAGTAGAGAGAGCGAGTCGAGTAGAGAGGGCGCTCACGTGGCGAAGGTCTGACTGGCCCGCGAAGAGGAGGTTTCCGTGCCTGCGGTGGACGGCAGCAGCCGGTCGCGCACTTCGGGGTCACCTGATGGCACGTCCCGCGAGGCTCCCGATGAGCCTTGGAGCACGAACAGAAAACACTGCACAGAAATGCAGGACACGCACGGTACTCGCCCCCCTCGGCGCCCCCTTATCAACCACTCGCCTGTCGTGCCCTCCGCCCTCCTTCTTCGTCGTCTCCATGTCATGTGCTGCAGTCCCGTGCCCCCTCGTCAGCCAAGGGCACGCTGCCGCCCCCTGATTGGCTGCCGGCCCGGAGGAGGGGTTGACCCGGGATCACGTGGTGGGCGCCTGCCCTTTCCCCTTCTCGTTCGCTCGCGTTTCCCCTCTCCCGTACACTCGCCGTCGTGCCATTCACCATCTCGCCCTCTGTGGTCGCAGTCCTGCAGAATCCCCTTCATTGGAGCACAATCAACCGTCTGAAAGCTGCTCATCCCGGTCGGCCCGACCCTCCTTGGGTTCCTGCTGGGTTGCACGGTCCATGTCCCATCGTGAATAGTACCGGCCGATCCCTCTGCCTAGTCCACCGTTGCATTGGATGCTCCCTGATCTGCCCGTCCATAGTCCATACGGCTTGCTTCCTGCTGCTCACAGGATGCCATAGAGGGTGGGCACGGAGAAACGTTAGCAGCAGGGGAAACGGTGGGTAAAAAATAAAGCACAGCCGCCGCTGATCTTATCTGTTTCTTCTTGTTTGGTTTTTCTCTTTTTTTTTTTTTTTTGTCTCTTCCCAAACTGCAGTGGCACCCTTTGTCTCAGATAGCGATGGGGATTTGGTTTTGGCTGGAACCCCCTCTTCTCTCCCCCCGCCTCAGAGATGTGAAGTCTCTCCACATTCAAGTAGTCGTCCTTTTTTTTTTTTTTTTTTCTGGCCCCGAAAAACAGGGGAATGCCACGGCACTTCAGCTGACCCGGTGTCACATGTACACCGTGCCTCAGTCCCCGACACACCCAGTTCTGCCTTCCCCTTCCCCCCGTCGACGAGACGAGGTCGATGGAGGGTTGCGATCTGTGGGGAATGGGAGATCATCCCGAGTCTGTTCTTCATGGCGACCTCTGAAAGAGTCCATCTGATGGATCGGCGATCACCCTCGGGGTCATACGGGAGACTCTGATTCTGACGATAACTCTGGATTAATGTCCGGGGCCAGAGTCTAGAAGGCCGCCGTCACATGGGATGCACCGCCAGGAGGACCGTCAAGTGACCCGCCTGATCGCTACTCGATGTGGTAAGACCTGCTTCCGACTTGGAGTCTGTCTATCCCCGTAGCGAATCTAGAAGCCATCAGAACTGCAGTAGAAGCAAGGAATAGCAAAGATCAGAAACATCAGAGCACCTGTTAGTATACTACGCAGGACCCTGTCCTCAACTCCCTAAAATCCCGGCCAACATGCGGACAAAACTGTAGATTCTCAGGGCCTTCGCCATCTAGTCGAGAAGATCCTTGAACGACGATCAGCCCGGGAGCTGCATGCGTCATGTCATCGCCGTCTTCTGACATCGTCTCTATGTATACATAAAGCATGATCCGATCACCCAACGGAAAGGGAAGCAGTTCAGAATGCGTAGGTTCGGCGCGGTGGGGATTAACTTCAACCGCTCCTTTTGACCAACTCAAAAATCATCCTAGGATCCTCCTGGGTGTCGGCGAAGCAAATCCCCTCGGTTGCCGCGCCCATCAGATTCCAGCAATGTATCTTCACGTCCATCGGCGGCGTCTCTTGCTTTGCGCCGTCCTCGTCGGGTCCATTCGGAGCCTTTTCCGCCCCGGTGCTAGCTTTCTCCTCTGACGAAAGAGGCTGCGCTCGTTGTTTGACGGCGATAATGGCGCTGGTGCCCGCATACCGAGCCAGATTCGCCCCTTCGGCCCCCTCCTCCTCGCCTGCTCGGTTGGCGAAGACCAGAATGATCCGCTTATCGGACTCGACTGCGCCGGCGTCGTCGACGTCCGACTCGTGGCTCATTCGCTGTCGGAGGAGAGGGATGAATCGCTGAATCCAGTAATTAAAGGTGTCCAGGTCCGGTTTGTCCGCCAGGTCCTCCAGCTCCTCCCGACTCAGCAGCGTGAGCCACGCCATCGACAGCACGACCAGCTGGGTCTTCGAGTCCAGCACCCGATTCGCGAACTCCCAGGCCGTGAACGGCGCCTTGAACTGGTACGGGTTGATATCCATGCAGATGCCGAATGACGTCGCCACCTTTCTGCTGACCGCAGCAGCGCCCTGGTCGGAGCCCGCAAAGCTCAACTCCTTAAAGCTCCGCTCCGCAGTGCCTTCCTCCGCCCACGTCTCGTCCGTATAGTACAGAAACGTCTTACGGTAGTTGACGAGAACTTCTCCGGTCTCGTCAACCACCAGGAGAGAATTATAGCATGTTTCCTGCTCGTCGTTCACGCCATCTTGACTTCCTGGCCGTGTTTCGATCTCAGGATACCCCACGCACACTTTACACCGGTAGCGTTTGGCGACGTCTCGTGCCCAGTTGGCCGACGCACCCTGGCCCGTAGGTTCCAAGTACGGTCTGATGGCCTCCAATGAGGGGAAATTATAACCTAGCAGACAATCAGCGTACGAGACACCCCGGGGGAAACAAAGAAGCAAAACGGGACTATTGAACTCACCCGTCAACGCCAACTCGGGCAGGACCAGGATATCCGGCCTCAGGATCTCAATCCCCGCCTCGGGCCCCCTTGATCCGAGTAGCTTGCCGTGCTGTAGTAGCTCGTTTGCGCGTCGGATGTTACCCTCCACGTCGCCCAGCTTTGGCGCGAACTGTAAGGTGGCGATTTTCATTTCCCGCCGTTGCCTGTCGAATGTATACGTACCGCGGCGAATAGGAAGTGGCCGGATTGGTATCGTCGAGAGGAATCGCTCCGGGATAAGCCCAAAGAAAATGGACGTGAATTTGTGTGGGAAATGAATACTGGCTGTCTTTGCTGGGTGTGTGTTTACAGATGGTGTGCGCGTGAAACAATTTGGGGAGGTCGCCGTGGGGATGATAGAAGTTGGGTTCATGGATATGACGCTGTGAATTATAATTGGCTGGATGGGCTGCAGATCAGGTGATGAACATGCCGCTTAGGTAACAGCACATTAGGTTTTCCAGCCTCGGGCTTCCAGGCACCATGTAGGAGTATGACCACTGTGAACATACACAGCCAAAGTTACTTTGTTATGTAGAGGTAGATCTCATGATCTCTAGCTAAAATTCAAAATCAGACAAAAAGCAACATCTTCCAGCGCCATGCATGATTGCAATGTCCCAAGGATATAATAAACATTCAGTTGACAGAATAAAAGGACAAATGTGGCTGATAAAACAAAGATAGATCCTCAAAACGCCACCATGCAATGCAATGTACATCCCATCAATATCGACACTGGTTGCTTGCGATCAATCTATCAACACGGGTTGTCCTGAGTACAAGCTTCTATTGGGTCTTTCGCTGCTTTTTGGGTGTGAAGTCCAATGGTTTGTAAGCCAGGCCTCTGCCCCCAGTAGCCCGTATTCTTTGCTCCGTGCGAGACATCGAACGCCCCAGACCGAGCTCGGTTTCAGGAGCAAAGGCGACATCATGTCCATTGACTTGAAAGGAAGACTGGGGGGACTGGCTTCGCGACAGTGAGTACGAGGAGTTCAGGCTGCTCCGTGGACTGAAAGAGCGTTGTGGTTCGGAGTACGTAGAAAAGCTGTCTGAAAGTCGAGGGCCACTCCGTAGGGACTCGGCGGCAATGCGTGCAGCAGACAGCAGCATTTCATCTTCATCGATCTGATTGCGCCTCGGGGGCTCCATTTCATGTTCTGCAGCAGGCCGTCGAGCAACCAGTTCCTCAATCTGCTCCAAAATGGGAAGCTTTGGCAGGGGCTTGACAGAAGACTGAGCCAGTGACTTTTTCGGTGGAGCAGGCAACTCGGGTTTCGACGCCTTGGCAGGTTTAGTCCCAGTATCCATTGTCTCCTCTTCAGGATTGTAAACTCGTTTACGACCGGTGATTGACGCTCGTCGCCTCTCAGCTGCTTCCCTTAATGACGTTATCCACTCAGACTGTTGTGCATCAATTTCGGGTGCTAGCCAGAATAAAAGTGAGGTTAGCGAAACATGTATTTATAAGGGGAGTAGAGCTAAAATAAAAGGGGAAGTACCACTAGAGTCGTGGGTGGCGGTTGATCCCGCTAAGTAAGGCTGGTGTCCATTCGGGGACTCGAGAGTTGTAGGTGCCGGTGGCGGTGTAGATGTAAAGGAACTATCCGTTACTACAGACTTTTGCAGAGGGTGAATTTCTTGCGTTCGGGGCGTTTCATCAGTGCGATGGGGAGTCTGCTCTAGAACGACAGCCGTCGCATGACCTCCATTCATCGTTGACCCAACGTTAGGTTGAGGGTCAGCAGCTGGTTTTGAAAGCACATCATTGGATTGCTTTATTGATGGAGGGGTGAATGAAAACGTCGGGTTTGCTACAATGTCTTTAGCTTATCACTTGCCACAGATTCTGTTCAAACAACATACCATCAGCATTTCTTGGAGCGAACGGGTTCGAAGAAATTGGCGGCGGTTCGGGAAATCTGATTTGTGCGGGTTTTGGAGGCGGATTTTGAGGCTGCGGGCTGTTGCTGGTGTCACCCGAGTCACTAGTCTTGCTAGGAAAAGTGAAGGTGGGTTTGGCTTCCCCAGAGATTGCCGGTGGCTGTGAGAAACCGGAGAAATTGATCTGTGCAGGTTTTGTAAGCGGGTTTTGAGGCTGCAGAATGCTCCTTGTATCGCCAGAGTTGTTAGTCTGACTAGGGAAAGCGAAAGTTGGTTTGGCCTCCCCCGAGATTGCCGAGGGCCCTGAGAAACTGGGGAAATTGATCTGTGCAGGTTTTGTAGGCGGGTTTTGAGGCTGCAGGGTGCTCTTTGCATCTCCAAAGTTGCTGGTCTGACTAGGAAAAGCGAAAGTTGGTTTGGCTTCCCCGGATATTGCCGGTGATCCGGAGAAACCAGTCTGTGTTGGGTTTGGAGGCGAATTCTGAGACCCCAGACTGTCCTTGGTATCACCGGAATTGCTGGCCTGGCTAGGAAAAGTGACAGTTGTATTCATGCCCCAAGAAACTGTTGGTGACTTGACCCTGTCTAGAGCACTGGAAGACTGGCCCGCAGTCAATCCAGGGCTATGCTTCAATTCCGGGTTAGACGGTGTCAAGTTGTTCGGTGGCGAATCAGGTTTGACTACACTGGGTTGTGAATTTCGGGTTTCAAAGGGAGGTGCCGCCAAAGATGTTAACGATGCCTCGTTTGTGTCGGTTGACGAATGAGAAGCCGTAGGATTATTGAAGGGCTGAACATTTGTCGGTCCTTGAACGGATGCCGGCGGTTGTGTAGGAACATTGGAATTGAGCTGTGGGAAAGTAGCGAATCCTCCGGGGTTGAATGGTGCAGGAGTGCTCGCTACCACGGAAGGAGCAGAAACCGGTGATGCGGGATGAGAGCCGTCTGACCTGTTAGCCAGAATGCTTGATCCAATATCTGCAGGTGGTTCCAAGAGCTCATCGAACGTTTTCTGAAGGCTAGAGGCGGACGAGGGCGAGTCGAGGCGGGCACCCGATTTGAGGACTGCATCGTGTGGATAGATCGAATCATTATCATCGTCGCTCACAAATAACGACTCCTCGTGACGATAGTCACCATATTGCAATGATTGCGTCCGCTTTTCGAGCAATGATGTATCGATCATGTCCAAAATCGCGGCCTCCTTGATATTGAGCCCGAGAATAATTGCGACCAATGTTCGGCCTCTCCGTTTCGACTCGACATAATATTCGGAAAAGGAATGGCTTGAGGATGGTTGGAAAGCTATTAGATTGGATAGTTAGTCGAGGCGTCGTACTAGAAACCCATGGCGCGATATGCATTTGTTTTGTAGTTTTCATTCATGAAGATACCCATCGCTGGAGCGCATGATAAAGGAAGCTAGGCGAGATTGTTGCCGAGAGGTGCACATACCGTCTGAATCATCGGGGCCGTTTCCCCAGCTGAGAAAAAGCTCGCTGTTCTCGTTTTCCGCAAATTCCAGACCTTGCTCTTGGCAGAATTCGATCGTTTGTTCTTCTTGATCAAAGTACAACGCGGCTGTTAATTCACTGACGGTCCATTCCTCATTCTTATGCCGTTGAGAAGAGGGCTGTCGGCAATATGCTTTCCATATTGACTGGATGGCAGTTTGGCGCACATGGTTAAAGTAAATTTCGGCGACGCAGCCCATCAGATAGGACACTGCAGGGGAGTTGATCAGATTGAAAAAACGGGTATAAAAGCCCTGAGCAATTGAATTGGGCCTTTTGGCATCCAAGGTCCCCTGAGGTTCCCAAGTATTGCTGGCGGCCGCATGGAGTTCCAATGCGACTTGAACTCGAGGTGACTGACGCAGCTCCATTGGCCACCTCTGAACACGGGACTCCAAGTCGGGTCGCTGATCAAGGATAGAGAAGATGATATAGTAGGCTCGAAATTCGTCTTCGTTCGGAAAGAATATTCGCCCTCGATTATCATCGTAGTAGTACATTAGAGACAGCATGGTGTTGTTGAGCTGCTCACGTTCTTGATGATGGTCGAAAGGTTCTTCATTCGTGGGACTCGAAAGTAAATGGAGGGACAATATGTGAAAACGAGCAATCCTCTCAAGACAGGTGACCGCGATTTTCACATCATTTACCTGTGTGAGTTGCTGAACTGAGAAATCGTTTCTGATCGATCGAGTTCGGTCCCAAACGAACTTATGGATCAGCCCAAGAGGCTCCGGACCGCCAACGACATGCCGCGTCAGGTAGTTCATGCTCTGCAATAGAGTGTTCGGGGTCCGAATATCAGACGGAAGCTGTTCATCGTATCCTGCAGCTGATCTTCTGAAACGTTTGAGCATCATTGTTTCCATATATTGCAATTCGTTCGTGTTCGGGTTTAGAAACTTTTCCGATGATGTTAGCAAGAATAGTGTGTTGACCGCTCATCTCGATCAGGAAACAACTACCTACCTTTTCACTTTTGTCAACCATTTTTTGAACAATACGTTCGACTCGTTCGAACTCCGGACACATGCTCGTGCATGTGCCAACGGGGGTGATTGCTTGAGTTAAAGACGTCGGTTGGTCAGGGTCTGCCATCTGCCCATCTTTGATCGCTTTCTTCCGTTCCTGGGCCCGGTCGGCTTTGAGCTATTCGGATTACCAATTAGCATACTCCTTCAATTCGGCACTTGGTTTAATTAAGACCAACCTGTTCGTAACGGTCAGTGTAGCTCCCCGGATCTCGCATGGAAACATCGGTTGCGCCCTTCTCGTTTGCCTGCTTAGACAAATGTCGCTTGCGTGGATCCCTGCTTGAGTCTACCGAGTGAACGTCGGACTTTCCGGTCCTCCCTCTTCCGACAACGGAGTTTGGTGTTTTCTTGAGGATTTTCGACTTGTCCCCGGAGCCATTGTGGATCTTGTTCTGTTGCGGTTCGGTTTTATGGGACCGGACGATTCCCCCAGGGCCCCCTCTACCGGTGCCACGATCCCTGTCTCCTCGCGCTCGGCCACGAAACTTAGCATCCCCACGAGACGCGGCCCCATTCCCATTTTGATGAGATGCTTGCGGAGGAGAGGCTCCGCCGCGTCCGCGCCCGTTCCCGCGTCCTCTCGAGCCCGTCGCCGCATCTCCGCGTTTGATCGCAGCAAATGGGTTCGACGGACCGGCCATCCTGCCGCGAAGAGCGGAAAGGCCGAGGAAGGAGCCAATTTCCGTCTATGTGGCGGTGGACAGGGTTGAAAGGATGCGCAAGTTCTTTTGAGTATATCCGTTGATTTTCCAGTCGTTATCCTTTTTCCGCCGATAGAAACTAGGGTGGTCGAATGCAAGACGAAGTTGATGAATGATTGATCCTAAACGCGCTGACCTTCGAGAAGCGTTGGCAAAAGCGTAGAGAAAAAGTTAGCCTAATTGGCATGCCAGGTATTTCATAATTCATGGTAGGCGAACACGACGAAGCATCGGAAGATGATGAAATAAAGAACAACAAAGAGAACCGAGGACGGTGCAAATCGAAGCGCGAACAGAAACGCAAAAGTGGCGCAGTACCTTTGAAAGCGACTGTTGACAATGAAAAGGTACTCGGTCTAGCAACAAAGGCAGCTCAAGTGAATGCGCTCGTCTCAGCTATTGAATGATTTGCAACAATAACTCGGAGGGGGGTGTGAGCTTGGCGGTTTTGGGGATCGGTCCGTCGAGGGGGTAGGGCGATTCTCGAGCGATGGGCGAGTGAAAGTGTAAATGGGCCTGTCGTATGTCCGATAACCGCCGATGCAACCTCAAGCGTTCGATTTTGTTGGGTTCTTCAAGATGAGCAGGGTGGAGGAGAAGCTGGACTCTTGTCCGACCGCGAAGCTCGGGCGGCGGGTCGGGGTACAGACGCTCTTGCCGCGCGGCTAATTGCGCCCGCCAGTCATGACATTCTTCACGAGTTTACGGAGTATATCTGTTCTTTCTTCTGCTTGATGGACGGATTGCATTTGATTGGCATAATAGAACCTTTGACATGTTTCCTCGGAGAAATTCACCGAACCTCCGGTGGACATTCTAGGAGGCTTATGCTATCATCAATGGGTCTTCACTGAACTCTGAAATTGTTAATTTTTATTTTCCCCAATTTCAGTGTACAGAGTATCTACGTTAAAAAATAGAACACACTTCAAACCTAGTATACAATATGTCGTGAAGATATCCAAGGTCATGCAGAGAAGTTGGGTTTCAAAGTACTACACCTGCCGACCTTATGTTTATGCCTGACATTTCAGGCAGCATGGTCCTCCACATGTCCTGCAACGTTTATTTGGTGACTATAATTCCTACACATTTATTCGTACTATTATCTAAAGTATACTAGTTCTCGGTGAACTAGTACCGATCTTCAAAAAAAATTATTCTATGTAGAAATTTAATTCTTGAAATACCGTTCATTATATTTTCGACGGTACTGCTAGCGATAATATACATCTCGAGCTGTAGTACTTGATATAAATTCTCATGCACTACTGTCTGCTGGAAAGAAAAATTGACTGGGCCTCTTGGGTTTCAATCACTTGAAAAAACACTATTTGTATAAGCGCCATCATCTACTATCCTTGGAATAATGGGACAGTGGAATCCACAATATCAATACCTACTTACCCCGGCTCTCAAGCCTGAACTTTACATACGGCACAATTTCCACCTCGCCGATCAACCCATTATCCACTATTTCTGGAAGCTCACCCAATAGACCTAGCGTCCTCGATGCGGATTGTCCAAAAAACATAAGTTTGTCAATTATGCTCCTGAGATAATTCCACATCGTGCTTGGCACTTCCACCAGAACAGAATTCTCGCGTCCAGGTCGAAGATAAGTGCTAATGTCACCCTGTGGCGCTGCAAAATCGAGTGGTCCGATAATTTGTCCGTTGATGTAGACCCGAGCTGCATGCTGAATCTTAGGCAGACGAATGTATGCTCCATCGGCGGACCCATTGGACGCGGGTGGCGGCCAGTGAAAGTTACTGCGGTAGTAGCCGATGCCGGATACATTCACAGCCGCGGGAATCTCGGTCCATGAGACCAACAATTCAAGTTGATGGGTAGTGTTGTGTTTTACGGCAATGGTGGCTGCATCCGATAGATTCGAAGGGGCGTCCCAGTGCTCGAGAACAAGAGTCCAGTTTGCGAGTTGGAAAGACGGGTGAGGAGACTTGATGGGAGGCGATCTATACGCTCTTCCATTTGACAACAACAGTGGAGAGTCCCATGGCCCCGATGCAATATGAACCCAGACTTCGTTGCTGCTGTTGGCAGAAGTGTAGCCAATAAGGGCTGACGGAGCTTGAATGGCATGTATTCTGGGCGCAGCATTCCCTGGACGCTTGTTTCTGAAAGCGAGAATTGCCGTTTGATTGGCTGCAAGGCGTAGTGGAACAGTGGTACGGTTATTGGAATTGCGGTATAATAAAAGAGGGCGATGATCTCCGGTCCAGGCGTCAAAAACGTGAGGAACACCCGCACTTGCAACATCCACTGTCCCGACGGTCAGGTCGTTGGCATTATTGAACACGAAGCAGTAGGAAACGTGATTGATCTTGTCTTCACGCCAAGTGGTATACCAAGTCCCATTCGTTTTCACTTTGATATCCGGGAGGATATTCAAGGACGCAAGTTTGTCGGCTACGCCACCAGCAGAAACCATGTGGACATGCTCCATTTTCTTCAAGTCTGAAAGGGCCTTCTTGGTTGATATCGCGTCGTCCGCAGTGTGAGACGCATAATGACCTGGATCACCTCCGCTTATAATAATTGGTAATCCTTGCCGCGCGAATTCTTGCACTCTGATGATCCCTTCTCGCGAGACATTCGAGACGTGAGGAATAACCAAAGCTTTATATGATGGTCCTTCCGGAGCTAGTACTCCACGGCTTACTTTTGCCTGGGGTAGGGCAAAGTTGTCTGGCGAGAGGTAGTTGTAGGTGTAGCCTATGCGCAAGTGTTAGAGGTGCATTTTCAATTTATCAGATAAGCTTACCGTCATTTACAAGATCGTTGTCGAGGTAAATATCTGGATAATCGATATCTGTGGCCGAAATTTTGTTGTAGACTGCAACGTCAGTGTGCAGTTTGCCGATCTGCTGGGTGTATTGCAATCTGGACACATAGTTAAGAGCATCGGAGAATCCATGATCCCAAGCAGGCTGCTTGTGAGAATATTGCTCTGAGAACAAATATAGGAATGCGGTGTATCCCGGCCATGTCGTGCCCGAATAATTCCCGGTGTAAGCCTGCCCATGTAGAACCATTTGGTTGACACCTCCAGCAACTGCGCGATGTATGGACCATAGCAAGCGTGATAGAGGATACCGGTAAGCCTCAAGCATAACAGCTCCCATTTCATTCGATATGACTCTTTTCCCCGTAAGTACGGCAGGCCCGGAAAATTGGCGATAGGCATCGACACTGTCTTTAAATCCGAGGCTTTCGCATTCCGGAGCATTGACGAATGGAACAGCCGCTTCCATATCTCCCGGGAGATTGTAGGAAACCTGACTGGACATCTGCAGATCCAAACGGGATGTTATCCATGAGGTCAATGCCTGGAGATATTGACGATAGCCGATACCGAGAGCTTCTCGAAAATCATTCACATGGCCTTGACCCATGTCAGAGGTGTCCAGGAGGCACTGAACCTTCCCGGGCGCCGTAGACTGAAGCCCCTGGTTGTTGTTTCCAAACATTACGAGCGGCAGAATGTCCGTCAAGGAATAACCAAAATGATTCTTGAACAGGGTAGGCAACGATGGGCTCCATGAGATATTGGATTTAATTTCGACGCTATCCTCCCAACCTGAGATGGTCAGCGAGTACAGTTGGGGTCTATAAGATATCGAAGCCTACCGTAGTTGCCAACTTCCCGCAACAATTGCTCGACCCTTGGTGTGAGTATATGATTCTCCCAGAACCGCGTGGTCACTCTGGCACCGCGGCTGCTGAAATGATCGACGACATAGGAGCCGTTGTCGAAGATTGTTTTCGAAGAAGAAGCGTTGAATTGGAGATTTTTGTGGAGAGTGCGATACTGGTAAAATGCGAATAGCCAATATTTGGAGCGGGAAGATGTGGTTGGGAGATGAAGGGTGACATGCCCTGAGGACGAGACTTGGCTTGCGTGGTCCATTAGTGTTCCGTTCCTCAGAATGAGCTGCTGGTATGACTTCTGACCGCCAGGTAGAGGTGAGGAACTATCGGGCATCGGAATATTTTGAGTGGACAGAACCTCTGCAGAGACCAAGGCAACTAGTTCTCCTGATCCCCAGCCGGGTATGATCCCATCGAACGATCCATTGACCTGTAGCGAGAATGGTGCCTGGAGTCATCAGTAATGGAATGGACTACCCTTTGGTCTATACAAATTGAGGCTCGCTCACCAAATCCCATTGTAACCCCTCGTCGTCCGTCTCTGCAGGTACACCCTGACCCTGATTGGGTCCGAGGGCAAAGTCCATCACAAGGCCGAATTCTTTATGTGCCTCGAGGGCTGTCAGGAACATTTCCTTGAAAGCCTCCGTGCCAAAGCCGGTGGACGCCCAGCTTGGATCGGTTGAGCCGAGCTCTCCGCCGTAATTATAGAATGGAAGAAACTCCACGCCCCCAGCACCGACAGAGCCGGCCGATGCTATATTGTCGCGGACAGTCGCTTTGTCCACTGCAGCATCTGGAAGCCAGTATCGAAACCGTGGACGAACTCGCGCCGATGGGCTCTTGAAGGTCCCATAATCAATATTTGCCCCAACCTGATCGTCGGAGTCGGCAGCAACAAGCATTGGTATCTCTAAGCATGCTGCCAGAATCATGTAGTACACAAACGATGTATACATCTTTATCCGAGTGGCGAGCCCAGTAATGCAGGTAGTTTCCGAGGGTACATCTCATCGCACCCGACTTCTTATAGTAAAGCCACTGTCCAACGGCTTGGGATGGCCTTCCTCGGGGCCTCTTCTGAAGTCGGACGAATGATGACCGAGTTGCGGGGGAAAATACCGACTTGAGGCCTCTTGCTCGTCAGAGCGACCATTCGGAATGCGGGTGCCTTGCGCCTGAACAGTTGTTGTGCATATACGTGTATCCGAGTGGAAGTGCCGAAGATCGTCGGGTGGGTTGACTGCGCAAGCAATCGATACGAGTACGACTATAATTAACAGGCAGTGTCCCGCAGGGAACGTCCAGGCATTGGACGTACGAATTAGCTTGCATTCTGATGCTTGTTTATGGCTCCACCCCCGCATCTGCAGAGGCCAAGGAGCGAGTGCCGAGGGAATCCCGGGGAAGTTGAGTATTTTCTGCTCTCGTATTCGTATTCAACGCCGAGGTTTGACCATGGAATGATTCCATCTCGGTCATTATGAGCCCGAGAATCACGGTGGTTGGTCTCGACGGCAGAATAGAGTAGGTCAAGCCCCTCCCTATACGCCTTCATATACATTGTCCCCTTGCTGTCCATGTTCCTACCGGATACATTGCATTCCGCATGATCTTCTCCTTCTCATGATGCTTACCTTGCAAGCAGTTGTCTATTGGCTCTCCTTGACGTCAGTTACCCAATGTCTTTGGATCAATTCTGATTTTGCGCATCCGAGCAAACCCTTCCACATTCAAGAAGGAAAGCTGCCCCAAGACCTTGTGACATGGGACCAGTATTCCATTTCTGTTCGCGGCGAGCGCATTGTCTTTCTTGCCGGTGAATTTCACCCTTTTCGCCTGCCTTCCCCTGGCCTTTGGCTCGATGTCTTTCAAAAGATTCGTGCATTGGGCTATTCCGGAGTGTCTTTCTACCTTGACTGGGCCCTTCTCGAAGGCCAACATGGGCATGTACGCACCGACGGAATATTTGCCCTGGACAAATTCTTCGAGGCGGCCAGCGAGGCTGGCATCTATTTGATCGCTCGACCGGGCCCTTACATCAACTCCGAGGTCTCGGGAGGTGGCTTCCCAGGATGGCTGGGCCGACTCAAGGGCCGGTTGAAGTCAACCGATCAGGACTACTTGGACGCCATCACGCCCTATATTCAGACCATTGGGAGGACCATTGCAAAGTCCCAGACAACCAACGGCGGACCGGTCGTCATGTTCCAGCCCGACAACGAATACACCATGTGTTTAAACACCACTGGATACACCCAAGATAACAACCGCACTATCACGGGGATTGACTCATCTTGCCTTGAGAAAGAACACATGGGATACGTTGTCGATCAATTTCGCAAGTCGGGCCTGGTGGTCCCCTTCATTGTGAATGATGCATTTCCAATGGGAAATTTTGCCCCAGGCTCTGGCGTGGGAGCCGTTGACAATTACAGTTTCGATAATTATCCGGTGCTTTGGGCCATGGGATGTAAGTTCTTCGCTCTCTACACGAAAATGCTGATCTTGCTATTGACTACTTTATAGCACCTGACCCATACAACTGGTCATCATTGTTGAATCCATTACTTCTTTACAACTTTTCCACGCATCAGCAAATCAGTCCCGGATCGCCAATGTCAATTTCTGAGTTCCAAGGAGGTGTACCTGATCCTTGGTATGATGATCTAGCCTTCCTTACATGAATCTGGCTTTGCTGACACCATTAGGGGGGGAGTGGGCGTCGATACATCTGCCGCCTATATAAACCATGAGTTTGAGCGGATATTTTACAAGTTGAACTATGGGTTCCGAATTGCAATTCAAAGTCTTTAGATGGTTCGTCCCTCCAAAAATACAGACTGGTTATAAAGGACCCTACTAGAAGAATCAAGATCTTTGGCGGGACAAACTGGGGCAACCTGGGCCACCCCAGTGGCTATACTTCTTACGATGTGGGCGCCGCAATCGCAGAAAACTGTCAAGTATCCCGTGAAAAGTACAGCGAGCTCAAGCTCCAGGCAAGCTTTCTGCAAGTGTCACCAGATTATCTGACAGCACAGCCCGAGAATGGTACATTCGGCGTGTATACCGACACCCATGATCTGGTAACCACCAGGCTGAGGGGATCTCCTACGAATTTCTATGTTGTCCGTCACAGTGACTTGACTTCATTCGAATCGACGCGGTATAGACTTCGTGTAACCACTAGTATCGGGGATCTGAGTATTCCTCAGCTGGGCGGATCTCTTCAGCTTAATGGTCGCGACTCGAAGTTCCATGTGGTTGATTATAATGCGGGTGGAACAAATCTGATATATTCAACAGCAGAGATTTTGACCTGGAAGAGGGCTGGTAGGAAGTCAGTGGTCGTGCTCTATGGAGGAGAAAACGAATTCCACGAATTCGCTCTCCCAGTCAAACTGGGCATGCCCTCGGGTGTTGAAGGTGATGGCCTGAGAATCAAGAGGACCAAATCGGCTATCGTCGTGCAATGGCATGTCGAGCCCAAATCACGGGTACTCAAATTCGAGGATGCCTTCGAAATCCACCTGCTGTGGCGCAACGATGCATATAACTACTGGGTCCTCGATCTGCCCGTCTCGCAGCCATTGGGCTTACACGTTTCCCCATCTCGAGCCGACAAGTCTGTGGTCGTCAAGGGCAGTTACCTTCTACGCAACGCCAGTATCTCCGGTGACACGCTCCATTTAACAGGGGACCTGAACGCTACAACGGAGATCGAAGTCATCTCTGCGCCTTCGAATCTTTCGTCGGTGAGATTCAACGGCAACAGAATCCAGGTCTCTGAAAAGCACGGTCGTCTGAGGGCAGAAATCCCTTACCTGTCTCCAAATATCTCTCTTCCCGACTTGAAGGCCTTGGATTGGCGCTACCTTAATTCCCTCCCGGAGCTGTCCTCTTCGTATGACGATTCAAGATGGAGGGGCTCCAACAATCCCCGCAAACTCTCAACTCCAACGTCTCTCTATGCTAGCGACTACGGATATCATTCTGGATCGGTTCTTTACCGCGGAAGCTTCGTCGCTGACGGATCCGAATCATTCATATATCTACTCACTGAAGCTGGCTGGGCATTTGGACACTCGGTCTGGTTGGACTCTACTTTCCTCGGCTCATGGGTCGGCAGTCCTGCGGACATGTTTTACAACCAGACGTTATCATTCCCGACCAAGCTACAGGCCGGTCAAAAACACGTCCTAACTGTCCTGATCGATCATATGGGCATCGATTCAAACTTCCCAGCAAACCTCGACCTGATGAAAGACCCGCGAGGAATCCTCGACTACGTCCTCGATGGGCGTGATAAGTCCGCAATCTCATGGAAAATGACAGGCAACTTGGGCGGAGAACGATACCGCGATCTGAGCCGCGGACCTCTGAATGAGGGTGGCATATTCCCCCAGCGGGCGGGTTACCATCTCCCGGGCACCCCGACCGAGACCTGGGTCCGCAAGTCACCGGTCAATGATGGATTGCCGGGTCCGGGTGTGGGCTTCTTTGCGACTTCCTTTGATCTCCATATCCCGACTGGATATGACGTGCCAATCAGTATTGTGTTCGCTAATACAACCATGGCCAATACTTCCACGCCGGCGAAGTTCCGATCGGAGATATATGTGAATGGGTGGCAGTTTGGGAAGTATAGTAAGTTGGATGGCCCCATTCCATGCGCCTTCTCACCTGGTAGATGCAAATTGCTAACAAAACCAAGTTAATCATATTGGTCCCCAGACTCGCTACCCCGTACCAGAGGGGATTCTGAACTACGACGGCAACAATTACCTCGCGATAACTCTCTGGTCGATGGAAGGCAAGCCGGTAAAGCTGGCGGGGTTGGAGCTCCAAGCTGATGCAGTGATACAGAGTGGATACCGCAAACCTCAGTTTGTGGAAGGACAAAGATATGCCGAGAGAAGAGGTAGTTACTGATGGGCTGCTGTCTTTTGAAGACTCGACATTTGGACTCGGAGTCAGTCCGTGGTCGAAGGAACCCGTTTGTCAGTGTAGATGCCCAGGTAGTCGATTGTTGAGCGGAATGTATTCCGGCTCAACTATGGAGTCGGTGTTGACTGAGCGATGATGAGGCTCCGTGGCACATAATCGCTGAGTCAAGAGTACAAGTAGGGATGTACTGCGTAAGCACTATTAGGGCACGGCGGACCAGACGCTTTCCCTTTTCGGAAAACAGGAACGTTGCATGCAGGGATGTGCATTACGTCATCACCCAACTTTGCTCGGATTCGCCGAGTCCTGAACTCCGGGGTGCAGGGAGGACATCGATGGATGGATGCTGGATGGTCAATTGGCGAGGAAGATTCTAATTGTCACCAATAGAAGCAGGGTCTTGCACGCCGTAAGACTCACCGTGATTGCCTCCTCACCGTTGCATTTCTAAGCAGCTCCACCGACTCCGGATTTGAGGCTCGGCGTCGTGATGGAGCAGCACGTGCCAAGACCGCCCACCGCTTCAGGTACCTTACCTGGTAGCTATGTCATCGACGGCCTGGTGTTCCGGAGGAGTCAGAGAAGACAGTCGTGCGGATGGAAGGGGCGATACCCTGGAAAAAAGAGCCATGACTCATTTTCTGTAGCATTTAGATTTAGCAGAGGATCCAAAACTAATCGGAGAAAATCCCGTCAGCGCGCGAAGGCGTTAACCCCGAGGCCCGGTCCAGTGACCAGGGGATTTAGTAAGCAGCCTGCAGCGTTAGCGGCTCGAGTCTCTCTCGCAGTTATCTCTCCTCCATGAACCTTCTTCTTTTCCCGTCGCGACCGTCCTGTGCCCGTAATCGCCCTGAGAAATTTTTCTCATTTCTTCTTCCTCTTCTGCGCGTGGCCCGCAAGGACCAGGGAATAGGCTTGAAGTTGGGATTCTGTGTCCGGGAAAAAGCATGCCAGACGGCAATTCCCAGGCGATCCTCGGGGATTCTCTCCCGGGATCGCTGGTGTCGCCGTCCCCAACGCCGGACTCTGCATTCCAATCCCCCAAGTTCCAGCCATTTTGCCGTGACCCCGAGGGATGGGGTCCCCTGAGCAATGTTAGATTCGATCTGACCCCCTGCTTCCTGGATCTGGGAGTCGCCATCGTGGCAGCATGGGGCGTTCTCATGGGAGCTGGAGCCTTATGGTTCCTGTTCAAAAAGCGAGTTCCTGAGCCTGTCTCGAAGAACTGGCACTTCTACGCCAAATTGGTGAGCTGTCCCGCCCGCCCGTCTCACTCGATCCGTTGCTGACAATCGATGCACCGCTATCTAGACCGTCTTATCCGCGTTGATGTTCACGACTGCTCTTCAAGCTGCGATCCAAGTCGAGACCGATCCGAGTAACTGGTTTGCCGACTTTCGATTCTGGAGCTCGATCCTGGTGTTTGCCTCGCTCGGTGTGATCTTCGCCGTACAATATTATGAGCATTGGCGCAGTAGACAGCCGAACGGCGTCGTTCTGTTCTATTGGCTTTTCTTCGTCGTCGCTCACGGCGTTAAACTCCGGTCGCTCGTTGCACAGCACGCGTACAACGATCAGCTCCCATACTTTGTTTGCTTCAACGTGAGCCTGGGACTGGCGATTCTGGAATTTGGGCTGGAGTATCTAGTCCCTAAAAAGCAGAGTGCTTACAATGCATTGGGTGATGAGGACGAGTGTCCGTACGAATATGCCGACATCTTCTCGGTCCTGACTTTTAGCTGGATGACTCCCATGATGAAGTTCGGATACAACAATTTCCTGACCCAAGACGATCTGTGGAACCTTCGACGACGGGATACAACCCAAGCCACCGGGAACACTTTGGAGGACCAATGGCAGGAGGAATTGCAAAAGCACAAGCCGTCTTTGTGGACCGCACTTTTCAAGGCCTTTGGACCATCCTACCTGCGAGGTGCAATCATCAAGTGCGGTAGCGATTTACTTGCGTTTGTTCAGCCGCAGCTTCTGCGCATTCTGATCGATTTTGTCAATTCGTATCGGACGGATGACCCTCAGCCCGTCATCCGAGGTGTTGCCATCGCTTTGGGAATGTTCATCGTGTCGGTGTCCCAGACTTTGTGTCTTCATCAGTACTTCCAGCGGGCCTTCGACACCGGTATGCGTGTGAAGTCTGGACTGACCGCGATGATCTACGCCAAATCCTTGCGTCTTTCCAGCGAGGGACGTGCCACGAAAACCACCGGTGATATTGTCAACCACATGGCCGTCGACCAGCAACGTTTGTCGGACCTGACCCAGTTCGGTATCCAGCTTTGGTCGGCGCCTTTTCAAATTACTCTTTGCATGATTTCTCTGTACCAGCTCATCGGCGTCAGCATGTTTGCGGGTATTGCCATGATGATCCTGATGATCCCGCTGAATGGCGTAATTGCTCGCATGATGAAACGCTTGCAGCTCACGCAGATGAAGAATAAGGATGCCCGGTCTAGATTGATGACCGAAATCCTGAACAGCATTAAAAGCATCAAACTCTACGCATGGAACACTGCTTTTATGAGCAAATTGAGTCACATTCGCAACGACCTCGAACTGAACACTCTGCGGAAGATCGGTGCCACCCAGTCGATTGCCAACTTCACCTGGCAATCGACCCCGTTCCTTGTGTCGTGCTCTACTTTCACCGTTTTTGCACTGATCGATAGTCGACCCTTGACCACAAGCGTTGTTTTCCCCGCGTTGACGCTTTTCAATCTGTTAACCTTCCCCCTCTCGATCTTGCCCATGGTTATCACTTCCGTCATCGAAGCCTCGGTTGCCGTCAAGCGTCTGACAGACTATTTCGAGGCAGAGGAATTGCAGACCAATGCTGTCAAGTATGAAGATGCAGTTTCTCATGTCGGGGACGAGTCTGTTCGGATCAGCGAAGCTTCGTTCACCTGGGACAGATATGACGGTACTCATGTCATTGAAAACATCGACTTCAGCGCCCGCAAGGGAGAGCTCAGCTGCATTGTGGGCCGGGTTGGTGCCGGAAAATCGTCACTTCTCCAGGCGCTTCTCGGGGATCTATGGAGAACCGATGGCGAAGTCGTGGTTCGTGGTCGCATCGCTTACGTTGCCCAAGCGGCGTGGGTGATGAACGCCAGTGTGCGTGAGAATATCGTTTTTGGACACAAATGGGATCCTGAGTTCTACGATCTAACCGTGGAGGCATGTGCTTTGCTGGATGATTTCAAGAACCTGCCTGACGGCGATCAAACCGAGGTTGGCGAGAGAGGAATCTCTCTCTCTGGAGGACAAAAGGCCCGTTTGACCCTTGCCAGAGCGGTTTATGCTCGTGCGGATATCTACCTACTCGACGACGTCTTGTCCGCCGTCGACCAGCACGTTGGCAGACACCTCATTAACAAGGTTCTTGGACGCACCGGCATTCTTAGCAGCAAAACCAGAATTCTTGCTACAAACGCCATTCCTGTTCTGAAGGAAGCCGACTTTATCGGTCTCTTGCGGAACAAGACCTTGATCGAGAAGGGAACCTACGAGCAACTTCTTGCCATGAAGGGCGAGGTTGCTAACCTCGTCCGGACTACGATGAACGACTCGGACGACGATGGCTCAAGCAGCAGCGATGACCGCGGCATGGCGAGTGCTGAAAGCTCGGAATCTGCTACAGTGACTGATAATCTGGACTCCGAAGCCTCCGACCAAGAGGAGGCTGAGCAGGAAATTGGCTCGCTTCTCCCCATCCGATCTGGGCATCAGCGACGATCAAGCACCGTGACTTTGCGACGTGCCAGCACTGTCAGCTGGTCAGGCCCTAGACGCAAGCTCGCCGACGAAGAGAACGTTCTGAAGTCGAAGCAAACCCAGGAAACTACGGAGCAAGGCAAAGTTAAATGGAGTGTTTACGGTGAATATGCCAAGAACAGCAATATCATTGCTGTGTGTTTCTATATGGTCGCCCTCCTGGGGGCTCAAACCGCCCAAGTTGCCGGCAGTTACTGGCTGAAGTATTGGTCGGAGCAAAGTGAACTGAACCCGCATCTCAAGGTTGGAAAGTATATTGGCATCTACTTGGCCTTTGGTCTCGGATCATCTGCGCTGGTCATCGTCCAAAATCTTATCTTGTGGATCTTCTGCTCGATCGAAGTAAGCTTTTGAACCACCAAACGCACGCGGACTTTTATTGACGGTCTCATAGGCATCGCGAAAACTCCACGAGCGGATGGCCTTCTCAATCTTCCGTTCCCCTATGAGCTTTTTCGAGACCACCCCGTCTGGACGGATTCTCAATCGATTCTCGAGGTAAGCGCACACTACCTCGCGTCTTTAAGACGAACCCATTAATGGAAGCTAATTGCGTCGTGCAGTGATATCTATCGTATTGATGAGGTTCTTGCTCGCACATTTAACATGGTAAGTTGCCCAGTTTGATTTGTCTCGGCTTCTATTAACTCCGATTTAGCTGTTCGGAAACTCGGCCAAGGCAATTTTCACAATGATTGTCATCGCGTCTGGAACTCCTGCCTTCATTCTCTTCGTTATTCCGTTGAGCTATGTCTACTTCAGCTACCAGAAGTATTATCTGCGCACCTCTCGGGAATTGAAACGCCTGGACAGTGTGACTCGCAGTCCCATCTTTGCCCATTTCCAGGAGTCTCTGGGAGGCGTTTCGACTATTCGTGCCTATCGGCAGGAGAACCGATTTACCCTCGAGAACGAATGGCGTATGGACGCGAACCTTCGGGCTTATTTCCCGTCCATCAGTGCGAACAGATGGTTGGCTGTCCGTCTCGAGTTCATTGGCTCGATGATCATCCTGGCATCCGCAGTTCTTTCGATCATCTCGGTCTCGACCGGTACCGGCCTCTCCGCAGGAATGGTCGGTCTGGCCATGTCGTATGCTCTTCAGATCACCCAATCCCTCAATTGGATCGTCAGGCAGACGGTCGAGGTGGAGACCAACATTGTCTCCGTGGAGCGAGTTCTGGAGTATGCCAATCTCCCCAGCGAGGCACCGGAGGTGATTTTCAAGAACCGTCCGGCGATTGGCTGGCCGGCGCAAGGCGCGGTGACCTTCAACAACTACAGCACACGTTACCGCCCGGGACTCGACCTCGTCCTCAAGGACATCACGCTAGACATCAAACCCCGCGAGAAGATTGGCGTGGTGGGTCGTACGGGAGCCGGCAAGAGCTCGCTGACTCTGGCACTCTTCCGTATCATTGAACCGGCTCGCGGAAACATTAGGTGAGGACCGCTGCCTGAACATATGAGCGTGAGCCCAATACTGACCGTAATTTTCCCCCTCCTCCAGTATCGATGGGCTGAACGTGTCTACCATTGGTTTGTTCGATCTGCGCGGCCGTTTGGCCATCATCCCCCAGGATCCTGCCATGTTTGAGGGCACCGTCCGAGATAATCTGGATCCACGGCATGTGCATGATGACACCGAACTCTGGGGTGTACTGGGTACGTTGGGCTTGACACACTGCATACGACGGCAACATGAACGGGGTTAGCTAACTTGTTATCTTGCAGAACATGCACGACTAAAGGATCACGTTGCGCAAATGGAGGGTCAGCTCGATGCCCGAATCCAGGAAGGAGGTCAGTATCTGCGTATTCTACGGCGCCACTCACCTGCAGTTCTGGCCCGTGGACCTTGATTTGATTGCGTCTGGCGAATATGGAGCTAACGTGGACATGACAGGATCCAATCTTAGTCAAGGCCAACGCCAGCTGGTTAATCTTGCACGGGCTTTGCTGACACCGAGTAATATTCTGGTGCTTGATGAGGCAACAGTGAGTAGCCACCCTTCGTCTCCTGTCCTCACCGATATTTCCAACTCCGTCCTATTATGATTTTTGATTTTATTTAATTTTAAATTAAAACGATGCTAACGCCAATGGCTAGGCGGCGGTGGATGTGGAAACGGATGCATTGCTTCAACGCACCTTGCGCAGTAGCATCTTCTCGGATCGCACCATCATCACCATTGCCCATCGCATTAACACGATCATCGACTCCGACCGGATCGTGGTGCTGGACAAGGGCCGGGTGGCGGAGTTCGACACGCCCAAGGAGCTGATCAAGCGTGGCGGTAAGTTCTACGAGCTAGTCAAGGAGGCCGGTTTGCTTGAGGGCGAGGGTCTTGCGCTGGTGCAATGAGCCGGGCAGTTTCCGACGCGAAGTGGTTTAGTGTGGCAACGATAGCTACGGGGGTCGATTCTACAGATTCCGGGTCGATCCCTCGAGCCGGGGCAGACGACAAGGTGGTCCCCATTGACCGCATCTTGGGCCACAAATGCCTTGTCCCTCGACGTGTGCTTGTATCCCCTCAGATTGACGAGGGATTTCAACGTCCGCGAGGGATGGGGGGGTGGTTGACCCCCTGGTCATACGGTATTATGATCAGCCCTCGACCTCCTAGAGTCGGCTCGAGTCCAGGAGGATAGAAACCGGACCATACCCAAAATAAAAGTACGATTGGGACTTCTGGCGTTCAAAAAGGGAATTTGCTTCCATGTGTTTATATTCCCGTCTCATGTCTCGCATCCCGAGTCCAAAGACGTATCCTTAACAACAAGATTATCACTAAATATAAACGAACCACAAATTGTCCATATAATATAGCCACTTCCACAACCCATGAAACACAAACATCCCCAAACCAACCCCTCCCATCCGTCCATCCCCTCGAGGTCATCAAAACGAGGGGATAAAAAAAAAGGGGGGTACGAAAAAGTAAAAAAAAAGTAAAACAAGGAAAAAAACAAAATAGCAAGAAACATAGTAGCAACCAAAGGGGGTAAACCGCCCAGGTCGGCGAAGAACCAATGGATGGGTCAACAGTAGCGGTGTAGGGATATCGACTGCATTGCATCCTGCAGAACAGTTGTCTTTGCAATGGCCGGGGGGGGGGGGTTGGACGAGGAGGGGTAAAATGGCATTATTAATCGTGACATTGCAGAGGGCCACGAGCTATTATTATTCTGTTTGGTGGTTTGGTGGTTTGGTGATAGAGTGGTGTGGTTGATGGATGGTCGTGGATGGTTCGGGTTCGGGTTTGGTGCGGTGAGGGATGTACCTTTGCCAGTACTAGACCAAAGGTAGGTACCTCCTCATCGCAGCCACCGCCACCCCGGGAAATGACCTCCTTTCGCAGGCTAGAGGCACTTGGCTTGGTCGCTGATAATTGTCAGGGGAGGAGGTCTGTAAGAGAGTCGCGTTAGGGCATCTTAGATCATAGGAAGTGTCAGGCTGACCCTTACGCAGTACGGAATTTCCCGATTTACCTCCGACTCGACCGATTCCTCCTGGCCTGTCTGTGCTCTGGATGTGAGCGCAATGACGCGAAGGGACTTTGATTAGATCGTAAATAACGTTTGCTCCTTGCGTCTGTCAGAACCATCCTGGACTGTTGGCTGTATAACTTGTAGGATATAGGCAATGCTCCAGAACAGAAAAGATGCTCAGAAGAAACCCCCCAAGACCGGGTCCAGGTCCAGCCCAAGAGGCATAGAACCAAGGCAGCTCGCGTGGCGAAAACATGGCCCAGCGCTGGGTGAGCTGAAGGACTGGAAAAAGAAAGTCAATCGAGAAGAAGGCGAGGCAAGAAAGGGCAGGCAGGGTCCATTCAAGGCATGCATGCTGCTATCCACGGCCTCAACCAGACAGGCAACAATGCAACAATGCTAAAGATAACCACCACGTCGCGACTCGGAGAAAACGACTGGCCGGAAGTGTCAGCCGGGATGGCAGAGGGTGAGTCTCTAAACTCAAACGAAACGCCATATCCAGTGTTCGTCAATCCTCAATCCTCGATCCTCACTCAATCATCCATCACCAGACCCCGTCGAAGTCACCGGAGCAAGTCCGCCACGGGAATGGATCGATCTTGCATACGTTCAGACGACGGTCCCGGTAATCGGGTCTGCGCTATTCGAACTAAAGACCATTTCTAAGAGGATTCATTGGGTCGGAGGGGGCGACGGCGAGGAAATGGCTGGAAGGTGGTTTGGGGTTCGTTGGGAGGGGCGAAGGACGAGTCGCTTATCCACCCGTTCATCTGTTTTGAGCTTCGTGCAGAATTCAGAATTGGATAGGTGATGAGGGGTCGCGGGGTTTGATCGGGATGTTATAGCGTTTACATCATGATCGAGTTGAGAATATTCATAGTGCGAACATATACTTTTACTCTGGTTTGGGATATAGTAACTACTCTGCGGGAAAACAATGTATATTGTATCCGTCTTAGGCAATCTATGACTGTCTATAGTAGTCTACCGCCAGAACGACACCCTCACTCAGAGCCCTTTAATCAATACGAGCTCTCTAGAACAATCGATCTAGTCTGATATCCACCACTTGATCCACCAACGCTCAGGCCGTTTGGTTTAACCCCGCCAAGAGATTCCTTGCTTCGGCTTTCGCTCCTCCTCGATAGTTCAGTCGATCCATCAGACGGCGCAAACTGCAGGGACCTCTTTTTTTTCTTCTGTTTCTTCGACTTTCCTGTTCAGTTGCCTCTGGTTCCTCTCTTCCCAGGATAGCCCTACGACGAGCGACAGTAGTCGATGGGTCCTGAACAACTGGCCGAGGCCCATTCGTCCAGCCACACACGGGGTACGCCGGGGTGGATCGGCGGAATCGTGGGTGAGCCGGGATGATGCAGACGGCGATTCGAACGGAGTGGATGAAAGTGAGGTCTCTTCATTCGCACGTCGCCTTTTCTTTCATCTGCGCGGGAGATTAACTTTGCACTCTATCCAACCGGTGGGCTCTCGGGCCGTCCGAACGGACGATGCCTCCAGCGTCCAGCGCCTGCCAGACGCTGAGCATGAAACCGAAACCACTCCATGAGCAAGGAGGGGCGATTGAAGAACCTGTGACGGCCTTTCAGGATTCGATCCGGCCCGGAGACTGGTTTGTGCTGCTCGGATCTCGATCGTGAAGCGCACGATAGCGTTTCCGCCAACCCAGCAGGTGTCCGGATGCAGAAACCGATGGGGTGCTGAAACAACCGCTTGTTATTCATTGCATTTGTAAATTTGGTTAAATCTTTTTTTCCTTGAATGATTCCATTTCATTGTGTGGTCTATGGCCTTTCAACCACCCTTGTTGTCGATCCTCCCAGTCCAGCGCCCACCGGTGCAGAGCGACGGAGGACCTCCTACTAGACGGTATTCAGCAGTCTCCCACTACCCTTTTCGAGTAATACGTCCGTGGCATTTGCATCGGGGCATCTATGCGGTGGATTTCAGATACATTCTAGGGTATCTTCCAGACGAAACCGAGCCTCCCCAGCTGCATGCGACCGGAGGAGCCCAGGAAAGGACGACGACCAGTGGATCATGCACATCCGCAGTTCTAGAACCAGGAATTGACAAAACTCTTGACAATCAGTGCCAGCCGACATGGGTGAACATGGGTGACCCCGGTGTGTGGCTGGAGGAGTTGTCTCCATTGCTCAACGCAGGCTATTTTAGCGAGTCGTTGACCTGTCAAGGGGGTGCCGGTATGGCTTAATTGAAACTAGGTGAGGTGGCAGCTGTTGAGACGGTAGGAAGGATTTAGAGCCTGTCTGTATGTCTTTCTACGGAGTGCAGATGCGGAAGGTGGAATGGAAAAAATAAAATCCAATAACGGTCAGGTCATATCCCTGGTGGTACCTTTTACGACCGTAAAACCACGGTTTGTACTCCGTAGATGACATCCGGATAGCCAAGGCAGGTCGATGTGGGCGGTCGATCCCTCGAAGCGAGATCTCGTGAAGACGAAATCCGTGCTTTGATCTACGAAGATGGCCACACCTTCCAGTCGAGGGAATTGAAATGACCGAAAAGACCGCAGAGAATGTGGGGAGAAATGACCGACGAAAAGACGATAGCAAAAAAGACAGCAAAACACAGCCAGCCATGAATAGCAACCGTGATATCATCGCCCACGCTTCTGCATGTCGCCAACATGGATCATCCCTGCTCATGGCCTTTGCTGGGACCAATCAGCGCTTGCTCCAGTCCCGCCACGGACAATTTACGAGCCAATGGCCGCCCTCCCCCTTTTTTTCTTGTGTGCAGTGCGCCCCGATTGAACTGCCTGCAGCCTCCACCGTCGGCCTGAGTGGGTGCGATTGTCCGATTTCGCGCGATCCGATGGATCTTCAGAGCCTTCAGTCCACTCTCGTCGGGGGCCAACTTGTCAGTTGTCGCTCCCCTCTTTTTCTCTGGCGGAGTCGTTAGGCGCGGGCGGAAGTCGGAAACTTGATCCTGTCTCCATTTTCTCCATTCGCGACGGTGCGTTCTCTGGCCCCCACTTCCTTGGTTTCCCTGCCCCTCTTGTTGATTTTTTCTTCATTTCATTTATTCATTTGTTCAGTGATTCATTCTCTAACGACGCTGCCAGATCATATATGTATCATATTTTCCAGATTCATCCAGACGAAAGAGAACGCCGGCCGTCACGGGAAAGTCTGCACCTTGCCGCCTCTCCCCGTTCCCACGGCGCATGATCAGCTGTAACACAAATCTTGACTTGCAGCCCATGTCGTTTGCGTGGCCACCGTCCAAAGTTTATGTCCCTCCAAGGCACGACCTGGATCTGAGCTGTTCCAGAGTGCACTTGACTCGTCCAGAGACTCGACCAAAAGGCTGGCTGGTGGTGGTGGACGCCCCTCCCCGCCCTGGTTCGCCTGGTTCCTGTATGTTAGGTGTCGGTTGAGGATCAGACCTACGACTTCCAATACGGAGTCGGAGTCAGTGCAGTGCAGACAAGAGGCAACTCGGGGCCGAATCCGAATCGCAACTATGCGCGCGCGATCCATGGTTCGAAGCCCGCGTTCCGGCATTACCCGCAACTCTACTTTTTTAGATCGCATGCCAGAATCGCATAGTCCCGGTGGTTATTGAATGGCACTGCAAATGGTAGCCAGAAAATGCTTAATGACTCTGCGACATGCGATCCTCGACTGTCTGAAACCATCTGCATCCATCCTCCGTAACCCTCGCCAGCACTAGTGCGCCGCTATCCAGGTAACTGAGGTACATACATTTACGACGGTCGCTGTAACCCTATCAACCAGCTCCTACATTCTCACTCCGCAAACCAGGTTGCGACCGTCTCCTCGCTTCCCCACAGGCTTTCACTTTGCTTTTTCAATCATCCCTATTATTATTATTATGATTGCCTTCTCGGAGAATAGCTTACCTAACGCTAGACCCAGCCCCCTCCCCCAATCCTGCTATACGTGCATACAGTAGTATTGTCGTACAACAGACACACTAATCGATACCTCTCATTACATGCAGTGTGTTCTGCATAGGCTCGGCCCGGTCGGCGGACCCAGTCCGTTGATCCTCTTCCCTTTTCCTTCCTTCTTTTTTGTCATCGGCGAGCATGGAGCAGGAAGCAAGGGGCTGGTGGGGACGCCAGAACGATATATTCATTTTTGAGTCGGAGGAATATCTACTTACTGGGCCCTCGAGCTGGCAGCTTGGGCGCCTTGACTGACTCGAGGGTAGCCTGCATTCGCATTCAGGAGTAATTACGGAGTAGGGGCTTAAGGATGACTGATCGATTATGCATGGCTGGAAGAGGAAAGACATTGTGATTATTGTATTAT